TTTCGGGGCAAAATGGGATCGGAGCTCTCCGAGACGCTTCACAGCTCACCGTCGCCTAATACACTTCAGTGTACCTAGTTGTGCACCAGAGCACTCCTTGTCGTCTCAATCGGATCCAGATCCCGACTATGTTCACATCCCCGTCTCCGTCTCCGTGCTCGATTTGTCCATGTTCCCGCCATTCTCATTGCTTGCTCCCATTGTTTGCCTGTTCGGGGACTTCACAGCTCTCAGAAATTCTTCCATGTTCTTTATTAGCACGTCCTGGATGCAGCGGACAAGATCCTTGTACGTGCGCCAAGCACTTGAAGCCTGCCTGATTCTGCCTATCGGTGGAGAGAATGGTGGTGGAAGCAATTCGGGACATGGCGAGCTCTAAAAGTATAGTGAGTAGATGAGCGCAGTGGGGACTCGAATTTGCGCATGCCAAACAGGCAATAATTTTCTGGATGGGTACCCAGCCAGTGTCTCATAGCCTAGCGGTTGTCACGTCTGGGCTCCAATTTCAGGGATCTTGGATCGAACCCCGCTCCTAACCGCCTGTTTTCGGAGCAGACCAGGATGTAACATTTTGCCCTCTACCCCCATGTTTTCGGGGTTTTGGTATCGGAGCTCGCGCCCGTAAACGGGCGTTTTTCGGGGATTTTGGTGGCTGTGTGGATCGGAGCTCTGGCGGTATTCGCACCGGTCCTGCGTAAGTAGAGTAGGCGCGAGCGACCGTGGGAAGGAGCGTCGTACAGCTGGCAGACGGGCGCGCAACTTTGTCTTTTTACCTCAGAAATATACTACGTTGCCCACCTCGTATCTTCGCCAGCAGTCGCCGGAGATTGACGAGTACGGGCCTTAGGGTACTCTCTAGTACTCTCCCGAATCGCACCGAAGACGCCGCGGAAGCTATCCGCTGCGACGACCCTTCAGAACGACTAAGGAATCTCCCGATTCCTGGTCGGACGACAGACGACCGAGTCTCCGCCCGGCCGTCTAAGTCACTCTGTCGTCTAAGAGAGCTCGCGGGTTGCACACTGTACAGTCACCCTAACGTATATCGAAGACGTTTTACAGGGGCCCGGTAGCCGGTTTTCACATCACCGTCACGAGGATGCACAAGACTAGTATAGTTGGATACAGGAAGCAGCATACCTACCAGAGAGCACGCACCGTACTCTTCTCTACTAGCTGCCTTGCGAATACCGCATTTACCAACCACCCATGCCGATGTCCGACACAGAGCTAGCCTCGGATACATACCCTCTTCTCCTTCGGGGACTTGAGATCTCGGAAGACGGGTTGCCGGATACCAGAAGCTTGAGATACAAGCCCAACGTATACGTTCTGCAGATATCAACCTCACAACTCGTACTCTTAACATCTTTCACGATCTCGATACTATTATAGCGTCAAGGTAGTAGCTTGGACTGTTGAGAAGACTTAGGTACCTCCCCCTGCAATTTAGGTCGAATCAGAAACCAAGTTGCACCGGCGGACATGCAGGCTAATGATCGTGAGCCACGGTGAGATCCCGACTCCCCGGAAAGTGGGAGTTGGCTGTTGCACTGGCAACTCACTTGATGGTTATGTACACATGCAGCCACACACGTACGCGTTAATATCTGGCATGGTTTGTTTTCGTCTGACTGATATGAGGGCAATCTGTTTTACAAGGAATTATGTACATTGCTATATGGAAATTGTAGTTGACATATCAGTATGCGTAGAAGCAATTACCGATAATGAACAGTGGGCGTCTCAGGCGCGTGGCAAGTATGCAAAATACGATGCGGAGTGTATTGTAATCTAATTCTTCAAGTGCTAATCGCGCACCTTTCCTCTCCGAATCGAACGAGAGGTACGGTGAGAGCTCCCCTGTCCACCGCCGCCGCGGCGACTGGACTTATGGCACGCTGACTGAGGTATGTCGTCATTATCTTCGTCTACGTCCTTGCGGCTACGCTTCTGACCTCTCGAGGAGGCCATGGCCGAGTCGCGGACGGCCACCGGTGCTTGAGGCTGGAAATTGTCTACGACCTGAGCCTAAGACACAGGCGGTGGATCGTCAACGAGAGGTAAAGCATCGCGGCCAGACTTGAGAGCCTCGAGAAATTCATCGTAGGTGGGTTTTTCCGGTTTCTCAGCGAACCAGGTATGGACTTTGAGCGCAGTTCTGAGCGCCTTGATAGTAGGCTTCAGGGGATCGAAGTATGGATGGAAGTTCTTTAGTAGCCGCTCGAAAGCCACTGACCGCACCATCTGGACCATCTTCGCTTCTGCCACATCGCGGTCATCATCTCCGACGAGCCACTTCTTCAATGGGGTCTTCAAAGCATCGAATGGCTCTCTGTAGAGTCCCGGTCCTTGAAACGCGATACACGCCCAGATGAGAACGTAAAAGAACGACTCCAGGTCGTGGTGCACCTCATGCTCAATCGTCGTCTCGTTCGCAAGAAGGTGAACCGACATGAATGGTAACGTTCCCTGGATGGACGCGCCTTGTTATAGAGGAAATCAACGGAATGTACATAGAACTCACGGAATGATGGTTTTTGTGTTCCCCTGGATCGTTCTCGGTGGATTGACTCATAGTTTTGCCGTAATCAAAATCGATGAGGCGACCTGGACGCTCTCTCTCGTTTTCAGCCTTCGTGTCCTCCCCGTCCAATATCATTACGTTGCGGACGCTGATGTCACGGTGCAATACGCCAAGGCGATTGTACATCCGACGATGCGCTACAAAACATTCCATCAGATATCTAAGAACGCCTGCAGTAAAGACGTTGTTCACCTTCGACGGCGTCTATCAAGACACTGAGCAACTCTCGACGGGTAGCAAAGTGGTGCAAGGGAAGACCTGACTCCTCCAGAGCGAGACGATAGTGCTCCCGCGTCTCGGAGACGCAACCGCTATCTTGATCTACGCTTTTGACGGTGTCCAGCTTTAGTGGAAGACTGCGTGTATTCTCCGGTGTAGCGATTCGAGCTGCAAGCCGAAGCCACTGGGAGAATCGCGCGGCGCGCGCCCCTTGCTCCGACATGTCATGTGACCGCGACTCATTCTCACGCGACGCGCAATCGCGTACGGTACACCGTACAGGGGGACATCGCGAATATAACTCTTCCGGTCGAGGAACTGCATACGCCTCTCTGTGTGATACCAATACTCCCATGTGCAAGTTAATAAATGTCGAGTTCGTGTTGCGGAGCATTTCTCGAGTTCGTCGTCAACGAGGTCAAGGAAGGCATTGCCTGAGCTTGCCCGAATTACCTCTCATCCCGGAAATCGGTAAACACCGCGAGGCAGGGTGAGATTAGTGCATTTTAGCTGCTAATGCCATGCGATATTTACGTCAACGTAAAGAATGCGGCTCAAGAATGCGAAGGTGAGCGGCGCTGTTCTATTCGAACACAGCCTAGAACATTATATATCACGCACAGTGCGTGCAATTGCAAGTTACCCAGTTTCTGTATCCAGGCTGCCGTCGGTTATCGTCCTGCCCCTAGCGTACCCATGGTTATCAGGATCCGCAGAACCCGTTCAAGAGCGGGTTCGTGCTGCACGATGAAACACTCGCTATCGAGAGACTGGTAGCGGTACCGCTTCCGTGCGCGTTCCTGGTGTCATTGATTTGTGAAATTGAAGAAGCAAACGTACAGTATTATGATATGCAACTAAATTACGCGTAAATATCAAGGGAGGTATTCTAAAGCAGCTAAGTACCCTTCAAGGTTTACTTGCGCCTCTTTCCCGATAGGGAGGTGCCAATCGAGCCCGCGTTATGGTTGCTGCTGCGGTAACCGGGTTTCTGATGCGCTGAAGTTGCTTCATCTTCGTCTTCCATCTCCTGGCGACTGCGTTTCTGACCTCTCGAGGAAGCCATCGAGGAAAGCGTTGTGTGACTGCGGACGGCTGCCTGTCTCCGAGGACGGCGCTGGTCCACAACCACAGGCCCGGCCATCGGTGGCGGGTCATCAACGAGAGGTAAAGCATCGCGACCAGACCTGAGCGCAGCGAGAAATTCGTCGTATGTCGAGCGCTCCCCATTGGGGTCCTCCCATTGGTTGACTTTGAGTGCGGTCCTGAGCGCCCTGAGTGTGGGCTTCAAGGGATTGAAGTATGGGTGGAAGTCCGACAGCAGCCGTTCGAAAGAGTTTGGAAGGACCATTTGAGCAAACTTCGCATCTGCGATATCCTGCTCCCTGTTTCCGGAGAGCCAACCACGCAACGCGGTTGCCATGGCGTCGAACGGTTCTCTGTAGCGTCCCGGTCCTTGGAGCACGATACACGCCCAAATGAGGACGTAAAAAAATGATTCTAGATCATGGTGCACCTCTGGCTCGATTGGCGTCTCGCTGGCAAGAAGGTGAAACGACATGAATGGCAACGTTCCCTGTGCGAACGTCGATGTTAGAGAAACGATTCACAGACGATACGTATAACTCACGGAACGATGATTTTTGTGTTCCTCCGGATCGTTATCGGTGGGTCGATTCATGGTCTTGGAGTAATCAAAATCAATTAGGCGACCTGGACGCTCTTCCTCTTGTTTCTTCTCTGTGTCATCTTCGGCGTCCAATATCAATATGTTGCGGAAGCTGATGTCACGATGCAACACGCCAAGATCTTCGTACATTCGACGATGAGCTACAGACGATCCCATCAGATATCTACGAACGCCTAAGATCTAGACGCTGCTCACCTTCGACGGCGTCTATCAAGACACTGAGCAACTCTCGACGGGTAGCGAAGTGGCGCAAAGAAAGTCCCGATTCTTCCAGAACAAGGCGATAGTGCTCCCGCGTCTCGGGCGCGCGACCGCTCTTTTTGTCCACGTTTTCGACCATGTGCAGCTTCTCGCGAATAGTCTTCGTCGAGTCTACCGCGCCGTGAAAACTGACCCGCTCGTGAGTCAACATGTGCACAATTCCTTCTATCTTTTCCTTGGACGCGCGCTCCAGAATTTCACACTCCTTTTCTGGCCGACTAACATCGACCCACGAATCCTTGATGATACACATGGCTCTTTTCCCGGAGCGTACGCGGAGGATGATCGTTCCTCGACCTCTGAGAGTGCCAGACATATGCAACACGTCCAGTATCTTGTAACGCTTGTTTTTGACTTGTATCGTCCGAACTCCAGACAGATCGGGTTCGGAGACGGTAGGATCGAAGCCGAGAGTGTCACGGTTGGCGAAGGCAAACCCACACACCACGCGAAGAAAGTCGTCAGGACTGTCGTGGATATTGAACTCTCTCGACTGCAGAACTCCTGCCCTGTCGAAACGCCAGAGCCGCATTGAATCTGAAACCAGGGTGATCCCGAGGATAAAGCGTCTGTCGTACTGAGCGCCAAAGGCTAATCGAACGTTCTCCTTCAGCTCCCCCGCGGAGCTGGTCTCCGGAGTGGCGCCATCCTTACCGGATTTGACTTCCAAAAACGCCACAGCATCCTGTCTGAGAGCGTCACCGGGACGATCGCGGTAGACCTGAGGTAGTAACACGCCGTCTGGTTGCCTCTGGCAGGCCTCCAAGGTCGGTTGGTTGGTATCGCCTAAAGGCCTGGTGGCGAAGTGACCCGTCCAAGCACGAACGGTGGCTTTAGAGGGGCGGAAGGCCTTACACCGTGATACAGCGTCCGCAATAGCGTTGAACTGTTGGGAAACGGCTTCTTCACGTTCTCCTGGCGACTGGGGATTATGAGCCGGCAGCGATGCAAAACCAGTCCATTGGCCTTCGCGATAGAGGCAGTCAGACCCGTTCTCAGGATCGGAGACGTAAGCAAGTGCGTGGTCAAGGCGCACAGGAAGTTCAGAGTTCGGAAAAACGACGTCTAGAAGCTCAGTGACGTTGTCCAGCATGGCTCCCTTGAGAGAGTGAGAGATGGCAGGAACTGTGACGGCTTTAGTGATGGCTTTAGTTGAAGAGTGCGTGTATTCGCCGGTGAAGCGGCTCGCGCTGCAAGGGGTTGAGTTATAGATGACGGGGGCGCTTGATGGTCCTCTGGGTTGCGGGGGGGGAGTGACATTGCGAGAAGACATGGCGAAGTCAGCGGCTGGACTCTGGCGGCGAAAAACATGATGCTCACTGCGATTATTATAGTAGGAGCAACTGGTGGCCCTGTGTTCGGTGACACCGCTGGGGGCAAGTAAGGGCCACTCCTTCAGAAGGCTGCGATTGTGGTTGTGGGTCAAACCGACAACACGAAGCCACTGGACCGTCGCCGCGCCCTTTGTTCTGGCGGGTCATGTGACCGTGATTCATTCGCACGCGCTCGCGTACGGTACACTATGCAGTGTAACAGGGGTGGTGGCTGGACATGGCGAATACAACTCTGCCTGAAGAATATCTGGTAAATGAAGCTGTATGTCGACTGAATAAGTAGCGGAGCCGCCCCCAGGCGGTTACTGAGTTGCCATGGGCCCAGGAAAGTTCCACCTGAGCCATCCGCTATTGTCCTCGTGCCACGCAATGTCCACAATCGAATCTTAAACTAGAGAGCATGCAGCGTTTCTGCATCACATCGCACTTCGAAAGTACGACAAACTGAGTCCTGAGTCATGTACAGTACAGCTTGCCTTACCGTACTACAACATCGGGAGATCGCCGGTACCACCTGTGCTTTCGCAGCTTCAAGTCCCAAGAAGAAGTCGGAAGACTGGCAGCTAAATGTAACCGCGGATCTGATGATATAGCCAGCTTAGGCCATCAGACCTTACCCGCTCCCTTCGTCCAAACGATAAGCGCCATCCCCCTCCCGAATCACAAGTATCTTCGGTTCGAGTCCGGTGACAGTCCCATTATTTCGACACACGAGTCCGGACATGCACTTTTCCCGTATCCTTGTATCTACCGGGCGGGGGTGGGCGTAATCAGACCTTCAGTCCATCAGGAAAAATCGGACTATCGAAAGAGTCGCTTATTGGGTACCGAAACCCTCTAAAGCTACTAAATGAGCACGTTTTAGTACGTTTTAGGAGGTTTTTATCAATTCCGGTTTTTCCTGATGTCAACGAAACGGACGAAGGAATTTGCCGCGCTGAAATTCGCATCACGGTTTCCGCGCTCATAAAGGTACCAGGCGCTCTCCTCACTCCGCCCGTAAGCAATTCCGGCGTTCCGAAGGTGGCGTCTGCTGTAGCAAGGACGGCTTCCAGGGTCCGTCTAGTGTCTGCGGAGTCGTCGGGCGTGAACCGGCTGCTCTAGTCCAGGTCGCGGCGGTCGGCGGTCTTCGAATGTGAACAACCAGGGCCGCACTCTTCTGTCCACGACTCGCCGGGCTGAAGATAACTGGTGAATGCGACGGGACAAACACGGATCCAGGCGATATCAAGTGTTGCGGACGTGTCGTTTGAGACGGTGACCGCGGGCATGTGTAGCTGGCGAAGACGCTGGTGGATGTTATCATATAGCTGACATGAAGCATGTGCACAGGCCGCAATGGTTAACGCAAGCCGATGTATCAGCCCCGGACAGTGTCTTTGTAGAAGAGGGGTAGCCATCAGGTCGGGTATAGTGCAGCCAAATGCGCCTTCACATCACGCGCAGCTAATCGACGAGTACGAGGGAGAAACCAATGCCCTCATGGCGCAGATACGGAACCGATGAAGCGTTGCAGAGCGCGAATGGGGTTACAATCAACACATCAATTAACAACGAGGACACCACTGGGGCGTTCAGTGAAGCATGTGATCGACAGCATCCCTGCTCTTTCACCCGGGCAGCGAATCCTGCTTTACTCAACGCACCGCGCTTTCGGAATCAAAGGTTTCCGTCATCACCAACTCTCCCGACCAACCTGAGCTCGAAGATACTCATACACCGGACACGAACCTGAAGTCGCTGCGTTATCGGGGAATTGTGGAACTTGGTGCTTCCAGAAGAGGGCCCAATATACGCATTTAGAGCCATCCCCATCTCGATACCCTGCACTAGCCAGTGAGCGGTCGAGATCATTCCGATATTAGGCACACTCTCTCTAAACAGACCGGCCAATTCCCGCGCGTAGGTTGACGGCACAGACGAGATCATGAATACAGCCCCAGACGCGTTGGATCTTTATGTCGAGTCGCTGGCGGATACCCTGTCATGCGACCCTCGCGTAGCACCCTTCAGAGATGCCCGAACCAGCACCGAAGGCTATTTAAAGCTTGAGCATGAGATACAAACGCTCGAGAACGCCGTCAGTCTGCTCCGCATTCGCCAGAACGACCTTCGCCCGTGCGGAAGGCTTCCTCCCGAGGTCCTCGCCGAGATCTTTCTTTTCCTACGCTGCTCCCACCCACCGGGGCACCACGCCGTCTCCTATGGCTGGACCGCCGTCACGCGCGTGTGCAGAAAATGGCGCTACGCCGCGCTCGCCTGCGCGGCGCTCTGGGACAGGCTCGACTTCTCCTGCGCGCGATGGGTGGAGCGCTCGATTGAGCGTTCGCAACACGTCCCCCTCGACTTGTACGTCGTAGATCCCAGTGCGGTCGAGGTCGTCATCCGCGGTGATGGCCTAAAGCACGATCGTTTCCTTCGGGACTGTGGCGTCCTAGGCCGCATCCTGCTCGAGCATGGGCACCGGATACGCACCGTGCATATACACGGCGAACTCGATGACGTAGGCCCTATCTTCCCCGACCTCTTCCTCCTCATCCCCAACGTCAGTCTATGTTACCTCCGCTGCACGAGTCTCGTCTTCGACACGACTCTGGAACGGCTGCCCGCCTCCCTCCTTTCCCTTACCGCTCTTCGGCTTCATAATATTGTTGTCGACCCGCCTTTACCCGCCTTCCCATCTCTGACCTACCTTCACCTCACCGACGCCGAGTTCGGCAACGCGTTCGACATCGTGGACCTTATCCGGAACACACCCACGCTTGAGACCGTTATCCTGCTCGAGACCCTCTTCCGACACGACGCTTTTGAACGGGCCACGCTCGCCGCCTCCGCCGCCCCAGTATACATGCCGCACCTCCGCCTCCTCCGCGTCGATGACGACCTCCAGGCGTGCCACGCCCTTCTCTCCGCACTCTCCCTCCCCGCGACCTGCACGCTCGTCGCCGAATGCGGTGCCGCCGACCGCCAAATTGACTGGTCAGAGGACACCTTCCTTTCCGTGGTCGCCTACCTCCGCGACCACCTCGAGAACGCGCGCCGCGCGGGACGTACCTCAGACGCGCTCGACGTCTCGCTCGACGCCCGCGCCTCCATTCGCGCCTGGTGCGGCCCAGACCGTGCGGACCTCATCGGCGAGCTGTCCTGTTTCCTCGGGTCAGACCCGCTCAGCAGCGCGGCCATGTCAGAGGTTCTCCGTCGACTGCCCTTCTCGGACGCGTGGCGTCTCGACCTCGAAGTGCCCGGCCCGGTCCCGCGCTGGGGCACGCTCTTTCGCTCCGCGCCCGAGCTCGTCCACCTCGAGCTCCTTTCGACCTCACTAGAGGCCGTGTCCGCGCTCGCTGCAGAGCCTGCGCGGGACTCGGAAAGGCGGCGTAAACCCCGCCGCGCGCTGCTCCCCAAGCTGACGATGCTCGCGGTTGAGTTTGGCGAAAGGGACAAGAAGCCACTGTTTCGCGCGCTTCGGGACGTGATCCACGCGCGCAATCGGAGCAAGTCGAGCGAGCGAATTGAGACGCTGCACGTATATGGGATGCAGAGCCATACTATGAGGGAGATCGTGAGGGAGCTCTATACCATCGTACCGAGAGTGTGGTGGTCCGAGACGGGCTGGGTAGATTCGGACAGTCTGACCTTGAAGCACCATGCTGGACTTGCAGGCGGAGTCTAGAGTCAGTGTATTATAATATCGAACAACTGGCATGTCCATCATCTTGTGTAGAACATCTACGGGGCCCGTTTTGCGAAAACCCAAGCATTCGATTTTCTTCAACTTTCATGAACGATACAGGTACAAGGTCACTTTCTTCTTCCATCTACAAACCCCTCCCCATAATCAGACAGCCACCAACGCCCTACTTTGTGGTATTTGATTTGACAGGTAAGCTGTTCAGTCAATTTACACTCAAGTTGTACATGCCGGCGATGTCGCGGTGCGATCGGTCAAGAGTTAGAGCTTTGGGGTTGCAGCATCGGTAGAGATCGGTGGAGCAAAGGTCAGCGTCGAAGACACGGACGAGTAATCCCAGGAGGCTCACCTTGGTGGCAGGGTCAACACCGCCGAGGGCAGCGTTGTAGCGAGCCTCAGCCTCGTCGAAGTTGATGACGCTCCAGATGGCGGAGAGGTACTGTAGGAAGGCATGGTTATGTCAATATACCTTCGGAGAATTATCGCGGCGAGAGACACACGTCAGCCTTAACGTTGAGGTACTGGAGGTAGTAAGCGTGCTCCCAGACGTCGACACCGATGATGGGGACGAGGGTGAGGAGAGGGTCCTGGTTGGATGTAGTCGCGATCTCGAGCTTCTTGGTCTGGGGGTTCAGGCCGAGCCAGCCCCAGCCGGAGCCCTGAATGCCAGCGGTGGTGGTGTTGAATTCCTTCTTGAACGCATCGAGGGAGCCGAACGCTATCGCAATCGTCAAGATTCGCCCGACATCCAGCACACTAGCACGAACCCTCAAGAAGGGCAGTCTTGAAAGGACCGTCCTTGAGCGCGCCACCGTTGCCCTTGCCCTCAGATGCGGCAGGAGCGAGGTTCTTCCAGAAGAGAGAGTGGTTGATGTGTCCACCACCGTTGAACTTGAGGGCGGCCTGGAGAGCGATGCGCTCCTTGGGGGAGGACGCCTTGGCGTAGGCAGCCTCAGCAGCGTTGAGCGAGTTCACGTAGGTCTACAGAATCGACTGTAAGCACAAGCCCGATGCGAACGACACGGATTGGACTAACCTGATGGTGCTTCTTGTGGTGAAGCTCCATGATCTGGCGCGAGATGAAGGGCTCGAGCGCATCGTAAGAGTAAGGAAGCTGCCGATCATCCCGAAGTCAGCATTATAAATATGGCCACTCAATCCTGGAACTAATTCGGGGATCGCAACGGGTTTCTGGCCCGTTGCACCGGCTGCACTACGTCAACCGGAGACTTACGTCGGGGAGAGTGTGAGTCATGTTCGGCGATTGCAGACCAAGTCGTTCAAGTAGTGCAGTGAAAGAGTAGACGTCTCCCCGTGCAATGGTGGTGGGTGAGAGAGGACGACACGAAGACGAGATGACGCTTTATATCACGCCGATGTCATGGCTTATCGAGGAAACCCAGATGATGATGAGATAGCCTATCACGTGCCGAGCAGGATGGCGGACGAGGACGATGCCGCATCCGCCTTCTCTCTCTCTTCCTCGGTCAGACGGTAGACCGGATCCCATGCCATCCGTAGGCAGGCTGATGTACCGTCAGTGTACCAGAGCCAGTCGCTAGTCGTAATCTTTCAAAACAAGGAAGAGTGAACGTTACATCCATCGTTACTGACTACTGCGACTCAGCGAGCTCGTTTCCACCGATTAGCGGCCGCATCGTATTGCTCAACTGTTCTTCGAATTCGATCCGCCGAACGCAGAGCTTACTGGCTTCCTTGGTTCTAAGAGAACGTGCTGGATTCTACTAGACGATTCGTTATAATCACCCCATGCGCTGCTGTTCGATGCTCACGAACTCAGTCGTCATCCTCGCCTACTCATGACAAATGTTTAAGCGGGTGGGTGGGTCTAGAAGTACATCGAGCCCCGTTTGGGTGCTTCTTTCCGATCCATCATGTATACGTCGTGATCAACTACGTCCGAGCGGAGGTCATCGCACTCTCGCCCGTTCACAAAGTGTATCTGCGCGGCGCGGTGATGCTTAACTTGAGCTCACGTCCTATCGTCCCTGACGCTTGGCACACTCACCTGAAATGAGGATTATTAATATCTGTAATGTCCTTCTCGCCCATCTGTCTTCCGAGTGCCTCTTGCTCCTCCCTCGAAAGACCAGACTGGAGCGCGCGACGGTCTCGCCTCCGATTCTGCCACGTATAGTAGATCCTCCACGCGAGCAGTAGAAGAAACTCGGCCCCGAGGCAAATGGCGCATCCGATGGTGCCCGGAATGTAACGCGGAGCATCCTTGGTCTTGAAGATCTGGGAGCCGCACATGTTGCCGATGCAGTACCCGAGGAAGGTACCCGAGGAGATGATCGTCTTCTTTGTTCGTCCGGCGACGTTCGAAGAGACTGTTGCGTCGGATTGGCGCCCTGTATAGAACCTCGAAAACCGGACATGACTTACTTAGCGTCCACGCGAGGAACAAAGCCAACACAAAGGGTACGGTCATCATATACATTCCCCATCTATGGCAACCTTCAGGCGGGTCCTCATCGAAGGTGGATAGAAACGCACTTCGTCCATCTGAACTCTGCCGTGTTGGGGAGAAAGGCTAATCCCATCAGTCCGGCGAAGGGCGGCAGCGTAGCGGCGGTCATGATCCAGAGACGCCGATTCTTCACCCGTCGTGTGTATATCCCAACCGCCAAAAATATGATAAGGCTGACCACTGTTGCCAACAGCCGGCGATGAGCGTCAATAATCGTGTCAGAACCAGGTTTCTTACCATTACGTGGGATGTCGACCAGTAGTACCTGGAGCTCGGTGAAACCGAACGAGGCATACATAAGGCTCCCGAACGTGGTCAAGGCGCTGTAATCACACACTCAGCGACCGTTACGGGAGCATCACCTCTGAACACGGTGCTTACCCATTGGGCACGGACGACAAGAACGCGTTGATCACGCAAAAGTAGAATTGGGGATCCAGGAACGCTTCGTACACCTGCGCCCAGTTCCACTTGGTCCCTGTCACGTCGCGCCCAGATTTATTCTTCACGATCCGCGCGGCACTAACCGAGATGTTCAGTGAGATTTCGAAGTGCGTGTACAAGTCGACGCTCACGCCATTCGTTTCTCCTCTTTATTCAGCCACCGCACTTCCTTAGGACTCCCCAGTATCGCGAAGCACACCAAAGCGCATACTATAGTCGAACATCCCAAAAACAGAGAGATGGCACGCCAAGGCTCGATGCCCCCGTGTTTCTGTGCGTGCGAGCCGATGCCGTATTCTATCAGTGTCTGCAAGGACGCAAGACCAAAGCATCAGACAATTCTGAAAGAATGCGACTTAGCAGCAGCATATGGAATGGCAACCCACCGCGACGATTGCAAAGCCAGCGTTGGCTGATTGCCAGAACAAGGCTCGGGCCGAGTGCTCCTCCGTGCGATACCATGTGCTGACGATGAGAATGAAGCCGGGGGAGATGGTGCATTCGAACAGACCCTGAAGCGCTCGTAGTGCCATGAGCTGCCCCCAGTTCTGGGCTGCAGCGATGCATGTCACGCAGATGCCTACCATCGTCGGTCAGCGCATATCGTGGCCATCAGGACGAGTTCCTCACCCCAGCACAGCATGTAGATGGACAGGGTACGACCCAAAGCCCACCTCTGCAGGAGAAAGTTCGAGGGAAACTCTCCGCACAAGTAGGAGATGTAGAAGCTGATGCGATCGGGTTAGACTAGTGAGAAATGGGTAGGCGGAAAGATTCACATCGTTGTCAACCATTGATACTCTTGTCCTTTCAGATGGGTATCTTCTCGCAAGCCAAAGAGCTAGATGCGTCTTCAGTCCGTGTCCTGAACGCGCTAGTCAATGTGCCTTACCGCTTGCGTGCCGAGAGAAGTCTTGTCCGTCTGCTGGATTCCGTAACAAACCCACCTGACATATGCGATCAAAATCATTCACGTTGTGTGGTAGGATGAATGTCTTGGTCGACGACCTACATGAGGGGTAGAAGATATCTATCTATCTTCTTCAGAAGGGTTTGGTAATCATCGGAGGTATAGTCTAAGGAGGAATATTGTCAATCTCCAAGGCCAGTAGAAACACGCGAAGGACACAGTACCTGTTTCCTTGATTTCGTCTTCATCCCCATCTTTGACAGGCAAGGAATACACCTCATACGCTTCCTTCTCCAGCGTCTTCTCGCCTGTAACATCGAAGCTCGTTGGCGGATTCTTGGACGAGTCCATAGAAGCAGGCTGCACTCGAGCAGCAGACATGGTTGCAAAGCGCAAAGTAGGGTGTCACAGTCAGTCTTCTCGAGCCACGCCTCGGACCTTTATCAGCTGCAGATGAGAAGCACGCCAATCGTAAAGTTGGAGATAAGTAGGCACAACTCGTTGAACCTTCTTCGCATTAGGAAGACATTCACACGGAGATAGCGAGCGCCCTGGCTTCGCGAAGTGGATAACACACGTTGTATACATAGATATCGCCAGGGGAAGAGGTTGTTATCGAGAAGACGTCGACAGCCAGCAGGCGCAGTATTGACGTGTGCGCCGTAGGCACATTCCGTCACAACAAAGGAGTACACCCAGCATTCCGATCCGTGATAGAACATCCATATATGTGGACATGGGCACGCGTTCAAAGATACAACAATGCAGTCGTTCAGAGCACTGACCAGGACCCGAGGCGTCGACCTTGTCGTTGAACGCTGTCCTTCAGCTCGAACTTGGTCGTAGAAGTAAAGTTCAGTTTCCCACGATCTATGGCCGTGGCTACCGGAGGCTACCGGGGCTCCTCTCTTCTAAACATCACGATCGGCCGTACCAAGACAGTGCAGTATCTATCATCTACCTATTAGTATTACGGTGACATCTTCCCCTTGGCGCTTATCGCGACCCAAGAGCACGATGCAAGCCTGATCTGCCTCGTACGTCCGAACACTCGAATGTTGGCGCAGGAGGGTAACAGAAGACCTTGTTCAGGCCGCCTAAGCCTGCTGTTCGCTTAATGCGACGGTGAAATCTACGAAACATACTCCCGAGCCTGGGGATCGAATCATCAGGATTAATTTCTTGGCGCGAGCAGTCGACTTGTAGAACGCTCACCAGTTCGAGTCTCGTCGGGTGCCTCGAGGCCCAAGGCCGCCGCTATCTCCTGCGTTCTGCGCCTCATCCAGATCCCACTCGAGGTTACCGCGAGGGTCCCTGCGTAAGCCGGGCTGAAGTGCTCAAAAAACCCGGACGTCTGCGAGGCGAAGTGGTCCAAGTGGCGAACAAATGCGCAGCGTCGGTGGAAATCGAAGCTGAGCACGAAGACGCTATTCTCCTATGATGCAACGATTGAGTACTCTCGAGTAGGGTCCGTCCAAGAGCGGACGATTGCATACCGCATGGACCACAAGACGCGTTACAAACGGCGCCCACTCCATCTGTAGCAAAGCACCACAGGCGCTCATGTCGTAGCTAAACGCGACCTCGTCAAAGGTCGCCCGCCCGTGCAGGACGCGCTCGAAGTCCCACACGATATAGATCAACTCTTCGTCCGTGTACGCCGCAAGGTGCTTTCCGCACGTTGAAATCCGCACTGCAAGAGCTTAGGAAACCGAAGCAACGCTCACGCTCTAAGAACGCTCACCAGATTTGAAGGTGGGCATCACCGGTGGTTGATACGCCACCAAGGCCCGTGCGCTCGCCGGCACAGGGGGTGCTGGACGGAGTATCAACGTACTAAATATGTACGATCTCTTCGTCGCCCTCGCTTTGCGGGTTGCCGCCATCGTCTCGAATTTGCCTCCGGCCAAAGTCAAGGTATTCGCTGCGCTCTTTGAGTCCGACGGAAGTGTAAGCTTGCAGGCGGCAGCACGACGGGAGTCTGGCGTGCGCAATCCAGGATCGGTGGGGTGAAGGGTAGACAGCTCGGTCCATTGGTCGTTGCTCTCCTCGGAAGACTCAAAGTTGATCAAGCTCAATCCGCGCTGGCATGCGACAACAAGGCGCTGGGCATTCAGGTCGATATCAAACACCGGAAGCAGCAGAGGGCCCTTCTTGTGTCCAGAGCGTACGTCCCAGATGTGGAGCCCATGTTTTCCCTCGATGGCCAAGAAAGCGGCGAGGTACGGAAATCGGAACCGGACGCGAAAAACGAAGATCGTCCCATCGAACCCCAAGAAGGCGTGCGGGTTCAACCTGAAGTTACCCAGAACGTCCGGCACACATCGCTCCTGCTCCGGAATCGGCTGCAGACCTGGAAGGACCGCCTGATGGGGGGAAGCTGAGGCACCATCCGATGGACGACGCCAGATTTCGATACCCGGGGGCGAGCGGCGGAAGATGACAAGATAACCGCCTGAGTACGCACAGTTAGCGTTCGGCGCAACGTAGTCCTGAGCCCATATGTTAGCCTGCGGGCACCCCAGTGGCTGGTCGCAGTTCTGAATGTCCTCACCTTCGACAAAGCCCATAGCAGCTGATCGGTATGAGCATCCGTGACCTTCAGGCCACCTGCAGCATGGGTGGTAACAATGACCTGATCGTTGTCGGCCACGTCCACGGAATTGACGTCTCCGCCGGGTGTAGAATACACTCCCTCCAGAGCGACACCGTGCCCCTCCCAGGTGAGGTTTAAAGATATATATCGACGACCTACGATGTATCAGTGTTTCATCGTTCGATGCAATGGTACAACAGAGGCGGCGCACAAAATTGTTTCCACCCTTTGAGGTCATACGCCCAGCTCCAAGCGCGCTGAACGTCGACCATGGTGTAGCGAGGTGGTATGAAGGCGTGAAAGACGGCTGCATTCCGATAGATGGTCTCTTCCTGGGTATGGATGAAGTGCTGAAATGATCTCGAGACCGATGCTATGCTAGAGAGATCCGCCAGCGAGAGGTACTGGAGGATGTGAAGACAGACTTCGGTCGGAAGGTTGAGCAGCATCGACAGCGTTTGGCTCGTGGCTTGCAATTGAACCAGCTTGACCTGCGTGCTCACGGCGACTTGAGGCAAATATCAATCGGAATATCTTTGTGATTGCTCCAACGACCGCCTGCGTGATCATCGCAACTTCGACGCAAGGACTTGTCTGGAATGTTCGCCCAGGACGAACAATTGAGGACAGCATACGGTGCAAACATTGCTTCCAACACGGTTCGATTCGCTCGCACGAGCATCAACAGAGGAGTGCTACACCAGGTGCGTGTCTATATCGTGATCACGGCGACGTAGCTCACAGGCAGTAGAGCAGAAACCTCTCGAGAACGGTTGCCGTTCGCAACACTGGTACTCCTCCCTCGACCACCTCAACTCGAGCTCCAAGACCGGTTACGCTCGGAGCGCGGCCAATCCTCTTCACTACTACCTTCCTCGTTCTGCACCAAGCCATCGCGAGAGGCTCGCTCCTGCCAGCCTACTATTGGTTCAGCACCGTCGCTCCCGGCTCCTCCAACGCCCTCCTAGCGGGGCCTACAGCGGCATGGGCACTGAAGCAGCCCCTGCCGTGGAACTCGAGTCGAACCGTCGAGGATGCGATTGAAGGAGGGCTGAGGCGGACGTTAGGTGGCGGATGGAGCCTTGTGCAGAAGGTACGAGAGAGGCGCGCAATGAAAAAAGAAAATGTGTCAGAGGCGATCGACACGGTGGAAGATGCACCTGAGGATAAGAAGAAATTCAGGACGAGGGTTCTCGAGGGTCTAGCGAGAAGGAGGGAACGATCAAACGCCGAAGATCAAGGCGCTGTCATACATGAGGCACTCGAGGGCATGGAGGGGAAAGAAAGCCCAAGTTCGCGATGGCGCGACCGGGTCATCGAAGGAGCTAGCGGACTGAAGATGAGACAAGTCGTCGATTTTGCAGCTGCGTATTTGGTTGTCAAGGTACGTGCCCTCAATGGCATCAAAATCCGAAGCTTTTCGGCTCACGGATTCCTTCACAGGCCGCCTTCCCGGTTCGGCTTGGTCTGAGCATGTATTTGACGCCTAAGCTGGCGAGGGTGGCAGTAAAAATGTTTCATTGAATGCTGACAACTCAACCTGTCAAGATACTGTAATGCCCCCCACTCAATTTTATACTCCTTGACATGGATGCCAAAGGGCTGTACTACACTGCACCTCCAGCTCTAAGACTGAGAGATCAAGTCAGGGAGAAAGTTCGTCGAGTTTGTCGTCCATCCGTCCGGTGCATTACCAAAGCCCTCAATGTTGTAGTCGGTCATCTGGGTGGCAACTGCGGATCCGTGTCAGCGTATTCAGTGCGAAAGCAGCGCGATAGAATACTTACAGAGCGGCGACGTTGTAGCGGATATATCCTCTACGAGGATAGTATCGTAGCCCTTATAGAAGGCGTCCATCCTGGAGTTACCGTCAGCTCCGGCTGAGCGCAACCTTCAAGGATGACTCACATGGTGCCGAAGACGCATTGATCGACTACAAGAATATATGAGCTTCCGATACTCGTCTGTTGAAGAAAGAACACACGATTAACGCCGCCAAAGAATAGCGTTGTGATCCCATGCGTCGTGAGATAATGGTCGAGAGGCGTAGTCGCGCCCCACAAACCAGATAGTCGGTCTGTCGAAGACAGAATTAACGCGTATTTCACATAACTTAGCACTCAACATACTCTTGTTAAAGTGCAAGTCGGTGCCCTGCGCCAGACCCTCGGTCATCGTGTCATTGAGAGAGCCAAATGGCTCGGCGTTCCAGCTGCCCCTCATCAACTTTCGGCCCATGGCCACCTTGGTGCCAACTCCGTCGAGGATTAAGTTTCCCATGTCGTCTCCCAAAGTGGTGTTGCCGTTGGGTCCTTCGGTGTAGTAGCCAGAGAGGAAGGCGGGAGGCATGTAGTAGACATCAGATTCAGTCAGACCCCATTGCACCCACTGGAAGGAGAAGTGTGGGATAAGAATACGTTAAGATCTTGATGGGGGACGAAACTTCACCATAACAGGGATGTTGTTTTTGCGGAAGGCGAATATCGTTTCGTTCATGACCGGGATCAGGTCGCGGCCCACAGAGGTCGACGAGAGGTTTGGATGAATGAAGTAGTCTGTTCGATACGGGGTGGGCAACGCTGTATATGATATGCAACACAGTAACGAGCGTACTTTGCATGTCGATCAGGATGAGAGCACTCTTCTCGGGGGCAACGATGATGGGGCTCTTTGTTCCGCCGACATTCAGCGTGATGGCATTGGAGGAGGCCCCGCGAGTGAGGTCCCAACCGTCCTCTGTGCAGTTCCACTGTACAGTCCCTCAGTTGCTTTCCACAGTATGCGATCATTTCAATGCACTCTACTCACGAAATTGTAGTCATTCCCGACGAACGTCTCGTTGACCAGCGGCGCCGTTTTGAGAACAGCTTCCGCAGTGGACATTAACGTCGAGGTAAGTGCGAGTACTTGCCACTTCATCTTTGCTCGTCGTTCGAGTTGGAGAAGAACGCCTTGCAAGGACCGGGCGTTCGAGGAAAGATTGCCATCGAGCGTGTCGACGTTCGGCGTAGATAAAGCGAGCTCGTCGGGGGCGGTTCCCAGCTTCCACGGGAGGACCGCGTGATGTCGCTGGGGCTAATCTGAGGATGAAGAGAACCGCCGAGTAGCACGCTCGTCCACATCGGCGTGGGCAGTCGAAAAGCTGAGCGCGTATCTGGAGCACCAAGATTTCGCACGTGGTGACGGGTGCCGGCGGCTTTCACTGTTCAGGACTGAGTCGGCGATAAGATACGATTGAACTGGTTCGATTATTACACAGAAACACAAACTACAGCACGCTTAGACCGATGAATACATTTATACCGAAAACCACCACACAAGAACCCTTCGATTGATTTGAAGTAGTGAGAGGAGACTGGTCATTAGCTTGCTCGTCCGGCTTTCGAAGCTCAGTTGATACCGCCCAGGTCATTGGCTGAAGAGATATCGGGTCAATATGATCCCACAGGGCCGTGGATAGCGCCAGGAACTCACGGGTCAATGCGTCATATATGGGGCAAAGCTGGCTCCAAGCGGCTAGATATCGACGGTGAGCACCCGCGCGCCGAGGGACTAGACCGGAGACTTACAGGGAACAGGAACCTGTGCGGGGACGTCGGCTTGATCCTCGCTGAAAACAACGGCAAAACCAGTATCCAAATGCCTAAAGGCAAACGACTGTATGAGATACAACCACATTTTACCAGGGAATGGAAAAGTACCAATCGATGTGGCAGTGGAGGAACCAGGGACCAACGTTGTCCGTGAAGAATCGGATGGTCTGGATGGGTCGGTCAGACGCGCCACAGGAATAGGGGGCCGACTACATACCACGTTGTCACCAGCCACGCCGGTGGCAACGACATCGCGGCGCGGAGGATTGTCAAAGTTGTATGTGGTTTGTCCAGCAGAACGAACGACCTCAAACGTGTGCTGAGGAACATAAGCGAACGGCATGTTGTCTTAGGGACTGCGGCACTTACACCGTGCAAGTGGAACGGATGAGGACCGCCGGCCTGTGGTGCTGTGTTGCCGGCCGGAAGCGACAGCTGGATGCTGCTGTTCTTCGGTAGGGCATACAGGCTTCCCTGAGGCAGCAACTGGCTGGCGGTCTGCGCTCCGCTGAGAATTTGCAAGAGGACCGGAACCGTGGGCGGAACGAAAGACACCCCGTTGATGTTAAACTTGAAGTCTCCGTTAAGGTTCTGGGAAACGGTATCAGCCTGTCACTCGGCACCGCGTACAATGTGAAGCTACTCACGAAATCAAGAGCCAGGTTGTAGTTCACATCGGCGCAGTCAACACACTTCGGCCCAATGACGCCGGGATTTTCTAGGGGCTGAACAAGATGTCAGCCCACGACAAGAGGATTAAGACGCATTCAGCATACCACAAGGTTCGCTTCCACGAGCGGTGAGGTGGAAGTGTCCTGCGCGGTGGTAGGCTCGGAGGCACCTGCGCCGACGTAACGCAAGATGGCGCTGTTGATGCCGTTCGCGAAACCCGAAGCAGCGCCATTGTTTGGATTCGCACGAATCCCTGGAAGGTCACTGAGTAAGATAACGCAAACTTCAGGTTCAATGCTCACAGTAGTTGTTGATGGGCTGATTGGCTTTCAGCACGATGGAATAACGTTGACCTTCGGGGCAGGGTATTAGCACGCGTTAAGTGCCTGGCACAGGGCATCTTACCCGCATAAATCTGCAGCGAGTCAACCTCGAGTGGCTGATGGTTGACGCCGTCGACTTCAATGATCTGGGAGATAATTCAGAATCACGGGCCTATATCGAAATCTGTTCATCTTACAGTGAACTTGTGGCCGTCAATTTGGAAGGTGAAGTTTGGGTCGCAAGAGATTGAAACCTGCCCGTCCGGTGGTTAGTCACGGCCCGAGTGAGATGTTCTGAGTTGTATATAACTTACTAGACGGAACCGGTAGCGCAGACCCCATACGACGTGGATGACCGCAAGTGGCGACGATGGGCCACCAGCATAGCGACCACTGTAGGAGTGGATCAGTCGATAATCTGAAACGACAACGATATACTCACAGGCCATTGATGAGGGTGGAGTCAGCGACGCTACGCAAATGTCACTTCTAATACTCGATCAGTTTCCTCGACCCACTCACCCAACGGCAATAGTAGGAGCTTCGGCACATTGTCAGAATGCGGCGTCGTCGGGTGTCAGGAACAGACAGAGACTCACCGACGGCATGGTACCAATCCGCAAGAGTGATGACAGTGGAATCTGATTGGCATATGCCGCCGTTAGTTCGACCGAGCATCTACAACCTAAGATGGTACTAACCATCGTCTACGTCGTAGAGAAGTCGGTGGGGGTCCAGGAGATCATATACTTGGAACAATTGTTAAACAGAGCACGTGAATACAGCATCGGTGTACTCACCGACAAAGGCGCCGCGAAGCCCATCGCAGTATTGGGTCGATAAGTGGGAGTGATACCAGAACGTGCCCGCTTGGCCAGGGACCTTAAAGTCGTACAGGAAGTTGTTGCCGGGCGCAATAGGGCACTGGTTTACAAACGAGGGGCCATCGGCCCAATTCGTGGTTTTCTGGAAAAAACCATGCCAGTGCTGCATGAAGGTCTTGGGTAAGTACAGTTACACTGCTTGGGGCACGGACACTTACGATACTCGTCGACTTGAGCATAGTTATGTCCGTCAGCTGATTCTGGACGTTCAGCTTGAACTCGTTGCCCTGTAGCTCTGGTTTTCAGACTGAAAATGCAATTTCCAGGATCAAGTGTGCTGACCTTGAACCCAGTAATGAGAGGTCCTGGGAAGGAACCTCCAGCGAGTACCGTGCTTTGTGGTATGTCAATACGTATAGAGAGGTAAAGCAATCATAGACTTACGATCGGTTGAAGCCATCGGGGGCGATGACCTTGTTGACGATGGGCAGATTGGCGATAGGCCCAATGCCAGCAAACGACGTGGCAGCAAAAGAGAGAGACAGCGCGACGAACGCGAGTAAGGACTCAGAATGCTTCATGGCGGCTGCAAGGATAAACAGGATAGACTACGAGATGGGGCGCGGCGCGGTGGATATCAGCGAAAGAAAGCCGATGTAGCAAAGACCTGTGGTGATGACCCTCGGTATCGAACACGGGCGGCGAGAGTGGTCTTTTTATATGTCTAACATATGAAGCGCCAATGTTCAGTGGGCTGAGGCAGTTCAGCGCTTTGAGTTAGGCGGCCCATCGAGCATTTCAAATCCAGGAACCAGACCCAGATTGGCCAATACCTCATGAGGGGCGGCATTGCAGGACAGTACCTGTCACAGCGCATTGGTGTGAGAGACGCTCTGGAGGGTAGACACGGTCATCGTGGGGACCGCAAGCGGAGCACTAAAGACGTTCGGGACGTCGGGATGAAGGCCGCTTTGGGACCGCCGCACTGGAGTGGACGCCAGGTACGGACTGCACAGAACTCGGGAGACGAAGATCAGTAAGTAAAGTCATCATTGCCCGTGCTTAGCAGTATACCGGCACACCGTGTTGAGCGGATTGATTCTGTCGCAGGAACCCAGCGCCCAGCGCAATGTCGGCGCGTCCAGGTGCGCCCGGGCGCGTTGCGGGGCAAATACGGGCATCGGATGCATGACGGCCAATCATCCGAGGACACCGGAGCCGGCGAAAGGTCTCCTATTCCGTGATGTTATGGTACATGGTCTAAGACGGTCTAAGCAGCACCGAGTTCTCCGGGGTCGAGTGTGTGTTAGACGGTTTGTGACAGAGGTGGGAAGGATGACCGCAGGAAACAAAGAACGCACCGGTGGCTGCGCGTGCTTCCATCGACTCGCCCACGCTCGGTGACGCCCAGGGGCCGCTACTCGAATGGACCAATGACCATCATCGTCCATACACACGCCAAGTTCATGTCCCTTAATGGCCTCCCAATGCCGACGTGCGACGCCCTCGGAGCCATATTGGATCGACAGCGTCTGAACGACAATATCACGGCGTTGCAGCTTCACCGGCATCGCTCTCGGGTTTCAACACAGCTGCCCTGGCAGTGAAACGATTATAGCATCGCTGTACTGCACTTCGTGCTCTCATTATCAGCGGACCGGTGCTGCTCTTGTATGTGCAATCGCGGTCGCGGATGTTGTGCTGCGTCATCATCGATCGGTGTGCAATCCTAGTGGACCCGATTCGGCGATTCTGCGAACGCAACACATCGGCAGGAGACCGAAGTAGTCTATGGCTATGCCCTGGCACGTTAACTCAGTGCATGGTCCAAGCGGAACCGTAGTGCTGTCTTCCATCTCATTCTCCACATGGAGATCGGCGACCTAACCCTTCTTCCTCACTCAAGGTTCATGCACAGATCCTTACAATTCCGATGAACCTGGTGCCTCGCTAGTAGCACGAGCATCGTGTGTATGTGCAATGGGCTTTTCCCTCGAGATTGACCAACGAATTCTGGATCTCCTATTGCAGCATAGTACCAGTGGGATTAGGGCGCATCTTCAATTCTCGCAGTTCGCGATGCAATAACGAGAGCTTATTGGTCGATGCTTCGGAAAAAAGCCCGAAAGCGCACTATAGCTGCTCTCAAGTACATAGCAATTCATCCGACAATAATGACAGTTACGTTTGACCCTAGATATTATGTACCAGTTATTATTACTCAATGTACATGTATCAAAGCGAGGCGTTTACAACACTAAATAGCCGCATAAATCAACCAGCAAACCGTCAGACTAGTCCGGAAGAGTACGAATTCACAATCACTGCGGTCAGAAATACAGGGCCACTCGGTGATCCAGGATAGATCTGCTCAAATAGATATATTGCTCAGTTGATGCCACCAATCTGTGTGGCTAAGAGTGTGACACCTCAATTAGTCGTCGTAGGTGATGCTTTCGCAGGGTACTCACGGTTAAGTGCATCGTAGATTGGGCAAAGCTGGTCCCAGGCAGCTGACGGAAATAGTCAGATGATGAATATGGCGATGCCAATATCGGCATACCGGGAACCGGAACTTGTGCCTTGACATCGCTTTGAGCTTCATCCATGACTACCGCAAAGCCAGCCTCGAGATGCCTGAAATGGAAGTTGAGTAATCACATCGTCACGCCGAGGTTATGCCCATACCAATCGATATGACAATGCAGGAACCAAGGACCGACATTGTCCGTGAAGAACCGAATCGTCTGCAGAGTTCTTTTTAGAGGACTAATATTTTATCAACAAGCGAGAGACGCTTACAACATTGTCACCAGAAACACCCGTGCTGACGACGTCGCGACGAGGAGGATTGTCGAAGTTGTACGTGCTTTGCCCGGCGGATCTCACGACCTCAAAGTTATGCTGGGTTGAAGAGTGAGTATTGAGAGTAATCAACGAGAAGTGTAATTAACCCCGTGAAGATGGAACGGGTGGGGTCCGCCAGCACTCGGAGCGGTTGTCCCCGCAGGAAGTGATAGCTGGATACTGGAGTTCTTCGGTAATGGATAAATGCTTCCAGTCGGTAGTAGCTGACTGGCGGTCTGCGCTCCGCTTAGGATTTGAAGCAACACGGGCACAGTCGGAGGCACGAATGTAACGTTATTGATATCGAACTTGAAGTCACCATGCAGGTTCTACGTCAAATATGAGCCTTGCGTTGCTGGAAGATTGTGGATAATATCTCACGAAGTCCAGTTTCAGATTGTAATTGACATCCGCGCAATCGACGCACTTGCGTCCTATGACTCCAGGGTTCTCCAAAGGCTAAAATAGCGTGAGTACGAGTGCATGACATGTAGTCTGGCCATCCTTACGACGAGGTTAGCCTCTACAAGAGGTGCCTGGGGCGTGTCTTGCGGGGTCGTGGGTTCACGAGGCAAGGCGCCCAAATAGCGAAGGATACCACTATTGATACCATTGGCAAATCCTTGCGCTGCGCCATTGTTGGGATTCGCGCGAATCCCTGGTTGAAGTCCTAATCAATGTCTGTGCCCTTAAGCGAAATATAGAAGTCACATACAGTAGTTGTTGATAGGTTGGTCCGCCTTCATCACAATCGAATACCGTTGGCCTACACACGTATGCATCAGGTGATCGTTTGTTATATTCCAAGGACATATTTTTTTACCGGCGAAAATCTGGATTTGATCCACGACAAGGGGTTGCGTATTGACGCCGTCCACTTCGATGATCTAGGACGAATGAACATCGTTCAACGTCTAAAATTTACTGAAACCCCGAGGTAACGCACCGTGAACTTGTGACCGTCGATTTGAAACGTGAAGTTCGGATCACATGAAATCGAAACCTAATATAGCGTGTTACTGCGTGGCGATGATCACAGGGATGACTCGGTGCTCACAAGGCGGAAGCGGTAGCGGAGACCCTTAATGACGTGAACAACAGCAAGAGGGGACGACGGTCCACCTGCATAACGGCCGCTTCGGTTGTAGCATTAGTATATGCTTTCGTGGTACAACGAAATTCACCTACAGTCCGTTAATCAGGGTGGAATCCGCGACACTATGTGGTCTCAGTACACGTCAAAACAACATGGGTGTGTGACCATACCCTACTGCAATGGTGGGGGCTAAATGGGGACTTTATCAATCTCAATTCAATACATACAATAAATCAAAAAACATACCAACTGCATGGTACCAATCCGCGAGTGTGATTATGGTGCTGTCTTCGAGACAGTCAGAGGTTGAGTAAAAAGCCTGTGCAACCGGGTATTACTTACCATCATCGATATCGTACAAAAGTCTGTGCGGATCGAGAAGATCGTAGACTGTATGCATAATCGAGTTCAGGCGAAGTCAGTGATCAAGAAGCAGCAATACTCGCCTACAAATGCGCCCCGTAACCCGTCGCAATATTGCGTGGAGAGATGCGAGTGGTACCAGAACGTCCCAGCTTGATCTGGAACCTTGAAGTCGTACAAAAACGAGTGTCCTGTAGCGATTGGACACTGATTCACAAAGGCGGGTCCATCAGCCCAATTGGTATGCTTCTGGAAGAAGCCATGCCAATGCTGATGTGAATGTATCAGTTTCTCGGTAAATTGTGATAACATATCAACACCCACAATTGAGGTCGACTTCAGCATGGTGACATCTTGCAATTGGTTTACGACGTTGAGCTTGAACTCATTTCCCTGGACGGTGTTATTCTAAGCTGGCAATGCCGACAGTATTTATCACACCTTAAACCCTGTGACTGTTGGTCCAGGGAAGGTACCGCCGGCAAGCACAGTCCTGTAACATTGTAAATAAACGGAGTTTTCGTCGTCGTCAACTGCTACTTACGAGCGTTGGAACCCATCGGGCGATAAATTGCGGTTCACGATGGGAATCGTGGCGACGGGGCCGATACCAGCAAGCGAGTTGCCAACGAACGAAAGCAGGGCAGCAGCGACGTTGAAGAGTTGGAAGCGTCCCATGCTGACCGCAAGAATATGGTGTTTGAAAGACGCTTCGGACTCACGGTGTAGCCGCAAGCTGCTGTCCTTCCTGGTCTCCCAGTGAGCAGTACTTATACCACCGTCCCGATGTGACTGCAAGCTTGAAACGTGTTTCTCCACATACGACGGAACAGGATCTAGGTACCATTCAACGCCGACATGCCACGCCGGATCTGCTCGGACGGTACGGTGTACGTGCCGCCTGGGTGTCGGGGCGCGTCGGTCTCGCCCTTCTGGCGCTCATGCAAGCTGATCTGTAGCATTCCGCCCCGCAGAATCTCCCTGAGTAGGCTCGAATAAGCGTAGTGGGTGCGCATACATAGTCGGGTGGCACAGCATCGCCGGTCACCACAATCACGTCCATAGTTCCGGTGGTAGCGGGGAGCAAGTGATGGCGGGAATAGATTCCAGTAAAGCGGTTCGAAAGACAGATTGATGACTCTTCATTCCGCCGATGCTAAATATCCCTTCGCATTGTGAAATGAGGGAGCGAGCTAACTCAAGAGTAACACTCACCAAAGTTCTATGACGATACATCTGACATGGAATCCGAAGTTCCACACTGTTCGATACTGTCTAATATCAATTAAGAGATGGACATTTGAATCTGCTGAAGCGCTATTGAGATCCTGATGATCATCGTAGCATTCACGATCGCTTATGCGGCGTGTGCGCACATGCTCTACCTTTGTCGCAAAGGTTCGAGGTTATGATTGCTCATCTTCCCCGAGAACGTATCCATGGCTTTGCATCGCCGTCATGGGTATTGCAAACACGGCATCAGATGGAGACGCAGTTTGGGCGGCGAGCGATCTTCACGCCGGTGGCACTGCAAACTGCGCGTCAAAAAGAGGCGCTCCTTGGGGAGCAAAGCGACCTTCAGCGCTGTGATGCTGCTAGCGTATGACATCCTGTTCAACGACAGCGTGAATGGAGCGAGCGTTGGATAGCCTCTGGAATGCTGACAGCCATACCGGTTGACAATATGTCACACACCCGACAGAGGTATTCTGGTACCAAATCCTGTGGCCGTACAATGTTAAAATGGAATGTTGTCATCACTGAAATACGGATTGTCCGCATGGCCTCTGCCAAGTTTCAGCACCAATCTTGACATGCTGCGTTCCCTCCGTCCATCTCCTTGTTCCACTTTCCCTCCGTCCATCGCCTTGGTTCAAAGTGGAACCCTGTGCCGAGGAGGCCGTATGCGAAGATCCTGAGAAGTCGCGCCGTTCGGACCCGATGATGCCGCGGTAGTCGATCCGGTTCGGGACGCAGGTCCGCGCCCGACCCTGTCATCCTGTTCCTGGCCCGACCAGGCAACGTCGAGAGACCACAGCCTTTGTCGATGTCATGGACCGCCCTGAAAGCGCGTTAATTGTGCGTTCCCACGTCGAACCCTTCATATTCCCACACCAGCCTTGGCACCGGTGTGCCCTGCACAGTCTCGCGCCCGTCGGACGCGGCGGGGCACCTGAACTCGCCCGAGTTCCCAGACCATCCCATTTGGTTGGCACAAACAACGATGACGACTCAGGCCCTCCTGATAAATGCATCGATCACTCCGACTAGCGCCTCTCGATGGGAAGAAGGGGCGCACCGGAGGTAGACCGAATGAGGAGCGCCGACCATACCAGGCACGACCTTTGCGCAGAAGTACCGCCCGTTTCATCTGCACTAGCGCGCGGACGCCGATGGTCGCAAACCTTGCACAGTATGCCGGTCTTATAGACCGCGCAACCGCCCTCCCATATCTAGGACGTCCTGGATCTCCCAACGAACGACTCCCAGTTTCCCACTCGACTTTGCGACGATGAAGTTCACCCTGTCGATCCTCGCCGCACTCCTTGCCGTCGCCACAGCAGCCCCTGTAAGTCCTTGTGAGACATCTCTGCCGCAATAGCTTACGCATCCGTGCCAGAACCCCGCACCTGACGCGACGACAACTGTCTCCGTGACCGCCACCAGCATCGACACATCGCCGGCAACGTACACGGCGACCAAGAAGTACTTCACTCTCGTCGACCAAGCCCCTTGGATGGTCGAGCGCACCTCTGTGGTCACCTGGGTTGCCACACCATCTTCGACCGGCACCGTCGTCTGATGAGTTCTGTGGGTGTTTTGTTCGTGGTGCGGGCTGCTGCTGAATGTCGTCCCGGTGCCTAGAAACTATTTTGCGGATTCTACGAGCGCTGTGTGCCGAAGAGGAATGGTTGAGAATTGGTTGAGCTGTATTAGGAGAACCTGGAAATCACGATATCAAATATAAAGTGCCTTGTCCTTGCCTCTCGCTGTACAGATGGTCGCAGTGCGACACGATTGCGGACTCGCCAGTATTTTGCTTGCGCAACTACATCAGAGTTGAGAAAATGGGGAGTGTACACCACAGCAGACGATCGCTTCTGTCCAGCTTGGTCCTTTCCGACTTTGACGCAGGTTCTAGGGGTGCATAATAATGCACCCAAGCCGTCTCGGGTTGACCACCACGATGGTGCGGGTCGATGTCAAGTTTTCAGCACGCGTGCGTCGCCGATTGTTTTTCAGTGCTGGGAGATGTATCGTCGAGACAGCGATGGAACAGACGATTCGAAGGCAAGCACAACTTTCGTGCACGATGCGGATGGTACAGGGGCTGAGCGCTGAGAGTACTGAATACTACTGAGTACTGCTGAGTCCCGAATACGTCGGAGAAATCGAACGAAAGCCCGGTTCTCCCACGCCACTCCTGCACCGCCAAAGTGCCCTATTCGACCTTTCCTGCGTTCCAACTCCTTTGGCTGCTGAATCCCGCCATCTCCCGCGCTCTGGGGTAATCATACATCGAGGCTGGTTATGCCCTCTCCCTACAACATGACCTACGAGTGAAGCTATAGAATATACGCATATGCGGTGCTAGCGTTTCCAGGCTGTCAATCGAATGGCAGATACGGGCGGCACTTTGCCGGGGGATATAGCTCGTCGATCATCCTCACCGTCGTGCTGCCTTGCGTTCTGCTCTTCCCTCGTCTCTCCCCTACCGGTTGCTCGCCAGCGAGTCGCAGTCGATGGTCTCCCTGACCGCCTTTCGTCGCTCCTTTGCGTTTTTGGTCCTTGGACATGGTCTTTTCGGCGGCGTGAACGGCGTTCTGCAATATATCGATGACCAGCTCGGTGACTTCGTGACGGGTGTCGTCCCGGTGTATACCCCCGCGAGTGACTGGGATACGGCGGTTTCTGGGTGTTCCGCTTGCGATCCGTACACGGACCTGCCCTTCAATGGCACGTACACGGATTCGCAGAGCGACAGTCCAAATGATGCTCCTCGATTGATTACCTTCCACTTTGTTGGCGCGTACACTAACGTTGTTATCGATGTGCTCATCTGATGGCTGCTTTACAGGTACCGCCATCGAGATTTTCTTCATGACTTCAGATTACATCGACAAGGAGACGCCCCCGGAGTTTATCTCGAACACGAACGTTTCCTTCCTTCTCGATGGATCCTCCGCCGGCACCTTCACGCATCAACCCAATGGATCTGCTACGGACGAACTCACGTTCAACTACAACGTGTCCGCACTCGCGAAGCAAGGCCTCGACCTCAAGAACCACTCGATCGTGATCCAATCTCTGGGGGAATCGCACACGTTCTTCGACTTTGCTACCTACGAGTCAGTCCACCTCGCCCTCGTCTCGATATTGCGATTGATGTGATTACAGCGACGGCAAAAAGGGTGCCTCAAGCTCATCCGCGTCGGCGACCTCGACCTCGGCGGAGACGACGACGACGGGAGGGGACGATGGGTCTCAAACGTCTTCTGTTGCTGCCACCGGAACGACCGGCACTGCATCCCTTCGCGAGAAAACTCATTCGGTGGCAGCCGGACCTATCGCCGGAGGTGTCGCCGGCGCCGTCGCGCTAGCGGCTATTGCGATTATCCTGGTGGTGTGCCTACGCGCGCGAAGACGCAGACGTGCGAACCACGCCGACTTTGTCGCTGCGGGAAAACCGATCCTGGACGACGACGAGCCGAAACGGTACGATTTCGCATACGGCCACGGCCCGTCGTCGGCATACCCTTCTTTCCCCTTCGCGGGTTCCGCCGCCGTCGCGCGTGGCCGGCCTGACGCGTCGAGGGAGCAGCTTCTAGATGTGCAGGGTCGGCCATCGGTCACGAACTCGGGTGGAAGTGGACCAACGTGGGGCGCTCCATCCTCCCCGGGAACGGCCTCCACCTCGTCTCACGAGCACGTCGCGCCCCATGCGTATCCTCCTGGTAACGGATCGCCGCAACCGTCGGGCATAGCTCCACCGACTACGGCGACGGCATCGCAGCCGGCGAGGACCGGTAACGCGGCGATTCCGCCTGCCATCGTTCTCTCGCCCCCGGAAGAGCTCGACGAAGGCGCTAACGCGGTCCGGACCAAACACGCCGCCCTCGAAGAGGAGCACGCGCGCAAGATGCAAGAGCAGGAGGACCGCCTCCTCGCTCGCGCGGGGTCTGGATCCGGCTCGTCGAGCCAGAGCGCCGCCCAGCCGTCCTCGTCCTCGTCCTCGGGCGATGCGGCATGGCGGGAAGAGGTGGAGAGGCTGAGGGCCGAGATGTCGCGCATGCAGGCCGTGCAGCAGGCGGTCGTGATGGAGCTCGGGAGCGCGCCTCCGCCACTATACTCGGAAGCCGAGGACGGACGACGGTGACCGTTTCCTTCCTCTCATCTATTTATGGAGGAACCCACCTGCAACGATGTTACCCCACCCATTGCACTGTATTGCTGTCGTTTCCTGTTATTATCCTCCTCATTGCCATGGGAGATCGAAGCCAGCTATCGATTCGTGTGGTCGTACGAGCAAGAGACAAAACCAAGGTTGAGGTGCTTGTCGTCGATCACCCTTCTCCCTCGAGGGTTGCTCGCTCAGTTTTAGGAGCACTGTAGTAAGCGGCCTCCACGCAGGACCGTTGGCCAGGGTGACGCTTCTCAAATCGCGGAGATCCACTGCAATCTGCGGTCGCATTGGCTTCGTCGGCATGTCAGATCGCCGCGGCTTGAGGTTTGTCAGTCTCGTCCATCGAGATCTCGACGATCCAATCACGACGATGGAGTATCATAAGAAACGGTTGAATGCTCACGCTGGAACACAGTGTCGGTGTTGGTCCCGGGCGATGTTCACTCAACCACAAGACGAAAAAGTGCTGTTTTTCCGTGGCCGGGTCAGAGGAGAGCAGGCCGGCAGGAGTGTTTCCTTATAGCCGCAAGTTGTTCGACTGCCGTGTTGGGCACTTTTTGTTGGTGACGTTGCTGACCGCCACCCACAGAACGCTACGAAGGACTCCCGCCCTGCACATAGCGGTCGATGATAACGAGTGAATGGCGTCGGACGCGCCCTCGTGGTGGCAGCTAACGTGCTATTCATAGCCCAAGCTTAGCGAGGCCCGCGTCGTGGTCCTGTGCATCGTTCGCCTTCGTTGGGACCGGGACGTCTTCGTCTCCCGTTGGGCCTGCGAGCACCCAAGCGGCCACCTCGACGTGGTCGTCCCGACTCCCGCCCTCACATGCCGCTCGGGAAATAAGCTCTCTTCGAAGGTCCCACTTGCCGCGCCACATTACGTCTAACTGTTCGACCGTCGTCTGTCTCTTGGCATGCGCAAGAAGGGGCGAGCGGAAGCGCACGCCAGCTCTCGGACTACATATGCATGCAGTGAAGATAGCAGACGCCGCGACTGCCATCCACGACCACATTCAGGCCGTTTTCACTGGACGAGCCCGTGCTACGGTCCGAGAAGACGAGGTCATATGAGGCCGGCTCACGCTTCGTCGCGCTGCCATTGGCTTCCAGCTATTCTAGCGTCCAACGCAGGCACAGAACGCCCAACGTCCCGGGTTCCCCATTCATCCTTTCTTGATCCCTGCGCTCCACCTTTAGCTTCCGTTTTCCCATTCCCCTCGCTTTCAAGATGCACACGGGGGGCATGCAAGCGCGCGGATAGGACTCCGCGTAACGGCCGTTTGGGTCCATTATCAAATCGTTGCCCTTTTATCTACAGCGGATGCGGGGTTAACCCAACCTGGATCCGCCCACCATGAAGGAGATCGCCCAAGAAACCCGTGCCTCCGCGTCCAGCCTCGAGAAACGCATCGAGGTCTTCGAGGAAGTGGCCCCGAGCGTCGATGAAGGCCCTCCTCCTCCCGAGCTCACTATCGAGCAGGAAAAGAGATTGTACAGGAAGATCGACATCCGGTTGATGCCCATGCTCACCGCCATGTACTTGGTATCTTTCCTGGATCGAGGTATGTGTACAGGGCTTCGATTTCTTACGGCATCGTGCTCAACTTCCCGAAGGAAATATCGGTACATCTCCCAAACCACCACGCATAAACAATGCTCATCGGTGCTACGCTGCGCAGGGAATGCCAAACTTCAAGGAATCCTCTCCTCGTTGCATATGACCAGTAACCAGTTCAACATTGCTTTGGTATGTGGAGCCATCTCAAGCGTGTTTGTTACGAAACTGACCTCGACGTAGACGATGTACTTTATCGTACGTCCGTGCATTGTACCGAGGTCCCTTGTGTGCTCACCGCGTGCATCAATCAGCCATACTGTCTGTTTGAATGCCCGGCAAAGTATGTGTCTTCAATCGTGCCCCTCAACGTCCCATTGATCCCTCGTGGTCACAGTCTAGTCCTTAAGAGGCTTCGTCCTTCAAGGTGCGTCTTATCTTCGTCGTCCCAACACATTGATCATGAACAACTACGGTCAGATGGCTCCCTGGCATCACGGTTCGAGGCTTTGTCTACGTCCCGGAGCATGCCTATGCTCACACACTGTTCACTCCCAGGTTGCATGGGGCATCATAATGTAAGCTGCGCTGTACCTCTAAGCGGTGACGGCCTTGTGAACATGGTCTTCCCCACAGGGTGTCCATGGGATTTGTGAAGAAGTGCGTGATCGATTCTTCCCCGCGAGGTTCATCGGCATCTGATGAACTTTAAATTTCGTAGTTATCCGCAGCTCGTAGGCACGCGCCTTCTCCTTGGTGTGGCGGAGGCCGGTGGGTCTCTTGTTCGCAGTCTACTCCTGACCGTAAATGTCTGACGTGTGATAAAGGTCTGTTCCCTGGCGTTATCTACTAGTGAGCAACCGATTTGATCGCTGCGTGGGCCAACATTGATCGCCGCGACAGTTTGTCCATCTGGTACCCCCGCTACAAGCTTCAATATCGGATAGCAGTATTCTGGGGCGCTGCCGCATCCTCTGGTAAGCGCGTCAGGGTCGAACCGCGAACGCTCTATGACGGGAATATATGTACCCAGGTGCATTCTCCGGTCTCCTGGCGTTCGGAATCAGTTTCTTGAGCGGCACCGACGGCTTCCTCGGATGGTCGTGGATATTTGTGAGTGATCGCCACTACTTGCGATCCTCGTTGTCCCTCTTACTGATGACGTCCAAAGATACTCGAGGGCCTATTGACTATCGTGGTCGGTTTCATCGCTTTCTTCGGTATGCATGCTGGACCACTATTGGAATCGCGCTCGGGACCGACACGCTCCACAGTCCTGTTCGATTTTCCGGACACTGCAACGTTCCTCACTCCTGAAGAACGAGCCTATGTGATCCACAAAAAGAGTGCGTGTCAATGGTCGATGTTTTCTGCCCCGATTGACTTGGCGACAGAGTACGACAACTCCTCCGTCGGCGAAGAGGAACATTTCGAGCCCCGGCATTTGATTGCCGCGTTCACTGATTGGCAGGTCGGTCGGTCAGTGCTTTCGACCTGACGATGGGACTTTACGGTTATTGCAGGTGTGGTTACATGTCCTGGTGCATACCTCAATCATCACGCCAGGTGAGTTTGCAGCCCTATCCCAAGTTCGACCCGTATTGAAGCTGCAAATAGTTTTTGGCATCACCCTGTTCCTACCGTACGTCCAAGAGACTGCTCTGAAGGGCGTTCATACTGATTTGAAGAATCTCAGGTCGATCATCAACGGATTCGGGTTCGACACGGCGACGACTCAGTTGTTGACTGTTCCACCATATGTCTTTGCGAGTACGTGTATTTGTGGCGCGGGCGTACCAGTTTGCGGATTCTGACACTCGCGTCGAACGTCCTAGCGATCCTCATCATCATCTTTGCGAACATCTCGGACAGGATCAAGATGAGGTTCCCGTTCGTCACCATCGGCCACATCATGTGTCTCATCGGGTTTTCCATCAACATCTCCCCCGTGTCCATCGGTGCCAAGTACCGTGAGTCGCTTTCGTCCACTTTTTCTCGGACACGATCTCAAGGACCCGTGCAGTGGGGACCTTCTTCATCGTAGGCGGATGTTATTCCGCCTTTCCTGCTGTGGTCGCATGGTTAGTCGAACGGCGCCGCATCCTTGGAAAAACCCCTCACGCCTTGATGTCGCAGGTTGGCGAACAACCTCTCGGGCCAGTACAAACGCGGCGTCGGTACGGCGATGCAGATTGGGATCGGCAACTTCGGAGGCGCCGTGGCGTCTAACATCTTCCGCGCTCAGGATGCTCCACGATACGTCCTTGGCTGTACGTTATCGGTTCCCTCTCGTCGCCCCATGTTTGTTTCTGAACCATTGAATTCCGCAGATGGCATCATGCTCATGTACATCGGCATCGGGATGATCGCGGTCCCCATCGTCGTGCTCAACTACCGCCGCATCAACGCCCGCCGGGACAAAGCGGAGGCGGACGGGAGGGTGGACTACGATCCGGCCGAACTGAGGAGGTTGGGCGACCGAGCACCGGACTTCAGGTATACGCTATGATCAGAGCCCGGGCTCGGTATGTATCAACATCGATAGCTCCAGTAATGAGAGCAGCGACGTTCAGCAATAGAGGATCACTAGGAATACATTGTTCGTTTCGTTTTGTCTATGCGGCGTCAACGCGACACATCACGAGTATACACGCCATCCATTAGATATCCGGTGCACTGTATTTTCCTTTGCTTAGACGTGGGTAAACACTCCCGCGTCCTTACGGGCCTTCGTCATTGCTGAACGACGACGCGAGTCAGAAAGATATCGACGGCGAAGTAGCGGGTGCACTCGCCAGCAATAATAGCACTTCCAACACCACTGCCGTCTTCGGCGTGGTAGGTCACGATATTCCTTGAATCATAGCATCAGTCATGACGCCAACCATATGCGCGGAGAAGAAGCACAACACCCACTTTCCCTTCTCGCCAAAGATATCGTGGAGACCCTCGTGCACGCGTTCCGCAAACCCGGGATATTTCTAGATAGCAAAAGAAGGAGAAACGACGCGTGTGAGAGGTTTTTCCGTTCATCTCTCTCTCAGCGTGTGCGTGGACGAGCCACGAAACGCACGTTGTACAGCGACCCGTCGGCGCCAACCGCGCAGCCCTCCTCGAGGTAGCCCATCTTGCTCACGATCGCCGCGATGCCGCACGCGCTGAGCCGCGCCGCGCGCCTGCCGATGAGTTTCGCGAGCGCGCGGAAGAACTGCCGTTCGGCCAGGGTCGTCTCGAGGGCGAAGAAGTGGGAGAAGACGCCGATGATCATGAGCAGTTCGTCGGTGGGATCCCTGAACGGACAGGCAGTCCCCGTCAAGCTCCGTCACGGAGAGATTGTGAAACGAAGGCGAACGGCGAACTCACGATTCCATGAGCGATAGGAAAGCGGTGTCGAACGAGTACGCTATCTCGATCTTGTACGTCTCTTGACCGAGGAACATTTGACCCTGATCGATGAGCTCGCACACGACCAGCCGGAAGATTTCTCCCAGATACCGTCCCGAGATGAGTTTCTAGTGCACACGGATGTGCTCATCAGCTCGACGTGTGTTGGAGCAGGATGGGCTCTCTTTACCTCGAACGACTGCTCATGGGGCTTGTTCGACTGCTCGTCCACGATCTGATCATACTTTGTCCTCGGAAGATGTTCATGCTCGAACGAGTCGAATGCACCCTGCGTCACGCACACGTGAATCAGCATCGTCCTCGTCAGACGAAGGGATCAAAGCTGCACTCACCCACTCGCAGTTGATCGCCATGTGAGCATCCGGATCGAGGCCGAGGTGGGCGATCTTGGGAATGTCGCCTATGCGCTCCATGTAGGCCGCGTTGCAGCCGGTACCGAAGATAACGGCGATGCGTGTCCTCGGGTTGACGTAGTGGGAGGCGATGAGTGTTCCGGTCGTATCGTTGATGACGGCGGTGAGGCGCACCGGCACTTGCTGTCAATATGACGTTATCCCTTCAGCAATCCCGTCCAGAGGAGAGAGAGCGGTTTATGGCACGCACGTATCGGTCGAGGGATTTCTGGAACATCTCCGCGACGTTTTTCCCTTCGGTGTTGGCCGCCCCGAAGCCTTTTGTCCAGCGAATGAGCACAGCGTGATCGATACGTTCTTGGCTACACAGTCCTTAAGCTCAGGTGCGAATGACAGGGGGGAAAGGACGACATACACGCATGGATACGAGAACTAATATCGGGAAAAACCAGTCAACAGCCATCACGCGAGGAGGAAAAGCGACGTGCAGTAAAGCCGAGAGGAAGGATATCTCCTCGTTTGATGAGGCCTGCTTCCGAGTCGCCGGTCTTGTAGGTGTGTGTTTCGATAAAGGTCTTCAGGCACTCGGCGCAGAAATCGAAGAGTTTTTGGCCATCTACACGGCGTGATCCACGAGTCAGTCCCTCTACTCCCCGCCTAGGCAGATGGAAAGTAACCGGAAGGTGCAGGGGTGGAGAAGCGGCGATTACGTACCTTCCTGCTTCTGCTCCTCCGTGAGACGGTACTTGCTTTGCGTCATCTCGAATTTGCCATCGCCGCCGATGGTGACCAAGCAACAGCGTAGGTTGGTGCCGCCGAGATCGATGGCGAGGTAGTCGCCCGTTTCCTTGCCGGTCGGCCAGCCGAAGACGAACGTCGGTAACATGGGCTTCATTCCATGAGTTGCTGCTAAACAGAGCTGACCGAGGAGGATCGGCGTACCACGACCTGCTCCGGCTTTGACAATCCGAGCTCGAGGGTCTCCTTGAAGGCCTCGACGATCATGCGCATGCGTTGCGGGGTGAGGGTAAAGCTAGGATGTGAGAGGGTCGTCCGTCTGCTCGTATTCGCGGACGGGAGCCGATAGGATCCGTGCTCACAGAGCTTCGTATTTGCGGAGGTGATCCGCCATGGTCCTGGAGATGCATGGGGGGTCACGTATGTCAGCTCCGGGCGACGACCACGAGCTGGATCGGGGCGTACTTCTTGGTTGCGTGAGGGAGATCTTCGCTCTTCTCATCTTGGGTGCGGGTGTGGAAGGCGAGGGTCTGGCCGGTGGGGAGGGTGACGCTGCCGCTGCCGCGACGCGAGACGGACGGGGTGCCAGACGGGGATGGCATGGTGGAGGTCAGAGGTGGGAGGGAGCGCAGGTCGTATGCGGCGGAGCAGCTGGAGCTGATCAGGTCTGTGGTCTATGCACATAACAAGTCGGCCGCGGATCCGGATTGAACGCGTGATAACGCCCCGTTCCCAGCCCCGCTTGGCCCCCGACGCCGCCATGGCTCCTGTCGGCTACACCGTTTACGCTGGCCTGGGACTCTCCGAGAACGCTTAGGGCCCCCTCAACGCCCTCTCAGATCGCATTAGCCGCCCCATCGCCCTCCTATATTATCGCCGTCTCTCTCATTTGCCCCCGGTGCCCTCCGATTCATACCGTACGGCCTCGCAGCAGTAGCTCGAGCTCAAGATCCGATACCGTCTGCTCATCGTACTTACTCTGGTTTTGATCCATCTCCGCCCTATGATACATGCGCACACGTACGCGGTCCGAGACGCCGCCTCTGCCCGAATCCACCAAGACTTGCGATGCCGGGTCTACTCGCTCATATCGAAGTCACGATCGTGCAATCGTCCTTCTCGCACACCGTCGTCCGGGCCAAGTTCTTTCCGATCGGACCTGATCGCCCCATCGGTCAAAGCTCATTCCCTGGCATACGAATGCGGACCGCGTACCAGTCGGCTCATCGCTCTTCTCGACCGCGATGATAGTCGCCGGAGCCGCGCTGTAACCCGTCGAACTCGGCGTGTTGAACGCGCTCAGCAGCCACACCGGGTTGTCCTCCACGTCGTCCTTCGAGGTGAGGTACACGTCCGAGGCGAGGGAGGACAAGTTGGCGAGCGTCACAGACGGCGCGACCGCAACGTAGTCGACCTCGGGGTACGACGTGCTGGACGTGCGTGGCGATGTCCGATGGCCACCATTGCTCTTCGGACCACAGGTGAGAGTACGGCGCGTAATTGAGGACACAGGATGGCAGAGCCGGTGCGCGTTTGACGTTCGCCGCCAAAATCTGCAAAGCGTGTAAAGAGATCACTGCGAGAGCCAAGAACGCCGTACGGAGTGCCATTGTGGCGCCCCGCTGGGACGCGAAAAGCGCAAGGTGATTTTATATGTGCCTTGCCTGTTGATCCTCGAGCCCGTTGCTCGACAAACGTTCCGAGTAGACGACCTGGCATATCACACTTCACGGACCGGTGGACGCTCACTTCGAGAAGAGATGGGCAGGCCGCCGATAGTCGTTAGGTCGTTTCACCACGTGGTCTCACCGAGCAGGGGAGGGGCAGAGTTGCTCGGCCAGCGGCGAGCCTCTTGTGTTAGATAGTCGCAAAGAGGAATGAACGGTCACGGAGGAATTTACGACAGGAATGAGGGTAGACATGACCGCTACAGCCAAATGCTGGCTGGTATCCTCTGGGTGTACAGCAATCATTCGCAGCGTAGTTCTTACATGAGTGCAGATACCAGCAAAACTCTCAAGTCTTCGAAAAGGGAGCATTTCTGAGCGTAGAGCATGAATAGATGAGGATGGATCGGAGAAAGAGCAACATACCTACATAACTAAGCGTGGGAGATATCTTGATCCGTAAGAATGTCTCATGGTTTCACTTTGCTCCTCAACTTCGCCAAGACACCCCTCTTGTCTCAGTATCTGGCAGAGGCAATAAGGCACCGAAAGGTATCATTGCGCCTGCTTCTCATCCCATGTCTACTGGATGTCTTTCTGACAAGGCATCGTCTGCGGCATGCCATAACTTTGTCAGGGCGACCCCCTAGCGCCCCGCCCTCATGCGTGTCTCGGATCCTCAATTATGCTCACTTCTGCTTTCAAAGCGGCACTGTAACTCTGGCTCAGCTATCATACTCTGTACGGTTAACGTTCTTCAAAGCCGCAATCAAGATTGTGGGCGGCATATCGGCGATAGCCTCCCAACCCGCCTTCTTCCTATCCACCGGTCTTGTCTGATTCGCCGTTCAGTGTCTCTTTGCGCTGCCCGAGGTACCGTGCGCATTCCCGTTGGTGGCTGAGACAACAGGGCAATATATGCTGACGGCGGGGATCTCGTGTGTAGACAGAATACCCTTGAAACTCGCGTGAGGGCTTGGACTGCCTGTGAAACTCCTCCTACCAGGAACGCCACTCAGGCAATTCATCTGAATGGGATGGCACTTAATTCTCGAAAGAATCCCGCAAAAATGGAAAGCACTGTGTGGAAGGCTTCGTCTCTGTATGTGTGCTCAATTTAATCCCGCCCGCTCCCCACGTCTACATTGACATTCCCGAACTTCCCCCGAATTCGTCGGCTCTGGTGCAAAATGACTGCCCGACTACTCCTCGTTCATCCATCGACTGCAATATGCGACACGGAGAAGGCTTGCCTAAGTGACATCAGAACGACATCGATGCCCTCACACGATGGACGTTACTTACGAAAGGCGGGTGCTCATTTGCATGGAAACGGATGGCGCAGCGTATCGCGTCCTGGTGTGGAGACACACTCAAACTCCATGAGCGCATCAGCGGGCCATTCTTCGGTCGCAATAACATAGCTTTTTTCGCGGTTCGACGTGAGATATCCCCTGCAGGGGTGCCCCACATTTCGGCAAACGTTCAAGCTTGTTGCTCACGTGACCCGGCAAACACATCTCGGAGCGCTTCGACGCTGCGTGATGTTGCCTTGGCCGCGGCGGGGATCAACCTCTCATCCAACGCGATCGGCCCAAAGATAGCCTTCGTATGCCCCGACGTTTGCGATGTATCGTACACCCATACAATACTTTCGTCTTCGTCTTCGAGCCATCGCGCACGGACACCCAAGTCCACGAAGATGTGCTTCGGAATTACAAGTGCGTAAAGTTGAGTTTGGTTCGCACCGTTGCTAACCGAAATTGAATTGCTCTCGCTTAGGCCGCCACAGACGCTTCTTGGGCGGGACCTTTCTAGCCCACCCTTTGACGAGAAGTCGCCGACGGCTCAGGGTCACTGAAAAGCGTGCAGTAATCCCCGAAATGAAAACGCGCCCGCCCTCCTTCCCCCCGCTCCCTCTTCCTTCACAAGCGCTATGGTCGACTGGAACTCGGAGGCAGAGATCACTCAGGACGCCAGTGAGTGTCGCGTAGGCCCGATGCGAGATGAATCTCAGATTACCTCGTTATTATTATCAATTTGAATTATAGCGGTTTTCAATAACCTCGTGCACGCCTGCATCGGTCTCTACCTATGGGAGTGGGCCACTGCTCTCCAATTCGACTGGGACATCGCTACTGGCAAGCGCCGGTTCCGATGGCCTATGGTACGTCCTAATTCTCTTCATGGATAGTGGTCGGTTACTCAGGAAACGTAGATCTTCTACCTACTCAATCGATATAGTATGGTCGGAGTATGTATTGGATTCGCCATTGTACAAAACTCGCACTCGTACGTCGCCTCCTACCGTTCAGTAGCGTATGCTCTGCTTACATGCATCGCTGCTTCCCAGGTCTACGCTGCAATGTACACCCTTGTACACGTACATCCAGTTTGTCGGCGATGCGTCGGTTGCCCTGCCATCTCTCAATCTTGCTATTCGCACTATGGCCGTCTGGTCAGACAACAAGATCCTCACCGGCGCGCTAGTCCTCGTCATCTTGGGTCACTGGGCAATTTTGTTCCAAGGTACGCGTGACCGCATTGTTTTCGTATTTCAATTCAATCCTAACTTTACGATCTCTCACAGGTCTCTCAGTGACGGCCATCTCCGTTCCCGGTACGGGCGGGTGTGCAGTGACGCATACAAACCTCAAAATCAGCATCATTCTATTCATATACACCATGTGCTTTGACTTCGTCACGATGCTCCTCAACGCAGTCAAGCTGGCACGACCTCGAAGCGGACACAGCTCGCTCACCCGCCTCCTCTTCACCGACGGTCTGATTTACTTCGTGATCGCGTATGTGTTCTGTTCGAGCCTGCTCCTCGTTCGTCTCTTACCTTGCGAAACGCATACAGATTCGTCGCCAACACCATCGCAACTATATTCATGGTCATGAACTTGAATGCGGTGATGAGCATCATGTTCGTCGTCCCCGCGGCCACGGCCTCGACTGTGAGTTGGACCGGCCGTCGTGTTTCGGCCGATACTCACCAGCTACTCAGATCGTCGCTACCCGCGCGTTCCGCCGGCTGAGTAACTTCAGCCAGTCACTGAATGTCTAGTGAGCGCATCGCCTTCCTCTCGAGGTGACTTCAATTGAACCGCCTTCCTTAGCAGCGGCAGCGGCAGTGCACCACTATCCAGTGGACGCGTCACTGCGCCACGTGCAACGGGTCTTGATACCGGTGTTCATGTGAAGGTGAATATATTACTCGTCACCGTCACCTGTGTTCTTTCTAAATTTGTCCAATTAGATGGAAACCTTTGCGGTAGCCGAGGACGACAGCGGCAGGCAGACCGGCTTCGATCATGAGGCGCAGAGTGACTACAAGGCTCGCGATTTCTGAGCATATACGGATGAGCTGGTGTTTATTTCTGTGTGGCATAATTACCCCCTTCATTCTTCCTATCCTAGCTGTCATTACTGCACAGGGCCTCGTATTGGAACGTAGCATATAAAATTAAAATCGGGAGGAAGCTCCGTCACTATGTAGCGGTCTTGTACAAGGATATTGGGTCGGTGTTGACTGTCCAATGCTTCTCGGAAGCGTTTGCACGATGTCGTGATGAATTGAGATCAAGCCCGTCGCATCTTTGTAATTAAGGCGAAGGCGCCCTGGACGCATCTGGCCGATCTTTCGAAAGAAAAAAAATGGGTGAACAGGCTTCGAGGCTCGGTACGCGATGGCTTCTTCGCCAGATCACACGTGAATGCAGTCTAACGAGAGGGCTTCCTTGTGTTCGCTCACCCCCAAGGAAACTGCGAAGTCGTCATGGAAATATGCTTCGCACTTGTGAAGAGCTTATCTTGCGTTGACTCTGTGACCGCTGCGGCACACCGTGCTGCAGTAAGTATGTTCAAATTTCTAGAGATCACGCTCATACCTACACCTCTCGAGTATCAGCTAGCTGCTGTCCAGCTGATCGGGGAGGTCAGGGTCGCGTGCTTAGCCCGTTTAACCGTCGGACGAACAATCTTCGTCGATATCATCCGTATCAATGCAGGAACAGCAGACAGCTCGAACATGCGGTTGTAAATAATAATAAAATATGAAAAAATAGCCGCTGAACCGCGTACTCTCTCCGTGACTTCGCCGGGTCGTGTCAAGGACCATACCCAGCAAGAAGAGCATAAGCGATGCCGTGTGGATGATATAGTAATAATGATCCGTTGGCTGCCAACAGCGTAGAGTGAAGTGCATATGTAGTTGAGATCCGTGCGCATCCGGTTGATGAGTGTTGCAAATCGCAGGAGCAGTCTCTTTCCCAGCGAAGGCAGTTGGCAGGACTTGAAAGGAAGCCGTTCATACAGTCCCAGACGTACCACCCAAAAAAAGGTTATTTACGTCAATAGGGCCCCTCCTACGACCGATTCGAGACCAACGGCCCTAGCATCGCCTGGACCGAATAATTACTCGGCATGCTTCTATGCAGTACAAGTGTAGTGAGTCTCAATATACGAGTTCCTGGAGGAAAATTGAGGAATCTCTGCCGGTGGTGGATCTCCTTCCGGACCGATGGAACGGGGGAAGAAGAAGCACGGCGATGTGTCGTCGGAGAGAAGCATATTTCATCCAATGTTCAACATGCGCTGACTTGAAGCAGGCTCGAGGTCTCCAAAATGCAGGTAGGTAGCAAACAGGTGCGATAGGATGGGCGTTGCGGCCTAGCTGTCTCCCAGTACGAGCGGTACCAATACTGTATTGATCCGGATGAGCTCTTTGTTCTCAGAGATCGATGCCGATTAGCCCCTTAGAGACGTTGATCCCAAAAAAGCGGCCTATTATTTTCTGAGCTCCGAGTGACCCGGTGAAGAGTCGATATCAACCATGCGACGGTTTGCATACATTCGGTGACTGGATAGACGCTTATCCGAGCGAATTTGGGCAACACATGACGAATGCCACGACGTGCCCTGGAATGAAGGCTAACCTTGTTTTAACACGCCCCAAACAGGCCGCCGAAGGCAGATACGGAGAATCGTACGGTGAGCGCGATGTGATGCTTCGCCATCGATATGAGGGTATCGGACTGCGCAGGGTGGATCTCAATGTGCAGATAGAAGAGCGCCGAAAGTCCAAGATTACAGAGCTCGAAACAGGAACGCATGTCATCTTCGGGGTATTTCCGAGCACGACCATTCACAAATGCGGATCACAGGCGTGCCGGGATTAATTTGGTGAATGAACCTGGAAGTTCTTCGAGAAGATGAACGTGACGACCAAGCTCATAGAAACAACGGTCAGCGTGAACAGGGGCGCCATAGAATACCTGCAACAAAATGAACGAGACGTCACAGCACTTGCATGACGCTCCTTCGATGGAACTTCATCTAAGCGTCGCAAGGTAGCAGGAGATAGCCCGGAGGCTGGCAACGGCCTCTCAAAGGCACAGTAGCGAGCTCAGAAAGGCAGCGATCGGGGTAAGAAGAACGTTGACGGTAGATATTGGCAGGAATGGAATGTTTTGACCCCGCTACGAGCGATCTGAAGACGTTCGATTGGTCCAGGCGGATGCCATGTCCTAGGCATGGATGTCGCCGCCAATATAAACCTAAGAAGCCAGTGAAAATTCATGGCTCGAGGTGACTGTTTGAGGTGAAGAGAAACCGCAACTAGAACTCGAAGAACAGAACGGTCAGAATAGGCTGGAATGGAGGCATGTCGTTATCTCCGACATCACCAAGCTGATTTGCCGAGGCGCACCGCCGACTGACTGCGGCCAGACTGTACCGCGTGAACTGGGAGCAATTATGATAGAACCAGGGGCGGACCACGCGTAAGGGACTTTCGGGCTTGCTGACCGCTGACAGCCAGGAAGACTGCTCGTCGCTGACTGTTGAGCACACACGCTGGGTGAAGCGAGGAATGACGCAGATCATCGCGCGACGCTGTACTCCCCAATGCGGTAGGTTCGTTGTGGCCAGAACAGGCACCAGGAATTCAACCGGACAGTCCGGATCCCGCCCCGAGTGGGGTAAGCGGGGTTAGGGGGTCAAAGTGATAGCAGCACTGAAGGCCCAGAAGATAATGAAACTCTTTTAATACAGCCAGTGGTGATCAGCTGCATGCTTCCATGAACTCTGTCGGATGCATCCATAGACGAAACGTATGAAAAGGGGGCGAGAAGGCATCTGCGATGCAGTTGTGAATCGATCGATAACCGTGAGCGTCTCCATAGTTGGTTTACGGCGCTCCACGTTTCGGAGCATGAACAACTGTTCGGAGGGCCGAATTTTTCTGCATCGTCGCAGAGACAATGTAACGTGGGCGAACATGGCAGATGGCTTGGCGGAGAGCATGCCGTTGGGCGACGTAAAAACAGTGTATGTTGCCGTACGAAGGCGCTCCTGCTCCCGGCACGAGTGGGTATGTTTGAGTATGTGTCGGCAGCGCCATGCTGGATACACGCTCCGGCGGTCGCGATCGAGGGTGAGCATGGGAGTAGCAGAAGCGAAAGAGGTAAGGCAGCGCCGCCTGCTACTTCGCGGATGGGCGCTTGCAGGCGCGAGAGCACGTGGCGTTCGTTTCTCTGGACCTGTTCTAGCGGAAGGGCTCGTGCTCAAGCCCCGCCCTGGATCCGCCGAGGATGAGAATAAGAATATGAGCGACCGCGTCTGAATTCCTCGGTCGTTCCCTCTCGCGGTTCCTCCAGGCGACTGCCGATCTTACCTTCGCCCCAGGCGACCCGCGCGACCCGATGGATGCGTACTCGTTCCATGATCACTGCCATTGGGCTGCCCTGCATGACAACGCGTACTGTATAGTACCGGACAGAGACATTTTGCACGGTCCTTTTGTGGACGACGAGCGACCGCCTCCACCCATGCCTGCGATGGATGACTATGGGCTGGCAACTGCCCACGGCCCGTATCAGGACTCGGAACCGGACGTGAGCTTACCACCGTGCATCGTTTTGAGCGCGTCCTGAGCCCCCTTCGTCGCTGCCTAGCTGTCCTACTCGCCCTCCGTAGCCTCCACAGGATCGGACGTGTCTCCACACGGGTCTCATACCGCTGTGCTGCCGAGCTTGTTCTCTTCTCTCGCCATTCGATCCGATCCTAATGTGGTATTCGCTGACGAGAACGGATTCTGGATATCCGAGTTCGATGGGATACCTGTAGGCTTCTGCTACGGGCCCCCGTCCCCAACCTTGTCGGCCGCGGATGCAGCCTATGCGAGTCGACACGGCGTGCATGTGATACCGTCGATGGATGGAGGAGGTTACGATGTTGACTATAGCTACCCTGCTCCTTTCAGCGAAGGGGACAATGCCGTGCCCCAGACCATTTCACCGCCGCCGTCTGCCGCGAGATCTCCGCCGACGCGGACCCAGAGGTTGGAGCAGTTTTCCTCGACTGCGCGCTACCGTCGCATCGCACCGTCTCCGCCTGCTCATGCGAGCGACCGCGCTGACGCGGCGCCGTCCATCGGCTCTTCGGTCAAACGAAGTCTACTTGTGCGCCGCCGGTCTCATTCGCCTTCAGCGCCATATCCCCTCCCCGAGCATGCTCATGGTCCGTCCACGAGATCTCGGTCTCGCGCACAGGAGCGACCGCGAAGGGCGCACGGGACCGGACGCTCTTACACTCCGCGGTCCATCGACGACTGTGAACCTCTTCAGCACAATCTACGTGATGTCCAGAAGCACGTCGACCACGCTGACTTGTTGGAAGGACTGCAAACCAGTACACGTCTCTTGCGAGGGCCCGAGCCACAGGCGAATGCTCCTCAGGATGCTCAGACTCACGCATCTTGCCAAGCACAGACGGCTCCGACCCAGACAAGCAGCAGCAGACCCAGGCGCATCCTCGCCTGCCTTTTCTGCCGGGACCGCAAAATTGCCTGTGGCCAGCCTCCCGAATCCAGCGGCGACCGTACCTGCGAGTGAGTAAACATATGTCTCTGTTCGCACAAAACATTTCTGACACTGTGACCGTTAGTCAATGCGCCCGCCGCAAGCTCGTATGCGAATATCCCACAGAATCGAAGCGGGGGATACACAAGCGAACGCGGCAGTACCAGGTTTACGCGCGGTCCAACCTCAGCACGCAGCGCTCGCTGTCGCCGAATATGAGTTCCAACGGCGACGTCGGCGAATTTATTCCGTACGCCGTGCAAGATTCCATACCTCCTCCCGACGCTATGGTCGAGGCCGGGTTAACCCTTGATATGCCATTGAGGGGCCAGCCAGCGTTCAACGTAGCTCGCAGGGCATTGCGCGACATTGCGTACTACGATGAATACGGACAACTCGCGTACGGCCCTGGGTCACGTTATTGAAGAAACCGAGGCGTGTCGGAACGTTTTATCATTTCCCCGACCCTTCTTGTTCCCATGTTCTGTGTCGTCATGCTCCGATGATAAGTGTATTTCTCGCCTTAATCGCGCCGCATCATTTCATTCGTACACGTACCCCCTAATTGTTCAGCTTGCCATGTCAGATGCTAATCCTCTCATCCATCTGCATTGAACATACCCTACCGATTTTTGTTAGATGGCGATTATGTTCTCGTACAACATCTTATGACCCATGCCTTGCTGCATTACACTGCTTCTCACCCTCCTTTAACCGTTTACATCACAACCTCGTATAATTTTCATTCGAAATAGCTATACATGTACACGCGTTGTCGTGGCAATGTCATGAAAACAACTGGCGGGACCAGTGATACAAAATACGTCAACTCCCATGGAGAACCCCATCCTCCCCAGCGAATCCGGATCCCTCAGCATACCCCAAGGTTAGTCGGGCTCCGGGATGGCGTCCGTGAGTGCCCTGGGCGAGCCAAGGTTCGGCGTCCCATCGGTGTGCCTGGTGACAACTTATCAGTCGAGGTCCACAGACAGCGGAAGAGAGCACCGACCAATAGACAGGCTGAACCATCGTGTACCGGCTGCCATCGCACACGGCCGGATCCGTCGCCGAGGCGTGGAACACGATATAAATTTCGTCCCCTGTCGAGCTGAGGAAGAAGCCGTTGTGGCCCGGTTCGTCGTTACTGAAGTAATCCCGTCAGTCAATCGCTAGCACGCAGGGACGGAAGCGCCATGATGCATACCCATTCGCGGACTGGAAAATTGGGTTTACATATTTGGTCCACGAAGACGCGCTGAGCGGATCAGTTCCCGTGAGCGTGAGCTGGCCGAGCTTGTACCCGCTTCCGGCGCAACTGGAGGCGGAGTAAATTATCCAAGTATTCCCACCGTGATACAGCTATCAGGCGTAGTGAGTAACGGAGTGCTTCTTCAAATCGAGGCATTTCACAGCTTACCGGCGCTATACGACAGGCGACAGTGAGGTTCTGTAAGATGCCCGGCGAACCGAAGTGACGTACCTGGGCCTTCGTTGACGTTCGCGCTGACTTGCTCCCAGCTGTAGGTCGGGGTGGAGATTTTGACCGCGTTGCCGACTGTCGTGGCGCTGGTCATTTCGCTGTAGATACACGGCAAATGTCAGACAATGTTTGTATAGAAGGTATTTCGCGACTGACGCAATGTACAAGCACTGATCGTCTCCATCCCAAGAGGAATAGACTAAATAGTTGTTGCTTCCGTAGACGAGAATCGTCGGATCAATGGACCACACCTTGCAACGTGTCAGGAATCACTGATGAAACGCCGGAGAACAGCGTACATCTCGGTTAGGTATGGCGATGCGGGAGGCGTAGCTCCAGGTGGAGTCCCAGATAATATTTCTGTTAAGGGAAACTTCGAACCTATGATTCGGCGAGGGGGCTGTTTGAGTACGTACGAAGAGCCTTTGATGGCGTGTATGAACTGATTGTTGAATGTTGTCGCTCTCTCCAGCTACGTAGTATCTGGTGGCAGGTGTTGAGTTAACCACGAAGATATTTGACGTCGGCAGATTACGAACATGTACCACGCGTTATCTACCCAGTGAATCTCGGGTGCCCCTGTACATTCGGTCAGTCAACATCCACGGAAAGGCAGCATGACTTTTTACAGATATTGCAGCACCTAGAAGCAGTGCTATCGGTCCAGATGACTTTGGGCGATGCGGTTTTCAGGCCTGCGATAGTCTGCACTTCTTTAGACCCAATACGGACTGCGCAGGCCGTTCGTGGAGCTTACAGTGGCACGGGTGATCTGGATGTTTGTCCAGGTCGTCGTAGTCAGATAGTAGTATCCCTCATGGAATACCATGAACGGATCAGAGCCATCGGTCTGCTTTCTACGGAGGCAAGGTGAGTATAGGAGCGGTAAAAAATCGTTGTTGCATACATCGGATTGGTAAATGTCGCGACCGAGAACACCTGGCCTGCAAAAAGGCACAGCAGAACGATCCACCGTAGCATGATGGTTGACCATGTCCAACGTTTCCAGGCTCTCTTTATGTAGCAGGAAGCACTTGAGGTTAATGCCTCAGCGCGGACGATGTGCGCGCAATCCACCAGCTGACACCATCCATCACAACTCGCTTCGTTCACCCATGCTCTTGTCTAGTGCTACTCGCCTTGTGTGGCAACGGCCTGAGAGAACAATCTTGTGACGGGCCGGCGACGAGTCGTAGGCCAGCGGTGCGTGCATGATTATCACACGTGAACGGAGCGTCCTCGAAATGCCTCCGCGTTTCACCGATTCTTATCCTGACCAGGTTTGGAGCCAGAGGATTTAGGTCGCTGTCGAGGTTACCAAGCGACTATCGCTGATTGAAGCAGGACAACGCTGCATCGAGCGGCCCGGGGCGGGAGCCGTTTCAGCGGAAGAGGTCCGACGTTCGCGACCCTAACCCTACAACATAAGATCTCAACGCCATCGGAAACAATGGTTTTGGGTATACATGTCGAACTCGAACTTCTCCTATCATGTAATGTGTTTCTGCGATCATCTAGAGTTTGGTTACGAACGTCTCCGTCTCTTGATCCGCAAACGGCTGGTCGATGTATCCCACCGGGCTCTCGGGCGTATAGAACGTCGAACGGTCGTACGGGTGCAGCGGTATGTCCTTCTCCAAGCGCAGGGGCAGGTCCGGCTAGCCACCGTGTGTCAGCATCCTTGAGTTAGCCGAGGGCTCGCAAGATGAGACTGACGTTAGCAATAAAGTGTCTTCCGAACGCGATAATGTCCCCCTTGTCCTCAGCATTCCTAAGTGCGAGCTCGCGGTTGTACCCGCCAGCGGAGATGAGCGGGCGCGGAGCCCAGATCTCGCGAATGAAGTCGTTCGACTCGCCCGCGGGCGCGCCACCGTCGATATCGACCGTGCCCTTGACGCGCGGCTCGATGACGTGGATGAACGCTAAATCCGGCTGGCGGGACTTGAGCTGCTGCACGACGTAGCTGAACGTCGGGATCGGATCGTCCAAGCGCATGTCTGTCGAGATGTTGAGAGAGGTGGGATTCAGAGTGGAGGAATGGGATATACCTTGGAGATCGGCCCACGGGCTCAGACGAATCGCGGTCTTGGTAGGTCCGACGGCCTTGGCAATCGCGTCCACGACCTCAAGAGCGAACTTGGCGCGGTTCTCTATGGAGCCACCGTACTCATCCGTACGCTTGTTGCTCTTGTCCTGAAGGAACTGGTCGACGAGGTAGCCGTTGGCGCCTACATCCCACGTTAGCGCGAGTCAACATTACGCCTCGACTCAATGCTCGCTCACCATGAACCTCGACGCCATCAAATCCGGCGCGGTGTACAGCGTTGCTCGCGGCGGTCGCGTACAACTGCACATACTCCTTCACCTCCTCCGTGGTCAGCGATCGCGGGGTGAATTTAGAGCCGGTGATGGGCAGGTCGGATGCGGAGACGACGTCAAAGCTGGGGTCTTCGCTCTTGAGCACGTCGCCGCTGGCCGCGCGACCGAGAGCCCAGAGCTGGAGGTATATGAAAGACCCCTGTGCATGTACCGCATCGGTGACCTGCGGGAAGCACATCGAAATCAGCGTTCGTCAACCTGGTCAAAGGAAACTGCGACGACTGTACCTTCTTCCACGCGTCGATCTGAGCGTCGCTCCAGATCCCTGGCGCGTTGTTGTAGCCACCGGCTTTGGCGGCGATGTAAGTAGCTTCGGATATCAGCAAAGTGCCTGCGTAACATCAATCCGAGGTTGGTTCACAGAGTGGCCAGGGAGCACGAAGAAAAGAGGGACGCGCCAGGAATGCGGGCTCGCTGCTCGTAGTATTGCCGCACGATGTTCAACGGGACATGGTTGACGTCCGCGCGGAAGCGCGTCAAAGGCGCCAATGCGACGCGATGCTTGAGCGTCACGTCCCCAACCGTGATCTCCTGGAACAGCTTTGGCGTCGGTGATGACATCTTCTGAGAACCGAAACGGTGAGGGAGTGTTTGGAGTTGGCGCAGGGAATCCGGGGGAGGAGGTCAACGCCAGAGATCCGGTTGATTTTTGCCGTGAAAAAACAACCCCCTACAAGCCTTTATATCGACGCTCCATCACGAAGGAGATGCGCGGTCGCGAATGGGTATGGCGTACATTCTTCGTTCGCATGAATCAGCTTCCGCGTCTGATTAAGCGGGTACGGCATGGAGATTACAAGAACCGAACACACCAGCATCCCAGTCAGCACGCGAAGAGTCGCGGGGTGGTAGAGCAGTCCCGAATGTTCATCGTACTCGCATGTAACAAAGAGGTGCACGCGGGGTGACCGGTGATGTATCTTAGTACGATGAACCCTGAGGCCTGAGGAGGCGTCGATGCATGGGTCCCGGGAAGACCGAGAACAGTGAGTACCAGCTATGGCTCAGGCGAGCGGCGGTAGCGTTAGCGGCGTGGGAGAGTCGCCCCGCCCGTTGTTCCGGAATGTCATGTGACCGTGACTCATTCTCACGCGACGCGCAATCGCGTACGGTAGGCTGTACTGTGTACAGGGGTGTGACAGCGAGCGCATCTTGGACATCGCAAATATAACGCCTCCGGCCAACAAACTGCATACGCATTACTGTACGATACCGATAGTTGTATGTGCGAGTTAACAAAGGTCGAGCTCGTGTTGCGGAGTATTTCTCGAGTTCGTCATTAACGAGGTCAAGGAAGGCATCGCCTGAGCTTGCCTTAGTTATCTCTCAGCCCGGAAATCGGTAAGCACCGCGATGCAGGGTGACATTACTGCCTTTTAGCTGCTACTTCCATGCGATACTCACGTCAACGTAAAGAATGCGGCTCAAGCTGCGAAGGTGAGTGGCGCTTTTCTACTCGAACACAGCCTAGAACATTATATATCACGCACAGTGCGTGCAATTGAAAGTTACCCAGTTTCTGTATCCAGGCTGCCGTCGGTTACCGTCCTGCACCTAGCGTACCCATGGTTATCAGGACCCGCAGGACCCGTTCAAGAGCGGGTTCGTGCTGCACGATGAAACGCTCGCTATCGAGAGACTGGTTGCGGTACCGCTTCCGTGCGCGTTCCTGGTGTCATTGGTTTGTACAATTTAAGAAGCAAACATACAGTATTATGATATGCAGCTGAAGTACGTGTAAATATTAAGGGAGGTATTCTAAAGCAGCTAAGTACCCTTAAAGGTTTACTTGCGCCTCTTTCCCGATAGGGAGGTGCCAATCGAGCCCGCGTTATGGTTGCTGCTGCGGTAATCGGGTTTCTGATGCGCTGAAGTTGCTTCATCTTCGTCTTCGATCTCCTGGCGACTGCGTTTCTGACCTCTCGAGGAAGCCATTGAGGAAAGCGTCGTGTGACTGCGGACGGCTGCCTGTCTCCGAGGACGGCGCTGGTCCGCAACCACAGGCCCGGCCATCGGTGGCGGGTCATCAACGAGAGGTAAAGCATCGCGACCAGACCTGAGCGCAGCGAGAAATTCGTCGTATGTCGAGCGCTCCCCATTGGGGTCGCCCCATTGGTTGACTTTGAGTGCGGTTCTAAGCGCCCTGAGCGTGGGCTTCAAGGGATTGAAGTATGGGTGGAAGTCCGACAACAGCCGTTCGAAAGAGTTCGTAGAAACTATTTGACCAAACTTCGCATTTGAGATAGAGCTCTCCGCGTTTCCGGCAAGCCAGTCCTGCAACTGGGTAGTCATGGCGTCGAATGGTTCTCTGTAGCGTCCCGGTCCTTGCAGCACGATACACGCCCAAATGAGGACGTAAAAAAAGGATTCTAGATCATGGTGCACCTCTGGCTCGATCGGCGTCTCGCTGGCAAGAAGGTGAACCGACATGAATGGCAACGTTCCCTGTGCGAACGTCGATGTTAGAGAAACGATTCACAGACGATACGTATAACTCACGGAACGATGATTTTTGTGTTCCTCCGGATCGTTATCGGTGGGTCGATTCATGGTCTTGGAGTAATCAAAATCAATTAGGCGACCTGGACGCTCTCCCTCTTGTTTCTTCTCTGTGTCATCTTCGGCGTCCAAAATCAATATGTTGCGGAAGCTGATGTCACGATGCAACACGCCAAGATCTTCGTACATTCGACGATGAGCTACAGACGATCCCATCAGATATCTACGAACGCCTGGGATCAAGACACTGCTCACCTTCGACGGCGTCTATCAAGACACTGAGCAACTCTCGACGGGTAGCGAAGTGGCGCAAAGAAAGTCCTGATTCTTCCAGAACAAGGCGATAATGCTCCCGCGTCTCGGGCGCGCGACCGCTCTTTTTGTCCACGTTTTCGACCATGTGCAGCTTCTCGCGAATAGTCTTCGTCGAGTCTACCGCGCCGTGAAAACTGACCCGCTCATGAGTCAACATGTGCACAATTCCTTCTATCTTTTCCTTGGACGCGCGCTCCAGAATTTCGCACTCCTTTTCTGGCCGACTAACATCGACCCACGAATCCTTGATGATATACATGCCTCCTTTCCTCCCGGAGCGTACACGGAGGATAATCGTCCCTCGACCTCTGAGCGTGCCAGACATATGCAACACGTCCAGTATCTTGTAACGCTTGTTTTTGACTTGTATCGTCCGAACTCCAGACAGATCGGGTTCGGAGACGGTAGGATCGAAGCCGAGAGTGTCACGGTTGGCGAAGGCAAACCCACACACCACACGAAGAAAGTCGTCAGGACTGTCGTGGATATTGAACTCTCTCGACTGCAGAACTCCTGCCCTGTCGAAACGCCAGAGCCGCATTGAATCTGAAACCAGGGTGATCCCGAGGATAAAGCGTCTGTCGTACTGAGCGCCAAAGGCTAATCGAACGTTCTCCTTCAGCTCCCCCGCGGAGCTGGTCCCCGGGGTGGCGCCATCCTTACCGGATTTGACTTCCAAAAACGCCACAGCATCCTGTCTGAGAGCGTCACCGGGACGATCGCGGTAGACCTGAGGTAGTAACACGCCGTCCGGGTACCTCTGGCAGGCCTCCAACGTCGGTTGGTTGGTATCGCCTAAAGGCCTGGTGGCGAAGTGACCCGTCCAACAGCGAACGGTGGCTTTAGAGGGGCGGAAGGCCTTACACCGTGATACAGCGTCCGCAATAGCGTTGAACTGCTGGGAAACGGCTTCTTCACGTTCTCCTGGCGACTGGGGATTATGGGCCGGCAGCGATGCAAAACCAGTCCATTGGCCTTCGCGATAGAGGCAGTCAGACCCGTTCTCAGGATCGGAGACGTAAGCAAGTGCGTGGTCAAGGCGCATAGGAAGTTCAGAGTTCGGAAAAACGACGTCTAGAAGCCCAGTGACGTTGTCCAGCATGGCTCCCTTGAGAGAGTGAGAGATGGCAGGAACTGTGACGGCTTTAGTGATGGCTTTAGTTGAAGAGTGCGTGTATTCGCCGGTGAAGCGGCTCGCGCTGCAAGGGGTTGAGTTACAGGTGACGGGGGCGCTTGATGGTCCTCTGGGTTGCGGGGGGGGAGTGACATTGCGAGAAGACATGGCGAAGTCAGCGGCTGGACTCTGGCGGCGAAAAACATGATGCTCACTGAGATTATTATAGTAGGAGCAACTGGTGGCCCTGTGTTCGGTGACACCGCTGGGGGCAAGTAAGGGCCACTCCTTCAGAAGGCTGCGAGTGTGGTTGTGGGTCAAACCGACAACACGAAGCCACTGGACCGTCGCCGCGCCCTTTGTTCTGGCGGGTCATGTGACCGTGATTCATTCGCACGCGCTCGCGTACGGGTGGTGGCTGGACATGGCGAATACAACTCTGCCTGAAGAATATCTGGTAAAGAAGCTCTATGTCGACTGAATAAATAGCGGAGCCCATGCTCAGCGCTCAGCGCTCAGCACTCAGCACTCAGTTTTGCACGAAATCACACAGTTGGCTACATCAGTGGGTTTCTGGACAGCTACCGGTCTGTTTTACTTGTCTCGGATCTAGTGCGGTCGCGATGCGCACGCGAAGCTCCACATATGCACGGTATAACCCACTCACTGCCAGGGTCTCGCATTACGAACTAAGTCTGGATTACTTTTTCTACGGAAATCCGTATTTCATATCAAATGGCTGGTTCAAATGTGATTGTTACATTCAATACAAAGATAGCTTGCACAAGTAATATATACTTATATGGCAGGTGACCTCCCTTATAAGGATATATTATTCCGTTGAAAGTATGTTTGTACTTTATGTCTCAACCGCATCTGAACCAGCCATTTTATATGAAATATGGATTTCCGTAGAAAAAGTAATCCAGACTTCGTTCGTAATGCGGAACCCTGGCAGTGACTCTACCCCCCCGCCGCCTGGCGGGGTTTCTGCGTGCGAGACCGCACGGACAACCGCCGTCCGATCCCAAGCTTTCCTGACCCCTCAGCACCAGCACCATCACCGGATTGACCGTCACGTTGTTCGCTGAGTACCGGCACCTCCGACGCGCTGCTGACGTTCGACTTGGCCGAGATCGAATGGCTCGACTTGTTGCGCCGCAACAACGTGGGTTTCCGCAAACGAGGCGCGGCCGCAGCGGACGCGGGAGGCTCGTCCCTCGTCGCCGTTTTCTTCGATTTTGAGACGCCATAGGCAGGATCTTTGCCCTTTGACGAGCTAGGCTTCTTGTCCGCCTTGCTCGCGCCGCCTCGTTTCCTGTTCGCGTTCCCGGCGGTGACCGTGCTCCTGATGATGCTCGGACCGGGATGGCGCAGTAGATGATTGCCCGCCACAGCAGCAGCAGCTGACGTCGCTGTCGTCGTCCGCTCCGGGTCGTGGTCGTGGTCAATCTCCATCTGGCGCGCGAACGGGCCCGAGTAGGCGAGGTCTTCTTGGCCCGAAGTAGGCGAGGACGAAAGCGAGCCTACGGTCCGGGTCCGCAGCGGCGACGGAGGCGCGCTGGGCGGGGACGACGAGAGCGCGCGCATCTTGCCCTTCTTGATCGCGCTCTGCCGTTCGAGGTCGTCCATCCACCCCTCCCATTCGACCTCGCTGCGCGTCGAGCCGTCCTCCGACCCGCTCGCACTTTCTCCTCCCCAAGTCAACGCAGACAACGGGCTCGCCGGGGGCTCCTCCGACTCCCCCTCAGCCTCCGCCTCGTCTTCTGACCAATTCGCGCGTGTCGCGGAGCTCCCGCCGCGGACGGTGGCCGAATAGGGGTCGTCCGATCCCGGGCTTTGAGCGCTCAGTACCTCCGGCCACGATATTCGTTTCGAAGAAGAAGAGGGTGGGACACGCTCCCGTGCCGCCGGGACGCCCATACCTGCCCAACGGGCCCTCGTCGCGATCTCCTGCCGCCACTCCGGGAAGCGAACCGTGTGGCGCATATAGGGTTCGTCGATGTGCACGCGTAATTTAAAGGGCCGCTGGGAGTGAGATGGTTCGGGCGGGCTGGACGACGGGCTCCAGAGTCCCTCGGAGTGATGAAATGGGTTCTGAGACGGGAGAAAGTCGGAGTGGCAGACCAGAGGGTCCGGGTCGCGGCATAGCCGGTGTAGGGTACGCAACAGGCATTCGTGGGCTACAGAGCTGTTCAGCATCCAGATTTTCGCGATGATAATAGAACGTAATACCAGTTTTGTCTAGCATGGTCAACTCGACCCGTGCTCCCTCACTGACGCCAATGCCACCGGGACGATCCGAGTCCGTCGCAGCACTTCTGGTACTGGGTTCGACATCTTCGTCATCCGTACGCGTAGTCGTCGATGCGGAAGAGCCAGGAACCGGCCTCAGCTTGTTCTTCGATCTTCCTAGGCTATTGTGAGGGGTAGGTATCTGTCTCGGGGTGGTGTTTCCTCTCCGACCCTGAAGCTCCGTCAAGGGAAGAAGAGGCGGAGTCGTGCCGGGGCCGGGGGAAGACGGAACGGAGGAGTCCGCTTCGGGATCGTGGGCCTTCGGGGAAGGGCCGAACGAGGCGCGGATGACGAGAGGGTCATCTGCGCGTTGCTGCAACGAGTTCAAAGAAGCGACGGGGAAGTGGTAGGCTTGGGAAAGCTCCTGCCCACGGTTGATATGAGCGTGGCGAACGCATCGGGCGACGGTAATACACTTCTCACCATGCGATCGCGACAGAGTATCAGATTTCCTCCCCGCACGACGACCCATCGGTCTGCCCATTCCGACCTGGACTTGTGCCGCCTCGGCACCGGAACGCCGTCCGGAAGGGCGTTGCGCTGGTACGCCCTCTTCGTTTCCTCCGAAGGCCCGGACCAGAAGACGCTGACGGTTTTCACGCGGGCTTCGAAGTACGGTTCGGAGTAGTTGAGGATGTTCCGACGGGGAAGCGAGGCGATGGCGCCGGCTTCATGGACCTCGAGAAGCTCGTGCGGGCGCAGATGATACCATTCCAAGTGCGCCTGATCTTCGAGGATCTGGCCGGTAGAATAGGCGAGGACGGTATATTTGAGATGAAGGGGCGTTTCGGACGTGGAAGACGTCGGAGAAGCGGCATCGTCGAAGCTGTGGGTGGACGGAGACCGAGTGGATTTGCTGTGCCTCGTCGTCCCAAATGAGAGAACCTCGTCGTCCTCGACGAGATCAAGCCATGCGCCCTCGGAACCGAAGGGCAGGGATTCCTCCGACGGCAAGGCGAAGGTGATGGGCGACACCGCGCGCGGCGGGTCGGCGTTGCTCTCGGGGAGGCATTTGGAGAGGATCCAGTGCTTTATCTGTTTACAGTTCCACCTCGTGTCGAGATGGGTCGTGAACCAGAGGTCGAGCGGGACTGTAGGGCGGCACAGGCTCGATTACTTACTGCGCGGCGGTGAGCAGTGGGACGAACGCACCGTATCGGCATGCGACAGGCAACAGGCCCTTGGACGTGGCGGGGGCCATGGTCCTGGCAGTGACTGGCCTGCTCGCTGGCCGCTGTGATGGCGAACATGGGATGCGCTCACCCCCTGGGCTGTGAGCTGCTATCCATCCCGCCGGCCACGGTCTGACTGAAGGTCCACGTGATCATTCATCGCTCTCCTGGACGCGACGACCACCAACGATGACTGGCCGCAATAAACACGATATCATGGTCGCATATCTCACACATCACCTGTCTCCCTGTTTGCTCTCCCTGACGCTTGCTGGCATGAGAACCGGCTCCCCGACGAACGCGGCTCGCGGTCTTTGCTGACGCCGAAGCGGGTATGTTCGTCGCGACCCCCCGCCCGCACCCCTTCCTTGTCGCACGCTACGGCGAACTCAAGCGCAGTCACATCTCCTCAGGGACGTTGATATACACTCCACGATAGTAAATATCCTCTCAAGCCGGTCACGAGTGCCCTCACAATGGTCTAAATCGATCTGCCGCGTTCTTCTGCTTCTTCGCCTTCTCGTGCAGGCGTTCGCCACGCACCAAAACAGGCTCGGGCTATCCCAGCCCCACAGTCGCGCAATCTTGGACCGTCTTTATGTGCTGAACCTGAGATTGCGCCTCGAGAGGCGTGCCTGAGCGCGCTTTTCGTCCCTTACTCGACAGCAAGCATGGCCATCGTCGATGACACCAGCATGGAGCGCTTCGCCATAGAGGATGAGAAGCCTGCGGTAGATGCGATGGTCGAGACCGTCGACGGCAGCTCGCACACCGAACGACCCGAGGAGGCCCTCCAACCACCGCCGATGAAGCTCACCCCCGAAGAAGAACGGAAGCTGTACCGCAAGATCGATCTTCGACTCATTCCAATAATGTGGTTGATGTATTTGGGATCCCAGGTCGATCGAAGTGCGTGACGATTCTGCGCTGTGATCTTTGTATCTGACCCCGTACTAGGCAACATCGGTAAGCACAGCGTTCGTTCTCATCGCATTTAGCGCTCATCTTCGTGTGCAGGGAATGCGAAGCTGCAAGGGCTATTGACCCAGTTGCACCTAACTGGCCATCGGTACAACATCACACTTGTGAGTGCTCTGCTTCGATGCTAGTTCTTACCTGGAACATGTTATGCTATAGATGATGTTCTTCATCGTATGTTGCTTCCTTTGGATCACGAGGAGCGCGATCTCATATATCTCCTAGCCATACTGTCTCTTTGAGTTTCCATCAAAGTAGGTACAACGGGACGCTTCTCTCAGGCTCCCGGGCTAACGCAACCCCAGCCTAGTCTTGAAGAAGTTCAGGCCCTCAAGGTGCGTACGTCTTGTCATGTCATTGGATACCTTACTCACCGTTCTCAGGTGGTTACCAGGAATAACCGTGAGCATTTGACCTACTCTCAAAGGGCTGGTAATAATCTCCCCCTTTGTCGATGATAGGTCGCTTGGGGAACCATAACGTAAGCTTCATCATGACTTACATGTGTGTAGCCGTCGGCTAAGCGTCCACGACAGCGCATTGATGGGATTAGCCAAGACGTACGATGCGCGTCAGCGCTCTTGGGTCCTCGCTCTCATACATGCACACAGATATCCCCAGTTAGTGGGCATCCGTACATGTCTTGGAGTTGCCGAGGCAGGTATGTATACTCTACACCACCCGTATGATCATCATCATGCGTCGTAGCTGATTGCTTCGCTGTGCAGGGTTCTTTCCTGGGGTCGCATACTAGTGAGTTACAAGCGTAGAAGCCCCGCACGGCAATTGAACGAAGCTGACTTTTGTGCATCAACAGCATGTCCATATGGTACCCGCGACACATGTTACAGTACGTCATACGCTGCGCCATCTCCGCTTCAATGGGATATCTATTTGACTCTCGCATCCGAGTAGATATCGCCTCGGACTCTTCTATAGTGCGGCAACTGTGGCCGGTCAGCTGAACTGTTTTTCACGCCTCTTTGTCACCTGAATGCGGCGCAGGCGGCTTCTCTGGCTTGCTCGCCTTCGCGATCAGCTTCATGAGCGGAACACACGGACTTCTGGGGTGGTAATAATCCTCTCTGAAATGTGATTGTCGCAAGCGAGCCAACTTTTTTTTTCCCAGGTCATGGATATTCGTACGACTCAATAGCTATGGCCATGAGAGTGGGCATTGATGCAATGCCACACAGATTCTTGAAGGTTCCGCCACTGTAGGCATCGGGATCTTGGCCTTCTTGGGTAATCACTCCCTCTGTTCCCATCCTGCAACGTTCATGCTAACAGCCATGGTCAGTAATGGTCGACTTTCCCGAGTCGGCTACGTTCCTGACGGAAAAGGAGAGGGCTTACGTTCTATGGAAGAAAAGTCGGTTCCATATGAATACTTGCATGACATCTTTTAATATTTCATTATCTACAGGATATGACAACTCCGCAATCGGGGAGGAAGAACACTTTGAGCCACGCCACGTCGTTGCCGCTCTGTGTGATTGGCAAGTGTGGGCGCATATAATCGTGTACATGTGTGTTATTGTACCAGGTTCGTAATAGACGTTTCCCTCATTCGCGTCCACTGAACTTGGGCCCAGTGTTCGGCATCACATTGTTCCTACCGTATGTATCCATGGGCAGCTCGTTAATGACTTTACTAATCATATCGTTATAAGCTCTATCATAAATGGGTTCGTGGAAGCCCAGCTCTCGAGTGACTGATTGTTGCTAATCCTGTCATAGGTTTGGATTCAGCACGACTGTCAGTCAGTTGTTGACGGTTCCGCCGTACGCCCTAGGAAGTATGGACAACTCTTAGGCCAACCATATCTTACGTTAACGTTACGACGCAGCTCTGACAATCATCTCTTGCTCCTACTACTCTGACAAGCTGAAGCAACGCTCCCCGTTCATCCTCGCCGGCTTGGTCATGTGCCTCATCGGTTTTTCTATTAACATCGCGCCTGTCCATGTAGGCGTCAAGTACTTCGGGACCTTTTTCATGTAAGGCTATCGGCGCTCTTTCACACAGACTACCTCGCTCACGTCGGCCGCAGCGTCGCAGGGGGATATGGGACAGTTGCCGGAGTTGTAGCATGGTTTGTAGCCTCCCTGCCATCCGACACATCGATCGTTAATCAGAAGCGCAGGTTAGGAAACAATATTGCAGGGCATTATAAACGAGGAGCTGGTATCGCCTTACACGTAGGGATCGGTGAGTTGCCACAATATCGTGATTAGTGTACCATATGCTCAACCACGCGCTAGGCAATTTTGGGGGTAAGCACCAGCTGGAATAGATAATCCGATTCTTCCTCAGACCAACTCGCAGGAGTGGTCGCGTCAAATATCTATCGCACTCAGGATGCTCCCAAATACGTGTTGGGTCGTAAGTTGCATTCCGATCCACATAAGCCATGCTGATATACTGATGTGGTATAGATGCCATCGAGCTCATGTTTGTTGGCATCGGTCTGGTCGTCGTACCAGTCATCATGCTGGCGTACATGAAGATCAATCAGCGCAGGGCACGCTCCATTACGAACGTCGCCAACTACTCCCCGGAACAACTTCGGGCGCTCGGGGACCGAGCTCCAAGCTTCCGTTACACGTTGTAACCGCGTATCCGGAAACCTTGGGATAGGAGTTTTCCTATGTGGTGTAACACCAGAATTCGTCCTCTGTGTCGTCCAGGTTCTCCTGACCATCCGGCCACCTCTGCGTACAGTACGATGAGCGATCCCGGCGGCTGTCCAGAATGTACGACATACATACCACATGCACAATGATGTTATCTTCGCTTATCATGAGACACTGTACCAAATCGGGGTCGAATGGGAGGTTCTTGCTGTCCAACAAGAGGTCACGCTTCGAGTACGGCAAAGACGTGGTGATGGGGCCCGCGAAAGGTCCCAACGTATCGTCGGTCTCTGGTCGCGAGACGAACTGTTCTCCGACAACGTGCACGCCATGGCGGTTCATCTCCTGGCGCAAAGCCTTACCGAGCGGGTTGAAATCATAAACTGTGTATGAATGGTCGTGGTCATGCGCCACCAGCCTGTATCCGAAGACCATCCAGCGGTGATCATCGTAATCCAGGCCCGGCTCTGCTACCATTCGAGTCAGCTGTGGCCCCCATTCATTCCACCTCCGGCGCGTAAACTGGCCGTCGTGAGCCTTCGCGGCGAGGCGAACGAGATCCTCTTGGTGCGCAACAAATACACTTTGCCAGTGATCATCTTCCCGGTCAGTAGCTGTGATCACGATCGCGACGATGCCTTTCCCGCACGGTGTGTAAAACGGCGTCGGAGGATGAGCGCCCGGTCGTATGGGACCAGCGTTGCTGGTGATCACAACCGAATCAAAGCGATATGATCCGGTCGACTCCGGGGTAGGAAAGTCGAGGCGGAGGCCGTGCAAGAGTTGGGTGTGCGGGCTATTGGGCGCACTGGGCCCATCAACCAGGCTCCTGATCTCGAGGAAGGGCGCATCCTTGGATAGTCGGTTCAAGGTACTGAGCATGATGAGGTTATCACCCAGAAAGATGTACGAGTCGATGTTCCCAATGAAATCCTGTGATGCTGTTGGTGGCACGTCGGGTAGGTCCGCAGAACATGGATCGCTCACCAAGTGAAGGTGACCCGTTTTCCAGTTCCACACAGTCAGCCGGTCGCCGGGCGTACTTGGCGCGAATGGTTCGAAGCTTTCATCCCAAAACATGAGCGCAGCTAGATAATCTCCGTATATACAAGGTTGCGAAATTTGGAAACCCTTTGATGCATGCTGAAACGTCGCAGTGGCAAGTCCTAGAGGATGCGGCCGGGAGTGGGAAAGGGTCAACGTGTGCACTTTGACAAGGTTCGGTGAATGAGGCCTGAAGAACAACAAGTCAGACTACTGACGTGGAAACGGCGCGCACGACATGCTCACTGCCTTGTGTGCTCGAAAATGCAGATCAGGTCCTGAGTAGCGTCCGTAGCAATGTCTCGAACCCTAAATTCATCCAACCATAGGCACCAGTTGACCATCGCGATGCCGCGCGTTGCTGAGGGAAGTCGGAAGATGGGTACCATATGGGGGCTCAAGTGGTTGTGAGCGAAAACCCCGTTGCGCATATCAAACTTCTCCGCGTCCATCTTGGAGAGGAGCTCGAGCGCGCTCCAGTCGAGTTGCGCCCATCGTCTCTCGTGTTCCATCAGCCGTTGCATGCGAGAAGGGACCGGCATATCACAGCTCTCGAACCCATCACTCTTGCCCGCAAGGATCAGTGCCACCCCGTATTGCAGCGGCGCCGAATTCTGGTACACATCAAGGAAAATCTTCGCCACCTAAGTATCGTATGATCAGACAGAAGATCCTGGTGAGCTTTGAGAGCACGCCCCGAGTCCACTCACTCGCAGGCAGCGGAAAAAGCACTTTATGTCGAGCGTCGCCAGGTCGCCCAAGATATGATCGATGATTTCCGCCGGGAGATGGCACAAGCAGCGGCCACGTTCGTGTTCGGCGATGAGGACATCTTCAGTTTCCGCACTGACTGGGACGATATCTGAAGGTTCAGTGCCTCGGGATATATGCATGCTTGATGCCTTCAGCAGCGCGACCAGAACAGTGAAAGCAGCTGTTTACTAGGGAGGCCCTTGTTCGCACTCGAGCGACTTGCGATTGAACGGTGATCAGCGATGAGGTTGCCCTTATCTATATGGGTGTGTATTCACCTCCATGCGCGCTGTGTTTGCTCTAGCATCGTATACGTAGGACAATGGGCGATCGTTCAGAGATATCCTTCTTTCGGTTGAGGACGTTCCTTGCCGCTGCATGGTCCATCCGGCCGTGTTTCCCTAGCCTACACGTTCGATTCAGGAACCCGGACAGCATTGGCCGTGTCAACAGGTGACAGCATTTGCGGTTAGGGTTGAAAGCAACGCGGCGTCCCATGTTACGCGCATCTAGCACTAGGCCGATGGCAACGTTGTTGTTGTGCTCAGTTTGCACGAAGTCAAGTCGCCTCAGGTTTTTTGTCGGGAGCCAGCCAGGCTGATCTTTCATAAATATAAATGAATACGCTACATAGACGTCTGGGGCTATATACTGAAGATCCACAACTCCTCGTATTTGTCCATAGGATCCTTTTGATTATCCTCCCATGTCTAATGGACTCATGTTAGCGACCAGGACGCTTAAAACGGACGCGAAGAAAGCAGAGGGCTGACAACGTACCACAGATAGGATGATGTTGTCTTCGCCAATGGAACAACGAGAGATCTCGCCGTCCACAGGGTGCATGCGCTTCGAGTAAGGTAACGACGTGGTAACGGGCTCGGTCCATACGCGAGGCATTTCGACAGTTTCTACTTCCGTGACGATGTTCACTTCAGCATCATGTTTGAGAACATCCTTCATCTCGTTGCGCAAAGCCGCCAGGAAGGGATTAAAGTCGTACACAGTTATCCCAGAAGGGTCAGAGTTCGCAAGCGCCATCCTGTAGCCGAAGGTCAACCACCGGGCGTCCCCGCCTTGCGCGGGAGTTTCTGTCAGGCGCGTGAACTCAGGCCCCCATTCGCTCCAGGTTATACGCCCGAAAGGCACATCACGCGCTTGAGTGGCGAAGTTAATCAAGTCTTCCAGGTACATGACGAGCGCCCACGACGTCTGATGCGCTCGTTTGTCGCCTTGGACGTTGCAAGAGGCATCGAATGTGGCTGCGACAATGCCCTTGCCATGTGGTGTATAGAATGGAACGGAAACTCTGGGATACTTGGGACCAGCGTTGGCAGCTAGACGCAAGTTTGTGATGGTTCCGGGCTGGTGAGTGGGTGGGAAGTCGAGGCGAAGCCGCCACGGCTGGTGACTATAGTGACAAGGCGTACCGGTGCCGTCACTCAAATCCCTGAGCTCGAAGAAAGGCGTGGGCTCGTGAGGCTCGATGATGACGAGCAATATGAGGTCGTTGGTCAGGAAAGTGTACGATTGGATTTCTCCGACTATATCCTATGATATGGTCGGCTTGGGAGTAAATCCACGTCATGGAACACTCACCATTAGAGTCTGGCCGGTCTTCCAATTCCATACGATAAGATTGCGATCTCGTACACGAGATTTCGACGGAACACGCGCGCCTCGCCGGGGATGCAGTAACACAGCTGCATAATCTCCGTACACTGACGGGTCCCGTGCGCTGAAATTCGGAAATGGATGTCGAAGCATTGTGGTGTATTTCCCCAATGGATGCCGCTTGCCCGTAGAGATGCTGAACGCGTATACTATAAGGTGGTCCGTAATGCCATGTCTAAGAGCCCGTTCAGATAAGGGACAATGAACCACATAGCAAAAAACCCACGCATATTCCGGCTGCTCGAAGACACAGATCAGATCTTGAGAGGCGTCCGCGGCGACGTGTTGAATGCAATCAGAGTCGAATGACATCTCGGAACCGCGCAGCACGATGCCACGCGTCGCGGAGGGAAGTTGAAAAATGGCCAACACGCCGCAGTCTGGCATGGTCGACGCGAAGAATCCGCTGCGCAAGTCAAAGTCGAGCAATTCACGATTTGTCAAGCGTTTGGTCGAAGTCCAGTCGAGTTGTGCCCAGCGCCGCTCATACTCCATTAACCGTTGCAGACGTTGGGCAACCGGGACGTCAGAGGCTTGCTGTCCTTCGGCCTTGCCCGCGAGAGCTAGAGCAACCTTATACCGCAGTGCCAGCGAATCTCGATAGACGTTGTAGAACACCTTGGCTGTCTAACCATAAATGCGAATTGGAGGCGCTTGAGCTAAGGCATCATGATAGTAGAAGTTGGCCAACCTGGAAGCAGCGAAACAGGCCTTGGATGTCCATGGCTGCTAGATCATCGAGAATCCGCCTGATGATCTCGGCAGGCATATTGCATAAACAGTGTCGATGGTCGTGTCGGAACACGGTACGATTTTCCAATCGCTGACGTGCTTCCGTGAGCCCTTCGAAAGATTGGGTGGTTTCAGGCATGGCTGTCCCGTCGGCCTCGAAGTACTTTGGACAAAGGGAAGTGTGCGAAGGGTGAAGAGGTCGTGTCACTTATCAGACGCTATGAGCACCTGAAGGTGTGATACGTTCAGGATGAGACATGTCTTTATACGTGCTATCCTGAAGGACGCACCTTATCCGTATTCGGGACTTCTCTCCTTGTTCTCGTTGTGCAGGGCGGGAACCATAATCAGAAGCTGTCCTGCTGTGGTCATTCTTGGTCGTGGCATCGACGATTTGGAGTACAACAGCCTCGATGAGCGAGCACGTCGTTGCCGTGAAGGGACTACAAGGTTGACCTGAACTCGGGGGATAACCGCTCTCGCGGAAGAGGAAATATATTCCCAGGCATTTGAGGAGGGGCTCATTTTGCTTGTACCCGCGCATATCAGGGCCAGCATCCAGCACCCGGCCAACACCCAACGTACCGCCTCTTCGCCTAACCATGGCATCCTCCTCGACATCTTCTGAGCTCTCCGTGCCCGTTATCTTCCACACCCATACACCTTACCCCTTGCCCTCACAAAAATTCTTCATTCCGGCATCATGGAAGCGATACCAGCTTTCGCAGCTCGTCAACAAAGCGTTGGCTCTCGCTAGGCCGATCCCCTTCGACTTCCTCATCGATGGTGAAATATTGCGAGGCTCGCTCGGCGAACTCGGCGCGAATACGGTGAGCGAATTCAGGTCGACCGTTGCGTTCTTTGCATGTGCTGATTCCGAAGGAGGCACCTAGGAAGAAACGCTTCAAATCGAGTACATAGAATCCGTGATGCCGCCGCAGAAGATGTCATCGCTACCCCACGAGGACTGGGTCTCCTCCATTTCCTGCAAGGTGCCAGGGTTTGTTTGGACTCTTTATGCTGCAGGGGACGTTTTTGCTAATGCTCGCTTCAGCTACTTCGTTACGGCCTCGTACGACGGCCACCTGCGGACCTTCGACTACTCTCAAAACAAATTAAACGATGTAGCACTCCACGCAGCCCCCATAACCTCTGCGTGCATCGTACCCCAACGTATTGCTGGCTCCCCCGTAGTAGCCACCGCCTCTCACGACCTCACCGCACACCTCACGTCGCTGCCTTCTCTCGGCCCCGACTCTGAAAACGCAGACGCACCGTCCTCACGGACGCTCGCTTCGCTGCACCTCCACACCGCACCGCTCTCCTCTGTGAGCTCGAACAGCGCCGGAACGCACATCTTGACTACCTCTTGGGACGGCCTCATCGGCGTATGGGATACCACTATCCCGCAGAAGGACGAGGTGCCGTTGGACGCGATACACAATACGACCGGCGAGCGCAACAGGAAGAGGAGAAAGGTCGCGGACTCGGCGGGCGAGGAGGCCAAGCCGCGGCGCAAGGCACCTACGGCGGTTATGAAGAGTCATACGGCGAGGGTGTCCAAGGCCGTTTGGGCTCCGTCGGGACCTGTGGCGTACAGCTGCGGATTCGACTCGACGGTACGCTCCTGGGACGTGGAGATGGGAGTTTGCACGAACACTATCGTACGTTCCATACGTCTGGTGTCCTCGATGCCGGCTCACGTTTTCTCTCCGGTAGAACGCGTCTGAAAAGCCGTTCCTTGACCTCGCCTTGACGGCGGATGGCCATACGGCTCTTACGGCTTCGACGGATCGATTCGTCACCATTTACGACTTACGTTCGCAAGGAGATGCTACCGCGCTCTCAGCGTCCTCGGGTAGCTTACCCCATCCGTCGACGCCATCGTGTGTTTGCGTCGGCCCATCCGGCAGCCAGCAGGTACGCAATATTTTCTGTCCTGTTCCACTTTCCGGGGATGCTCATGTTGACCGCTGTTAGGTCGTGACTGGCGCGTACGACGGTGTCGCCCGCATTTGGGACTTCCGCAGTACTAAAAGCGCGCTCGCATCACTGAAGACGTGGGATGGATCCGGGCAGAAGGTGCTCGGCGTGGACTGGGACACCGCGAGAGGGATCATCGGTATCGGTGGTGAGGGCGGGATGGAGGTGTGGAAAGTGGGCAACACCGCCGCTGCATGAGCGTCGCATACACTACCATGCACCAAGTCTAAATGAACTGCGAATGCTCGAGCTACCTGAGCGTTGACAACGTCAAACTTGGCGGCAGGAATTCCGAGCAATACCAGCCTGCGATTCTGACCGTGAGAACTTGGTCTACAAAAGTTTGTTACTTCGGTTACTTCTCTACACGCGTGTGACGCTACCTCCTTCTCACCAACCTCCGGCTCTTGTTACAAGGCCATGATTGGCCTCAAGAGCACCCTCAATGTCAGTCCGAACGACCGAGATACACCACGCGATCTCTGAAAGGTGTTTCTTGCAGGTCCTGGACAACTCGGGCGCGCTCCTCGTCGAGTGCGTCAACGTCCTCAAGCACAAGGTGAACAACGGGTGCGGCACCGTCGGCGACGAGATCGTCTGCGTCGTCAAGCGCGCACGACCCGTGAGCGCCGCCGCCGCGTCGTCTGCCACGGCCGCGAAGGTCCGCCGGGGCGACGTGCGGCGCGCCGTCATCGTCCGCACGCGGAAGGCGGTTCGGAGGCCGGACGGCCGGATGATCCGCTTCGACGACAACGCGGCGGTGTTGTTGAACAACAAGAAGGAGATGTTGGGCACGCGTATAGGTGGTGTGGTCAGCGCGGACCTCAGGACGAAGGGGTGGGGCAAGATCGTCTCTCTAGCGCCCAAGGTACGTCGTTGGTCTGTAGCATGACGCTCTCGGCTCATGGCATTTGTCAGGCTATATGATACACATGTTGCTTAATCACGGCCCTTTTCTCATCGCACAATCCATCGTTGCCATGTTTTGACAGGGTTGGCCTGCCGCCGAGCGCAGGTTTCGGCGAAAGCGTGCTTGCCCTTCCACATACGGAACCCACTCGAACCCTCAAGCGTAAGTGGACACGACCTGCGGTACTGGGTGGATTCGCATCTACCATACGGGTGCTTTGGGTGGTGCTCCACACTTGCTGAAATCCGTCGAGTCATTCCAACTGACCCAGTCATTCTCACAATGTGGATCGGTAGGTGGGTCAGCGGCTGCTACACCCACCACTTCACCGCTGTATATCGGGGGGAACTTGCAGACGAGCGTGGACATTTACTGCCTCGACCGTGGATATCCTTGTGCATGTGGGTCGGCCGTGGGTCGGATGGACGATTAACCCTCGAGAATGGTCACCTAGCTTGGGTCTATATCTTCTTCCGACGCCCACGAGCGGACTCGGATGCGGCGCTCGACATTTCTGGCCTTTGTGGATACGGGCTCGCTCGGTGGATCGAGTGGGTTGACGTGGGTTGACGAATGGATTACAAGGAGGATCTCAGGGTGCTCATCCACTTGCTTCATCGAGGGGATACCAATCGCAGACTGTGTCAACCCACAGGCAAAGTAGCTGTATGCCACCTGGAGGGCGGATGTGGGTTCGGACCCCGTACCCCATCCACTTGCATGGGTGTGAGCAATGCTGCTCCGGTTTGCGGCCCCAGTCTGACATGCTTGCATAGGATGACGGATCATGCTCGCTAATGTACATTGGATTACGCAGCTGCTGCGACGACTAGCCTTCCAACTTGGTTCTCAGAATTCGACCGCGATCGAACACGGCGTCCGCCTCGATGTAACACCCTTTCAACCACCTGTTGGTCATATCCTCCTGCACCTCGCCCGCGTCTTCCTCGGGGTCGTGGAATGCCGTCCTTGCATGCAGCACCCGGCGATTATCGAACAAGACTGCGTCGCCTTCTCGAAGGAGGTATTCGAAGCGTGCCTCGGGTCGGTCGAGTAGGTCAGCGAAGCGCCTGAAGGCGGGGTAGAACGCATCGGGCGTAGAGAGCGGAAGCGGCGCCTGGAACGGCGGGGAGTAGTTGATGTGCGCTATACGGTCGGAGGCCGGGAAGAGCTCGATCGTCGGGTGCTCAAAGTGCAAGTGGTGGCCGTCGTTGATGTAATGGAACGACACCGGCGTCTCGGTGAGCGTGCGGAAGCCCTCCGGATCGGCGCGGCTCAGCGTACTGGCAGCGTGTAGGGCGTCGACAAAGTACGAGGCGCCGCCGCGGACGCGGTTTCGGAGGCAGTGGAGGATCTGGAAGCGAGGTGGGTGCTCAAAGTATCTGCATTGCGCTTTGCGTTCATGAAATGGAAATAGAAGATGAGGTGGAAAGAAGCTCACAGGAGATCCATGTGCAGACCCAGATCTAAGTCGGTGTACGCGATGTTTTTGCTTTGCTGTACGTTTTTCACGTCCCATGTCTCGCCATAGAACGTCGCCCTGACCTCGCTAAACCTGCTCGCGAGGGCGCGCACTTCGCAACGCTCGTCGCTGGTCTCCGCCGTCGGGACGCCGGTGACGAAGAGCAGGCCGTATTGCCAGAGCTGAGAGATCGCGGCCAGCAATCCGGACTCCGTCTTCAGATCCGCGTACGTCTGATAGAGTTTCGCATCCGTGTGTTGTAAGCGCGCCCGATCCCATGGGATGCGGTCGAGATCGCGATGGAAGGCCTGCCGCCGGTTTACGGCAGAGTATCGTTCCAGGAAGTCGAATCCGAACGAGGACCGATGTCCCTGTCGCCACTCGATGCTGACTCCGTCTCCGCCAGGCAGGGGCGTCACCCCTCCCGGCACCGGGGCGACGTCGGGCGAGACGTCGGTCGTGCGATGGAGTTTCTGTCGCGTGCTGGGATGGACGCAGGATGCACACTGGCAGGAGTCGCGCAGCCATCGGTAGGGGAACGCGGCGCCAAGGGACTTGACGGTCAGGGAGGAATCTCCGATGGCGAAGGGCGCGAACAAACGTAAAGAGGGCCGCATGTGGAGTGCGCTGTTTACGTTAACCGGGGCGTTCGGTGTAGACGCGTTGTTATTCGGGGTGGGTCCTGTCTCAGGAATGAGAGTTCGGTGGTGGAATGCCACCCAAGCGAGTATAAGTACCTTTGCCTGGGCTGGTGCTTGGGGATGGCACAAGGGAGATCGGGCACCCGGCTGCATGCCTGGGGGACCAGCATGATAACGTTCAATAGCAATCCTCGCCCAAACCGACGCGTGCCGGCCATCTCCGGCCAGGCTTCCGGTCCGAAGCTGTGCCGGAATTCCGGAAGCAAGCTCAATGGAGGCGCGTCCGAGCTTATTTCTTCCTCTCGTTCATCTCTTTCACCTCTCTGGAACGATATTCACAGGCAGGCACTGCTGTCCGGAAATGCTATCGCAGGGTCTCTCAAAATATATCTTTCTCTGCTACAAGATGCTTGCTGTTCTATCTTAATATCGCATCCTCCCATGTCGCAGCCGGCACAGCGACTACGGTCAGATGACAGCCAATTGCCATTTCTCCGAACAAGAGCCCTGCCGGGACGCTATCTAGACGCAGGAAGACTGCTACCTGCAGTAGTACGTCGACCTACGCAACTGCGTGCGTGTGATGCTCATCTGGCGGCTAGCGAGCTGCTCGGGCGATGGTTACCAGGTCTCGTACGATGTCGACAAGCTGACTGGATGGCATGACTTGCTCTCTACTAGTGATCTTGACGCCGGATACTCAGCGGGTACGCCTGGCCGTTGAGAAGTGATGGCATATGTCAAGTGAAGAACATCCGCCATGACTAACCCACCTATATAATCATGCGAGAAAATATATTCTCCAGCTGATAACACTGCGTTCAGCTTCCGAGATCGTGCCAGGCTTTCACATTCTCTCGTCGCCCTGTTTCAAGCCACCTCAACTCTCGGATGTACCGCGATGACCCCGAGATCAGGTTCACTGCAACGCTTTCGACTCACCTGGCACGGATCCCTTTCTCGCATCTACGGATCATGGGAGCAATGGGCAATGTTTCGTCCTCCAGTTCGAGTCAACAATGACCTTATTTACTCTCGAGGTACGCCCACGACTTGATACCGATAGGATCATAGAGGTGCATGACAACCATGAGAACGATAACCATTACCACAAACTAATACCGGGAATGCCTCGATATGACGATCTTCGACGGTGTCTCACTTGATAAGGTCATTGTGATCATCCCACGTCGATGACTGAAGGCGTAGACTGACTGTGCACGCAAGATCGAGTCTTCAACGCTTCAGCTCACCATTCAGTACCACAATTGGCAGCAAACGTACGCATATTACTCAGTCAATGTGCAGTACAGTGGGAAATCAAAATACAAAAGTGCCGATCCCTATAGGGCCATCCTGCCATTGTCTTGAACACGTCGAATGGCGGTTCTACGCCCTTCCTCCCTTCCGTTGTAAACGGCGGCTCGAAGTAAGGCTCGCGCCGCTGGCGCATGCCTGATCGCCAGCATGTTTATCGCTATTGCATAGACCGTCGATGCGGCTTCGTTTACTGCGTGAGGAGGTTCCTGGGTCCGGGTCACTGGCGTCGAGATCTTGGATGTCGTCGTCGCGTTCTGCCTGACGGCCACGTTTCCGTCCGGCGGAGCTGGTGGTGATCCATGCAAGTTCCGATCGTCTGGGTCGTGTCGGTTGAACAGCCTGAGCGCGCCCGGCCTGATTGCCGACGTCCGCCGGCGGGTCCTCGACAAGCGGCAAAGCATCACGGGCAGACTTGAGGACGCCAAGGAAAGCCTCGTGAGTCGGAGGATTGTAGTCGGGTTCTCCAAAGTTCGGGAAGTCAAGAATGCGCCAGAGCTTCAGGACCGTATCTTTCAATGGATCAAAGTACGGTTGGAAGTCGTCCATTAAGCACCTCAGACCGAACATGCTGGACATATTCATCAACTTCTCTTTTCCTATACTTCTCTCGTCCTGTCCGTCCATCCAACGGTGTAACTGGGTCTGCAAGGGATGCAAAGCCCGATTATAACGTCCAGGTCCCTCCAGCACGATGCAGGCCCAGCAAAGCACGTAGAAGAAGGATTCCAAATCGTGATGTGCTTCGTGTTCGATGTCCTCTTCGCTGATGAGTAGTTGAACGGACATGAACTCTAGCGTCCCCTAAGCAAGGAGATGTATAATCAGAATCGTCTAAGCTGAGCAACGTGATCACGAACAGAACGGTGGTTTTTGTGCAACTCTGGGTCTCCCTCGGTGGAACGGGTGACGGTTTTGCTATAACCGAAGTCGATGAGGCGACCTAGGCGCTCTCCGGGACATCTGCCCTCATATTCAGATATCAGGATGTTGTGGAAGCTGATATCGCGATGTAGCACTTTCTGGATTTCATACATATCCTTATGCGCTATATGAAGTTCGTGAGGCAGGTGGTTCACGACCTCAATAACGAGGGAACGCACCTTCCACAGCATCTATCAGAACGCTGAGCAGCTCTCGACGAGTCTTAAAGTGTTTCAACGAGACTCCAGACTCCTGCAGAACTAGCCGGTAATGTTCGCGCGTTTCGATCTTCCCGACTTGCGCTGAGATGCCAACCTTGTCGCGTATGATCTGCGTCGAGTCTATGACCCCGTCCACTCGGACCCGTTCATGCGCGACGTAGTGTACGATTCCTTCTATGTCGCCCGCCGCCTTCAAGATTTCCCATTCCTTCTCGGGACGGGTGACGTCGATCCAGGAGTCCTTGATTATGAACGTTTTTCCGTCTTGAGAATGAACCCGGAGGATGATTGTGCCTCTGCCCCTCAGCGTGCTCTCCATGTGCAAGACGTCCTGTATCTGGTACGTCGTCCCACCGACGTCGACGGAACGGGATCCAAGTGAGTTGGGCGGGGTAATAGTGCAATCGTACCCAAGGGAAACCGCTGTTCCGAAGGCGAAACCACACAAGACACGAAGAAACTCCCGCGGATTCTCGTGGATATCGATCTCGCTGCACTGCAGGGACTCCGCTCGATCGAAGTACCACAGGGAGAGAGAAGCGCGGATGAGAGTGATTCCGAGAATAAAGCGCCGATCGTATTGAGCGCCGAAAGCCAGTCGAACGTTCTCTTTGAGTTGGGCCGAGGCGTTGGCCAGATAAGTGCCGTCTTGACCAGACTTGATCTCTATGAAAGCGTCAGCGTGGCCCCGCTTCACACCTGTGTTGGAAGGATCGATGCCGAAGGGCATCAATACTCCATCAGGAAATCTCTGGCAGGCTTCAGCACCAGGTTGGTCGGTTACGCCCAAAGGAGTCCTGGAAGCGGAGGTGCCGGTCCATTTGCGAGTAGGTGTGTCAGAGTCACAGAACGAGTTACACCGCTTTGCCGCCTCCACAATCTTGTTCAAACGGGAACAAACCAGCGCGTCCCATCCATCACTAGACGTAGGGTTCGGTAGCTCCGAAAGATCAAACCATGAACGCTCGATGTAAAGACAGTCGTCGCAGCTTCTGGGATCAGATAGATAGGCAACGGCTTCGTCTAAGTCGAGTGGAAGCGAGCTCGTCGGGAACACTTGATCCATGAGTCCAGTATCCTGCTTGACCATAGCCCCTTTGAGTTCGATGGTGATGGCGCGATGCGTCAAAACCCGAGTAACCGATTGTCTGCCAGAGCGTGTGTTCAAGCCGGAAGTTGAGCGAGCTCTCCAAGGAGTATTCGAGCTCGTACGAGCACTGCTCGTTGTCGGGGTCGTCCTGGTGGGGTGGCACAAGCGTGGTCACTGGTCAGACCACGGTGTTCCCTGGTGTTGTGCTCGTTGTGTACCACGTGACCGCGTTTCATTGTGCGAGGGTGTGCCTAAGCGTCCGTTTTATCAGTAGTTTCTAGTTTCTCGACGACAGACCGTCATGCTATACAAACTTACGCTGATGTGCTTCACCATTATAAACGCTTATAAGGTAAGAAGGGTGTGAGAGCAAGGATGTCGGCGCTTTCGTCATTATGAGGCTGTGCAGGCACACGTTTTAGACTGAGCCACTGAGGACGATGTTAAGGTCGTCGATAAGATCGACCTTCCTACGGATTTAGACCTAGGTAATCTCTGCCAGAAAGATGTTACTTACGGCCAGAATACGAGCTGCTAGGGCGATAACAACCAGCTCTAAGGACGTTGACTGACTACCAGGATTGCATGGCCCACTCTCAGCCAGGAGGATTCATACCGTATAAATTGAAGGCACGCCGCTGGCACCGGAGAAGTAGTGATGGCATATGTCAACTGAAGAACGTTCACCATGACGAACCCATTTCATGTGAGTTTTCGTGATCATGCGCAAAATCGCGTTCTCGGCTAGTCGTCGTCCGGGTTGATATGAATTACGACGGATACTCATCTACTGGTAAGCGACTCTTCACCCCGTTCTCGTCACCCCATATCCATTGCATGTCAGGCCCCGAAGGCATCGCGATAACGGCCGAAGCCAGGCTCAGGCTCGGTACAATGCCGACAACTCCTCCGACTCACCTATGCTCGCAGATGTTATTTTCGAGACAGGGAAACTACGGCAGTCCCCAAACTCCATGAAGTCTACAATCTCCAATGCAGCGGTTGGCTGCTTTACCAGTTGAAATTTTACGGGGCTCAACGACAGCATGTCCCAGAGGGAGCAGCAATATTTATGTGTCAGGGATCGTCCTTGTAACACTGATACTCTACATATTGCGGTGTACAGTACATAAAATGAGGAGAATGTATATCAAGAATATAGCTAGCGTTGTGATGATATATAATCGAGCACGTATTACCCTGTCTTCGAGGAAGAGCGAGAGGCATTGAGAAATTGTATGTGCAATCTTAGTAGTGCCGCCTGCGTTTAGTCCTGACCGCTGGCTTGAAGTCTTCATCGCTATCGTGATCTCTGCCGCTGCCGCTGCTGCTTTCGCTAAGGCCATCATCTTCTTCTTCGTCATCGTCGTCGTCATCCTCCTCATCCTCCTCCTCGTCATCGATTTGCTCCCCATCACTTTGCTCCTCATCACTCTGCTCGTCCTCGTCCTCGTCCTCGTCCTCTCCCTCATCGTCCTTGTCCTCGGCGTTCTGTTCGCCGCTCTCCTCTTCGGCTTCCTGGCGGCTGCGCTTCTGCCCCCTCGGAATAACTCCGGCAGCTAGGCCTTCGGGCGCTCTTCTACGCCGATTACTCCTTGCCTTTGGTACGGGTACTTCAACAAGCGGTAATGCGTCGCGCCGAGCCTTGAGTATCGTCAGGATATCGTCGTAATCGGGGGGATCGTAATCGGGTTTCTCCCACTCGTCCACTCTGAAGACCCGCCGAAGCTCCCTGACAGTGGGCTTCAGCTCCTCGAAGTACGGATGGAAGTCCTCGAGCAATTTCTCGAAAGCGATATCGCTCCGCATTTGGCCAGATTTGTTCAGTCCTATAGTCTCTTCATCATCGCCCACCATCCACACTTTGAGCTTGGTCTTCATGGGATCAAATCGCCGTCGGTTTTGTCCCGGTCCTTCCAGCACGATACAAGCCCAGCAGAGGACGTAGAAGAAGGATTGTAAGTCATGATGCACCTTATGTTCTATTGCGCTATTGTAGATGAGGAGTTGCACGGCCATGAAGGGCAACGTTCCCTGAAAAAGCAAATCCACGATCAGAACGCAAGCGATGGGATGGAATCAAACGACCCACCGATCGGTGATTCTTGTCTTCTCCTTCATTGCCAGTGGACTCTGTCAGAGTTTTGGAGTAATCGAAATCGATGAGTCTGCCCCGGCGTAGTCCCGGGGCGAGGTTTTCAAATTCGGAGATCAAGATGTTGTGGAAACTGATGTCGCGATGCAAGACATGGCAGTCTTTGCGCATCCGCCTGTGTGCTACGGCATGATCATGAGACCATTAAACGGCGCGTATGACGGGAGGATAGTCACGTACCTTCTATAGCGTCTATTAGGACGCTGAGCAGTTCTCGGCGTGTCGCAAAGTGTGTCAACGATACCCCGTGCTCGCGCAGGATGAGTCGATAATGCTCCCGTATCTCTGGCTTCCGTCCTTTCTTCTTCTTCTTTTGCACTTTCTTTGGGGCAGCATCGACTTTGCAGCGTATGATGGCTGTAGAGTCTATAACGCCATCGACTTGAACCCTCTCGTAGTCATCCATGTGCACAATCCCCTCTGTCTTCTTGGCCTTCTCGGTTTTGAGGATGTCACATTCTTTTTCAGAACGGCTGACGTCGATCCACGAGTCCTTGATGATCGCTGTTTGATCATCATCCGAGCGAACTTTGAGAATGATAGTGCCTCTGCCTCTCAGCGTATCGTCGATGTGTAGCACGTCTCGTATTTTGTACTTCTTCCCACAAACGTGGACCGAACGGAAGCCGGTCGAGTCAGGCTCAGTGAAGGTGGGGTCGTAGCCGAGAGTGACCGGATCCGCGAAGGCGAACCCGCAAAGAACGCGAAGGAGTCGTTCTGGATCCGTGTGGATATTGAACTGTCGAGATTGAAGAACACCCGACCGATCGAATCGCCAAAGACGCATGGAAATTCCAACCAAGGTAAGCCCAAGAATGAAACGCCTGTCATACTGAGCGCCGAAAGTCAATCGAGCGTTTTCCTTGAGCTTCACCGAGGACTTGCTGCCACCCTTGCTTTCTTTTCGAAATTTCATCTCGAGAAAGGCGCAGGCATGACGTCGCTGGACGGTACTGGGGGGAACATCATGCGGAAGCAAAACACCGTCGGGTATACTCTGACAGGGTTCCGTGGCGGAATAGCCGGTCCACTTCCGGCGAGGTATAGACGAGCTGGCGGTCCGCCTGCACTTCCTGGCGGCGACGTCGACTATTTGGTTCAGGAGATCGCATACCGCAGAATCCCGGTCTCCTTTCCGGGACTTCGGCAAGGACGACCAGTCAGTCCATCTTCTGCGATTGTACAAGCCGTCTTTCCTCACAGCAGCCATCGCTTCGCGAAGATTTAACGGCACAGACTCCGACGGAAATACACTCTCGACAAGTCCGGGCACGTCCTCGATCATGGCACCTTTCAGCTCCGTATGAATAGCGCGGCTCGTCCAATCCTTGGTGACAGATTTCGTGCTGGATTGTGTTCGTAAGGAGTTGCTAGCTCTGATGGGGGTAGACGAAACGGTGCAGGTCGGTCCGGGCGTAACCCTAGGTGGGGTGGAGTGGCGAGAAGCCATGGCCAAGTAAGCGAGCGTTGAACTGGGTGAGGAGTGCGGAAACTCACTGTATGGGAAGAAGCTTGTTCTACCCAGAGGCAGAGCGAGGCGTCCATTAGAGAGCCACCAAGCTTGATGGTGGTGAGATGCCACAACGTTGAACCGTGGCCATACGGTTCCCTTTGTGCTCGTTGCGCACCACGTGACCGCGTTTCATTATGCAAGCCGGGGCCTAAGCGTAGAGTTTGAGTATCAGTGCCAGCTTTCGAAAATCTCCATGCTATGTAAACTTGCGCTGTTGACCTATCTGTACTGAAGAAAATGCGGGCGTGACATGTAGGCTGTCTTCGTGAGAGCACTTCGTCACTCTGGTGGCAAGGCTGTGCAGGTACACCGCTGAGAACGAAGATGTTAGGGTCGTCGATAAGATCGACCTTCCTACGGAGTCAGACCAAGGTATATATCTGTCAGAAAGATGTTACCTACGGACAGAATGATGACCTCGATGGACAGGTCTTTAGTTCGTGTGCGAAATCCGCGTACCGCCCCTCTCAGTCTCAACGGAGACCGACCCTACAACTCCGTGTTCTTATCACATCTGGACCATCGCCTTCGCTGTTCAGAGCTGCCATGTCGACTCAGGCGGCCGTGAAACACCATTTCATCGTGTATGCCCCGGATTCTACTGATCCGGAGGCCCTCTCCCGTCGCTTGTCCGTCCGGCCGAGTCATCTCGAAAATGCCAAGAAGCAGAAGGAGATCGGTTTCCAGAGTTCGTTGGATGCAGTTGATACCAGCATTTACCCCTCAGAGCTGATCCATCGCTTTTGCGCAGAGATCGGCGGAGCCATGCTCACGGAAGACTCGTTGACTGCCTCCGCCGCTGATCGCAAGTTTGTTGGTTCTGTCATGATCTTCGAGGCGTCCTCTATCGATGAAGTGAAGAAAGCGATATACGAGGACGTGTACTACGTCAACAACGTCGTGAGTGAACCGCGCTCGCATCGGGCAATCAAAGCTGAGTCTGAGACAGTGGGACCACGACAAGCTCGTCATCTTGCCCTTCCTCTCCGCAGCGCCGCTTTCCTGAAGATTCCAACAGTATGTGAGGATATCGTATATAGCACACGTATGCAGTCCGTTGGGTACAGTGCAACGAATGATGATGCATCCTGTCACGGCCCGGGCCAGTGCCCGTGGGCGCCCTTGGGCGCTCGGGGGAGCGGTTGCTGTGCCGTCTTTTATCCCACCACCTTCGCTTGCTGGAGGTCGGGAAACGGAAGCGAATATACATCTTCTCATCAACCACGACTTCCCCGGGCACGCCAGCCGCAAGCATCCCTCATTCTTAGTGCTCCGGTTTTGTCTGGTGTCGTCAAGCTTTCTGCACGCTGCGCGACAGCGTACTGTAGTTGAGCGTGTACTTGTACCGCCCAGCCCTGCCGTCCTGCTACATGTCGGAATCGAGTCCATTGGATGCGTCCTTTGTCGTTGTGGACAGGGATGCGAGCGCTACGGGTGCTGCACCACGCCTGAATCCGACGAATGCGCCGGCCTCTAGCAAAAGCGTTAGTCCAAGCCGTGGTGCGGTCCTTCTGATGCTCACACAAGCTTATGTATATAGGGTCCTATCCCGCCCAAAACCGCCCACGTACCCTACGCTCATGACTGGTCGAAGGAAGGCACGAACGGTGGAATTAGTGTGCAAGGGCGGCACTTTGTGGATGGCCTCGGCAGGATCTGCAGCTTGCGCGGCGTGAACCTTTCTGGCTCGAGCAAGACGTATGTTTTCCTGTCATTACTGTATCTCTCTACTGAGTACCGTGTATGAAGGCCAGTGAATCATGACCACGAGCGCTTCCCGGCCGATCACGAAGGCGTCACATTCGTCGGCCGTCCGTTCACGCTTGAAGAGGCACCGCAGCACTTTGCAAGACTCCGACGGTGGGGGCTGACTTTTGGTACGTGCTCCTCACGTCTCCTCGCGCGCGCGTCTCGTGCTGAAAGCTGTCGCCTTAGTCCGATTCCTCGTCACTTGGGAAGCGGTTGAGCACGCTGGCCCGTACGTGCTCTCGATCCAGTCCTCTGCGATTCGCTGACCTACGATCAGTGGACAGTATGACCACGAGTACCTCACCTATATCCGTTCTCTCCTGTCGCTGCTCCCACAGTACGGGCTGGTCGCCTTCGTCTCGCTTCACCAGGACGTCTGGTCGCGTTACTCCGGCGGCTCAGGTGCGCCTGCATGGACGTTGGAGCAGGTCGGCTTCGATCTGCATGCTTTGGAAGATACGGGAGCCGCGTGGCTGGTCGGTGTCAAAGGCGGTGGCCACGTCGAAGCCGAGCGAGGCATATGGCCGTGCGGATACCAGAAACTGGCCGCGGCCACCCTCAAGTGAGTGGCCGTCGAGGAGGCAGGTTCTTCTTGCTAAACTCGGTGGACGTCTAGCACATGTTTCTGGGCAGGCGATACGTTCACACCAAAGCTGAAGGTCAAGGCGAAGGATGGCACGGAGACGTCTGTGCAGCAGTTCTTGCAGAACGCCTTCCTGAACATGTGGGACCAAGTTGTGAAGGCCGTCGGTGACCTTCCCGCTGTCCTGGGCTTTGAGGTATGGATAGTCCCCGCCTTGCGCTGCGCTAGCCGCTAACGACGAGCAGATCATGAACGAGCCCCATCGCGGATATGTGGAATTGAAGTCCCTCCACGAATTCGTGTACGAAACCGACTTACATTTATCCCACGTTCGTGAGTGACCAGGTTCTGCTAATCTCCCGAGTCCAATTGATCCTGAATTGTCCAAATAGCATCCGCCATGCAGTCCTTCTTACTCGGTTCCGGTCACCCAACTCGCGTCGGACATTGGACGCGCTCCTTCCCTATGCCTACCCGACTTACGGGCTCAGAAGTGCTTAATCCACACGGCAAAACGTGCTGGCGTGCCGACGGGCCTACCTCCGGTCAATGCATCTGGGAGATGCACGGCGTCTGGGGATGGGACAAGAGGAAGGATGAAGGAGTCGTGTTGAGGGAGAGCTACTTCGTCAAGCACCCGATGACCGGCAAGAAGGTGGAGTGGTATGAGGACTACTATTACCCATTCGTGAAGAAGTGGGCGGAGAGGGTGAGAGGCGTCGCGGGCGCGGACAAGATAGTCTTTGTGGAACCGATACCGAACGAAGTCGGTCGTCCCTTGTTTCGCGAAGAGGCGCGTCTAACTCGAGCTTATCACCTGTAGTTCTGCCCGGAGTCTTGGACCCCCGAGCGCCGACCGGCGAACTTGGTTTACGCTCCTCACTGGTACGTACTCTCGTGAATTCTGTTGAGTTTTTGGCTTATGCTTTCGCACCAGGTACGATCTCAATGCCCTGTTCGCCAAGGCTTTTGGAGATTTCACCGTGAACGTGCAAGCTCTCTCCCGAGTACGTGGGCTGTTCATCTTCGCTGCTGCCTCGCTAACGGCAGCGCAGGGCGCCTTTCCTCTCAATACGTTCTACTGGGGCCAGCGCGGGGCCCGTGACAACTACGCCCTGCAAATGAAGAACATCGTCGAAGCTGGCTACCGTGCACTGGGCGAGACCCCGGTCATCATTGGCGAGTGTGGAATACCGATGGACATGAAGTGAGTTCCGTCGCAGGATTTCGCACTGCGCCCCGGTTGACCCTTTTTCACAGCAAAGGTGAAGCCTTCAAGTCCGACAACTGGGAATGGCAAGGTCGGATGATGGACGCCATGATGACCGCGCTCGAGCGTGCGCTCATCGGTTTCACGTGAGTGCATTTACTCCATCAGTAGCTCGTCTACTGATGTCACCCCTTCCGCTCTCAGCCTGTGGAACTACAATCCAGACAATGCGGATCATATTGGCGATGACTGGAATGGCGAGAACTTCTCGTGGTTCAGTCGGACGCGGGCGTTGCCTAAAGAGTTCCTACTGGAGGACCAGACCTCTGCGAGTTTGGACCAAGGCGGACGTATCCTCCAATCGGTGATTCGGCCGTATCCCGCTAAAATCGCAGGTATACCCTTGAAATTCGATTACGAAGCCACCACTGGCAAGTTCGCGTTCGAATGGGCGACGCCCGATCCATCTCAGACATCGGTTGCTGCTGCCGCTTCGGTCTCGAGCCCTCCGTTGAACCTAGCTACACCGTCGACCGCGGAGACCCAGATTTACGTGCCGTCCATGGTTATCCATGGGCGCAAGCTCGTGGTCAAGGGCTTGCGGGACGGGGACACTCACCGTTACGTGGAGGAGCTGCAGACGTTGTTCGTCACGACGGAGGATACCACGCCGGGAAGCGTGCATAAGCTAGTGGTCGAGCTGGACCCGCCGCTCAAGGCGCCCTGGATAGTAAACGATTTCTGGACCGACTTCGGCGTATGGGTCTGGACGGTGCTTGCTGCGATCATCTCCTTCATCGTGTTCAGGGCTATTGGGTGAGGATGAAGCGGAGGACTTTGCCACTAGATAGTCGACAAGGGATAATATAAATAGAGCGTAGACTATACCCAATGCTGCTACACGAAGCGGTGAGTAACCTGATGGATAGACATCCACGTGCTGAAGCGAGCAAACATACACGCGCCTTCTTGGATGGCGACGGCGACGACGGGCTCCGAGTTGTCTCCAGCACGGATGATCAGCACCTCGCGGTCGCACGTTCTTCGTGATACTCGCTCGCATCCTCCCAACAACGGACCACGCAGCGAAACGTGCTATGCGTTCCGCATGGCCTCTCCGGCCGACGCACATCAATTTCCGCTCATATAATACCAAATTCTGTTGCGCCTGGTTACCTGCAGCTTGCCTCGGGCGACACCTTGCACGGCACAATCGCTATGCGTCTCTCCCTCTTCGCTGCTCTCCTCGCCGCCGTGGGCAACGTCGAGCTTGGAAACGCGTCGCCTCTGCGCCGTGCCAGCACCCCCATCCTCCTCGGCAACGACGATGGCTGGGCGGAAGCCAACATTCGGGCCTTCTACCAGGTGCTCAAGCAAGCGGGCTACAACCCGCTCATCTCTTCGCCCACAGAGAACAGGTCGGGCTTCGGTTCGTTATCCACGACGCCGAAGTCTCTCACCTCGCCCGGAGAATTCGATAGCATTCCGGCTGGCGCACCCGCTGAAGGCCACAATGCTACCGACGGTGTGTTATAACCCCATCTACTTCTCGCGGTTTGGATAGCTCACAGGCTTTGGCCCCCTATAGATCATATTTGGTACGTCAATGCGTACCCGGCGGACGGCGTCACCTTCGGCTTGAACAATCTGTCTTCCACGTTCTTCGGAGGACCACCCGCATTGGTCGTCACTGGCCCTAACGTCGGCGGTACGTTCGCACGCATTCCGATTTCTCGATTCGCTCTGAGCTTGCTTCGGTACAGGCAACGCCGGCCTCACCACCTTGTTTTCCGGCACCGTTGGCGCCGCGTCAGCGGCAGCACAGGCAGGTGTCCCCGCCATCGCGTTCAGCGGCGCCACCGGCTCGCAGCGCGCCTACACCGAACTCGTCCCAGGAGACTACTCCTTCATCTACGCCTCTGCCGCCCAGCGCCTCACCGCCGCGCTCCTCGCCTCCGGAGCGCCGTACCTCCCCGCCAATACCGCCCTCAACGTCAACTTCCCCGCCGCCGGGCCCGGTACCGACTGCGAGTCCGCGGACGACGTCAAGTTTGTGATGTCGCGCGTGCACACCGTACTCGGTCTTCCCGTTGACGTGAAGACGTGCGGGAGCAGCAGCTTGCCGTCCGAATCGTCGGTGGTGGGCACGAGCGGAGGGTGCTTCGCGAGTGTGAGCGTGTTCAGCTCGAGCACGAAGTTGGACGTGGGGAAGTCAACGCAGCAGATAGTTCTCGACAAGTTGTCTAACATCTTTACATGTCTGCCGTCGTAGACGGTGTAGCACGGCGATGAATTTCAATCTTGGCACGCAAAGTGATCTCTATGAGAGATTGAGATGCTGACAGACGACAGAGCTCGTGTACGAAGTTGTATAATCATGCAAAAGCCAAGTTCCGCTACAGGATCGCTCTTCCATTCCCTGTGGCAATTTCCTTTGAGACGGCGCGAAGTTACACAGAATGGAGTTGCTCTTTCTTGATGACCTGTTCGAAAATCGCGAGCGCAGCCTCAGGTTGGAAAGCAGGCTTCGGAGGATGTCAGCAAATAGCAAAGGCAAGATGACATCAATAAGGGCCTACCACTTCGTGTCCTGCCTGGTATACACGTCTGCACGTAGTGCCGTCAGCACAACAGCGCGCAACGGGGCCAGAGAACGTACGCAAAGGAGAAGTTATCAATGTTTTTGATCGACGCGACTGGGGCACCGTCCAGGGTTATGTTCTTAAACGGCGTGTTGACCAATCTGTCATGGCCGTACCAGTCCATGGCCTCCACAGAGGCGTAGCCTCCCAGCCAGTTACAGCTAAAACGATGTTAGCATCGACCGAATCAGAGTTCGTTTGGGGATGAATCACTTGATATCTGCGTCTCCGGCCTTGGTACGTGCAGCGTCATCAACCTAGCAGTTGCAATGAACGATGTACTTACCCAAATGAGCACCTTGAGACGCGAGTTTGCTAAAGCGCCGAGCTGTGGGAGCCATGTCCGTGCATCCTATAACACCATCAGCGATCACCCCGTCAAGACGATGTTAAAGTTCCTCACGTCACCCGTACGTCCGAATTGTCCGCCGACAGCCCCTGAACATTCACGGTACGTCGCATTGGCTCCGATTGCTGCCTTCACATCGGGATTCGCTAAATAGTGCACGTAGAATTCGGGCGGGAACAGCGCAGATGAGTTCTGTCTGAGATCATCTACGTCGCGATCCCCGATCGCCGGAATGAACACGTTCTCGACCTAGAGGAGCAGATGAAGATATTGTGTGACACAGATCAGTCCGTCTGGTGTCAAAGCTGGAGATTCCAAGGTCTCACGCAAAAGTTATCTGCGCTGATGCAGATAGCGTTCGAACTGCTGTTCGTCCCGGCGGCGTAGCATGCCTCCTCCATGACCTTGCAGCCGTTTTCTCCATAGAACGCCTCGTTCAACTGCTCCAACACGCTATCATTGACCAGCTGCCCGTAACCAGGAGCGTTGGTCGCAAAGTCGACGTATGCCTTATTCTGAAGCAGAGGATCGTACCAGCCGCTGATGGTGGTCTCAGCTCATGCACTAGCAGGAACTGCCGACAACGCACTTGTTGATCATGAGAGCCGCTGTAGTTATTTTCTCTCCTTTCAGCTCGCCCTTGTCGATCTTTTCGTTTTGTTCATCGAAATAGGTCACAAAGCTAGGACCATAATGTCCGCCTAAATGAAAACGTCGATTGAGCAGAGGAACGACAGTAACTCTTCGTTAATACGTACCGTAGCTTTCTGTGGCGAAAACGAATCTGCACAACAGGTATCACATTGGAGTCCTGTGAGGAAGCATATGAGCAACGTACTCGCGTGATCGGAATTTCTCAAATTCTCCGCTTTCGAACAGTAACTGGAAGGCGGTCCAGAAAAAGGGAGCAGCCGACTCTGTGCTGTTCACCGGGCTAGTGCCGTACGAGAACCCGGTGCCGATGGGTTGGTCAATGTAGATCACTGAGACATGTCTATCTCAACAAGCATGGCTCGCAGACAAAAAGAGAAACCTACTATTGCTGACGTTGTTCCAACTGAAGGGGTTCAGCGTCGTCGAGTTACCATCCGGATTAACATGACAAGGTCCGTGTTCCTGGAACAATCCGATCATCGACGAGCACCCTGGACCGCCTACAACAACGTCAATAGATATCGCAGGAAGGAAGTAAGAGATACAGACCATTGATCCACAGAGTGAACGGCGCTGTTTCGGGGGTATGCCTAGCTTCGAAGAACCAAAACCACATCGACATATTTGCGCCAATATCCAGATACCCTGAGATTTGAGAAACGCCGGGCGTGGTTTCGCAAATGCCAGAGTCTTTGACAAAGCGAAGCCCGGTATCATCGTGAACGGATGACTTGAACTCGGTAATGTGCGATCGTTTGAGGGGCGTAGCCGCTGTTAGGAACAATGCAGAAGCGACGGCTATCAGCAGCCCGCCTAGGGGTTTGAACATGGTGGACAGGTAGAAGCCGGGGTATTACAGAGCAGGAGAGCATATAGCAAGGGGTGCGATGGTTTCTGAAGAGTAGAAGTACAGTCGTCCGCCATATCGTCCACGTGAGGCAGAAGGTGTTAAATCCGTCCTGGGAAGCACTCCACTAGGCGCGTACACACGGTGTATGGCTTCGCGAACGTGTACATCATATGCAGAAACCACAATCAGCACGCGATGTCGAAGTATCCGGGATACTTTCAAGAAATCTTGCGCTGCGTTACTCCGGGCCAGGAGCTCCGTTTGCGAGTGCTGAGAAGATCGACCCGAAAGCATCGAAGTCGCAAGATTCTACGTCCTTCCAATCCCGATGTGTGACCTACCGCCAGTTGTTTCTGCTACACAACTTCGAACGCCTTATCTTCGCGGCAGAAGTCTCGTCCAAGGATGCAGGCGGAACTTTCACAACAATAATGTGGACTAGTGCAGGGATGGAGTTGTGAGCGACCGTCCCCAATAAGTAGGAACGAGCATGCCGTTGTCGGTCGAGAACGCAGTTGAGAGGAACTGGTAACGGTTCGGGTCTCCTCGAGATTTCGATTGCCCACGTGACAGATGCAGTAATGATCACTGTCAGTGCCTTCCGCTCTACGGTGCGCGGAGCAAGGCTCCGAACCTAAGCTCAATATATCATTCGATAGCGCGGGTCGTACCCGATCGAACATGCCCCTCTTCGCGGCGAACGACCTCGACTGTCTTCAGCGTCCTCTTCCATCCGATGAACCTGACCCGCCTCCGGCACCTGCATTAATACCTTACCTCTGGGTAACCGCATGGCAGGATTCGGCGGAGACTGGCGAAAGTCATTCTACTTCGGCTTTCTGGTTTCCGGTGCGGGATGCTTGACGTTGCTGCTGGCAGCGCTCCTGAGCTCAAAGACAAGAAGGTGCGTCGGCGGCTAGTGCGTAGGCTTATATCACCTACTCACCGAATTAAAGGAATCCGACGCTGATTTCCCTATGTTGGTCCTGGTGGATTTCCGCCTTTCCGTGCCTAGGACTGTTGTAAGTGAACAAATATCTCGCGGAACTGCTTTCCTCACATCGAGTCAGGTTCTACGCAGGAAGAGTGACCGGACCCTCGCCAAGTCCTTCCCTTTGCTTGGCCAGTGCGACCCTTACCATGGCCCAAGCTCCTTTGTTCGTCTACTGCTATAACCCCTTCTTCAGCCATTTACTTGTCCATGCAGGACATCCATGTCTGTGCTATGCCTCGTCTGTCATGTAAGATGGCCACAATACGAACTGCGGTTGCATATCTGATCCTTGATATCGCAGGTGTGGTTTATTGTACGGAACACCATGCGAACATCCACGGTCGGCCCAGTTACATCGCCGGCCGTCACCACGCTACTCGTCCTGCTTCCATACTTGACTTTTGTTGCCTTCTCTATGGCGGCCTTTGCGGTGCGCAATGGCTAGTGACGTATATTAGATAGTAACTGACGACTAACAATAGCTCGGGCGATCACATCCTTCTTACGTTCATCGTGCTCTGTTCTACTGCGTCGTCAAACATGAACAACTGTTCGTAACGTTCATAATCTGTGTGCCTATATCTCACTCTCCTATCATCAGCGAGAGGGCCATAGCTGCATTTGGCAGCATAGTAACGTTTGGTGCCAGCGTGTTGGAAGGTGGGGCCTGATTTATCCAATGAAATAGCCCTCATCTTTCTGACCTGTCCATGCAGTCTGGATTGCCCTCCTCGTGCGAAGCAATCGCAGTAACATAATCCGACAAGGCGTGAATGTGACATTGCTCATGCGCGTGCTATTATTCGGTGGCTACGTCATGGTGGGATTCTGGTCGGCGTTAACATTTCTCTCAGACGGTCACGCGTCTCACCTTGTATCTGGCTCTGTAGTTTGAACATCATTTCACTTTTTAAATGGATAAGCGTGAGTGATACTTATTGTGCACGCAGCCGTAGCTGAAGCCCCTCGCAGCCGATACCGGATCTCTTTTGCTCGACATGCGGTCTCGCAGTATTTTTCATCTTCGCTAGTGCAGAGGTGAGCATCCAGAAGGGCTCCTCCGGAGTCCGGACTGATCATCACCGCACGTAGCCTGTATGGCGACTCTGGCGTCGCATTAGCCCACGCAATCGCAGCCAACAGCAAAAAACTTCGGATTGCAGCCCGGACCGGTCACCAGTCAATGACACGCTCCTTTTCACCCTCCCACATGCCGCCGTCGTGGTCGACGACGCCATCTCTAATGCCAGCGTCACCTCGGCGAAGCCCTCGAGCTCGTCCGGGATCAGTGTGCACTCCAAATTGTATGCGCCGCCGTCATTAGTTGAGGCGCCGGCAGATCTTGTCCGTTCCAGGTCGCCTTCGATGTTCGGTTCGCTGTCGTTGAGACGAGATAGTTGCCCCTTACGTCCGTGGATCACGGACACCTCATCTTGCGAAGGAAGAGGTTGAAAATATATATAAATGATAGATGCTACCAGTGAACATAGCGACGTTCGAGCAGCGGAGAGATTTGCGCATCATGCTTGGCTTCGCGTCGGAAGCAATGGCGGGAACCTACTTCCTCGCCACTTGCGGCTGTGTTCATCTTACTCTTCTTTCTCGAGCGGTGACCGTACTCCGACCCATAGCTCGTCCTTCAAGGCCTCGTCATGGACGGAGACGACGAGAGTCATGTGCGCCACGTAGATAAGGGCAAAGCGCGAGCAAGGTCTCCAGAAACGACGGAGAGGACGCCGCTCTTACCCTCTTCCTCCCGCGTCGACCTTGATGACCTCGAACCGGCCTCGCATTCCAGGCGTTCCCTCGCCGCCCGCCTCGTCCGCGTCTTCCTCATCACCATCGCTGTATGCGTCGCGTTGCTACTGTTTCTCCTGCTCTTGGCTTGGTCGTATGCTGGCCGAGCCTCCCACATGTCGCCGGAGGACCTCATGGCCCGTGCTCTGGTCATGCGGGGTCCGGACCGCTTGACGGTGATCAACATCACCCAAGAAAGCGGAATATGGCTTAGGGTGAAAGGAAGAGTGGGATTGGATGCGGGGGAGGTGATCGGGGTGAACAGTCCGGAGGACGACAATGACAACATCCTCAAGTACTTCTGGAAGGCGTGGGGTCGGTGGGGCATCGCCAAGCTAGACAGCGTCTCCGTCAACATGAGCACGATCAGCTTAGCGTCGGAGAGACACCCAGAGATCTTTTTGGCTACTATAGACACCCAGCCGATAGAAGTCCCGCTTACGACCAATCCTCCGAAGGACCTGTCGTGGCTTTCAACGTTCTCCATGCCGGTGTACATCCTCCCGACACAAAACGTATCTGCTTTGACCCACTTCGCGATGCAAAGCTGGAGGGACGGGTCCATCTCTGTGAAAGCGACTGTAGATAGGGCGGAAGTGCGCGGGGGCAGAGGTTGGAGGCGGAATCTGAAGACTGTCCGCTCTGGTATCAAAACAATCGTCAGGCAAAAGCGTACGTGAACGTCGTCGCTGTATTTATCTCTCCCTCACAGCTTGACAGTTCCCGCCTTACCCGGACTGCCAACTCCGGGGCACAACAACCCGTTTCCTGCGTTTTCTGACCTGGTCACTCTCCGGTCTTTCAATCTTACCTCCTCCGATCAGACCTTGAACGTTACCGCCGAGGCGACTGCTATAAATCCGGTTCCGGAGTCTATAGACTTTACGGCGCCCTCGCTGCCCTTCATCATCTCCCTTCCCTCCATCAGCAATAGGACTTCGACGCCGGTGCCAGTAGCGGCCGTCACTTCCGCACCATTTACGCTCTCTCGGCCGAACATCACATTGCATGCGACTGGCAGCGTCTTACCTATACCCGCCAATGCGTCCGCAACCTTCTCCGCCTTCCTAGGACGCTACCTATCTGCCCTCCCTAATCCGATCATTATATCTACGGACCTCTTCCCCAGCTATACGTTGGACGCTGTCTTTCCCGCGCCGAACCCGAAGCCTCAAATCCTCCGGGATGTGACGATCCGCGACATGAAGGTGAAGCCTTCTGGACCCGGCGGCGCCTTCCTTGCGAGCGGCACTGTCTATGCGAAGATTGTGATGCCCCGCGGCATGAACGTCAAAGTCGACGTCGAGCGCGTGCTACCCGACGTGCTGATCTACGATGGCCCGGTACCGCCGACTATCAGTCCCGCGCCCTCACCCACCACCGAACCCGTCCAGGACGATCCACCGCCACCACCGCCCCCGCTGCCAGAGCCGATACCTGAGCGCGCGTTCGGACGCGTGCGGCCTGACGACTGGCTCGACGCCATCAGTGTCCCGCTCGAAAGCGACGACGGCGAGGGATCCGCCGTCGCCGTCAGCGCCAAGATCGTGGACGTGCCCCTCGAGGTTCTCCCCGGTCGTGAGCGCGAGTTCAGCGACTTCATCGGGAAGGTATGCACGCGCTCTACTTGCGACCTGACGCCGCGCTCATTGCAATTGTTGCCGCGGTTGCAGGTCGTCTTTGGGTCTCATGGTGCGGTGGCGGGCCTGCAGGGCGTCGTCGCGGTGTCCGTCAACGTGCGTGGTCTGCCGGTGAAGAACGGCACCGGCGGGGGTATAGAGTTGGACGGGTTGCCGTTCCATGGCGCGGTGCGGATCGGCAAGAAGGGCTTGTAGGACACGTTGCGTGGTGATATCTTACGGACACTCTCCAGGTCGTTCGTGCCCCTGGAGGATTGTATAATAAACATTTTGGATGTATTCTAGATATTTCAGTGCTGTCATGTTTGTCGAATGCTCGCAGATCGCTTTAGCTTTTTTTTCGACATTGCCGCTAGCCCTTGATCCCATGAACGAGGTTGAGTGCAAAGCAACTTGAGTGCACACGACATGGCCGCGATGGATATTATACATGGATACTGTAGGAATGTTCAGAGTGCATCGTACTGTCTACTGAGAGTCAGTCTGCATACTCAACACAGAATGGGACCACGAACGGTAATCTATACCGCCAGAGTCGGCTGCGCCTCCTCAAGTGGGGGTTCGGACAGAGGCGCAGAGGTAGTGGTCGTCCGCTCTCGGGGCGCGTTGCCTTGCCGCTTTTCCGTTCTCCGCTTCTTCGCGGCCTCCTCCAGCGATATCCGCAATCGCATGCCTTCGTCACCCAGCAGTGAGGGCTTAGTCTTGCGCAGGTAGTTGTCTATCCCCCCGTTCTACATACATTGTAAGCGCTGTCCGTTAACTCAGGCGAAGGAAGAGGGAACGCGTACCTTCTTGATGGTCTTCAGCGCCTTCATGCTAACCTTCACTCGCACGTTCTTCTGGAATGTCTCCGAGAAGAAAGTCTTGTTGTGTACGTTCGGGAGCCACGTCCGCCGCGTCTTGCCCTTGGAGAAGGGAACGTTGTTGCCGGATTGCTTCATAACACCATGATAGAGACCCGTCTGGGCGCGTTTGAACGGTGTGCTGACGATCGCGGCCGCCCAGGTGGGCAGTGTAGAGAACATGACCGGAGAGACCAACTTTGGTGAGAACGCGTTTACCAGGGTTTAGTTCTACCTAGGTTATCTATTAGTCTCACACTCACAATACGAGTCAAAGCTGCATTATGTACATACTTTACATGGAAATACTTGCTGAAATACCTTTATGTGGGAGAATATTCTGGGAAATCTCCAGACTCCCTGCCGCTGTCTGTTCCCCGCAATGACGCCAACAGCATGTCCGAGGTGCCTGCTCGCTCACAACCACCATCCCGTCGCTGTGCTGCTCGGCGAGCTGAACCCTGGCCTTTCACGGCTCGGCCAGCATGTGCCCCTGGTCATTGGCAACTGAAGTTGCCCGGGCTCGAACGTATATCTGGCTACCGCGACGACTAGCGCCTACGCTCTGGAGATCCCGACGAGAGTCCTTTCGACTGCAGTTCAGGAGATATGCTTCGACTGAGCCTCCCTACAAAGCAATGTCAGCAGACGTCGAGAACACGAACGTCAGCCATTCGCGGTTCATCAACGAAGCGAGTCCGCGAACGCGCTGGAAAGATGATATCGACAACGAGGGCGCCCTGAAAGGCATTGAGGAGGCGGAGGAGCATTTTGCGGATCTTAAACCAGGAAAGGGTACGTGAAACCCGCACATGCTCGGTGTCATCGATATGGCGTTATAACACGCAGCGTCAGGGAAATTGTCTCCGACCTCTACCCACCTCTTCAAACTTATACTACCCTTGGGCCACCTCTCGTCGCGTTACAATAGCAAGAACGAGGAGTCATCCCCCGCCCCGCCCACTGTCTTCCTGCTTCACCCGTCGCAACCGCTCTCGCATGTCTCTCGCCTAATCCTTGCCTCACTCGCGCCGGCTACGCCCTCAATAACGTTTAGAAGCACGTCCCCCACGACCGGTTCTGAATTCCAATGGAGCGACGCGACTGACGTCGCCGATTTCGCCCGCGACGCCGCGAGCGCGCGTGAGTTCTGGATACATATCAGCAATTCCCCCATCCCCGCCGTCGGTGTAAGCCCCCAACTGAAGGACCCTAAAGGCGAGTCAAATCAAGTGGATGGACTGCAGGATACCGTTATCGAAGTTGAGGTGCCGACGTTCGCGGACCGCACACGGTATCTCCGCCGGCGGCTGGACATTATTGGGCGCGAGCTGAAGGAGATGGAAACGCTGAAGAAGAAGTGTGATTCTGAGGCGCACCGTAGCGCGAGATCGCTGGCTGTGGGCGGGTTGGCCATGCTCGTGGTATATTGGGGAGTAGTGGCGAGATTGACGTTCTGGGACCTTGGCTGGTTAGTACGCCGCTGACAGGACGGCGGGGACTCACGCTGACGAACGCATTGGTCAGGGACGTCATGGAGCCGGTCACGTATCTCTCAGGCCTATCCATGGTCATCCTAGGCTATCTCTGGCATGTCCATTCCTCGGCACCCACGCTCAATAACTGACCAAATGTGCCGGCAGGTTCTTATACCAAGGTCGCGAAGTATCATACGCCTCTGTGCTCGACCGATCAATATCAGCTCATCGCGAGGCCCTCTATCGAGCCCACGGGTGCGTTGCTCATCTGCTCCTTTCCCGCGAGTTTACATAACACTCATCGGCCCCTACGATCACAGATTTGACATTGACCGTTGGATCGAGCTTGTCAACGAAGCAAAACAGGTCAAGCGCGAAATTGCGAAGATCGCGGCCGACTACGACGAACACAAGCGCGAGGCTGAACCGCGGAAAGAAAACGACACCCCAAGTGCCTCAGCTTCAACCGGCGAAGGCAAGGGAAACGCCGAGAAGGCAGGTTTGCATATGCAGGATCGAGATGGCGACGGTGTTCTGGAAGGCGCGGAGATCCTGAGCGACCAAGAAGTGAAGAAAGAGGACAAGAAACGGAAGATACAGCTTGACCGAGAAGGGCGAGATGTCAGTAGTGCGGATGAGGTGATCAACGGCTAGACGCGGATTTGCCATAATGGAGTGCATTGACGATGATAGAGGATACATCACGCATATACCTTCAATATTTAACATCGACGCTGTTCACATACACGGACTCGAAATTATTCACCAGGTTTTGGCCACCTATATCAATTGGGGTAAACGCTGACCGTGTTATCCCGCGGTCCGCGAGCAGCCTGAGTCCCCAGCGTCTTGGGGCGCACGCGACCAGACTCGGGGTCTGGCCAAATTGCCCAAACGCAAGCCTTGCCCAGTCTTCGCAGACTATTCCCGCGGGAGCCTCATTCCCCGTAGTTGAGGAGCTCGAAGAACCCGCGACCTCCTGTGTAGGTCTCTCCGCCGACTCTGCCACCGGTGATCGAAGACGTCCAGCGGGCATACGGAACCAAGGGCGATCCCGCAAGCCCCACAGCAATTCTGTCCGACCGCGGATCTCAGTACAAGGGAGAATAACTTCGCAGAGTAGACCATGTGTGTGTTACTCACGAGGTCATGTTGAACTTATACTCGGCTGCGTTGAGGGAGTAGGTCACGGCGATGCTGACGGTCGAATTATCCGGGTTGCCGACCACGTCCGGTCCCTCGCTCCAAATCGCGCCCGACGTCTCGATCGCAAGGTGCTTCTTCGCGTGCGCGGCCACGCTCTGCTCCGCGCTGCAGAAGTCGAGGATCTGGACGCCGTCGAGGGATAGATAGCCCGACGTGTACCAGGCATTCGGGTCCGTGGCGGGTACGGACGAATTTTTGGGCAGGTAGGAGAAGTAGACCAACGTGTAAGGGCCGACGCGACCACGACCCCAATACCAGTGGTTGGCTGTCTCAGAGAGTTGCTTCAGGCCAAAGTTGGAGTCATGGTAGCCTGTTCGTCGGTGAGCAGAGTGAAGGGCGACCGTCCGAATCATCTTACCTGATCCTGAATAGGAGAATGTTTCGTTGCCTAAGGTCAGGAACCCAGTTGCTGTCGCTCCCTGCTTGAAGTGAGTCTGATGAACTCAAGTCTAGGTACCGCAACACACAGGAACAGCGTTTGCCCAGCCTAACCAGGGTCCAACAAGGTTCGGGGCGACAGTTGTGTTAAATGAGGGGTCCGCCGACCTTCATCTTGATCAGCAAGATAGCCTAGCAGGATCGCTGGTGGAAACAAACCCGTCACACGGATAGTGGGCTGGTGCAACGGCATCGAGCGTTAAGTTCCCGGATACTGTTCCATCCGTATTCTGGAACGTCACGACATAGCCTCGCCGAGTCGAGTTCCATCCACCCAGAGAGGGCCAAATGCCGTTGCTGAATGCACCCGTGGAATGTTCAACTGTGGCAGAACCAGGCGAGACGGCGAACTGTCCAAAGTGTGTGCCGTTGGGGACCGTAGACGTGATTTGAAGGTAGTACGGAACGGGGACGAAGTTGCCGAAACCGTAGCCGGAGTAATAAACGACTTCCAACGCAGATCCAGAGTCTGCGACGAGATCAAAGTACCTGAGGACACGATCGGTGACAGCGTTCTCGATTGAATGAGTGCAAACTCACCACCACTGGAAGGGATCCTCCGCCGTGGAGTTGGCGGTGGCCAGCGGAACATGCGGCCCGTCTAGATAGGTGCCCGAGGCGCATGCTGTCCATAGGATCAGAACAAATGATGCGACAACCCTGAGCATGTTGCGAAGGTGCGGGTAGCGCTCGGAACCTGCGTCGGATGCGCGCCCTTAAATACAGTCGTCAGGTTCCAGCTTCGACAGCGAGGGGGCATCGCCTAGTCCAGGAACACGGCACAAACATCGGGAGGGCGAGGGCCGAAAACAGTTTAAACTCGTTTACGCGTTAGGGGTTAGAGTTGCAGACTCTATTGTGAGAACGATTGTCTTCTCACTCTAAAGGCTGCCTGTGGAGACTACGTTTAGCAGGGGCAAGCGAGATAGGCGCTTTATGGCGCGTCCGGGAACCTCGTGGCGTCGGACGAAACGATACGTCTTAGCGACTGGCTGCTGATTGATCCGTTCCATCGTCAAGTTGCCTGAACGCGTGCGGAGGTTGCAGACTGTTGCACATTGCAGGAAGGTACGGGCCCACCCAAGACGGTAGACGAGGGCGGAGATGATTACGAAGAATATTTTCGGGCCGGACACCGGAACAGCGACCCTTGATGTCCGGTTGCGCTCTGGCCAGCGTTCAATCCTTCTTGTAACCTCTTCTGAACCTCTTCCTCTCTTCCGTAGAACGAACATCGTAGCCACATCGTCTCATCCTTTGGATATCCTGGGGTTCGCCTCGTCAGCTGAGCAGGCCATTAGTCAAGGTTATTCATTATTAGCTTTGCGCAATGATCCCTGCCAGCCTCTCGCGACGGCGCCGGCACGGCTACTAATACTACTTAGATAATGTCAACTTGGACGCATCTACCCACAAGCGGGTATATCGAACGGTGCAGTGCGAGGCTTCGGGAATCGGCACGTGCAATAAGGACTGGCAATGATTTTTATAAGGAGGTGTATAGCAAGTACCGCCTTCCTCTGCTTTCTCTGGTCCTTGGGCCTTACGCTCCCGCTCGGCGGCTACGATGCTACGCACTAGACGGTTTTCGTTGGCGGATTCGTTGATTTGATTGGCCCAACCGGATTCTGAGTGGCTTAGTCATCTCGCCCCTACGCTTTGTGCAAAACCGCGGGCACAGTCGGGGGCGCAGCTACAAAAGATAATCTTCTCCACGGGATGTCGAGTGATCGACAATGCGCACGGTGTGATAAGTAACCTCGGCAACCACACCGTAGCCAAAACGACGAACCGCACACATCATTCTACAGTTGTGCACCACTGGTCGTATCGGGTCGATGACTCTTACTTGGATTGTCTGCGCCGGAGGGGTTGCCGTCACCATCTATACGGCATGGGCTATTCTCGCCGAGATCCGGCACCGAGTCCGGTCCCCGTTGCGCCATCTCAAGGGTCCACCGAGTCCAAGCTGGTGCTACGGCAACTTCGGGCAGATACTCACAGGCGACTCCGGAACCGTGCAAGACAGCTGGCACAAGCAATATGGTACCACAATCAAGGTTCATGGAGTGTTCAACGTGAGTTACATTGCGTGCTGGACGCGTCGCGGTGTGGAAATTGACCGGTTGCAGAGTAATCGACTGCAAACCATCGACCCCCCGGCCTTGAACCACGTTCTGAGCCATTCCTCCGATTTCCAAAAGCCGGCTATGGGGCGCTATACCCTCGTCCGCATAGTCGGCGAGGGTCTGCTCATTGTCGAAGGCGACACGCACCGCCGCCAGCGCCGCGTCATGAATCCCGGCTTTGGACCGGCGCAGATCCGCGATCTCACTGGAATCTTCCTTGATAAGGCCGCGCAGTTGCGCGACGCGTGGCTTAGCGAGGCGAGGAAGCAGGGGGACGGTGAATGGATGAAGCTGGACGCGCTGTCGTGGTTAAGCCGAACGACGCTGGATATCATCGGTCTCGCCGGCTTCGACTATCGCTTCGACTCCCTCGAGGGTGGTAAACCCAACGAACTCAACCAGGCCATGGCAACGATGTTTGATGTCACCGGTACTTGGCGCTTCTTCGCGGTCCTCCAGGCACGAATCCCGATTTTACGCTCGATTGTGGGTCCCTTCATCTCTGGGTCCCTTCATCCCTCCTCGAGGTCTGTCTCGTCCTCACCCATTTTGCAGCGCACAAACCGGGACCGGAAAATCGAGTTTGCGCAGAACACTATGAGGCGCATTGGACTTCGTCTGATCTCTGAGAGGAAAGCTGCCGTACGCGCCGAGAAGCACGGTGCCCATGTTGAGAAGGGGGATGTCACTGACCCATAATCTGAGCGAATGGCCACCGATTTTACAGCGCATATTGACATAATCGGTTTTTTACACGATACAATCTCCTTCCCATACCTGACCCATACCTCGAAAGCAATGTTCAGCCACCGTTTCCAATCTCAACAACGACCGTCACTCGGGCATGATGAAGATGCCGCTTTATGCAACAATTTGCGAAAATGAGGTTTCTGACTATTCATCTAACGCAACTGTTCCAGTCGCAGTCCGGAGTATGGTTTAATCCAGAGAGGCAGCTGATTTCCTTTCTCTAGTTCGCTGGCTACGACGGGTCGTGTGACGATGGATGACTTCTTCTCAATCTCTACCGCCGGCACCGCGAGTTCGAACTCAAATGCACGAACAAGAACAAATAACAATGCCTTCATCCTGTCGTGAGAATATCAATTTCCATGATATGACGAACAGCGAATGGGCAGAACTCACTCAACGATTGAGAATCGGTATCCAATGCATGCGTGCGGTCCGCCCAAGAAGGTAAGCTGGTTCCCCCAAACTCCGGGGATACTCGATGGCCCTTCTGGCATTGATACGAGCCATCGTTCGGGTCTGCATACCGCTACGTCAGCCATGAACCAGATCACGAGCAAGTCAGAACATGCTTGAATTCGTGAGCGTCCTCTCCCCATATGCGCTTGCTTTGATTCATCGCGATGATGGGAATGAAGACCATATCCCCCTTTGCGATTCTTTAGCAAGTAACGATGAATTATTGACGTTGAGCCACAGTGCGTCGAGACTCGCCTGATTTCAGTACGGGTATCACCATTCTTATCTTCGTATGCCTCGCTGACCGGTATAACGTCGTCACGCGTTGCTATGCGAGTAGTACCAAGCACCGGGGCATGCACACGCAGCGTCTCCCGTACGACCGCGTCCAAGTAGGGCAGCGATTGCAGCTCGTCCATGGTCGGGGTCTCGGTGGGTACGGTGAGCAACTCCGTACGAAGCTTACTTTGGACATCAGGCCGCTGCGTGAGCGCAAACAGGGCCCACGTAGTCCCAGTGCTGATGGTTTCGTGTCCGGCAACAAGGAAAGTGGGGATCTCTGGGAAAATAGGATCAATCAGAACGAGCCGGATACCATGCATATGGAAGACGGACGAGCGAGGATATCCTTGTCGCTAAGACGCTGATCTTCGGGAAAGTCCACAGCCATGTTCGCTTTGACTAGGAGGCTTAGAAGATCTCGCCCTGACCATTTACTGGAGTCAGCTGATGATTAGAGAAGAGGACGCCCTTGTCATGCCTTGTACATCATCTCGTGCAACATGTGCACCGTGCTTTTCAGCCCGAACCATCGCCTTTTTCTCGGCAATGAGCTCGTAACCGATACGATTCATAGTTCTCTGAGCAAAAGCGATCTGCCTCTCGCGATCATTGGGCTACAAAAAATAAGGTCTTGGCGCAGGGAATGACGATTGCGAGCACGTACGACGATCCGAAAAAGGGAGAATCGATCCCGAAGCATTTGCCATGCTGACAATTCCTCCGTTCCCCGGAACATGGTCGCAAATGCTTCGTTGAGTTCATTTGGCGTGTCGCTCTCGTTCAGTGTATTGAAATGGTAATCGAAACCTTGGCCACATATTGAAGCGATGACGATGACGACACTGAAATTGAAGCGCACCTGCGATGCCAATGATATCGAGCGTGGTGCGACTGAGCCATGACAATGCATTGATTCGCGCGCGGTGGCCTCCTCCGGCATTCCTAATCTCCACGAACCAGGAATCACGCAACTGCATGGATTTCTCGATGAATACAGCGGCAAGAGACCGGATTTGTGCAGGTCCAAAGCCGGGATTCATCACACGGCGCTGCTTTCTATGTGCATCCGCCTCGGCGATTAGTAGACCTTCTCCAACGATGCGACTGAAGGCTTCTCGGCCCTGCGGTGGTTTCTGGAAGTCAAAGGAATGCGTAAGGATGTGATTCACCGCCCGATGGTCAATGGTAAACAAATGATCAAGCTACGAGAAATCCGTGTTAATGCTGGCCATTGATTGAGTTCCAGGTACGTGCTCACCCCGAAAAAGCCTTTGATTTTGAAGGTGCTGCCGTATTGATCAACCCAGTCTTCTTGGAGCAGCGCAGGGTTGCCCTGAACCATTGGCGCAAAATTGCCAGTCGTCCATGTATAACCCGCGGGGCCAGATAGAACGTTCAGCGGCGAAGATAAGCGGCGAAGCAGCTCCTTGGCAAACGTCCATGCAGCGTAGGTTAACGCAACTGCAACAGTTGCACAGAACAGCTGTAGCGTCGCCATCACACAAGGCAGCGAGTGTTTCGTCCATCATGCCGCGAGCCAATATTTATGAGAGAGAGCCGCGGGGGTCAAGCCGAGTCGGCATGAAAAGGTACATAGGCAACCAGGTGTTGAAGCCAGATAGAACCAGATTACTCCGCGCTGACGCGGTTGTCGGCCGAGACAGCGAGAACAGCGCGCATACATACTATAGCTTCCAGCAATCCACGCGCTCGCTTCCATTTAAGCTATTTCGAGCTTACTCCATGTATTCAGGGTTTCGCAAGGTGTTGCGAAGGTCAGGTAATGAAAGGCACTCCCACGCGCTCCACGATCCCCTGCGGCCAGTCTGTAGCATAACCAAGCCGATATCGTACTACTTGAGGCGGAGAGAATGGCCATTATGAACCTAGGAGATGAAACCGCATAAATCAATCAATGGATGTCGCGGTTGCTGAAGTCCAAGAGTACCTTCCTCAACCCCAGGAAGCTGCATTGCGCAGTACCTAAGTAGTACCTATTGCATGTCAGCGACACCACCTCATCGTCGGGGGTCGCTTCCTATGCGGGAAGAAGCCAGGATATTGATAACCCTTGTACCATGGACCCACGGAAGTACCTAAGCTCTCCGATGGGTCTAGGCAAGGAAATGTGGTATGGGAACAGGCGCAGGGCGTCGACTAAACGCGAACCGACTCAAAGCGGGTGCAGGATCTATACATCGATATCGTCGTTGCTGGGCCATCGCTGCTGTGCAACTGCAAAGCACTCACACCCATTCATTCACAATTGCAGGTGTTGATCGCACTTTTCGGCTTGACGGCTGAAGCGCTGATCAATCGCACGCGGTGCTTTCGCGGGTTTTTGACCACCAGGATTGAGCTCGCAGCGAGCAAAACCCTGCGGCAAAACACATAGCGCGCGTTTGAGTTCGTAGTCGTTTGCGTCTGAGCTTCCGCTGAAGAAATATCACAATCGGTGCCTGGAGCCTCGGCCAGGGACTGTAATCCTGGTTGACGGAAGGAACAGGATCCGACATATACCACGCTTTAACAGCGATTGAGCATGCTTAAGAGTGTTCATTTCATACCTTGCCGTACTTGCTCTTACCGTAAGTAGAGAGAGTTTCCGGCAAACTGCCGCTGGCAACCTCGGGATGCTGCCGCTATTGCAGGGCGTGCAGACAAAGGACGTGAAGATTGCATCCGCTTACGGCGCGGGGCGGCGGCGGAATGAGCCCGACACTGGAGACCAGTCACCAACCGTCCGCGTCCAGCCTCGTCGGACGCGGAGAGGGACACGGGAACCCTTGCGAGGATGAAAGTGGAGGTTGGGCTGGCGGCTCGCGAAGCGAGCGCTAGCCTGACGCGGCGCAGGGCCAAGTCCAGTACACACGATGCTTCTGGCCGTATTGAACATCACGCCTACAACGCCCTTCGTACATCCGCTGGTCTTTCACCCCGGCAGTACAAGCGGACATCGTCTTCAAATAGCTCATGCTTTACCCGGTGGATGTACAATAGTACTCAGTCTCGTCCTATCTATCTGCGCCGTCGTTACGCTCTACGCCTCCTGGAAAATATTCGAGCTGGGTGAAGAAGTGGACCTCGCCGTTGCGCCACTTGGCGGGCCCCAAGGGAGAGAGCTGGTTGTTTGGCAACATTCGCCAGTTGAGTGCCGATCCAGGAGCGCGTACACAAGAACACTGGGTGCAAACTTACGGTTCAACATTCAGATTCAGAGGCTTGTTTGGAGTGAGTCGGTATTTGCGTATTTGCTCTGACATTGACAGCGTACTGACGACCATGCCCACCTTAGCGCGACCGTGTCTTCACCATAGATTCTCGAGCATTAAATCATATCCTCACACATTCCTTTGACTATCAGAAGCCTGCGATGGGACGGAATAACTTAGCGCGCATTGTTGGCGAAGGAGTACTCATCGCCGAGGGCGAGCATCATCGCAAACAACGACGTGTCATGAACCCCGGATTTGGTCCTGCGCAAGTGCGCGAATTGACCCCGATATTCCTCGATAAGGCCTCCCAGCTGCGCGATGCTTGGATTACCGAGACCAGGAAGGTCGTCGACGGGATCCCAGTCTGAGTAGACGCGTTATCTTGGCTCAGTCGGGCAACCTTGGACATCATCGGGCTTGCTGGTAGGTCATAAAGAAACTATGATGAAATCGCGCACTGCTGATATCGAGGTCCGCGAAAGCTTCGATTATCACTTCGAATCGCTTGACGGAGGCAAACCCAACGAACTCAACGCGGCTTTTGCTACTATGTTCCACGCCAACGACCGGATGCGCGTGTTGGAACTGATGCAGAGTCGCTTTCCGATACTGCGATTCGTTGTGCGTGGTCTTCTTTTGTCGAGATAGCTGTTGTTGTTCTGACGTCAGATACTAGCGGACCAGACGTGACCGCCAGATCGCGTATGCGCAGGCCACCATGAAACGGATTGGCTATAGGTTGATTGCCGAGAAGAAAGCAGCGATACGTGCCGAGAATCATGGGGCTCGTGTTGAGAAGAGTGACGTCCGAGGTGGGTTCCGATGGACTCACCATGATGTATCCAGGAGTTGAGATGTCGTCCAGATCGCGACCTCCTGAGTTTACTCGTGAAGGCGAGCATGGCTGTTGACATCCCAGATGATCAGAAATTGAATGACGAGGAGATTCTTACACGTTAGTTTATCCCCGCGCTCTTTCTTTCTGACAATCATACTCAACTTAACGCACAGAGATCCCCACGTTCATGGTCGCCGGCCACGAGACGACCAGTACGGGCACAACGTGGGCCCTTTTCGCCCTGACCCAAAGCAAAGATGTTCAAAGCAGGTTGCGTGAGGAACTTCTGGCCGTTCCTTCGGAGGCACCTACCATGGACGATCTTCAGGCGCTCCCTTATCTTGACGCTGTTGTACAAGAGACGCTGCGAGTCTACGCACCTGTACCCGGCACGATGCGAGTAGCTCAGCACGACGACGTTATACCCTTGGGCGAGCCGGCTATTGACAGACATGGTACACCGCTATCCGAACTTCGGTAAGATTATAAGGCTTGCTGTTAGGCTGGCTTACAAAACCCCACTGTCAGTGTTACTGCTGGTGATCTCATCTTTGTGCCTATCGCGGCCATCAACCAGGCTGGAAAGATCTGGGGAGAGGATGCTCATGAGTTCAAGTCAGTTTTTGGGACGCATAGCTGAGCATCATCTAATCCTTTGTCTTATAGGCCTGAACGTTGGTTGAAACCGCTCCCTGACACCGCATCGAACATACCAGGTGTATGGGGACACCAACTCACCTTCCTCGGTGGCCCTCGAGCTTGTATAGGATACAGATTCTCTCTGGTGGAGTGAGTGCTTTTAGTTGAATGGTCACGAGTATCCCAGACGCTAAACGTTACCTTACAGGATGAAGGCCCTACTGTTCATCCTCGTCCGTGCATTCACGTTCGATCTTGCGGTCTCTGCCAGCGATATCCAGGCGAAGATTACTGTCGTCAGTTGGCCAGCCGTCATCAACTGCTGATGTATTCTGTAGTAATTACAACGTTCTTTGTGACACGCAAATCCTTACCCACGAAACCGCAAGTACTGTTCGCCGAGAATCTGACTACAGCCACGACGTATGACTAAACTGAAGGAACACATGGATCACACCCTAGTGTCGGGAGCGTAAGGCTTGATGAACACAGGGAGCTGGTTGCCGTTCTCAGGTTCGCCTTTGACTGTCGGTCGTGTTACCACAGCAGACTTCTTCGAGATTTCCTTTGCGGGCACAGCGAGTGTGAACTCGAATGCGCGAACGAGAACGAACAGAATTGCTTTCATCCTAGATATGTGACTTGAGTGACCATCTCCTGCTTGGGGAAGGGATCACGTACTCAACAAGAGAGAAACGATATCCGATGCAGGCTCGCGGACCACCAAGGAAGGTGAGCATGTGTCCCCACACACCAGGATTATGTGAAAAGGCTTCTGGCATCGTTCCTGGCTCCAACCATCGCTCCGGTCTGTGCAGAGTGGTCAGGGCGAGGCGTATAGTCAACCAGGGAGGTTACTCACTTGAATTCATGGGCATCATTGCCCCATATATGGCTGGCGTGATTGATACCTGCGATAGGAATATGGATGAAATCACCCCTGTTGACTCTGCATGCCGCATAGTGTAAGCTCGATGTACGTTGTCACGAAACAGGACGTATTACCGAATTTCGCAATGCATATTTCCATACTTGTCCACATAAGGCTCCTTTACCGGAATCACATCGTCTTTCATCGCTACCCTCGTTGTCACCCCCACAGGCGCGTGTATGCGCATGGCCTCTCGTATCACGGCATCCAGATATGGTAGAACGTCCAGCTCGTCCATAGAGGGTGTGTCCGTAGGAACAGAGAGAAGCTCCTCACGTAGCTTCTGTTGCACATTCTGGGCCTGGGTCAGCGAGAAAAGCACCCAAGACGTGCCGGTGGACGTCGTTTCGTGGCCGGCGACCATGAAAGTTGGTATTTCTGCCCATGAACAATTGATAAGACGGAGCGCGGCAGGAGAGAGCAAACGGTAAAGCGCGTACGGGAGAGGATTTCATGGTCGCTAAGGCGCTGATCTTCCGGTACGTCGACCGCCATATTGGCCTTGACGAGGAGGCTAAGCAGATCCCGTCCTATTCAGATAGCTTCAAGCCGCCATTTAAGAGAAACCAGCAGGCGGATTTACCTTGCACGTCGCTTTTCTCAATATATGCACCTTGCTTCTCGGCGCGAAGTGCTGCTTTCCTTTCGGATATGAGACCATAGCCAATGCGCTTCATCGTATTCTGGGAAAATTCCACGTGTCGATCCCGTGCTGTACGCTGCCAGACGAACTTAGCTAAGGCAGTATGAGGATGAATTGACATGACCGACCACCCAGCGCAGAGGTGGAATGCGAGCTTGAAGGATCGTCCAGAGTCGTGTGCCACCCGTCGCCTTGAGCATGGTGGTCATTGCCTGGTTGAGCTCGTTGGTTTTCCCGCCGTCAAGGGAGTTGAACTGGTAATTGAATCCCGCGAGCCCGATGATGTCCAACGTCGCTCGGTTGAGCCATGAGAGGGCATCTAGCCTCACAGGCTTTTCGCTGCTGGCGCTTTGCACCTCGGTCAGCCACGCATCCCTCAGTTGCGTTGCCTTTTCAAGAAAGATGACGGTGAGGTCACGAATCTGCGCAGGTCCGAACGCGGGATTCATGACACGCCGCTGACGACGGTGAGCCTCGCCTTCAGCCACGAGCAGGCCCTCGCCGAGGATTCGGCTGAGGTTATAGCGCGCAAATGCTGGTTTCTGGTAGTCCGCGGAGTGGGTCAGGACGTGGTTAAGTGCGCGGGGATCCGCTGTACAAAGTCGGTCCCGCTGTGCAAAATGAATCAGCATTGCTCCGCGTCAATGCAACTGGACTCCGCTTACGTTGAAGAACCCGCTGATCTTGAAGGTCGTTCCGTACTGCTGTAGCCAGCTGGCTTGCACAGATCCTGGATCATCTGCGAATAACTGGGCTAAGTTGCCGAGGAGCCAGCTCGGGCTCGCCGGACCTTGCAGCTTCCGCAGAGGGGAGCGTGCGCGTTCCCATAGGATCGAAAGGGCTTGCCATGTCGCATATACAGCGATGGTGGCGCCTACACTATAGAGGATCATTGCTGGTGTCATCCTTGGCAGTCTTAAGCTCGTTGGTCTGGTATAACGGCCTGGGACGTGAGTACCGCGAGCTTATATACAACCTTCATCGTATTAGCCGCGATCCGCGATGAATTTCCGGGCGGGAGACTCGCCCGTGCGAATAGCCGTTTAGCCGTGAACAAGACGCATAGACAACGGGAGAGTATGAAGCTTCAAGGAAAATTTCCCCCTAATCCGTGAACAGCACCAACTTGTCCTTTAGCAATCTGTTTAATGTGTGCAATATCATGCTGGTAAATATGGGTGAGTAAGGAGTAGGTGCAGCACTGAGCAGCGGGTCCGTCCTGATAGCGATGGTTCGAAACGTGCATGTCAATGCTCAGCAGAATACCCAATGAAACTTGTTTAGCACCGATTCGTATGAGTCAATCACCGCCCATGTGCAGATGCTCTCGCTGTTTCTGAGTGTTCGTTTGCAAAGCTTCCGACTGGCGAGGATAAGTAAAACCACAACTGTCAGTCAGTGTCAGTGTCAGTGTCTACAATCTAGCATGTCGAAAATACGATCACCTGACACCCACGCGACGCGTCTCCGGTGGCAACGGTCCGAGCTGCCGAGCTCTAGCGTTCGACTTTGTCTCTTTGTCTGCATGAATCTTCGAGCTTCAAGCTTCACTCTGCTACTGCTGCATCACGATGTGCTATCCACATCCTGTCGTCGTTTGCCCGAACGGACTTGCATTATTAATGCGGATCTCCGCGGCACGCGGTCCTCCTTCTTTTCTCCGCTAGAAATGGAATCACCCACTTAAGCCCGACGTTTCATCGTCTTAAGGGAAAATACCACCCTTTACCCCGCTCCCTACCGTATGAAAGCGGCAAAAATGTTCATGCAAGGGTTCCGGGCCTACTACGCCGCCTTTATCGCGGCTTTGATTCACGGGGTGCACAGTGGGTACATCGACGCCCCTCATGTGCCTCTGGCGAAACTGCAGACCACCGTGCAGGATCCATGGCAATGGTGGTAGGTGTCCTCGCCTTGCACAGTCGAGTTGGAACATAGAAAGATAGGCTCGTTTTCACAGGTACTTCGATCTCCTCTCCAACGAAGGGACCGCGCTTCAGATCGTATACTTCTCTGGATACGGTTTCGGACCACTGTCTCCCGTTCCGTTCTACATACAAGTCAGCGCGACCCTACCAAATGGAACTTCTCTGGTTACTCTTGGGCTTGCCTCGGGATATGGGTCCGTTAGTCAGTCCGTGGGCGATTACAGCAACGGAGCATGGCCTGGACTGGGTGGATGGAACTCAACGGCTTCGCAATACACTGTTCGGTTCGAAGACGGGCTTGGGTATGTGAGCGGGAACCTGACGTTGGATATGACAACCCCGCCGCATTACCCCTGCGACGAGTATGTACCTCTTACGCAATGTCACTGTTATGCACTTAACTCACATACGTGGTAGGCCCAATGACCCATCTTTCAGTACCACTGTTGCACCCAACCTAGTTGGCCCGTGGCTCGGGTGGTCGAATGCAGTACCCGTTAGTCTTTTTCGACCCGAATTATCGTTCGTTCATAGCGTGTCACACAGGGTGCCACTGGGGATGCTCATCTGACAGTTGGGAAGCAAACATACACGTTCTCCGGCAACGGTATGTACCAACTCCTCGCAATGTATAGAACTAACGAGTGATTGGAACAGGATACCACGACTCCAACTTTGGCATGAAGCAGCTCAGCGAGAACACCAACCAATGGTACTGGGGCCGGGGCGCTGTCGGGCCTTACACCTTCGTGTATTTCGCGTACTTGCCCAAAGGCTCCTCCGTCCCTGCTTCGGATCCGAACACATGGTACACCTCGGGCTTCCTCTCCAAGGACGGCACGAAGATCGTCAACTTCTGTAGTGTCGAGCAAAACGGCGCCGAACATACGCAGCAACACATCACCCTCGAGACTCGAGGCAAGATATGGACCGAGCTGCCTTTGCTGGTTGGCACGCCCGATGATTCGGAAGTGGGTGTGGTCGTGACTTATACCATCAACGGCGAGGACTATGTCTTCAACATGAGCTCGTCAGTAATTGTTTCATCCCCCGCTTAAATTTCGACGCTCACTAGTGCTCCCTAGAATGGCCGTATCGCTCGCGGGCGGCCCGATATTGCCGTACGCACGATGGACCTCAAGTATTCAAGGTGGCAAAGTAGGAGAGGATCCTGCGACAGGATATGGTAACTTCGAGATCCTCAATTACGGAGATGACTAGAGGACTGTTTACATCGTAAACACCACGGATCACCGTTTAGCATGATATTATTACACATACATAACCATGGATAATGTTACAATGCGGAAGCAGAAGCAGAAGCAGAAGCGAAAGACGGCAAATCCTTACCATTGATAAACGTTACAACACCTATATCCTTGTGATAAAAATAATATGTCCATGATAAGTCTATATAAATATTGCGCGTGCGTGAGGGGCGTCTCTTATATCGCGTAAGCAGGAGCAGGTATGCGTTGCACGTCTTCAAGGTTCTGATCCGCACGCGCATCCTGTAGACGCTCGCGATCCGGCATGGCCATCCGCGCCCGGCATCGCACAAGGCGGAGCTTGGTGCGCTTGATCCCTGGAAACGCACTGCTTCAGTACGCGGTACGATGAGTGATGTTCGGGCTTACAAGTAGCGATGGTGGACCGATCCTCGTCCATGAACGGATTGCCAGATTGCAGAAGATCGTCCTTCAGGGTGTAGAGGCACCATAGAGATTCCTCGTATAACTTCTCGGACTCGTCAGGTGCTACTTGTTGATCGAGCAGTTCCTTGCGAGCAGCAGTTCGGCTCTGTACGCGGATTTGAGTATACCACGACGATGCACACGTCAGTTGTTGCGTACCAGCATCAAAGCCCTTTCATAGACAAGGGGGTACAGATAGGCGGATGGCCCTTCATGATGTGTCGGCAGCCAAGTCTTGACTAACGCCACTCGATCGGCACATTTCAGGAAGCGATCTTTATACCATGCGAGTGCTATGCGGAACGATCGGGACCATTAATTCGAGCGAACGCACACTCAACTGCAACTTACCCTCATCGAAGCCTTCGCTGGCAGCAAAGGATCCATCAGGATCGCGCATGCGCGCATGTTCCTGGAAGTCGCGCAGCTTGTCGATGCCCTTCTGGGCAAAGGACATGACGAGCATATACACCGCAACCGCCGTGATGGCATTCGACTCCGCCTCTTGGTCCGCAATCTTCCGCCTATTGGCATGGCGTTCTGATTCACCTGATCGAGGTGCGAACTTGTTCGGATCCGGCAACGGCTCTGGGCACAAACGGTCAACATAGAGTTTCTAGTTTAATAAGAACACAAGAAAGCTTACTCTGAGGTATAGCCTTGACATACTCGTATAACTCGTCGGCCCAGTTGGTGAGGACATCAGTCTTCTGCGCAAGCTCTTCGAGACCTTGCAGCAACAAATCTTCTGCGGGGTCTCGTTCTTCTTCTTTGGGCACGTTGAGCTGCGTCCGCCTCGGCGAAGGCGGGAAAACAAACGTGTCCCTAGTGGGAGGTGATGACCTTGGTCCATTGCCGAAGAGCTTTTTCGACGCGAGGTTGAGCGCTCGGGAAAGAGCGTTCGTCGCTGCTCGTGAGGCAGCAGCCGTAGGAGAGGAAGAGAGCGTGCGATAATGTCCAGGAGATTGAGCAGATGGAGGAGGTGGGAAAGTCGTGTTGGCGTTGGTAGACGGGATGTCGATACCGTCTGGTGTCGGTGGCATCGATACCCGTCTGCTATGCAAAGGTACTCGTCGAGCCGAGTTTATTTCTGTGGATAGTAAGTCGGTTATTTCCCTCGAACGCTCTGGCAGTTGTAAGACTTGCCATCGACGGCACGATTGAACTCCACGGCCCTGGTATCGCTAACCAGAACGTACTCCCTCCTGAGCTGACCATCTTCATCAGTCTCGCCGGCGATAATTGAGGCTTCGGTGCTGAACGGTCTAGTATTCGGTCCCGAATCATCGTGTTCTTCCACTGTCGGCAGCTCGACGACGTTCCGTCTCGGCGACGTGTATGGACTCCGCGACAATGGACTAGGGCGAGAAGGCGGGCTTCCAGCAGGCGAATGAGATCCGGGACTGATCCTCCGTGGGATAGCTTGGGGCGTGCTCGTACTGGAGGTCCTCCGGAAATTGAACTTGGACGGAGGGAAGACAGCATGCGGATCCAGAACCTCCGGCGGAATGATCTTGTGGTGTTCAGGCGCTTGCGGCCAAGGCTGGTTCGGCATGCTTGGGTCCGTCCCTTGCGCCTCAAGCTCAGCCTGCCGACTTGGCTCTCTGGATGGTCGCGGGAATTTGCTCTTCGCAAGCGCGGTGCTCTTGAAGAACTCCTCAAACGTTAGTCGCTCCGCGGGCAGCTTCTTCAGCAGGCCCCTGATGAGCTGTTTCACATCGTCGGGTACCCTCTGCACTTCCTCGCCCTTGCCGTCTACGAGTTTCCCGTCCGCGTTTACTTGATATCGAGGATCTTCGTCAGGAAATTTGGGTCCGTTGCGCGACTGCTCAATCTTCTTCTGAAGTTCGATGTGGTTCTGGGCGCGGAAGGGCGGGCGACCGACGGCCATCTCGTACAATACAGCGCCGACGGACCATAGATCGGCTTTTGCGTCATATTTCTCGTACCGGAGAATCTCAGGCGCCATGTACAACCTGCGTCGCGCACGAAGTAAGCAGCCATTCAAGAGATATCAGGGGTGGACTGACGGTGAACCGCAAAGAGTCTCCGCGAGCATCGCGTTGGGAAGCGAGCGAGCGAATCCAAAATCAGCGACCTTCAGGATCGGAACTCCCAGTGGATGTCCTCTGGCGAGCTCTTCGGGAGAGGCGGGATTCAGAAGCAGGTTCTGACCAGTGGCTCAGCACGAAACTTTCAGCGATAAAGCAAACTAAAATCACCTGAGGTTTGATATCACGATGGACAAGGTTACGCGTACGAAGAAACTTGAGCGCGCGCGCTATTGAAGGGTAAGTTAGCTGGGGGGACGCATGCTTGACGGGCTACGCACCGAGCTGCCGTAGGAAGCTCCGTACCACAATCTCATTCAGCCCTCCGGTCCGTGGGTGTGAATAGTACTGAGGAGCCGCTCCAGGTGAAGGGATGTATTCCAATCCCTCCACTCGGCCGCGTTTCTTGATGTAATTGGTCAAGTCGCCTCCGGAGCAGAACTCCATGATCAGGTAGATACGGTACTCTCCACGCTGAAGTGATATATGATGTGAACAATGAATCGAAGCATCCACGGAAATCGGTTGTGCTCACGACGATGTCGAGCAGCTTTGTGATATGACGGTGCGAGAGTGATTTCAAAATGTCTATTTCGCTCTTGAGGTTGTCCAGGAGTTTGGTTGTAAGTCCGTCGCGCTTTATTGTCTTGATCGCTACCTGTTGGTGTGTCTCCTGAAGATCGTGCATTCAGTAACTGCGCATCCAGGTGAGGACCGGGATCGACGGACCCCATGATATCCCTTGTAAACGTCTGCGAAGCTTCCTTTGCCAATGTGGGTAGATATCACGTAGGGAGTTGGAACCTCCTTCTCCTCTGGGCGATCCATCGCGTTCGTGGATGACTTGTCGGACGAGCTCGTCGTACGCTTAGCAGTGGATGTAGCATTGACTGCGGGCATGCAAGTATATACAGTTTGTCGGTGCAGTGGCGATGGGTTTGCGGAGGTCGTGGGCGATGTTCGAACAGGGCGAAACGGTCGAGGGAGGGTGCGCTGGGGTTGATAACGGTCCTGGGGAAGAAGGGGTTGGACAGCGCCAATGACCCCGATCAAGGCGCCTTCGGGACTACACAGCCACACAGGACTGATTAAGCTGTTAGCGCTGATCTCGCCTTTTGTCTCCGACCGCGACTTTGTACTGCTGCGTATATACTTGGCGTTACCATTGCATCGTCCCGACTGCCCACCTACAAACAGCGCTTCCTCCATCCTACAACCAAACCCAGCTTCCGCTGGACGCGCAGCGCGAGACCACATGAAACGCCAGAATAGACTGTTTGGCTGACTCATCTGTCAAGGACAGCCGCTCATGGGAGCGAACCCAGCGCGCGCCGTCCCAACTTCTCATCGTTGACCAAGACATAATGTCGGGCCCCAGGAATCAATGCTATGCCGCTGTCTACTGCTATCTAGGATCACAAGTCATAGATTGAAGCGATTGGCACAGCTTCCTCCCTGACTTGTCCGTCTCGCTTTCACTGTGGAGAGAAATGTAGCCGCAGCGTCGGACGCGCGACAGAGTCGGGGACAATGAAAGTGACGTTCATATACTCGAAGTCGCTGTAGCACGATCGTCAGTATTACCGATGCGCGGTCCCAAGCATTGTGGACGTACTTGATTTTCTGGCTCGAGTTATACGTGACGACAGAAGTGAACTCAGCGATGTCTCCGCCGAGCACCACATCGAGCCCCGATACATGGATAGCTCCAGACGAGACCGACGTAAAAATGTTCTGCGGAGGGCCAATAATTAGCGTGAACATAGTGGTGACCGACGCTGTCTTGTTTGGAGCCGGGTAAGTGATGGTTAAGCTACGCTTGTCGACAACGCCGCTGATATGGTTCTCCGTCGGGAACAGCTAATAAGGGGCGGAGATCAGTTCAACAGCAACGCGTTGGCACGATCGCAACCTACGGCTAAGTAACCGACGGAACCGATGCCAGTGTCCCATTGCACGACAGCAGGGTTGAACGTCTGGTTGTTGATAGCAGGGCCGCCAACGCGGGCCTCGTTGATCTCCATTGCGCCGATACTCAGCCCCTCCTCTTGCCATACGGTATAGTTGCGCTGACTGCCAGAGGTTGCGTAGTCGAATGGAGGACTATAGGCATTGCCGGTCCATGTATGGTTTCCTTCGAGCTTCTTCAGATATTGGACTACGCTCGGCGCGACTAGCGTGTCATGCGACGCAGAGATGATCGCAAGAAGTGGGATGATCGCGGCGTCGCTGTAGTGATTGCTGTTGACTAGAGGAGATGGCATGGGGGCTTCGTCTATGCCGACGAGACCGGCGATTTGAGCGCCGAGGATGCTAAAGTACTGCGTCATGTCATAACCTGTGTCATATGTCAATATGGTAGGCATCCTAATCTCGTATGGAGGAGGAGGGACGCACCGTACGTGCGATCCCATCTAAGGAAACAATGTCAATGGGGCTGTCTTGATACACGGGACGACAACGAGACGCACGGTCCTCCGAGGTTCAGTATCGACGGGTTATAGAGCTGACCTATGCATATCAAATCGTCAACCGAACGTACGAAGCATGCGTTCACTGCGCAACGCACCAATTGTCTTCCATATACCCTTGATCATACGAGCACCATGCTTCTTGACGACACTGTTCGGCGGCCCGTACCGGTTCCATAGCGTAAGGGCGTACAAACTAACGCCCTCGTACGTCGCGCTATTGAACTCCGACTGTTGCAATGAATGCTGAATCAGTAATCGGGCTTGAGGTGGCTGATGAAACCTGCCAAAGTGTCATATTGGTCAAATCTATGGTGGTATTTGGTGAGTGATCATGGAGAAAACGGCTGTCATGGTATTACGTACAGATCCACAGCCTCTCGGGCAAAAATGTCCCCCCTAGGGGTTCATCGTCAATACAATGGACATCTGTATGAGTGGTGAGGTCCTCTCACCAGTACGTCAGATTGTCATCGCCAAGGTTATGGCCAACCTAGAATGTGGCATGGCACACAGTGAGGAGAACGATACCTACGTAGCCTGTTCACGGACCCATGAACTGCATATACATCGCATAAGCCATGCTACCGACAAAACGTGAATAACCAAATTGGAAGGTTCAGTGTGTATGCCTACGGTTCGAATAAACCGGGTACAGATTGTCGTTGTCCCAGCCTCCAACGCGATAACCATCCCCGATAGTGGCGTTGTAGAGAGACTCTTCGATAAGAGAGACAAGACCGGGTTTCAGAAGATGTTTGAACTCTTCAAGGGCGATGATGAACGACGTTCCCACAAAGCCGCGGACGTTGGGATCATAGTCGGTATAAATCTGCGGATAACGAAATAGGCCACAGGTACAGCGGTCGATACAGTGTCGTCACAAACCTGAGGATTGGGAAGCGTGGAAGGATCGGGATCATCTGGAGTACCCTTGAATGTACCGAACCAAATCTTTGTCGGGTCCTTGTACTGTGCAGCAATCCTATGGTAGCCGTGAGAGGAAATTGCGGAGGAGGATGGGGTGTTCTACGCACGCATTCTCAAGCAGGGCCGAAGCCTTAGGTACGTCTCCATCCTCGTTTCGGGCAAGTAGTCCAACGGCATACCAAGCGGTGTATCGAACGGAGTTGAATCTGCACGATCTATTACTTCAGAGCCGGGGGAACTGGATGTGATGTTTGCGAACGTACAGCAGTTCCGACGTGGTGTTGAAGCCCTCGTCGAAATCGGACATAGTCGAGGTAAATAGTTCTCTTTGATTCTTGGAGAGACCATATACGACCGACGAGCTATCATGCTGTGAAGCTGAAGGTCTCACGGAGGCGTGAACGGGCTCGCTGTAGCAAGCCACGGAGCCCAGCGCTGCCAACACCAGGAAACGGAGGGATATCATCCTGGACCAGCGAGTGCGACCCGAACAGAATCGCGTCTGATGGTTAGATCGCGAGGCATTCGAGTGCTATTTATCAGTGTTGATAACTGGGCGAAGCTCATGACGCCTTGGACCGTCCCAGGTGGAAGAGGAAGAGAGAGAAGCGCGTAGGCGGATATGAGCGGACCGGTTCGGCCGAGCTAAATCCGGACGCGATTGTCAATGCTTCGCATGGCATGATTGTTGCAACCGGTCGTGGCGGGATACAGTCCGTATACGAGCTTGTGGAAAGCATTGTACTGGGGTCAGGACAAACGCTGGCGGTATGTGAACTGAATATCGTTGAGTTCTATAATTAACGTTATCAACCACCTTTGCATCGCCACAGCTTCTCCGCGTCCTCCAAGGTCCTTCATCGCAAGGACGTGCCTTTGTATCGCTTCACCGCGATGCCGGCGGCGTGTACGACGTCCTGGTGCACAATTTTTCCGCTATCGGTACGGCTTAGAAGACGCACAACGACACTCGATACACGGGGACCACCAGCCTGAGTCGGCGCCCGCGAGAACTGCAGCTCGACGTGCTTGGCTATCCACGGATCCGCAGAAGGTCGCGCATCCGATACAGCGCAGGCGTCCAGAGCAGACTGCGATACGCTGGTCCCAATGTTATCTCGCACATTGCGGCGGCAGTACCTTACCGGGCTATGCTTCCGGCGTGGGCAGGGAAGCGAGGGAAGCGACGAGGGTTTGATATAGGAAGAACACCTTGAGGTGATGGTATTATAAGGCAATCGGTCTGTCCGTGGACTTCGACGCCTGTTCCCGCCCCATAGTCCGCATTTTGGAGACGTCTTCGCGACCGAAAATCCTCCATCATGGACGTCGACGATGCGTACAAGTCCGGAAATGGCGATGTAACGAGCCAAGCCATGCTCAGTGACCCCGAGGTTCAGCAGACACCGGCCACAGAATCGGATCGCCGCCTTCAAGAACTCGGATACAAGGCAGAGTTTAGGCGGGAGATGTCCCTCTTCGGAGTGCTCGGAATATCATTCTGCGCGATTGGTATCCTCACGGGGATGAGCAGCGCCTTCCAGACGGGTTTGTTCTCTGGCGGCCCACTCGGTCTCTTCTGGGGATGGAATGTGCGTTTGTTCTGAAATTCATTGCATATATCGAATCAGACTAAGCGAATCCGTCAGATATGCAGTCTCTTCATGTTGCTCATCGCTTTATGTCTCGCCGAGATCTGTAGTGCATAGTAGGTACGCATCCCCTTATCAGCGTTTGCTCATGCTGATCGGATTTGCACAGTCCGACTATGGGTGGCCTTTACTTCTGGGTTTGCAAGATGAAGCCAGACGCACCTATTCTTGGCTGTGAGAGCTCGTGCTTTTATTCAAACAAAAATCAAAACAGTCACGCTCGGCTACTTTCGCGCCTTATCATTTCCAGTTTGCACGGGATGGATCTACTCGATAGCTATGGTCTTCACGGGAACATCAGGGAACTTGAGGTATGCTGCTGGGGTAGATTGTTCCAGGTGCTCCCATGACTCAATCCCCAGCGTTGCCCTGTACCTTGCATCCCTGGCTGAGGTTGGCCAAGGCCGTACGCTCACCCGGGTCGAAATCGCAGCCATTGCCTGGGGTGTCAACATTCTCTCCGGGATCATCAACACCATCGGTACCAAGGCCATCGGTGGTATGAGTAGCTTCAACGTATGGTGGACGCTTGGGGGTACGTTCGTTCTCGTCATCACCCTCTTGGTCAAAGCGCCCACGAAGGTTTGCTAGTCTTCGATGTGATCTGATACATCGCTCATACTCCTATGTTGTTCCAGAATACCGCAGAATTCGTCTTCACGGACTTCGAGAAGTGAGCGGATATCACCCCATTCCCCTACAACGTTAACCTCCGCGAAGTTTCACAGGATGGGGCTCCAGAGGATTCGTCGTTCTACTTGGCTTCCTCCAGGTACGATGAAACTAGGTTGCCGCCCCTATTAGACATTGATCAGTCGTACCAAAGGCTGTCTATACGCTGGAGGGGTGTGAGACTGCTGCCCAAGTAGCCGAAGAGGCAAAACGTGCGGAGATCCTCGCGCCTCTCGCTGTAGTCGGAAGCATCGTTGGCTCGTGGTTCATCGGGCTCGTCTACATGCTCGCTTTGCTTTTCGCTGTGCAGTCTATCGCGAGCGTCCAGGCGACGTCCTATGCCATCCCCATCGCCCAGCTCTACTACGACGCCGTCGGGAAGCGGCTAACTCTTATGTGTCTAACAGTGATCGCGCTCGCGCAATTCATGGCGGCTGTCACGGCGTTCACCGCGAGCTCACGGTTGTTCTATGCCCTCGCGCGCGACAACGCTTTCCCGGGCAAGAGCCAGTTCATGGCACTGAATCGGTACCAAGCGCCTTACTGGGGCGTATGGCTATCCGTCCTGATCGGCTGCATCGTCTCGTGTGCATACATTGGCTCGACTATCGCGGTTAGTCTAGCGCTCAGCTCGCCTGCCTAGCTGCTCCTTCATGATGACGTACAGTTTAACGCGATCCTGTCGTCCGCGGCTATTTCGGTCATGCTCGGTTATCTACAACCAATACTCATAAGGGTTTTCTGGCCTAGCTCGTAAGTAATTCGCAGTCTCCCGGGCCGTATCCGGCGAGCTGACGCTTATATATCCCAGCCTCACTGAAAAGGGTCCATTCACCCTCGGCCGGTGGTCGTGGTCCATCAATTTCGCTTCTTTCCTTGTGAGTCGGGCAGCTTGAATACATTCAACGGCATGCTTACGCGTGCTGCGCTCAGTTCACGGTGTTCATCTGTATCCTGTTTATTCTTCCTACCGCGCATCCTGTGACGTCTACGAATATGAACTATGCGATCGTCGCAGTCGGCGCGATCGTCGTCATCGTCCTCGCGAACTGGGTGACGTGGGGTCGGCATCACTTCGTCGGGCCTGTCGCGACCGTTGTCGGGCAGGAGGGGCATCGCCTGAGCTCGGAGAAGTCATGATTCTCGCTTTGCATGCGGAGAGCACACGAGTTGTGTATCGTAGATCATCGCCGTTTCAAACTAGCTGCGGACGTCCGTTTTCGCTGTGACGCTCTCTGATATCTTGTGTCGGGCATACCGGCAGTCTGAGTCTAGTATACGTACTTTAAAGTATGTCATCCCTTCCTGGTCGTGAGAACTCGCGACAAATTTGCTGCGCCGCTACCTGTAAGCAAGACTTCACTCGCACGTCGGCCGCGCACTCTCGCCGATGGATCATATGCTTGCTGCCTCAGATCAGTAAAAAGTCATGGTCGTGTGCTACAGCGGCTGGTAAACTACCGGCCCGGATGCATCGATAGATTTTATGCTTTGAATGGCCTAGATCTTGCAGTGATCGAGGTTAAAGGGAGCGTAACTGACACATTCGCACCGGCCATCACGGACCAAGACTGTTATTAGCGCCCGTACAATCATAATCACGTCCCTATCAACGCGCCCTTGAATTCCTGTGTTGAAGAGTTGAGCTGAATGGAGCATTTACTCACTGATCGGAGTTGGTTGAAGCGCCCAGCGACCATGAATAGACACCCCATCAGCAAGCTCCGCCGTTCCGGTACCCGTGGTCAACGACGAGGACGACAGACAAATTACGTGTGCTATCATCCATCCGTATTCTCGGTGTGCTGTGTGCCTTTGCTCTTAATCCCTTCGCGCTGTCCTCGACAGGCAGCCTGCTTCCGCCCATGCCGGGTTTCCTCCACACAGCGGTCGGGCTCCTGCCCATAAGCTCGTACGCGTGTCCAACGCGACTTGACGCAATCATCCTAACGTCATTCCGAAAGATATCCAGTGACCAGAACATGGCGCCGTCCGAGGCACACTATCACTTTGTTGGGCATCTCGTCGGTGAATCGGGCTTGTTCACGACGGCAGAAGTCAGGCGCTTATACCTTTGCAGCTCCTCGTGTATGGAGGCCTAACGATATGGAACATCCTCACCCAAGGCAAAGAGGCCGTGTTCAAAACCGTCCTACTCGACGCTATCCCCACAAACAAGCCTAGTATACAGTGCCAGGTGCGGAATCTGCAAGTGGTGAGCATACCCCTTGGAGCGTGGGTTTGTGATGTTTATAACGTGTTCTCAGGGCGACATATTCTACACTTCCCCAACCGGCGTCTTCGCATGGTCAGTAACGGGCGTGGACTCCGGTGACTCCGCTGGTACGCTATCCTTACCTTGAATACGAGTTGTGCCATACGCTCCATTTCCGCAGGCTTCGACGTGGGGGCCAATTACGCTGGTGCCAAGCTTCAGGCGAACGTGACAAGAATGACCATGGTATGGTTATGGTCCATGCAGAGTTTCCAATACGACGTTTGCGCCAATGCAACCGTACCGCAAATCGACGGCATTGACAAGAACGGAAACCCGATATTGAACAAGGACGCGAATGGGCAGACGAATCAGACCGTCATTTCCATGTGCTCGCACTTCGACCTTGCGTCTGCGGTGCCTCCGACCTGGGCCGCCGAACGGCAAGCCAACATCTCCGACTCCTTCTACGATTTGTCGGCATATTTCCAAACGTGAATTTTTCTCGTTCTCGTACGCGCGAGAACATGTTCTTATACTCTTCGCAGATTAAACTTTCCCAACAACACGTTTCCGATCTGCAGCTTTCCCCCGTACTGCAAACAATCGGCCAACTTTGCTGCACCAGAAGATACTACGATCACACCGCAAGTTTCACGCTATTCCCCTCCCGCTCATTATCCTAAATGCTGTTGCTGGTTTTCAGGGCCAACGCGTATGACTTGACAATATGGATGGACGTCTTATCCTACACCCCTGAGACCACGGGCTCCATTTATACGGATAGCAACGGCATATCGCTCGGCGATGAGCACGGCGTGTTCGTGCCTGGCAACAGTACTAAAACGACCCTCGTGGATGCATTTGAAGAGACGTATGTTAACGGCACCGGTACTTCCGGTATCAACATGGGCGTGACAGGCATCGGCGCACTCCATTTGTTGACCCAAGCACAGAACGCGGCGAACGGTTTCAACGAACCAACCACAATCACCAAGCTGCGCTCGGCATCATTGGGCGTACTCAACATAATCGCGGTCGGTATCGAACCCTTCTATACGCGCCTTTTGACTCATGCTCGTTTCAGGACTATGCGGTGAAAGACCTCAACGACCGCGTTATCGGTTCTTCGTACCTCTGCACGGAGTCGGACGAGCATTGGAAATCCATTTGGAGTCTGATCGCGCTGGTTTTGGGCAACAACTCGTCCCTTTTCGGTGTCTGGCTCGCCTTTAGCGTGTCGGCGATGCGCAAATGGGACGAGACCAGATATGGACCAGGTACTGATCGTGTTCGTATTGTTATGTGTTTCTTTGTGCACTAACGAGCATTCGCAGTTGCATCCAGCGAACGCCCAATCGTCATTCCCACTCTTCGGCAGGACAGCGCAACCGCGAGACTGCCTCGCTGTAAGCTCTATGTGCGATCTTCCGCCGTCACCTGCTGACTCTGTGCGTTCTGGTAGTCCGTGACAAAGAGGACGAGCCTATGCTCTGAATGCGTTGTACTGACACACGTTTGCGTTCGGTTTCAGTGCTTTTTATTTACATCATGTTAAACCCGTAGGACACCCCTTGCTTGTATATTTGTGCCGCGATTATTAACCTAGTCATCTCTATAAACATATCCCTGTAATCATATATCATCCGACAGTAAAGAGTATAGGGCAATGTATCAGAATTTATCGTGGATTGATCAGTACAGCGTACTCTAAGGCGAAGGGGACATCTTTCTAATCGCGACGTCGTCGAACATGTATAGAGTGAAGACGAAGATAATGTAAGAATAACGAAGTGAGCGTACGAAAGGGGTGTGTGTAACAACATGGTGCCCTCCAACCTTACGCCGGCGTCGCATTAACCTTGACGAAGCCCTCGCTGCCTGTGATGCCGCTTAACATCGGCGGCCTGTTCTTCCCCCTCCCCTTCCCGGTCCGCGCGTCCATCCTCACATAACCTCCCGGATCGCTGCCCGTCTCCGCGCTCAACATGGGAGGCCTCCCACGAACGGTATGCTCCGGACCGAGCAGCCCCAGCGCCGCGTACTTCTCCGCCGTCGCATTCGCGTCCGGATGTCGCGTATGATATGCCTTGCGCAGGCGCCACCACGGCCGCGCGCCGCGCCTCCCCTTCCCGCTTCCGTTCGCTCGTTGTCGACGTCGTCGCTCTCCGTCGTGGTGGTGGTAGCGGTCCCCGTCGTCGCGCTGTCCATCGTCGATCCGGGTCGTAGATGGTGAAGGGACTCGGACGCGGGTCGGCAGTGCGCACGGGGTTGAACAACGCCTCGATCAGGCGCTCTGTGCCCTGTTCGCTCTCCGCCTCCTCGCTCACTAGGTGGAGGGCGTCGAATGGCGCGTCTAAATCAGTGTAATCGTGCGAGTGCGTGCCCGAGTCGGCGAGGGAGAGCGCGGAGTTGGCAGCGTAGGTGGAGGAGTAGGGTGTCGCGCGAGGGCGCTGAGGTGCGCATTGATTGAGGAGGATACCGGAGACGCCAGCCATGATCTCGCCTTTGGCGAGCGGCGGTGCGACGTAGGATTTGTCACCGGATACGTAGTCCAGTTGTAGGGTCAGCTGGGCGTGCCAAAAGTGAGTTGGATTGGGACCGAGATGGACAACGTAAATCACCTTCAGCAGCGCATTCGTCTTGCTATGTGGTAGGGGGTAGTAACGCTTCCTTATCCGCATACTCAGCAAGGTTGAGCGTGAGCGTGCCCGATCTTGGATGTCTTGGTGCATCTGGATCGCCTTGTATGACATGCTGCGGCTGATCAGTACTGAGGTACGATATCAAGGCAGAACTGCAATCACCTGAACCACCTGCAGTTTGAGCTCGTTGGGTAGTAGCTCGGACGTCTCCCTGTGGAGTCCCATCTGGACGACGACACCAACGGTATGCTCCCATTGGGTGGCATGCTCCACGAGTGGTACGTAGGGAGTCATACCCCGCTCGGATGAGGAGAAGAAGCCCGAGTCGGGCTCCGAGGTCTGTGGCACCGAGAGTGAGAGGGACGATGCAGGTGGATCTAACGATGATTGAGCGTCGTGATCTGCGCTATGATGATAGCTGCTGCTTGGACGAGGGCTGAGCGGCGGATGCGACGCGGTTTCTCCAACCGGCGTAGCCCACCGCCATGGTGAGCAGCCTGAACCTTGCTGAACTTCCACTTGACGCCAAACTCGCCGCGAACATAGGGAACATTGGTGAGGCCGTGGATGACGAGGCGAACGTTGAAGAGGGTGTGGCGGGGGAGGAGGTGGAGCAGGCCGGAGCGGAGGCCGTGATGGGAGGGGGTCGGGGTTGTCGAGGACGTGCTGGGCGTCGACGGGCGGAGGGGCATGGCGGGCTCAGGCGTCGGTCGCTATGCATTCCCTGCCGGCGCGGCCGAGATGGTCGCGCATGCCGAGAAAGGTGGACGCAAGTTCGGGCGCCGGTCTCGGAGGGTGCGGTACACCGCCACCCCGCGCAGTCCAGACTCGCTCGGGTAAATACCGAGCGGGTACTTACCGCGAGTACGGGCGGTGCAATCGCATAAAATGCTGGTTTCACTGCATGGATAGTTGCATGTGGGGACTCGTGTATCATCCTAATGTTGCGGAGCCGGAAGGACGGGACAAGGGGAGTATCAATGCATCTCCCTCATTGGGTCAATTATACGTACTTACTGATATCATTGTACGAGGAGAAAATCTAGTCACAGCGGATGGGGTTGGCTCATTAAGCTCGTTGTTTCTCATAAGAAGCATTGATGATACTTCAGCGACGAATGCTATCAACGCCGATATTTTCGTGTACGCTCTCATCATCAAAAGGGCGATTAGCATACTAATCCAGCAAACACGAAATATATAGACAGTACTTTGAAACCGCGACGCGGTGTTCTACATGAAGAGGACACACCCGCTACTGTATATCTCAGGGGTCTGTAGTCGTGCTTCAATGTATGAGGTTCCGAACGTAATTGAATACTCCCAGTGGGACCCGGATCAGTTTCTTGCTGCCGTGAATCAGGAAAACTCGCAGTAGATAATCGGCATTAGCCTATGTCCCGACTCAAGAAGTATCATGCTGTCTGTCCAGGGTCCGTTCCGAGTAAGTAACTCGAGTTTTCAGATCGGCCCGCTGCAACTTGGAGCATGCGCCCGCATGCCTGTAATCACGGAACCGGCCGCTTTTGAGCGCGGGCTCAACCCAACTTGCACTGCGTCCAGACAGGATGAAGCGGTCAACGTCAGGGTGCCGAAGGCAAGACGCCGGTCCTTTGAGGCTGAGGTCACAAGTCAAGGCCTCCACGATATAGAGCATAATTACCGGACTTCTCGAGTCGCGGTCTGCATGCGATCGTTCATATGTATGCCCTCCGCAAGACCATGTGATGCGGAAGCCGTTCCCGAGCAAAGCGGCGTGCTAAAATTCATATCGCGAGTCTGGACCCGGGCGGCTTGCCCAAGCATCGCCCTTTGGAGGTAGTGGGTGTCCCCTGGCCAGACCCGGCATGCGAAATCATAACGAAATACCGGCCACAACTGAGAGCCTCTGAAAATCTGACCGTCGAGTTAGTATGGAACATTGTCTTCCCCCGATATGTGGGGTGTATCTGTCAATGCGACAGACAGCGAGGAAGCATTCATATCAACGCACTTGGCTTCAGATCCATCCATATTTCTTGTCGTGGAGTGAAGAAACCAACCTGTTCCCGCGTGGATCTAGAGCTAGCGAATTGATGATTCATGAAGCCGAAGCGGGGCACACCCGCGCTGAAACGCCTTGGTGAAGGGCATACGCGCTCAGCGGAAACAAGGTGGATGCGCGCAAGACATTTCACCTCGCAATTGCGATATTTCTTCATCAATATATTGACCACAAGGCTCAGTATGTATATATAGAGCCTCGAATGACGAGCTGAACGATGCTTACAAAATACCTCGTTATGCCGCATTTTAGGCGTAAGAAGGACGCGGTAAAACTTCAAAGGCATACCTGTGCCGTTGGGAGAAGGGATCGAGAAAGCTTCCGCATACAACTGCCAGCTGGCAGTTGCGACACGAGGCGTCTCTCGATTTATCGATGGGCAAGATCGCGACTGGATGTGAAGGTACCATATCGCTCGTTTCAAGAACACCCCTCTCTTCTGTTTTCATCTAGCCGTCGAAGCAAGGTTTGCGTGCAAGAGCCGGCGAACGTGAACTTCCACGAAGTCGAGGTCATATATGAATCGTCTCACGGTGATTAGGAAAGCAGTCGCACGGTCGGTTTGAACCCAGTTCGGATAGTGCGGACCGGGATGGTATTTCACTTGGGCAGAAAGAGAGGCAACAGTCGATTCTAGATACACAAACTAGGCTACAAGATGTCACGAGCAAACGAGCAGGGCCGGGACCGGTGTTTGATAATACAGAGAGGAGTAAGCAGTTGAGGGGATATCCGGTATTAGTGATGCTATGAGTAAAAGCGGCGGACATGAACGGAGCGGAGAGAGACGAGAGAGTATTAGAGGAAAGTCGAATAGAGGGGTCCACTTCCAGAGTGAATTAGGTTGATTTTCTGAATAGGCTAGAGGGCACTTGTAGAGCGCGTTGGCGCCGGTCCTTCACTGGCGCCCCTTGAGGACGATGTTGAGCGCGCCGAGGATGACGTCCCACGCGAGATCCATCGCGTCCCACATCTCCGTATCGAACACGCCGAGCGCGCACGCGTTCCGCCAGAAGCCGTTCACGCGTTGGGCGAGGTTCATGAGCCTCTGGGCGTCGTAGCCCGCACTTTGAGCAAGCGCATGCGAGAGCTGGGCACGGGTGGAACCTGGAACCTGGCGCGAGGACGTGCCAGCGTTGAGAACGCTCGACGTAATTTGGAGGTTGGTCAGCGCCGTGAGGAGTTGCGGTACGGATTTGGTGTAGAGGTAGCGATGGAGCGTGGGGAAGGCCTCGGCGGCGGGCACGGCCATGGGCGTCACGGGCAAGGTGAGCTGCGTACGCGACGAGGGCGCGGCGGCGCGGGGGAATGCCGGGAGATGCGCACAGTTCGCGGCGAGGACGAGGTGGTGGGTCGGGACGGTGGTCACCGCCGTAGACTTGGTGCCAATGGTGGACACGGCGAGAAGATGCGTCGGGGACGAAGCGCTCGGCGCGACGGGTATCGAGAGAGAAGGCGGCAGACGCGACGACGGGATCGTCGGCGGGAGCGCGGGAAGCTGTGAGCAGCTTGCTAGCATCCTGAGCACGCGGTATCAGCAACCGGAGTTGAACTCGAGATGTAAGGCCAACTCACTGAGATGCCTGGGCTTGGAGACCCTTGCGGATGTACTCGATGGGCGTCCCCGCAAGATCGGGGTCGAGCGCAGCAATCGCGGCCGGCGACACCGGCGTGAACTGTGGCCGAGCAAGGGTGCGCGGAAGCCGCACCTCGGGCATAGGCGCGTGCGGAACGGGGTCGATTGACATGGGACCGGTCGCAAAGTGATCGAATGTGTGGCGAGAGGGAACTTGGAGCATGATGATTACTTTATAGGAGGGTATGGATTAAGAGATGGGAATATGTCGGCGGCGCGGAGGTGGTGGTGAGGCAGCGATGACTAGCTGTGTGGTCTCGGAGATGTGTTGCCAAAGCGCGGCTCGGGCTTGGTGAGTTTGGAATAGGGCGACAAGGCGATGTTATATCTGCCATGGTTTGTGCGGGGCCCAATTGGAGAACAACGGTAGAACAACGCTAAGGCGCGATATGGTACAGGGATTGTGGCCGCGAAAGGAAAGAGCAGCGTCCGAGGCCCTCTGCCACCTGCCCAGAAGCCGCCTGATCCAGACCTTACAAACCTGATAACCTAGCAGCATGCTATGACTTGCACGATTCACATTTGGCGCAACGTTCGTTCGCAGAGCAGTCGAGACAAAAATCATGGCTGTCTACCCTCGGCTGCGGTCCTCGAGGCCTGAGTTGCATCACGACGTCCCCTTCAGATGTCCATAACCAGCAATATTGCACGCTGGCATGAAACAAGTGCTCGAAGAATTTAACCCGGTACTCGGGGTCTCGTCCCTTTCCCCTTTGAGTCACGCGCTTGTTCGCGTTCACCTTCGCAAGGCTATACCCAAGATCTGCTCATCTTTACGGGCGCGTCCACCGATAACAGGCCCCCCTCGTCTTCGCCGACGCGAATCCCCGGGCTTGCACAGTCGCACAGACCCCCTCCCTCGCCCGTACGCGTTACAATAGCGATCGACGTAATCGACCGCCGCATCGGGCGTGACCGCGTCTCGACGCGCTACGTAAACAGGTCCTGCCTGTGAATATGGCGAGATCTGTGGAAGTCTGATACGGAGTACGTCTTCTCCGGCGCTGGGGCTTCTTCTCAGGCAACGCAGCTCATGCTTTCCAGATCGGGCGTGTGCAGTCGCCAACGCGACCTTGTACGCCCGTCCACGTGCCGCTCCGCTAGCTCCTCGAGGCGTGATATGAAGGAAAAGAAACTCTCGAGTGCGGTCTTCTGGTGGTTTTAGAGTTGCCTGCGGTGGAGAAGCTTAAGAACGCCAGGATGTCCCTTGTATTTTGCTGCCCGAGTTCCGGCGGTCCACCGAGCCCGCGCCGCACCTTGGCTTTTCTTCCCAGATTGGCGAGCGCAGGCGCCCAGCGCTCGGACAACCTTCGCTCACAGAGATCCCGAGTCATGATATCACCCGCCTGGGATGCTCCTTCCCTCAATAGTGACAAGCCTTGGTCGATGCACATGGCTCCGAGGTGGACTGCACCCCGTCGGAGAGCTGACCTGTCCGCTTCGGGATGGCCTCTCCTCTTTATGGTCCAATCTCGATGACGGTATGCAGTCGCCGTATCACTCTGTACTGTGTTCCGATACCTTTCCACAATGGACTGCAACGCGTCTTGCGGTCGGTACATTCCGTCACGCATGCGTACTGCTGCTGAAAATACCCCACTTTGTTCCAGCTCCAACGCCAGTTGGCTCAGCCATCTCGCACGATCGCGCACATGCATCTCATCTGGCGCAGCAATATCTCACGAAATTCACGCTCCTGTCCGATGCATCGAATTTCCAAAGATAAGAGCTGTGCAAGGTTTACAGATGAGTCACAGTACGAGCGCCTAACAATCAATGAGTCTATGTTCATCTGCTCAGCTTGTATAGCTTGATCTCTGCGTAACGTGAAGCATATGGACATCGAGTCTACTTTGAGGAGAGTTAGGCCGTGGTGCTGCATTGTTTGTGTGTACACCACGGCATTGACTCTCGAGCTGTGTAGTCATCACACGTATTTGCATCTCACATCAAGCTCTTCCAACTGCTGATATTGATGCTATACCTTCCATACCGCGAATATTGTCTATGCAGTCCTCTGCATTCGTCCAAAGACTCGATGAGCCGGGGTCCGTGTGTCTTTATGATCGGCAATCTAGGTGCCTCGTTAGCGTCGCCGCCGGCCGGTGTCCGACCAAGATTGTTCAGGTGAACTCTCCGCTCTGCAGGTCATGTCTCAGCATTTATCGAGAGCATCAAACTTCCATGCCGCTTTTGATGACGAAGGTGGGCGTTCCTCCACTTTTCCGGTCAACTTTCCCCCCCTACTATATCTTTCTGTTCTTAGTAATGGCCGAACTTTCTTCGTGATCGTATTCCCGGCTGTTCAGGCCGGTGGTAACTCCAGATCCCGGTGTTTTCTGGCTTCGATATGCTTCCTTGGCTCCATTTCACGCTATGATGAGACCGTGGTTTCTGGCTAATAAACTAACCTTCAATTGCACGTCAGTAGTTGTAGAGATTGATTGATATCTCCGCAGCAGGATGTTACTCGCACCTGTGGTCAAAGCCTCTGAAGGCACTTGACTTCGTTCGATTGCCATTGTCATTACGATGATCCATTGCTATACACCTGATAGTCGTTGCAGCTGAGCTTACACTCGTTCTGCGAACTAATTAGCACCTATGTCAGTGTTCACGTACGACCCCGTCACATCCGGAGCTCGGCGGCACGAACTTGAAATGGCTGGTCGATGGTTTTGATTAAGGAAGTGGTATACTCAACACAATCATTAACGTCGCCTCCGCTTTGAGAGGGGATTGCAGAGGAAACTCCGATTGATTGCCATCTCATGTGAGATTATACTACTTGAGCATAGGGCTCCTGGCGAGGTTGTAGATGTCCTGACCTGGCGATGGCCCAGGAATCATCGTATTCATCAATGCTCTAATATTCATGTAGTAAGTACCATATCGCAATCGCGTACCCCTCTTTATCTTATAAATTCCGAGGGGATAAAGACCTCAGAGACCTAACAGTAATTCCACAATCCAACCCCAGTATTCCTGGGAGGGTATGTACTGAATCTGAATGCCGTGAAACCGCACGTGAGTAAAACAGTGTTCAGTGCTCGGGCTGTTTCTACGCCCAGCGAATTATTCCTGAATCCACCGTACTCGCATTCCTATTCAGTTCTCTCAATAAAACGCGAGACAAGCGAGGATTGAGTCGGCGGAACGACCCCTTCCAATTCGAGGGACTTGCTAGTGGCGAGCGCTTGTTCTGTTGGCGCTTCTGCCCACGTGTTCCCTGCGAGCGTCTATATCCCTCTTGGCACACACCCAACCAACGACCATATTTACTTCTCAACCAACTTGACGGAGGGCCACCTAGTACCACGTCTTTGGGAACGAGAGTATTTGACGTTGTTGAAGGCGTTCGGCACGCGGCTCACCATCGTCTATGCCGCGATGCCCCGAGCTAAGTCGTCTGCCTAAAGCGCAGCGTGTCGCGTCCATCAAGGTAGGGTATACCTTTCCCTTTAGACCGTCCAGCTCATGCACCAGTTTTCTGCGCAGTTTCGCAACCAGACGCCAGGTCGGACCGCGGCGCTCATCGGTTTCGAGCCGGTTCGACCCGCCGAATTCCTGGACCGTAACCATCCTCTCGCTAGTCAGTACCGGCCTGACCTGAAGAGACCTCACACCCCTCAGTGGAGATCTCCCGACGGAATCCTTGCTCTTCGCGTATTCCCTCGCGCACTGTTGGCACGTCCGCTAACCCCGTGGCCAAATCCTCCATGGCCTCCGGCCAGTATCTATCCTTCTCGAGAGGATGCAGAAGTGATCTCTAAGAATGTGGTTGGCATGTCCGTCGTGTGTGTCATAGGCAAAAAGACGGTACACAAGTCGGCCGTCATCCGCAGGAAGATCGCGGGAAGAATCAAGACGGCGTTGTCATTGATTGTCACTCGCGGAGCGGACATCGGAATTCGGAGGACCGCGAATGGCAAGGAGCTCAAGTCGCTCACGTTTGATCCGGAGGGTGGGGGTGGCCAGAAATGGGTTCTATCCGGTACGTTGTGCCTCGCATCTCATATCCATTGGTACTGAATCCTCGCAAAGACTGGACGTATTGCTTCCACCCGGGCCTGGCAATCTATCGTATGACATACCCCGACCTCGTCTCCCTCTTGCGCTCTGCTCTTGGATCGGTCAAGACCAGGGCTGAGACCATGGAGAAAAAGTGGGCATCACGCTTACCCAAGAAAGAACCCCTATCTAGAGCGTTGGCGTCAGTGAAACCCGTACCGCAACTTTTTTTTCCCTCGAGGAAAGCTTTCCGCTCGGAGTCCGCCAGCAACCCGCTGCATGATACGTTATCATTGCCCGAGAACGAAGTCGTACTTTCGGACAGGACTAAACGAAGATATGCTCCAGTCGAAAGCGAAGCTCCATCGGAGTTTCCCAAGGTCACTGTCGGCAAGGACAATCGTACCGGAAAGAGCTATCAGCTCTATCAGAGAAAACCTCTGGTCAAGCAAAGATTCTCTCGACCCAGCAAATCCCGAGGACAGTAGTCCATCCCTCGCTTTGTACATATACAGGGTGGCCAACATAGGCAATGCTTTCATCGCGCTCCCGGCCACAGGAAGCCCTTCATGGACTCAGATGCGATGGTTCTCGAACCATATCGCTGCGGGATCAAACTGCAAGAACACTCGCTGAGGGCGCAGTGGCTGTGCGGGGGAGGAGGCGGCCTTACCCTTTTGTGGCCTTACAATTGAGGCGTACGGCACGAAGATCGGGCATTGTTGATCGGTTCAACGCGTATATATGGCCCTTCCTCAAGCCCTTCTTTTTCGACTTGTTCACCCCCACCCGCCGTGTTGTTATAATCTTGGCCGGCGCGGCCAGATGGATAAGCCACAAACCTCGTTCTGCGTCTGGCTGGTCGGTCATCGTGTCCCAGCTGGCCGAATCTATGAAGGTACCTTTCGACTTCCGCGGCCCAGCGAACCCCAGTCCACTAAGGATCACATCAAAAAGCTCAGGAGGGCAACCAAGTTTCAGGGACTGTATTGGTGAGCTTGATCATCACGGTTATGGTGGCTCAGGGAAAGCCCGGGTTCAATGGTATTTGTAGGTTGGGGGAGCATCCTTCAATCGAACAACCTATCGTCACTACCAACGGCGACACTGCCGAAGGGTTGCCACGTTCCGCCTCACCTCATGAATCGTTCGTGCCAGAGGCACCGGTTACATCTGAGGCAGACGATCTCGGTTTCCGGCCCTTGATCCCTGCGCAAGATGGGGCTTATTCCGTGGAGAGTGGCGCAACCCACGTCCTCTCTTGCTATGAGGAAGTGTCAGATGCAACTGGCCATGACTCGAAGCCCGTGGTGATCCCGGTCAATTCTATGGTGTTACTCGACAGTTGCTTCAAAACCTCGGCTCGCAGTACCGTTCGTGACTCGCTGCTCGAAGCGCCTCCTACCGCAGACGGACGCGCAGTCGGCGAGTTACCAAGAATACGTTTTCGTGTACCCGATCTCGACACGATTGGCCCACTTCTGATATACTTCCATACCGGGAATCAAGCCGAACTCATGAGAAGGGTGGTTCCTTCCGAGAGGATCAGGGATCTGCTGCACCCGTTACCTTCTGCTCCAGAGTCGCCTCGCAGACGTGCATTAGCAACGAACGTGGACGAGCACAACCCAAGCTGCGGGATGTCGTTTACTTTTCGCTTCGGCAACGGCAGAAAAGGCACTCGATTCCATGGACGTCTTCGAACAGCTCAATCTGTGGCTCAAGACATCGCGGACCTTGACGCTAGTCGTTTGGTCTCTCGAGGTCCTGAAGAGTCGGACCTGGAAATTGCCCTCCGCCGACTGGGTGGCTTGAAGCAAAACCTTGAAGAATTAGAACACTACGGCCCGGAAGTTTGGCATGAGGTTCAAGCGTCCTGGGAGATCTTACTGAGGGCGGTGAGCCTGAAGGCCAAAATATATCCCTCAAATTCAGTGGCGCACAAGGAATGATTATAGTCGGTGCACGTCTTATGAACGCGTATTATGTAGCGTTTAATTGTAGCGAATCAGATTCTGTGGTTCTTTCACTGGAGCCACGTGATGCTGAGTTGGGCCTTCTTTCATTATGATTTTGCTGGCGAAGTCCCGGTCTGTCTACAGTTGCGGACACCCAAAGACAAAAACACGAACATCATCTACCGGAATCCTCTCGTCATGACGTCTGCACGATATGCGGATATGATCACTGGGGACTGCGTCGTCTGGCCGGCGACCATCACGGACGCCGGCCCCAGTAACCGTATAGCCAAGCCGGCCGGTTTAGCCCGCCGATCAAAACAGGTTTAGTGTCTCCAGTGATTTTGTAGAGCCCCAGGTTTCAATTGCGCTCTTTTCCCTCTTCATTCTCGCCGATGCGCGTCTCCGCTTTCTTGCTATGCATCTGGTTGGCTGCAGTGCCAACCGTCCTCTCATTAACTAGCTACGCAAACGATTTCATTGACCCATCCTATGTTGTCTCCAAGTCTTTCAACTCTACCACGGCGGAGGCGCAGGAGAGCATCGTCGAATGGGCCATACAGCTGGCTGAATTCGGCCCTTGGTGTGAGCACTATATACAGAAATCCGTGATCGATCGATATATACTCAGCTATCCATGGCAGCTGTATTGAATAAATCTGTAATTGCTCCCAGCGGTGATAAGCATGACTATATGAGCTGGGCACCTTAGTATGTGCTGCAAGCCACCAACCGTCTTGTATCTGCTGACTTCTCATCTAGTTCTTGGCCAAATTGCACCGGTGTTGGAAATACCACAGCGCTAACGGATGAAGAAAGTAAACACCCTTTAATATCGACGTGACAACAGCTGACCGGCGCTGACCCTCGGTACAGTCTGGAAGACGTGCCCGTACTATACTCGCGATGGCCTCTTCAATCCGGATGTACGATTTGTGAACGATGTTGGCGCGTTCCAGAACATGTCGGATGCAGTCCTCTACAATGCACTCGCCTGGGCTATCAACGGATCGTCGACGTTCTCGACCAATGTAGCCACCTACATCAAGACGTGGTTCCTAGACGATGACACCATGATGAATCCGAACCTGAATTATGCTCAGATGGAGCGTGGGCCGACAGGGCAGAATGGCACGCATACAGGTGTTCTGTGAGCGCAGCGCCAACTATTCTAGCAGAACATCGCTAACAACAAGTTATTCAGTGACCTAAAGTGCATGTCGAAGCTCGTCAGTGGGATCCTCATCCTTCGTGAAGGAAACGCCGCAGAGTGGACGTCTGACCTAGACTCGTCCCTGGTATCCTGGACCAAGGAATACATCACCTGGCTCACGACCGCAGACATAGCCATTCAAGAAAAGGAAGCTACCAAGTGAGCACCCTTCGCGATTAATCAACTTGGTGCATAGTGCTGACGACCTCGAATCTAGTAATCACGGGACCTTCTACTATAATCAGCTCGCTGCTTTACAAATCCTTGCTAATGACACTTCGGGCGCGCTCGCCACAATCAAGGAATATTTCACCACTCAATACCAGAACCAGATCTGGGCCAATGGCGAGCAGGTACGTTGTAGCGTCACCGCAATCTAATACCCCACGTCACATGTGCTGTTCCAGCCTTTGGAAATGATCCGCACCAGGCCATATCACTACCGATCCTACAACTTGGCTGCCATGATTGTATGATCCGCTCATTTGGTTTCGTTTCTCTGACTTATACAATGCGCGAAGACGAACGCACGGCTCGGCTCGTACCTGGGCTATGATGCCTGGACCCTCGAGACGAAAAACGGCTCCACCATCCAAACCGCGCTCGACTTTGCGCTGACGGTTGATCCGGGCTCCGAGACCGCGTCGGAGCTTTATCCTGATGTTGCGGCTGTAGGATCTACCTATGGCGACTCCGACGGGAAATATGCTGCCTGGCTCGCAGCGGCGGACGACACCTACCCTCAGCAGCCGTATTTCTTCTGGGATCAGGCAAGTGTTCTCCTATCGTTCGGCCAAACATCCGACTGATTGACCCCCAGAACTTTTCCGACTCCGGTTTGAGCAAGAATGTTACAGCAGCCTCCACCCCGACATCGACGAAGCACGATAATGCTGCGCAGTCGATCCGATCAGGATTGGGCGACTCCGTAGCCGGGCTTTGCATTGCTGTGCTCGCTATGCTCCTGTAATCTTCTTGCTTTGACTCACTGGCCACGTATGCTATAATCTATCCAGTCATCCAGTACGTTGGCATATGGACTCACAGTAAGGATATTATGAGGTGTTAAGGTGGCTATGTCATAGACCGGCTTCCATGTCTTTCCCTCCTATCGACTTCCTGCTCATCGACACTAAGGGCGTGCTTTGTGCCGAATGGAAGGAAGCATTTTCCGTGCTGCCTGACGACGTCAACGCCCATTTCACCTTCCTGCAATCCTCGTTGGATGATCTTCCTTCGCGCCATTCTGGATTTGATTGTGCAGTCTCTCCCGCGAACTCCTATGGCATCATGGACGGAGGGTGCGCACACTGCTCGGCAGATCGGCTTTCCCCCGCTGAGGGTCTGCTGATACAGGTTCGACTACTACTTGTCCCGGGCGTTCAAACCTGTCAATGGCGAATTCGAAGCCCTGACGCGGCACGTTCAAAAGGCAATCTATGAACGATACACGGGCTATCTCCCGCCTGCGTCGTGCATCGTGGTTGATCTTCGGAAAAGCGAATTGAAGGACAACAAATTTGGTGCCAACTCAATAGCGGTATTGCCAACGATGAGGTATCCTGGTGAGACTGTTTCCGCAAGTTTGATGAACCTCACTGATAATCACATCGAGCAAAGAGGACGTGACTTGGGACAAGGACTTGGTGTATAACTGCATGTGGAACCTCCTCGTGCAATTGTCCAAGAATTGTCCAGGGGAGCCCGGGTTCAAGCAGGGTGCGCCGCCCATCAAGAAGGTCCTCATGACCGGCCTCGCGACCGGGGTTGGCGGGATCAGCGCAAAGAAGTAGGTTCATGTAGTGAGCACGGGGTCTGAGTTGTTCATTCCGGTGACCCGCCGTTCGCAGGTGCGCCGCTCAGATGGCTCTAGCAGTCAAACACTTCGCAGAAGCGCGGCAGTTGCCTGCCAAACACATTAAATCAGACTGGTCGGATGTCTCGAAGAGGCATTTGGAGCTGGAAAAGACGCGCAGTATGTGATAAGTATGGCACATTCGTTGCAACGGGGTCTATGGATCATGGCAACCATTGCGCCCGAGTGCAACGAACTAAGGGATGCGTACAACAAGGGAGGACCAACTAACAAACACTCCCATTGAACATCAAATCGACGATGTCCAAGACACGTCAGCAGTATTCAACGTAGCCATCTAGCGTCGGCTCATTTTGCGCTCGCATTGTACTTTTCTTTCGGAGATTTGCAAACAAACAGTGCAACGGTGCCATAAACCTAGATCCTCGGATGAGTAGTGCATAGCGGCGATAGCACATTCACCTGCAGCTGTACCTTAACGTCCACATCGCGGAAAACGGCCTGCAGGCCTTCGCGAAGGCCTTCTGCACTGTCCTGGGCGTTGCCGAAGATTGACCGCTTGTTATATGCGTTCATCAGCCAGTTGCCAAACCAATTATGTCGAACACCTGCAATGCCATCGTCAGCAATACCATACCGAGTGCGTGGTAGCCCACGTACCTTTTCCGAGTATGGTCGCACCGTAGAAAACGCTCGAGGGCCCGGGCGCAAGGGCTGGAGCTAGCGCTGCTGCGACACGTGTCGCCTTTTCTGGGAATGCGCCGGGAAGACAGTGGAACAGGTAGAAGAGCGAGATGGACGCATACTTGGCCCGCATCTCAGCCGGGACGGGGTCGAACACGCTCTGTGCCCTCTTCTGGATCTCCCCAGTGTAGCCGCGAGACTTGACGGCGCGGGAGGCGGACTCGAGCGTGTCCGGATTGAGGTCGAGCAGCGTGAGCGAGCCTGGGACATCTTTGGCCGACGCTAGGCAGCGGGCGGGGTAGAAGCCCGTGCCGACGCCGGCGTCAAGGTGCGCTGAGGCGGGTTGTTTGGTGAGATGGGCTTGGAAGAAGGGGAGGAGAACGGATGAGGTCGGGCAATGCCAGGCAAAGCTGTTGGACACTCGGAGCACCCAGAACTCGTAGATGAAGGCGAGGACCAGCGGGAGGGAGTAGACGGATGAAGATGGATGGAGTTCGGACATGTTTGAAGGGACCAGTTAGCTAAGGAGGGAGGTTGTGGTCAAAGAACAAGCCACAGAAACGATGGCCAGCGACTACCCTTCTGTTTTGTGAGGGCTAAGTCGGCCGCTCGAACGGAAGTGTTCCATCGTGCAAGGCGCCGCCCATGCAGATAACCGCTTTAAGCTCGAGACAAACACCCGGGTTTTGCCCGCCATTCAGCAGCAGCTTGATATCGCGCTCGTACGCTATCTGGGACGGTTCTGATCTGAACGTCGCAAATCTAGGCTCGTGAGCACGATTCTCTTCTTTGAGAGAACGCAGTCGGTGTTGGAGATCGCAATTGTTGAACCGCGTCGCTATTTTCTACGAAACGCGGCACTTGCCTCATTTGGCGCGCAAGGACGACGGAACTTTGCGGCTTCGTCCTGAATTGCACCGGCATCCTCGTGAATTGTCGAGGTTGCACGCGTATCGACGCCGACTCAATAAGTGATGAGCTGGAACTGAATACATCCCATGTATGGCGTCCATAAATAATGTAGATAAACGGGACTGCCCTGCTATGGAAGCACAAGCAGTCGGCGCCGGTTCCTGACCATCTGCCGCTGCACTGCTGGCGTATCGCGGGTGAGCATGCTTCGTAATACATATCCCCTTCGTCATTTGTACTGATGAGGCTCGGAATAGCGACAAGGTTCTGCATTCCAGGGCCAGAAACGATGGACTCTTCAGGTTTCGACGGTCTATGATTGCAATCGTAGTTCTCCCTCGGGACGTCTTGCATCGCCCGGATACCAGATCGTTCAACTGTTCCCTATATCAAGAACTCCACGTGCATGTGTTCACCCCTGGCATCATACGCCAAGCCGCATGATGAGAGCAAAGTGAAGAGAATAGAGTATTGCCCCTGCATTAGCGAATCGCGGGCAATTCGGTTTGCATAGAGATCCGGTAAGACTACCACGCACTTCATCGCGATAATTGGCCTGAAGAGAACCTGATCTCTCAGAGATCGGGACTCCATAGATCTAGAGTAAACCTTGTACGAATGCACTCGAATATATAACACGAAGAGAGGGACCGTGTAGCATGATTTGGTGTTCACCTCCTTGGCCATCACCACACAGATTCACAACGGACAGTCATGGCTGCCATACCCGTTGCCTTCAAGCTCTCTCTTGGAAGTACCTTTGGTATGGCGCATGTGGCACGTTTTCTGGACTTCTACTAAGCATTCGGATGCTTTTTCTCGTAGGAGCCGCCTTCATCGGAACCATGATTTCTACGATGTATGCTCCTCGTCATTTGATGAGAATCATATATTAATCGCTATGTAGGCTATATGGGCTAACCACCTTACAAGTGAGTGAAGAAAAGGAGAAGATAGATTTGGCAACAATCATGAGATAGACGTATATCTATTTCTCCCGATTCCGGAAAGACAACCTCAATCTCAAAATTCTCGTAAGCCCTGATCAAATTTGGATTAGATCAAGAATCACATCTCTCATTCAGGTTGCCGCCATATGGTGAGTGTTGGGAGACTCAAGGAGCGCGCACTATCTGACTATGCCAAGGGCACTCGATACTGTCCATTCCACTCTGAGTAGGAGATTTCGGTTATTGCTATCTCCTGTTCCGTGCTTAGCACCCCTCTCCAGTTTGTCAGACAATGTACCATTACCTGGCATGTTTCCGGCGTGTCCGTCACTACACGATGCAGCTGACAGAATCCTCTTCAAGATCACCAACTATGCTAATCCTCTTGCATTGCTTGTGGGCACAAACGAACTCTTCGTGAGCTGAAACAGTTTTCAGTGGCAGATAAACTGAACAACCCGGAGGTTTCCATTCTCGTCAATGTATGCTATTGCAATGTTTCGTGCTCCCCTGGGCCTGACTATCGTTGATGGATTAGCTCATGGTCTCAGTCCTGGTGCAAGCTTTCTTCGCCAAGCGTATCTTCATCGGTATATTTCTAGTCTCAGTATCTACGCCGGATAAGGACCAATAGTATGGCAGTGGCTAGTCCGTCGACGAGGTGGTGGATCGTGTCACCTGTGGTAAGCTCATTAGTGAAGTCTACAAGAGTATCGTACTTGACAGGCATCTGTGTGCAGATGCTTCTCATCGCGGCGCATTTTGGTCAGTAATTTCAACACCTGCGTTAGTAAGGCTCAAAACTGGACATTGCTTTTTTTGTCTCAGGGTTCGGCATTGGTATGTGAATATAACGAGAGCCTTCACTTACTGATCTCTTCCCTTCGATAGTGACGATCGTCTCCGCGTACGATAGCATGTTCCATACCAAATCTGCTTGTCTTAACATCGATCATACAGGATACAAAGAAAGGCCCTTGTTCGGTTACGGGAAATCTTTGTGAGCTCTCTGCAACGATTTTTTTCACCGCAGATGTTCACCATCTGCAGCACTTTGCAACCCTCCCGTTCGCCGTGGTGACGGTGGCGGCAGATGTGGCAATCGCGGGTTCGCTCTGTGTTCTCCTGTACAATCGTCGAACAGGTTTCCGGAGGTGAGTGTCCCTTCGATAACAGGAATCGGATGTTTTAGAACCGTCAGCGCAGGTCGAACAATGTCATCCATACTCTCATTGTATATGCCGTGAACCGTTGCTTGCTCACTTCCTTCGCGGCTACGGCTGAGCTGATAACTGTTCGTCGTCACTTTCGCGTCGTTCACTCCCCGCGATCTAACTCATCCGGAAGCTCGACTTGAAGCCTGATACTCTCTGGTTCCTTGGCATCGACTTTGTCATCGGAAAGCGTACGTCTGGCTTCCTGCACCCTAATATCCCGGTATTTACAAGCCGCTATCCTCAGTTTACGCCAACTCTTTCCTTGCCACGCTACTGGCTAGAGAAGGTCTCCGACAGAGGGACACAGGGGACACCGATGGCTCCAACACGATCTCCCTACCATCTTTCCGCCCGCGAACGTTTGACACATCGGGACAGAACTCGGTACGCTCACCCGTCTACTGTGCCGAGAGGCAAACTCATTGCCGGTAATTCCAGGGCTCGACGCGCACTCCCGTACCCGGATTACATGCTCCCGGGGTCCTTGTGAAACCCGACTCGGAGCAGACGCAAGACATCTACGCTATACCTGGCGTTAACTCCGACCTCAAGTTTATGCCGTCGGACACGCAGTACAGCGCAGGGCATGATTTGGACGTTTGAAAACCGTCTAAAAGCGAGTCCTGAAGCCGGAGAAGGCACGAAACCTGTGAGATTTGTCGCGCGGGCAATCAGTCTGGGTCGAGGCTATGGCTACATTGCTTTCAAATCGTCCGATCTACATCGAGAAGTACCGCTGAAGTTGAATGGGGAGATGACTGTCCTGGATACGAAATGTCCGAGTGTCACTAGCTCTCGCGCTTTACTTGCAGTTCGCCACCACGTTGAGGCCGGCGGTGATGGCGTCGTTGAGCTTGCTCTGTGCGTCCGAGAGCAGGCCGAGCGTCGAGGTGTCGTTGCTACAGGCGAAGATGGTCGATAACCTAACACAAAGTCAAAGCTACATCGTACGCACGATGAAACGCTCGCCGGCGTAATGCTGTCCAGGGCGTTTTGGGCGCTCGTGAGGTTGCCCTGGACTTGATCCCTGGCTTCTGCGGGCGCGGCCTGGAGCTTCAACAGCGCCTTGCCAATGACGCCGATGGCTCCTTGAGCTCCGGAGATGCCGTCCGTCACTGCTTGCACTGCGGCGGCAGCCGTGGTGTTCCTGTGAAAGCATCCTATCGATCAGACGAAGAACCTTGTCGGCATTCATCGAGTACTGACGAGGCGATGGGTGCCGCGGCACCGAGCTTGCCGACCGCGGTCTTCGCGCTCGAGAGATCGGTCACGATCTGGAACCTGTTGATGTTGCACTCGAGGTTACCGATCTGACGAACCTCGAGAGGCGCTATGGAAATATCGTTCAGATCACGATCGGATCAAAATGGTGAAAAGACTGGGCGCACCAGCGTTGACGCCGAACGTTGCGGCAGCAGCGAAAAGAACAAATACGGATTTGAAGAGCATTGTTCAGGAACAAAGAAAGCGGAAGAAGCTCGAAACGGGGAAATAGATCGGAAAGACGAAAGCAGCGTAGAGTTCAACTCGAAGGACACCAGGTCTAACGGTTTCGGCATTGCAGAGTACCTTCTTATACGCAGACCGCAATGCGGTGCCAGAAGTAGAGAAGATCAAGCCCCTTGCTGCGGTTGGACGACCATTACCGCGCTGTAGTTGAGAACGATGGCGTGTCGTAGAGACGAACATGATTCACGCTGGCGAGTAGTCAAGACGGAGTGTGGTACTCTCGCCTTCTGAGGGTCTTCTGAGGATACCAGCGTCCAGTCTGCAGCCGGTCTGCAGCCGGTACATGGAACGTTCGGGTTGAACGTTTGAAATGGTGGTGAGAAGCTGGTAGTTGACGACGGCAACGTTGATGGACGTTGCTGCGTCGTCTGAGACTGCGAGCTCCGTGACCTGAGGTGATCCTCCCATGTTACGATTCTACTCTGCGAGCGCTGATCGCGACATTCGGGAAGAACAGGCATCGACATAAACTTGCTGTGCTCGGAGAAGGGTTAAGATACATGCCAAGGTTGCGATACTAAACAATGTTGCCTGAGAAATTCGAGGCAAGACGTAAGCCGCAGCTGCCGCGATGCACTCGGCATCTTCCGGGGGGTCGCCTTTTTCCACATTCAATCCCCGTGATAGGCTTGCATGTACCGCTAGCGTTGCGCACGCGAATCGGGAGACGGCGACGGTTGTTGATAGATCGCCGAACTCGTTGTCCACTCGTCACCCACAGATGGGAAATCGTTTCCCTCGTATTGACAGAGGCGTGACTGCGTTCCCGGGCATCGATTATTCTATCGCTCTCATCGCCTTCCACGGCTCGCAGCAGCTCATGCCGTGTACTCTGCCCTTGGCTTTCTGCAAACAAAAAGCGCGACGCGACCGACAACCTGAAGGTTCGAAGGGTCAGCGCCTAGATCATAAATCGAATGGCTTCTAGCGCCATCGCACCTGAACATCTACATCGCGGAAGACAACTTGCAGACCTTCCCGGAGGCCGTCTGCGCTGTCCCGAGCGTTGCCGAATATGGACCGCTTGTTATACGCATTCATCAGCCAGTTCCCTAGCCAGTTGTGTCTGACGCCTGCCATACGCCGAATGAGTTGATTCTGAAGAAATATTGTGAAACACGTGTCACGCACCCTTGCCGAGGATAGTCGCACCGTAGAGCACGCTTGACGGTCCGGGTGCTAGTGCAGGAGCCAACGCCTCCGCGACCCGCGTCGCCTTCTCCGGGAACGCGCCTGGTAGACAATGCAACAAGTAGAACAGTGATATGGACGCAAACTTGGCCCGCATCTCAGCCGGGACGGGGTCGAACACGCTCTGTGCCTTCTTCTGGATCTCCCCAGTGTAGCCGCGAGACTTGACAGCGCGGGAGGCGGACTCGAGCGTGTCCGGATTGAGGTCGAGCAGCGTGAGCGAGCCTGGGACGTCTGTGGTCGACGCTAGGCCGCGGGCGGGGTAGAAGCCCGTGCCGACGCCGGCGTCCAGGTGCGCTGAGGCGGGTTGTTTGGTGAGATGGGCTTGGAAGAAGGGGAGGAGGACGGATGAGGTCGGGCAATGCCAGGCAAAGCTGTTGGACACTCGGAGCACCCAGAACTCGTAGATAAAGGCGAGGACCAGCGGGAGGGAGTAGACGGACGCGGAGGGATCGGTAACACCGGGCATCTCTTCACTGAAGAACCTGGCTACGAAGGTGGTGGTGTCGTGGGCGGGAGAGGCAAGCACATCGTCAGCTATGGGACCGTCGAGGCCATCTGTCTTGCTTGCCGGAACAATCGGGAGGGAAACGGAAGCCGACTGACGGACGTGTTCCTCCTTATTAGGCACAGTTCTCGCCGCGGGTGTTGCGAGGTGTTGCGTTGAGCCTGCTTCATAGACTTGTTGCAGGAGATTCAGCTCACCCCGCGCACGCGGTGGTCATCAGTATCACACTGGCATTTGGCTTTCATGAGTCTCCGGCGTAACCTCGCATCTCCTTGCATTCGCATCATTCAACTTGGCACTACAGGGGGGTGGCTCTGGCTGACTCCGGAACTTCCTCCAGTCGTCCTCCCAGAGACGTCACCTATACTTGGCGTCCGAATCTGATGCTTCCGCATTCTGTGAACAAGAGGAGGCAACAGGCACACTATCGCTCCCGCCTGCCATTCACCGCCATGCGCATGCGCCCACGTATCCGCTACCATCTATCATCCGAGGCAGCGAAGGTGGGATGAAGCATTCTCCGTTGGGGCGAGACGCGCTGCTGCTGCACTTTGTGCGGAAAGCATGTACACACGATGCGACGGACCTGGGCGTGATAAGATACCGCCACAAAGCTCACGCCGTCCCGTAACTCGGCCCGGCCCGACGCGGAAGCTGATCCCGCTTCAGATGAATCAGATCGGTCCATCAAGTACCCACGAAGCCGCGCACGGCTTCGTAGAGATGTAATAAAGACGAGACCGGCTAACATCCGTCGTTTTCTGAGGTGCAGACCTTACGCTCGTTGTTGCCCTTTAACAGCTACCACTCGGACCCATCCCAGCAGGCGATCATGGCTACCTTCCAGCTTTCGCTCGACGACACCTTCGGTATGACGCCGGTGGCGTTACTGTCTAGACTGCAACTGATGATGGATGGCAGGTGCCGCCTACATCGGGGCTATGATCTCTGCAATGTCTGTTTTGGTTCCGCTGATATTCAAATTGAACCCGTAACTCAATCGTTTCATAGGCTGTACGGGTTGACGACACTGCAAGTGAGTGCAATACTGTAAATGTTCCGGACATTGTTGACCTTATGAGCCAGACCTACCTTTACTACTCGCGGTTTCCGAAAGATAGCTTTGGCCTCAAGTTCCTGGTAAGGCAGTATTTTCAACGACCGACAGGATTCACGCTGACGATACGTTCAGGTTGGCGCCGTGTGGTGGGTATCATCAGGCAGCGAAACCAAGAAGTATCGACTGATCCATGGACAGGGCTCTTGATACCGCCCATGTCGCTCTCAGTTAGTCCTTTGATTTCGTCCACGGCACATGGTCTCATGTGGTTCCTTAGTCTGCCAAGCGATGTACCATTATTTGGTGCGCGCGTGTGCGCTTGTTGCCTCGTTACCTCCATCTCACGACGGCATCACACAGGTCACCAACTTCGCAAATCCGCTGGCATTGCTTGTTGGGACTAATGGAACCTTTGTAAGAAGTCAACTTACTTCGGACCAGGAGTGTGTATCTCAAAAAACCACAGATATCCATCTTGGTGAATGTATGTCCGCTAACCAACGTTCTCTCAAAGTCGGGCGTCTGACTGTCCCCTAGCTCGTGATATCTGTCCTGGTGCAAGCGTTCTTCGTTAAGCGTATTTACATCGGTAGGGAACTCCCCCCGTTCTCGGAAGATACCCGCCTGAAAATCATCATGTAGTGGCGAGTCCGAGATGGAGGTGGTGGCTTGTGGTACCCATAGTGAGTATGAAGTGAGGGTCTTCAAATCAAGCCGTTCGATGACAGTTTTGTAGATACTTCTCGTTCTCGCTCATTTCGGTCAGTTGTGACGAGCTCTCGGGGAACTTTCAGCTGATGCCAACTTCTGGGGATCTGAATAGCCTTTGGTCTCGGTATGTGAATTTCTGGCTTTGCAGTCTCCTTCCGCTCCACTCACGCATCGTACCATAGCGACGTTCATCGGCGTGTATGCTGGCACCGGATTTCTATCATGCATCCTCATCTGACATCGTTCCATCCAGGTTCAAACGCAGAGACTTTGTCCGTATACAGGAGATCATTGTGAGTGCAGAGGGTCCCTTGGTAGGACGTCACTGATCGATCACGCACAGAATACCTCTGCGCTCCCTTTTGCCGTGATAACGGTTGCAGCAGACGTGTCAATTGCCGCGTGTCTCTGTGTCCTTCTCTACAATCGCCGCACGGGTTTCCGGAGGTACGGTCTGCTTCAGCCGGCTAGCCGGAGGACGCACTGACATTCGCGCTCACAGGTCGAACAATATCATCCACACCCTCATCGTATACGCCGTCAACCGTTGCTTGCTCACGTCCTTCACTGCGACGGCCGAGCTCATCACAGTTCGTGATCATATCCTCCTTGCATGGTCGTCAAACGGTTGATCATTTCGCCGTAGCTCGATCTCAAGTCCCACACGCTCTGGTTCCTCGCCATAGACTTTGTCATTGGAAAGCGTATGCTTCCAAACGGGCTGTCTTTATTCCGCGGACTTCCTAATGCTCTTCCACAGTGTACGCCAATTCCTTCCTTGCGACCTTAATCGCCCGAGAAGGACTCCGCGAACGGGATACCGCCAACACCGAAGACTCGAACACGCTCTCCATGCCCTCCTTCCGCACGCGAACCCTCGATACCTCGGCGCAAACATCGGTACGCTGACCCCGCCGCCCGCGGAGATCAGGGAACTAAGTCCGCGACGGTCATAGAACGTACCACGCACGCCCGCCTCCGGGCGCAAGGGCCCCGAGGTCCACATCAGCACCGAGCAGATGCATGACATCTACTCTATACCCGGCGTCGACTCCGAGCTGAAATTCTCCCGCACGGATACTGATATCAGCGCGAGGCGAGACTCGGACGTTTGAGCTGCGGGTTCTTGAAGGACTTCCCGGTTGTTGTACGCTGATCCAGGGTAATTTATAAGTAATGGCTCTGTCACGTTGTATAGTGTACGCATACGCGTGCGCTGAATGCAAAAACGCTATTATGATCGTTGCAAAAATCCGTAAATACCGTATGCCAGGGCCTCTTGCACATTCGAAGAAAGGTATGTACGCGAAGCAAGATGGTGGGAGATCATGGGGAATATCGTGAACCGTCGTTAACACAAGCACAAGCAAAAGCCGTCTCCTACACCCAGGTCAAAAATGTCAGATTATAAGGTCAGCAAGAATGAAATATATATTGCCTGCACGTCCTCAAGCAGAAGGCCAATCAAACCTCTTTTCGTTCGCCTCCGTCGAAGAAAGCAACCAGCTGCCCTACGGGTGGCCTCGGCTTGCCAGCCGCCACCTTGGGCGCCTTCTCCTCTTTCACGCCCTTCATTCCCTCCTTTTCCTGCTTCCTTGCCTCGTAAGGATCCACAAACTTGGGATCGCTCGAGCCCGCCGTCGAGCGCGACCGCAAGCGCACCTTCAGCGGCGCGACGGATGCAGAGCCAGTCGAATTGAGCGACGTCGTCGACTGCGACGAGACGGACGAGTAGGAGAAACCAGCGTAGCTCGACTGCGGGCGTGGCTTCGTCCTCCCGCGCGCAAGGTTGCTCGAAGGCGATGGCGAGGGTGAAGGTTCGAAGCTCCCGTTGGAAGCTTTGTGTTTCAGCTGGATGGGGAGCGTCCTGCCCAGCGATTTGCCGATCGTTTCCTCTTGGAACTCGTCCTCCTCTTCTGCTCGCTCGGCATCTCGGGCCTTCTTGTGCCTGCCTGCCCCCGTAGGATTGAAGACAGACTCGTCGTCGCCGGATGCATCGGCATCGCTCGCGCTTGTATAATCGAGCTCGGTCGGAGTTACGGCAGGCGAGGACGAAAAGTAGGCCGTGGCTACCGGCGCTTGATTGGCCGGCAGTTCCCGTTCTGCCTCAGGAGGTCGCAGTGGCCCGCCCAATGCGACCGTATATCGCTTCCGTGGCGTCGGACTCACGTTCGGGCTCGTACTCGTAGACCTCAATGCAGGCGCACTAGGCGGTGGTAGGCCTGTAGACAGCGGACTCTTGCCAAACGCGTCGCTGGTGACCGAGGGCAAGCCGGACACGTTGCTTCGATTCGTCGATCCATACGATTGCGTTTGCGGTGGCGAACTGGGCGGGGAGAATGCGCCGCCCAGCGCTGACTCAGGCGGGCTGGCATAGTCGCCAGTCGGATAAGGCAAGCGAGTCCGCGATCCTGAACGCACGACCCCATGAGCCCTCGCAGGCGGGCTCGTGCTATCTCCAAACTTCGACGAACTCGGGGTGCTCACCCGCCTAACGGGTGTGGCGACTGCCTTGGGATCAATGGACCGCACTGCGAGCGATGAAGCGGTGGACGGAGCGCGTCCAAGCTCAATCGAGTCGCGGGAAGAAATATTGCTGAGATTGCCGGGGAGTGTCGCGAGGCGGGCCATCTCCCGTCCGATTTCCCCAATGCGTCCCTGCAGCTCCGCCATTTCGTCCCGGAGGTCGCCCAACTCGTGTTCCAGGAACTCAATCCGTTCGCCGTTGCCCGAACCGGACGGGTTGGATGCGAACGAATTGGTAACACTGTCTTGGTCGCGCTCGTTCTCACGGCTCGCACCGTCTTGCTCGCGAGACTGCTGTTCCTTGAGCTGCGATTCACGAGCTTCGGCTTCCTCCTTCTCCCTCTCCTTGTCGACTAGCCACTTCTCGACGTCACTCATGCGCTCCTCGAGGGCTCGCACATGCCCTACAGTCCATTTTTCCAACTTCTCGAAGCGCTTGGCAACGACAAGCAGTGTGCCGTGCACATCAAGCGTCCCGCGTTGATCAAATTGAGCATATAAGGGTGGCTGTTCCTTGTCTGCACGAGGCGAGGATTCGGAGTTGCGTGAGGGTGAGCCGAAGAGAGACGGCGGCAGAGAGTTTGATTGAGGCGGCTGAGCTTGCGAGGAAAACTGCGGGCGCGGAGGGGTAAGGGACGAAGAGACGGGCGCGTCAGATACTGCGGGAGGAGGATTGAATTGAGGAGCAGGGACACGTGAAGGCGCAGAACGGGTGGTGGGACTTTCGGAAATGCCAGGGCCGCGAGGTGGCGTGCTCGGAGGGCTCGCGCTTTCAGCGAGTCGCAAGAACGCAGGGTCTTCCCGTTTCGTATCAGGTTTGGCGGGCCATTCAGGGTCGGGTGTCCGACTGGTGCTGCGTCCGCGCTCCCTACTCTTCGACTTCCGTTCTGCCTTCTCGGCTTTCTTCCGCTCCTTGTCTCGTTGCTTTGTCTCTTGAATGATCTGCTGCGCCGGCGTGAGAGGCTCCTTGGTAGGAGTGAGGCGCTGCTTCGCCGCATTCCACCAGCCACCTACGCCCTTGTCCGAGGAGGCGGGCGAAGGGGGGTTGGGCGTTGATTGCGAGCGCGTCGGTGGCGGCGGAAGGCTGGAGCCGTTCGCGATGGGTGAGCGGCGACCAGACTCCATCATCTGGCGCACGCGCTCCTCGACGAGGCGGCGCTCTTCAGCCTCCAGTAACATAATGCGCTCGGCCTCCCGCCGACTCCTGTCGCGCTCGCGCTCTGCCTCCGCTTCGAGCTCTGCATCCGTGAGCTTGCGTGAGGGGGATCCTGGGGCGGCCATGGGGGAGGGAGATGGGCTGCTGATGCGACCCGTGACGGCGGTGTTGAGGCGTTGCGCGAAGGTCGCCGCGAGCTGCGACATCGAGGGTGTCGGCGACTGTGCACGTTGACCCCAGTGTCGGTGCACGTCGTCATCTTCGTCCTGATCAGAACCGTCTTCGGACTCATCGTCCTCGTCGTGTTGTCTCCGCAGATCGTCGGCAGAGACTCCGTTCCGGAGGGGAGAGGGCGGCCGAGAGTTGTTGGACGAATGGCCAGGGTGTCCGTACACAGCTTCAGGCTACGCATGGTGACATGAACGGGCATGAACACGTCGACAAACGCGTTGAGGACACTCACGAGATCGAGTGATTGAGGCGGCGGGGCAGGCACGGTCATACGGCGTTGCTGTCTCGTTGTCGGCTGCTGCGGTGAGCCCATGTTGCCCGACATCGACATCGTATTCCTGTGGGATGGAACGTGTGCCGACGCCATCGTCGCCGACGGGAGAGGCCGTCGAGGCCGTGCTTGAGGTTGAACGGAACGTGCAGCGCGTTGATCGCGACTGGGATCGGAATAATCAAGCTTTGTTGACAGCATACATTTGACTGATAAGGCTATCATACAGATATTTATATGCAAATCGTTGCCGGTCTGCTGCGCCGCTTCCTCCCCTGGTCGCCGCCGTCTTTCCCCAACCAGACCTGGCCGCCGCTGCCGTTGAGGACGACGATGGACAGCACAAGCACCACTCTCGAGCCGTTGCTCGCCTTCCTCACGCACTCGCTGCATGTTGCCGAGTCGACGTTCTACAAAATACCCGGCTCGGCCGTCGTGGCGCGCTACGTCAGGTCCTCGCACCAGAACGACCCCGGCCGGACGCTGCTTGAAATCATCCTCATCATCTTTGCTATTCGCACGCTGCTACAGTCGCGTACTAGGGGTGAGGAGAGCGGCAAGCATTTCATCCAGTTCAGCGACAAGGTCCGTTAGGCACTGTCTTCCTATCGCGTCTCTCGCTGTGCTTATCCGCGTTCGTTTGCTGCAGGAAATCGACGAGCTCGTGGACGAGTGGGCTCCGGAACCGCTATGCGAAAGCCTCAACGAGGAGGAGCAATCCTTCCTCGACAATGTGCCCGTCATCGTCGGCGCACAGGGTCCGAAGCCGAAACTCGCGTCCACAGGCAAGAATGTGCTGAACCTCAGTGCATTCAACTTCACCGGTCTGGCTGGAAACGAAGAGATCAAGCAAAGGGCAGTCGAAACCCTTCGCAAGTACGGTTTGGGTTCCTGCGGTCCTTGTGGCTTTTACGGTACTTTGGGTACGTCTTCGCTCACCTCCACCGGAATTCGTTACCGGTACTAACTACACCATCCAGACGTTCATATGGACTTTGAGCGCGACGTTGCCGAATTCCTCGGGACCGAATCCGCCATTCTCTACTCGCAGGGTTTCTCGACCATCTCCTCTGTCATCCCAGCCTTTGCCAAGCGCGGCGACGTCATCATCGCTGATCGAGGCGTCTCTTTCCCCATTCAGCTCGGCATTCGGATGTCGCGCTCCACCGTGCGTTGGTACGACCACAACGATCTCAATTCTCTCGAGGAGGTCCTTCAAGCTGTTGACCGCGAGCACAAGAAGCGCAAGCTCCCGCTCACCCGCCGTTTCATCGTCTCCGAAGGCGTGTTCGAGAAGGACGGTAGTATGGTTGATCTGCCCAAGCTCATCGAGCTGAAATACCGCTACAAGTACCGCCTCATCCTCGACGAGAGCTTCTCTTTCGGCACCCTCGGGCGCACTGGCCGTGGATTGACCGAGCTGTACAATGTTCCCGCATCTCAGGTAGAGATGCTCGTGGTTGACCTCTCCAAGGGTCTTGGTGGCTCCGGTGGTTTCTGCGCTGGCTCGCGCATTGCTTCCGATCATCAGGTCCGCCGCTTCGTATCCTGTTTGTGTTTCGCAGCTAACGACCCCACTAATTTAGCGTGCCAACGCGACAAGCTATGTCTTCTCCGCCTCCATGCCCGGTCTACTCGCAGTCTCCGCCTCCGAGTCCATCAATATTCTCCGCAACTCGCCCTCCATCCTCTCCACGCTGCAAGAGAACATCCGGGCCGTGCGCGCCATCCTGGACCGTGTCGACTGTTTGGTCATCCCCTCGCACCCGGCCTCGCCCATCATCCACCTTTATGTCCGCGGCGCCTCCAACTCTCTTTCTATCCCCGCAGCCGACGCGCCGCGCGCGCACGGTCACAGCCACTCGAAGCCGACGTCGATCGTACCCACCCCCGCGCCGTCGTTCGACGTCGCGCTCGAGGAGCGGCTGCTGCAGGAGATCGTGGACGAGGCGCTTGCGCAGGGCGTGCTCATCACCAGAGCCAAGCGCCTGCGTGGACAGGAGATGGTTGACGCACGCCCGTCGATCAGACTGGCGATCACCGCGGCGTTGACGAGGAAGGAATGCGAGAAGGCCGCGAACCTAGTCAAGGCGGCGGCTATCAAGGTGTTAGGGAGGAGGCGATAGACGATTGTATTGGACGGGATCTCGGATTTTATTGTTTTGGAGTGGGATGTGTACCTTAGCTTTGACGATAATCGCTAGATGGTGGGCACGCCTACTTACTCTAAAAGGCCGTCACTACTATATTCTCGACACCGCGACGTTTCTCCGTTCTAAGGGCGTCACCTGGTAAGTATGAGCAACATCGCAATGCTCGAGAAGCGGTCAAGTCTGAGCTGACCCGCAGCCCAACTGCGCATCTATATGGGCGCTAATGTGAACGCCGCCATTCGTCTCTCCCCCAACACCTTGCGCTCTACACGTTCTTCCGACGTTGCCCACGGGTTGGAATGGAGGACGCGATAGCACTCAACTTGTCGGCATTCATGTCTCATACTCCACGCCTATGACATCTGCTGCGGAAATTCGAAACTTTCGAGAGGGCCTGCTGACTGCCACGTTCAAACTAGAAGCGAGAACCATGCAAGATAGCATCCATGGACTGCGAAGGAGGCCGCATTCCATATCGTCATCACCATATCGCGCGTATACATAAATGAGCTCTCCGTCCGATGACCCATCCACGCCTCGCTCGGGGGCTCCGACTTGTTGCTCGACTCTGAGCTTGCTTACCGTACTCGATGTCCGACCTGATCAAGCCGTTTCCGCGAACGAAGTCGGGGCCGAACTCGCTGCTCGTCAGGATGGGTGCTGTAGGGGCGACCTTAAGCGCCGAGCAATGGTCACGCATCAAGGTGAGTGCAGTACTAGTAGTTGACCGTGCGCTACGTCCTCCTGACTTACTCCACCGAGTATCACATTAGAAAATTGATTCAACGATACCTGGTGCCGGGAACGACTTTCCGGAGGCAGCCTCAAGCCACCATGCATCGTCTGGTCGAAGCAGTGAGTAGCACAAGCCCGTGAATCGTTGCCCAGAACAAATCCCAATCTTAGGTGTGTCGTAAATATCCGTTTTTCAGGCTTTTCCAGGATCTCTGGCCACTCCGAGAGTACATCGAGGAGTATCTCAGAGTGCATGTAACCCAGACGGAATGGCCAAGACTGCGGACCGTGCCACAGGCACACGAACAACGCACGGGCGAAAACTTCATCGACCTTTCCGGTGACACCGACGACGAAGGGACCATGAGGCCCAATCAGACTTCACCAACGCGAATCAACATGGTACTCTCGTGTACGAGTTATTGACGACCATTGACTGATACTCGGACAAAAGGAGGACACGCCTGAATGGGCATCATTAGTTGTGGCGACGCAACCCTCGACTGCGAACCAGGTACGCGATCAGCATCGCGCAGAGCGCCTACCGGGCTCTTCAAATGCACAGCGTGAACAAGCTTCCCCGGAAAATGCAGCCGATCCTGTAGTCACGCTGCTCATAAAGCAACCTCTCAAGTCGGTGCAGCGTGTGCGTCCTGCGCTGTGGGCTCTGGGAATCAACGATCAGGTCCGTCCCGTCCATCGTGGGTACAGTATGTCCGATACTAATACCGGTGGTTCAGGCGGATATCGATTCCGTGTGCTGCTCAGATATACAACAACGCGACAACTGGTTGGAGGCTGAGCTCCGTAGGGCGGGCACATCCGAAGGCTCCGGTGATATCACTCCTTTGGATTTGTTCCTCACAAAGCAGGCTTTTGCCAGACACGAAAATACATTGAAGGCGAAAGGGTCGCAGAATGCGATGTAAGCGTGTGCTAATGTATATTGGGTGTGGATTCTATGAGGAGGATGGCGACCCGTTTGATGCGGTCGTATGGTATCCAAATAGCAAGTGTGCGCCTTATAACGCGCCTTCGTGTTATGGCTGTATTCAAGCACTCGAAATGGCTTCACGCGGCATATAGATCTGACAAGCCATCCCCGTTACGTATTACCGATAACCTCAGATACAATGGGCGGACACTCAGTCGTGATTGCATGTGATCTCAGGATCAAGGGTCTGGTAGCTAAGTTCAAGCGAGTCGGCGTCCTCATATTGGGTCGGTCACAAAGAACTGGAATAAGGGGCTTCACGGAAATACACATTAACATGTCTCGTACATTCTCAGATGATCGTGCTCTCGGGTGGACCGAGGTAACTTGGCCGCACGTTGCCAGTGTCGATGACCAGCTTTTGAACCACCACCGCAGGTTCAATCATCCAGACCTTCAACGTGTGCGCTCCCGGCGCGATCCCGGTAAACGTGTTTTTGACCTGAACGATGCTGTTTGCGACGAATCCGTCCAGTCCGTCCCACCCGTCTGGGGTGGCGCCCGCGGCTGCCAGCGGCATGAACTTCGTCGCTTGCGGCGCGCTGTCGTCTAACTGTACGGCCAACGAAAGAGGGCGGTCGTCACCGTTCGCGTTCATCGAAGGTGATACTAGGGTCGTGACAGAAAGCTTGCCGGATCCCCCGATCGTGTTGAAGTTATAAAAGTCATATTCCCTGCATCACGGTGCGTTCAGCGTGGTGCGGGCCACATGAGCGTGTAAATACCGACAAACTGGGTCCGGAGCCCGCGGAAAAATTGCGCCCGTTCGCGCCCGTGCGTGGCCAGGGTGTCACGCCTGACAGTGTTCGCCCATAATTTGGTATCGTCGTCCATGTAACCCCGTCCACCGACGTATTGCGGGTTGCGTGCGCCGCTTCCATGGAGATGCCACCATCTCCCTCAACAAAACCTACGCCCTTCTTTCAGTGATCATTGTTTCCGAGATTTCAGATAACTCGCACCTTTGAAGCCAGCAGGGACGCTGGTGTGATTCGCCAGCACAGTCATCCGTACCTGCAAGGCGCTCTGTGTCTTGCTCGTCGCGCTGAACGTGATAATCGCCTCGCCGGTGGAGTCCTCCAGTTGGTCCCAGTCGACAGAGGCGAATACGCGCTGCTCATTCTTCGTAGACGTGATCGAGCCGGATGAGGGGCTTAGCTTGAGCCAGCTGGCATTTGTTGTCGCTGTAAAATTGAAAGAATCGGGACCACCGGCACTGACATCGATGTATTTGTTGCCGAACGGCATGAAAGTATCACTAATCCTAACATGAAGAACGTTCGGGGCCTTGCAACTGACGAACGTACAGAGTTATCGTCGGATTGGGACATCCGTAGCCTTGAGCACATTGGTTCTTGTTGTCGCCTGGCCATGTACCATAGGTACCCTCGGGCGTGATGCGCATAACCCCGGCAAGGTTCATCTTCTTCGATTGAACCCTGGTGATAGGTGGCATACTGCAATAGTCAAGTTATGTCATGCCGCTCGTTATGATGTGCATACTTCAAACGTACGTGTTCGCGTCGGGTTGCTGCCAGTAATAATACATAACATGGGTCTGGTCCATCATACTGTTGCAAAGGCGTCAATGTGGTTATCATCGCAGCGGAGGCGCACGCACTGATCCCATTTTCCTGCGCAAAGGCATCAGCACTAGGATAGGATGAACATAGAGCATACCTACCATTGAGGATGGTGTGATATTCGTGCTCAAGGTCGTAATCTTGAGCAAACAAATCTTCCACGGTATCCGCCATGTCGTTGGTGCTCAACCTTGCCTGCTGTGCGCGCATATTGTTGATCCCAGCGGAGATCCACATCTTCCCAACTGTCGCGGACGCCAGCACCTCATGATGTACAAGCTGAAAGAACGCTGGTTGAACGGAGGACGGTAGCGAATTATAGATAGCAGTGGATTGCGCGGTGAGGTTGTCCCAGGTTGCGGCAACTGACTCGGCTCTGTTACGGAGAACGTGCCCGTTAGAATTGCTATCATCTCGATAAAGAGTGATATGCACGCACTCGCGATAGTCAATCAATGAGTAAGTGGTAGAGTTCAGGAGCTCGGGTTTTCTCCTCGCGTTGAAACGCTTCACGGTTGACAGAATGTCGACAACTTCCTGCGCCTTTGCAGCGCTCAGGTCGAATTCGCGCTGGGCCCAAGAAGTCATGAACGTGTCCATATTTGCGATATCCCTGATTTCGTAATCAGCGACCGAAGGGCGATGGAGGCACTCTTGATATCATCTTTGACAGCAAACGAACGCACCATCTAGATGCGTTCCAGCCATACGCGAGGAAAAATTCAGTATCCATTTCATAGGGCTTCAGATCGCCAACGTTGAGGATCCAGATGCGGGTCGCATTTCTCTCGATAGCGAGTGACATTTGCTCGAAGATCTTGGATATTTGACTGCTCTGAGGGATGCGTCGGTCAGTTGACTTAGTTTAGGGACAAGTCACCCACTTGTATCCACTTGTAGTCGCGAGGGCTGCCAACATAATCCACCTGAACGAGATGCGCTTTGAGATGGGGAGCCAAGATGAGGAGTCATCGGAGCTTACATGGTAGTAAACGCCAGCACCTCCAGATCTATCAGTTTCGTTGTTGATCGGGTATCGGCGAATGTTTCCCCAGCTGGAATATATGTTGGCTGTCAAATTACGATTACGAGACGTTTCATCGACAGCGACACGCACTTGTCATCCGTCCACATCAAGCATATGTCGTCAGGAACAGTCATGCCGTCCTCGTAGTAGCCCTGAACCTCTTTATCTGTGTTGTATCGAGTGAGCATCGGAGGGAATCATTGCGACTTGCCTGTTGAAACGAACTTACAGAGGGTCCAGACCTGAGGGATTTGGGCCACATCCGACGTGTTGAAGACAGTTGATAATATAGTGCGCTGATCAGCCACGACTTGCTCCAGGAGTTGTATGTTCTGCCCTTCTCCAAGAGGCACTGGCTTCCACTATTAGCAGGAAAGGCGGTGCATGGTGAGATATACTCACAATCGCCATTTCCACGCATGCCCACAGTGAACAGCGATTCGTATGGTGCTGAACGCTCCGTGGAGTTGACCTAGAATTGTCCACAATGAGTAAGATACTGAGCCGCGTGAGGTTGATATCTCACCCAGAAATTATATATGAATTGTTGGTTGGTTGAATAATCCCATGGGCCAACACCGAACAAGTCCCACTCCACGGGGATGGACCGCATCATGGGTTCCTCATGGCTAGTGCCCATTACGATGCCATACATGTCGGCTGTGAACATGTTGATGGGATCATCAATCTGGAATGCAGAGCTCCATTGCGCGGGCCAGAAGTAGTTCCCTTTTAGGCGGAGGATGAGCTCGAAGCTGGCGAGTATAGAGTCTGGTGAATGGAGATGACTAGAGATGGAAGAGTTTAATCTGCTTACAGCTTGCTGTAGAAGACGTGGTTGAAGGGACTACCGGTACGAGGCCCAACGCCCGCGGAGGCAAACTTTTCTTGGGCCCAGTTCTGTAGGGCAGGTTGCTCGTCGTTCAAGAAGATGCCGCGGTATTGTACTGGCAGCAAGATTAGGTAATCATCGCAGAGCACAGGACAGGAATCCTTACCGGATGGTGAGCCGCTGCTGCAACCGCCTGCAGTATCAACGAAGAGAGACGAATGAGAGGATACTGGTACGTCTGCCCAGTAATACCATGGTGACTGTCCTATATCAAAGACAAAGCTGAGTCCGAGAGCCATCAGAGAAGCAGTGTAGGCTCACCGAATTGCTCGCTCAAGTCGTACAAACCATAGATGCTAGCGCGTTTGTCACTGCCAACGATCACAAACGCAGAGTTCACCCCTTCGAGCGGGTTCTTCACGACTTTCGAAATCCAGGCCTCCCATGTACCGTTGATCGAAGAGACGTCAAGACCTAGCAGGTATTGATTCTCTACCGAGGCGTATGAACAAACATATCTGGTCGACGTACCGGAGTTTTTGACCACTTGGTCGATCAAACTTGATTTTCCCAATGTGCCAACGATGATGGGCGTGCCGGAGGCAGTTCCAGTGAAGTTCGAGAGAGATGGGCGGTGGCCAGTGACAGCATGTATATCTGACGCGAAGTCTAACGCTGCACGTTGGACACCAGGCCACTCGTCGTCTGACAAGATTATCGGTGCCGCTTTGCCACCAGAAACAACCGAGAAGTGCGAGCCCGATGATGAAAACGAAACGCAACCGCTTTGACCCAGAGCTCGAATGGAAGGCAGCGATGCCAATGTGGCGAACGCCACGCTAGCGACTAGACGCAACATGTTGGCCAGCACTCGGTGGTGCACTATCGCGTCTTCGAGGACGCGTCTCCGGATATAAGTACTGTATTGCGCGTCAGGTGCAAACTATTGCAGAGGGCTTGTCGGTCCGTCGGGGCCAGGACATGACGCATCACGGGTGCAAGGACGCATGACCACTACGAGCGACGGAAGATCTTCGGGACGACGACATGCCCCGACGCACCCTCCAGAAGATGTTGGGACGAGATCCAGATGAGAGAAACGTGCCGCCGGGAGCACGTTTGAATAGGTTCCCTGACGTCTTGGCGGGAGAACGGAGGTGGAGAAGTACAGGATGCTTGAGGCATGGGCGACGTGCGTTCATCTTTTCGCTGCGACGGAATGAATGAATGTAACGGCGGCGCGTAAGACTGATCACCTCGGTAAGTTGCCCATCATGTGGTGCAGCCCTTATCAACCTGACAATGAAGTCCAGACGGGTACACACACGGCTTGAAGGTCTGAAGTATTTGGAGTCGAGCAGAACCCCGGATAATGGGGGGGTATGTTGGGTACATGTTCACCAGCATCCCGAGGCTGCTAGGTCGGATACCTTCTGCGGGAGCGTCCACAGATCGGAGAGGCCGGGCCGGCTAGATGTCGGATGCCAGTGTGCACGGTCAGGTCAAAAGTCGCGTCGTCGCACTAATATCCCGAGTTGGCCCTGCGGCCGTCCACAGGACGAAGCCCTGTATCAGCCGGTTTTGTATCCAACCTCCCAGTCGAGCTCAGTCGAGCGCACATGACAGATCGAGTCGAAGTGCGGGCGCCGGTAGAAAATCGGGCGCAGACGGAAAAACAATGCTCGCTACCAGGATCGAACTGGTGATCTCCGGATTGCACAAGACAGGCTTGCTCATAACATATGAGACCGGCGCTCTAACCAGCTGAGCCAAGCAAGCACATTTCTCCAAAGCAAATACCCCTTCTAGTTCCCTCCGATTAGCGCATCGACCGGTTCCATGGAACACGACGATCTCCACGTGCGAAATATTGCACGGCGCCTGCATTGAGGATTTCCGTCATCCTGCGTTTTGGTATGGAATCGGCCAAGTACGAGGATGATCATCTCCGGAGTGCCATATGTGTGAACTGCATGACCTGCCTCGAGGGCCGAGGCCGATGAGTCCAGTTCGAAGAGCTGTAATCTCGGCAATGGGCTATTCAAGAGCTATGTGCGTGTTACTTCTTCGCGGACAGCACCTTCAGCGGTGTATCCACTGCCTAGTCTGTCTCCGTTTATAAAGGTAAACGAGTTCGTTGCTTCCTTGTCTCGTATCATCCACCTCCCGTTCCCCCATCTCACCATGCAATGCCACCTAGATCCCCTCGTGTACGAGGTAGAATCAAACCGTGACCTATTCACCGACGCGCTCCATGACGAGAATGCCACCTTCGCCGAGCATTCTTTGCAAATGGCTCCCATTCTCACTGAGGATGCGCTTTCTGTAGCCGGTGACCGCATCTTTTCTCAGCGAGCTTACTACGGGAGGATTATCGAACAAGACTTCGCCGGGTTCCCGAAAATCCCGAAATCCCGCAAAGTATTTGTCAATTCCGGCACTTCCTTCAGCGCGGTGGTTTGTGGCGCTCAGGTGAATCCAGGCTGTTCTTTTCACCGCTATAAATGACAGTATTCTGTGTTCCTCTCCTCGTAGGGCAGAGGGAAGAGCCATTCCACTGCTGTTCTTCTCGAGTCATGTCTCATCGCAGACCATAGACTCGGCGCGATCCCATCCCCCCTGAGTGCTCTAGTGTGAGCTGAGCCTTGTCCAACATCGCAGCACCCCCCTTGACATCGCCACAGCTTTTATTTCGATTCGACAGGATGGGATGGGAACAGCAAGCCCTGTGAGCTCGCCCATCTAGCTTGGCTGGATGACGTTCGTGGTCAAGGCGTCAACCCACCGAATGTCACTGTGCTTGTCCTGTACGGATCCACGTGCCCGTTGTGTTGCTTGTTGTCTGACATCTTATACAGTCCCTCCTCTCTCAGTATTATGACGGAGCTTTACGCCGAGGAGCCTAATGTGATTGTTGAGGCACTCCATTTTGCGCCAGAGGATATCAGCCGCGAGGGCTTGCTCGCAATCATGAACGTAAACCCGGGCAACAGTTGGTTCATTCATCCACACCACTCATCTGTTTGTTGAACAGCATTGCTCATAGTATCTTTGCCGGGCTCTTACTTGGAACCCGTCATGTCGATTCTTTGTGACATGGATTCATTCGACTATCACACGTTTCGCAGACGACTCGATGCCAGTCGGTTAACTGCTGCGCAGAAGTTTGCACTGCAGCAACGATTGGATATGCTTGACATGTGTATGAAGGATGGCAACGTGGAGAATCATGTCAAGCGTCATTTTCGACCTGGCCATTCGACTATCGTCGAGTATGCCATTCAGTGGAGCGCCGTTCATGAATGGGCAATAACGACGTCATCACCGCTTGTCTTCACCTCGTATGATCGCCTCGTCTGCTTGCAGCTTCTTCGACATGATATTGGGTCTCTTTGATACAGAGACGATTGAGAGAGGCGGGAAGCTCGTGGGTGAGATTGTCCCTGTAGGGCCGTCACCCTCTGCTGACATGCATCATTTTTCAGTGCTCGACGAAGCGCACCAGGTATACAATCTCTAAACTGACTACGCGGGCGATATTGCTAACTCCGCCTCAGTATTTGCCAGACAACGGCGTTCCTTGCCGGTTCACTGATACGTTAGTGACACTCGCCGGACAGCAGCGTTATCGTGGAACTCGTGTTTTGATGTCTACGCAAGAACCAACAGTGATTCCTTCGAGGCTCCTGAGCTTGTGCTCTTTCGTAATCGCGCACAGGTTTCAATCGCCCGTGTGGTTTGATCATCTTTTGAGGCACATGCCTACACCTGACGGGGATATGCGACAGCCCTGGTTCGATAAAGTAAGCATCACAAATGATTACAGTAGCGTATGCGATACTGACTTAGTTTCTGCCATAGATCATCACCCTTCGCACGGGGCAGGCCATGCTCTTTGCGCCTGCGGATGTCGGTTGCAGGCAATCCCACTGGGACGTAACGTCTGAGTGGTGGGGCCGAGATATAGATGCTCCCGCAACCTCCCAGTCCTTAGTTCCGCTTGGAAGAGGTTACATTCTTGTCCAGTCGCGACAACGAGTTACGCGCGATGGAGACAAAACGGTGCTTGCTGCGCGGAGTTCCTCCCTCCGGGCAGTGTTCCAAGGTCCGCAGGACATTGCGCAGGCGTTCGAACCGAGGGAAGTATCCACACCAGCACTTGTCAAACTCGTCCCTGAGGAAGTAAGCGTGGAAGATCTTCCCGACCCCTCCGAGGACGAAGGCAGTATCGCTGTGTCCGCCAGCGCATCGTCCTCGGCGGTGGGGTTCGGAATCATCAACACTGCCCCAACCACCGTGAAGGCGAGCCATCAAAGGTTCCATGCCCTCCTCTCATTCCTCGAGCAACGACGGATAGAGAACGTCGGTTCATTCCTTCTTCCCAACGTCGAAGCTCGCTTGCGCGAGCTTCATGAAGACCCATTCGATGGACAAACCATCGAAGATCATGTTCACGATGCGTTTCGCCTTTTCCTCGTCCGGTCGGGCGGCGAGATGGGAGACACATGGGTGGAACTTGGTCGGTACGGACCACTGGTCCTTGTGATGCAAGACTTGCGGCGCACAGGAAATGTGAGGCCTACTCGCTCGGCCGTCCTGGAGCAACTGGAGAAACACGATGCTGTGGCCAAACCACCAGGTCGCTTTTTCCACACAGCTGAGAAATTAGGCATCATCCGGCGTGATAACGACAGGATTGTACTGCTTTCACTTCACAACCCATAGTAGCGCGTGAGTGTTGCATACGTACAGTGGACAGAACATCGAATCTATGGGAAAGCTTCATTTCTTGACCTCTGGAAGTCGATCATTCAAGAGGCCTTTCAACAGTGTACTCTTGTGTTGGTTCACATAGTTCAGGGATTGCCTAACACTCGCAAATCTCCCAGCGATGATGTGACGTAGTCAGGAACTATCGAGGACGCGTTAGGCCCGGTGATATCGCCATCGCGCGTAATACCTGAGGATGAACGTTAGTATGACATGACATGATGACGATACATCGCGTCTGTTTATAGGCAGAGTAGGTACGACTTACCAGTGAGAACAAGCAGTGTAGATAGCCCGCCAGCTTGACCAAAAAGTATATCCGTGTTCAAGCGATCGCCAACCATGAGCGTACGCTTAGGATCAAAATCATGCCTATGAGCGCACTTAGTCAGGGATTTCCAGCACGCTATTTACATGGCCAGCTCACTTCGCCTTGATGCAATCGAGCATTGTCTTGGCAGGTTTTCCAACAGCGATTGGGTCCCGACCTACCGCAAAACGGAGGGGTGCACTAATAGCGCCAGCGCCTGGCAAAAGCCCGCCTTCGGAGGGATATGTCGAATCCTCGTTGGTGACTGAAGTAGTACGTGATTACCTATGGGCGTAAAGTCTGAATGACGACGACGTACCTATGAAGGGGCAGTCCTGACAGTCGGGATTTTGAGTCAGGTACCAGAATGCCTTGGAGAGCTTCCTGTAGTTGATGCCCGTATCCAAGCCACAGAGCACGGCACCGACCGAGCGGTCGGGCTCGAAGTCGTGAAGAGAGAAGGGCCCAATGACTTGATCCGCAGGATCCTTTCGACAGAAGGGCGGTCATTGATCTGTCCTACCCTCGTACAAAAAGAGGTACACACGGTCCCACCGATATGTGCGATTCCCTCCTCGTCTAGTTCTTCCTCCAAACCCTTCTGGCCAATCACGTAGACCTTCTTATCCTTGGGAAGCTTCATGACCGAAGAAAGGTACACAGCAGAGGCGTAAGCTGAGCCAAAGACCTCGTCCTACGTCTCCACGTTAGCGGCACATCCGAGAGGCAGGTAATCAACGAAGGGGGCGCACAACGTAAGCCTCGATCCCGAGACTATCGAACTTCTTCTTGTAGTTCTTTCTTGACTTGGTTGCGTTGTTGGTCACAAATATGACACTCTTCTCTTCCTTCCCCATAAAGCGTCAGTCATCGCGGACGAGATACTGGCTGGATATGCCGCACTGTGCTTGCGGAGAATGCCCAACACTTCCTTGGCGCCGTCTATAAGGCGATCGCCTGTCCACAGCACGCCATCACAGTCGAAGAGCCAAGTATCGTACTTCTCCAAAAGCTGGGCATAGTCTGATGGAGCGGTGAGCCTCGTGAACGCTTCCGAGGACATGATAAGCCAAGATCAAGGATGAAAAGGAAGAGGCGCCCGTAACACTGACGAGTAATAAATAAGCGCCCGACATTTCAGCCACGGGCCCGTCACGGCGCGTCTGGCATCCAACACGACCGTATCGACATGCCTAGCAAGAAGAAGAAGGTAGTCAAGTTCTCCGAATTGCTGGAAGGGAAGACTCTCCAAGAGGTCGCAACCGAAACCGCAGGCGGAAACGGTCCTGCAGCTAGCCAGTCCGGGTCAGGCAGACAACCTCCTGCTCCCAGCCCGTCCTTCTTTCCTTTGGCGCGTTACACGTCCATTGTGGGCGTCCATACATCTTTGCTGTCTTTCTCGGCTCTCTTTCTTCCTCGGACGACTTTCCTACCGGGTCTTCGGCCACTTTGGACCGCTCTAGGGGTAGACGTCCGAGCACAATCACAGACGCGGAGCGCAGATCGTCCGGAGCACCCGTTCTTCACGTCTCTGACATCTCACCCTGCGCTTACTCTCCTTTGGCTGTGTGTTGGGGCTGGGATATTGCAAGCATGGTGGGGCGGATGGATCAGGCAGTGGGCTCTGGAGTATAAGGGGGAAGTCGAGAGCGACGAGGAAAAGGTGGACAGAAAGAACCAACGGTGGAACACAGCAACGATCACTGTACGCGTTCCTCGCTTCCACCCTGTCTGTTTCCACTAAAGATGTTTCTGCAGGCGTTATATGACGCGTGGGTAGCAACTCTTGCATGCTCCGCGCTGTTCTTCGTTGTCATCGTCCTATTCGGCGCTCCTATGACGAGGCATGCATCTTCTCTGCTTCCGGCCAGAGTCATGGCTTCTCTAACCACATCTTGTCTGTAGTCATCTTTTACATACTTTCCTCCTCTCGTTGTTGTTCTCTCTTCTCGCCGCATTCCCCGCCGCCTATACAATTGGCTCTCCTATACCATCAAACCCCCAGTCTTTAGTCAAGCGCTTCAACTGGGTTCGACTTTTTGCGGAACTTTCGTAAGTGTTTTCCGAGGCTGCCTTTTTCCCCGTCGCTCGCGGATTTTCTACCAATTTAACCCGTGGTTCCTCGGCTTGACGTAAGCAAGCATATAATCCGTCAATGACATTTGAAGCGACGCCGTCGACTCGTTTTCTGACCGCCTTCTCTGTCGCAGCCCTTCACTGACATAGTTTTTCCCTTCAGACCACGTAACCCAATCGAACGTACGCTGGTATACCCTGCTATTGGCGCAGCGGTAGGATGCTGGGCGGCCGTTGTACCGCTCGCCCTGGATTGGGATCGCCCGTGGCAGGTAAGTTTTCCGAAATTTCCCTCGAGGCATAGCTCTTCTGGACTCAATACTGTCAACATGCTTTTCTGGCATCTCTCCACCATCGATGTGCCCGTTGCATCTGATTCATCATTCATCGCGACATCTCGGACCGTTGCGCGTCTGATTCCGTATCTCACGCCCCGATTTCGGCTCTGCCACCTATTGACGACGCTGTCGTGCGTCAACTGCCACCTATTGGCACCTTGCACTCGAAAACGTCGCATGTGCCGTCTTTGGCGGCTTCCTCGCCTTTCTGCTCTGTGACGTATCAGGCGTACCCCCTTCCGCCCGCCTACGGCACACTGCTAGGGTATGTCGCCGGTATGCTTGCAGCCTTGTCGGTGAACTCTCTGCACTTTCTGGCCGAGCAGGATCAGGGCAGGAGGGTGCAAGCCAAGCGAAGCCAATGACGATCCTCCTTAGCATCTCTAGTTCGGTCTATAGAGTTTCGCTGTTGGCAAAACATGCTACCGTTATCGCTGCCTGCCTGGATCAGTCCTGGCCGTCCGCATTGGATTGCAATGTTTGGAACAAAGACGTCATGCACTCGGACGACTGTGACCACCACCAGCGCCTCCGACCGCGAAGTGTCGTAAAGCAGTCTGCAAGGACGATACTCGATATCCGGCGTTGATCGTCTCGGTGTGTTCAATCCGACACCGCATTGATCCCTGGCCGAGGTCCTATCTTGCCCTCCTAGACCTCCACCGCGGAAGTCGGACGGTGACCGGGAGCACCCGTCGCGCCATCGCGCCCATGTTCATCTCCGCAGGTGATTGAATGAGTGGGAGCATCGCCGACGCCCCGGGCTCGCAGTCGCTGGCGGAGCTCGAGGATGCGTCCAAACAAAGGCACGCTCGTCCCAGCTCGGGCTATCCAGGATGTCGGACTTCCTTCTTGGCTCTGCCTTGACGTGGAGGTTCCTGGGTGCTCCAATGCGTGCTTCCCTTCAGCCACACGTTGTGTGACAGCACTTCTACGCGAGTCCTTGCACTGTCGATCGCTCGCTTCTCCAGTGGCAAGAAACCGACGACGAGTGCGGACTCTCACGCCGTTCGCTCAGTGGTACGGAATCGTTGACTGGTACTCCTCCAGCGTCTGACCATTCACGCTCTTACGCAGTCTGATACGACGGAATCGGTGTCAGTATACCGTCGCTCAGAGACGTCGGGGGGCGTCCTTCTAACCCATCGAATCAATGTGACCCTCGCGCGCACACCAACCGCTTGGGCGGACGCTATCAGAACCGTAGATTACATCCCATGAGGTGCGCGACATGCGTAAAGCTGTTCCCAAATGAAGCGACCGGTACTGGCCGTCCCGCAGAGGCCGTTCTAGGGGTCTCCAAGTTGGAGGATGCGCGCGGCTACCGATGACATACTCAGTACGTTCCGCCATTACCATAACTCATAGCCTCCTCTGGTGCATGTCATGCATGCTTACTATCATACTCACCAATGCTTCGCTCCGTTTTGCTTCATCAATAGTGGGTCGGTCTGACCCGCTGTTCAAGCGCAACCCAGAACAGCGAAGCTTTCGATCTCTCCGTATCGGAACTACCCCTTCCCACTGTAAGCGGAGGGGGACATCTTCTCCACACGCTTACGGGACCGTCATTGAGCCTTGTAAGTCGCGAATCTAAGGATAGATGTACGGCGGACGCCATGCATATTCAAAGGAATTTTAGGTGCAACGTTGAGACAAGAGGCGCAGTTACACTGGAGAACGGCATGTTTGCAGAATACATGGGTCTTTGCATTTCTTCAGACAACTTTGCTCTGGCTCCGTGTGTTGTCCTACGATGACCTCGCGAGACATTCCTTCGCACAAACTGGCGAGACATCGCATGTCACTTTTTGTATCACACCGTTGGAAATGGAGTTGAATGCCTTGCATCAGTGCCTCCTCGCCTTTGATCAAGTCCAATGCTTCGTTTCAAACGGTCAGATACCATTCACTTCACTCCCAGGAACTCCCGCCCCATGATGTCAGTTAATCTACTCACGTTTCTGCTTCCGTCCATCATTGACCGCGGATCGGATCGCACAGAACGTGAGTGAGCTTCTCCGAGCCCCTCAAGTTTGGCCGAGTCCATGCGGGGCCGTAGCATCGCGACCCTCTCAACCATATGAAGAACATCATGATGGACCACCCTATGTCCAACTCCTTTCCATTGCGTGGCCTTCGCGCTCCCAAACGAGTAGAATAGAAGGTGCAATTGAGATATATATATATATAGTACCAGAAGCTTCTATTTCTATGTATTACCCAATTTTAGCGTACTGTATGTGTAATGCATGACTGGCAGGCGCATACACCGATGCGAACAATGCAACATACCTTGAAGAATGGATGCATATCTATGATGTTGCAGCTTTGAACCTGCCTCCTGTTCTATAGCGGTATTGTGGACGAGTCAATAAGACTCCGCAGGACATAGCAGTTCCAGGCAACTGACAGCGTGTATACTACGTTCCTCGTAATGGTCCGTCTTTTTTGCTGTATGCTAGTTCGCGCTGTCCCTCTCTTCTTGTGCCAATACCATTCGTTCCACGTGTAAATCTCAGACGGTAAGTGTACCGATCAACGACAAGCGCGCGTTGAAAAGCCGAGGTCAAGTTACTGAGACGTTCAAGATACCATGCTCCTAGCTCTGGAGCTAATGCGGTATCACTGCCGTCTGACGTATATTAACGATAGATGGCGCTTGTTTGCGGAATGTATACGAGTTTTCAGGCTGCTTGATAATGGAACACTGTACGGTTGACATGTCGCGAACATCGTTGTATGTCAGGGATGGAACAGTCGCTTTTACATGTTACATTCTAGTCGTGACATCCATAAGATTTACCCACCATTCACGGGTATATGACCTTTCGAAGCCTGCAGGCGCTTCCAAACCGCGAACCGGCGATGACGAGTCCTCCCGTCAGGCTCTCAAGTCTGTCACCAGAGAACAAGCACCACTAATGACCATGCTGCGAAACGGGTTGGATACAAGTTGAGAAACCTTGGCGACAGCTCAGCGTCGAGAGAGAACGAGATGGCGACGGAGTATTTGATTTTCCAATCGGAGCAACGTGCCGTCGGCGTGAGTGCAATTCGCAACCCGCGAGTCCCGCTTCTCCGGCGATCTACGCATTGCCGATGGAACCAGGGATCGGGCTCGGGGTGTGTCATGGCCGTCAGGAGACCTGCAGCAAGGCACCGCCCGAAACGGGCTAGCGTCGAGAAGAGCGCGGCGAACTTGGCTATTTTCAACGTGAGGCCCATTCGGTGGGAACTGGCGGCGACGAGCAGTGGCGACGAGCACACCTTACATCACAAGCCGAGAACATCGTGATGAACTGCCCAAGAAATACATCTGGATATTGAGAATACGCAACCAGACCTTTTTGTCGAAGTGTCCTAGAGAATGCAGAGGAAATATGGTGTTGTTACAAGGTCGCGCTCTGTCCACCCATGTGCACAGCCGTATGCGTGTATGAGTCCAAGCCCCAGTTGCTGAGGACACAAGATGACCCTACTAAATGCGCGGGATTATGTTCGGATCGGGTGCCGCTCCGCGGAATACGCGTGCCAATATCCCATATCAGGATGGATCTGGGGGTATGGTAGTATCGATGCATCGCTCTGCTGGGCATGGTGGTGAGACGCCGCCTTGACAATCCCGATGGTCAGCCCGGTAGACATCACAGATGATCTAATAAATACCCTGAAGTCGTCTTCTACTTTGATCCCAGAATGAGAATGGACTGACGAACCAGGCTGCACATGCGAAAAAGGCGGCGATAAAACCGGTGACGCCAGAGTAGTTGGTCGCATGCCGGGCATGGGGCTCTTGCTGGCAGAATACGGGGACTCCGAAGTCGGACTCAGAGGCGTGTCCGGTACGTGAAAGACCGGTATTGTGGGCGAATACTGCGTGGCCGATCTCGCGTTCGTGGCATGAATCGGGTTCGGCAACTCGTGGGTTGGACTGCGATACGAAGACGAGAACATGTCGCCCGTGTTGCCGCCCCTACTCATCTGAGCGGGCAATTCATTATTGAAGTGCGGCGTCGCGGAAGCCTGTGATAGGGATTGGGATGAAAGTGAGACGCTTGCAGTGTAGCCGTGCTTACAAATTCGTCGTTCGAGTGCCAGCCAGCCGAGCGCCTGGTGCGGCAACGGCAACCCTCAAGTTGTCGTCTGAGACCGTCGTTCTGACATTGGAGGCGGAGGATCTCCTCTTGTAATTCTTTGATGCGGACAAGCGGCGTGGGGAGGTTGCCAGCTTCGTCTGCCGTAACGCCAAGCACCGACTGAAGCTTTGAAACCGTCTGCTCTAGCTGATGGGATAACAAATGAGCTAGGTGGTCTGCACGAGAATGAAGCAACAACTCACGTTTTGAACGTATGCCTTTCTTTTGGCCCTGTGTCGAGCCTGTGCTTGAGCGTTGCGCGAACGCTCGGGTCGATCAGAAGAGGATTCTGCGCCGGAGGGCGTCATGTGTAACGTAAGGGAGGAACAGATTAACGCGGCGCTGCACAGCTAACTCCGTCCGCTGCTTATAAAGGGCGAGACCGGGCATTGGGATTTTGGGGATATACTGCGGACATGTTACCGACCTGACACGACGCGCTCGATCGAGAATCCAGACTCGGAAACTTCGCAGACGTCCGTGCTTGACAACTGTGCGATTGGCGCGTTTGACATAATCGTCCGCATGCTGTGAATGTGAGATGAACGATAAGGTTCGGGGCTTCGTTGGTGTCAAAGATCCTGGGATTTCGGCGACCTGCGGTAGTCCGCGTCGGATGGGTTCTCAAGCTGTTCTCTTTTCTGATCGGGGTGACCTGGACATCGGCGTTGCGATTCGCTCGGTGCACGGTCCTCGGGACGGAGGAGACGTGTCGATGAAGCGTCAAATGGTCGAGAACCGTCGGCAAGCTCTTCGTGCGTTGGGCAACGGTCCCAGCATGCTTGATGATGCTACGAGTGAACACGACCACTCCCAACGCCTGCGTTCTGCCGTAGACGGGACCATGCCTCGTGCAGATGAGCGGAGGGTCCCACACCGTCCGATTTAGGACTTGTTCACTCCACGGCAGGTCCGCGCTACGATCTTCCAAATCTCCGAACGACCGGACCGCTGCAGCGTGCAAAGGACCTGTATGTATAGATTCTTGACTGCATCCTGTCGAGATGCTTCGCTACCGTCGAACATGCCCTACAATGAATTGATCCCCGTGTTGCTTCCGCTGTCGGGTGGGTCGTGTTGAGTGTGCCGATGGAGTTTTGATATCTGTTGGTGGCGCACTCCTGCGATTGCTGTGCGTGCCGTGAGGTCCCTAATTCTTGCAGGCCTCGGAAAGAAAGTGATCGTGCACCTAGCCGCTGTCTGTATGCTAGAAGATGCTCCTGAAGACATGTCCGAGGTCATCGTTCGTTTGGTCAGCAATCAATGTGCCGTCGAGTGGTGAATGGTGAGCTCTCATAGTTGCTAGATGAGACGTAGACGCTTTCATCGCCTCTTAGGTAAAGAGTATCCCTCCCCATCAGGCGTATGTGAGACTGCAGCGTGGTACTCACTTTGCTCTATTGTAGGACCACCGGTACCGAGCTTCTCTGGATCTTTGCCGTCGTCTTCTTATCGGGTCGGAATCAGATGGGACTCCGTGCACGGTTGCACCTAACTTGCATGACACGGCGGCTGCTCAGAGCCCTGGCTCTAGGCTCGATGTTCAGTCGAGATCCAGCTAACGGCCGCGAACGGATGAGTCGCCGAGGCACCGGCCATGTGATCGTCATGGTCAGACTCTGCCAGCCACAAGGAACGTCTCTCGCACGGCGGGCGAAAATATGATCAAGTTTTCTGTTTTATGACCATCGCCTCGTCAAATTGCCCATGCAGACATGAGAGGCGACACGGAACATCGATCCGCGAAGTATGCGATTCTAGAGTATGCGATCCGCAGCTTGGGATATGTTTCCGTCACTCTTCGTCGTCTGACAAAACCACGCGGCTCTTCTTCTTCGGCGCTCCCAGGAATAACTCGTCATCTTCCGCTTGATCTGGGGTCGTAGGTGACGACTTAGAGGCTGGAATACCAGTGCTAGGAGAAGGCGGCGATGAATGCGACGTGCGCTTTATAGGTCGAGGTTTGGGTCGAGCCCGAACTTCGGGCTCTTTCGATGGTGGAGTAGACTCGACCTCTTCAGAGACGGGCGCGGCCTCATCCCCGTCAGAAGGTAGCTCTAGGTCCAACTCGTTCGTTGCAGCGGGTTCCCGTTCCCTGGTCCGTTTCTTACCGCCACCCCGCGATTCAGACTCGACGGCCACTTTGCGTCGCTTTTTCGTGCCCGTCGCTTTCATCGTGCCACTACCGCCTCCAGCAGATGCTGCGGCGGTCTTCGCCCGCAGAGCGGCCTCTTTTTCCAGGAAGGTGTCCCAGTCGCCGTACTCGTCGTCACTGTCCTCTATGAAGGCTGCCGATTTGTATTTCACCTCCTCCTTATGCTTCTTCTCCCTGCGCGTCGCTCTCTGCGTGTCATCTTCGTTCTGGTCGGAAGATGTTGATCGCGCCCTTCTGCGCCTCCTGGTCTTTCTTGTAAGCATATCGGCCGCTTTCTTTCCTTCCAGATCTATCGGGTTCTCCAAGAACTGACAGATCACAGAGAGGGAGCGCTGCAGTGCCGCAGGTAGAACAGTTGCGGGTACTTGCCATTCCACCTCGTCAGCATCTGATCCAACAGTGACATCAGCGATCGCTCAACGAAGTCGAGGTTTGGGCTTACCCTCATTTACAACTGTAAAGCCGAGGAGTCGGAAGACGAGCTTTAGCTGCGGGTTCTTGGTTGCCGCTGCGGCTTGTTCATCATTGACATAAGGGATCACTTGGTCGCTGGTGAGAGGTTGACATCGTTGTGCAGGTCATGAGACATACGGTAATCTGTGAATTTCGCAATGGCTTGTTCCGATGGACCTGTTCGGCCGACCCTCTCTTCTTCGTCAGGTCCGTCCATGAGATCGTCCCCGTGTTCTGCATCCCTCGACGAAGATCCGTCCGTATCCTCAACAACTCGTTGCCGTTGACCGATGGTGAGGGTTAGAATCTGAAACAGCCGATTGTCAGGAAGTTGCCGAATCAGTTGCCGAACGGTGAGGCGAATTACTTACGCTCTTGACCCAGTCGATCAGTCCTTCCTTACCATCCTCGATTAGGGCCTTAATGGCGATTCCCATTTGTTCGCTCCATGTGTACCCTCTCTTGACCTGCACGTCAGGTGGGAGTCGCGCGTCTGCCGCCGTGTTGTACCGCTTCTCCTTCTTCTCGGGTTCCCAGCTAGAGAATTGCTTCCATTGACCCCGATTCTTGGGGAACCATGCCTGTCCACCACCACCTTAGCACGCGCCAAGTGCAGCGTTAGCCAAAAACAAATCGACTTACCTCGATTACCAAGAAAGGTTCTTCTTCCACCGCCTTGAAGAACTTGCGTAGTACGTAATTGATCAGACTTAACAAGTCTTTGTACGACTGTTCTTTCGGGAGTGACTTCTGGTTGGCAAGTATGGATTTGAACAGGTCTAGCGTTGAGACCTGCACAAGGCCCGGGTATACACTATAAACGGCAGATTCCAGCGCAGCATCAGATACGGACCTTGAAGAAGAGTCCTTCGGCTTTGGTCCGGACCGCCTGACGATGCAACAGGCTGACCACACGCTTCATGCTCTCGGCCGATTGAAACTCCTTGTACCGAGCCAAATACGTTAGAAGCGTATTATTCACCTCGGCATGCGCAAATCGCTGTCGACGACGGAAATTATCAGTAATCAATGGGCCACTCAGACCTGCGGCCCAGAAGCCTGTATAGTTGCTGACGCACAGCTTCAAACGTTTCGAACGTGAACATGGTTTCGCGGATGATCTCTTCGTCGGCACTATCGGGCTCGATATCTTCCACGTCAGGTACTCCTTCTCCCTCCTCGACTAACTTGCCTAGATCGAGCACGAGACGTTGAATCACCATCAACACCTGACCAGGCATGCGCACAGCAACGTGGACGGACGTACCCGCGGCCTTCTTCTTTCCTCGGGCCTTTGCCTTCTTCCTTACGTACATCTCATGTGTACCTCTCTTTCCCCACTTCTCCAGCAGCCTAAACATCCATGATCAGCCCGCGCTTTTCTCTGAACCAGACGATGGCCTACCTGAGCAGAATATATCCTAAAGCTACGCTCGAATCCAAGTACTTTAGAGACTGTGTACCCTCTTTGTAGCTTCGCAGGCTCTCGAACGCTATATCGAGGACCTCGCCGTTGTATATGATCTGTTGCTGTAAAACATTCGCCGTTTCGGTGGTATCTTCGGCGTCCGGTTCGGTATCCGATACAGACTGCATGCTTGTAACATGGCGGGAATAACTTGAGACGCGGATCGTCCAAGATGCCGGGCACGGGACCACATACCTCTCGATCAGGAGCAACAGCTGTGTGAGGCATTCTATTCCCGCTTGCAGCTCGTTCCATGCCTTCGGCTAAAGAACATATCAGTGTCCCCTTCACCAGCGCGCAGACTCTAAGGAGGTCAGACCTTCTCTTCAACAGCTTCACGCATGCGCTTTAGCACCCATACGATCCAGCCTCGCTCCGTGACTTCAGCGATCAATCCGAAGCTCCATTGGTCTAAGACATGTCGTGTGATCAGGTTCCGGCGTCCCGTCCGATATACCGCAACGCACCACTGCCACGCTTGCTCCGTTCCGAACGCACTTCGTGAAAGAAGGCCAGGAACCATTTGGTAACATAGAGCAGCCTGAGATGGTCTTTCTCTGAGATCTTAGGCCGCTCCGCTTTGATATCTTTCAGTAGGCTCGCCAGGAGGGCTAGATAGGTCTGTTGAGTATAGTTTGCTGCGCGCCAGAGTGGAGTGATAACCCACGATTAAACCCCGCCTCGACGAAGTTCTCAGCAACCTGCTTCAGAACGTCACGGGCCTCTAGGTTCAAGTTATCCTCCCTAGCGAGCTCGTCTATCTTCTTGCCCTTGGTCGTCTTATTACGTTTTGCAGCTGCCATGTCGAGAACCGCGCCCGATTCCTTCGTGATAGCTTGCTGACGATGTAACACGAAAGCTTGGTCGGTGGAAGAAGGAGCGGCAGCGTCCTGGGCAGCCTTCTTCGGATTAAGCTTGACCGAGATAGTAGTTCCGAAGCGTGAGTGTCTACTAGCAGCATTGCGGGCGTAATCACGTCTTCGTTGGTCCTCGATGAGCAGTAGGCGCGAGAGATTTTTCGCAGGTTGCTATGATCAAGCCATCAATGACAGCACGAAGTTGTTGGGCAGCAAGCCTACCTTCGTCTGGTCCATAGCAAGCGACGCGGGATCGACGCCTCGGAACAGCAAGTAAAATATCTCCAGGACGATGGTATTCCATTGATTGAAGAGTGGTTCCTTGGCATTCGATGAGATAGTGAGGAGCAAGTCAAACGCGTGAGCTTCTTGGAGGGCGCGGATGAGCTTTGCCTGAAGACCTGCATACTCAGCGAGATCGGAAGATGCATGCGCGTTGACGGGCAGATCCTTGATGAACGCCAGGTTTCGGATGAGATGGAGGACGAGGTTGATGACCTGTGCATCGCGTTCCTTGCGCTGCTTCGCATCCTTAGCTAGGCAGGGGAATACAATCCCAATAAGGGCTTTGAACACGCCCGGTTTGAGCAGCGCGGCTTTGTAGTGGAGGTGGCTTAACAGGAGTTGCGTGTAGTCTGCGCCCTTGTCCAACTGCTCATCGAGCTCCTTCAGCTCCTCTGCCAAGTCTATCGGCCAGGTCATGGCGCAACATAAATCTGCTACTGCAATGGCACGTTTGTCTTCCAGAAAGCCTTTTCCCGCGGTCTCGAGGAGGATGGGAACGAGGTCATTGGGCAGGACGCGACATTCGAACAAGATACGCGCTACTGTCCTGTCGTCGTCCGTGTCGTCCTTGCGCCAGAACTTCTTGAGGTCTTTGAGACAACCGTAGCACTCGTCCCCCAGTCGGTATACGCCGGATTCGACGCCGCCAAGCGCATCGACAACGCTGCGGATGGCGGGTTCCAGGACGGCGCGGCGCGAATTGTACTCGGCGTCGTCATATTCGTCATCAGAGTCCAATGCATTCGAGAGGTCGATTATTTCGTTGTCCATGGCTGCTGAGGTCGGTGAGGAAGGAGGAAAGGGATGGCCAAAACGTGAACGTGACCAGACGCGTCTTTGGCGCGACGCGCTCGTTTCGGAGACGCGTCAAGGCGGAATTTTATGACTATAAGCTACATACTACAGTATTCAGCTTCCGTCTTGTCCGTGTCGCCCTGACACAAACCGAGTACTCGTGCTATCAGGGTAATCGTAATGGCTACCAGTAACAACGCCTGCGGTTGTGTCCTATGATGATACTTTTACAAGTTACAATATGCCGTGTCGACTAATGTGCCCCGAATATACCGTAACGGCGGAGGTAAGTATCGCAACGATTGCCGCAGCGCGTTATGATGCTCCTGACTTCTTCTTTTTGGCCTTCTCCTTCTCAGCCTTGATCCGTTCCTTCTCAGCTTCTGCCTTAGCAATTTCATGCGCCTTGTCGTTTAGGCCCAACCTGTTGCGTGCGATCTATGCACGGTGTCAACGAGCTCCCGCGCCAGCAATGAGTGACAAACGCACCTCAAAGGCGTAGAATTGTATGCGTGTCACTAGAAAGCCATCAACATTGCGGTGGGCGGAGGAGCCTCGCTTGGAACACACCAAAGATCGTGTTTCGCTCGCCGTATTCATCGCGGCAGTCCGTTCTTATGAGAGATCCGAAGTTGTAGTCCTTGATCTTCTTTTCGTAGCTGGGTCGAGGATGAGACCATGCAGCGTGCGAGTGTGGGGCACATACGCCATCATGAAGTCCCGCCAACGAGTCTTCCCGTCCTTGCTCTTCATCCAGTCCTCGTCAATCACGATGAGTTTCGCGTAATTGTCCTCTGCAAGCTCCGGGAACGCTTTCATAGTGTGTTCAAATATTTCGTCGTCGTAGCTAGTGCTTCATCAGCAAAGTCGACAATGGCTTCTTCACAACAGGGGGAGAATACCTCGTGAGTTTCAATTCCCGAGGATTGACTCTCTCCATCAGGTTCCAGTACGTCTGAGAATATACTCAGCCGCCGCCAACCGCTGAAGCCCAATACGTCAAATGTTACCTGCGCCTGCTCGACGGCCCTCACAGCAAACCTTTCGTAACAGTTAGCACAGAATCGGGTGGTATATTCGGCAGATCATACTGTTTTTCAATCTGGAAGCCAGATAGGCTGCATCAGCGCGCAGGATTGGAGTACTTTCGTGCACACGAACCTCGATGGCATTCTGGGCCGTGTTCGGGTCGAAAGGCTGAGACATGATGGCGTTGCAGCAGGTGGATGCAAGCGCCGAGGGTGGCGGTTTTAGTAAGGCGGAGGAAGAGGATCAGATGTTGGGTCGAGACAAGTTGCCAGCGGAATTCGGCGGCGGCGACGTGGATGAACAGGGATGAACCGTATGGTCGGAGGCTGTGCCGTGAACATCTAATCTTATCGGCGTCTGATCCGCCGCTACGCGTAAAACTTGGTAATGTTGCCTCCGATACGCAATGCCTGCTCAGTACCCTTCCAAGGTCAACATCAATGGCGGCCCCCCTCACGCTGCTCATGACCCGCCGAGGGTTCAAGGCTCCGTCTGACACGGATCGGGATGTTGCGACAGCATCCACAACGTACACGTGATCATCCCGCCTCATGGACGACGAACGACGGAGGAAACGTATGAGCCGGCACTTGGCATTCGCCATCTGAGCCTCGGACGAGAGGGTTCTCTCACGTTGTATCATGCATTCTCAGCTTGACTCTGAGCTGGACTTGCTTTGCGATGACGACGCTTCCGAACGTATAACCTTCGCATCCGCCCCGCTCATTACGCACGAGGCCATCCACGTCTTAGGCGAGGATATCTCCCGTTGTCTGTCATTATATGGATCAGCCTTGGACCCCTTGGTACAAGGTGAAGAGGACGGCTTTTCGAACGTCAAAAATCGCACCGCCCTTTTCTCGAATTCGAATGTGCCGTTTCATGCGCTTGTCTCCGGATTACCCGTAAGCGGGCTATCCTCATGGCTTGCGGGTATACGTGTCCTAAGAAGCGACTGTTGCAGACCTTTGGACGCGAGATGACGCTGGCGGCTTTGGTTGAGAATGCGCTCACGGTTGAGCCTCGCCAAGGTCAAAGAACCCGGAGTGTCCTTGCGTACGTTTCCCCGGAGAAGCCCCAATGCCCGAGCCCTCTGACCACGCCTTGTATAGACTCCGCGTGGAACCAAGTACGGGGCTTGCCATTGGTCCTTCTTCTCTTGCGTCCTTGTTCGGAAACGACGATGCTCGCACGCCTGATGGGAAGGCACCGACGGCCTCAATTCATGTATTGTATGTGACGATCGCAGCCTAGAAAGTCCGAGGTCTTAACTGTGTGCACAGGCCGGCTTCATTAACATACATGCAGAGGACGTACGCAAATCACCCGGACGTTGAAGTACGAGCACTGCAATTTCAAGCCCAAGATTTGACAGGGGAACGGCTCATGCGTTATTTCCGTCCTAATGGTTGCCATGGTGCGCTGCGGTCACTGAGCTCGAATGTTGCTGACCATGCTCCGTTAGGCGCGTTCTCACCTGCTGTACAATGTCTGAATGCCTTTCTATATTCACTGAAAGAATATGACTACGAGGCACTCGCTCTTACGATAGAAGCTCTTCCGTCAGAATCAGCGGAGTCCGCACAAATGCGCTGTCGTTTGGCTCTCCTGCGGGAGTGTACGGCGTCGTCATCGACAAAGCCTACACCTGAAGCTACAGTTTCAAATGGTTCTTTGACAATCGTCCAGTAGGCAGCTTCAGTTTTCCGTCAAGCGGGCTCTGACACACAACTGTGATAGCCTAGCTTCACCTTTCCTGGATACTGATAGCGTCATGGCACTTCTGGAACTCGTTGCCGTTGTATATATGAGTTGCGTCTCGATAACGCACAAAGTTCTAGGTGAACATCAGTGGATCCAGCCTATCGTATCTATTCTCATGGGAAATTCGCCCTAGTGCTCGAAAATATATATGCAGTATGTCTGGACGTTTTCGTTCAGATGTAATCGCTCACCACGATACCAGAGCGCAGATGGCGTCGATAATACCACATTCACGGAGACTGTCCAGAGTATCATGAGAGATTCAACTCGATACGGCACCAGTGTTTATATCGCGCAGGCTGAGCTACCAGCGGTACCAGCTCGGCTGATGCCGCATATTTCCGCTGTTTTCCTGCATAGGATCAGTTCCCCTTCTTGGTTCAAGTACCTTATGCAGCATGTGCCGGTGAACTCTCACGAAAGAGATGCCATATTTCGGAAGGTACGTCTTGCGGTCATCATTTGGTCTTGACGTTACGCTAACCTCGCTGAAGCTTATTGGCTTGACGGATCGAGAGGCGATCCTGTTAGCACCTACGGCGGCAATAGTAGGGAACGGGGATCTTGGGCAAGATGGCTCGACCACAAATGTCACCCGTCTTGGAATGGGCCATCTGGTTGTCCGGCCGAGAACCTCTTCCACTCCCATCGCCAACATTTATGCATCTCACGAGCGGCAAGCGATCGCGGCGTTTGCGGGGCTCTCCTCTCCTCCACTCACGGTCGACAGTGACTCGTTAGCGGATTCAAGCGCCGATTCTACTCCCCCCATATTAGCGCAGGAGAACCAGCGTCAACGATTCATTCCGGAGACACATGCCACAACCATATCTGTACAAATCGCCGATGAAAATCGTCTTGATGTTGACGGTCCTGTTCTTGTCCTGGGAACGTCTGGGCGGCGGGAAACGAGGTCATCTGCCAGTGAGGCCCCTCAGCCAGCTGATAGCAAGATATGGACAGCACAATACCGTTTCTTGCCACTCGTCAGCCTTCTTGACAAGGAGGAGTTGCGTAGAGGCACCAGTATACCCTGGAGTATCTTGGATGACCATCTCGCTTCTCTTCCATGCTCGCCTCTCCGGCCTGCTGAAGACGTTACGGCCTACATCAAAAGTGCGATCGATGAGGGTATTCTAGAAGCGGGAATCAGATCCGAGCCACCCGCCCTTCGTTGGGCCAAGTATGGGCATCTCGTGTTCATTTTGCAATTGCTGCATGCGGAAGGCGACTTTCATCCTAAGAGAGTCGACGTGGAAGCTCGTGGACGCAGCCTTTTCCCTGATACATGGGACTCCCGTATGACTCTTCGCCGCTTGATGGACGCTCGACGCGAAAGTGTCGTAGAATGGGACTTGTATGCGGGTCGTATGAGACTGGCGACGCCCATCGCAGGCACTGTCGATGGACAAGATACGCAAGCAGTTTCACGAGTCGATCTGGATGACCTGAAATCGACACCGACTCGAAAATCTTTGGGAACGGAATCCCCACGCATTAGCTCTCCACTTAACCCCACAGCACCGGCATTCAGGCTTGCGAACGATGCTAGAACCCCAGAACACACCGCCGGAATGGCTCAGGGTTTCCCTGGTTCAAGAATTAGTGCCGACTCAGAGCCTTATCTCACCTCCCTCACGACTCGAACACCGGAGAATGTTCGGAATGCGTCTGAGCCAAGGTATATCGCGCTCTATTCTCCCTTGATAGACTTCTTCAAGCTCAAACGCCTTGCCGGCGTTCGTCGAGTCACACTACGTCAACTTGCCGACCACTTGAACGGCCTTTCCAACCCACCGCATACCACCATGGGGCTCCTCAGATATATCTCTGGTGCCGTAAGCCTGTCGCTCATCGCGGTGAAGGGCCCTGACCATGACTCATACGTTGTTTTACACAACATGGGGCCCCTTATCTGGGTACTTCTTGGCCTGCGTGCTGAGGGCATCCGTCAACCTTCGCCGGAAAAGGTCATTGCGCGTGGGATTGAGTTGGCATTCCCTGGAACCATTGCTTTCCGGTATTTCGAATCATATCTGCAGGCTGCGATTCACATGGGCCTCGTTCGCCTCCACGACAAGAGATTAGAGCTCGTCGCCGATGAAGTTGACTCGGACGTGCTCGAGGATCTTGATCGAACAGACGCGCTCAGCATCGCCCTCGCAAAAACCGTCGATCCTGAGGCCGACGGTGACGAGGACGACCAGTCCGATACAACTCAGGTGTCGATTATTCGGACAGTGGACGTCGGAGAAGCGGCCACGATATCTTCCGTTGCGCGCGTGGTCCCTCCCGTAACCTTACATGGAAGCGAAGAGTCAGCAATATCGGAATGCACTTCACGCGGCCTTTCGCCGTTGGCTACGATGTTCGTGCCTTCTACCAAGGCTCACGATGGCGACGCTGTCCTCGCAGCCGGGAGTGAAACGAGTCCTGCACCACGAAAAGAGCAGCGCAGCTTCCAAACTGACGCGGAATCCGCATGGACCCGTTTTTCGCCGTTGGTTTACCTCTTGATCCAGAATGCCGCCGTTGGCAAACGGGTGACGCAAGTTCGCGACGTGCTGCGGCATCTCGCATTGAGGATACCTTCCTTCGACCCGACGCGGCGGGACGGGGCATATCTGACGGATGCTCGTCAGCTGTACTTAATTGACATACAGGAGGGTCAAACCTGCATGCAGGTTACGCTCCATCATGCTTGTCCCCTAGTATGGACCTTAATCAACTTCGGCAAGGAAGGACAGGAGCGACCGTCGGTGTCGGAATTGGCGCAACGCGGGAATGTTCGATTTGCTGGCACGGGTATGCCACTCATCGATGGAAATTACCTCCAGCGTTTCGGCCAGTCCGGTGTGGTTGAATGGGATGTGACGCTGGGTTGCGCCGGCCTCACAAACTCTATGCAAGATCTCCTGGCTGCGAACGCGGGTGCGGCAGTAGAATCAAGGGCGGTCTTACACGCGTTGCTATCGCAAGAACCAGTAGCGCAGACCATGACGACACCCACGCAAGCACCTGTTCCGCGAGCCTTGACACCCACCGAACAGGGGGTGAAGGACAAGTCCCCAGGGCGGCAAGAAGGGCTAGGCAATTGCAGCTGGTCACCATTACTTCCAGACCTGGGGATATTTCAACCCGTCGCTCGTCTTCTCGCTGAACATCATCCCAGACGAATCTCTCGGTCCATCATTGAAGCTTTCTTTGACCGTCTAGGTTCTCGCCCTTATCCCACAGGCAAGCTCAACAAATATTTATCGGATGCAGCAGCCGTACGGATTTTACGTATGTCGGACCCCAGCAAAGATGACTGGGTGGAAATCCTGCCGATCGAGAGATTTTGCCCCTTGATCCAGATCTTGCGCTTCGATGAACGCTTGCTCATCGGACTTGTTACGCGAAGACTGGTTGACGATTACGGGATACAGCTGAAGAAAGTGAGCGGGACGATCAAGACGTATGAATCTCATGGTCTCGTACGCACCGTATCTGATCACATATGCTTGACGTCGAGAGTGCGTCTTTAGATCGGACAGGCCTTCGAAGCATGGACGCTGAGTTGAACGCCCTTCTCCCCGTAGGCAAGCTAGGTTTCGCCATCGTTTGTATCTTGAACCCGATATCATTGTATTTGTGCCTCCGTCCACAACGTGTTTCATATCGACTGAAATATATTCCATGTAATGCAAAAATACACGAGATTATATACGCAGAATATACTAAATATGGAGCGGTGAGCGTCGTTGGGTCGGTCTATTATAGACATCATCCGGATTCGCATCCTATAAAAAGTCCACCGTATTACGCGACGCCAAGGGATACCGATGCATGCATGTGTGTGTGTGTGTGTCATGTGTCGTGAGATGGTCCATTTCATTGTGTTCTCTGATGCCTTACGCGTCATTGCTCTAGTGCTTTTCAACATCTGCAGAGTCCGACGATGTGCCTGCGGCGGGTTCCGCAACGGGTGCGACGGCAGCCTTGGCCTCCGCGTCGTCCGCTGGAGGACCAGGTTTGACCATCTTTTGCCGGGTGATCAAAAGCGCGGCGAGCATGGAGCAGGCAGCTATGAGGATCCGGTCAGCACGGTGTCCATGAAGCACCAACAGGAATGAAAGGACGTACTGAAAGGAACACCGATGACGAGCGCGACGCGGAGTGCGCGGGCGTACGCGATGATCGCGCCTTGCTTGTATTCACCGGGTAAAGTGCGCACGGCCTCGACGCTGCTCTCGACCAACTTCAGGATATCTGCGGGGGCGTTGGGTAGCGTCTTGGGGACTTCTTTACGAACCTGGCCAATGAGGCGTTAGCGATGAAACCCGTGGCCGGAGAGTGAACCGGACTGACCTCGTTGAGCATGACGGCAGACGCGGTGGAGATGGCGACGGAACGGCCGATGAAGGCAATGAAGGACACGAGTGAGATGCCCAGTCGGGTGTTGGTCGGTGAGTCGTGGTAGAGGACTGGGTGAGGCTATCGTCAGAACGGCGAGAATACGAAGAAGCGCGCCTTGCATACCTTGCGGAACCAACATGTTCTGCTGCATGCTCGCGCCGATGCCGAAAGCGGTAATGACCTGGAATCCGTAAACCTTCGACATGCTCGAGTCCACGTCCAGGGTGTACAGCAAGCCGCTACAAGAAGAGGTAAGGACGCGCCAAAGCCTTAGGGAAACGGTCAGCTCACTATCCGATCGCAGCGAAAGCCGGAGAGGCGACGAGCCAGGGCCAGAAGTGGCCCGTTTTCGAGATTAGCGTGCCGGCGAACGCAGCGGAGAATGTGGTGACGAGGGTGAATGGAAGCATCTCGATCGCGGATCGCGTGGCGGTAACGCCCTTCACGGCTTGAAGGTAGTACGGAAGGAACACGGAGGAGATCATCATGCCACCCTGCAGGATCAAAACATCAGAATCCCGTGTTGTTTATCTCGCAGATAGGAGACGTACCCAGATCATGAAGGCGTGACCCGAAGCGCCGATCATGCTTCGGTTGCGGAGCAAGAACAACGGGAGGACAGCACGCTCGCCGCGGTATCGGCACCAGAACAGCAGCGCGACGAAGAAGACGGCGGAAAGCGGGAAAAGGGTGCATACAACGGCGCTGTCCCAAGCGAAGGTGTTGCCGCCGGTGGTGAGCGGCACGAGGAAGCACACGGTAGCGCCCATGACCAAGAGACAGCCTAAGACGACACAAATGAGCACCACGCCCGGGGACAACGCCAACAAAAAGAGCTCACCGATGAAATCTACTTCCGGAATACGTCGCCAGCCGGATTTTCCGTCGGGAGACGGTGCAGCAGGCGCGTACGGAATAATGATAACGATGATGAACGCGGCTAGGCCACCAATAGGCAAGTTGATGTACTATTGATTTCGTGTCAGTGGTTGAGCGGGACCTTGTAAGAAGGGGGCTGCTCACGAAGCACCATCGCCATGTCGCGCTAGAGTCCGCGAAGGCACCACCGACCAAAGGACCGATGACTGAAGCGAGCGCAAAGACCATCGCAGCCATGCCCATGACACGAGGCCGTTGGTGCAGGGTCGTAATCTGGCGACCAAATTATATCTCAGCATCGGACTTGCGGCGAAGGAAAAATGAAACACTCACGTTGGCGATCGCGGCGAAGGTACCGGTGAATAGGCCCGCAGCGCCAACGCCTTGCAGCGTGCGGCCGAAGAGGAGAACGTCCATGTTGGGCGACGCGCCGGAAATGGCAGAGCCTGCCTCGAACAAGAAGATGGCGACGAGGATGACAGCCTTGGTGGGCGCGAACGCCAAGATTTTACCGAAAATCAGCATGAACGCGGCCTGGCCCCTGCATCGAAGAGATCAGTTTGTGTATTTGAATGCAACACAGTAGATGAACATACACAAAGTAGGCGGTGGTGATCCAGCCTATGTCATCGAGAGCGTTGAAATCGGAGACGATCTTGGGAGATGAAGTTGCTGAACCAAACGCGTCAGCAGCGATATGTGCAAGCAGCCGGAAGAGTACATACTGAGGATGAGCTGGTCTAGCGAAACCAGGAAGATACAGCCGAAGAGGGAGAGGCAGGCGATCACGAGCTTTGAGCCGTGGAGGAGGGTTTGGCTCTGGGGACCGGGCGCGGTCTCGGGTGCGTGTTTGGAAGCGTCATCATGATGCGACTGTGTTTCGGTGAGTGTACGTCCGTCGTCTTGAGTGGAGGGAGACATCGTTAAAGTCAACGGAGGGAGGAGGGTACGAGGAAGATGACGTCCGGGCCGTCGTGATTTATATTGTTACGGTGAGAGTATGGCCGGTCTGCCAACGCAATTCCACGGCGGGAACGGCTTGCGCGTCCAGGTCGGCTGCTAGCCGTGCACGCTCGGAAGGATTTGTGGGAGGCCCTGGAGAGGCTTCTTGCGGAGTCATGGATGCCCCGAATTTCCGAGACTGTTCGACGTGATTTGACCAAAGCGGAGATCGAGTTATGATCAGATCGCTCTGTTCCATTCAAGTCGCTGCCATTATCCTGCGTGCAATTGAGTGCGCGTCAGGCGGAGCAGACACTCATTGTGGGCGGCCGCCCGCGTAGGTTGGGCAACGAAAACCTCCCGGACGGGTAAGAGGCTTACGATCCGGAAGGAAGGCAAGGCTGGCGGACTGATGCCTTTCTTCCGAGCTTACGCTAGTGGCGGTGTTCCTTCCCACGAGGCATCTCAACCACCAATCCGTACTCCTCTCCTTAGTCAGCGAGGGCTCCAGTAAGATCGTCTGAGATACTGTAACTTTGCCGTTCAGGAGGTGGCGGTGTTGGATTTCAGCCGACTTTTGTGCTCGCGACTCGCGACCAGCGCCTACCGATGTCGTCTGCTCAGGGACGATGGAAGATAAACGCGCCCAGACGTGATTATCTGCTATCGTATCGACTGACTTGCCGAACGCTGAATGAATCACCGGACAGCTTGGACGCCCTGGAGGCGTACATCCAAACTCAAACCGCGCTCCTCCAGAGGACTCTCTCCGACATAGAATCCCTCAAGAACTTGCGTCGCGAAATCCAGTCATCCACCGGAACAGACGCGCTCGAGCTTGTCTCACAACGCGTACGCAGTGCAGCTCTCTTCATCTGCTGTGTTCCTGACTATATGCGCACAGGCTCATGATGACTCTATGCGCCTCAGCGCGCGCACCGACTGCATCGGAACCGTCCCTGAAGGCATCAGATGGGATGCGTTCAAGAATCGTGGTACGTCACTCGTTTCGCATCCCATCGTCGCGTCTCTCATGCAGCCTCGTAGACCTCGCCCCCGTCCGAGCAGTCGCGACCGCGCACGCGGAGGAAACGAATCGACTCAATAATCCCTCCGCTCCTCAATCCAGCCCGTCCTCCCTCCAACTTCTCGTCCGATCCTCCCGCACCGCCCTCCTCGATCCCGTCCTCTCCGGGCTGCACATCACCCCTCCCTCGTCCGACGAGGAAGAAGACCCGGCGGAAGCCGCCGAACGCCTGCGCAAGGAGATCGAGCGCCAGAAGATCCGCGAGCTGAAGCAGCGCCGGCTCTTCGGCGAGCATTCTGGAGGTGGCCTGCGCCCGCGTGGCCCGAGTGGGGTCTACGTCCGTCGCGACGTCGAGGATGAGAGCGGGGAAGTGGACATCGGGATCGACGCGAAGGACGGCGTTGATCCGACGGGGGGAAGCGCGCCTGATGGTGACGCCATGCAGGTTGACGAAACTACGCCTAGTGTCGGCACTGCGCGACAGCACGGGCGTACGGATACTGTTCCTCTTCAAGCGGTCACCGCACCCTCCGTCCCAGTGCCCGCGGCGCGTACTCGTAGACCGACCAAGAAGGCCGAGCCCCCGTCTTACCCGACGACATTCAAACGCGGGCAGCCCAAACCGCCATCGACGACCACGAAACAGAAGGTCAAGGTAGAATCAGACTCTGTCTTGGAAGATGCGGATACGGACGTGGACGGAGCACAGAAGGACCCCGAAAGCGAGGCGCAGACGAACTCGAAGGCAAAAGGTAAATTTAAGACCAACAACAAGACAGAAAAGCCGGGGAAACCAAAGCCCGAGACGTACAAGCAAGCTTGGAGTGTTGAAGAACAGCACGAGCTCGAACGCCTGCTCGAGGAAATCCCCGCTGGCGAGAAGAATAGGTACGACTGCCTCGTTTCTTTCGGACCGTCTGCTTTGCTGACGTCTTTCGTAGGTGGCAGAAAATTTCTCGAGCGATGAACGGCAGGCGAACTCCTCGACAGGTCGCCAGCCGCGTACAGAAATACTTCGAAAAGTTGAAGAAGTTCGGAATAGACGCTGACGGAGTTGGTCGCTAACAAGCTGAAGGCTGAGTGTTGCGATTACATCTTACATACAGTCCGCAAATCAACATAGTACAAATTGCGCATCAATCTTGCAACTGAGCCCACCCATACGACCCGTTCCATTCCCACGTCAACAAGCCCGCGTCTGCGGCCTTTTCGATATATTTCTTGAGCTTTCCATGGTAAGGCTTAGGACGCATCTTCGTCAATGCTAACCCGATGTCAGTGAAAGAAACACGCTCGCTTCTCTTGTCGGCGAGGAAGTTGACAAGAGGTTGGAATTCCGAAGGAACGGGAGGACGAGACGTAGAACCTCCGACAGTCTCTGAGATGTGCGCAGGTGTCGCTTTGCTGTCCATCGAAGGGCTGGACGAGATGGCGAGCACGGATTCGCTTATCACCCGCGACGTCGATGTCGAGGGTACTTTCGAAGGCGACGAACTGCAAGTGTCGATCAAGTCTCTATCGTCCTTCAACTGCGCCCAAGACTCTGCTCCTGAGCCACCCTGAGTAACGATTCCAGAGGCCACGGCCGCATCGAGATACTTCGCGAACCCCTTTTTCTTCTTGGAAAGTGTGCCTGGGTATGAGATTCTGATCCTTTGTTTCAACATCCTGTGGGTGGCCTTCTTCTCCGGTGAATGGGTAAGGATCTCTATGAGCGGCCTGAAATCATGTACCGTGTTCATGTCCGACGCCTCGGGCGTCGTTGATGATCCCTTCAGAAAACGGCTGTTCTGGGGAGCGGTGACTGTCCAGGAAACAGCGCCGGTGGGAGTGTGCAGAGAGGAAGTGGAGAGGGTTTCCTGCGGCTGCTGCAAAAAACCCGCGTCGCATTGGATAGACTCGGACGAAGTCAAGGAGCTCGGAGATGCTGACGCGGCGAAGGGGCTCATCGTTCGCGAATGACAGCTCTCCCAAGAGTTCCGTGATGAGCGAGAAATACTGTCGTCGTCGTCGTCGCGTTTCCAAGCATGCGATGTGCGGATGGAACTTTGTATCGCATTCGGAATGTTCGATGCAGAGGAAGATTCCGTCCTCGACGCGACAGGTCCGATCCGGGTGTTTAGCACCGGATCACGGACAGCTAGCATGGAATGCCCGCCGTCACGAGTGATGCGTAGACGAGACCTCACGTGCAGATAACCTGGCCCAAGCGGCGCAGTCTTCCTGGACACGCTGATCGCTTGATCGACCCCGTCCATCGTTCCGGTCGGGATCTCACGAACACTGAGCCCCGACGGAGCGAACAGCAGTGCTTCACCCGTTCTCAAGGAAACAATCTTCACGTCCAGTTTATCAGACAACTTGCTCCAGTGTTCGAGTAACAAAACATCCTTACCTTCGAGAACCACCCATCCCCATTGCTCGCTCCGGCCGCGACATGCTTCAGCAGATGCGTCAGCCACGTAGGTGACGAGAATCTGTGAGCGATGATGAAAGAACATAGGTCCAGGAATTTGCTGGGCACAACCGTAGGCTCTTGAGTCGATACCACCACACGCGTGGCCAGATGCCGTTGCTGCCGTATGACGGACAGGAGGGATTCCGTTAGGCGGGAAGATGATGCGTGTTCGGTTAGATACTGGCTCGTGGTTGTTTATTTTGAGCCTTTACGAGAATTAGGACAGCTCACTTTATGGGCCTCGTCGAGTACTGCAGAGTATGGACAGCAGTCAGTGACGGCGATAGAATATGTGGTGTTTGTATCTTACCAATAATCTTGCCGGAGGCTCGTACGTCTGCCTCGATGAAAAGTCCAAGGATCATGTCAAAGAACCCGCAGGCCGATGCAGCGTCCATAAATGGTGACGATAGGCTAAAAGCGCCAGAGTGCGTGAGGCTCGTCCTGTGCCATCGGCCCGTGAGTGATCCTTACTCGATAATGACTAATTTCCCCGGACCGAAGTGCGTGGAGATGCGGTTCGCGCCCGTTCCCCCCTCCAAGCACGCATCAAGCAGACTCAAACGCAAATTTAGCATGGCCTTCTGGCCAGGGTTGAATCTCTGCTCCTGCAAAGCACAACGAAAGTCGTTGTAGGAAAATTCGTCCATTGATCGGAGGTAAGCCATGACGAATTCCATATAGAGAGGCATTTCTATGCTTGAGGCCTCAGAACCCTCTCTCGAACCCTGAAGGGCAGACACAAAACTCACGCGTATCACCGTCTACCTTCATCATGCAAAGAAGGCGCTCCGCACTTATATCTTGTGCTGCGAAATGGAGCGGTTGAACGTCAACACCGGGTAGTCCTGCATAGACTTTCCTCATGGCCTTGAGCGAATTCGGCCTGGGAGTGTATTACCTCAGTAATGCATCGAACCCATCGGGATTGAGACTCACAAGACCAAAACGGTTACCCTGGGCGGTACAGCATTCTTGCCTCGATATGGATCCAATGACGCAAGGTATGCTGCCTCGCACGGTTGCACGACACCCCCGCCAGCAGCTGTGTCAAAGTGGAATCTGCGAAGATTTTTAGCTGATAGCGGGCAAAGACAGATATATCAAATATACACTAGTCCGCTTAGGGGTGCTGGTAAGGTTCCTACACGGTCATCTTTTATCAGGCAACTCTCGAGCAACACGCTAGTGCTGTGACTCTTCCCAGATCCCTAGCAAGACGGAAGTGTCAGTTGGGGCCCAAACTGTGATCGCGATATCGCAAGAGCTTACTTGTACACCGCACACCAGAGCACTGAATGGTGCATTCGAATTCACGAGCACCTCCGAGAATTGGATGGTCGGGGCAAAGCCTGTTGCTTCCTGAGCGAGCACACGCCCGTACAGTGCATGTTGCGGGAAGGTACTCTCTCCGGCAAGAGCAAGTGCTTCGCCAGTGAAAACTGGCGCGGTGATGGTAGCGTGATCGCGATGTCCGTCGCCGGAGTCAAGCTGGGAGCCATCGTCAAGGAGAGCGGAGTACCGACGCGAAAACGACATGTTGTGGTGGGTTCAGTTGAGGCAGGTCCAAATGATCCTACCTGATATAAGACGGGGCGGGATTGCGCAGAACAATATCTCGTCGCGCTGCCGTTGCGCGCCAGACACGAGGCATGAGAACTTTGAGCCGGTGACAGCATTCGCAGAATGCAGTCCCACCACGAGGCTGCGCGTTTCCTGCCCTGCACAAAAGTGAGCGGTCCTGCCCTTTACTTAGCTCTTCTATCTCGGGCACGTTGGGCTGAAGTAGCCCGCAGACCCTGCCTCGTGGTGCGCAAAGATCGTCGTATTTTCCTACACGCGTCTGCGCGTTGCACGGTGCATGGGTGGAAGTACTGTTTGAGGATCTCCTCGCCGGAAGAACCCCACAAGTCGTGCAGCTCCTCGACAGGCTATGCAAGCAAGGGCGGGACGGTGGAAACATACGGCAACGTGCCCCCCATAGAAGATATCCACAGACCTGGCCGAGACGGTACTACATCAGACTACATCTGAATCCCGTCGCGAAGATGTACGCACGGTAATAGAGTGTATCTGCAGGTGGTAAAAGTTCTCCGCAGTGGTCAAAGATGTCCGCGGGGAGCCCCGCCAGTGCATGGTAAAAGTTCCACCCCACTTCGCCGTGCTGCAGATACACTCTAATGAGGCATACTTAGTGTAGCTCCGCGCGGTGCAGTGCGCACGGTATGCACGCCGGTCAGAACTTGAGGGTGAACCAGAACGTGATGCTGCATAGTGGACGTAGAGCCACAACCCATCGACATCACCAGTACGCGCTCCACTCAACCGCCCCTGCGGCCTTCTGCAGCGATAGCTAAGATACAATCAAGCATCCAAGGACAATTCCTACACATCATCTTGCCTGGTGATTCGGTGAACGCGCGTTGCTTGTTGGATTTCCGGGCAATATTGTACCAAGATTCCGGATTGCAGATCAATAGCAGAAGACAGCTCAAGTGGCAAAAATATGGCCGAAGGCATCGGCGGTTCTGACGCTGAGCGAGATACTTGTATACACGTTCTACACGATGAGCCTCACATTGTATACTCAGGATAATACGAACTCCCAGAAACGTGCAGTTTCTTCCTGGATTACCGCGACATTCACGAGTGGCCAACACCGTGTCCTGGATAGCATACAGGCCTGTGACGAGTAAGATTGCATGTATGAGGTGTGCGTGAAAGCGTGTCATAGCGACATATATGGAAGTTGGCAGCGACAATGCCTCCGTCTCTCCAGAATCGACCCAGCAAGTCCAACGTTTACTTGCGTCCGGGGTTCTGCTGCGACTTGATCACCTTCTTGACAATTTTCGCCTCCTCGATGAGGAAAGCGCGGAGAATCCTGGAAGAGCAAATTTGCAAAGCATGGCAGGAGCGATATCACAGGAGAGATAAGAAGAAGGACGTCCGAGGGTCAGCGCTAAGTCATGCTACGACAAGAACAAGTTCACGAACCGCGACTTCACGCAGCTACCGCACCGTGATCCACCGTATGCTCGGTTGACGCTCTTCTGGCGCTTGGAAATGGTGGCGTATTGCCTGGGCCTGAGGGCGGGAATCTAGTACAACGTAGTCGTCAGTCGCGATCACAGCTTGTGATCAAAATGGGATGAACGCACTCCGGGCAGAGCAATGCCGCAGTCGCCGCACTTGGGCGCGGTAGCGAGCTTCTTGATGTGGTGGTAAACGAGCCTGCCGCCCGGGGTCTTCACAATGCGCCTTTTGTTGGAGGTGGTATTGTACGGGTTGCGCTTGCGGAGAGTGACGCGTTGGGCCATGGCGAAATCTGATGGAGACAAGACGAGCAAGGGTTCAGTACTAGTCTTCTTGAGCAGGTCGGGAATTCAGGGGGCGTCCAAAATCCTCCTCATACTCCTCAAGTACCCAGCGCGTCCAGAAACTGCCTTGCGGTGACCCTTCCAACCTCCGAAACTCGTCTCTGGCGGCCCGCGTACGGCCGCCTTGAGTACATCCAAAGAGAGTTTACTCACTAGTTGAAGAGCCTGCGGTAGAGATTGGTAAGTGTATCCTCCACTTCTGAGCAAACCGTTAATACCTTGGATCTGCTGAGGCCGTTACCGAAACGTGCCAGGAGTGTTGTCTATCCAATCTGAATGAGGAGAAGGGGGGTGGCTTGAGAAACTGCACAGCACCACGTGCGCGCTCGATGGACCGTGAGAAGTAGGAACTGCACTCAGTGACCTGCGCTCTCCTACAACCAGAGCCTCAGCATTACGACTGTCAGCCTGGGTTGTATGTAGCAAAAGTACTGGTATTTCGAGACGATGTCGCAGGCTCGCTTCGCAAATGTGATCTTCGTAGCCTGGCTCAATGCGCCGACTTCGCCTACGACGGTCTGCGACGTGTTATGTGTCATAACCTGTCTAGCTGCATAACGTGCTACTCATGGGATCAATACTCTATTGGATACAACACACTCCTAGGGGGCAATCAGAACAGTTACATATCCACATAGAGCTATGGCGCGATGAGCATGATACAATCACCTTCCCTTCTTATCAGGTGTGCGGCCTCCGCCTTGACGCAACACTCCCTGAAAGCTCTCTTCTGTTTGGCCATGAACGCGGGGAACTGCTTGTGCATCTCCTCCGCCACAGTACTGTTGTATGGCCGTAAGTTGCCTTTACTCTTCATCTGCTTGAGGATCACTATAAGAGGCCCGAATTCCTTGTATTCCTCGTAATCACCCTTGGCGTCGCCTGGTTGAAACACGGCGGAAGGATGCGGTTCGGAGCGGCTAGCTGCACCGTTAGAATCCGGTAGCTCCTGGTTTGCACCTTTCGAGTGGCGGTGGTCATGGATATGAGGTTTCAGCCTGACCCATGATCTCGAATCCGAGGTTTCACGAACGATCAAGCCCAGACTCTCCGCCTCGCCGAGATAGGAGTCGAGGGTACGCCCGATATGAGGGTTTTTACCTGACGTGATGAAGAGGATGCCGAGATGACTCAGTGAGACGCCCTGCTGTCCTTCCGATGTATACTTCCGCAATGTTTCCACCAAAAACTGGAAGGACTCGGGGATTCCAGATTTCGAGACCAGATTCTCGCTATAGCAAGATAGAGAGGAACAAAGTCGAACGGGCGCAGCTGCTCATCATGAATGATTGTGAGCTAAAACTGTAGATTCGTTTCACAGGAAAGGAAACATACCGGTGGTTTCTGTGCCCCTAATAGGCGTCACAGAAGCGGTAGTGTTGGGAGTTTCTGCCGTGTTCCCGAGCAGTGATTCGTTGACAGGTATATGTGATGGCTGAGGCGCAGACTGTGCGGGGACGAATCTTCCAGGGAGAGGGTCCGCGCTTGGTGCTTGATCGCGTTTGATCGATATCGCTGGTGGTTCTGATTTTTTATATACGGGGTTTACGGCAACGAATTTGTCAGGAACAGTGACCGCGGTCGGCATATGCTCGAGTTCGCTCGCCGGTGGGTCTGATCGTTGAGGTACAGATTGTGCAGAGACAAACCTCCCAGGGAGAGGGGCCACGGTTGGCAACTGCTTGTGTTCTATGGCTAGCGTGCCTTGTGGTAACATCACCCAGTCCTGGTCCACGACGACAGCTCCAGCATCTGCAGCCTCAGCCACGTATGCTTTCCAGGTTTGATTCCTCAGAACAGAAGGGAAGTATTTGCGGACTGCATACAAAACCTGCTCCGCTTTCGTTTTTGCATATCCGTTGTGCCGGTGAAAATCCAGGACGCTGATGATGGGAGCGAAGTCGGTAGGCCGAAGCCAGATACCATCTTCACCATCAAGACGATGAACATATTTGAGGGCCACGGCTTCTTCGAGGTATGCCGTGAGCCTTTGGCCAACATACGGACAGACCTTTAGGCCGTCCAGAAACACGACCACCGCAGACAGCGAAACACGGGCAGCACCCTTCGCTCGATTGTCGACGAGGAATCTGAGGAGATCCTGGAATCGCAGCTGTGGGTTCCCGTCGAACGATACCGGGCCCTCCTGAGATTGTTCCGCAGCCGCCGCCAATGGGTTTATCGACGATGGCGCAGGCTGGGAAGTGGAAGGTGCACCCGAGAGGGTTTGATAGAGCTGACCCGTGGAAGTTACACTGTTCGATACCGCCAATGGATCAGTATCACCTGGAGAGCTTGACGCGCCTACAGTCGTGATTGGGGGCCCACCACGAGGCTCATCTGAAGGGTGACTATGCGCAGAACACACCACAGCAGATTGGCCTATCCGGCGTTGTGAACTGCCATCATAGCCGCTGTCGGGCACCGTCGATGGACTATCGATTGCGACGCCACTCAGAGTGGTATCGCGCCTGGGCTCGGCGTCTCCTATGCTTTGTCGATGTGGATCAATAGTGCAAGGAGATGGTGACTCGGTGATTTCCTCGACAATGGCGGCGGGACGGCCTGTCACTTCTGCGTATGTAGGCAGTGGGAAATCTGTTGCTTGATGTTCAGGCCTGAAGGGTGTTGGATCAACGTTGGCATGAGAATCCGCAGAAAAATCTGGTACGGTGCAAGGGACTTCGTCGGAAATGGCATCTTCTTTCGTTCGTTCACGATCCCTGTCGTCGGATACAGTAGATGTACCACAATGGCTTGGTAGAGAAACTGAAGGACCTTTGCCATGAGCCGGGCCCATTGAGACCTCATCTCCTGCAGGCGATGCAGCCGTCGACAACTCCCTCGTAACCTTACTTGTCTTGGAAATACTGAGGGAGCTCGATCCAGCAATATGGATTGGTGAATTCCTGTCTTCCTGCCGCACTAGAGTGACTACGCCTTGCTCGGGAGCCAGTGGCGGTTCCTCCCGTGGTGCGAGTGGTGCGAGTGGATGTTCGATTCCTGACATCCGCCTGATTCCACTTATAGAGACTGGGTCCGCTATAGCAAGCAAAGAGTGTCCGCCGTCCCGCGTAACGCGCAAACGCGAACGGACCAGAAGATATCCTTGTCCAAGCGGCTGCAGGGTGCCCATGTTGATTCCTGTCCGCACAGTCGCCATGCGTGATTCGCCCCTGCCAGTGGCTCCCAGCCCCGAGGGTGCGAAGATCATCGCTTCGCCGGTTCTGAGGGAGACGACCTAACCAGGTCGTGAGCACTCATATAAAGCGTGCAGAAGAAAATGAAGTACTTTGGAAAATCGTTCATCGCTAAGTTTATTTGCAGCAGGTAAGTGATTAACGAGGTGTTTCATCCATACCGGACTTGAGAATCGATGGACAATGACGAAAGAGCAGAGGTCCAAGAACATGGAAGGTACGACGGTGGGTTCTTGAGTGGATATTACGACGCGAGTGGCATGGTGCCGCTGTTCTCGAACGACCAGGAGCAACGAGTCAGTGAGACGTGCGGAGGAGCCATTCTCGGTGAGGTACTACAGGGCGCTAAAAGCTATGAGTCCATTGGGGCGCGGCGAGCTTGCTGACAAGAGGGTGCGTTACCTTGTGCGCCTTGTTAAGAACTAGATAACATGAATGAACGGCAGGGTTTTACACTCTAAGTATATGATCGCACCGATCAGCTTCCCAGCCGCAGCTATGTCCGCTTCTATGAACAAGCCAAGGATGGTATCGAAGAAGCCACAAGCAGACGATGCATCCATGAAAGGAGAAGAGAGGCTTTAGGCAGGTCAGTGTGAAATCATGATATGAACAAAGAAAACATACTCGATGATCGTGAGTTGCCCAGCCTTGAACTGAGCGCTAACCCGGTTTTCGGCATTTCCCCCTTGCAGGCAGGAGTCAAGGAGGCTCAAGCGAAAATCGAGCATGGTTTCTTGTGTCCTGTCAAACTTTTGTGCCGCTAGCTGGTCCCGAAACTTGTCGTAATCGAAAGGATCCATTCCATGTAGAATGGACATGATGCATTCCATATAATGTGGCATGCCTGTTCATGAGTTTCAGCAAGGCAGTTCGCAGAATTACATGTGATCGGACGTACGTTGTTCTGTATCTACTCTCATCATGGCAAGAAGTCGTTCGCCACTGATGTCTTCGGGAGCAAAATGGAGAGGTTGGACGTCAACAGCAGCTAAACCCGCATATACGGCCCTCATGGTTCGTATAGCAGTGGGACTTGGACTTGGATGAGCGTCATTGCTCCCCGTGTGCGAGTAGAAATGCCTACAGAACAAGCACAGTGACTTTGGGAGGCGTAGCATTTCCGCCCCTAGTGCGGCTCAGCGATGCAAGATACGCCGCTTCACATGGCTGTTTTGACCCTCCTTTCGCTCCGTAATCAAAGTGGAAGCTTCGCGGACATCGTCAGAGCTAGGAAGAAAACATTATTGCGGTGCTCACACAATGCCGCTCAGCGGAGCTGGAAGCGTACCCAGGCGTGGGTCCTGTATCAAACAACTCTCCAACAAAACGGATGTGGTATGGCTTATGCCAGATCCCTACGCAGCATCATGTCAAAGCCCTCGCCTCCTTAGGCCACAGACCTGCGACTCGCCTGAACACCACATACAACCGCACTAAATGGTGCGTTACTGTTGATATAAAGCTTGGGAGAGATAACGGTCTTCGGGAGTCCATCCGCTTCCTGCGCGACAATACGTCCGTACAGCGCTCGCTGAGGGAAGACCCTCTCTCCTGCCACAGCGAGCGCATCTCCAGTGAAGATCGGAGCCATCCTCATTGAATTATCCGCGCTGGCATCTTCGGCAAGCAGAGTTGAGGTCGAGCTCTCGAGCAGCAAGTACTCGGGATCCAGCATGTCATCCTCCACATCGTCGCGCATATCTTGGAGTTACTGTGAATTATGCTATGTGCTGGAACAACGCTATTGTTGCTGGTTCGCTGACACAATGCTGTCCGTCCTACGCGGGATCTGGAGCACCACGAGCGCCTGTGTGTTTAGGGAAAAGAAGCTTCCATATCCCCGTGAGCATCGGAGCCAGCGAGCCAACTTTAATGGTATATGCATTTCCTGTTGGGATGTAGCGCTGGGGACCGGTGTACTCGACCCATTGCATGCGACATTCGAGTTGCCTGCACTGAGGTAGCAACAGACTGAAAGGTGCGACGTGGGAACTTGGTGAACATAAACGACTTCAATTCCACCGAAAGCAAAGCTATTGCTTGGATAATTCAAAGACAGCATATTCATCCAGTATTGATGGACCCTTCATCATGTACTGGATATAACCTTATTTCACTATGTTTGATCTTGTTCATAGAGCACGTTTGCCCCGAAGTTCTTGATTCGCTGGGGACAGGGGGCCGAACCCCATTTACTACGTATACGTTTAGACCGCATCCTCATTCAATTCGGAAGCAACGGTGTAGACTCGCGGGCGGACTTTGAGAGGACCCCATGGCTGTGGCTTAACCACGATTGCATTGTAGCAATCACACATGCTCGTCCGAGGAAGATCCAGTTGCCGCAGCGAACGAGATACGCGCCATTATAGCACCGGGACACCGCCCCCCTGATGATGATCTAATCCAGATTCGATGGCGTCTCTTCATCAACACTAAGAGCGAAGAACGGAAGGGAAAGATACAGCGAATCATGACAGCAATACTGGGTTTGGGTTGGTCTTTAACAGCAATCGACATCATGTGCGGGTAGTCGCGCAAGTTGGATTATGATGGAAGCCAGAGGTAGATTTGACGGACAGTAGGGCGCCTGCGACTCGATCATGAGGCAGAAATCTGGCACATTCAGACCGGCAGGATCAAGGCAAGCGTTTCGATGTAATGGTCACGACCACACCGGGACGCTACAAACCCATGGAGTTGAGTACGTCACACGTACCGATTACTCCGAGGTATAAATCAAGGGTGTCATCTGCTGCAGTCGATTCGGTTTTGGTCGGCGCTGGGATGATGGATTGCAGCCTGGGTGCATACGCATGCGGGCATGATACAGAACATGAACAAGACAGATACTCCTCTTCCCGGAGCACGGACAGCATCTACTCCACGACAACGGTTTGGAGACCCTATTGCAGACAAGGGTCAATATTGTGCACAGGGGCAGGGCCATACTGGCTGACCTTGTAGGAGACCACCGGAACGTGTGTTGCGTAAGTGAAGAGCTTCTCCTTGGCACCTTCGTCGTCATTTCGCTTCCCTATATCCCGCAATGAGCGATAGTAGTAAGCGTGCATATTCCATTCCACTGACGCTCAAGCTTGACACGGATCCGGTGAGGCACGCTCTTGATGCCCTGCGCCCAAAGCGCCTGGTTGAGCTTGGGGTCAAGACGGACATCGGAAGTGCCCATGGTCTTCTGCGCGAACTCGACGACGGACTTCACGGCATGAGGGGCGCGCTTCTTGAATGAGCGGCCATGAACGCGTTTGTGGAGGTGGATGGTGTATTCGCGGGTAACGACGTCCTGGAGGGCGGAGCGGGTCTTGCCGCCAGTCTTCTTACCGCTTTTTGTTGCCGCTGGCGCCTACAACATCATTAGGACAAGATCAAAAGGGTGCCATGGCGGACAGCGCTGCGTACCATTGCTTGAGGTCGATGGAGTCGATGAGCCCGAAAGCGTAGACGGAGGGGAGAGGGCTTGGGAAGGTATGACTAATACTGTACAGACCAGGCTCGAATTACGAAGGCCGGAGTTTTTCCCTGCCGCAGTGTGCCGAAGTTTTTGGCAGTCGTGGGAAGCTGAGCTCGACTTGCTGTCCGCGGATTGTTGGCCAAATCAGGCCATTGATCGCCGGTTTTGGCGTCGTTTGTTCGACTTCGTTGGCAACCAATTACGTCCGCCAACGCTCGGAAACAGACGCAAGCCATAGTTCTCCTTTGGGCACAATGCACAGACTTCAGCGGGAGCTCCCTTTGTTGGCTGGGAGCGCAACATGTGGCGGCGAAGTTCGTGCTGGATATGGAGCGCGGCCCACCCACGTCCACTGAAAGGAACAACCGAATCGAACGTGAATGCATCAGAGAAGTGCAGGCCAAGACCGGCTCCCCAAATCCCAGGCCCCAAACGGGCTAGAGCTCCCCCGCACGCGTTTTATAAAAGACCGGTCCCGCTGTCCAACCGCCCACGCAACTCCTCCTCGAGTTTTGCCTTCGTTCGCAGCCCCTTCGCACCTTCGGTCTTTACGCCGCCGTATCTAAATCCATATATTCGACATGCGCTGCTCCACCGTCCTTGTCGCCCTCGCTGCTGCTGCCGTTGCTTCCGCGACGACGCTCCACTCCTTCGCGGCCCGTCAGAGCATTCCGAGTGAGTTGCCATCCATAACCGCGTCGGACAGCGCGCTGACCTCTCTGCAACACAGACTGCGCGGTCCCGTGCTTGACCTCCGCGCCCATGGGCAGCTGCAGCCAGACGGACGACACCTGCCTCTGCCACAACAGCGACTTTATCAACGGCGCGACCAGCTGCATCGAGAGCTCGTGCTCTGGCGATGACCTCAAGAACGCCGAAGCTGCCGCTCAGGCCCTCTGCGCCGCCGTCGGTGTTACTCTGACCGCGACCCCTACCGCGTCCAGTTCCTCCGGTGCTTCCACCGCTACCTCCCCCGCGAGCTCTGTGACCACGGCATCCGGTAGCAGCACCGCATCTTTGACTTCTGGCAGTCCCTCGTAAGCATACCAACGAACTCGACAGACGAGCGTATCTTGAATATATATTCGCAGGTCGACCTCCACCAGCGGCGCGTCTGCCAACGGCATTCCTGCACTTGCAGGTCTTGCTGCCTTGGGTTTGGCTGCCCTTGCCCTCTAATCGGGTTGACCATCACCCTCCTCCCAAAATATTGGTCCATTATCTGGAGGGACGGGTGCGCTTGCGCATATACGCTTGCCTTAGTTGAACTACACATTTCGATCGCACGCATTGCTCTCCGTATATTGCTATCTATATATTTTATCGTCTACACGTGTAGCTTGGCCATCGGTGTTCGTTGTCCAATTGTATCAAACCGACTCCTCCACACCTTGGCCGCGAGCGTAAGCGCCAGGCGCGGTTCCGCAAGGATCTATGGCATAGGATGTGGTATTTCCACCGAGGTCCCCCAACCAATGCCCTTCTCGACATGAGATGCTGCCTGGAAACCGCTTGGCTGTGAATTCCGCTTCCGTCCGCATTCGTCTACCCAATTTTGTGAGGGGGACCAGCTTCATGGCAGAAAACCGACCCCGAGTAGCCCGCGGCCGACGTTCACGGACGCGCCCCAATGGAGATCCCGGCACATCAGTGCGGAGAGGTGTCGGTGGCGACTACATAGCACTGTCGCAAGTGTGGGCTTACGATCCGATCCCCCTGCACAACAAAAAAGTACTCCAGCTGCGTACGCGTACAAGACAACCGAAGACAATGGAACATTCCGCGCGTGGGAACATTGTGCCTCATAATTGGGCGCAGCGCCCGGCGCGCAGCTCACGCACCGCTTTCACCTGCTACTACGCTCAAGTACTCCGTGCCGGACACGTACGATCCTCACCTTGCATTCGATCGCAACCTGTAGACATATAATCACTGCAACGACCCACACCTCTGTATCATCCACGCTCTCCTCTTCGCCGACAATGAACTCTGGAAGAGCACCTCCGCCGCAAGGTACGTCATAGTTCGTGCCGCTCAGGACATGCTATTCAACGATGGTCAGGCCCACCTCCGAGCTATGCGTTTGTCGGACGAGTGTACAAACGCAGTCTGAGGCCTGTGGTGCTTTTCAGTGAGTAACGAGCACCAGTCTCCCCGGAGCATAGCTGAGATTCGTCTGTGACTCCCAGCTACATTCATCGATGGTCTGTGGTCGCTACTATGGTGAGTTAATCCCCCATTTTATTTTAGTTTTGCTGTATCACTCATGCGCGTTATCTCAGGGCTGTGCGTACCGCCTTCTATGCTCGAAGTCAATTGTCTCACATCCGACGTTCGATGACAGATCAGCGCTTTCAGAGTGATCAACTTCGACAAGCAACGTGAGTTTCATCAGAGCAAATCCGAGCTTGCAGACCGCTCAAGCTTGAAATCCAGATCTTCCGAAACTCACCAACTTCTCCATTGCGCTGGGCGCGATCTACATGGCCTCGGCGCTCATTGAGGGCCTCGGACTCACCGCTGCTACTACTGTTAGTCTTTGCCGCGAAATATGTAACAACCGGGCTGATCCATGATTGCGCACAGCAACGCCTTGCGCTTATTCGTATGTACGCCTTCGCGTCCTTCTTCTCCGCGCTCTGTGTCATCGCTGCGGGATTCATCCGTGTGGTTACCCATTTCACCATGAAGGTGCTGCAACTTCCTGCCCTTCTGGATGCTCAGATGGCTAACTGGCTGGAATAGCACGATCTCATCTCCACATGCGCGACACTTATCCAGGGGGATACCGTCTTCGAGTCATGGGGATTCTGGGGCGGCGTCTCCTCACATCAGGTGAAACCCGACGAAGCGAACCAACGTACGTTGTGCATATAGACGGACATGATAGTGACTGATCGCCGACGCTTTCCTCCGTTGTTTCCTATTACAGTCTGCCAGAATGCATGGGATCATGATTCCTGGTCCGAGATCGTATCTCTTCTCATTGAAATCAGTACGTTACTTGCTCGCTTTCGGAGCGCATCTGCTAACATGTAGGCGACGCAGTCCTTGGCCTCCTCTTCAGTAGCATCGCCTTCGCCTACTACCATCAAGCCCTCGACCCAACTTCCGTTGCCAACTTCTCTCGCGCACCCTCAAACCAAGTTCGCATGGACGCGTACCCGACCAACAATTACTCCATGCCTTACCTCGGCTATAACCGAGGACACCCGGGTCCGTTCGCACCGCCGGCCGGCCCCCCTCCCGGCGCTGGAGTGTATGCGCCTCCGGCTGGTCCACCGCCAGGCAAAGGTTACAGTGCTAGTGAACTACCCGCGTACGAGGGCGGTTCCAGCGATGGGCACGACGATAAGAAAGAGAATCCCTTTGAGGACTTCGAGGAGGCGCCGTTGACGGCGAGGCCGAGCGATCATGAGCGGGATGTGACGAGTCCCAGAACAGGTTATCGTGTCTGAGATGGAGGTTATAGATATCGATGAGAGCGATATTTTGGTGTGGAATGTGTAGGATAAGGACGGACAATGGACTACGTTACTTCGTTATATTGTTACCACTTTCACGCATGTTCACCGTGTTTGCCCTGAATGACAAAGCATTGTCCTTCACGCGGTTCTTAGTGACGCATGATACTCGATGTATACATTGCAGACTGTATGGACATCGTTCTCTTTCGAGCTCCTATGCTACGGATTCGGTAGACATAGTATACGAAGTCACTTCAGCAAAGTAACACCCTACGCGCAGGCGCAGAAATGTGAGTGTGCGTCGTGTTGCAATGGATAACATGACGTACCACGGCCGCACATAGAGCATTGACGGCCTCGCGAGACGCGGGCGCGTCCGAAGCATCGCAACTGTTGGTGATGCAGGACTCCACACTGACGATGAAATCTGGGTTCCTGCACAGGCATGCATCGTCGGCAACGCTGCAATCACCCAAAGGCGCATTCGTCAGACAAGGAAACGCACAATCTGTACAGGTAGAATGTCAACCATGAACCGCCGTTTTCACACTGAGATGGTTTCGCAGAAGATGAGTTTACTTACCAGGCAGAGACTGACGTGCAAGGATCATGGCGGGACTGGCCATGACGCTAGCGGCAGTGGTGGCAAAAAATACGCAAGTAGCTGTAAGACGCATCCCGTAGAGCAAGTTTGAGGATACGACTGGACTGTTGGGCCATAGACGTTGAGCCGTCGGTTAAATAGGACGCTATCCGCGTACCCGCAGTACGAGCTATACAAAGCTGTCGTCAGTCAGCGAGCACTGTGACTATATCGCTGCATGCGTAATTCACACAGATCAGCGACGTAGGTGGATTCAACAGCCATTTCACAGCATATTGGAATGCAGGACGTGCAATAGCTGACAGAGGGTGCATAATCCTCGGCGCATTATCATGCATCTCCACCACGATATGCACAAGATCATCCAACCTTCGGGAAAGACGACCCGTGAGCAACCCCGTGGTAAGATCATATAGCAATGTTGGGGTTACCCCAGACCGCAGTGCATAAGTGGCTGATGGAAGCCAGGTTCCATGATTCTTGAACCCCTATTTGCCAAGAATTTGACCCAGTGGGACGAGCTGTTGCGCTTGGAGTGCACACGATCAAATGCCGGTGAGGTGTCCAGTCGAAGCAGATGGTTTGCAATCCTGAGTTCCCAGGAGAGCGTGCGTTTTGAACACCAATGTACCAATAGAGATTCGAGAACACCAGGGATGGGGCAGTTGAGGGTCACTTCAGTGTAGCCGAGAAGGTTGTAACGAAATCGACGAGGGGCGAGATGGGGCATGCGACGTGGGTTCAGCTCTCGTCCAGGGGAAGAGCCGTGGTATCAGATGTGGGATGAGAAGCGTTGGTGACTTGAGCCTTGAGACCTTTTCACATAGCAGGAATTGAGCGCTTCGCCTGCGGGGATCCTGAGTCTCCAGGTCAAGGGAGGTGAAATTCAAAAACCAGCGCGCATCTCGCGAGGCGAAATGCTTGAGCGCTTCTATACATTACGCTCGCATCGCTGCTCGACCGGTACCCGATGCGAGTGCTCACAATATATGTTAACGATCTACGACTGATACGAGACTCGACTATGCATATAATAGAGTATTTCCAAGAGATTGACATCGAGCGTTGAGCAGGAAAGAATCCATGCACTTCCCATGCGCGAGCATGGTGACGTAGGTGACGTCTCGCGCCTTCGTCGTGTCCGATGTACGTGATTGATTTCAACGACTCCGGTGCACGAAGATGCATCGCAGCCATCGGCTTGTTTCAATTCGCTCCTCGACGTCATGCGTGCTTGCCAAGCAAACCCTCGAACCAATTTCTGATTCACTGAGTAGCTCTAGCATTGGTGTTTCACAGTTCGAGGTGTATACTGCGATCGTGTCGCACGCGAACCGAGTCCTTGCTTGTCGACATATTGGTGCGCGGTTCCCAGATGGGATCAACATCCGGCCCGTCGAGATCGCCGGCGCCGTCCCAGCCCCAACACCAAACTGTGCACTTGTTAGGAGGGTGTGTGCGTTTCCAAAGAGAAAAAGTTGCTCACCATATGGTGGTCCTGGTACAAAGTCGATCGGCACAGTCTCTTCCTCAGTGAACAAACGGTCATGTGGGCCAAACCAAGAACGATCTTGCGGGTCCGTGCGGGGATTTTCGGGTAAACCACCTAAGCGAGCGTAGCCGCGAATGGCGGAAAGGTTTCGGCGTGGAGGGTGAATAATCTCGTAAACTTTCTGTGTTTGTTTAGTGAGTATATGCGAGCGGGGGTGGAGGGATGACGTACCCGATCGTATGCAAGTTTCACTCTCGGTACCATCATAATACGCCCATAACCCGCATCCCAGTAGTCGTTGCATATGAGCGAACATTCGGAAGCTGAACATTCGCCCTCCGTGATGCGAGCCATGCGGAAGCGAACATGTGGGGGGCTGTAGAACGGCGCTGGGTCGAGGATGGCGATGCCGTTCCAGCAGCTCTGCACCTGTATCGGTAAATGCCTCTGGAACAAATCTGACGAATCTGGGTGGTGGAAGACGCTCTCGAACGGCGCGTTCTCAAGGGCAGTTCCGTTGATGTCGCGTGCGACCCAGTTGTCGTAGAAGACAGGCGCACCGATCTCGTCGTGGTACATGTAATCCGCAGCGCAGGTGATGCCGGCGTTGTTCCGTCGTGATTGCCAAATGAGTTCGAGAAGGTCGTCGACGCAGGGGAGAATGTCGTTCATGAAGATGATGGTGTCAAAGTATTCGCCCTGCTCGTCACGAAGCTCGTGTAGGGGTCCAAAGGCGGCGTTGCGGACTTCAGCGAGGTACTCAATACGATGATTGAACGCGCCTCGAGTTCGACGGGAGGTGCGGATGACAACGCGCATGCCCACCGAGCTGGTGAGCGCGTCGAAGATGCGGAGGAGGGCCTTGGTCTGATCGGTTGATCCGTTCTCATAGATGGACACAAACACGTTCGGGTATCCAAGCACGGAGGCGACGCGGAAGAGGGTAGCAAAGAGGTCGGGGATTACATCGAATGAGTTATAGAGGTTGATGGCGAAGAAGTACTTGTGGCCGCCTGCCTGCAAATCGCGTTTTCGGTGCTCGGCGTGGAGGTCTTCGTCGTCTGCCAGGGACCCGGAGCCAAAGTTGAACCATGAACGCGACGATGAAGGCGATTGGTGGCCTATCAGCGGCGCGTAGCGGTCACGGACTTGGTCGCGATAGAGTGGTCGGGCCGAACGCGTGCACTCCTTCGTGTAGTGCGGACTCAGAGTTGACAACAATTCGAGAACCCTCAGCCGTTTCTCCAACGTCGGAAGAGCGATTCTGTTGCGCGAGCTCAGCTTGGTCGAAGACGACATGGAGCCGTGTGAGCCCCGCCAGGCGGGAGTCGAGGGTTTCGTCGAGTACGAGAAGAGGCGGGAGACCACTGCTCCGAGGATGACGCCGATGAGGATGGCGAGGGGCGTCGGGATGCGTCGAGCGACGGCGACGGCGTGCGCGACGCTGCCATGGTGGTAGTGACGGGCCATGTCGCTGTGCAATACGTCGGCCAGCGAGCGGATGGACGACGGCGGTCTGGCCGAGAACGGACGGTGGCGCTGCCCGCACAAAGTCCTGTCCACAAGCGGCAAGGTGGCCAAGCCAGATGGGGGAAGCGCGCCCCCGACGCATCCCCGCTCTTTCCAGCTCACCGTCGAGCCCCCCGTCGCTCCTTATCGCCTCCTCCACGTCGCCCACGGCTCCGGCGCCATGCAGCGTCGCAAAGCCAACGCGTACATCGCCTCGCCCGTCGCGACTCCCGGCAGTCCTACGGAGGAAAAGCCGCTTTCGCGCTGGAACCAAAAGTCACTCGGCGTGACGAACAGGATATGGCTTATTCTGGCCTCGTTCCTTGCTATCGTCGCCTTCACGCGCTACATAACCCCCGAGAACACCGTTGTGCAGGGCAATCGCCACGTCGTGATCGCCAGCAACCTGAAGCCAAAGAACTACCTGAACACCACTAGGGCAGCCGAGGGCACCGTGCCCTTCGACTTTTGCCCCGTGTTTGGACCGGGCGACGACCTTGCTCAGAAGTACGGCAGCCTACAACTCTCGCGGACCAGGCTACATCTAGGCAGCAATGCCCGCGTGCAGCGCGTCATCCACAAGGCTCTGCTTGGTTTGCCCGTCACGATTAGCGTCGTTGGTGGATCAGGTTCGTTCGCTGGCGTTCATGTGCCGGCCTTGACTAAAATATCCACTCTAGTATCTGCATGCCACGGTGCTGGAGATGACCCTCTGTCCCCAGACTGCTACCCCTCCCGTTTCTTCCACTGGTGGAACAACGTGTTCCCCCACTCTGCATCCGAAATCACCAACGGAGCCATGCGCCGCATCAACTCCGCCTACTTCGGATTCTGCGCCGCCCACCATATACCAGACATCACTGATCTCGTCATCGTCGAGCTCGACTCGGACGACGACGACGACTCCATTGACAACTTCGAGTTGCTCGTGCGAAGTCTGCTCCTCAGAAAGGAACAGCCCGCCGTCATCGTCCTTGGCCACTTTTCTCCTCAGGTCCAGGAAACGTATGGGTTCGCGGGACCGGAGCATTGGCACTCGATCGTAGCGCAGTTCTACGACGTCCCACACATCTCCACCAAGCCCCTCATTTATCCCGACTACATAGCAGATCCTTCCAGCACGTCCCACCTCTACGTGGATCCGGTTCTGGCGTCGCCTGCAGGCCATGAGTACCTTGCTGACGTGCTCATCTCCTACATGCAATCCCAGGTCTGCGCCGCGTACAACGCCGCACTGGGCAAGAACCAAGACGCGCTGCCGCTGCTTGCTGCAGATAGCGTCAACGTCCGCCAGCCGACGGATGCGCGCGGTCTCTTTGGCGGAGTTGGGCAACGGAAAGGCGCTGGTGCCGCGCAAGACGGCGAAGGTGCCCCTGTTTCCGAAGAGGACGAGAACGCGCCGGATAACAAGGGCAACGCGCTCGCTATGAACGCGCTCACCGCCCACATGCTGATCCCGCCGTCGCGCATCAACACGCGCCCTGCTGAGCTTTCCGGGGCTACCGGACGGACATTCGAAGAGATTGCACCGTTCTGCGCGAGTGCCAATGACCTCGTTAATCCGCTGCCGCCGTCGATCTTTGCCGGAACTGGGTGGACATCTGCACACCCACCCCTAGGGTCGACGGGCGACTGGAGAGTCAGCGCTCATTATTGGGTTAGTACGTTACCAACGAGTCAGTTGAGAATCCCGATCCAAGTGCGTTCCTCGATTTCTATCGTATCCCTTGCCTAGGACTGACACCCATGCGCAGGTTGGCAATGGAGACATCGGTATCTACTTCCTCAGAGAAACTCAAGCTGCCGTAGGGGACGGTAGTGCGGTCGAGTGTTGGGTCGACGACAACGTTCCCGGGCGAAGGACCATCCGGAATGTGGGACCCGTTGGAGAGGCGACACCGACGTACGTACACACTGACTTCATGCGTTCCCTCATCTCAGCCGTTCAATACCAGGTTAACGTTCATCGATCACTACGTCGCACGAGGACCACATTACGTTGAATGCGTGCTTATGGGCGAGGAGGGCCAGAGTGTCCCGCCGTTCAGAATCATGGGCATATTTGCGAACTGATCGCTTCCTTGTTGCCGTTGCTCGTCAGCAATCGTCTCTGTCGCAAGAAAGGACAGTGGGTAACCGATGCTCTCACGTCTTGTTTGCCGTAGCGCTATTTTGCGGGTTGGACTGTGTACATACAATATGTAGAGTATCATTGTGGTAGTCACCTAACTTAGAGGCATTCGCGGAATCTACGCAGGATTCCGTGCATAACTTCGACTATCCTAGGAACATCTCAAACTTCGAAACCTGCATGTTTCGCTCGCGTACAAAACTACCCACAAAAGCTACATGCGTACTATAATAGCAGGCGTTCACCATACGCTAAATGCGGCAACTCCTACTGAAAATCGATAAAGTCGGTCAGACAATACACCGGGACTTCGTCAGCGTTGGTGGTCACACTCTTGAAGAGGCCTGGAGAGGGGGAACCGGCATGCTCGTGTAACACTCCGGCCTCTACAAAACAGGAAGCCATCGATTTATCGAGGCCAAAGGGATCCCTCGATTTTGGGGTGTCCTTCCACTTCTCGGCAACGGTAAGGCCGGTCTTCGAGTTACCGCCCCAGCGATAGTAACCTGCTTGGTTCAATTGCGCAGTAGTCCATCGAGGACCATTTAGATCGGTAGATGTGGACCATGAGAGGATATCATCATATACAAATGGATGGATGGTATCTTTGATACCAGGTCGGTAGAATGGCGCTCCGGATCCGCTCAGAACGATAAGCTGGGCGCCCTTGTGGGCGCCATTCGCGTCGTCGTTGAGAACGTCTTGGCAAATCGCGAATCCGATTTTCAAGTTGACGGCACCTTTGCCGGCGTATTGCGTGGTGACGACGGTGTCCTGGCGGTCTGTTGCAATCCCATCGGCATTCTCCTTCCCTTTCATCCAGTAATCGAAAAGCGAGTTGCGTATGTTTCCCGTGGAACCAAGGACGGGTGATACGAAGCCGTCGACATCACTAGGCTTAAACTTCGTCACCACCTGGGAGCGGTAGTTCGGAGAAAGGATGGTGGTGTAACTCGCGAATTTCAAGTCACCTTCGACGGGAATCTCGAGACGTGAGAACTCGTCGAAGTAGGCACAGCAAGTGAAAGTGAACAAGATGCGGCGCGCAGAGAATGGAGCCTCGTCCAGTCGCCTCTGGGCTTCCGCAACAATCTTGGAGGCGAGAGAAAAAGGGATGGCGTTTGATCCACTCCACTTGGTGCGTTTCTCGTTTGAGTCATGATAGCCGTTCAGGGCAAGTTCGGGTGTGGAGACGATGTACAGGACATCCGGATGGTCCTTATCGTCGTCCAAGACTTGCACCAGGGCGTTGAACGCGTTCTTCACCCAGTTCATCGCGGCAGGAAGTGCATGGTTGGTCACCTGGAGAGCACTCTGCGATAAGTGTGCTTTGGCTGCACTGACAGCCTTCGCGTCGCGAGCAGGAATTGCCAGCAGGGTCTTGAGGGCCCGCGCAGCAGCGAAATCGACACGCTGACCATCCTCGAGGAGGATAGGATGATGAACAACGTCTTTAGAGTCCTGGATTTCTCCGTCGACAATAATATCTGCCGGAGGCAGTAGCACGGCGCGGAACTGTTCGACGATGTTTGCATGGCGAGGTTGCGTAGCTATGGGCCACACTCAATTCAGTTACAGAAAATTGACGTTATATAATGATACGAACCTGTAGACATGTTGAAGTTAACGGGCTAGGATTATTTGTTCAGGACAACTGCCAAGAGGTGTTCATCAGTTGGATTTCATATCGTCGGTCGATTGGCTTACCGGTATGAAGACTCCGAAAGGTGATTGCTGTAGGCACTCCTCGTTGAAGCCCAGCCTTATACTTACGAATGGCCCGGCCATTTGGGCCGTCTGAGAGTTGCTTGCACAACGTTTGACGTTCCGAGTTTCAAGTTGAATACAGTGTAAAACGCAACCTTCATAGTTGTGGCGGCGTTCCTCCCATCGGTCTCCATATGCCCGCGTTTTCTCGATCATATATAGAGCGACAGCAGCTGGTTTTTTGCGGGTTGAGCAAAGTCGAAGACGCACGGCGAACACGTCACGTAAAGCTTTGGTAAAGCATCGGCTGGAGACGAGACCTACACCGCGATCATGCCATTGAACGGATCCGGAGTAGGAGAACGAAGTCGTTGCTTTCATAAAGACGAAGCCCAGTGGTGAAACCGTTCGACGTGCGTGGCTGCTCTGCTGTGGATTGACACGCGGGTGAAACTATGCGCCTTACCTCCATCCGGTATCATCGTTGCCCTTTAGTTGGGTCCGTTAACCGGTATCAACCGTTGCCACTCCCTGATAGGGTGTCGTAAAAACATGGACACTGGGAGGATTGAACTCCCGACCTCATGCAAGCTCGCTCAATGCGAAGCATGCGCGCTACCACTGTGCCAAGTGCCCTCATATGACACGTCTTTTTTTAAATAAAGATAAATCCTCTTTTTTATTATGGCTGTTCGGCTGCCCCACTGATAAGCTCATCCCATTTCCAAAAAGCGAACTCAAGCTCTTCGTGTTCGGCGCCAGCCCTTTTCTCGTAGCTGACCGCGCCATGCTCTGTCGATTGCATCGAAAAGACTGTTCGACTCACCATGAACGATCTCCTTGGCGTTCACCTTCGTGATGCGGATTTTCCAAGTCATCCATCGTGTTTTTTCCCGCAGCGCTGGCTTAATGCTTCTCTGACTCTCAGATGCTTGCCATCAGGACCGTGCGCTTCCATCTTGCCTGGCTCCCTGAGCCCTTGCCTTTGGGTACTGCATCCTTCGCCGGCGAACAAACTATGCCATAGCTTCCAGACATTGGATCACGGTGTCCGTGAAGGCGCCTCCTATGCTGTCCTACAAGTGTGGCCGGTCTGCGCCCCGAAATGCCCCATGGCAATGCTTCTGGCGCTGCCATGTCACCCGAACGACTGCATCGTATGCTGGCAATCATGGCCCGCCGGGCGGTGATAGCAGTCCCATCTAGGATCTACATAAGCAACACCTCTCGAGTGTAATATGGACTTTCCAGGGCAGCCTCACTTCACCGAACCGCATATACGTAGGACAGGTCGAATTGCACATCCTTCCGACATGGGCCGTACATTTCTCTTGTGTCTTCCTGTTCGACTCGGGGCGGCCCTTATTACCGGACTCCAAACAGCTTGGAGCGCCTTCGCGGCTGTGATCCTTACTGTCATCACCGTTCAGCAGAAGTCCGTTCATCTCCGCGATCTTTAATAGAGACATTCCTGATCATCGTCGCACAGAGATAGTCTGACGACCAGATGGAGGATTGCTGGTGGTCTCACTGCCGGCGTCTACGGCGTCATCGCCTTGGTTTCCCTCTTCGGGTATGAGGCGTGCCTGAATGCCCGAGACCGCCGCTTGTTCACACACAGGATGACGCAGATTTGTCGGCGCATGCATCAAGAAGCTTTCCTTCGTAAAGACTTACGCGCGTATGTTGGCGGTCGAGCTCGCGCTTCAGGTCGCCACCGTGGTGTTCTTCCTCGTCACGGTCTTGACGGAGAGCAAGGCGAAGTTCATCGCGGAATGTAATGCGGAGCGCGTCCAGATCGAGGGAACGGATTGCAACAAGGAGGGCGCCGCACTGGCCACGACCACGGGGAAGATTGAGCTCGTGGTGCTCACCGCCATACCCATCTGTTTGCAGCTGTGTCAGCACTAATGCATTCTTCTGCCTGCTTCATGCTCATGTGATGGTTCAGATGCATGGGCCGTGGTTCGTCGGTTCCAAATCGATCTCCAAGAAGAGAGGGAAGATGCCGTGGGCGTCGTCTTCCCCAGTCGTACGTCGGGAGACGACTATGGCAGTTCTGGTTACAAGTACGACCCGACCCCTTCAGGCTCTCGCCCAAGCTCCGAGGGCATGATCAACGCAGATTATGCGTATTCAGATGTGAAGAGGTCTGACCATCTTTCCGTCTGAAGGGCCTTCGATCTGGTACCGTCGCCAGTTTTTGTTCTCTTCCGACCATTGATATTGCTATGATACGTATTGCTGTCTCAAGGGCCGGCTCAGCCGTAGTGAAACCGGACATTGTTTATACTTAGCGGGCAGTTCTGGTGACGTCCCCGTAATGAAGATGTCTGATCATCTGATAATTTCGCGGCTCACGAGCATCATCTGGGATAAGGACAGGAAGATAGTCGTGTTTGATGTTCAAATTTTCGTGATAATGATACACGCATTACAATAGTTGAGGGGGTACATGCAAGCAGAGGCATTATACAACATCTCCATAGTACAAGGAGGCCATTGTCACAGCATCGTAGCAATGTGTGCGGAAGTTTTCTTCCAGGCCTTTCGTCGCATTTCGTCTGTTCGGGTGGTGGTACGGATCGTAAGCGCGTATTTAATCGTTCGGCCGATATGTACAAGTCGTTTGGCCCGATCGTTCGTGAAGGTGACGGAGTCGTGAAGCGTTTAGAACGCGAGAGTGATGTCGTGGATCTTGAGGAGATAATCGGCGGCGAGGCCGACCCAGACAATCCAGCCGAGTTGGCCGTTGCGGTTGAAGTTGACTGCATGTGATGATCAGCATGACGAGCACGGAAGTCGGGTAAGAAATCATCACTGACTCCAGCAGCTCTCCGGGTTGTCGAGGTCAACTGTAGCGAACTGCCAGATGAGGTGCGCCACCGTCCCACCAACCGTGATGGCGAAGTAGGGCATGCCTTGCTCGTTAAGAACGCCGGCATAAGCCAGCGTTGCCGCAAAGCCGCAAGCGCAGAGGATCAAGAGGGGGCGAATCCACGTGCCGAACAGAAGGGCAGTGGATCGGACGCCAACCTTCACGTCATCCTTCATGTCCTGGCAGGCATAAATCGTGTCTACGGAAGTGTCAGCTCCCCGCCCCACACATGACCGAATGACATATGTCTCACCATACAACATTGTCCAGCTGAGGTCGCGGCGTGAGTGGATTAGCTAAAATGACGCTGACTCTGCGAAAGACGTTACTCACCACCAACCTCCGGCGACCATGACAGCCATCAGACGGTAGTCCATAGTGTCAGAGACCGTCGCCCAAGCCGCCACCAGACCAAAGTTCATGGTGAAGCCGAGCCATGCCTGCGGCCAGTACGTCACGCGCTTCAGTAGCGGGTAGATGCAGCTCAACGGGAGAAGTTGGATCACGGCTGCGCAGAAGCTATGATATTTGAACGGTGATTAGGTTTAACTTTGGCTAGGACAAAAGGGCGGGAACACCCACGCGAGCGGCGGGAGAAGGCTGAAGAAGAGGACCCCGAAAGCGAGCTGCGAAATGCCCCAGATCGTCGCGGCGCGGACGGAGATGCGTCCGGAAGGAAGCGGTCTGACTCTAGTGCGTTCTGTTGTGAAGAATGTGCGTCAGTCTAAAAATAATCCCGACGTGAGAGCGGACATGAGAGCTCACCAACGCCGGCGTCGAACTCGCGGTCAAAGATGTCGTTGATCGTGCAGGCAGCACCACGTATGATGAACGCAGACACTAGGCAGCGCAGGAGCTCCAGAGCGTAGGTAGTCTCTGACAGACCCGTACGGTAGGCGGCCAAGGTCAAGCCCCAAACAAAGGGCCAGAAGAAAAGCTTGGTGCCGGTAGGCTGCAAGGCGACGATCAATCTCCAAGGAGGGGTGTCTGTAACAGGGGGCATACCTTGTCGAGGCGAATGAGCTCGAGGTAGGGTCGTACACGCTCGGGGAAGTAATACAGGGGCCATTTCACTGGAATGGCGAGCCTGCTTGCCTCAGCATCATGAAGGAGCGGGGTCTGCTCGTGCTTGTTGGACATCTTTGAAAGGAGGAGGGGCGAAGGTGAAGGACCACGACGGAAGAAAATATGCTCAAGTCGTGGGGATCTGGGAGCATGTTTATGTCCCCCTTTTATCCGTGCTCGCGAGAGGGGTAGTGGTCCAGCCACCCGATGCACGTCCGCGGATGGCCGGAGCTCTGGCCGCGTCCCGGGATGTCAGCATCGAGCTGCGAATTTACGACGGGAAAGAGATGTTGTCTCTAGGCTGATCGCCTCTGATGGCATGCGCCTCCAGGAACGCGAGAAGACAAGGGATGGGTACCTTCTAAGGCAATTAAGAGCGAGGCCCCCAGGACCGGACCCGATTTCTCGGGGACTTGGCTCACATTCCGAACGTGATCGACGATCTGATCTGCTGCGATTCTGACTAGCAGACAGATAAGATTGCCACAGGCGCATGACATATGTCGTTCAAGCCTCAGGCGGAACACGTTGCAAGACACGCTGCAGGCTAACGTCTGGGAGGTGAGTGGCAGAAAGGATGAGCAGGGATGCAAGGTGGATAAGAAACTTCTCTGGTATTCCTGGGTGGAGGGGGGCGGGGTTCTGGTCCGTTTTCCGCCGGTGAGTGTGTTGCCGTCGAAGGGATCAATGACGCGCAGGCCGTGGCGACCATCCCATACTGCCTTAATGGGCATGAACTGTGGGCGGTTGTGAGGGCGAATACACACGTTAGCCCCCGCTGCCGGCACGCTAGGCTGCGCTAGGGCGCTCTGGTCGCACAAGTACTCTCTAGAAGCCGGTGGGCGGCGGCGAGGGCTGAGCCGTTCCTTGGGATAAGAATTAACTTAGTAACCGCGTTAGGCACAACCGACGCGTGACGGATTGGGTGACAGGCGTCACATCGCGGTGGTGTGATGCGTCAGGACTCCCACGATCGAGATACGGACGGGCGGAGAAGGGGGTGCAGCCGTTGGCGAGTTGCCGAGTTGCACTAACACTTGTTGAGACATGGGCGAGTGCAGTCAAGTCCGGCGTAGAAAACCCTCCGGGTCGTGCGCGCCATCGACGCCCTCCCCGACCCCTTCGCCATGTTCGCCTCTCTCCCCCACACCCAGGCGCTCGCCAGCAGCTTCCGCCTCCCGCCCCAGTATCGCCACCAGCCCGGCGCCGCCGTCCTCACCGTACCGGAGCTCTACGACTGGCACCTCGATCACAACCCCGACCACACCCTGTTTCTCTACGACGACCCCGCGCGGGATGATCCTCCGCACGTCCGAACCATCTCCATGCACGACGCGGTGCGAGCGATGCACAAGGCCGCGTTTCTCGTCTCTGAACTCGTCGCGGATCCCCGCGGCCCTCCCGACGCGTCGAGCGGACCCAAACCGGTCATTGCCGTGCTCGCCGCCACAGGTCAGTCTCTCCTCGCTCTCGGGGGAACCGTTTCACCGTTGACGTCCGTCCGTCCGCCACAGACACCGTCACGTACTGTACGATCAGTGTTCTCCATCTTCTCGGGCCGCCCCGCTCACCCATGTGGTATCACAGTTTGCACCTTCGTAGGCGTCCTCATGACGGGCCACGCGATCTTTCCGGTGTCGCCCCGAAACTCGCCCGTCGCGATCGCTCACCTGCTTCGCAAGACGGGCGTGACGCACTTGCTCATTGGCAGGGAGCCCGCGTTTCAGAGTCTGGTAACTACCCGCGTGTGGCTTTGCGAGCTCTTGTCACCGCCAGCTCATGATTGCCCTCACAGGCGGACGCATCTCTGCGTGCCCTGAATGATGGATCCGCGTGCGATGATCAGAATCCTGCGATGCCCAGGGTCTCGCATGTCCCCATCTTTGAGGACCTGTTCCCAACCGAACGCATTTCGGAGGCCTCGAGCGACACCACAAGCGACTCCGGCTATTCGAGCGTTGACATCGAGAATGCGCAGTACCGACGCTTCCCCATTCCACGGCTGGACCTGGACCGACCGGCGTTTATCCTTCACTCCTCCGGTACGCGATACATTTCCTTTGCGCACGTCCTTTCTCCTTGTGCTTCGTGGTCCCTCACGCGCCCTGTGGCGTCATATGGCGACCCGTCGCGAGTGGGAACCGCCGGTGCTGCGTAAAGAACGCCACTCTTTCTCCTTCCCGTATCCCTGGAAGCCGGTGTCTATCCAGTTTTGCTATGGCATTAGAACTTCTCATCCGGTCGCTGACGCTACGATTGATTCTGGTGTGCAGGATCCACAGCGTTCCCGAAGCCGGTGACCTACTCGCATCAAGGACTGCTTGAGCTATCAGTTATTCCATGTGGGTCTTTCGCTCCTCGTCATTCACCGTGCACTTCTCGTCCTGCCTCCGAGCGAGCCAGAACTCTCCGCTTTGATACGCGAGTGCACACCTCGCCTCATCCTCTCTTCTACTATATTGCCGCAGGCAAGCGCTGATCATCGTCGTCAGTCTACGGAGATGCGGACCTCACGGACCTCATCATGGGATGTCACTCTATGCCCCTTTCGCACGGTATGGGGATGTTGCAAATTGCCATCGCGGTGAGTGTTTGATCCCGCCTTTCGTGTCATTATGTGGGATCGCGATCCCCTCGCATCCATAAGCGCTTCTTCCGTGGGTAAACCGCGGGTACCCATAGAACCGACCTGCGGAACCTTCTGCAGTGATGGCCTGTCTCTCTTTGGCAATGTTTCCCCGCGCTCATACTTCCGTGATGGCCGGAAATATAGGCATCATGTGGCGTGCGCATGTCGGTGTTCAAGCCTGCGTCGCCTGCAACGATCCCCAACCCTATCAATGTTTGGGAGGGCACCGTCGCGAGTAATACCGAGGTCGTCTGCTGCGTGCCGGCGTTCATCGAAGTAAGACATACCTATCACTTGCGCACAGAACGGGGTCGATTCATTTCCGCACAGGCATGGGCTCGAGACCCTCAGAAGGTGGAATACATGAAGAAGATGAAGGGCGTGGTGGGCTCGTTTTCAACACGCGCATCGCCCCTTTTTGTTCACCCTACTTCTGTAGATGTACGGCGGTGGGCCCCTCAACAAGGAAGTCGGCGATTACCTCGCCGCAGAAGGTGTCACAGTGCTGGCCAACTACGGAAGGTATGGTTGTTCCTCAACACCCGACATAAATTTGTCTTATCCCGTGTTGATGATTATCAGCACGGAGTGCGGGGTCCTGAGCCGTTTTATCCCCAGTGCGTAATCTTTGTGCATGGTCATATCCGGAATTTTACTTACGATGCCGCACGTAGATTCTCTCGGGAAGGACTGGGAGTATTTCGCCTTGTCTGCTCACACGCGCCCGCATTTCGAGTCTTATGCGGATGGCGTCGTACAATTAATACTCACCGCAAGTGTCCCTCCCTGCCAGCAATGACGATCGCTAAACCGTACCTCTATTTAGTCACACGAGACTCATCACCCTCGAGTCGTGAACACCCAGGTGGATTCGCGTGATGCGTTCGATACGAATGACCTGCTCATACGGCACCCTGATCCTACCAAATCCGGATTATTCAAAGTATTTGGAAGAGCCGACGATCAGATCATGTTGTCGACCGGAGAAAAGGTAATGTTTTCTCGATCACATCCGCCACCTGTTTTGCTAATTGGGCAACAATAGACTAACCCAGGCCCTCTGGGTAGGTGCCCGTTTTCGGCTCTGCGGAACATCATTGATCGAACTATTCGATAGAGAGTATTCTAAACCAGGATCCCCATATTCAGGCTGCTGTCATGTTTGGTCGTGGTCAATTCCAGAACGGGGTCATCGTCGACCCAAGGAAAGAATATGCGTTCGATCCACTCGACAAGCGTTTGCTGGACGATTTCCGCAGCACGATTTGGTGATTTGTGCCTCTGTTTAGGCTTGACATAAGCTGATTGGATCGAAAGGCCAACCGTCGAGCGCATGAATGCGTTTGCCCCACAACATTCCAGGCTGTTCAAGGAGGTTAGTTCGTCTCCGCCCTGTGCTAGCACGTACTGAATCCGACTCATAGATGGTTCTCGTTGCGTCACCTTCCAAGCCGTTCACATATACTGGGAAAGGCACCCCTCGGCGACCGGCCATTATAGCTGCCTATGAAGATGAAATCAAGGCATTATACTCCAGTGCACAGGCCTCCATGTCGGCAGCAGCGCCGACGCCAAACCTCCGAACCAACCAGGACATTCACTCGTTCGTCCGCCAGGTGGTCTCGTCCGTTCTCGGACAAGTCGTGGAGGACGATGCCGATATCTTCCAGCACGGTTGTGACAGGTACCAACTTTTCACCCACATGTGCGATACGTGACCTGATAATTCTTCAGCCTTCAGGCAACATGGATCCGGGGGGCATTGTGTCGCGGCCTCCGTCAGACCTCGGACGCCTATGCGAGTCGAGTCTCTACAACTGCGGTGTTTGAGAACCCGTCCATCGCCAAGCTCTCCTCCTTGGTTTACGCGATCTTTCACGACCTGCCTCTCGGCACGGATCCCACCTCGGCGAGAGTGCGAGCAATGCACGAGATGGTCCAGAAGTACTCCGCATCCTTCCCTAAGCGACCGATAGAGCGCCCCGTTTCTCCAGCAAAACTACGGGGTCTCAAGAAGGTTTCTAGTGCTATCAGGAAGTTTCGTCGGAGCTCGGTGGGGCTCTCCGCTGACCAATTCCCAACGGGCGATGTGGTGCTGCTGACCGGGAGCACTGGCGGTTTAGGATGCAACATCCTCCACCATCTGCTTGGCTCCAAGAAAGTGTCGCGCGTCTATGCCCTGAATCGCAAATCGCATTCTCGTGGGTCCGCGCCGAGTGCAGACAGTCTCCTGGATAGGCAACGCGCCGCACTCGCCAATCAGGGTCTGGACGAGAAGCTGGCCTCCTCGCCACGTTGCATCCTCGTGGAGGCGGACCTGACAGCAGCACCGGGCTTCGGGATCCCGCATGAACTCTACGATGAGGTCAGTCGAGCGCGATTCCGCTAAGTTTGCACTGCTTGTTCAACTAAGCAACAAATTCGCAGATGAGATGCACGATTACGCATATCGTACATAATGGTGCGATATCAGCTGATAAGATCTTTGACCATCCGTGCTGATGAGATTCATCGGCAGCTTGGGCCGTCAACTTCAATCTCCCGCTAAGCTCGTTCGAGCCTAACGTTCTTGCAATGCGGACACTGATTGATATCGCGTTGTCGTCACCACGTCCTGAACCGCCTCGGCTTATCTTCGTTAGCTCCGTTGGAGTGATTCGTAGTAAGTCTAACCACCTTCGTCGCTCTTCTTCCGCGACTAAGTGTACCTGCCTACAGACCCTGACGCAGGGGACCTGGTACCTGAAAGGCCCGTGGACAACGCCATGCTGGCCGTTGGTGCCGGGTACAGCGAGAGCAAGTACGTAGCAGAGCAAGTCTTGGCTGCTGCTGCTCGTGACACCGCTCTTCGCCCTGTCATCGTGCGTGCCGGTCAGCTGAGCAATGGCCCATCCGGATATTGGAATGAACGTGAATGGTTCCCTGCCCTTGTCAAGTCTAGTCTCGCGTTACGATGCTTGCCTGATGTTCAAGGAGTGCGTACACATGCCATTCCCCGTATGGTGAAATTGCTAACCATTTACGCTCTAGCATGTATCATGGGTCCCACTGGCTGCGGCGGCGGAAACGCTCGTCGAGATGCGCAACGCTTCTCAACCCGTCCTACACCTCGCACATCCTCGCCCCGTAACTTGGTCGGCGCTCCTCAAGCCGATCGCCGAGGATTTGGCTGTGCCCATTGTACCCTACCGTGACTGGTTGGGTCGGCTAAAAGCTCATGCTGTCGACGATCATGCTACCGGCGATCATCGCACCGCAGACAAGACCGCAGCCCATCCAGCTGTTCAACTCCTGCAATTCTTCCAGGAAGCCGCAGCGACGCCCGACCGCGAGCCTCTCGGAGTCCCTCGACTGGACACCTCCGAGGCCGTCCAGGTGTCATCGTCGTTGAAGAAGCTTGCACCGCTGAAACCACAGGACGCACGTTTGTGGATGAAGTCTTGGCGCGAACGAGGCTTCCTTCCGGCCTCCACCGAGGCGCCCACAGGGAAGAAGAGAAAGCTTTGAATCTCCTGCGACGTATCACGCCACTTCTTGTTTATTTATTCGCAGCATTTCGGCGCGGAAGGGATGACTTCCAATGGATCTCATGACTGCATGTAGACATTTTATATTAGTTCACTAGATGTACCAATACACAATCGAGAACGAATCCATACAATCCGAGCATTATCCAAAGTACTCGTCGACTAGCGCCTTCTTCCGGAGGTTGAGGAGTATCTCCTCCATCTGTTCCCGGGACGGCAGCTTCGGAGGCATGAGCTCATCGGGGGAGAGGAACGATATGTATGCAGCGGCCGCACGGGCGTGCGCAGCTGCTGCGACGTCAGCGGCAACGGTATCGCCTGCCTGTGGTGGTTCTGTGTCGGTTTTCGCGCGTTTGTCGGAGTCCGCGGTGGTCATGTCAACGTCGCCATCTTCGTCCGGCGCTTTACGTTTTGTTTCCGTTGATAAGGGCGGCGAACCGTCGGTTGGTGACACCACCGACGGAGCTTCTGGTCGCGGAAGCTTGGGTATTGGCTCATCTGAAGGCAAGCCAAGTACAGTGCGCAGGTTATTGTACGCGTCCTCCCACTCTGAGAGGTCGTCGGTCAGTGGTCAGAAACGTAGCGAACGGATTACGAGCGCACCTTCTTCCTCTGCGACCCGTTCGAACTCCAGTAGAGTTCCATCGGTCTCGTCCAGATCTCCGTAGTAAGCAGGGCCTTGGTTCAAAAACTTTTTATAGAAGTTGAAGGCAAGGTTTTCCTCCTCTTCATCTTTCTTCTTGCTCTCAAACAGCTCCTTCACACCAGGAAGTTCTTTGGCGCGACCGAAGTATCTTGAAACTCTAGTCAAAGAGGCTGCCAGCTAGTCATAAATGGGGGTGACGTACTTGTATCCTTTCGTCCCTGGTACCTCCCTTCCGTCGTCATCCAACATGGCGACATTTCTCCTATAGTTGGCACCTCCAAGCGCAACGATTTGGTTCTCCCAATGCCTTTTCTCTCTGAGAAGCTTGTTGATCTCGTCATTGAGATCTCGCACTTCGTAGTCGGAAAGACCGGCTTTGTAAAGCGAGTCAGTAAGAGCGGTTAAGGATCGCGGCTCTCTGTCATACCGTCCTGTATCTTTGACACTTTCCGACTGATCTCCCGGAGAATCTCTCCTCGCCACCGCTCACATTCCCGAAGACTTTTGCAGGCGCTGGCCATCTTCGGTCTTCTGTCTGCGCGGGTGCCCAAACCCAGCTCAGCCGCTTGGGCTTCGCGGAAGCGATACAGCATAGATTGCGCTTTTTCCTCATTACGAGCCTACAGGAGCAAGTCAGGAAGGGTACAGTACCAATGGTAGTGCGAACATACCATCGTGAACTATGCGTAACCGAGAGGACAAGAGAAACCAGGATGACCGGTATTGACCCCAGAGCTTTCGCGTCTCAGCCAACGCATCGCCACCGGAGGGTGCACTCTGCCCACCGCATCGACCTCGCATATATCTCGCCTGTGCCAACTCGATCCTTTACTCGCGCTTATCAGAGCCATTCATTACGGAGCGCGCCGATGCTTCCGTTATTTATTCGTAACATATAGCTGCCTTACGTTGACCCTGACCGATAGGCCAACACCCAGGTCACCGTGAACGACATTTGCATGCAACGCCTTTCTCACCGAGATCCCAGTTACTGGTCAACACCGGACCTATCGTTAGCCATTCCCGAATCGCATTCAAACGATACTCACAACGACTGCGATGCACCATAAGGTCCCGGTTGGTCCACATGGAGCGACATATGCATGTATTTTACGATACCGACATTCTCGGCGACGAGTGATAGACGGCGATCCGCTGATTATCCGCTTGTAGAGCATTCCGTATTCAGTATACCATGCGAACGCACGTAGCGGCTTTGTATACGCCAGGTAGAGCGCGCAGATGGCTTCTGCCTCATTGGACTCCGTCTTGCTCGTATGCTACATGAGGCGCTATCGGGATTGCATTTGCGATATGGTGAGACTCTATACGCTCGTACACGCAAGGCAGCGTGGCTCGCGCCCTCGTACTTGGTCCCATATGGGATCGTGTCTACGCATAACTTGGCACTGGCAGGATGCGGTACTTCCTACTCTCCATCGCTCCAGTACGATGACGAAATGGGATGCTTATAACCTCAAACCTCCGAGGTATTGGCCAAACGGGTATCTTGCCGAATAGAAAACAGTCGAAGACGTCGTTGCTGTAATTGTGATGTAGACGGTAGTAGCCCATCGCGGTGCTCGTGCATGTGGCCTGTCGAATCCTTGTACCTCGCCCCCATGCGCGTTCGGGCGGGTTTGACGTAAAACTGTATGCGGAAGCTATGTGACGCGTGCTGAAGGAATCAAAGGGGTGAGCGTTCCCCGAGATGTCAGGCGGTAAGCTGGGTAGGGCGTGGTATATCTCACGGTTTCAAGCTTTGCCTCACGCCTTTCTGCCCGCTTTCTTCGGTAATACGGCACGTTCGTGCTTCCTTGGCAGTATAAGAAGAGCGGCTGCTGCTGCATTAATTGCGTACAATACCGTTGGACGGAGGGCAAAGTCATGCCCCCCAGTCAAGAGGACTTGCTGGAAGAGCAGATCCACTTCGCTAATATTGTAGAGACCTTCAAGCAATATGGCCCCTATGCGGTAAGAAGGCCCTCACAATTATATGCGGAGTTAACTTCGCAATCCAGCTAGCCGCAAACAACAAGAGACGAAAGGACTTCTTCACGCTTCCCCGGCGAGATCGAGACATCCTCGAGGAATTGGGGTACAGAACCAAAATAAACGAGGTCAGCTTCGCTGCGGTGATATATCAATCCAATCCTTTGTGATACAGCTGAGACAGGTAGACGAAGCAATACTGAAAAATGCTGAATTTTTGAGCATGATCGTGGCCGACCCCGAGATTTTTGGTTCTATGGACGAAGACGATGTGACCGATGAAGAAGATCTATCGATAGATGTCCCAGGTCTTTCCCCCCTTTCCATGTTTATTGTGTCAAAGATGACCGATGATAGATATAGATCGGGCGGATGCACAGCGGCATGAGCCAGGTCATTCGCACTCGCATTCGCACTCTCATGGCGCAACGCCACCTGGGAGAATCGCGCAAGACGCGCATACTCATAGCGACACCAGCGTAACACACCCCACAATCCTGCCGTCTGGACGTCCGAGTTTGTTCTCGGATGCACCACCTGCTCATGATCACGGCCAAGTTCGTCCCTTTTAATTGAAACAATATCTTGTGTTTAACTCGTTTAACGACGCACTCGCAGACGCACTCGGATGTCGCTATCCAGACACGGAGCCGTAGGCCAAGGTATAGACCGACTGAATTCGACATGGATAAACTGCGTAGCACGATCAAGCAGTTTGTCAGAGACTGGACGACGGAGGTAAGAATACCCTTCTCAGTCGCGTCTTTGTGCTGTTATACCGTCCTCCCCTGTAGGGCGAAGTGGAGAGGGAGGCTTGCTATAAGCCCATGACCGACGCATTGCTAGCGCATTTCGGGGACATCCCGACCGAGGAGCGGTTGGTACATATGAATATGAATGAATGCTACGATCTGAAGCATATTTGTTGCAACATTCAGAAGGAACTTTCGAGTTCTCGTACCTGGAGCCGGTCTAGGTCGGCTGGCTTGGGACGTTGCTCGGTTAGGTTAGTGTGTAGTTGCATTGAACGGCTCTCGTACAATATCTCACAATGCTACAGGTTTCGCCTGCCAAGGCAATGAGTTTTCGCATTATATGTTGCTGTCTTCGTATTTCATATTGAATAGGTGCGAGCATCATAAAAAACTTGTTCTGACTTGCAGCATGTACGGTGAAAACCTAACAACTACGCTCGCCATTCGACTCCGCAGGACAACGTCTGTGGACGCGCACACCATCTACCCTTACGTCCATTCCTTCTCCAACGTCACCGATCGCGCTTCCTTACTTCGCTCTGTGTCCATACCGGATGTCCTTCCGAGTGCACTGCCTGAAGGAAGTGATTTCAGCCTGGTAGCGGGTGCGCGTTTTTTCTCCATTCAGCTTGTTATTTCTTGAACATCACGAAGGCGACTTCGAGGAGGTATATGGTCCGGACAATCCAGATGAGTCCAATGAAGGAAAATGGGATGCAATCCTTACCTGCTTTTTCATTGATACAGTGAGTAATTCAACGTTCTCAATGTACCGTGTGCATGTTATATGCGGAAAAAACACAGGCGAAAAATATCGTGAATTATCTGCGGGTTATGCATCACATTCTCGCACCTGGTGGAATATGGATCAATATCGGTGAGACCATTGATGCGACGGGTCCATAATTTCGCTGAAGTACTCACTCAGGTCCCTTGTTGTGGCATTGGGAGAACAATACGACGAACGATCCTTCGGTAGAGCTCGATCTCGAGGAAGTAAAGCTCCTAGCTCGTAAACTCGGATTCAAACTCGCCGTGAGTATAATTAACTACTTGCGCACAAGTTTCCTATACTTACGATTGGATACGTTTTTGCTCCTTTCCAACGGAATTTGAATCGCCATGCCTGACCAGAATGAACGCACCATCAAGACGACGTATACGAGCGACGCAAATAGCATGCTTGGATATGTATATGAAACTGCGTTCTGGACTGCCACGAAGGAAGTATGAATGTGTGTTCATATCCCAGTCATCTATATACCGTGCAATGGAACGACTCGAGCTATGACACCTAACAATTATCAATGATAAGTACTACATGGGGACTACATGGGGCGTGTACATTGACTTTGGATGCGAAGTCTGTGCACATCAGGTGCTCTGCAAGCTCCGTCTTGTGGGATGATATGCGTGAGGCCCATTAAATTGAGGGGTCATTACTTCTTTTGATAACTTAGCCTCGAACACACGCAATCAGGTTGTAGGCGCTTCAGATACGGTTGTAAGGAATAATCAGTGAACTCTCGAGATCCAACTGCGGGCGCGAGCTTCGCGGAGTCTTGAAATTGCTGAAGGTGTGATGAGTGGCTGTGCTCTCCCCATTTCTCGCCTCGACGCCCGGACCGTCTTCATATCGACTATGGCCAAAACTGCGAGTGCTAAAACAGAGCGTGCTACGAGAACCATCACGAAACCGAAGACGTTGAGCTCTTCACTTGGTGCTCCGTCGCAGCATACGCAAGGAAGTCGCAAAGGAAAACGTGCTTGGAGGAAAAATGTCGATCTACAAGATGTGGAAGAGGCACTAGAGGGTTTACGCGCCGAGGAGAGGATAACAGGGTAGGCCGAAAAATGATATGTTGGCGCTGTGCGCTTGATGTACCCGCGACAGGTCCACTTTACAGTCGAAGACCAATCAGGAGCTTTTCCAAGTAGACGTGAAGGGAGACGACGCAGGTAGAGGTTTTCGTTTTCTGCAGTATCCTAGTCTGACAGGTTATGGGCTCTAGTGCGCAAGGCCCTGCCACGGTTCTCAACAAAGGCTCTTATGTCGGCCCAACTCCTTGCTCAACGATCCGCCGTCCCGGCAGTCACCTCGCGCACTTTTACTACGCCGTCAGACAGCAAGAAGAGGAAGCTTAGCCATGAAGAGAAGGCGAGGTTACTTAGGACAGCGAAGAAGTTACGGAAGGGTCCCCTGAACAGCTATGTCGACCCTACCGAGCTTGGGGCGGGAAGCGCGACGATAGATGTCAGCGAGGCAGTGAAGAACAGCGGAGGGTACAACGTCTGGGAGACGAAGGAGGAGTCGAACGATGTTGAGGAGGAAATCCCTCGTCCATCCTCGAATGCCAAACCGAAGGTATATACCTTGCGTTCGTTAGTGTAATCAGCTGAACCCGTCTTCAGGCGCCTCCCCCGACCGTGCACACTCATCCGAGACGTGTTATAGAGCTGCCAGCCATTGCGGAGCCTCACCAAGGGGTGTCATACAACCCTGCACTTACCGCGCACCAAGAGCTGCTCCGAAAAGCGCACGAAATCGAGGAGCGTCGGCAGCAAGAGGCGCAGAAGAACGAAGAGTGGAACGCGCGGCTACAAAAGATCCGGAACCTTAATGCGGAGGTGCAGGAAGGTGTTCCGGCTGGTATGACGGTGGAAGACGTGGAGGCGAACGACGATCAGAGCGAGGAGGACACTACAGAGGTTCCGGCGCCGAAGAAAGTGCCCGCAAGGAAGACTAAGAAAGACCGGGCGAGGGCTGCCAAGTTGCGCGAAGAGGTATGTACATCCTGAACCGTATCACAATGCAAAATCGACTTTTCCCCTTTAGAAACGTGCTCTCGCAGAGAAGACAGCGAAGAAGCGGCTCCTTGCGTCGATCACTATGGCGCGGTCCTTAAGAGCATCCGTTGACAGCACACGCTCTGCGAGCCAGCAAGCACGCGAGCAGAGAGAGAAGGCGAGGCAAGAGAGGTTAAGGCGTGGACTCGCGGGACACAAAGTCGGCAAGCACGTCGTGAGAGAAGGCGAGGTGGAAGTGCAGCTCGGGGAAGAACTCAGCGAGAGCTTCAGGGCGCTCAAGGTCCATTTATCCCTGGCTATTCCGATTTCCCGTCACTGACCACCTCTTTCGTCCTACCAGCCGGAGGGAAATCTCTTCCGCGACCGCTTCCTCAGCCTCCAGCATCGCGGGCTAGTAGAGCCCACCGCGCAACAAAAGTACGTTCGCAGACTGTATCATTATGACGGATGATCTGACATACTCTGTACGCGCAGCGGAAAGAAACGTGTGGCGAAGACCAAGGAGTACGAGAAGCATCCATATAAACGATTCGACCGGGAAAATTAGATTCACCATTTCCTCCGATTTTTTACCTGCCCCATATGTGTAACCGGCTTTCGCGGACATGCCGCTTGCATCAATCGAAATATTTTGATAAGGGTGAATTGCGAGATAAGGTTACGAGCGAGATTAATAATAACCGATCTACAATAATACCAGGTTTACAGCGATAGCAGAGTACAATACCCGATTTACAACGATAGAAGAGTACAGCAGATTATCGAGAGCAAGTCATTTTTGCTAGGCGTCGTGAGTTGAACACCATTTTTTGAATCAATTTTCCTGTTCCCTCAGTCGATCCCAGGGCGCCATACCAAGAAGAGTGGGTAGCTGCTCCCACAGTTTTTGACGTTCGCCTTCATGCACTTCCTTCGCCCGCCTGACACATTCGTCGCAGAGTGGGGCAGGTGGCATCACCCAACGCGAGAGTCCCATTACTGTGTCTGGAATCGCGGGCAAGATGCGTCTTAGCACCTCCCGACGGGAGTCGGCGCAAAAGTCCTCGACGCAGTCCGGGATGTCGTCGTAGGTGTCAAAGAGCCATGTGAAGGAACGTGCCGCCTGCGTCCGGAGAAACGCAGCACGGCCCGCGATCGCGGCTGGGAGTAGCGCAGGGAGGAGGCGGGCGACGGTGCCGTCTGGGCGTGGGTAACCGTATAGGAGGCCGTTCAGCTTCTTGCAGCCGAGATAGTAGAGCGCGGGGAGTACGGACGGAACCTTTGCCTCATGCGCGAGGTTGATGAGGTCGAAGAAGAAGCCCCTATACGGGACGATGAGAGTGGACGCCGTCTTTTCGGCGAGCGCGCGATCGAAGCCGGCGAGGTGGGAGGGGAAGCTGAGCTGCAAGCGCTGGACGGCTTCGCGGTGCAGAACAGGTATATCGTATGCGGTACCCGTGCGGAGGAGGGCCGAGAGCGCCTCCACCGTCATCGGTTGCCGACGATTGAAGTAACTGTGGGGTTCCGTGAATAACTGTCTTTGCAGGGCGAGATGGCGAGCTTACCTGCCGGTGCAGTATATCGCTCGGATCATGTGTTCGACCTCTTTTGCCGTTCGCTCGAGACGAATAGGCCGAGGGTCATTGGGCTTGATTTTCAGGCGGACGATGGCGTTCTTGAGGAAACTCGAGTGCATCATGATCACGGAGCGATGGACCTTGAAGCGCAGATCTTCTGCTTGGAGCAGAATATTTCCATCGTCGAGCCAAAATTCGTCAGAGCGTCGAAAGACGTCGGCAGGTTCGACCCTTGACTCTAGCGGGACGGTGGAGTGGCGTCGACGCTTCAACGGCACCTGCGCCAGAACGTAAGCGAGAGCTAATGTGCATGAAGTAACGACATAACATACGACAGTCTCGGGGAGTACGCTTGGGCTCATGGATCGTCCGCGCTTCAAGCTGACAGCAGGAGTATGCGGCATGTTGGCGTTGGTCGGGGTGAAGGGAAGGGGGTGGATATACGGTCTGATTGCCAGATTCTTTGTTGGCCATCTGCTTTATGAGGCGGTGGTTCGGGAGGGGGTGGGTCCGTCATCGAGCTCCTGTGCACGGAGGTGGTAGTGGCTAAACATCCAAGCCGGATGCTGCGACTATAACGGTTTCCCCGCTACTTGATAGGAGTAGCGGCGAAGCCGTAACAGTCGCGGTATGGCGGCCAGTGAGCGCTGCAGGGGCAAAGAAAGATCTAATCTCGATCTTCCCCTGCACCGCCACCTGGCTTCCTCCGGACCCCTGTTCCGCTCGCCCGCGCCCTTAGAGGCCCGTCTGAGAGGCAGGCTAGTGGTCACTGGTGATCCGAGGATGCTGCTGGGCCCAGGTGGTAACAGCTGCTTGTCCTGCTTGTCCCCGTCCGCGTGCTGCTCCTATCTTCTTCATTTGCACCGCCATGTACCTGGGCGCCGGCGCCAACCCCCTCGAGAGTAACATACTCCTGGTCGTCGGATGCGGTGGATGGATTTGACTACATGCTCAAATTGAGCGGATCCGGAGGTCTCGGTGCCTGCGTGTGCATAGATATGAGTATATGCGCTTTGAATGAGCGCGTTCCATATACGTGTCTTTCGAGTTCATTCGGTGAGACCACCAACAATATTGCGCGGCAATCGTCCGTGTTCCATCTTTTGAATTCGTTGAATCTCCCGATCAACGGAATGTCTAACTGTGCTTCACTTACAAAAGTTCTGACGCCTCCATGGACCTCGGACACTTCGTGAACAATGCTGTCTTGTGTTTGAGAGGAAGAACTGCCCTGATTCGCAATACTTGCAGTTGTTCCAAATCAGAACATACTTGGCGCAGCACGGCAACAGCACGGCATGCAACATCGGACGAAGGTCTTCGCGGCAAAGATCACCAAGACCACGGCACATCGACGTAAGCACCTAAGATTCCTGGTGAGGCACAAAAAAGACGGTCAGGTACGCCACCAGACCAGTCCCCATCCCCGTGGAGTTTACAACCGTACAGTTATCGTCTACACTCCGCGGACTGCGCTATATGATATCCGTGTCTTGTACTGTACATGTTGCACCGAGGCCCGCCAATCTCACTTGCACCATCAACATCCGCCACAAAACCGAACGGTGCCGACGGAGCACCCGTCCACGTAGCTGAAGGCTCACGGCATCTCCGTTCATTTCTCCTTGACGCGCAGGGATCCCTTGCCCGCGAGCTCGTCGATGGTAAAGTGAGTCCCGCGCTTCGGATTCGCGCGCCGTTTTGCCTGCGCCTTGCGCACCTTGTTCTCCGGGCGCACGACGATGATGGGCACCGGCGAACGCGAGAGGCAGTATCTGGATAGATGGCCCGTTGAGTGACAGGAACGACGCGTCGGAGAAGAGACAAGAGACACGGACTTGGATACGCTGCCTACGCCAGGCGCGCCGAACGCGGCGCCCCAGGCTTGCATCATTCCGCGCTGGCCGCGGGTACCGACTACGACCGAATCTGGGCGGTAGAGCGCGATAAGCCGGTCGATGGTCTCCGTGATCTTGCCCGCGATGAATTCAACTATAATGGATAACTGCCGGAACGAAACGGAGACGATCAGTCGGGAAAAAACAGGTGCGCGCGGTCTGTGCCGCGTACCTTGCGGTCAGGGTCGTACTCCACGCATTTCTCCTGTACTAGGCGCAGGAGTTCACGAGCTTCTTCGCGTACAACTTCGTGATCCTTGTCTGAAGTCCGCATTGAATACAACGGACTACGCCTGAACAGGACACGCCCTTACCCAGATCGTCCTGGTCGATGCCGCGAAAGATGATGATCTCGTCCCCATCCTGTGCAAGGTTCTCCAATGCCCAATCAAGGGCCTGGCTACCGCTGGCGTCGCTGCTCGCCGCGCAGAGGTAAACGCGCGTATTCCGTCCGCGGACGTAACCGTCGCTCTTCACCTGGAGCGTGTACGAGAACATGCTCGCCGAATCGTTCTCAAACGTGTCGAACGAGACCTTGGGCTGGTACCCGGCCGCGACGGGCAGCGGGGTCGCGGGGTGCATCGGCGAGCCGAGCGGGGTCGCGGCCGAGCTCGGGTGGAGGTTGAGCGACGGGGTCGAGCCGAGGTTCGGGCCGGCGAAGGGGCGGAAGGAGGGCGAGGCGAAGGATGGGGTGGAGGCGCCGCCGGAGTACGAGTGGATGGAACCCGAGTCTGGGCGGGAGGTGGAACGCTTGAGGGCCGAGCGCAGGGGAAGGACGGGTGGCCCGTGCGTCGAAGGAGGAAAGGGGGGAGATTGCGAGGAGGAAGGGGTGTCGGCCATGACCGGTTGACCGGGGATGCTCGTTTGCGTGTGGTGTTCAGGGGGATTCGCCGATGAGGTGCGGATCAGGAGACGTCGGCTCCGTCAAGGGTCTGCGGGTTCCTCAGATCGGTAGACAGATCTAGCACGGCTGGTTTGTGAGGCAAATCGATGCCAAGGAGCGGGAGTGCGTCAGCGAAGAGGAGATGATATCCGGGCGTTCGGGGGCGAGCACCTGAGGTTCACGCTCAGGATCCGGGCAGATCGCTCGTTGCGGTGCCGAAGCCAGTAGGGCAGCCGCACGTTGATGGATCCGGACTCAAGGGCGTTTACGACAGAGCTCGAGGGGGTGGAGGAGGTGCTGGGTTGCAGCTGATATTAGCTTCGGACTGCCTGTGGCCTGCAGCCGCGTCGCAAACAAGCGCCCATCGGCACGTCGGAGATGGAAACGAGCTGCATCAAGCGCCCACCATCGCGTTCGCTCTCTCCACCATGGCCGACAACGAAAGTCCAGCGAGTTCGCCTTCCCCCACCGACCCCAGGGACAAGGCCGTCGCCGACACCACATTGGTCCAGGAGGCCAGCGCCGCCACTCCGGAGAAAGGTGGTTCTGACGCTGACTCTGGCTCCGGCTCTGGTTCTCCCCCCGACGCCGACAAGGACGCGACCAACGACCGAGAGGAGGCATCCACCCAGAAGAATGACTCGGTAGAGCCATCTTCCTCGAGCGCGACTCCTGCACCCGATCCTGGGACGTGGCAGGCCGTCTGGGCCCCACAGTACAACGCCTACTACTTCTACAACGCCGTCACCCAAGAGACGACCTGGACGAACCCGCTCGAGCCCTCCGCCTCGACGTCCACCTCGACATCAGCACCTGACACTAACGCGGAAGATAAAGGCGAGGGCAGCTCGACGCCTGCTTCCACCTCCACCTCCATGTACGACGCCCTGCAAGCGGCCGCTCTCGCGCAGGGCATCGACCCCTCGCTCGCCCACCTCGATCCATCGCTGCTCGCTGGCCCCGGTGGGTCTTCAGGCGCGTATGCATTCCAGGCCAAGTTCAATGCACGCACGGGCGCGTTCGCCAAGACGCACGCGCGCGACCCGACGCACCTGAGCGAGTACGAGCGCGCGAAGCGTATGAGCGAGTTCTACTTTGACGTCAACCAGTGGGAGAAGGATGTAGAGCGGCGGAAGCAGGAGGAGGAGGAGGAGGCCGGGAAGAAAAGGAAGCGGCCTACGAAGAAGGATCTGGTTCGTTTGTTATCCTGGTTGGATACTCGCCGTCGGTTTGCTCACGTATTTGTTTACCGCAGGAGAGGTTTAAGGAACAGAAGAGGTTAAAGAAGATAGCAAAGACAGCTTGGTTGCGCACATAGATTGTCATCCTACAGATTGTGCTTTACAATGGATTGCAAGCAGTACCATACGGCTCAGGTGTTGTCGCGTTACTATCCAACCTCGTGAATTATCCCCATATGTTTTACCTGGACGTCGAGGCGTCGAGGCGAAGGTCGAAGCTCGGGAGAAAGGCCGGAAGGTGCTGAACCAAGGGCGATGTTACCCTCGACTCCTGTCCACTTCTCCAAGCTATGGCGAGCACTGGCTTAGGTTTCGGCACGTCCAGCTATCACGTCATACCGTCGATGGAGGCTTCCTGGAGAGCCTGGCTTGTCTCTTGCGATCAACACACCGTCATGCCCACTTCTTGCACCCAGTACGAGCGTGATCCGGTCGTGACGGACAGCGTCGACGTTTGGTGAGTAGTATACGTTCACTTGCATCTTTGTCGACTATATACCGATGTTAGCTATAGGTATCCGGACGGAACCATCATCCTTCAGGCGGAGAATCTCAGGTTCCGCGTTCACAAATCGATCCTCAGCAAACACTCGCACGTCTTCCGAGATCTCTTCTCGCTCGCCGTACCCAAAGGGGCCCCAGTCATGGAAGGATGTTCGATCCTCGTGATTCACGATGGCAAAGAGAGCACAGAGCATGCACTGAAGGCCTTGTATGGGCAACGAAGGTCTTCTTGTCGTCGTAGACAATCATTATCCTAGCATATACTCACCGCGAAGCTTGCAGTTACTATGATCATGACTGTCCGATGAATATATGCGCCGTAGCTGCACTCCTCGAGTTCGGCGAGAAATACGACATCGAGCCTCTCCTGGAAGAAGCCGAAGTGCGCCCACTTTCCTTCTACTTTGTGCCGATCCAGGTTTAGCCCTCCTCGCAGTCGCGACTTTGTCTGGAGTTCCCGTCCACACTCGATGGATGGAACAAGGCAAGCGAAAGCTGGTCCGTGATCAAGGAACAGGATGGGATCGTCGAGCTAGCCACTAATCTCATCTGGCGGCACAACGTCTCCCTCGCCCTCCCAATAGCGATGTACGCCTGCTCCCTCCGCCCTGTCGTAGAAATAATGGACGGCCGCCGGTACGACTCCAAGCTCGTCCTCTTGAGCGATCCGGACCTTCGCGCGCGCATCGTCGTAGGCAAAGATCAAATTTCTCGCGCGTGGAGCGCCAGCCAATTCTCCAAATGGTTGGAAAGCGACTCGCCTCACGCTGGATGCGCGACGAAGTCGTCCTGCCTCAAGGGTCGGTTTGCGATCTACAGGGCGATCTGGGACGACTTCTCCGTGCACACCGCGTTGGATCCGTGGTCGGAGGACTGGGACCGACGCTTGTGCGCTCGGTGCGTGGAAGTGGCGCAGGACAAGTACGAACACGGGAGGCAGGAGATATGGGCGAAGCTGCCGGAGATATTCAAGCTTCCCGAGGACGATTGATGAGGGTCATCTGAATGTGCCCGACGTATGTAAGGTGCAGATCTTCCTAAAAACTACAGCTTCCTTAGGCCGGGCTTAGGAAGATCGTAAAACTACAAGTCTCCTTCTATGCCAGTCTGAAAGGACATATGAACGCCGTTAATATGTGCGCGGTGCGTGTAAGTAGGAGCCATCTAATAGTAAGAAAGCACAGATAACCTGGTTACGTAAATAGATTGTCATCTACCAATACATTGAATTGTGTACGATTCTGCACGAGTTCGATCATTATTGTTCGCATTGCCATCTGTCTTCGTCGATCATCAATCCTTCCCGTGCGTTGTTTCCTGGTCACCGAGTCTATGTGCGAAGCTTGGGGAATGCTCCCAAGGCGGGCAGATTCGTGATGATCACTGTCGCTCCTTTCCACTTACACCTCAAAGCTATGATGAGCGCTACCTTCGATTCCCAGTTTGACGCAGGGACCATCACCGACGTGAATGGGCGCTCTTTGAAGACCCCAACAAGTTATCTGCGGTCCATCGCACTGTCGTGGTCATGGCCACTCTACGCTATAAGTCCGAGCGTCATCCCCCAGTAGTTGCAAACAGCCTCGACGTTTGGTAAGGATCGGGTACCACTAGCTGGCTCGTTCGTCATGTATCCTTCTCAGGTACCTGGACGGAAACGTCGTCCTGCAAGCGGAGAACCTACGGTTTCGCGTGCACAAGTCTATCCTCAGCAAGCACTCGCACGTCTTTCGCGACCTCTTCCTGCTCGCCACACCCTCGGATGCGCCGGTCGAGGAAGGATGCCCAGTTGTCACGATTCATGACGCCGAGGAGAGTACTGAGCATGCTTTGAAAGCCTTGTACGGGCAACGAAGGTTCGCCACCCTAGCTGTGTTACAGGGTATCGTGCTCACCCGGGCGTTGCAGCTACTATGATCACGGTCGTCCTATGCGCATCTCCGTTGTGGCTGCACTCCTTGATTTCGGCAAAAAGTACGGCATCAAGCAGCTGCAAGAAGAAGCTGAAGTGGGTATCCTTTCTTCTACCTGTTGCCATCATCTTACGCCCGACCCGCTCGCAGTCGCGCCTCCGACATGAACTCCCTTGCTCCCTCGCTGCATGGGATAAGGCATACGATGGCTGGTCCTTAATCGAGGACGAAGACGGAGTCACCCAGTTAGCCACCGACCTCCTGTGGCGCCATGACATCTCCATAGCCCTTCCCGCCGCGCTGTACGCCTGTTCCCTTCGCCCCGTCGCGGATATCATGTATGGGCGCCAATATGACGCCGGCCTTGTACTTCTGAACGACCGCGACCTTCGCGCGCGTATCGTCGTGGGCAAGGAGGACATCTCCCGTGCGTGCGCAGCCAGCGATTTCGTGGAATGGCTCGAGAGCGACGAGCCCAAGGCCGGGTGCGGGACGACGCAAAAATGCCACGAGGGCCGGTTTGCGATCTACAGGGCGCTGTGGGGTGGCTTCTCCAACCTCGGCGCATTGGACCCATGGTGGGAACGCTGGGATCGACGCCTGTGCGACCAGTGCAGGACTGTGGCAAAGGAGAAATACGAAAGTACTAGGCAGGAGATATGGGCGAAGCTACCAGCGATGTTCAAGCTGCCCGCTTGGGAAGACCTGTTGGCCCAAAGCAACGATTGACGAGGACAAGGGTGAGGTCTTCCCGGAACTGTTCATGATCTTCTTAGTATGGACTTGTAAAGTCTGCACATGTATAAATTTTCCTCTATGCCATTCCCGAGAAAACAAAAGTCACGATACACGCCATGCGATGAAAGCAGCAGCAATATGTCATGGATATCGTCCTAGCCCGTCCTCTTCTTCTTCATTGGCCCACCTTCCCCACCGCTACCAGAGGCCTTTTGCTTCGTTCCGACATTTGATAGCTTTTCACCGCCCGGTTTCCCCTTCTCGCCGTGCGCAGCGGCCCGTATCTTCCTTTCTGCCTCCCCTTTTCTCTTCTCATTGTTTGTGGGCTTCATACCGTCCATCGAGCGTCGCTGCTCAAGCAACTCATCCATCTTGCTCTCCACAGCCAAGGCGATCTCTTCCCACACTTCGCCGTCTCGATAGGGGCGCTCGAAGCTACCACGTTCCCAGTCAATACCCGTCCACTCTTCCGTATCCGTCGACGGCGACGAGGCCACAAAACCGTCCGGAGGGTGAAACCAACTGGGAAATGTCAATAGGAGATAAGGTGCACGACCAAGGATCGGAACGTACTAGTTGAAAGCGATATGGGTACTTCCGTTGTCGTCTGACGAGGACGTTACCTCGTGGAACCAGCTTGTAGGCAGATACAGCATGTCTCCAGGCTCAAGGCTAACCACTAGAGGCGGAGGGCAGCCGGCCAAGGGAAGAAGTTCGTTAACTGCATGATCGGGCTTGGCCTTGTGCTTATCCTTCTTTTTCTTCCACTGCTTCCCGAACTGCGCGTTGGAGGAGGTATCATTGGTCGCTAAGCCAAGGTGACGGTGGAGCGCAGATGCCGCAATGCGCGAGAACGACGGCGGTTCCTGGTCCTCGCCGTCCTCTATATCTTCTTCTACCCCAAGCTTCTTGATGATATCTTCTGCATCGTCGCCCATGCTGAAGTCGTCGTCGAAGTCTGAATCCTCCGCGTCGGGGTTGCCGAACAGTGGCTCGGCATCTTCGTCACTCTCCTCCTCAGCATCTTCGCCTGAAGCCCCTTCTTCGTCAAGCATCTCCTCGTCGCCTTCACTGCCCATCTCATCAAGCTGCAGCATCATCATATCGTCCACTGCACGCTCGTAACGCTCCTGCAGCTTCGCGAGCGCCTTCGATGACGCTCTCTTTCCTAGTCCATTTGCTGTCGAGGCCTTGGCTGATGCCTTCATCTCCTGCATCTTCCGGTCCCAATATCGCACACGCCATGTCGCAGCGTCGAGTGGATCGAGACCATCAGCTCGCGTAGCTGCGCCACAGGGCGATGTGAGGGAGACCTTCGTGGGGCCGGAAGGCAAGGTGTATGAAAGAAGGCCATTTGGGTGCAGACGTTCTATATTCCCCCGTAGGTGCAAATACGGGTAGGCAGAAGGAGGATAGAGGACGAAGCGTTTGCGGCCTCGCAGTAAAATGTAAAGGTTGTCATGGAAATCGTGACTAGAATCCTAGGTCAAGTCCTGGAGAAAATAAAGCAATATCCAACGAACTGGAGGCCAGAGGACGAGCCTTCAGGCGAGTTGCCGATCCTTGAGCGAAGACGTTGATCGTATGCAAAGGGCAAGGGCAAACGGCACTGACCATAAGTTGGACTGTTGAAGTACGAGATTGCCCATAATTTTCGGCCGCCTTGGGAAATCGCCAACGAGAGCATCCGTCGGGGGAGGACATATAGGATCGAGTTCAACAGGAGTTTCATCAACGATCTCCATGTCCGCGTTCCACTCCTGATCCACTGGCTTCGCATCCTCTTCCTCGTATTGTGTAGTGAGATACCATTTGCCGCGCTGCGTCTCGTCCGAGAGGATGTCGAGGAATCGAGGAAAAAGGACAGTGCGCCGCGGCATGCTTGAGCCGAATGTCCCTGTTGCGGGGTTCACGGGCTCGATCTTGACGGTCGACGACCGTGCAGTCTGCCTCAAATATGACAGATCCGCCTAACAGTCGATCAGCGTCATTCTCTCTGGGTGCTGAGCCATTGGCGACCCAGAAGCGTGCGTCCAATTGTCGTACTTACCAGTTTTTGCATCCGAGCCCATTCTTCTTGCGAGGACATTCCTCGTAGAACAACTGGCCTCCTGGCTTTGATATATCTGGCATAAAACTCTTCTGGTCGAATGGAGCTCGATTCTTGGGCTATCTCGTCGCCCTTCGAGGTTACATAGCCTGTGGATTAGCGCGCTGATTTCTCAGTTACAGTGCATTGTTCCAGCAGTCCTTCGAGCATCGCACCAGGATAGTGTTCTTCCCTTTGCAAGGCCATGCCGCCCATATTCCCGAACTCCATGGAAATGGGAAGTATTCGGGTTTTTTTTTGTACGTCCGGCCAGTCGCGGTTCAGGCCCGACTCGAAACACTTACAGGCACATCACGTGATGAAACGCGTTCACTGCAGGTATGATTCCGAAGCCTGAAGGCATCTCGGATCGCACCTTGCAGCTCAACCGGCACACCGTTTGACCAAGCCCGATCGCGCAGGACTACAACTCATCTCCTAGTGAAGCGTTGTCTCCAGGCGCGGCGATCACTCAGGTCGTCGTCCCCGATCGTTGAATATCATCCTCACGTGTGGCGTCAACGTTGAGCTGCACCTGCCACCAAAGCTACGCATATAATAAGCAGCCATCTGACGCTCTTGTGCACCATATCCCACCTCTGTGAGCGCATGACTATATGAATTTCTACTCGCAGTCTCATGATTATGGCCAGCCGATCCGTAAGATATTCGCATCTGGAAACGGCACCATGGAAATGGATATCGTGCAGGATGTTGACGAGATTGAGATTGCTCCTAAGCAGACCACCCAGAAGCGAATCCAAGTTACCGTCGACGATGCGCATCCCTTTGACCTTGATTCCTACATCACCGGGTACACAGGTACGACCCGAGCTGCCTCAGCTATCGTTATACTCATACATTGTATCATCACAGGGCGCACTGCGATTGATCGTTTACTACACATAATCCGACTCTGTCCCACCCTCGCACCTCAAGCCTATCAACTGGCAGTGAAATATATACACCAGGGACGTGACCCATCGATATACCAGACGCTCATAGCTGCCTACGAAACTGCCGCCGCCAGTGTCAGCGGGCAACTCCCTCCATGGCAAGAGCTTGCACCTCTTGACACTAGGTGGATTGAAGAAACCAACCAGAAGAACCAGGCTGAGCGGACTAAGCTTGAGGTTGAGCTAAAGACGTACTCAAACAACATGATCAAGGAGTCTATCCGAGTGCGTGTTCGCCTGTTGGTTCTCTCTCGGATCATTGTTTGATGTACCTTATAGATGGGTCATCGCGATCTGGGGGATTATTATCGTGCTGTAGGCGACCAATCCAACGCGATAAAGCACTACACCAAGTGCCGTGAGTTCTGCACGACAAGTCAACATGTCCTCGATATGTCGATCTCCACACTCGAAGTTAGCCCCTTCTGCAGGTTCCGACGCACTTCCTTCTGACGCGCAAATATTTTCCCCTGTAGCTCCTCGTCGAACGCCGGTCATATGCCCACATAACAACTTACGTTTTCAAGGCAGAAGCGGCGATGGAAGCCGTGCATGCGACAACGGACAAGAAGGATGCAGCCTCCAGCGCTGCAGCAGCTCAAACCCTTCCGCCCGGCTCCCAAGCCGCAGCAGCCAGTAAGAGGAGCGCGGACAAGGAGAAGGTACAGACGAAACTTCAGTATGCCACTGGCCTGTGCAGGCTCAGCTCGGGTAACTACGAGCGCGCTGCCAATTCGTTTTTACATCTGGGCCCTATTAGCAGTTTGGCAGAGTGGAACGGGACAGTAAGCACACGAATAGTATGTATGCCTTGCGGGCCGTGATCATAAACATCTTCCTTCAGCTCGTCTCGCCTTCTGACATCGCGATCTACGGCACCCTATGTGCGTTGGCAAGCCTGTCGCGTGGCGCAATCAAAGCACAGGTTCTCGACAACGATAACTTCGGCGTGTATATAGAACAAGAGCCGTACGTGCGAGAGCTGCTCGAAGCCTGGATGCACAGTCGTTTTAAGACCGTGCTCGACTTGCTCGAAAGATATTCTGTGAGCACGTGGTCGTTGTTGGTTACGCTTGTACTGACATTCTTGACGCAGACCCGCCATCTCCTTGATCCTCATCTATCCGGGCACGTGCAAGACCTCACTCATGCTATCCGGAGCCGCGCGCTCGTGCTATTTTTCCAGCCTTTTGCCTCGCTCAAACTCGAGCGCATCGGAGACGCATTTGGATGGCCTATCGAGGAGACAGAGAAACAGGTGGTCACCTTGATACAGAGCGGGGATATCAAAGCGCGTGTGGATAGTCAGAACAAGGTCAGCCAGGACGCTTTTCTTTGTTCTTTGGATGTGCTGAAGGTCGGCACCGTCTAGATCCTGAAGGCCAAGGAAGTTGATCCGCGTTCTGCGCTGTTTTCCAGAGCGATACAGAGCAGTGCCGACATGCAGAACGCAACAAGGAAGTTGTTGCTGCGATTGAAGCTGTCAGTGATATGCTTGGATGATCAGTATATATCTCACAACTACCCCCTCATCACTACAGACAGCAAGCAGAACTTGTCATCAAGACGCCTAAATCACAGGGTGGATATGCTCATGATATCCTTAACGACTAGGGGATGGTATAGGCGATTGTAATCAATCTAGCCTGCAGCTTTGGTGTTGTACTGTTAATACGATCTTGCATTTCGTCGGATGCTGCCAGTTTCGCAGTAGCATGGAATCACGTGTTTAAGCTTATATTGGATATATACGTTTAAGGCCAATTCGAGGCAACGGGCACTTGGCACAGTGGTAGCGCGCATGCTTCGCACTGAGCGAGGTTGCATGAGGTCGGGAGTTCAATCCTCCCAGTGTCCATATTTTTCACACCGTTTTGGACATCGCATCTTTCAGCGCGATCCACTGGCCGTTATGATACTGAAACGACGTGTTATCAATAGATGATCCTTTCAGGTAAGCAATCGTATATCCGTACAGTGACTACTACTAGTACCCGTGATATTAGTCACGAGCGTTCCAGAACTTCCCGTTAATGTCTCGGAACGCCTGGCTCGAACGCAGCCCCAGCTCTCCTCCTTGAATGTCTTTGAGTGAAAAAGACCATTCTAGTCGCTCCAGTTCTCGATGCCACTGAACCCAGTAACCTCGCTGGCCTTACCACCGGTAACCTCCAAAGCCGACCAGTCCCATGTACCGGTACAGCTTCCGGAACCGCAGTTAACGGCCACCCGCACCTACACGACCATGAGGTTATAGCAAATGCTAGGAAGCCGTCGGGCGATACGCACAGCATCACTGGCGACGGCTATGTTATTGGTGTCGCCGATGAAATTGACATCCTAGGTACGTATATTAAGACAGGAAGAAGCAGACCATCACAGATACTCACGGAAATGATAACACCCGTTCCTGGGGTGCCGAGCGTCGAAGGATAGCTCTATGGCAAGGTTAGCGTGAATGATGAAGCACCTGAATCAGGTATGATCTTCACCTGGTCAATGATGACGCCGAATCTATTGCAACCAGTGGCGGTATTCCCGGAATATGTTACATTTGTAACAGAAGCGTCGGTAGCATCCGACTTCGTCTTGATACGGAGTGCCTGATCACTGGCGGGCCAATCGGCCAGTTAGCAAGCCTGCAGACAGACAAAGCAGCCCGTGGTAACGCACTTGTTCTTGATAGTGTTGTCCTTGATGATAATACCGCTGACAGTCGCATTGCTAGAGATCGAACCCTGGCGAGCTTTGAGCGATTTGTCGAAGGACCTGAAGTCTGCACTTACAATGCTGATACCATGCCCGCCACTGCATGTGTTCCTCTGAGAATTAGTGAGTATCTGGCATAGGGCAGTGATTGGTAAGTAGTGTGGATACCTGGAAGACAATATTCGATCCTGGTGAGCGTTAGCCCATGCGTGGATCAAATACACAAACTAATCCGCTCACCCTTGTTAATCGCCAAGCAATCGTCCTGGTTCATGATAGTCGAGTCCTCAATTGTCAAGTCATGCGTCGAGCAGTCGAATCTACGGGAGTGATGAGCAGGAGAATTTAACACTCAGAGCTCTGATTACCCATCCGTATTGTGACCGGCAGCTTTGCCATCGCTGTTGGCGTTCGCTTGATCTCCCAATGCTACGTCGAAAGTGGCTCGTCAGCGTGCAAAAATTTCATGCAGTGAGGGAGCACGGACAGTTATCGATAGTCAGCTTTGACATGACGAGAGCAGCCGGGTTAGACACGCTGTACACACGCATCGGCGAGTTCAGCACTTTGACGTTCTTAAAAATTTATTTGGCTTATGTTATGGCACGGAAGATTCTGTATACGTGCAGTGAAAGTGCCGGATATCTTTATTCTATCGGTATATTAGGAACAATATGCTCGGTGCAGCCGGCGTGTGGTCTACGTACTTCATCATCGGTGCCGGCTTCGTGACCCCACCGCCGCCTTGACCGTCCTGCACAGCATGCTTAGCGCAAGGCGCGAACAATGATTGACCCAAGATTGAGAAAGTACCCAGTAAAATGGACCGTTGCCGTTGAACGTATGTCCTATATAGCAGGTATAACGCTAGACTTATTCGACGTATGTCGATGATCACTAACCATTCCCGTTGACTAAGCAACATCAAACATGCAGCATCGCTGAAGTCAAGAGAGGCACTTACAGGTAATTCCTGTTCCGCTAATTTGAAACAATGGCCCCGCCCAGGTCTCGTTGCCGAAAACAATATCGCCCACTAGGAACAGTTATCAGTTTTATATATCAAAGATAACAGGTCGCCCATACGCAGGTTGACAGTGCTCCCGGAGGCAAGGTCTAGATTGAATGTTTCACCCGCAGGAACGGTGAACGACTGAACAAACGCATGTAGTAGGTCCATCAGGACGGATTGATCATACATACGTTGATGTTGACGGTAGTCTACGACATAGGGATAAGATTGTGCACTTCAACAAGCTGTCCTCACATACGCATTTGACTGCTGCGGAGACGTCGTCCAGAGAAGAGATGGTTCCAGTGCAGCGACGATCTTTGGGTGCCGCAGATGCGGACGATATGAACAAGGCAGTCGCCAAGAAAACAACGTAAAGAGCAAGCATGCTTGGCCGTCGACCCTATAGCGCTACCGAAGGACTCTGATACCGCTCTCCTTAAGTATGGCAAACTCGAAAGCTTTCCGAACAAGTCCCGCGAACGCTTTGGAGCGATCACGCGGAAGTTGACGGACCATTTACGTGCCCATGGTGATGCCAGTGTCCGGTGAAAATGCGGAGGTCGAGTCTTTCCTGGATAGAAGGATGCGAGCGAACTGAATCCCGACCGGTCACCGAACACCTCTCGGCTCCAACGGCAATTTCATGAACCAATAACGGGCTCACTATCTGCTGATCGCGAGCGTCTTGCCAAGGGTTCCGTGTTAGATTCCGTGTCTCCGGATGGAGTGGCCTTCGCAGCGGGCCGCGACGGACACTCCGGCCAGCGTATCCACGTGAACGTTACGTGAAGTCAACTTGGAAGAACAAGAAAAGTTCAAGCATGTAACACACCTGGGCAATAAAACTTCTAGCTAAGCGCGAGGCGCATAATGAAGCCCTTCCTCTATTACAGAGTCTCGATTCATATATATACACCAGCATCATGCAAACGCAGCCTCCTCCACCTTCTTCACATCACCGAACCCGTAGTTCTCCCCATGAACGAATGCCTTCGTACACTGGGCCATGGTCACGGAACTGCAGCAAAGGCGATGAGTGCTGAACAACACAGAATCAGAGAACTGGAATGACTTACGCTCGTGATATGGGATCCGTCTGGTAGAAATTGCTGATCGGCTTGCGCAACGGCGCCCCGGTGACCTTCGCCGTCGCGGTTGAGTCCACGATGGTCTTTAGACCGGCAAGGGCGACAGAGGTCGAGGTGGGCTCGGTAACATCGTATCGGACCAGTGATGGCGAGATTTCCCACATGCGATCCCGTAAGCTGAGAACATCGTCGTATGGTAGTGTAGCGTCGACGACTTCGGAGACCGCTCGGATGATTTTCCAGTCCTCCCTGGAAGCACCTGGTGGAGGAACGGCTGCCCGGCCTAGCTGCGCACGACCCTCGGTGTTGACCCAGGTCGTCGATTTCTCGGTGTAGGCAGCCGCTGGGAGAACGACATCAGCCAGCTGTGCGCCGAGGTCGCCGTGGTGGCCCTGGTAAACAACGAAAGCGTCCTTAGGAATTGACTTGGGGTCGACTTCATCGGCGTTGAGCAGGTAGATGAACTTGGGCGTCGTTGACGACGCCTTCTTAGACGGAACGAAGCCGATGTCGTAAGCAGCAGCTCGCGAGGCAACCTGAGCAATAGATTGACAGTCAGATGAACGCATCCCCCGACTTTGCGATCAAACGATAACATACCCGCTGGAGGACGCTGAAGCCGTTCCATTCGGGGGACACTAGGCGATCCTTGTTCTTCTCCACGAACTTGGCCAGAGCGTTATACACCGCTGCACCATCAGTGTTCTCGATGACAGCGCTGCCGACGATGATAAGAGGCTTCTTCGCGTTCTTGAACTTCTCCGCGAACTTGCCCTTACCAGCGATGAAGTCCGCGAGGGCTTTCGCGTCGGAACCGAGGTAATCGTAACCGTATGCAGTGTCCGCCCGCTCGCCAATCAAACCAACCTCAAGGCCGGTATGTATCCAGCTCTTCCGTATGCGCGAGTTGAGGACGGCCGCCTCGTGCCGTGGGTTGGTACCGACGAGAAGGATGACATCGGCCGCCTCAACACCCGGGATGGTGGCGTTGAAGAGGTAGTTCGACCGCACGTCAACACCGTGAGCGGGTGCGACAGTACCGCCGGTCTGGTCAAGAGCGAGGTTATCAGAGCCGAGGCGGTTGACGAGATCCTTGAGCGCCACGAGCGACTCGGTGTCCGCTAGGTGACCGGCGACTGCCTGGATTTCGTCGCCCTTCGCGCCAGAGGACTCGAGACCCTGGCCGATGGCGGCGAGAGCATCTTCCCATCCCGCGGGAACGAAACGGTCGCCCTGCTTGATCAGAGGTGTCGTCAGACGCTGGAAGCGCAAGCCGTCGTACGCGTAACGCGTCTTGTCGCTAATCCACTCCTCGTTGACATCGTCGTTCGTCCTCGGCTGTATCCTCATCACCTGCACACCACGCGAGTCCACCCGAATGTTCGAACCGACGGCGTCCATAACGTCGATGGACTCGGTGTTCTTCAGTTCCCATGGACGAGCGTGGAACGCGTACGGCTTGCTAGTGAGCGCACCAACGGGACATAGGTCGACGACATTGCCCGACAGCTCCGAGTTCATCGTCTTTTCCACGTACATCCCGATCTGCATGTCGTTCCCTCGCCCGGTAGAGCCCAGCTCTTCCACTCCCGCTACCTCGTTCGCAAACCGGATGCAACGCGTGCACTGGATGCAGCGGTTCATGGACGTCTTCACAAGAGGCCCTAGGTTTTTGTTCTCCACTGCCCGCTTTCCAGTGATTTCGTGGAAACGTGAGCGGTCCGCGCCGTATCGCATCGACTGGTCCTGCAAATCACATTCTCCACCTTGGTCGCAGATGGGGCAGTCCAATGGATGATTCGCAAGCAGGAATTCCATAACGCCTTCCCTATTCCAGGGTAAGGGAAGAGGATATGGAACATCGGTTTGTCGACGTACCGTGCTTCGTGTACTAATGGGGTATTTGTCCAGACCTTCGAGCCCGGCATGGCAGGCATAGCGCAAGAGGCGACAGGTTTCGGTGACCGCTCCACTTCGACGAGGCACATACTAGAAGAATATGAGTCGAGCTTTGAGGGAGTGAATGAAGAAACGTGAGCGTACCGACAGTTGCCCGCAATCGCTAGTCGGTCATGGTAACAGAATCTGCGGACCCGCCTGAATGAGGCATGATAAGAGGTGCACGAGCGTTACATCGCACCTTGGTATGGTCGCGCCGGCCGCCTCGCATGCCTGGATCAAAGCCGAGCCTGCGAACGCGCGCAGTCAATACTAGCAAAATTATACTTGGCGCATCAACGGACCTTGGGGGACCGTAACTTCCTTGCCGTCGACGGTAAGGGTGATGTCTGCTTTTCGCGCCGGGCTCGACGTAAATGTTCTCCGCGCTAGGGAACAAAGCGTCAGTCGCTGGCGCACCACGATGTGGGGACGAGGGGGAGACATACCCGGCTGGGTCGAGCAGGAGGCGCAGGCAGCTTTACCGAGGAGCCCGTTGGTCGCGGGCTTGACTAGCCGCAGCATGGGTAGGAGGCCACTGTCGAGCAGAGCGAAGGGAGAGCGAGGGGGTTGCGGAAAGACGAGGCGGTCGTCGTCGACGTTGAGAGCAGCGGCGGAACCGTCCGGGCCAACCAGCGCCCCCGTATTCGCGTAAGCCCACGGGCCACGTGGCGAGCTATACCTTCCCTCAGTCCATCAATCTCTGAGCTTACACTCGTCACAAACATACACGGAACGGATCCATAATGCATATTGTTATTGCGATAGTACAGGGGGCATGATTTCCGGTGGCAGTCAGCAAAATGCAAAGTACAGAGAGACTACATGATGTTCAATACAGCGCGCCTCAGCGCAAGTCGACGATCTCTAACGGATTGTCCTTCATGACGACGTGACCCTTGTCAGCGTCCTAAAGCACGATTAGAGAGAGATCTCAGACGGCATGCGCAGGAGGAGTCCACTGACCGTATAAATAGGTACATCAGGGTGCGGATGGAACGCTTCTTTGGCAGTACAATCAAGGATCGTTTGCAGACCGGGGGGATCGGTCAAACGAAAGATCCCAAAACTGCGGATGAAGGTCGTCAGCGGACGCCGCCCTAGGTCCAAAAGGCGACGTGCGTACCTGGGGGTGAACTTTGGGGCACAAACAACGGCGAATGATTCGGGTAACATGCGCTGAAAACCGGAATGTGTATGTAGGTCCACGGAGGACATGAAGCACGACTGTGACGGGTGCGTGTGTATCTGCAAGGCTATGATCAGTACGCCATCGATCTGACCTGTATATGGCTTACCCATCCAAGCGTGATCAGCCCCCGCTCCTCCGTAAACTGCAGCACCAACTCTTCCTCGTCCATCGTACACGTATCACTGGTCGAATGCTGCTTCGGGATCAAGAGTGTCGTCACGACATACTTCTGACCCTTGTCCTTCCCCAAGAGCAATCCACACGTCTCCTTGTTCTTCGAGGTGTTGATGGATGCGATTGCCAAGAACCGTGGCAAACACTCGCGCGGCAGCGACACCGTCCTGAGTTCTCGCTTCACGGGATCTTCACGTTTGCCCGACTCAATGCGTGAGACGGGTGCGGGCACCGGAGGCGGAGGCGGCCCCATATGCTGATGCGGGTGTGAATGCGCCGGTGGTTGCGGATACTCGATTCCGTAGGACGATGGCCGGCCCATGCCTGTCCTGCCATTGCTCAAGGGCGGGGGCGGCACTGGTGGCGGTCTACCGGCGTTGTACGCGTGGCTTGCAGACTGCGGTTGATTATATACGTTGCCGTACATGCCCCCGGCGGGTGGGTACAGGCCTGAGGGTTGGGGCCCGAGCAACAGCGACGAATTTGAGAGCGGAACTGAACCACTTGTTGGTGCGAACATGGACTGGAGAGAGGGAGAATAACCTTGCTTCAACTGGTGATGGGTCATCAGCGTTGGGTATTGTACATGGCCAAACTCCGGGGGAGCGGGCGAAGTGGTCGTCATCGGTGGGGGATACGAGGACCTAAAACGCGTGTCAGTCGCGTTGTCATACGTCGATTAATGAACCACTCACGATCTTGCAGGTGTGCGGCTCCTGTGCTTCCCTTCTGGCTGCTGCCGGCCAAACGCGTTAGGCCGCTCTTCAGCTACAGATTCACGATCGGTATCGTCCTCGTACTTGGTCGGACTCTCCAATGGCAAGAAAGCGATGCCCTCCGGTCGCAGTTGCGAAGCCGTCGCCGAAGGGCCCAGCGGGCGGCGCTGATACTCCTGGCGTTGTTTCAGGTCCGGTGTGACAGGCAGTCGCCGGACCTGGGTCTCTGCCGGCATGGTGTTCTGACGAGAGAGCCCAGCAGTACCGCTCGACTGTGGTTGCGGCATTTCACGAGCATAGCGCTGCGCCGCTTCCGCCTCGGGCATCCAACGCCCGTATCCATCTTGCTGCTGCGCGCGGCGATCTTCTGCTTGTGCATACGATGGTACAGGTTGGGGTTCTGGCATACGCGCTGATGCAGCGTGCGGCTGCAGTGCAGGCGGGGGCAATGGTGAGGGTGACCGACTTCTCCGAGCTCTCCGAGACGCCGCTTCCGCCTCCTGCTGTCTTTGCAGGATCCCGTCACGTTCCGCCCTTCGCTGCGCGTCTGCCTCCCGTTTCCGCCTGATGTCCTCCTCCCGCCTGAGCATCTCCGCCTGCTGCCCTTGCTGTCTCCTCGCCGCTTCCTCGGAGCCTTGACTAGACCGAGATCGGTAAGGCACCGCGCGAGCGTCACCGTTGGTTGCAGGATACGCCTCCGCCTGTTGAGATGATCGCGATAGTTGCATCCCACCCAGTCTCGCCCGCAGAGCTTCTTCGTCTGAAGCTCCGCGAGAGCGCTCTCGAGACAGAGGTTCTGCAGACGGCCTTCCGGACTGCTCGTACTGCCTACTCGGCGGCGCCATATGCTCCGCCGCCCGACGCGCCTCCTGCATGGCGGCGGTACGCCTTGTCTCGTCCACCCTCTGCCCATCCTCCCTACTCTTCTCTCGTGGGTGTCTCGGAACATTATCCCTACTCTTCTCTCGCTGGCGTCTCGACGGCTCCTCCGCTTCTCTCCGCTGATCGTCCTGCCGCGACTGCCCCCTGCTGATCCCACCGGTGGGTTCAACAGCCTGGATCGCCGATGTAACACTGTTTCCATACCGCCTCTGCCATTCCTCATACCGTTCCACCAAGGTCGGCTTGAGCTTGCTCAGATTGTCCAGGATATCCTGCCCATTCTGTCGGTCGCCGTCAGCCGAAACCGCTCCTCCGAAGCCCGTACGCGAGCGCATAGAACGACTTCTTACCAGTCCGAGGTTGTTCCGTTGCGGGCTCGACAGCTGCGTCTTGTAGTCCCGGTGGGTGGGTAGCTTCTGGAGCACGATCGTCGCCGCGCGCGCGAATTCGACGAACGCGTTCTCGAGATCGCCCTCTTCCGCGTACTTCTTTCCGTTCATGCGATAGCGCTGGCCGACGCGAAGCCAGTGCTTGAGGTCCTTGGACGGGTCCCAGAGGTCGCGCTGCGCCCGTTCGGCGAGCTCCGCGATCGTCGCGGGCGGCCTGTCGCCCTGGTACGAGGACGAGGCAGAGACGGGCAGGGGGGCATGGTGAGGTGTATTCGACGAGACCATCGTTCGTGCGTGTCCGGTGGGGTCTATCGGAGAGCGGTGTGGTGTTCGCGATGAAGGTGCACTATGGCGGCGTAGGACCGAGTACACGACGTGAACGGTTGGGCTTTAATAGAGGGGGGGAATCACAAAAGGAGTCGTCAGCCACGAAACTTGATTATGGACTGCGACCTGCCGGCGCCGGTACACATCGCCGCGCTCCTGTGCATTAGCTCAGCAAAGCTGTGCAGGTCGGCGCTTGTGGCAGGACCAGTGCCAGCGCCGGAGATGGACAGCGCAGACAGACGGCAGATCAGACACTTACCAAGACCAATTGTCGATATTGGGACCATATGTAGGACTGGCGGGTGCTCGCCCGGTGGTTTATAAATGATGACGGCCAGACGACCGGGGACGCGGCGCGCGTCACGCGAGGGTGTGTGTGGCCACGCACGGGGCGCTGATGCACGCGTACGAGTGCGAACGGGCAATTCTGGTCAGACAGCCCAGGCCGAGGGCGGGCGTCGACTTAAGGTAGAGTTGAGACAGGAGATGCAACCATTGCAAGCCGGAAGCAACGAGGCCGTTATCACCACCGGTCACGTGCGCGGACCGTTCGGATCTCCCCCCTGAACGATGAAGTCAGGTCCGTGCCTCCGAGCTGCGACAACCTTGTTATGACAACCACGGCGCGCGAGACATACACACATCTCACTGTCAGCCCGTGGATATCGGGATGGTCGAGACGGCACCCTGCAATACGAAAACTGGCCGGAGTTCAGCTCCAACGGAGTAAAGACCGCAGAGGAACTCCGTACTCAAGCTTCACACTAACGGCGATGGAGCGGCGGCAGGCAACGTGCTCGGTTTCATGTTTCAAACAGTAGTCGCGCGCAGAAGATGCAGATGAGCAGCGTAATGCTGCGTAATGGACTAGATAATGTAGCAGATGGGAAGATCGATAGTCATAAACATGAGATCAAGCGACCGAGAGCACTTCCAGAACCAATAACGGACCTCGAAGCAGCCGATACGTTCTGGGGAACGAGATCGGGTGACCGGATGACCAGCGCCTATGATGCAAGATCAACCAAGGGCGCTGGGTGTGCGAGCTTTGATTCGGGATGGCTCGCTGCTCCCTTTTCATTCTGGTGTTGATGCCGCTCGTTGGTCGGCCATGATCTCGAGTCGCCGGACGACGGACGGATGCATCCAAAGTTTAACGATCGACTTTCGAACAGACGGCTCGTGGGGACTTTGGCTCAGTATCTGCTTGCAGGGGTAGTCATTCGCGGAGATCCATAGAGTCAATTGCAGCCGCACCAGATCTCGAAGATATGCTCAGTCTCTCACACGGCGGACAGCATCGGTCGAATGTAGGCGCGACCCAACAAAAACAGGCAGGAAAATGGACTCATCCAGATGCAAGGGCCTCACGCCTGACAGCGCCTGGGGAGCTAAACGACGCAGAAGACTGACGGTGAACGCAAAGATCGACCTCCGTACGTCGTACGGTGAAGTAGGTATATATGCGAGACTTTACTGGACTCCGAGCCGTCGACTATTGTGAAAGCCAGAGAACGCGCGTTATTGAGTTGAATTCAGGCCACGGGTCGCTCTAACTCCATCCAGGCCCAGCCGTTCTTGCAGCGTGCGGACAAGGGGCACAAACAGATGAAGCCCGAGCAATTCACGTCTTTGCTCCAGACACACGAGCAAAGTTGAGGGCGATGCGACGACGGTATATAGATGTATCGGTAGACCGATCGGACAAGGTGGTATGTAGTCGGTGTTCAAGCTTTCAAGGCGCAAACGATTGTGGTCGAAGTCCGGAATAGAACGCCGCCGTGCCTGACACGGGCTCTCGAATCTCTGCGCATCCCATCTAGCGCGCCCTCCCTTTCCACTCCTCCCCGCCCTCTGCTCAGCATGGGCAACCCCGAAAGCCAGGACGCCGACCGTCCCCGTCGCTCGCGCGGGCTCGTCGCCTGGTTCCTCATCGGCGTCGTCTTCCTCCAGGCCGGCTCCTACGCCGCCTACCGCGCCCGCACCAACGCCATCTCCTCATGGGGCACCGACAACGCCGATACCACGTCCATCCTGTCTTCCTCGAAGAGCGTGATCCCAGGGCACCCGATCCCGAGGCTCATGGCGGACGCGGAAGCCAGGTTTCGAACGAAACTCTCGAAACAGAGCCGCACCCTCAAAGCCGCCGTGGCAGAGTACCGGCGGCGGTACAAGCGCGACCCGCCGCTCGGTTTCGACGCATGGTGGGCTTTCGCGCAGGAGAACGGAGTGAAGCTCGTGGACGAGTATGACGGACTCGTCGCGGACCTCGAGCCGTTTTGGGCTTTGACGGGGCGGCAAGTACGGGACAGGGCTGCCGAGGTACGCTTCCGGTTCTCGTCTGGTCCAGGCGCTCATTCGACATCCTTAGGCCGGACGATTCCCCTTCATCAACCTCGTACGCATAATGAACGGACAGGCGGACGCGTTTAACGCCCAAGCTGGTGCCGATTCCGAGGATATCCAAGGCCGAGCAGCTGCCTTCGTTTCACTAGTGAAGCGACACGCGCATCTGGTATGCGTCATCAATCTTCTATTCTATGCTCTGCTAACCGTCTGCAGCTCCCGGATATGATCATGCCCGTCAACTCCCGCGGTGAAGGCCGCGTCCTCGTCCCTTGGGACCACCGCGAAGATCCCGCCGCACACCCTGCCTCCCCCTCATACCAAGAGTTGATACCAGACTGGCGCGGCGATGGGAACGTTTGGGAAGCTTTCCGTCGTTCGTGCGACCCCTCCTCGCCATCACGCAAGCTCTACTCCGCACTCCGACCCTCAAACCTCGTCACCAACTCCACCCCCTCCCTCAAAACGACCCTCCAGTTCCACCCCGGCGACTCGATCACTTCGTTCTGTCAGATCCCGTGGGCGCATTACACCCAAGGTCACTTCTTCTCCGACTGGCGTACCATAACTGGGCTGTACCCCATCTTCTCCGCCGCTCGCGCACCCGGGTTCAGCGACATTCGCATCCCGAGTCACTACTACTACTGGCCTACGTTCCGGCACACGTACGGCTTCGACCCGGTCAACCTGGTCGTGAAGGAGCACGACGATACCGAGACGCCTTGGGAACTGAAGACGAACAAGATCTACTGGCGCGGGCCAACTACGGGAGGGGGTGGAAACCCTCCGGGCCATGCGCACCAGTTCCACCGACACCGCTTCTTGCGCATGTCCAGCTCGAACTCGACGTCCAACACGTCCCTCGTCTTCGCCGACCCGCCCTCGTCCAGCAACTGGGTCTCCGCCCACGTCCCGATCGGCGAACTCAACAAGGAAATCATGGACGCTGCCTTCGTCAAGGACGTGTACGCAGACGTGTACCCCGGTGGCCTCGAGGCGCTGCACGCGGACCATCGCTGGGACGACGCGGTCAGCCTCGGCGAGCACTGGCGGCACAAGTACTTGCTCGACATGGACGGCATGGGCTACTCTGCCAAATTCTTCGCCATCCTCGAGAGCGACAGCGCCGCGCTCAAGGCGACAATATACGAAGAGTTCTACTCGGACTGGATCCAGCCCTGGCTGCACTTCATTCCGCTCTCGCCTTTCTACCAGGAGGTGTACAACATCCATGCGTTCTTCTCTGGCCCGACGGAGGCAGCCGCGTTGGCAGCGAACGCAAGCGCGACCTACACGCCGCCGGACCCGTATCGTCCTACAGATGGCGACAAACGATTGAGGCGCATTGCGCGCGCTGGCAAGCAATGGAAACGGACCATCGGCCGAGAGGTCGACATGGAAGGTGAGCATTTGCCCATTTCTGTCGTCTCTTTCACTTTGCTGATGAACATGCGCTGCAGCCTACGTGTTCCGGCTTTGTCTTGAATTTGCACGGATTTCGTCAGACGACCGAGACGCCATGAGCTACAAGTCATAATCGTGTGCATAGGCCGTTATACGGTCGCTTTCCTGGGGCTCGTAGCTGGGATAATCTTGGGACTTGCGGGCAGTAATAGACACTTCAATACCGAAAATCAGTTGCTTTCCTAGCCTACGAAACGCTCTCCTTTACCGTAGTTGTATTATTTATCGCATTCGCCGTTGTTAATGCCAGATCCGGTGACATACGTGATCCTTCATAGCCGTGTGTACGCCAGGAGAATGACCCCATCCCATAATGCTGGAAAACTACGGATACAATGCGGTATGGTACAATCACGGAACATACATGACCAAGAGAACGTTGACGACGAGTTTCTCCAGCTCGCCGTTCGACCCGACGAAGGGCACTCGGACCTTGCCAACCTGCCCCGGTGGCCCGGACGCCATGATCGCAATGTTGGCGTCCGCGAGCGTTACAGCGCCTCCTCCCTCAGCTCGCGACCGTAGATCGGCGACAGTATCATCCTGCTGGGACGCGACGGACGCGGCGGTGGAGCCAGCGTAGGCGCTGAAGGGCCCACGGACGGCGGGTATCGCTGGCGCCGACGACCGGCGGTTCAACAGCTCGTTCAGCTTGAGCGCGGCCATCTGCTCGGTAAGGGGGGAACTGTTTCCCGTGCTGACTTCGACCGTTCGGTCTACGGGCCATATGTAACCGCCTGCGGTCCATCGTAGCTCGGGGATAAGGTTGTAGATCTTGATAGCATGATACAAGAGGGAATCGCCGCCCTTCAGCTATGCGTGGTTGTCAGTTCTGTCCAATAGGACCCCAAGAACAATAGAAGCTCACCAATGGTACAATGGAATCTGCGAGTACTTCTGCTGGGCTAACATTATACTCGTTCGTGAGGTAGAACGCGATCTTGCGTCCCCGCGACATCTGCAGCACCGGAGATAGCGCATCGAGCAGTGCGTCGCTCGGCGTGATGAGGGGATTCGGCTGGATGCCTGCCGGCCCATAGCTCTTCAGCTGTATCGCGTACGTCATCATCATCCGACATCCGCGCTTCACCGACTCGATCTCGTAGTCGCAGTCGCCGAGAATCGCTATCCACTCAAGCTCGGGGCTCTTGCCGCCGTTGCCGGGGAAAGCCTCCTCAGCACCGTCGCCGCTGCGCACGATCATGCCGCCGCCGCGGAAGCGTACAGGGAGTGTGACGACAAGTGTCGCGTATCGGCCGTCGTTGGCGCGCGAGGTGGCGCCTGGCGCGGTGCGAGCGCCAGCGACGACCAACTCCAGCTTGTCGCGGGCGACGGTGAGATAGTGTCCCACCGGGAGCGCGGGGAGGAGCGTGTTCCGGACGGCGTCGAGGACAGGGTGGCTGGCAATGTCGAGAGTCGCACTGATAGGGAGATCTGCGGGGTAGACGAGAGGGTCGAGCGCCGCAGTGTTGCCATAGATCGCCCGTGATTGATGCTGACACGTCGATATCAGGACATCCAAAGCGGGAGGAGTGTCTTCGTCAACGTTGATCGGAAAAAGGAGGGAGTGGCTGACGCCGCCCTAATATCGAAGTCAGCTGCAGTACACGGTGTGATGTGGGGAATGGACCTTACCTGAGATCGGAAAAACAAGACCAAGCTTGAGGGGTCGATGGGTATCTGTCCGGATACGCAGAACGGTCGCGATTTAGCCAAGAGGAGCCGATCGATCGATGTCTGTAGCAGTTGTTCATAGTCCACGCCGGTTTCCGTTGGTGATCGTCGTGCTAGTGTACGCGATGAGCGTGACGACTTCCTCGGACTCGCGTGTTCGATTTCAAACTCGGATCCGGCGCTGCTCGCCGGCGCGGCGGCAAAGTCCATGAGAGAGGGTGCGACCGGCATGAGCGGGGCAAGGGGAAGCATCGTCGCCATTGCCGAGGGATCTGGGGGAGTGGGGAGCAGGAAACGTCAGAACAGGAGAGGAAGGTCTCTGGAGAGGTGGTTGTTGTAGGTGATGGACCTCGGTGGGCGATCCTTGCCGGAGTAGAATCTTTAGGTCATTACCCGCGAGTTGTATTTGAGCGACCGGGCCATCATTGACCGCTGATATCCGAAGCATGCGGAGGGCCCCCCTGTGATCACGTCTGCACTACACGCATCCAAGGCGTGGCCGACGCCAGCTTTGGCATTGGGTGGCACTGGGGCCGTCGAAGATTCAGTGAGGCCATCCCGAGGATGACGAGTGCCGGACAAAAGCTTAGATGGGCGTCATGAGCTATTCAAGTAGACTTGCACTGTGTTTCATCTGAAGAGAACGCGTATAGCTCCACATTCGCGGCGACTGCAGGACCGCCGCAAGAGCTGTTTATCTCGGAATTAGGTAAGTGATGTGGGACGTGGGTGGAGCGACTTCTAGCAGATCGCACGCAATGCGTCCCAAGCAGCCAATCTTCCTATACAGGCGTCGGCTGACAGTCGCAGCCGTCGAGGGAAGGCGTTATGTTTGGCCCAGAACCAGAAGCGTAGCAGGGAACGTGGTAGCGGCGTGGCGGGCGACATGCTTCGGCAGGGAAAAGCAAGAGAAGAGATAAGGGCTATGGCCCAGTAAGCGCGACTCGTTCAGACGATCAAGGTCTGTTCGAGCTTAGACTCGCCAGGCCAGACCTCTCTGCACGGGAAGGGGGGTGATATTGTGCAGAGATATACTTTTCCTCCATCACACCGAGGCGGGTGGTATCGAGCCTAGTTCGAGCTCAAACAGCCAAAGAATAGCAGTTGCTCCGGATCTGACCACAGGCCGAAGTCAGGATGCGACATCACCGTTGCGATTCAGAGATGTCTCCGGAGTTCATACCCTTCACGCCGCAAGAGATGCGCCTGACACATAGAGGAATAGGGTTGCCAAGCTTCGGCCCAGATCGTATACTTGCATGGAGAGCGCGGGACAATATATCCTGAGTTGGCGCTGGTCACGGAGCACGCACTCTTCGAAGCATCGTTTTTGGCGTTGAGTACGGCAAACACGTGCACGTATCGGCCACCCAACCAAGAGGACGCAACCCAGGACCACAGTCACTTGTCGCGATTGGTTTCTTTTCTCGATGTCGCACGATACGCCCAAAGTTCCGAGAAACTGCTCGAAATGCGCCAAATCCTATCTCGGCGACAAGTTTGCGTTCGAATACGCCGCCCTTTGCCCAGCTTGCTCATCTAAATGTGCTCGTTGCGGAAGTCCTTTCCTCGAGCTATCTTCAACGGACATGACGAACGATGCGGACGTTGTCGCATTCCTGTCGTCGTATCAGCTTACGTGCTCTTACTGCAATCGTAATTGGCACCGCCGTGAGTTACGCATGCATCTGATTGCACGCTGAAACAAAGGCATTAAAGGGTCGCGTTCATGACCGCGCTTCGTGTCGTGTAGGCTGCCTCATCCCCCCTATGAATGATGACGAATTGCTCCAACATATGAAAGCCGAAGGCTCTCGAACTTGGTCTTGCAAGCGATGCAGCAAACGCAGCTCTTCTCATGTGCCGCCGCAGTCATCGGAGCAGCGAGCCACGATCAGGAGCAACCCCATTACACGACCTCGCAGCTCCGAGCAATCGGCTTCGTGTTCAAGTGCTCCTCCGCCCTTCATTGATCTGAATCAGATCTCTGCACCGAATGCACGTCACGCGAGGAAGCGTTCCCCAATGGACGCTCTACAGATATTGGGCGAAGATGACCAGAAAGGCAGGTCATCTTCGACCTTTAGCCGCAAATGCAAGCGGGCCAAGATAGGTCCAGAGCACGGCCACAGCCACGTTGCCGACGTTATGGATGATCTCGATAGCTTGACTGTACGTTGTCTTGCGCTATGACATGCAAAGACTGACCGTGAACCTAGCTTGATTCCCGTACTATCCCCGAATTCACGTCGAATTCGGCCTTTAAAAGCGGCAGAGAGGAACAGAATGCGGATGATAACGGCTTACGCGTTCTGCAACGAACACGACAAACTCTGCCGACCGCAGTTAGCTCTGCAGATGCTCTTGCTTCTCATCAGCTTGAACGTGGGCGCATGGTTTCTCTTCCGCCTATAGCCACTATCAAAGGCGAGGGCACACCATTCACTACGGCCCCTGAGAAAGCATCGCTTCAGCGTCGCAAATTCATCGCCAAGGAGCTTGTTCGCCATACCGCAGCTGGGCGAGGTAAACTCCGTGGCCTGACGAATTTCTTCGTGGATGATTGGAAACAAAAGCCATACATGAGACGGGACAAGGCAGCGCTCGATGGCAGCATGATTCGCAATGCAGCAATCAAACCAACTTCACATACAGGACCTGCCTGATGTGCATTCCAGATGTTCGAAGTTGTTTCCGCGGGTGCTGTTGATCTCACACATGTCTTTATGATGCCTGTCTACTTTGAAGCGCACCCGAAGTGATGCTTGCATCGAATGTACGACCATATTTAATGACACAGTCACTCAAACATGCGGCACGGATAGGTCCCCTGCATCACCGGGGTTTTGTTACTCCTAGATCTCAGTCATGCCTCACTGTACGACGTCGCCAAGCTGCGTGAGCGGAATTGCGGCAGCGAATGGCTTGGGACCGTTCAACCTCGTCAATGTTGCTTGCTCGTACGCATATGCCAAGCCGATGAGCTTGAACTCGCTGAAGGCCGTGCTGAAGAACGATAGACCAAAAGGTGCGGATGGAGTCGGGTACACGGTCAGTGGGCCTGCGGATCCGTTGACGACGGGAGTGCCTTCTGGGTAGAAACCCAAGGGTACTGGACGCACAGTGCGAATGAGGGTTTTGATTTCGCTCGCAGAGTGTTCGGAGACTCACCGGTTACAATAGGATAGCCTGCGATCGCTGCCGGTGTGGTCTTTGTGTCGACAGTAGTGAGCCGCCGGACTGCGGGTTTACAAGGACAAACTCACCGAGACGGAAGCCGGCAACACGAGTGCATCAAGGTTAAATTGCTTCAGCGCCGCGTCTATCCCTCTAGTCGCACCTAGATCCTTGTCGGCTGCAAGGGCGGCGAAATAGGCGGTGTTCATGCCAGTTGTGGCCTCGGCCTCGATTAAGCTACACGTATCAAGATGAATACACGAGGCCGGTTGAAATGGGACACTTCAAACGCACGTCGATTGGCTCGTGAAACCCTCGGGCTCTTCTAATTCTGGGTTGGCGTCATTAAATGCAATGAGATCGGCGAGCGACCGAACTCCAGAAGGGTTTTCAAGAAGGCCTTCATAATACCGGTTCAACTCAATCTGTACCGAATGCAACGTCAGCATTGTACAGGCGGATGATACCACATCCCCCATTACCTTGAAATCAACATCGAGCACTTCGGTCTCGTTATCGGATGCCCTAATTTCGTTGGCACTAGGTAGATCAGCGGGATCGACGATCGTAGCACCAAGTGCTGCCATGGTTTTCAGCGACTGGTTAAAAGCCGCCATCTGCACACTGTCCACATTGCGCAAGAATGCGGTCCGAGGCTTGGGGTGCGATCAGCCTAGCATGCTTGCAACCGACGACCGTCGACTTACCACACCGATACGGGCGCCTGCCAGAGCCGATTTGTTCAGCGCTTTCGTGTAGTCAGGCACGGGATCCGGTTGAGCGAGCGTGAAGTTGTCCAGAGGGTCTTTGCCGGCGATCACGCTAAGCACGGCCGCAGCATCCGCTATCGACCTTGTGATAGGACCAACGGTATCCCTACATAGCTAATCAGATTGCAGCTGGAATACGAAGCTGGGAAGATCCTTACTGGTGGGAGCTGATGGGCACAACCTGGCTTCTTGAGGTTAGTCCGACAGTAGGCTTGATGCCTGCAGCGTTGTTATGGCTAGCCGGGCAAGTAATGCTGCCGTCCGTCTCAGAACCTATATAATGTCACCGCGATGAGATCCCATGTATTCTGACAAACAAGACCACCCGCCTAGAGTAACAGCGGCCAATCCAATGCTCGCTGCCACACCGGAACCAGAAGAAGAGCCGCAAGGGTCGATGGCGGGGAAATAGGCACCGCTACATTGTCCCCCTCGTCCGGACCAGCCTGATGCCAGATTACCCCTGAAGTGCGCGAATTCGGATAGATTCGCTTTGCCTACGTGTGGTCGGTGAGCTTTGATGGCGCAACGGGCAGGTTATCTTGCGAACCAAGAATAACGGCACCGGCCTTCCGTAACCTCGTGACTACACCAGCATCTCGTGGGACGACAGATCCCAGAAGGCTGAATGATCCCGCAGTTGTATTCAAACCTGGGGTGTTCCGTCGGTTCAAGCAGTTCGAGAAGCTGAGCGTATATAGCACGGACCTTCGCTTGCGATAGTGCCGATATTATCCTTGAGCAAGACTGGAATGCCATGTAGCGGTCCTCGAGGGCCAAAGAAGGAACGCTCCTCGTCCAGAACTTGAGCTTCAAATAATGCGGTAGGATTTGTCTCAATAACGGCGCGGAGAGTTGCGCCTTGCAGATTGACTTCATCGATCCGCTTGAAGTACGCCTAAGATCGCAGGGCACATGTCAACCGTCGACATCGACAGCGAACGAAGCATAATCGCACCGTAATCAGATTCACGCTCGTGAAATTCCCCGCCTCCATCCCAGCCTGAAGTTCCGCCACGCTGGCCTCGAACAAATCCGGAAAGTCCGAGGCAGCTCTGCGCGCACCATCCACGGCGAATGTCAAGCTGATGCTAACTAGGAAGACGGCGACTCGAGCCAAGCAAGACTGGACGAGCATGTTGAAGGGCCTGTGTGTAGACAGGAAGGCGCCAGTGTCACCATCGCAGCCTTTCTGATAAGTACTTCACTGCGCAAGCTTGGTTTTCCCATCGAGCGCGTCCATATGGCATGTTCGAAGACGTGTCTTCCTTTGGCATGAAACAGGAAGATATTGTCGGGCCGTCCCACGGGTAACATAAGTCAGGCCACGGGAAGAGCGGGCGGGCGACAGTGATTCCGCTCAGGGGTTCGCAAAGCGCAGCACTACACCCGAGACAGAACCATGTGCGGTCTGAGTGACGTCGTTTCAGACTAAAGTCTTGCAGAGCGGAAAGCCATGGAGCACTGGAGAGCAGTGCTGGCTAATATCCGTCTCGCTAGCATTGGATAAGATCAAAGCAGCATGGTCATGTCGAAGTGGGAGGTAATATGTTCAACGGCGAATGCACGAGGGAGTCATGGGTTCTTCGAATGATTTGTCGGCCTCTTGCGAGTGCACATCTGGTCCCATGTTGAGGAGGCCAGTATGTAAGAATGAAGCTCCTTGTCTCCTCCGGTTGCACGAAGGGAATACCCTCTCGGTACGTAGATCCCGCTTTTGGATGGGCATCGAGAGAATCTGAGGGCCTAGAACAGTCGGTTACGTGTCTATGTGATCACGTGAGCGTAGAGCACTCCGGATCCACGGTACGCGCTCAGGGGTGAGCTGCATTGGCGGGCCGTGCGCCCCGTACGAGCACGCACATCCGGTAGCCGACATATAAATTGCAAGAGGGGCGGCAAGCGACGATGTGCACTTACGGACATTACCTCCTGCCGCAACTTGACCCAGCATGTCCTTCGCATCCCCCATTAAAGCAGCCCTTGGCAAAGCAGCGTTCGTTACTGGTGCAGGTATGTACTTCGACCCATCGCACAAACTGTTGGAGTGTCTAATTGGTTGGCTTGTCACGTATGTAGGTCAGGGCATCGGTCGCGCAATAGCAACCAGGCTAGCAAGAGACGGATTCGACATCGCCATCGGCGATATTCCTCCGGCGGACCCTAAAGTAAAGGACGTCATCAAGGAGATAGAGGGGTATGGTCGGAAGGCTATTGGTGTCCACGTCGGTCAGTGCCTCGAACGTAGCATCCTCGAACCATATTTTCTTTGTGCTTATTCTGCGCACCTTTGCAGACGTGAAGCAGCCAGATCAGATTGCAGCCGGCATCCAGGAAACCGTGTCCAAGCTCGGTCCACTCTTTGTTAGTGTCGCCAACGCTGGCGTCACCCAGGTCAAACCACTCCTAGAATGCACTCCCGAGTGTGTAGCATCATTGCTCATGCACGCTCATCACCCCATCTAACCCGGTATGCGCGGTGCAGATGGATACGTAACGAAGTGGACATCAACCTTCACGGTCTCATGAACACACATATCGCCGCCGCACGACAGATGGTGAAGCAAGGCGAAGGAGGACGCATCCTGGGCGCCGGCTCGATCGCTTCGTACCGCACCGCGGAAAACCTCGGCCCTTACGGCGCCACCAAATTCGCAGTGCGCGGCTTCACCGAAGTCGCGGCGAAGGAGTGGGCGCAGTACGGCATCCGCGTCAACGCTTACGGTCCCGGTATCGTCGACACCCCTATGTGGGATCACATCGATGCCGAGCTCGCCCGCATCGAAGGGCTCACGGTCGGCGAGGCCAAGGCGCTTCGCGTCAAGCGCGACATCAAGCTGGGGCGGATACAGGAACCCGAGGACGTCGCCAAGCTCGTTTCGTTCCTCGTCTCCGATGAGGGCGAGTACATCACCGGCCAGACGATCTGCAGTTGCGGAGGCGCGTCACTCTAAGCATGGCACATTCGGATCTTCGGGGGAATCATGATATCGGGGCGATGTGTATATTGCTGGAAACAAGTAAAAACATTTGAATAAAAGAGCATGATCGATATAGACTGTCTCGCAAAGAATTTATTGTCGGAAGCAAATCTCAATCCCTATTCTGCAAACAAAAGACGAGCTGAGTCGTCTGCTGCTGTACACCCTAGCCATGGCGTTACGAACATTTCGGCACATGCCATGCCGAGTGTGCTGTCGATGAATCTTCTGTTCAAGATCTGACTTGTGGTTTCGCATCCGAAAGAAGGGGATATATGGGGAATTAAGCATTTCGCGTCCGAATAAAGTCAGCATCCGCACAACTAGCTAGGATAAGAAGTAGGACCGTCGAACGAAGACAGTAAAGTGCGGTCCTTTTGGCAAATAACAGGGCACATAATACAGTTCAGACGCCAAGGGCAGCAGGAGTGAGCGTGAAGCTGAGGCGCTCGAGGAGGCCGCCGAGACCAGCGAGCCTAATCAAATGACCTCAACACTGTATGCCAGAATGTAAAGGAAAATTTGATCTCACACTTCATCGACGAGCGCCAAGACAGGGGCAAGGATGTTGCCGAGAACGTGGAGTAGGTCGTTGACGGCAGCGTCCAAGTTGGCGAGAAGATCCTGAAGAGGACCGACCTTGCCACCTAGGACGTCGTCGAGGGTGGTGACCAGATCCTATGGTTGGGATAAGGTGTCAAACAGTGCGAGTCTGGTAATTGAGCGCGACTTACGCCAACGAGGGTAGAGATAGTTTGACCCAGCTCACCGAGGACGGCGCTATCGGAGCCGCTGGCGGCGCCGGTGTAAGGGGTCGTTTGGTTCATGGCGGTCGACGCGGAGTTGATGGCGTTGGTGATCTGCTGAACGTAGGGGGCGACCTGGCTAGCCGAGGCCGGGCTGGCGGGGCTACCCAAGGCAGCTTGGGTAGAAGAGTTAGGTCCAGGTATGTATCCTTAGCGGGCAGCAACTGACCGATCTGGTGGATCAGAGGCTTGACCTTGCTGCTAAGCTCGTTGACGATACTCTGAACATCGCTAGGGGTCGAAGAGCCGGAAGCACGAGCGACAGGCTTGGCGAGAGCGACGAGCCCGAAGGCGAGGAAGAAGAGAGCGAGAGAGAGGATGCGAGTAGAGAGCATTGTGACGATTGACGGTCAAGTGAGTGAGACGCTAACTAGTCTGATGTAAGAGAGGAAGCTGGGTCTGGTGAGGATTATCATGTCAAGAAGGGAGCTCTTATACTCGTCGACCAGAGACGAGAACGCCGCTCATCGGACAGGCGCATTGACACCTTTGCTTGCCGCCCGTTGACGGGTGGAGGTCAGTCGGCCATGGCATCCGGCTCCGACGAGCAAGTACTGTATTAGCAATCGGATCGCGCAAGACGAGCATCCCAAGAGCAGACAGCCTCATGCGGTGGTAGCAAGTATCACCGCATACCTGTAATCAAACTCGGCTTCCCCCGGACATCGAAGGAGGCCGGGCACCGATGACTTGTCCCGGAAGGGAAGGGATGATGCTTTTTATGGAGATCCGCGCCATCGCCGACGTCTCCACCGAGCGATCGAACATCCAATGCTTTATCGCCATATATCACCGGGAGCGCGTGTTTTGATGGACACCTATTACTTCGCCGTACGAATATACGAACTGGGGCTTCGTCCAGGGTGCTTGTGCATGACTACGTCACGAAGAAGCGTTCAGAACGTTGGCATACAGTCTTGGTCGACCAGCCAACAGAACCGGGTGAAGCAGTTGACAAGTCTTTCGCTGGCCCGGCACTAGGAGCAGCCAACTTGCCAGAAAGCCGTAGAATATCGTCATCTCGTCAGAGTCCATGATACAATTATCAATGGCCGCCGGTGTAGAAAACCACTAGACGCAAAAATCAAGTAAGTCGTGCGCAAAGTGTGTACAGCAAGTAAGTTACGCGGAGTCTAAGGCACAATTCTTCAGCGAAAGTTGGATAAGATCTTCGGCGTCTACTTGGCGTGCAGATCATCCGCGTTTGCAGGTCGCTTTCTTTGGCCTATGCATCTGGAGAAGTGTCTCCATGCTGCGTTCGATAAATGCGGTCGCTAAGTCTGCCGCTCCGCGCCCTTCCGCGCCTCAGGCATTGCAAATCACGTGGAAGCGCGTTTCTCGATCTGGTTGAAGTCGAAACCCCCATGTCCCTGCGCGATGAGGCACGGACACCAAGCTTGACAGATCCTATTCCGTTCAAGGAGGCCAGAAATACCGAAGTAATCCAACCAAGGCGCGGCGTGGGCCAACTATGTCCGAAGGGCTCCAGTGGATGGCCCTCGCTACCCATATGATCTAGTCATAAAGCCACGGACTGCGAGCTGATAATCAACACGCATCCTTCGTCGGTGATAGCAATTGCGAACACACCACTGGCTGCACCCAGCCGGGTCAATATGACGTCTGCCTCGACCTCGTCCCAGGAGCCGCCGTCGGAGATTCACTCAGACATCCCTCGTTCACGAAGACGGGAATCTATCATCCCGTCGGCGCAATGGAAGATCCTCTCTAGAGTGCATTGGGGCGTGCTCTCTGCTAGATCGCCGGTCTTCCGCGACATGTTCATTTTGTTTCAACCGACGGACGCGGAGCAGATGATCGAGGGCTGCCCAGTAGTCTCACTACACGACGATCCGGAAAACCTGGCTTGGGCTATGAAGGCTTGTTATGACTATGACCTGTAAGTCCTCTTCGGTACACCATTCGGATAGACAGGATGAACCACTTATCGGTATGCTTTCTTTCTTAGATATTACCCTACTGATGCTCCCTGGTCCTTCAAGTCCGTTGTAGCGCTTATGAACATTGGCTCCAAGTACGAGATTCTTTTTTTCGTCAACAGGCTATACGTCGCCTTTCAGCAGCTTATCCAATATCGTTGCTCGATCTCGACACCGTACCCGATGACAACGGACCGGTTAACGATGATCAGGAATGTGAGTTTGCCGGATTTGCGATCCAGCGTCGCATTTACAGCATCATACCGGCTCTCTTCTTTGTGAGCGACAGCTTTTGGCTACCTACGAAGCTTCTAGAGCCTAGCAACAACAAGTGTCGATCTTTTTGGAAGCATCGCGTAGGTTGAAACAAGCCCAATTCGCATGCATCCTGCGTTGTTTCAACGCCTGCGACCAAGCTGTCACACTCCCGGATTCTGTAGGGCACGCCGAGATGCGGAGTTTGCGCGTTGGTTCCAGCCAGACAGAACATTCTACCCAATCCTGCATTTACCTTGGAAGATAATCAGCGAGCGGTGGTTACTGCCACTCTGCCTTGACTACCTGCATACAATGGGAAACGTTCATCAAGATGCCTGGCAATCGACATGGGACGAATTGGCTCTGCCTGCCTGGTTGGGTTGACCTCCGCAAGTAGTTTACTCCGACAATTGAAGATATGCATTACAAGCTAAAGGGAGAATGCCACAGAGATGCTCTCAACTACCGTATAACTGTCAACCGCTGCAACGGCAAGGGACCATTCGCTTCAGTGTTTTGCTTCGTTCTGCGCTGCCCGAAACCAAGACGGGAGCACGAGGGCACGCCTAACCTTTTCAACATCATAGCATCGCAATCGGAGACAGGAACAATCGGCTCCTCGCGGAATACGCTCGCCGGAGACCGCGAGTTTCGGTTCTGTCAACATAGGCGACCATAACGTGCATTCATCACCAATGACATCGTCACAGGCGTGGACGGTCACTTGGCGCGCTTTCGTGGAGGAGAGAACGTTGTTCTTCATTCAAAGTTGACAACGGTTCCAACAGTTGCCTCTTCCTGCTTTTCCTTCTCGCGCTCTCTTGCTAAACGTCCTCGTCCTCTCGCAAGCTCCACCTCGCGCCACGCGCTTCTCGCCTCCTCAAACACCGTCATCTCTTCGTCGTAGAATTCACCAAAACGCTCAACCTCGGAAATAAAGTCGGCAACATCAGAGGACGGCGAACGTGCAATGACGTTTCGAACGCCCCGAAAGAACTCGTCCATCACCGCAAGATTATGCATCACCAACAGCGCGTGCGAAGACATCTCATGCGTGTGCAAGAGGTGGTGTATGTACGCCCGGGAGAACGGCGGATCGAACGACGGTGGCGAAGATCGCGCCGCGGCACCACGTTCACTGTCAACGCGGCTGTGGACGATGGGCCCCGCCGGATCGGACACTGGGGAGCAAGAAGCGCACGGGCAGACCTTGATATCTCCGTCTGCAGAACCCGATGCGCTCAATCCATCCGCGAATTCCGCGGAAAGGCGTCCGAAATCGTGCGCGTACGCCGGACTGTACAGGTTATGCCCGAGGTCGCGCTTTCCGCCAGTTCTCACAGCGGGTCCGTGCTTCTTCGCATCCGTCGAGGCCGGGGCAGGGAAGACGTAGTCCAGCGCGACCCCGATATCGGCCGCACGTTGAGCCCAGCGCGCGTCAAAGAGGTCGATACCGACTTCCGCTATAAGCTGAAGCATCTCGTGTGGTCCCTTGGCGGTGTTTGCAATGCGGATCTTGTCGCGATTGGCAGGCGCCGAACGTGGGGTCAATTGGTCCTCGACGAGTGGTCCGAGGGAGGCGCGCAGCAGGGGAACGAGCGCTGACGTGGGGATCGCTATGCTTGGATCTGATTTCATGGCCAGCAGCCTGGCATGTTGCGTAACCACAGCACTGTCTTGTTTTGCCTTCCTCGACGAGGGTCCAGAGCCTTGAGTGGCCGTGCCGTCTTCCGTAGCAATGCTATTACCTTTCTCGGCGAGCAATGCATTCCGCAAGGGGGCCAGATCGAATTTGAACCCGCAAACGCCGTCACTCAGCCGCTGATATGGCTTGATGGCTTCGTGCTCTGGGCCGAATAACATCTCCACCAACCCTTCGCTAAACGCTTGCCGAGCCGGAAGGGCGGTCCCACCGGCCATGTGAACCAGTACGTTGAGTTGATGTGCAGGACTGCCAAGCTCCGGTGCTAGTGGAGACGCCGCAAGGGCTCCCGTCGTCGTCGCCAAAGGAGCATTGGTAGGATCCTGGGGCGCCGCGGGTGGTGGCTGACCGATTAAACCCGAAATCCAGGCCAGGCTCCGCTCGATGCTTTTGGTGAGACGCTTTTGCGAATGAGGGTGGGGTGTAAAGGGCGTATCCGACAGAGCAACTACCAAGTCCGGTTTCGTTGAGAGTACCAAGGAGCGATATAGCTGAGGGGATACCTGATGTGGAGGATGCATCAGAAGAATCCGAAGACGGACGAGGTGCATCGGAGGTCTCGTACCTTCTTTACGCCACGAATACAGTAGGCAGAGACAAAATCGTGGCCATTCGGGGGCATCTCTCTGTCATCTGCCGGATCCCGAAGCGACATGCTCAATATACTCTGTTCGGGGGCATATCCCAGGAATGTGTGCAAAGGGGTCGTTCCGCTTTGCAAAGTGGGTACCGGTGGTGTGCGGTCTAGGCTGGGACGAGATGTATGTAACATTGTTCCCCGTGTAGCAGGAACGGACGTACAATGATTCAAAGGGTATGTGCGTCCATCGGATGGCCTTCGTCAATCCGACATGGTCGCGTGATAGATGTGGTATCAAGCCCCGAGAGGTAGTAGTCAAGAGATTAGGTGTTTCAAGAGATACCGAGTTTGACCCTGGGCGAGAAAGCGTCACTCGACCCAAACGGGGCTTTAATGGGCTTTGAGTTTCCAGAGGCCGGTTGCCATTTGATGGGATGAATTGGAAGCTCGGACGAGGCTTATGTACAGAGTCGAGAGCCATAAGGCCTCTGCAAACGCGTCGTTGGCTGATCAAAACCGTAGAGTGTAGTCACGAACGCGAGTGAGCGCACTGGATTGAAAAGAAACCTCCACCTAATAAAAAGGTCGCTGAAGATGAAGAATCAAGATTGATCGTCTTCGGTTTGTTGCACCGCCACCGAGAGTGGAGTTTGGCGAGCCGCCGCGGCGCTCGAGTTGGCGTGTTGTCCTCTATGTATAACCATTTCGTTTGTCTTCTGCCGGGTGGATCCCTGAAGGCGTGGCGAACAGCAAGACAACGGAATATCTACGCAAGCGAAGTTGTCTTACGCCGTTGAAAAGCGGCAATGGGCCACCTCAAGCGCGAAGCAGTAATGCAGGAACTCGTACAAAGAGACACAATGCAGTCGTGGCCTCCAAGTTCATGCGTCTCAAAGGCATCAGTGACTTTGCGATCAACACAAATGGTATCTATCGGTGTGCAGCCGAAGATTGGTGTTACCACCTCGCAACCGTTCGTTGACATCCACCCCAGCGCAAGACGCCGAATTGGTACTAGAAAAACATACCAGGCTATACACCATATAACACACTCTTAACGCATCCACCAATGACCGAAGTGTATACCGGAACGGTCTTTGTGCTGCGTCCACAGAGCGATATGGACGCCATGTGCTCCATGCTATCGGAGGGGAGAACCAATTGGCCAACGTGAGCACCCAGTTCTTGTTGCGGCTATATACGCCGACTATAGCCTAGCAGACTCTCTGGATACAGTACCTCTCTTGGCTCTGGGACACGACTGCCACGTACCGCAGCTATGCACCACGCCTCGCTGCCGCACTGCCAACAACGCCGCCAGAGTATGACGTCGTGAGCTTGACAAAGGACGCCGACGCAGGGCCTACGGTCTTTTTTCAGGATGCTCGGATCCGACGCACAGGAAATGGTCTCGCTCGCCTACACGTTCGGCCACTACAGCATTCTGCCCGCGCTGCTGCTCCCACGTACTCGGCCAAGACGCACCTCGCGGTGCACCCGGCCGTTGCGCCCCGTCGGTTTCTCAAGCTACCCGACGCCGCGCAGCGGCTCGCCAAGACGTTGGAGGAGCGTGTCGCCCGATGCTTCGACGATCCCATCGCCCTGGGGCTATGTCATAATCCGGACGCGTGCGCCGAGGCGACCGAGGGTACCGTTCGTTCCGAAGATGAGTCGCTCGATGACGAGCTCTTCCGGATGGTCTGGAATCCGTTCATGGGCCAGAGGTTTGTAGGGGCCTGTGCGAAGTGCATGCGGAGCGAGGGGCGATGTTTGAGGAGGAGCGAAGGAAGCTTTGGGAGGACTTGCCGGAGCTCATGGATCTGCCACCATGGGAAGAGATGCGTCGAGAGCTCGGGTGAATGCGCTTTCCTCCTGGGAAGGGTCTAAGCTTGACATACTCCGCTTCCCAGCTGCTTTGTATGGCCAAGAAGTGGCGATCGCCGTCGATGGTGACTTGGAAGGATTCTGGTCTCTCTAGCAATCGCCGCTGAACTGGCACTTGACTATATAGACGAAGGATACACTACGATTTACCTGCAATAATCAGTAATGACATGACTACATACCAATACCACACCTCGCGTTTCGTGACGACAAAAGGAAGCCTACACAGCCACGCTTACCCCGCAAGCGGCCGAAGCGGTGGGGCAGGCCGATCTGGTGCCGCGGCGGCGGGGGGCGGGTCAACCCAGCGCGCGTCGGCGCGATTGGGCGCTTCGGATTGGCCTTCCGCTGCCCGCTTCGGCTTCGAATTCGATTGGGTCTTCCCTGTCCGATGATGCTCAATAACATCTCCGCGAGTGGGTGCGCGGATGGGCGAACGGGACCAGGCGGGATGGTAGACGGACGGCCGCTTGCGAGTGAGCCAGGTTGTTCGTGATTTTTGCGAGACGCGGATGCGCGACGGGATGCGGTCCGTTGGCAGGCGAGGAGGCACCGACGATGGCCGTATATTTTATTACAATTTCTACATGTAATAAGCCGCTCGCCTGTGGGCGCGTTGAGCACGTAGGAGTGATGGCATCTACGCAAAGACGTGCCAGAGCGCGCTGCGATTGTTCGAGGCTTTGCTGCTACGCCTGGGATGCGCACACGGCATCGCGAGGGCGCTACCAAAATCTGGGCTTCCGGGTCTCACATGCTTCAAAGCCTATTCCACAACCGGATAGCGACCCATTGGTGCGTTATTACTGGCGGTGATAGAGTGGGAGCCTTTTCCCATGTAAAGGGATTCGTAACGGCGGTGGAACGACATATAAAGACCCCCTTAGCGTGAGCTCCAAGCACTCGAACGCTCCTAGAAACCTTAGGGGCTCGCGGACTCCCGACGATCTTGTGGCGGCAGGGCAAACCCCAAAGTGGTCTAGCGCCGACGCAACAGCTTGATCTCGTGTACCCCACGATTTCCACGGTGGACGCGCCGTCCTATCTCGTTGGGGCGATTATTGCGAGATCGTCCCGCATAAACATATTCCCTCAGCTCTTCAAGCTCCTCCAGCAAGTCGTCAACCTACTCGTACGCGCGGCCAGCACGATGGGCGACAAAGCGAGGTGAGCACAGACGGGACAAGCCGCCTCTCGAATCTCGCCGCCACGCCCGTGATTCTCCGCAACCCCGCATTACACTGTAATTGAATCCTTCCTCCGATCTCGCGGGGGTTGTCCGCGCCCGCGTGATCTCCCACCGTCCGCTGCGTATTCGTTCTTGGGCTACTTAAAGCATTCTGCGAGCGCACGCATCCTTCCGGGCCCGCCTTCCCTCTGATTCTCTCCCAGTTCGCTCTGACGCGCGCCTTCCTTTCGTCTTCCCAGCCTCGAAGCAAGCATGGCCGAAGCGGAAGCCCAGAAGATGTTCCCGGTCGCGCCCCGACTGAAGAACGGGCACAAGGTCCCGCACATCGGGCCCCATATTCACGCCTATCGCGAGGTGAGAGGCTCTCTGGACGCGCCGTCGAGGGGGAGGGCGCTGACAGTCGCTGTTTCAGGCGCACAACCAGACGGTCGGACATGAGTCGGACAAGTGGTGGTCTAAGGTGCGCGCTTCCCGGACGACGGGACGCGTTTGATAGGCTGATGAGATGCTTCCCGCGACCGCCACAGATGGCACACGAGATGCTGTATTGGGATCGCCCCTTCCGGACAGTCCGGGCCGGTGGATTTGAGACGGGCGACATCGTCTGGTTTCCCGAGGGCGGCCTGAACGCGTCCTACAACTGCGTCGACCGATGGGCGTTCAAGCACCCCGACAAGGTCAGCCGAACTCGCACAGAGACCCAGCATGAACTGAACATTCCGCCAGACCGCGATTATTTGGGAGGCAGACGAGCCGGGCGAAGGCAGGCTCGTCTCCTATGGCGAACTCTTGCGCGAAGTCTGCTCGGTCGCGAACGTGCTCAAGTCGCTCGGCGTCAAGAAGGGCGACACCGTATCCATCTACCTGCCCATGACATGGCAATCCGTCGCCGCTTTCCTCGCCTGCGCCCGTATCGGTGCCATCCACTCTGTCGTCTTTGCTGGCTTCTCAACCGAGTCTCTACGGGATCGCGTCGTTGACTGCCGAAGCCGTGTGGTGATAACCAGCGACGAGGGAAAGCGTGGGGGCAAGACCGTAGCGACGAAGATGATCGTTGACGCCGCACTCAAGGAGTGCCCGGAGGTCGAGCATGTCCTTGTTCTGAAGCGCACCGGCGCCGATGTGCCGTTCACGCCCGGACGGGACAAGTGGTGGCACGAGGAGATCGCGAAAGGTACTGGAAACTCTTGCTTGCAAATGGAGATGGCGCTCACTGCGACTCCCCAGTCCCCAACTACTGCCCTCCCGAGGTCATGGCCTCCGAAGACCCTCTTTTCATCCTCTACGTGAGCGTAAGCTCACCTTGTTCAACAATGACTTCTTACACTCTTTCCAGACCTCCGGTAGCACCGGCAAGCCCAAGGGTGTGGTGCACACGACCGGCGGCTACCTCCTCGGCGCCGCACTCACCGTCAAGTATGTCTTCGACGTCCACCCCGACGACCGATTCGCCTGCATGGCCGACATTGGTTGGATCACCGGCCACACCTACGTCGTCTACGGACCCCTCCTCAACGGCGTTGCCACCTGCGTCTTCGAGCCCACGCCTGTATACCCTACCCCTGCCCGCTACTGGGAGACCGTTGACAAGCACAAGATCACCCAATTCTACTCGGCACCGACCGCGATCCGTCTCCTTCGCCGTCTCGGTGAGCATCATGTCAAGGAGTTCGACCTCGGCAGTCTCCGCGTGCTGGGCAGCGTCGGCGAGCCGATCAACCCGGAGGCGTGGCATTGGTACAATGAACACGTTGGGCGCGGCCAATGCGCCATTGTCGACACCTTCTGGCAGACTGAGACGGGCTCCATCGTCGTCACGCCCTTCCCTGGCGCCATCGAGACCAAGCCCGGTGCGGCGACGGTGCCGTTCTTCGGTATCGAGCCCGCCATCCTCGATACGCAAACCGGCAAGGAGCTTACAGAGGACAACGTCGAGGGCGTGCTGGTGCTCAAGACCCCTTGGCCATCGATTGCGAGGACGATCTTCGGTGACCACCAGAGGTATTTGGAAACGTACATGAAGGTATGTCGCGCTGTCTTTATATTGACTACAATGCTAACATCTTCAAGCCGTACCCTGGCGTCTTCTATACCGGTGACGGTGCAGTCCGCGATGAACACGGCTACATCTGGATCAAGGGTCGCGTCGACGGTAAGCCGCATGCAAGCCAGCATTCCACTGCCACGCTCATGATACGTGACCCGCCTAGACGTTATCAACGTCTCCGGCCATCGACTATCTACCGCCGAAATCGAGTCCGCACTCATCATGCACAAGGGTGTCGCAGAGACGGCAGGTCTGCGCAGCTCATCCCCTTCGTCGGTCGGCATCGGCTCACGTGTGATCACCCACAGTCATCGGCGCATCGGACGAGCTCACCGGCCAAGCCGTCTACGCCTTCGTCACCCTCAAGCCCGAGTTCGAATACGACCCGGGTAACGAGTCTGCCCTCCTCAAGGAGCTCACACTCCAAATCCGCAAGACCATCGGTCCTTTCGCGGCGCCCAAGAAAATCTACATCGTCAGCGCGTTACCTAAGACGCGTAGCGGCAAGGTACAGAAAAACATGTCCCTTCTTTCGTGTCTATGATATTCACCCCGTATTCCGCAGATCATGCGCCGCATCATGCGTAAGATCGTCTCCGGGGAGGGCGACCAACTCGGAGACCTTTCCACCGTAGAGGAACCGGCGGTCGTAGATCTGATAAAGGAGAAGGTGGCAACAGCTGGAGGCGCTTAATGCGTATAACTTAACACCCTCGGAACAAACAGGATTTCATGTATTTGTATTGCTTCTTCAACGGTATTGATCGTCGAATATGATAGCGGTCTTGTATATTCCAAGAAGGGTCCGATATAGTAGTGATCGACATGATATTAGTCCACTAAACTGTAAGCATATGAATGCGATGCAGAGTCCATTGAGAGTGCGCGACATAGCGAGGAAAGAAGGAACAGAAGGTCCCGGGAGATGTTCGTGACTACGATATCCAGAAAGGAGAGGCATTAGGAAAGAACCGAGAAGTCCGTGCAATTACATGTCCCATTATCGTGACTACAATGCAGCCGTCTGCGCGAGTACCCTGTCTATCGCGTTGTTGATTGTGCCTTTCCGCGAAGTTAGGTCGCAACCGAATTGTTCCTCGAGTTTTTGTCGCACCCCGCGCTTCGTAACGGTATTAAGATCGGCACCCCGCAATACAGCTTCGACAGCCCGCTCCAGTTCCGCATCCGTCGGAGCTCCGAAAGCCGGATCCAGGTTCTCCGCACTCCGACTGGAAGGTAGCTGCATGTCGAGGTAGTTCGTCACCGGTCGGGACGGCGCCGGCTGATAGAGCGTGCTTGCTTCGTTCACCATGGGAGTCCGTAGCGGAGAGTGAGACATTCCGCCATTCGGCGTATTCCGTCCAGACTGGTACCCCGGTGGGGGATACCCGTAACCCATTTGGGACGGTGCGGGGGAGAAGCTTCGCGGCCCAGGGTCATAGTACGTCTCGCGGCCGTAGAGCGAGGCCGTCGGCGCCATCGATTGAGCATAACCCCCGTTGTTCATCTTCGCCGGAGGCACCCACGAACCGATGCTATGGTTGGATTCTTTGTCCCATAGCTCATTTTCCTGAACGGATCATCAGCCTTTCATCACAGAGTCGTCGCGTCACGACTTACATATTCTTCCCAGGACTTGAGTGGTATAGATCTCGGGTCGAACTTGCCCTCGTCCTACAACGCCGGTTAGCTGCGAATGAAGCATGTATGGATAGTGAAGACATACATGAACGATTATCTTCTTTCCGGATTCTCCGAGGACCAGGCGAGTAGCACCCCATGAGAAGTCGTCCATCTTCCAAAAAGAATAAAGCGGAAGGAAGAATGAGAAGTACGGGATGGCAAGGATGTAGAAGAACATCCATCCGATCATGTCCCACTTGCGTCGGAGGAGGAACACGATAACCTGTACACCGTATATGGCAGCAATCATGATGAGCGAGAGAGTGGGAATGTTCTTGTGCTCAGCAGCAACCAAGTAAATGAGATAGACGATCTGGGACGGTGATGAGGGCTTTGGCACTAAACGTTCTCGACTGTTGCGAACTTACGTATGCTACAGTCACGGGCCCAGTGACCGTCGACAACAGATCGATGAAGACCACGAATCGCATGGAGAAACAACAAAAACCGCAGAGCTGGTCCAAGAAAACGAGTTCGCCAAGGTTGTGGACTGTCGAGTTGATCCATCGACGACGTTGTGAGAGCAGGACCTTGAACTCATCCGGCGCCACGGTGTATGCGTGCGCGTCCCGTACGAACTGCGTCTTGAAGTCGGGGAAGTATTTCAGCAAGAGTGTCGTCAAATAACGATCTTCTCCGAGATGAAGTAGGTTCTTCATATGAAGCGTGTCGACGCGGTTTTCCGAATAGTCATGAATGAGTTGATTGGAGACAAGCAACGGCTTGTGAGTATCGGGGGTCCGTAGGCGGTAAAGGGTGAAGCAACCGGGAAGACAGGTGACGGAACCGAAGAGGGACTCAAAGGCTTTCGCCATATGATGAGATATGAAGTACTCATAAACCTACGAATGCCCTTGAGGACTGTACTGCAAGACAACGAAAAAGCCACGTACTTGCATCATCGTAACGATTGACTGCTTTGCGTTCGACAACTCGGTCTCACCGCATACACCGAGGAGTTTCTTATCGTGAATCATACTGCGCTCTCGATGTCAACAAACCATGTGACAAACATCGCATGAGCACGTACGCAGAAACGAGACGATTCAAGGACAACGGATGTACGGTCGTGTCAGCATCCACGGTAAGGATGTACTCGTAGAAACTCGGGTTGACACCGATCACGTTCTTGATTTGATGGTAAATTTCGAGCTCCAGAGGGTTCATCGGGGCGCTGAAATGAACCTACGCAACGAAGCATGAGCCGTACAATTTACACGACCAAAACGTAGAAGGGAGCAAACCTTGTTCAGGAAATGCATCAAAAGCATTTGAGTGTCGCGCTTTCCGCGGTTACCGGGCCTCGAGCGCTCCGTAGGCTTTCCAACCTTGACGATGACCAGGTATGGCACGACGTGACCAGCGATCTCATACAGCCCTGAATACACCTTGCCCATGTTGTGCTGTTTTGCGCCTTCGCCAAGAGAGATGAAACTGAGCGGTTCAGGGTCCTGATTGGGGTCGGCACCAAGGATGTCGAGAACGATGCGCGGAGTAGGGCGGTCATTACCGGAACCAACGATCATACCGTCACAGATAACGACGATCAGCTTGCGCTTGTCATCGTACTTGAGCTGCGCCAGCGAGTCGATTGTCCTCCGTAGGGATGATTCGCCTTCTGTGTAACATGGGACTTGGCATATGACGAACTTGTCATGATTTTCCGGTGCGCGCTCCGCCGAAAGGTTGATAGAGGCCAAGAACTTGAAGCCGATGATGCTGACCATGATGATTGACAGGACGAGTAGGATGTAATTGGCAAACAGGCATTGAGGCGAGTTGCGGTTGTCGACTTTACCAATGAGGAACAAGTTGCGCAAACAGACCTTTTGGCGCTCGAGGACATCGTGATCAAGGTTGAGGCCGTTGATGAGCTTCGTGACGTCCTTGCCGGCGTGGATCTGGAAGACGTTGACGATGCTCGAGTGCATGAATTGGGTGTCGATGTCGGCTGGCGCCTGGAAACCGGTGGGAGCTCGAACGGCCGGCCCGTTGTTCACGTAGGAGGTCAAATCATAGATCATCCCGTCATAGATAGCGACATTCTTCTTGTTATTCGCCAGGTTCTTCAAGGCTCTCGGAGTGTAACCCATGAATCCGACCCGGTTGTTCCACCGCATGACCGTCATTTGCTCAAAGTACCAATCCGGACGCGAGTCGTTGGTGAATACACGGAAGTCGTGGTATTGGGCATTGACATCGGTATCGTTGCTGGAGTCGAGAATGACATACGGGCTGACCGTACCGTCGACGCCGTTGCACAGTGCGCTAACCTAGGGTACTATAAGTAACTGGTTACGAACAAAGGATGGACAATGTGCCAACCTGAACCGGGAAGATGTTGTCGGCCGATGTGCCCCCGTACTTGAGAATTGACTTGGTCGGTACAACGCTGACGATCCGCTGATGTGTGGATGCGATGTCCGTGAGATCGAAGACCTCGCCACGAATGGACGTATACACGTTGTTTGGCGAATTCGTCGTTGAGTGCGACGCGAGCTCGTTCGTATTGAAGACGTGCTCGGTTGGGCAGATGAGGTTACCGAGCACGGCGATAACGAACACGGCACACGCGCACACGAACCAGATTATCAGGTTCAGGGCCAGTTTCTCCCTCCATGCCTGTCGGACGTCCATGCGCTTCATCCTGCCAAACCATCTCAGGAACGGGTTGGGCATCCAGAAGGTTAAAATCCAGCAGAGTGCCACCCATCTCCTGCGCGCCGAAGTCTCCTTCACGACCTCTGTAGTCTCACCCTCTTGGATCTCGCCGGCGAGAGCTTCCTTGCCGAACACGCCCTTGGTATCCGCGCCCTGGAACATGTTGCGGGATGGTGCGTATGACTCGGTACCATAGTGGGACGTATCGTCTCGAGCGCTGGTGAAACGACTCTGCTGATCGTAGTCGTCGCTGCGGAAGGACTTCCGTTCCTCGTACTCATCCTCGTACATATCAGCGCGCTGCAGTGATGAGGCATTTTGTACAAGCGGTAGCTGTTGCGAGGACTGATTGAAGGGGTCGTTGAACCCGCTGTCGTAAGGTGACTGCATCATCTCCGCGCCAGGGGTGAGGTAAGGCGCGTAAGGGTCGTTAAGTTCTCGCGGATTGAGCCCGGCTTCTGCCTCGGCGTCGCGCATCCTGTTCCTCTTCTGCTCTTCTGCATCCTGCGAACGGAGCTGATCCTCAAGTTTGTGGAAAGCCGCCTGAGACAAGAAAGCCTATCATGGGAGTGTGAGGATCGAGCATTGGGGTAGAGGTTATTTGTCCTACCTTATGATTACCCAATACGATGTCGCCTTCCTCCAACCCCAGCGCCGTTCGGGTTTGAGATATCAACTCCCTCGGGTCTCCCTCAGTCACGCCTATCGCCGTCAACGGCTCCTGATACCTGTCCACGAACTCCTGCGGCGTCATGCCCACCTCGAACACACATCGGTTCCTCTGCGCGATCGCACTGAGCCCAGCGCTCCTGACTTGGCCTTTGACCGAGCGTCCCTCGAGCTGATTCGGGAGCTGCGAATCGTTCGGATTGATGCAGAACACATACCAGGACTGTGTGTCCTGCAGGGTCTCGAAGAGCGTGTCGAGGGCTGAGCGGAACTCGCCTGCCACGCAAGGAGTCCCGTGGTTGGCAGAGCCGGAAGCACCCATTCCCGGCGCAGCGAGAGTCTCGTCATCATCACGTTCCTGCTCGTCGATGTCTGCAAGCGGATTGTTGGCGCCCCGGCGCTTGATCGTGTTCTTGCGCCTTGTCGAGGGAGCACGCATGGGCTTGACGGGTTGCTGCGCAGCAACGATCGTCTCCTCATTGCGAGGATGCGCCTGCGTAGCGATAGCCTTGCTGGAGAACAGACCTTTCACGAATGGATTATTGGAACCTGTGGCATCGGCGCCGGCAATCTCATGCGCGTTGGCCCCGCGAAGTAAGGACACGAAGTCCGGGTTGACGGCGTCTAGGTTGCGTTCGAGGAAGTTTTCCGACGAGTATGTAACAGGACCATTGAAGTGGTTGACAGTGAACGTCGGATAACCTGATCGATCGACGCCGCCGGCCTTGAACGAGGAGTGGTTGCCCCATCGCTTGGAAAACGCCTCCACCATAGTGTGATCCGTCTTCTTCGGGGCCCTTCTTGCCTGATCGTCCATGATGTGAATCAATCCACCCGGCTGATTCTGTATCATCCGGAGGCATTCGCTGTTCTCGAAATAAGGCACCCTCGGCACCCACGCAGCAATACCCTCGCTCTCATATTCGGAAACGTGATTCTCGAAGATCTGGTTGAGGATGAAATTCTGCAAACGCTCATTAGCGTAGTTGATGCAGAACTGGTCGAGGTTGTTAGGGCGCGAGGTCATGTTCTGCGACCCGGGAAGGTCAAACAAGGCCACGAATGTCGCATAATCGTCCTTGCAGAGCTTCTGATTGATGTGCTCGTTGAGCCACGCGAAGAGGAGGGAGTAGAGAGTTTTGGCGAGATCGTCCCGGTTGTCTGAAGCACCATCGGGATCTAGGAACACAGTGCAAAGCTCCTTCCGAACCATTTTGGTCCTGTACGACAGCGCGGCCTCAAGTGCAGCGGGCTGTACGCCGAGAAACTCGGCGACGACGTTCAGGATATCAAGGTTGCGGACCACAGCGGCGTCTTCATTCCGTCCGCGATCTATCGTAAACTCGAGGTTACCGAGGTGCAAGATCGCGGCGATAAGCTGGCATGTCTGGGCCACATGCCGCTTGGAAAAGCCAACGTTCTTGAGGGCCATCTTCAGCTGGTCGAAGCGAATGCCATCATCATCGCGGCCCATACCACGGCCAGTGGGATGGTGACCGAGGTACCTGTAGGTGGCCTTGTCGATGAGATGCATATGTTGACGTTCTTCGGGCGAGGCGCCGGCAACGAGATAGTAGAAGATGTGAAAGTTGCGTTCTCCTGACGGCGCACCCGCGACCCGACCCTTCTCTAGGTAGTAGTCAAGCGTTTTCACACCGCATAGACGACCACGATCATTGAACTGCAGCTCCGTGTACTTTCCGAACCGCGACGCATTAGGATTGAAGAGCGTGCGGGCGTTGCCAAACGTCTCGAGTACGAACTCGGCGGCTGGAACCTGGGCAGCAAGCTTTGACCCTTTCTTGCCAGGGTTGCTGACGCTGAGTTCCAGCAAGCTTTTGATGGCCAACCGCCGGTTCTCCGACTTGCCGCTCCCGGTCTCTCCCCTGCTCGAAGTCAGTCATCGCCAAGACGACTTATTTTTAGATGCCAACGCACGTCAGGAGGATGCTCTGATCCTGGTTCGTTCTTCGCATATGGTAGTACGCATTGTTCGCCAGCTGGAAGATGTGGGGCGGAAGAGGGGACTTGTTTTCGGAAGTGTCTCGGTATTCGGAGGCGTACTTCTGCAAGATCGAGTCCGCGTTGCTGGGAACATACTTGTGCGGGTTGACGGCGACGAGAGCGGAACTGCCCACGGCGGTGTGGACGGTGTCTTGCATAAAGCGTTCGCGGATGCATTGCACGATGATGTCGTCGCCGAGCGAGGGGAGGTTGGTGAGGTCGTCGACGTTCTCGAGCCGCTGGTGGGAGCCCATAGTGGACTGACGTTTGGCCATGGCGAACGGAGCGCCGGGCCCGGCGATGAAATAAGAATAAAGCGAATAAGGTAAGGAGCGAAGGAAAGAGGAGGGCGGCGGCGGGCAACGTCGACGTCGTCGACGGCGATGAAGAGCGTGTGGGACGCGCCGGCACTGGTCGATGACCACGCAGGATCGTTTTCGGCGAAGAAACGCGCGGGGAGCAGTCACGGGACTCTGAGACCTCCTCGATTTGGGAGGTCTACGTCCAACGCCTCCCACGCTCTGCTCGGTGCTCAGCCTCCTTACGGACGTGTTCGTCTCCGGTGCTCGGTGGCCGAGGCCTTGTACGATGCACATGCTTGTCAACTCGCCGTGCCTATTCTGAGGACTACTCGCACAGAAGTCTACCGTCCGCAGCGACGCGTGAGTTGCTCTCAGGAAGCTGAAATGACGCATACCGGATCTGGCTGGTCAGTCTCTCGTCCATGAGATTCTTGTGGCAGCATGAATTGCACGCGTTTGCACCGATGCTGAGATAAGAAGTGGACGGGCATCGCAGTAATCGTTTGTGCAACTTCACCGATGTCGTCCAAGGAACCCGCTACTCAGTATTATCACCACGGCCGCCTGAGAGTGGCCGGAGGTACGCTGCCTAATGCAATCACTGCTTACCGGACATATGGAGATCCTAAAAAACCCTGTGTTGTCTTCCCGACATGCTACGGGGGGAAACTGGATCGTAAGTCACAGCATGCCAAACGCCGGTGCGATCCCTCATAACATCAGACCGAAGTTACCTTGTCGGCGAGGATAAGGTGCCTCCAGTTTGCCTTAACTGCGAACATAACTCGTACATATTGATCATGTCTGCTCAAGGTCCTGAACACGGACAAGTTCTTCGTCGTCACCTTCGCCCTTTTCTCAAATGGAGAGGTAGTTGTTATATCTGATGTTGATCACTCATGATGGGCTAAGCGCATGTCCCAGTCCTCGTCGCCTTCGAATACTGTGAATACATTAGACGAATACCGTATCATCTTTGGCAACTAAGACTTCCACACCAGCCGGCGCCGTATAATGGCCCCTACTTCCCCGCTGTGTCCTATGAGGATAACATGTGAGCGGATGCTTCTATGAAGTATATCTCATTTTAATGCCCTCACAGCCGTGCTCAACATGCCGTTCTGACCAAAAAGTTGGGCATCTCGAAGGTCCGTCTGGTTATAGGATTCAGCATGGGTGGTCAACAGGTACATGACTATGCGATGCACATACGCTCGACAATAACCATCATCTATGCAGGCATACTATTGGCCCGTGGTCTTCCCGGACTACGTCGAAAGGTATTTCGCTGTTTGAAGAGCCTAAAAACACGCCATCTCCTCAGCGTAACATCCACAGATTTGTCCCGATTTGCGGTTCGGCTCGCACATCTCCGCACAACAAATGGCGAGTGCTTGATGACCTTTCCGTCTCCTTCACACAAGTTCAACCTTCTCCTGTCAGCTTTTTGGAAGGCCCCCAAGCAGCTCTTACCGCCTCCAAAGACTTCCACGACGGACACTACACATCCCCTCCTCAATATGGCATCCGTGCCTTTGGCCGTGCCTACTCGGCCTGGGCCTATGGCCAAACTTGGTTCCGGCAGCGCCTCTACATCTCTGATGCGCACCCGGATATGGAATCCTGGCTGCGCGAAGATTGGGAAGGCGGCTTTCTCACCGAATGGGACGCGAACGATATGCTCACGTTGCTGCATACGTGGTACACGGGCGATGTGTCGCTTGTGAGGGACGGCGGAGACTACGAGCAATGCTTGAAGAGCATTAAGGCGAAGGGACTAATTATGCCGTGCAAGACAGATCTCTACTTCCCGGTATGCAAGTACATGTGGGTACCACCGGTCAATCTAACAAGTTCTGCTACGTAGCCGGAGGACAGTGAGATCGAGGTTTCGCTCATGACCAACGGAGCTAAACTGGTATGTATGCCCATCGACACAGCCCTTTCAGCGGTCGTTAACCCGATTTCGCAGGTCGTGATTGATTCTGTATGGGGCCATGTCGGTAAGTATTCGGGCAGGCTTAATGTGATGGCCCTCTAACGCACCGGCGCGAACAACAGCGGGTGGAGATGCCAACCCCGAAGACACTGAGTTCATCCAAGCACAGATCCAGAAATTCTTGGACGAAACCGCGTGAAGTACGCTCGAGCGTCCATTGCTTGCGCATGGCCATACAATAGCTTTGCAGTGCCTGGATTCGTTATTCGTCTGTCAGACATTATATATAACAGTAAGATATGTGAGGTTTATGTCGTGGCATGTCGTGAAATGTCGTGCGGATCATCGGGCCAGAAGTGATATTCAGTCGTCAGAACCTCCCCTCACGGAGTGCCCTTGGCGACATGCCGTAGTCGGCCAGTCACAGCATCCGTATGCAGAGGCTTCAAAGTGGGAAGGTGTGTACACCAGGGGAGGTGTTTTTAGTGTCCTGCACGAGCATGAGACGAAACGACGAAAAGGTGCATGAATGGCGACCACTTACATGGCTCCATGTCATGCAACAGTGTGTCCCATCCCGCAAGACCGAAAAAGACGGGAAACTCTCTCCATAGCGCGACCATGAGGGTCTCAAATGCGGTTCGCCCAACTTTAGCACACGCATCGCATAGTTCGGCGTCCCAGTCGACGCCGTCATGGCGGTTCCACATTGTGCGCGCATGCAGGTCCGCGAGACGAGGTTGCAGATCCAGCAAAATTTTGAGCCTTTGGGGAGCGCACATATTTCCCACCCGACAATGAGGCGAGGGATAGCGATCCGTGTCCAGTCATTTCACGTGGTATTGTTCCGCGAGGAGTCCTTGCTTTCCCTGAATGCATGCAGCCATCGCAACGGCTGATAACCGTGACCGGGAGCCAGGGCGTTCGCCAGGCAAACCTTCGACGATGTGCAAGAATGAACGCGAGGTACAGGCGAGGTATGCGGCGGGCAATATATGTGAGATGCCGCAATCGTGCGCAAGGTTCAGGATATCGAAAGGCAGTCCTTTGTGGAAGGCAATCTTCGTCCATGTCTGATATACTTGATTGTAGGCGGCGAGCGTCGTAGGCAGCTCGTACGTCAATCTTGACAGACCCTCCGTGCGGAGGGTGGGAATATCATATTTTGCGCCGAGGCGTACGAAACCGGCCACTGCGGAGAACTCGAGTGCCTGATCGGGCTTGAAGTATCTTGAAGGGGTAGCAATGCGAACATGTATGCAAGCGAGCAGAAAGGCACCAGTACCGGGGGACTCACCTTGCCTCTCCGTACATGGCCCGTAGAACGTGTTCCAACTCGTAGCGGTCGTCCGTAAGGTGTATAATGGGGCAGCCATCCACAGTCCGTTCACCGCCAGGTTGGGCTAGCATAAACATATCCTTGAACACAGACGACCGTGACGCTAGCACACTTCTGTGTATGCGGAATATTGCAACTGGCGAGTCCGGTGTACCTGCGCCGGTCTGAAGGATAATGTTCCCGTCGTCGTACCAAACGTCAGAGCGAACGACGGCCAGTGTTGAAGCACCCGGAGTGAGTGACGTTGTATCCGTCCGCTGACGTTTTGCTGGGGATGTCGAGTCCATGGCGTCTACTAGCAAGAGGGTACGATCTTGACTTGCTAGAACAAAGGCCTACAGAAACACAAAGCACGGTGGAGGCGCCGGTGGCCCATGTGTCGGCCTCGGAGCTGGAGAGAAAGTGCTTGCCGCGATCACGAGGCAAAAAACGTCCGACGAGAACGGACACCTTAGCCTTCGACGGTGCCTGCTCACTTTACGTGACTCCGCCAACTCTGTGACTGTTGGATATTGAATATGACGCCAGGAAAAGCGAGCTGCTAGAGGACTGTCGTCAACCCCGCTACAAGAGCTTCAGGCTATTCGCGCTCTTATCAATGGGCCTTCCTTGAGCACATGCCCTTGATATGCCTTCTGATCTTCCGGCGCGTCTCCTCAAGTTCTTGCAGAAAGTCATATAAGCCGGAACTGCCTAGCATGGCGTCAGGCGCCTCTCGCAATGACGATGACTTTCACGTCGCGGATGTTGGTATACCTCGTATGCTCTCTGTCATACTACAATCTGGCGCACGGTGCTTCAAGTTCGGGAACACCATTTGCTGATTCCCCGTTGCGGGACTTCCAAGTTCAGCAGCCCCCCGCAATCCCTCACGACGCACATGAGTGCTCCATTACATTGGTGCGACATCTGTTTGGCAACAGTTATGGACAACCCGCAACAGTTCCCTACAATCCGCCGGTTGAGTGTGGTGAACCTGCCAGCTGGAGTGCCGTCGTGGCTAACATTACAGCGACGTCTAACGGAGTAAGATGTTTCTCGTGTCTTCTGCACCGTATGCGTACTGAATTGTTTCATAGACCCAATATGACCGCTTGGCAGTGAGTCTTGACTTATTCGAACATGACTGTGCCCGATCCGCAACACCTTCCAGCATATCTATCTGCATGGCGTGGAAGGTAGGAATTTTCCTTAGTGGCCCGATAAACCCGCGCTGACCGACTGGGATTAGTCTGGAGGACATCTACCCCGGAACCTACCGTCAAGGGCATAATATGGACTGCCCTCAAAGATGTCACTCGTTACACCGCGTTACTGGCTCAGCCTGGGTGTGTAGCCATGCCAAAATAGCCAATAATCGGCACTGAAATCCTATCTCTCGTAGCAACCTGACCGTCGACCTCGGCAACCTACTTGATCCGTCTTCGGGCCTCACAGGAGAGTATGATGGTTAGTCGGAGTCAGGATAGGTAACTCGTGCTGGCTGATTATAAATCATTCCCTACCTAGTCACATTATCTATCACTTTCTTTGGATCATCTTCGACATTCTCAAAGCCCAAACCAGCAGACGTTATATTACCTATATCGACGGTTTCAGGCCAAGCTGCCTCCATCCCCGATGCTCTCATCGTAAGAATTGAACAATGACGAGCTCATGCATGATACTTACGGGTCGTATTCACCAAAAAGACGAGCTTGACCCTTCCGCGGAATGGGGCGCAAGCCATTGTGGAGATATACGCGACCGGAGACTCGTGAGTGAGAAATTGCGCCCAACCAATATCGCCCTGACTCGTCGTGTACGCAGGAATGAGGAGTTCTGGGTGTGTTGCATGCTCAACGTCTGTCTACGCTGTCTGACTCCCGCAGTACGGCAACGTACCCGATCAATTCTTCGGTCAGTTGCCCACATGGAGCGCTCCGGACGGATACGCGAACGGAAAAGGTAAGTGTATTCCCGGGAATTTAATTTATTGAGATTCAACTTCGACGCTGTAGGGCCATTCAGAGAGGTCCAGCTCTTGATTGACGGCATCCTTGCGGGAGTTGTCTTGCCGTATCGTACGTTGTGATTACATCTCTGACGTTTACGACCTTTGATGTGACATGTGAAGCCGTAATCTACACTGGAGAGTTTTTGCCCACCATCTGGAGGTCAATACATCTCAACTGTTTCATTGTTATCGTACTGATCATGACGCCTTGCTATGTCGTAGACCGATGGTTTCTTATGGTGCATTCGACTCACCTACGTATTACATCGACGTATCGCCCTTCTTGCCGCTCCTTTCGGATGGTGTCGCTCATAACTTCACCGTGAATGTTGCCGGTATGGGTACAGATCACAGTATCAACGTAGATTGGATAGTCTCAGGCAACATCCAGGTTTTTCAAGTTCCTGCTTTAATGCTGCTAGTTCTATGAAGCTAACAATGCGTTCAGCTGTATCTCGACTCTTCTTCAAAACAAACCACGGGGGCTATCACAAGTTACTTAGCTGCGCCGTATGTTGACCCTACGGTCACTGGTACCGTCAGTGGCCCGGCCCCTAATGTTAGCGTTACGACTGCTGCGAGTCGCACGTTGAGCATCGAGGGATACGTAAAGACGGGGAGTGGGAAGACTACCACGGTGAAATGGGAGCAACTGCTGAAGGTAATCATCTTACTGCTCTGTGACTGAAATGAAATATTTGCTGAAACGATAGTGGGAATAGTACTCCAACTCGGAAATTTACACAGTAACGACGAATAACATTAGCGCGCAGGTATCATAAACGATACAAAGTTGCTCCAGACGTTACTCACCCGTCGCTTGTCTCCAGAACGTAGTGCAGCTCTCCTCCGGAACGTCGAGCTCGACACACAGCGGTGTTACCATTATCTCCGACAAATTCGAATATCCTTTGTTTTTGGTTCTCACCTACAATCAAACCGGGCAGCTCTACGACTATGGCGTGCATCTCAACCATTCGTACAGTCGGTCTCTAGCAGTTCCGACTATCACCGCCAACATAATCAATACCACACAGATCTGTGACGGCTACCAGGTATGTGCTCACCGAATCGTGATTGAGGCTAAAGAAGGGAAGGTGACCACATGATATGCAGTACCAGCACGAATTGGGAGTTCGCGTTCGTACAGGGAAGATCATAGAAGAATACAGTTTCAAGGATCAAGACGGGCGTACATACGAACGCAACGTCGGGACTTACAATGTCGCAAATACGACATCCATGGGCACGGTTAGCGAGGCTTGGCTGCTGTATAACAGCGAAGGCGGTTCGTTGACTGGCATAGGGTCACATGCTAGTTGATCGCGTATAGCCTTTGTTATCGCGCAATACAGTCTGCGACAACACGCCCAGATATGACTTGACGTGCAAATGCCACTCGAGTCACCTCTCGAATCCATGAGGCGATGCATAGCAATCAAGGATGACACCCTCAGGCAAAAAGCTTAAGATGCGTGTAGAAGTAGAAGGAAGCTCAACTGCTTGCGTGCTGGAGTATGCACGAGTATGCCGTGCCGGCAGCCACGTATCCCAATCATAAGTTCACCTTGAGCAGTGTTCCCAGCATATATATGATGCTCTCGTCCGGCCAATCAGCCACGGAGATCGGGACAGCGATATGTATGAGTAACGAGTTGGACCTAGGCGATGTCGGTCTACAGCGCAACCGAGCATTGGAAATCGCCAAGCATAAGACGGGCGCGCGCATGCACAGTTGCCCATAATGAGGACCGGGAATACATTCATGATAAAGGGTTCGATGACAATTGGGAGTACATCAAGGGCCAGGAGACTATACATCGTCTTGGTATTCCGTGCCGAAGGACAGACTGGCAGCAAGTGAACGGTCTCAAAATTAGCGCAGCTTTTCTTTCAACATTCACCACGTACCACAAGAATACCGTACTGGAATGTATTGATGTCGCCACAGGCCACGAGAGCCCCAGACCTGTTAGTAGGAGTTTCATGCATGAGGTATGATTAAATCCAGAATTTCGCTTCCAACGGGACTGGCGCAGTCACGCTCTCAGGTAAACCATCCTAGAACGCGCATGTCAAAATCTTGGAGGGAACACGTCAGATGTCACGATGATCCTTGTTTTGATGTAGCGTTCCCCAGCTGTAGTGACAGGGCGATCACCCAACAATATCAAGTCTTTCTCGAAGGTAGCCGTGCTGATCTAGCTAGTCGGACGCGCAGTCTCGCGACGAGGCACCGGTACCGGGAAAAAAGGCGACGCCAAAGCGAGTCCACGTTCTCTCCTGAGGCAGCGAATCGTGTTCAGCACGCAGCAGGGGCGCAAACGATATCCATATGCACTTGGAACGAGCCTACGGGTGTCTTCCTAGCAACCTGTCCATGTGGTATACCGCAAACATCAGCCCCTCACAACACCAACGGTCACCTCCGGTTCAACATCCGCGTCCCTACCCCTACCGATCCTTAGTGCGGTCTTACACCGCTCGTGTGCCCACCGTGTCAGCTCTAGCACATCCGCGTCGTCCATATCACGCCGAACGTGTAGCTCCAACGTAACAACGAGCGATTGCGCGGTGGAACCTGCGTCTTTTGAACATGGTTGTCGCGAGAGAGAAGGGGTGAGCTGCCATATGTGAGGTGCCGGCAGGTGAAGGACTTTGGGATGCCGTTCGACCTGGAAAATGAACAGATGAGCAAAGCGACAGAGCAAGCGTCGAGGCGAAATTGAAAGCCAAGAGTGAAGAGGGGCTATCGAGTCAGACCTACCTCACGCATGGCCCGAAGGAAGGCCTCCATACGTCCATCCGCCAGCCCTCGAGCAGGGGATATTTGCAGTAACACCGCTCCGAGAGCGACAGCCGCGGGGTACGCCACACTGAAGGTAACGAAAGCCTCGCCCAACGCAAGCAGGAGATCGAAAGCCCGATGCTGATGACTAACAGAAGCAACGTTAGTGCATGCGAGTGAGAAACCTGAGAAAAAGCGATCGAACGCACGGCAGGAGGAAGTTAGCTCCGTATAATATAGCAACTGAAAACCCAATTGGTGATATCGAGTATGGGTTTGAGAGCAGACGCGAGATAGGCTTCGCGGGCTCAACCTCGTCTGAAGGAATGGCAGTGGGGAAGCGTGAACGTAACGACTGGATATAGCTAGAAAGCGAGGGTATTTGATTGCCGGTGGCTGAAAAACGGATCAGATGGATAGAAGAGAATCTTGGTTGTGATTGACGTACTGTTTACTAGCTTAGAATGTGTATTGTATGCGAGGGCGGATCCAACGAGCGAAAGAAGGGATAAGAACACAATGTATATCGGGAATGGAATCCTGTCAATGTTGGTTGAGCATAATAAGTCAACCTCGCAACAGCCACACTCACCCTGTCAAGTTGATCTCCTCGTCGCCGGAATGATGATGATGGCCCTCGCCAGCAGACAGCAGAAGGTGCTCCACCGTCTCCTTACATACGTACACCGACGCAAAAATCAGGTATACTGTCTGCGCGAACAAGAACACAGTCTCCACTCGGGCGTTCCTGTAGGATTCGTCAGTACCTGCAATCCCGCGTGCATATTCACGTTGAACGCACCCGTAAGGTCTCCGTGTCTTGGATTGCATTGATTTTCGCGCGAGGTAGCCGGGGAGTACCTTGGCCAATGCGATGCCAAATGCGTCGAAGACAATCCAGTACCCCAAGCCCGTACACGCAAGCGAGCCATTCTGCTGACCTGCAACCCACATCCATGCGCCCAAAACAAACTGTGCTAACGAGGAGACGGCAGCCGCGGGGCTGACTCTCGACGTCGGTAACGCCGCTAGGGGCTTCTGAAGTAGGGAAACCTCCTGTGCTTGAGCGAATGTCGATGAGGCAGGAGTAGACGCGCTGCCGTTTGTTTGAGTATCGGGGAAGGGTGATATCGGGTTCCATGGGGAGATGGGGGTTGGGGTTGGGGTCGTATGGAGCTGTGCTGGAGTTTGATTGCCAGGTTCAAGGAAGGAAAAGAAGTTGTGGGAGAGTGAATGCTTGTGGTGATGTCCTCTCCGTGCCGAATGACTGGAGGCACTCGTCGGCGTGCCATTTGCTGGAAGCGCAGCGCCGTCATCACCCTGCCGTCCACCAAACTTGAATCCAGAGCGCAGCATTTCCGGACTTGGCGGCGCATGGGGGATATTCATTACAGGTGCCTCCAAGGTGGTTTCTCCATCAACACCAAGTTCGAGTTCCTGGGTTCCGTCTTCTGCAATGGTGTGGGTAGGCAAGGAGCCGGGTCTAGGGAAGAAGATGGAGAGATTCCGCGAATGGATGCGCGAGTGTCTACGTGCGTGTTCGCGACTCGTCGTGGGTGGAAGGGAGTCTGACGAAGCGGCAGAGCCAAAGGAAGGAGAAGGCGAGAAGCCTTGCGAGCTCGGCGAGGGTGAAGGAGGAACATGAACTCGGGAGGAGAAGGAGGGTGATAGGGGGGACGGTGAAGCAGGCGCGTAGGATATGGAACGATTTCGCGTGTGTGCGTGCGCATGCGCATGTCCGTGAGGTTGACTTGGACGCGCGAAGGAGGGACCATTGACGCCGGTGGGGGACTTGGACGGCTGGACGAAGGACGTTCGGTATGGTCCAGCGGATGGCGGGTAGCTCTGCGACGGCGATATCAACGGTGGCGGCACTGAGGGTACCGAGTTCACTCGAACCCTCGGGGTTTCGGTGTGATCGTTGACAGCATTGGCAGCATGGTTCGTAGCTTGAAGGGAGGTAGGGCTGGTACTACCATTCGGGAAGGTGACGATCGCATTGTCCTCCTCTCTACTTGACTTGCGACGGTGCATACTGCAAATGGAAGAGCGAGGTGCCTATATTGTCCCATGCGGTTTTGGCACTCGGTAGCGAGCGAGTCTGAGGTCAGGATTCGAAGGACAGGATGCAGCTGGGACAAGGAGTGAACCAAGAGTACAACAAGATGCTGAGCTGGCTCCTCTTTTGATTGAGCGCGCGGTGCTTCGCAAGAATCAAGTGGTATCAGCTGGACTCTGCACTAGAAGCCCGAGCTATGACCGACTGGAACACGAAAGACAACGACGAATCCAAAGAGCGGCTAATCCAGCGGTGAGCTCGTGACAAGACGGTCGCTCATCCTCCTGACGTTGAGCGGTGGCTGAGCCCGATCGGACGTGCGCGTAACGATTCCCCAGCATCCTATTGCTACAGCTATGTGAAACGAAGCCGACTCATTTCCTTCCCTTCCCGCCGCCAGGTTTACTTTTGCCTTTCCCAAACGATTTGCCCTCGAACCCGGGCCGTGCCTTCCCCTTACCGCCTTTGGACTTGTCCTTCCTACGCTCGTTCCGCATTGCGATGTTGTCTGAGCGTTTCTGCTGCTTGGCCGCCGCCGCCGCATCAAGCTGCTGCTTGCGCTCATCCCTGTCACAAAGAAATTATCAACCACGCTGCACGGAAACGAATGTACGACGTACCAAGCCTTCTTGCTTTTCGCTTTCTCCTTCTCCTTCCTCTTCACTGCTTTCCTCAACCTCCCCTCGTCGTCCCTGACCTTGACTCCCTCCATTCGAGCTGCCGCCTTTTCCCACCTCTCGCGTTCTTCGATCGCCTTTCTCTTCTCCTCCGGCATGTTCGCGAGCCTCTCTTTCTTTGCCGCGAGCTTCTCGAGGGCCTGCGCAGGATTTGAGGACACCTTGAGTTTTTCTGCATGTTTTGACGAAGTAGAGCCATCGGCAAGAGAAGAAAAGGCGACCGATGTAAATTTGCTTTGGGGACCTTCACGCGAAGGACCAGGTCGTGACTGATCAGGGACGAGCAGTTGAGTCTGAAAGGATAAACGAATGAGATTGGTAGTACCGAGGACGGGATGCGCTCGCCTGCCTTCGTAGTCGGACCCTTGTCCCTCCCCTTCTCCTCCTGCTTCTCTTTGCCCTTACCCTTCTTCCCTCTTGCCTCGTCTTCCCTCCGTATCTTCTCCTTTGTCTCTTTCCGCCGCCTTTCCCTCATCACAGCCCGCTGCCTCCTCCGCTCTTCCAAGAGCTCGTCCCTGCTACCCGGCTCCGCGCTACGACCCTCATCCAATCTCGGCCCTTTCTTGCCCCTCCGTAGTTGCGCCATTTTGTTATGGAGCTTTTCCCTCAAGGTCGCGATCCCGCCGGATGCCATGGGCACGAACTCCTCAGGCGACACTGAACTAGGAGCGTCACCGTCCTCCCCGTCGACTTGCATGCTAACATCCATAGAAAGATCAGCCCCTTCGTCGTCTTCGTCTTCGTCTAGAGGCGCATTCGCCTTCCGTTTGCCTTTGCTGGAGCCAGCTGCAGCCGTCTTCTGCAGAGCTTTCTCATGTTGCAATTCAACAATAGTTTTATGGTTCGCAGGATCCAGCTACGCATAACATACGTTCATGCGCGCAAAAACCGGACTTTGAGAAGTCGTGCGCACCTTTTCCCGCTTCGCTTTCTTGCCTGCCTCCTTTATAGCTTGCTTAGGTGCTTTTGTCTTCTTCGAATGTTTCTGGTACTTGGCATTCGCCTAAAGGGACATAAACTGAGACGAAACGAGACTGCCGACATATGGTAGGCGGACCTGTTCCTCAGTCTCCTCTTGCACGAGGTAGAATTTCGCGGGTATCAAATTCAGCAACGATTCAAAAGTAGCATTATGCTTCTCGAGAGACGCCTTCAGATCGGCGGCAGGTGTAGGCATTGATTGTGGTGGGCAGTACGCGGTCAAAAGACCAAAAGACCAGAGGTGCGGGTGGCGGAAGAAAAACTGGAGTTCGTTCAAGCGCACACGACTGATCAGATGGGCGCTTGCTACGGACACAGCCACATGAGAATCCTGTAAGCCGTTCCCCTCTGTCTGAATCTGTCATGTCCTACCGCCCACCTACGAAATGCATCCTCACGAAGGAACAGTTGGCAGCGTTCCAAGCATCGGACACACACAAATCTATAGTTGAATATATCGAGACGCTCAATGAAGCCATCGTAGGCGTCAAGCTCACCGATGAATGCACCGAGTCAGAGGCACGCACAGCCAGTTCGGATGAACACACAATGTTTGACATGAGTCGCGTTTCTGTAGGGCGTGAAAGCCGTTCTACATATCTTGGAACAGGTAGAAGCGATTGCGAAGGATACGCCTCCTGTTGCGAATGCAGGTTCGCGGTTCGGCAATCCTGCCTTCAGGACGTTCTTCGACAAAGTGGCTGAGGTGTGCGCTACTTCGCTAGGAAGGATCTTACCCAGCTCACGTTTTGCGTCGGGGACGACGTTGCCTTAGAAAGCTGCCAACATGCATGCATCTCTGCCGAATCTCCCATCCGAAGCCGTCCCTGAAGTATCTGCGTACTTCATGGAGTCTTGGGGCAACAGGACTCGTATAGACTACGGGAGTGGTATGGAACTAAACTTCCTATGCTGGATGTAAGGTCGTGGGTCCCAGTATATGCAAGATCTGACATGATGTACGGCCAGGTACTCTCTCGAGCGATTGGGTGTAGTAGTGGAAGGCGATCACATCCCGTTGGTGATCCGCGTGTTCTGGAGGCGCGTGTCATTACTTCGGACCTACGCGTATCCCACATTGAACTGATTCGTACTCTTAGGTATATTCAGGTCATGCGCGTGCTTCAGTCCACGTATTGGCTTGAACCTGCTGGTTCCCATGGTGTTTGGGGTCTCGATGATTACCACTTCCTTCCCTTCCTCTGGGGTTCCGCACAGCTTAGAGGTGACAATGTTTCCAACAGACATCTGCGGTCTAGCTTATCCGTCATATAAAGGGCACAAATACATTCGGCCAAAGGCTATCCACGACAGTGAGGTAGTCGAGGAATATGCCAAGAACTACATGTACTTTGCGTGCATCCAGTTTATCAACTCCGTACGTCTACTTCCTTGAAGGCAGTGACAGCGACCGGACGCTAAACGCGCGTCCTCAGGTCAAGACCGCGTCCCTGCGATGGCATTCTCCCATGCTAGATGACATTTCCGCTGTGAGTGCTGCATAAGGTTACGATCCCTTTCGTTGATCGACGTTGTACTCAGGTCAAAACTTGGGACAAAGTCAACTCGGGCATGATCAAGATGTACCTCGCCGAAGTCCTCGGTAAACTCCCGGTCATCCAGCACTTCCTCTTCGGTTCTATCTTACCGTACACCGGACCGCCTCCTCCGGTCTCCTCCGAAGTGCTCGATCCCAATGATCCTCATTACGGACATGCGCACGCACACGACCAAGGAGGCGTGGGACAACAGGAAGTTGGCTGGGGAGATTGCTGTGGGATCCCCGTCCCAAGCGTGTTCGGTGCAGCCCAGGCGGAGAAAACCAGGGGTGCTGGACTGTCGGGTCCCGGTATCCGGCCAGTGCCATTTGACTGATTGGGATAACTTGCAGTACACATAAAACGAAAGTGTATCATAGTGTTCCAACTGCGATAATACAAGTTGGCGTATAGACCATGTTATGAGCCGCGTCGGGCGTACTATCAGGAAACGTAGTTTAGTCATAAGCCAATCCTGCGGCGTGGGGTATAGATAGGATTCATATAGCAATGTTTGCGTGTACACATGTAGTGAGCGTGAATAGTCATGGGCTGATCGGAACATGCAGGACAGGACGCTTTCACCGACGACGTTTCGTGGGCCTATCATCAGAAGGTCTCCATGATCGGTCTTCTGTACCCAACCACGATGCGAAGAAGCGACTACCGTACGACCGTTCCTTGTCCAAGTGTGGCGCTCTTTCATGGCGATCGTCACCAACATTTTCTCGCTCGGTACGGCTGGACAACGTGCGTGAACGCCGAGGACTGGGATTCCATGGAGGTGAACGGCGCTTATCAGGTCCTGGGAGGCGACTTGAGCTTGCTTTCGACCTGAGCCGCGTGGAATCGTCGTGAGTGGATTCGTGGCTTCGCTTCTCCGCGGTGATTTGTGGTTGCTTCCCTGTAATCGTCTGAACGTCGACGTGTGCGTTGAGTGCATCTCGCAACGGCACAGACGATTTCCAAGGAGGTTTCGTTCCGGATTTTTTGGTCATTGCCAGAGGTGCCTTATCGGGAGAGAGGGCGAACGCCGCCGGAGGCACGGCCGGCACCCGCTCGGCTGACTTCACAGTGCTAAGCAAGCCGATGTCCTCCAAAGACGCGGACGGTGTTGCCGTGAACTTGACAGGCGCCCTCGATGTCAACGGGGCAATAAGAGTGCTCGCCAGCGCCTTTGCACGATTGAAGATACCAGAATTGAGCACACCGTTTTCACCTGCCCCTGGGAACGAAATCTGATCCTTGCTTCAATACGAGTAGTCGGAACTGTGAGCCACATGTCCTCACCTTGGTAACCGGAGCTCCGATATCCTGCAGCCAGTTAAACATGCGCTCTACGCCAAGCAGGTCCTGAACTTCGACTGCATCTTCCACGTCATCGGCATTGGAGTCGGTTTCAAGAGAGGGAGGAACGGACAGAATAACGCTCGCATCTCCAGACCCTAAATCCATATCTTCGAGTATCCTCCCCGTGAGCAGGTCGTCTGGGGTGTGGTCATCAGAGTTGTCCTGCTGATCACTCGCATGTGAGTCTCCTGCCGTCTCATCTAACCGAATCTGTGTCACGGTATCTCCGTCATTATCCTCGTCATCGTCGAGGGTCAGATCGATGACCTCCACGGGGGCAGAGGACTTCTTCGAGGCATTCGAGGCCAAAATTCCGCTAAGAGGAGGATCAATCTCAACGACATCATCGTCTTGTGCGAGTTCGCAGTATTCAGTGAGGCGTTTCGACAGCCGGACCTGGGCTGGAGAAGCATGCAGGCGCGATTCGAATTCCTTCAGCGGGTTGATGGTTCGAGCAGGCGTACGCAGAGGTAAAGGCGAGAGGATGCCTTTCGGATCCACTCCAGAGGTCCGCGTAGGAGGTGTCGGCGTGCTCGGAGGCCTTGAAAAGTCAAAAGCCTCAGAGCGTAAAGAGCCATTACCAAATCGCCGCAGTGGATGAGGTTGCAACGGAAGACGGACAGTTAGAGGACCTGAAGCAAGCACTTGGGGGACCGGAGTCGTGAGACGAGCATGCAGAGGTAGCTTCTTAATCGGACGAGCCTGTATGTCGGGATTGAGAGACACAGGCTTAGCAGAGTTCTGGCTGCTGTCACTTCTGGGCCTTTCCGGATCCACGCCAAGGGCAGATTTGCTGGGAGTTGACACGATGGGCGGGCGAGACCGGATACTGCTTGGCGAACCCGCAGGGACAGGCGAGTTATACGTCATGCGCGGACGCTTTTCAGGGTGACAGAAGGATCCCGAATAGCTGCGCTTGAGTCCACCGTATTCGCGAGCAGTGTTTGGGTCATAGTCATGAAATGCACGGGCAGCAACCGCAATCAAGGGCGAGAATGTACGACACGTCCACGCGCATATACCAGCGAATCCATCCCCGACGTCGGTGCGACTACGAAACGACGCGCCGATCACGGTCTCGAACAGATCGCCGCCGGTCTTGAGGCGATCGTTGACTCCCCGCGGAAGGATGGACCATAAATCATGAGGTTCCAGTGGGACGATAGATCTCCACAGTGCGCGTTCATACCAAGGTCCACGTGCCAGATGAGGCTGTCGCTTGTCAAGGAGATGGTAGAAGGTGAGATTCGTGGTGAGAACCTGGGTGATGATCTGCGCGTGATTTGTTCTTCGGTCAGGAAAATAATCATCGTCTGAGAAATCATTGAAGTTACATACGGTGTAGAAGCCGCTAGGAGAGTTTGGATACTGCCGATGAAGCTCCAGAGCGATCGCTGTATATACGAGAGAATCCCCGATGAATTCCAGTCGATCGTTCTCGTGCTTGCAGTATGGATTGCGACAGTGAGATCTGGCGCAGTCTTTTGAGAGCTCACGCCACATGTCTTCTGGTACTTGAGGAAGGGAGAAGGTATACGATGGATCCGCGATAGCAGTGAGCACGGCACTCTGAAGCAATCCCGCCGGGGGTAACCGCACCATCCTGATGCTGGCGAAGTCGTGAAGAAACGGGGTGAAGAACGATGAGTGATGGTGACCAAGGGCAGTCAGTCAAATAGCATGTGCGCTGGCACGGCCTCCAAGAGATGGCGTCGAGGAAGGAGTCAAGTTGGATCGAGAACAAGGCGCTCCGAACACGGCAGTCCGTCACGCTCACGACGCGACCTGACGCGACAGCATGAGGTTGTCACTGCCGCGGGGTTTGCTTTCCTACGCTATCGATATCACCGGACTGCAAACTTGGGGTACTGCAGCTGAGCCTTGCTGTTACGGCAAGCCTTGCTATGGCAGTACTGAGAATCGTCATATTCATCTCGGTGTGCGATCACCATATTCTCTCTCTTCGTGTTTACAGCTGCGGTAACATACGACTGATCGGCGCAACGATGACCTACTGTCTTCATGTAGCAGCCTGACATATACATTGCAGACGACAAACGAAAAACTCCACAACGCCGGATGGCCACTCGTGGTAAAGCGGAAGCGGCGCTATTTTTAGCTCCGGTGCATGCGAGCGATCTCATGCAATCCATCTCTCAAATGGTGCCCCGTTGTCAATGCCTTCTCGTCATCACATGCATCGCACCCCGGCTTCGAGTCGCCGCTTGACATCCAACTACATCCAGCACCATGAGCGAATATTCTGACGACGCCGCACGCTGGGCCGGGGAGCAGGTCTGTTCTTTCTGCAATTTCTCGATCCGACGCTTACTGATCGGTTGCACCAACCAGGTTGGTGATGCTCGTCGTGACTGGGACCAGGGCGAACAAGACATCCGACGAGACGAGCAGGAGGTGCGGCAAGGTTGGGACCGCGAAGAGCAGAATGCCAGGCAGGATTGGAACCAGGACAAGCAGGACGTCAGGCAAGATTGGGACCGAGACGTCCAAGATGTGCGCGATGCACCTGACGATGCCGCAAGATGGGCCGGCGATAAGGTCCGTTGACATTCGTGTCGGCTTCTTGCCTGTACATTGCTCACGCCTCTGCGAAGGTCGGAGATGCTGAACGCGGCGTCAGCGAGGTCGGAGATGCTATCGGCGCAGGCATAGGTGGTGTCGTGGGCTGGGTTGCGGACAAAGTCAAGGATGTTGAGAACTTCGACCGCGGCATCGAGAACTCGTACGACCAGGGTGAACAGGAGGGCTATCGGGGAAACTGAGATTCGGAAGCTCAATGTTGAATCCCACCGAATGCATCATGTTTCTTGACTTACATATTCGTCTGATCCGCTTGCAGACTATCTCCGGTAATATTGGATTGCCGCAATCGCTTCAAATCGAGCACGCACGGTCTTGAACTGCGCAGTTTCCAGTCGCGTTGACCATCTCATCGTCCTTGTCTCACGAGGTTACCTCGTGACGTTGCGGTTGATCTTTCCATCGATATTACATATGTAGCGGATCACTGAAGCCGCCTCGGTTCTTCTTCGTCGTCCCGGACGAGGACCGGAGTCCTAATCTTCGACCGTCATGCACAGCCACAGAACAATACATGTTGGTCTCGCCTCTCGTGTTCGCCGGCCGTTTGACATATCTACCCTCGGAACTTGCTTTGACGCTTGGATGTCGTTGAAAGGACCTCCGTCGTCAAACCTAATGTGAGCTACGGCAATAGTAGCTCCATCCTGTCGATTCCCACGGGAAAGTCAAAAAGTCCGGTTCCTGCAGCTTTTCTGCGGTCAATCAATTGGCTCCTTGGAGTAGAGCATCGACGCACGCAGATCCTCTGTGCTTTCAGGAGTCTTAGACCCAAGGAGCTCTCTTCACAGCCTAGGGGTTTCTGCGGGACAAAAATGCTGGAGATCTTCGCAGGGAGGCTTCTGGAGGCCTTCACAAAGAATGATCAGTTCACGGTTGCCATCTGATGACCCCGGTCCATCTTTCCTGAGCCTCTCGAGTTCAATTCGAGCTTGTGATGATCGTAATCCGGATCGCAGTCTTTGCTTGGCGTGGTATCCTTCTCCCGGTCTGATACCCCGCTCATGTTGGAAGGCAACTTGCGTGGTTATAAACTGGCTGCTCTACCCATTGGTGAATCGCAACTCGGTCAAGAGTAACACTCCAAGTACCAGTCATAAGCGGCACCTGCCATGAAAAACCTTACGCTCGCCACGTGCTTGTTACTGGCTTCCTGGGTATCGTTTTCTCAAGGTGAATTACTCAGGTCATTCTTAGAATGTTATCGCAGGAGCTGAACTTCGCATATCAGCAGCAGCATCAACCTCTTCGTGCACTACGGAGGTCGTCACGATTGACCCATTCCCCACCACACCCGTAACGGAGACTGTAACGACTACTATCGTCACCGTCAGCCAGCCCCAGCCAACCTTCCTGACCCAAACCTTCTGCTCCTCGGGCGGGTGTACCACCGTAACCGCGATCCTCGATCCCTTCCCGACGACACCGGTCACCGAGACCATTACGTCGACATTCGTCACGGTCAGCCAACCTCAACCAACGTACACAACATTCACTATTTGCAGCTGAGCTTGGGGATGGGCGTAGCCCTTGATGGAACGGGTAGGGCTTGATGTCGGCGCATAGTCGGTGCATAGTGAATATGGTTCTGTCATTGTCGCCGGTTCCCCCTGGCTTGGCCGAGTTACTCGTTGATCCTGTACGTCCGAAGAAATGACCGAGGAATAACGTATCGTGGAATTGCCAAGATGTCCTCGTAGGTCACATTGCGTGGCTTGTCTACCGAGATATCAGACTCGGAGAGATGATTGATATAAGAGGTACCTCGCTATTCTCCTTGCTGACCGACACATACTCAAGGCCCACCATTGTTTCCACGTCATGGTGCGACTACAGTCTCTCCCCGTGATCTTGGCGCTGTTTGTGCATTTCGTAAGAGGTGAGTTGTCATGTCCGGACGCAGACAAGTTGATAATCATGCTTTCGTAGGACAACTTGAACCGAGTACTAGCAGCAGCCGGAGTTTCACTTGTACGGTGTCGACTACAACGTCCACCACCCATACTCCAAACACCGACACAACCTCATTCACTCCTCAAACGGACGGCGGCACCATGACGGACCGATTCTGCACTGCTATCACTGCAGTCATCGATTATCTTCCGGTGACGCTCACCTATACCGATTCCAGTGGATCGACGAGCACAAGTGTCAGCGTCCCAGAGCCCTCTTATAGCAGCACTACGTCGTGTAATTTCTGATGGGCGATTTGTCGCACATTCAGAACGACGAACTATCCAAAGCTTCCATTTTGCTGCAGCAGCAGAAAGAATGAGACTCGTAACAATCCGTGACTTCAACATTGGGCATCCTAATAATTTTACACAATAAGATCTACCGATTACAATAGTTAGAATAGGGTTGCTGATGTGTGGGATGGCTACATTGCGGTGAGATGCGGATTGATACAATAACAGATGAAGCTCCGAATAGCGAAGGCAGAATGTCCAATGAATCCACGAACGATAGAGATGTCTCATGCGTCCCACTCCCCGCCGCTGGCGAGCTGTGCAAACACTCCGTGTCTCTGCATGAGCGAGTCGTACGTCCCCTCCTCAATGACCCGCCCGTCCTGCACGACTACGATACGATGGCACATCATCATCACCGGCAGCTTGTGCGTGACCATGAGCGTTGTACGCCCCTTCCTCGCCTTGCGGATGGTGTCGATGACGATGCGCTGGTTCTCAGGGTCGAGGGCGGACGTGCATTCGTCGAGAATGAGAATCTTGGCAGGACGTGCCAGGGCGCGCGCAATGGCAATCCGCTGCGCCTGGCCACCGGAGATGAGCGCCGCGTTCTCGCCGACCATCGTCTCATAGCCCTTCGGTAGCGTCATGATAAATTCGTGCACGTTCGCCGCCTTCGCTGCGCGCCGAATGTCGATGGTGCTCAGCGATTTGTTGCCGTAGGCGATGTTCTCCGCAATGGTCGCGTCGAACAAATTCGGGTTCTGGCTGACCACCGAGACGTGTTCGCGGAGGAAGGTGACGTCCGTCTCCACAAGCTTGTTGGGGCCGATGGATATGCTACCGGTTCCAGGTTCGTAGAGGCGTTGAAGAAGGGCGGCGAGAGTACTCTTGCCGGACCCAGAAGCACCCACGATGGCTACGCATTCACTGTCCTTAAGCTGAAGGTTCAGGTCTCGGATAACTGGAACGTCAGGCCTCTCGGGGTACTCGAACGACACGTTCTTGAACGTGACAGTGCCCATAATCGGCGGTCGCAGAGTACCGTGTGCCTCGTCCGTATCGCTCGAGAGCTGCAGTAGTCGATCAAAGTCTCGTGTGGCTTGGATGGACTTGGGGATCTTGTTGGCTATGAAATTTCGAAATTAGTTCAAAACGTAAAACGATGTGTTAGTCACGCACTGAAAGCCATGAGCTGCCCTCCGATCGAAACGGTGAAAACAACGAGGTTCAACGTCTCGACCATGCGCAGATAGGTGTAAGTGCCGTTGGCGATGAGGAGCGCGCCGACGTAGAAGAGAAGGGCTTCGGCGAGATATATGAGTGAGCTTGCCACGCCAAACGAGCAACCCTCGACGAACGCGCCGCGGACGCCGACCGTCATCGCCCGGGATGCGGCCGTGTCAAACTGACGTTCAAAGACACTCTCGAACGCCATCGCGCGGATTCCCCTGATGTTAGAAATCGACTAGCGGAATACGAGTCAGAACATCGCAAGAGATCCAGACGCGATGAATTACTTACATCGTAGTACACCTTGGCCACGTCTTCTCGGGCGCGCTTGTTTCGGAGTTCACAGTTGCCTACGAGCCTAGCCTGCAACGCCATGCACCCCGCAAAAACAGGAGCAATTGCGAGGCCGACCAGCGTCAGTTGCCAGCCCTGCACCAGTGCCCACACGAGCCCGACGCCGAGCATGGCGGTGACGACGAAAAACTGTCCAATCGCGGTCGATATCAAGTTTCTGGCGTCCTCGCCGTCCTTGACGAGCGTCTGCACGAGACTCGCCGGCCCATTCTCGCTCCGATCGAACCACTTCTTGTCCTGCGCGAGCACAAGTGCGTACGACGTTTTCCTGATGCGCGTGACCCAGCACATCGCTGTCGTCTCCATGATCATGAACTTGAGGCCCATCGCGAGTCCATCGAGCGCGGCGACAGCGAGGACAATTGCGCCGTAGACGTTGATCAACCGCACGTCGTGTGCGCCGATCGAAACCTGCACCATGAGCTTCGAGAGCAGGAACGAAAATACGGGTGTCATCGCCCCGCTGACGACGCACACGCACAGCCCGAGGAACACCGCGGGTTTGTACGGTACAGTCGCGTACACGTGTCGCAGGAGTGCCCAGAGACCGAGTTGCGCGCGCTGCTCGGCCACGATCGCCGCTTCGCGCTCGCGTTCCTTGTCTTCATCGGATTTGGCATCCACCGTCACCTCCGCGAGCTCCGCAAGCTGCTTCTCGTCCCAGTGCGTCCGCACACGGCGTTCGGAACGCATGGACGCGATGCTTGGCATGGTGTCTAGCCGTCTACGTGATGCCGATGCGGCACTGCGCTCGAGCGCCGACTTGGCCACCTCGAAGTCGTCCGCTTCCTCGATGAAGGATGAGTTGGCGTGCGACAGGGCGGGGAAGTAGGAAGAAGTCGGAGAGAACTGTAGACTGTAGCGGCGGGTGAGCCTTGGAGTCGTGTGCGCCGGAGAGGGAACAGTTGGTGTGGCAATGGTCATGCTCGAGGGCCGGCGCCTGAGCGTCCGTGCGCTAGGAGCCAGGTCCTCAGCGGGTACGAGCGAGGCGGCAGCCGGCGTCGGTGCCCGTGAGCCAATGAGGTCGGCAACCACGTCGAACATCCAGTTGCCCATAGTGATCGGCCGTTGTGGGAGGACACTGTGCTGTACTGGCACCGCCTCACCGCCATTCTCCTTGTTCAGCTCGCTTAATGCGGCCCGGGCCTCCTCATTTATCTGTGCCTCCCGCTCTTCCGGTGTCCTGGAGGGGACGAAGCCTCCCGTCGCGCACTGGCTCGCGAGGAGCGCGCTGAACTCGCCGCGGAGGTGCTCTAGGTCAAGGCGGTAACCCTGCTCGATAAGCCGGCCTTCTTTGAGCACGTAGACAAAATCGTCCTCGGTAATTTGTGAGAGGTCATGAGTGATGACGATGGTAGTCCGGTTGCGGCGCCAGGCCTTGATCGCTTCAAAGACGAGGATGCGGGACGTGGCATCCAGCGCAGATGTGGCCTCATCTATAGGCAGCAGTCAGCACTCGTCGCTTCATCAGAAAAAGAAAGCTTACCGAGGATGAGAACAGTAGGGTTGCGCAAATGCGCGCGGGCGATGGCAAGCCGCTGCTTTTGTCCGCCGCTCAGGTTCGCGCCACCGTTGCCGAGCTTCGTATCATAGCCTTCGGGAAGATCTCTGACAAAATCGTGCAGTAACGCGACACGGCACGCCTCGATGACTTCTTGCCTAGTCGCGTCCTCCGGACGACGCGTGCTCCCTGGGCCAGCGAGCCCGAGCGCAACGTTCTCGTGCACGGTCATGTCGAACACGATGGACGCCTGCGAGACCGCGGCGACGTGCGCCCGCGTCCAAGCGTCGTCGAGGAACGTGACGTCCTGGTCGTCAATCGATATCGTTCCCTGCACAGGCATATACACGCGCGAGAGCAGCTGCGCGATCGTCGACTTTCCCGAGCCCGAGCCGCCGACGATGAACGTCGTCTCGCCCGCGGGAAAGTAGAGAGAGAGGTCTGAGAGGACAGGCTGGGTCGGGCGCGACGGGTAGGCGAACGTGACGTTGGCAATGTTCATCTCGCCTGCGCACGCTGCGGGGGTGATCTTGCGCAGGTGCTTCTCATGGCGCCGCGCGCCCTTTGTCTTCTTGTCGGACAACTGTACGGTGGACGCAGAGATGCCTTGAGAGGATGGCGCTGCGTCGCCCGCGTCCTCGACGAGTGTCACGAGGGAAACCATGGCGAACTTGCCCTTGGCGACGGTCACAAACTGGGGGATGCACATCTGCAGATTGCTGGAGGCGATGAGGCACGCCCAGAAGACGGCCATGACGTCTCCGGGACTGACGGTTCCATCCCGGACGAGCTTTGCGCCGAACCAGAACGCCTGGACGAACATGGCCATACTGACAAATTGGCTCGCGCCGGATGTAACGCTCCATACGGCGTCGCATTTCCGAGCGGCAAGCGCAATGCGGTCGAGCACGGTAGAAAGAGCGGCGTGTTCGTGAGGTTGGGCGTTGAATGCCTTGACGGTGGCAATCGCGGCCACCGCGCGGTCCACAAGTGAAGCAGCAGTCGCGGTCTGGGCGCGCTCGTGGGCGAGGAGAGGGCCGACTACACCTTGAGAAATGCCCTGAATGAGCATCAGAAGAGGGACGGCGGAGAGGATGACGAGGGTGAGCGCCCATGAGCGGACAAAAGCAAGGACGAGGCAGGTAACCGTGGTGGTGAGGTACTGGATGAGGTAGCCGGCGGCAAGGGAGCTGGCCTGGCGGACATCGTCCGTTTCCCTGGGAGCAGCGTAAGGTTACATGCGAGGCCAGGAAGTGAGTTGCGTACCTTGTGAACTTGGCCATCAAGCCACCGGCTCCGAGAGCGCCTTCGCTCTCGCCGTCGAGAGATTGAACGGTGCCTTCTGCACCCATCTTGGTATCGAACCATACCATGTCTTTGCGAACAATGGCCGCATATACGCGCTTGCGAAGCGCCATCACGTTGCGCTCTCCGGTCCACACCCACAAACACGAAGTGATACTTGTCAATGCAAGAGCGCCGACGCCGAGACCGACCAGCTGCAGGGCCGCGAGTCCGACTCCGTGCAGTAATTTGTGCTTGGCCGACTCTGGCGGGTTCGGGGTAAGGGGGAAGCTGGCAAAGGCATCGAAAGACTGTCCAATGGTGAGGGTCATGAAGGGAGCGATGCCGCCAGCGATCATCGAAAAGGAAACTGCGGGGAGGACGAGCAGCAGCAGGTCGCGTCTCGGGAGGAGCGAGAAGAGCAGGCTGATCGAGGGATTGGGGGGCACATATTGGGGGGCGGAAGATTGTTCGACTATATGCAATGTCGAGTCGGATACGGGGGTGAAGTCGATTTGAGATTTGGAGTCGTATTCGGTTATGGAGGACGTCGGCGACTGGGTGAGCTCAATGTCGCCGGCGGTGTGGCTGGGGGCGCGCACGTCGACGGCGAGCCCTTGTGGGCGGCGCATGATGCGCTGTGCGAGAGAGAGGAGACAGAGAGGGTGCCATGGTATGCTGGACCCATGTTTTTGTGGATGTCTCGGACGAGCAAAGCGTCGACACAATTGGCACGAAGACCGGCCACGGGCGGAGTCCGAACCCGTTCATTGTGTGCCTCTCGCTTTCCCACGCCCCTTATTGTTTCGCCCTCGTCCGCGCGGCCCGACCTGCCCCCACCGGGTGAGCCCAACACAAAAGCGTGTGGTTCCGGACTTTGCTTTCCGGACAACGAGGCCCGTTGTTCACCATACTGCATTCACCACCGCATATCTTCGGCAACGTTCTGCACGATGTCCAGTCATGTTCAGCGACGCTTGAAGCGATAAGCACCGTCTTTGACCTCACCCGACCGTAATATCGAGACATGCCATATCGCCAAGCTTACGAGCATTCTTGTCGGGTCAATGGTGCAGTGCCCGACACAACGCCACGCGATACCGAAGGTTTCTTTTTGCAGTCTTTACTCCATCTTCGGGCGGTGGGCCACAGCGGCCGTGTCGGATCAGCACTGCAAGTGTACGATACAAAGCCATAGCCACGCAATACCAGAGGTATCTACAGGACCATGCGCACTGTTCTCGGGCGATGTCTTGTTGGATCAGCAGTACAGACACGACACGAAGGTTTTTTGCAGCATTATGCACAGTGCTTACCGCTTGAGGGCGGCGGGCTCTTTTCGTTCATGTGAGTATCTTCACGCTAAATATAACCAGTTTCTTCGGACAATGGATGGGCAGCTGTGGTGCGCAGTCTGTTTTCCGGTGCACAGGTGCTGACGAGAATGACTCGCAGTGCCCGCGAATTGTTTCATGCTCCATCCTTTTGTGGCAGGTTCATCGCCGTAAAGTCCACTTGTTACGGCTTCACAGCGTTTCATTAAATGCCCGTGGGATCACGAGTCGCGGGACCGCAGATTGGTGCTTCTGGACGACTCAGACTCCCGAATGTTACCTACACCTTTGAGATTATTTTGACAACAGGGGCGGCTTCTGTGTATGCGAAATGAACTCTCGTGGACAATAACGCAATACCATCGAGGTCGGCCCACTGGCAAAACATTCAGGCCCTCTGTAGGAGAGCGCCCCACCGAACCCTTAGCCCACTAGAAGCATCGAAGGACATAGGTACGCAGCCCGAGCCCCAGTCGTCTTCAATGAGTCTCACACGTACTTGGTACTGCAAACGCGCTCAGCGATGGAACGTCTCGCATCGATATCGTCCTCAGCGACCGAAATCACATATACCGTTTAGAATTGCACGCATTTATAGGGACACAATAAGCTCATTTTCCGGAGTATAAACCAGATCCCGAATACTTTTCACCAATTTCGTCCCTGCAGTAGGTGATTCTCCTCAGACAAGGCATCAATGATCAATGTACCCGTACATGCCGAGGCTTCGCCTCCGCAGCTTGTCTGCCGCTTCTGAAACATTGCCGCGACGATACAATTCTTCCTGAAGGGAGTCGCCGCTTTGCCCGTAACGAGCCTGCGGTCCACGGTAGACGTTGCTCACGAGTTTATTCCGGAGAGCTTGCCCGTCGTTTTGCAATGTTCATATCCTCCTGTTCGCAGGGCGACACCTGTCCAAAAGAGCCATCCTTGCTCAATTGTTCATCGATGGTGATACCTCCACGTTGATCATCTCCCTTCGTCCTATGCAGGGCCAAGCCCGATGTGGCCGCTGTCAGTATGAGATGCGGATATGTGCACTGCTTGAAGTTCTCTTCCACGTTCCGGGACCGTGTCAACAAAGGGTGTATTGTCCTGGTCTTTCATGTGATGTACGATCGCGGGGTTCACGGTGATAAAACTCGATCCGTGCGCATGTGTAACTCTATGGCTGCAACTGGTGTTCGAGCCTAACGGACGTTCGTAACCTTGGGACGCTATTCTTTGGGTTAAACGGCTCACTCAGCATAGTGAGACGACGGGAAAAAGACTTGTCCAGCAGTTCTCAACGTAATCGGAGGAGCCCAAGGCGGATAGGCTAGAATAAGGACCAGTCACGTCAACGTTTCTTCCACGAGGTTTTGATTCGAGTCATATCTGACAGAAAACACGCAACCTAGCGTTCTACAATTTGATAATGCGCCTGCTCCTCATGAACCAAGCAGCAGCCGACAATGCCAAGGAATAGCCGACCAGCACAGTCATGGCAGGACCATCGCTCATATACATCGTCGGCATCGTGAGATTGACGAGGCCAGTCGCAAGGTTTGCCTGCATATATAGAGTTCTAGCTCAAAATACATCGAGAAGAAACTGGGAAGACCCACCAGAAGAAAAATCATCAGACCATTGCGATTGATGGCATCCAACAGCGCCGGCGCGCGCACTTCCTCACTATTCTCGGACTGATCCCACACCGGCACCGTGGGCGTCGGTGGGATCTCGAGCCGTGCATATCTGGAGTCATCGCGCGCGTATGCCGGACGCCGGGATGAACTCGACTTTCCAGCTGAGGCATACGTGGATGTTGATGCCCACGCCTGCGGTTCCGGCGTGACACTCCGGCGTACAGGCGATGTCGTCTCGTACCCTTGACCCTGCAGGGAGCCTCTACTTGGGCGAGATCGCGACTGTAACTTGGATAGGGACGGAGGAGAGAAGAACCACATGTCGAGGGCGAAGTAGCCAAGGATGAAGGTCGTGTTATAGGCAGCCACCCAAAGTATATAAGGCAAGTTCGCCTGGCAGGAGTACTTGAGCAACGCAGCGATGTAATGGACTCAGGAACCATACCATTCTGCGACTGACGCCTCCTCCGACACTTGTCCACTGGCACAACCCGAGCAACGTCCACCAAACGATGGCATAGGAACACAGTTCAATCGCGGTCTTCCCGGGTTCTCGCTCCGTCGCTGCCGCTTTGCTGACTACTTTCTCATCGTCATCTTCTGAATCGCTGCTGCTCGCTTTGAGCTTTCCATCATTCGAGGCCTGATTTCGACGTCTTAACTTCCTCAAGAAGTTGGGATCGGGAGGTAGGAGAATGGTACCAAGCGACAAGCCTAGCAGATGTATCGAAAGATAACCTAATCAACGAGTTGGTGAGTTTGTGCGAAGTCTCCTGACAAAAGATGGCAATGGCACCGACCTGGGAGCGATAAGATTCCCTCCTTGTTTGCGCTGATTATACCGATCCTCGGAGCTTCTAGGATGTAATGGGAGCCACCCAGATATGAAAGGGTAGTCTGATGAGCTATGTGAAGCTGTCATTAAACCGACATGGTGGGGCTCTCGGTAATGACAAAACCTGCCTGTTGCAACCAAAACTCCAAGACTAGTTATGGAAAATCTGGCAATCAGAGGGTCCAAAGCGGTTTGTACTACTGGAAGCACAGCAAGAGTAACGAAGAAGTTCCAATGGACGCCATACTCCGAAACGTGTTCCTAGAACCCGCTTCAAGAATTAGCGGGATGTACACCGGTGAGTTGGATGGGACTTGCAGGATAGTCGACTCCTTTGACTAGGACCACCCTGATCAACCCGAGAGCAAGAATAGGGAGTACTTTTCTTGCCGAAGCCATGATTTTGGGCAGAGGGTAGGCGTATAGGTGATCGGGGTTCTTCAGAACGGGCAGGGCTGATACGACGCCTTGAGAGAACACAAATGAGCCTACACCTATGTCCATCTGTTCATGAGAATATGAGCTTAGACTCAGTCTGAAGGTTGACAAAAGCCCCACCAATGAAACGCCGAATGTCTCGCACTTGGCCAACGCGCGGGGAAAGATGGGGAAATCCACAGCCAGAATCGCCAGAGTCGTCATGAGCATCATGTGCGCTCGATAGGTAGTCAATGCGGGCACCATAGGAATGACGTTCTTTTTTGCACGAGTTCTGTCCCCCATATTCCACGCCTCTGGGAGCTGTCCAGCTCGTGCAGTCGCTAGAGTTGAAGGGTCAGGAGAGGAAGGGCGTGATATGGGGGATAGCCCAAGGTTCGACGGTAGAGGTGTGCCCTGTTCAGGTCGTGGTATGAACACGACAACCAATGTGCAGCCCATGAGGATGCAATTGAGCCAAATGATGTGGTCGGCAAGAAACGTCATTGAGAGAAGGAGTGGGATTACGAGGAGGGCGTATTCTGCCCCGAGCCGAGGCACAGGAGAGACAACGGAGAGTTGGCGGGAGCGACATGCTGAGTGAAGTGCAATTGAAGTCTGGACTGTGCATAGTTAACTGACGCGCAACGAGGAGGACGAGATGCACATACCAACGCAGCCAGAGAGACCAGGTTAACATGGACAACGCTAGACCCTGACATCCCCGAGACAAACGCCTCTTTGGACGCCTTGTAATCAGCCATCATATGAGCATGCGCTGGTAACAAATCAAGCAGCCTTTAAGTTTCAAGAGGTAGTCCACCGCCGATGGTGGTGGCGATGACGTGCAGGCTGGTGGTGCTCCAGCGCACCAGTTCCTCTGAGGCTTGAGCATTCTCCCGTCCATGTATAACTTACTACTCTACAGTCATATGAAAGACACGAATATCTCGCTACTCAGGACTGTTTTCATACCATGCACCTGCGCTCTTCAGTACGCGACGCGGAAGCCTCGACGCCTTCTGGACTTGCCCCTTTATGACCGGTTCGGCCTGAAGTTTCAACGGGCATGTGGATTACGTCGGATGCATCAGAAACTTTCTATGACCCTCCACCAATCATACCGGCGCTGACTTGGCACTGTCCGAATACGCTACGCACACGCGTACAGAAAGCCGGGTAGGATGTGAACGCAGCGATCTCTGTCCCGGTACCGAAAACCCGTACTTTATGTGTCCGTCCGGTCTTGTGCGTACTATTCCTCCCGAGGGTGCATCGAACCTCGGATGCCAAAGGATATGACTCTCGACGGACCTTTCATGGTGTGTTGTCATTTGCGTTGTGATTTGTTATCCTGGCCGTGCTATCATGGTCTAGGTTTGTGCGAAGTCACAATACAATCTTGTTCCGTGAGCGCGCCTTTGCCGTAAGCAGAAGGGCTGATTCCCCGTGTAACATCAAAGCTGTGATTCACAGTTACTTCGGCGACTGTGTTCCAGCCCGCGATGGAGATTACATGCTTCTCTTCCCCCCCCCGGCGGGTACTTCTGGTCTATGGCGTGTTGTAGCTTGGACGGATCTCGAATTCGCATCGCCTCGCGCCTCCTTCGACCGTGCTTTAACTGATTTATAGTGGTCACGCTACATGATCAACTCCCTAGCCTTGAGCTTAACGTTGGCAGCCACTATAGCAATTGGCGTTGGGTGCGTACGCCGCAGTCACAGTTTTGATGTCTCGTGCTAACCAATTCACAAGCACGGTCAAAGTGGCTTCATTAATCCCTACCGTGCTGCCCTTGTACTCCACGATCGTGTTTTCCCATCGGCAAGCTGGGGGTGCACGTGAAGAACCCCGGATGGCGGTAGTAACGTTTGTAGTCCGGCAGCAGATGACGGAGAGGTGAACCCGGTGGATCCGATTGCAACATGCGTACATAAGACTGAGTGCCGCGCAGCAGCTTTTGCGGAGGTTCGTCCCAGTTCCATCATCCATCATGACCATGGCTCATAGTACTGGGTTCGCTGTGAGTCCATCAGTGGCAATCTGCCGCACGACTACGCTGGATCAACTTGCTACAGCTCATTGGTCTATGCGGATTGTTATCTGCCTTGTCTTCGTTCGTACTATTGGCATTCACCATGGTACGTCATGAAGCATCCGTGGTGGGGAATTTTGATCCATGTCTCTCGCAGTATTGCCTCGTGTGGAGATCGAGGGGTCAATCACGAGATGCCGGTGTCCGTGGTTTCGTGAAGAGTACCATGGGGAAGTATTTAATGTCGCTCATGGTCGTCGACTTCATACAAGGATGTGCTTTCGCCTTGAACCTCGTCTGGGCGCACCAAGGAAAGGTCAGGATGGACACCATCTGCATTGCACAGGGTTAATAGCTTTCATCAACCGAATTCTCTGCCACTTACATGCGCACAACCAGGAATACTATCGCAGATTGGAGAATTAGGGACAGCTTTGTGGTTTGTTACGTTCTATATTTGCTTCTTCACTCATGTTGACCAGCTTTCCAGGTCTCTCGTCATTGCAGCACAGACGTTCTGGTATGTATGAACTCTACTTTCTCCGGTCAAGCGCCCATCCCGGTTACTGGCAGTGTGCTATTCATCCAGTGGAAACCACCGAGTTGGGCCACACCCATCGTTCTCATAGTTTTCTGGATGTTTGACTTCATTATGCCCTGGATTGGATCCTTCGCTATTACCCACAGGCGGGACTGGTCATTTTGGGGTCCGGCCGGTAAGATGTGCCTGTCTCGCACATCGTTCGAAGTAGTAACATGGTTCCCATCAGGTGCCTGGTGTTGGATCTCAACGAAACACGAAGTTGAGCGTGTACCTTTTGTATATGTGAGCATGAAATGCAGATCCTAATCTGCAAGCTGTCGAATGATGGATCTAAGGTTTGGGTGTTCCTCACCGTTTTCGTCTCCTCTATCCTCTATGGTAGGCAATCACCTATGTAGTCTCACAACCTTCCACGAAAGTGTACTGATAAGCATGACCAGCTCTGATATACCTCAAATACGGCGGCTTCATCGAAATGGACCCGTGTGGCCGACCGAGGGGTTTACGTGGCTGGAAAATGCATGCCAAGTAATTCACATGTTAGTGGCTCATCCAACTTGAGCACCACCGGTGACGAATACGGCGCGGTGTCGCGTCATGGCCACAAGGTTGCAAAACGTCTGATGTGGCTGCCTATCAGTGCGCTACTTTCTATCTGCCAGCCTCGTCGTGGAAGGTGCTGAGCATTGGTTGTCTCAGTTTACCTGATTGTCGTCCTGCCCGTAGCTATATGCCGTATGGGAAGTCTTGCAAGCTGGACTCCCCCCTTTTGGTTTTACATTTTTGCAGGAACCTGCTTCGCAAGCTGTGGTATGATTCGATCTATTGGTGCATGCAATCGAATATTTATGCCATCTCGTGACGCAGGAGTAGCGGACTCGATCCTTTTCCTCTTCACGCGGCACACGCTGATACAAAATATATTGAACTCGTCGAAGCCGACGATAGCGGTACATCTTACAAGACAGCAAATCACCGTTCATGAAGACCAAGATGTTGATCTTATCCAGAGTTCACGCAAAGTAGATTTCGCAGTCAAATTGGACCCTATTCCGAGCAGGAGCGAACTCAATCAGTCCAAGTCGTGGTCGGAGGCACGCCGTAATCTGACAAGTCAAATCCACGGGTCAGATCAGAAAATAGCGAAGTTTGTCTGAGGATGAAGTGCGATCGTGCAATACGCCACGACTCGTAATACGCTGGTGAAATACACTGCGGTCAGTAGTATTGCGTATCATTGCGTATGATGTCGCTGCTTTGCAGACTTATTCGTTTCTCCACGTACAATTTGCGATCACAATATGCGGCCGTGCTGCCTTTCGTAAATTAGTGTAGTATTGTTCGAGACGGTTTCCCTGTGTAGTAGACGTACAGACAAGGGTGATCCGGGTAAACCCATGGCCTATGACCAGGATTCCGTATCCTCGATGATGATGACGCTACGCACTTACTGTGTAATGTGTAATTACGAACTTTGTACCATTATATGGCTGATTATTGATGCTTGCCCGATTGCTGCCAGCACAACTGCATCTGGTACGGTTGCCCAACAGGGTCACGTCAAAAGTCGCGTCGTCGCACTGCGTCGCACTACCTCAGAGCTCCGGGCCGGTGTATGGAAAGCAAGAGTGAGGCTCGGCGAGAAAGGAGATGGGACTTGAGGAAACTGCAAACTGGAATAAGTGGGGCTGGTAAAAGATGGAGACTGGCTGACCGATGGAAGATATACACTGCTAGTATTCATCTGGTGCATATAAGGTGTGCCTGCCATGGGCTGCGTTCCGTGAGCGGGCGGCCACCCTGTTGATAGGGAAAAAGTTAGAGGCCGATGTAGGCATGGCGAATTCGGGTCACAGTTGCACGGCGCTTGCATGGACCTCAAGACTCAGTCGTAAAGAAGAGAAAACACGTATATTGGCCTCATTATATGTGGTACAGCGAGGGTGGAGCAACATGAAACGCCCATTGCAAGCGACGGTGGACCAAGACGACCGCGACGCGTTCAACGTCGGCCGCGTACCGTCACATGATCGTCCAGCCAATTGCTGCGGCAAGTTTCGGCCAGCGTAATGGCGAAACTCGACCCGGAACTCGGGAACTCGCTCGTCCGAACTCGGAGTTATCGAGCTGGACCAAGTTCGAGTGATTTCGATCCGATTCCCGAGTTTACTCGACTCGACAACAACACTAGAGGCAGTGCGACTCAGTGCGACGACGGGACTTTTGACCTGACTCTGTTGGGCAACCATAATCTGGTCTGCATATGCACAGCGACGATTTGGCGACGGTGACAGCAAGTGACAGATTGTGATCGAGCCAGGTACAGCGCCATGAACAAGACCACTGCTTGGCAGGGCCCACGATCTAGTCAGATCTTGGCGACGTACGTAGCTTTAACGCCTGCCAGCACTCAAGCGATATCTTCGAATTTTAAAGCTTCGTGGCTGGAGGCGGTAGAGCAGCTCATGAGTCGCGATGTGATTAGGTAGGCGCGCATCTGCTTGTTGATATTATTGCACACACTGACACAACGGTTATATGACGGACAGGCCGCCCATGCATGGCCTTGGGCCAGACCAGCGACACTTCTCGTATGGTCACATGCATGACATTGATCTGGCGAAATAGAAAGACCGCTCGCCATGTTCCCAGCCAAAGCCAGCTTCGGACCTTGAAGTCCACGACAACGCATCGTTCCTCCGACGACCGATTCGGACTAGCACCTGCGTCCCAGTGTCGTCGCAAAGGAGTTCTGATGGACTTGCCTCAACTCGACTTTATTCCGAACCTTTGGATCTATGCCAAGCTTCAGCTTCGCTATAATAATAAACAACAATGGACATAGACGCCACTGAAGGACATCGAGCGGCACGCCATGGTCACGAAGCAGGTATCCCGATATTAGCCTAGCACTTCTTTGCCACTCGTCAGCCATATGAGGCTGCACGAAGGCGAGGAACCGAGTAGTTATAGGCTGCTGTCTGTGTGATCGAGCCACATTCAGCCACGATCAAGAAGGCAATCTCGTCGCTGGTTCCTCCACTTGATCCCCATCGCTATCTTTACTACCGCTTCGGAGCGCTGAGAGCACGCGCACAAGAAAGCATACTATTGGTCTGCCCCAACATTCCATAAATGCTGAGACGTATAATCTCCCAATCCGCTTTTTCTCTCAAAAGTTGACACCGTGACGCCTAGTCTCCTTGCGGTGATCGTCGCCGGCCGTTTGAAGCGTCGTCCGAGTTTGCCTCAAGGACGATGGCCAGTGCCCACCATGCTGGCTATGCGGTAATCAAAGTTCTCGGCGGGTGCAGGACCAGCTATGCTGAGAGATTATGCGTGTAGCTCATTGGTATCGCGGGACTGATATCTGCGATGTCTTCGTTGACACTGCTGACGTTTATTGTGGTATGCTGATTCTACCATGAAGTTGCGGTCTGCTCATCATTGCAATAGTATTGTCGTGTCTACGGCTCGGGACGGAAAACCCTGGACGAGGGCGTTCGAGGGTTTATGAACAGCACGATGGGAAAATACTTGATATCGCTCATGGTCGTGGACTTCATCCAAGGATGTGCATTCACATTGAACTTCCTCTGGGCACGACATGGACATATCAACGTGGATGGTGTCTGCGTTGCACAGGGTGGGTCAGTTTCATCCATAGGATCTTCCGCCGCTTATCTTCTGTAGCGATACTCTCGCAGATCGGAGACTTGGGAATTGCTCTGTGGTGCGTGAGTCTACGATACACCCGAAAGGTTACCCTCGCAAACACCGACCAGGTCCTTCGTAATTGCAATGCATACTTTCTGGTACGTATGTATAGCCTTCCTTGTCGTTCCACTCTCACGTCGAGTCGCGGTAGCGTTCTCTTTATTCAATGGAAGCCACCGACCTGGACCACACCCGTCGTCCTCTGCGTTTTCTGGACATTCGATATCATGATGCCATTCATAGGCTCATTCAATCTCGATCGAAAAGGGAGACGTTGGACCTTCTGGGGAGAAGCTGGTAGGATTTAATGCTTTGGCACAGAGGTACTCTCTCGACGGAATTTCAGGTGCCTGGTGCTGGATATCGTCGGACTATGAGGTTGACCGCGTGCCTTTCTTATACGTAAGCATAACGTCTCGTACACAAGTCGACCGGCTTCGAATGTGCTAATTTCCGAGTATGTGTTAGGCTTGGGTTTTCCTCACCATTTTCGTTTCTTCGATCATTTATGGTGTGATGCTTCATCTTGATGACCGCTTGGTTGAGAATTAACCCATGCCTACCAAATTGTCCAGCTTTGATCTACCTCAAATTCTCTGGTTTCATCGGGATGGACCTGCGGGGGCGACCTACAGGCCTCTTCCAGTGGACGAAGTGGACGACTCCATCTACGCGACAAAGTATGATGCATATTGGTGGATCGACCGGTCATAGTTCAGGCAGCGGCGACGGCTCTGTATCTCACCATGCTCACACTGTCGCGAAACGTTTGATGTGGTTGCCCATCAGTGCGTTGCTGTTTGTATCACCATGTATTGAGAACGTCTGAACGTGGACTCTGGTAGTCTACATGGTCGTCGTCATTCCCGTGGCCATATGTCGGATCGGTAGCCTTGCTGGATGGGAACCTCCATTCTGGTTCTTCGTCTTCGCCGGGATCTGTTTTGCCAGTTCTGGTAAGCATAGGATTGAATCAGCTTTTTTCCCCTTTATTCTATACCGTTCTCATAATAAGATCCGTCTGTTTGTAGGAACCTCGGACTCGATTCTGTTTCTCTTCACGAGACATACACTCATCCAGAATGCATTGCACAAGCCGAGGACAGCCACCGCGGTTCATATAACAAGGCAGCAGATCACCGTGTGCGATGACGACCAAGAGGATGCTCGCAGCCCCCGCAAGGTGAATTTCCCTGTCGAGTTGAATTCCATCGAGAGCAGGGATAAGCACGACCAACTATGGGAGAATTCAAGCGATACCCCAGGGTAAGCAGCCATCGTCGGGACTCGGGCAAAGCGGCGAAACAGTTTGTATAGCGGTAAATGTACCATATTTCTATTGTGTTGTTTCCGCTGCTGTGATCCGTCAATTGACGTGTGTGCTGTTCACGGTGGAACAAGGTTTCGCTCAGGCGATAGCCTGAGTATAACTGTCCCCTGATTCTTCGCGTATGCGGCTGGCGGCCGCAGCTATCGGCTCCGGTGCTCGTCTCGGTGCTTGTGACATACTCCACGCATTGCTTGCATAACAAGACGCCATTGATTACAGCAGTGCATGTGAGTAACAGGAGTTCCTATGGTCTCCTCGACCGCGGGGCAAACACAGGATATGGTAGGCTGAAGCTGGTGGCATGTGATCGCGATTTGTTGCGCCGTCCTGCTTATGCCGGGATAGTTGTCGGCGACAGGCCGCTGCGGCAAGACTCGGCTCAGGCGCATTCGAGGCGTAGTGGCTGTGCTGGGCATTTTGCTCCTCCTTCTTTTGCCTTCCGATCGTGCCCGAAGCGACGATGTCGGGACTCGCCGGGGGTGCTGGGGCCCAGCTGCAATATTCACCGCTTGCCGAGAGCGCTGCGACGACCGATCTCAAAAGGTCTGCCACCCACGCATAATCACCTTCGCTTTTCTGCCGTGAAAACGGCCTCGAACGGGCCATTGCCTGGCCTGAACACCGTGCACGCTCGTGACTCGCAGGGGTCCATGCTGTGGATTCTGACGATATCTGGCTCTGAACCCGGTGCTGATAGTCTCGTCTGGTCCTAATAGACGATCTGGCTCTGAGCAAGAAGATGACGACGGCAGCAATGGCAAGAAGAACGGGAAGGGCAAGCGTCGCAAAGTGAATCATGCGTGCCTATACTGCCGAAGAAGCCACATGACATGCGACGAAGGTCGACCTTGTCAGCGATGGTGCGCATCTACAGACACTACAACAAACTGGGACAGCATGTTAATGCATATGCATCCAGTATCAAACGCGAGATTGGGCATCTGTGCCACGATGAGCCACGGCAATCATCGTCGCGTTCGGGCGACAAGTCGACCCCTATCCCATCCACTGCCGCGACTCCGGGCACGGCTACACCAACAGCCAATGGAAATGTGTCCAGGACGCTTTCTGGTACCCGATCCTTCTGATTGGTCAGGAGCTTGTCCTGACCCTCGTGGTCTGTCGACAGGCACAACAATGTATAGTGCATCGCCGATGCAATCGGCGATGCCTTCGTCATGGATGTCAAACGTCTCGACGCAAGGGCAGAGCTCGAGGAACACACTACCATATCAGCCAGAAACAGGCGAATTCTCAGTACTCAGGCAAGTCCATCCTGGCTGCTGACACCATGCCCCCCTTTCGCTTACCATGACAAACAGCAACTTTCTCGAGACCCTCGACGAAAGGTCCTTCTTCAATTCCGTCGGAAACCCACCCACCGTCGGCCCACCAACTCTCGTCAACGGCGCCTCCTTCTCTTCCGCTCCTCTCAGCACATCTCCAACCGCTAGCTCGGTCATCCCCGGGCCTCTGGAATCATCACCGACACAGCCATCGCCATCTTTGACCAACGCCACCACCGCACAGACACCTACATCTCTCAACACCACTTCAGACACAACTGTGATCAAAGTCGAGGATGATCACCCGCACACGGAGGCTACTCCGGTGGAGGCCATCTTGCCAGCGGCCACCAAAGCCGAGCGGTTCTTGCTCACTGCGGCGGACCAGGAGGATGGCTCGCGGGATCAGCGTCTGAGCAAAGTGATCAGGAGCAAGTACGAAGCTGGCCTGTTGAAACCATACAACTATGTCAAGGGCTATGCGAGGTTATCACGGTGGATGGATCGAAAGTATGTGGGATAATCCTTCGGAACCAAGCAAACCAAGTGACCATATGTAGTGTATCTCAGGAGTCGAAGCAGGCGATACTGCAGCCTCTATCAATCGTCAGACCGAAGTTTCGAGCTATTGCTCAATCCCTAACGGATATCGTATGTCATCTTGCATGCGGGATCGGCAGAGACTAAGTCATCACATCTTCAGGATCTTGTCTTCATTGAAGAGGCGTTCGAGCGGCTCCTGCTCGATTACGATCGAGTCTTCTCTGCAATGGGGATTCCCGCCTGTCTCTGGCGCCGTACCGGCGAAATATATAAGGGAAACCGAGAGTTCGCAGAACTTGTCGGTGTGGACGGGTATATGCTGCGTGACGTGGGTTTACTTTTCCGTATCACAAAGACCTGCTTTGACGTAGATGTGTTTGCAGGGCCGACTTTGCATCTACGAACTTATGGCTGAGGATTCAGCGGTAAACTATTGGGAGGTCGGTGCTCAAGGCAGTCTTCCACGTGTTGATCGGTCCCAATGACTCACACACAGAAATACGGTCACGTTGCTTTCGACTCAAAGCAGAAAGCAGTGCTCACATCCTGTGTGTTGCGATATAAGCCTTTACTCGCCCCGCCATCGATGTCGACGAAGAAGCTGCTGGATGCGGACATGATGCCGCCGCAGGAGGAGGGTCTCATCAACTGCTGCTTCTCGTTCACAATCCGGAGAGACACAAGCGGTATACCGAGCATGATTGTTGGTAATTTTATAAGATGTTAATTTTAGGATTATCTATCTGGATATATTGATTGAATGTACAAGATTTCTTCGCGTTACGCTGCTCCGACTGGCAAGGCTATTTGGTCCTCTCCCCTTGACAGAGGCAGGTTCGGGGTCCTCATCACTGACTATGCACGTATCAGGCACACATAAGGCAAACAATATCACGGAGGATAGCATGATCGGCTTGGGACATTCGAAAGCGAGCAACATGGCAGCATATTCAACCCACACAGAGTCCCTCCTAGCAGTTGGATAGGCACTAATGGGTACAAAGTTGCAGGTCATCCCGCCTGGGATATTGCGCCAGGGTAGCAGCATTCTCAGCAGCAAGGAGCCAGGGATCCTGGCATAGCTTAGCCGCTGTTGGCCTTGACTCCGGTTACTATTGCAGGATTTTTCACATGAAGCACAGGATACCAGCATTATCTTCGCCATGAAGGCGTGTCTCCAACGACTCCAGCGAGCGTATGGGGAGTATCTTCACGGGACTGGATCCACCGGCCATCGGACTTGGAATAAAACCGGTAATTGAGATCCTTGTGCAGTGAACGCTCGAGAAGAGTGGGCGGAGGTGGACCCCTGATGGCGACCATGTCCCGAAGATGAGCATGATCCGTTTCTTGGCCGGTCTTCAGCCAAGCTGCGAAGGCATTCGAACGCTGCTTTCTCGCGGGCTATGCTAGAGTTACGTATGCAGACCTCGAGCGCCACATACTTGTGATCCCTGATGTTCGGAATGAGCTGTGGGGTATAATGGCGACTCGATGTGCTTTCAACGTACTGCAAATCGCGACATGATCAGACTGTAGCTGAACTTCCGTAGCCAAGCTAGGACAGAACTTGATATCGAGACTGGAATAGTTGGCCGATTCGCACGTTGTAGAATATCTCTGGGCTATACCAGGGAAATGTCTCTCCCTGTATCTTGGCAGAGGACTCCAGGAGAGCAAAACCAGTGGTAGCAGGAACGCGAGGAGGGGACATTGCTCGTATGGTCTGGCGGATCCAGCTGCGGAACATAGTCTTGGCCAATATAGAGTAGTACGACGCCAGCGAGCTTTAGACTTGATCTACTTGGCGTATGCGAGCGGAGGATGTCAGAGGAAGAGCCACCGACGCGTGCACTGAACTTGTAGGCGCAGGCTTAGCCACACCGAAGTGCTTTTTGAAGATTTGGGCATTGCACATATATCAGCACAACAAGCCTCTAGGTTGGTATGTGCTATACACACCCTGATATTTCACTGTCATTGGTCGCCAACGTCCCCCAGTCGGTCTGGTTAGTAGAGAGAGAAGACTCTGGAAGACATATACCACCGACTCGTTTATGTAGAATTAACAGAATCCAAATAGATATCCAGCATACATATGTAGTGCGCTACAGAAAGCGAAAGCTGATCAACTAAACCGGCCTCCAAACTCTCCGAAAATGATGGCAGATAACGTCGTAACCTCAGCTACATTGGAGACTTGCTACAGAACAGTTAGTAAGATGCTGGAAGATATGTTGGGCATACGTACATCAACCAATTCGTTCGGTAAAGAGGTCAATGCCAGGTTGCTCCATCTCGCCAGACCTGGGAGCATGCCTGCTAACCGTACCTGAATAGCCTCATCCTCTGCGATCTGCGTACTTTTGTCTCCGAGATCCACTGGAAGATTGACGTCCCGAAAAATACTCCGTTCGAGCCCAGTGAACAGCACTTCCGTGGCCCGGTCTAGACAGAGTTCCAACACACGTGCAAAATCCGGGCCTGCGAGTACTCGCTTCGTCTCGGACAAGAGATCGTCGAAAGCAGGCTCTAGATCAGTGTGGAGTTGCGGCGCTGGATATAGCGGAGGGTCAGGAGTAAGGTCGGATAGGGAGGTGGGCGGGAGCAGGGAGGCGGACATGGAGGGTAATGACGATAACGAGGATTCGGAGGCGGAAACAGTGAGCTCGCGAGGCGGTAAGCCGAGCGGCGCCGGTGGTGCCACTCGAATGCCGCCTTTGGTGAGCACGTGGTGTAGCATTTCCGTGGTGGGTGGTAGGAGTGTTGAGAGGAAACTGCAGAGTACAGTGAGGACACTGGTATGCGCTGAGAAAATATCGCACGAACTTTATCCTCCTCTCTGTGCCTTCGAATGTCACCTCGTGCTCAACACGTCGACGTACATCATGAACCAAACGGTGAAGTTCCATTGCCGTCATCTGAGTCTTCAGGGACACCGGAGCGAAAACTTCTTCCACCGCTCTTCTCGCGCGCTCGCCAACGTCCTTCCATCCTACATGCAGGATCCACCAACTCAACGTCAAAAACATTCTCTCAGTCTCTCCGTCGACGCTCCCATCTACGTCTCTCGTCTCCTCCTCTTCGGCCAACGCTAATGCACCTCCTGACATCCAAGGCAAGCCAATATCGCCACCGAACCACAGATGCAAAGCCAGGCCGATTCCGGGTTTAAGGAGATGTCGTTCCTGTTCCCTCCGACGTTCTTCGCGCTCTGAGCGTATGACACTTGCAATGTATCTTCTGCGGGCGAGTTGAGTGAGTTGGACATGCGTGAAGAGCGCAAGAAGGGTCGAAGCGTAAAGGACGGTGAGGGTGCGGGTGAATGCTGTGAGAGAGAAGAGTGTGTCGTTAGTGTCGAGGATAGTGGAGGTGCAAAGTCCATACTAAGCATCTTGATCTCCTTCCAAAGCTCAGCTTTAGTACGCGTGTTCGTGCTAGGCGGATGCTGCAAGCTGGAATCAGCACACGCATGTACGTCCATACCTAAAGATATGCACCGACCTCGTTCGCGTCACCAATCGCCGAGCTGACGGCGGACGTCGACAGGGAGTCAGGCAGGGACTGTGCTTGTGACGCACGTCCAGATGATCCTGCGGCAGACGAAGCAGATGTTGGTGAATGCCGCGAATCGGGATTGGCGCTGCCGGTAAACTCTGTAATCCAGCTGCGCCCTGTATCACCCATACTGGATTGGCCAAGACTAGCGTCAAGGAATGACGAGCCTGTCAGAGACCCTGGCCCGGGTTCATCAGGACGATCAGGAATAGAAAAGCTTGACATGGACATGGTAAGTGAAGTTGAGCGGGATGGAGCTTGGCTGCCAGACAGCTCCTGATCTGACGCCGTTCTTGTACTGTGATCTGGTTCGGTAGAAGGCGCCGTGGGCATTTGTATTTCAATTGGCAGCGGTGCTGGGTCACTGGGAGCAGCTTTCGGTGGTTTGGCTTTGGCTTTCGACTGTAGCTCCGCAGTGAGAGTCTCTACATCCATGCCATCCAGTATTTGAGAGGCAAGTGTCGGCATTAACCCCATGATCATATAGGATGCGTCTTGCTGGTTCTGTTCGAAACGTCTGCGTAGGCTGCCCAAGACATGGCGTGAACAATCATGACATTCCGCAAGCTCAGGACGTACTTCTCCCTCGCGTTGCGTTCCTGGACCATCCGGTCTCGTAGCTCGGATACGCTTTCAGCAACATAGGACCCGGCTAGGTAGACGCCGGCAACGACGCCTCCGGTCCTGAGCAAGCCCTGACGGCGTTCATACACGTAATCTCCTAGTCTTCTGAGCATAATCGCATTGGGAGGGGTCCAGGTGGTGGGCGTAGCATAAGACCGTCAACTGAGTGCCCGCCGAACACTTGCGGGAGGCGCGTAAGAAACACGAGGAAGAGGTGAGCGAATCCCGTGCACAGCGCAACCGCAACTTGTGCTTCGTCCACATCCAACATATAGCATGGTTCGTTCACTCTTCCAGATTCGCTACTCCATTCCAACTGTATCCACAGGGAGGTGGAGCACGGTACCCTTATCCCAAACACGTCTGGTCTCCAGCCGGTGCGTTTACCAGGATAGCTTGCCGTTTCTTCCCGCTGAACGTACATTCGTCGTCTGGTCTCGATTCTTGGATTTCTTGCGCCTTCATCCATGACCTGCACACCTTTGCACACTCAGGAGGCTGGTGGGCGCGCCCCTCAAACTGGAAGACGAACACTGCCATCACCGCTGGCGGAATTGCGGCCATCGTGCTTGCGACATGGAACATTAGCAAGGACAAGGAATGGAGAGACGTGGAACCTTCGAAGCCCATTCCGTCCATGAACGTGAGTGTACTACGCGAATCCTCGGGTCTCATGCTCAACGCTCAGCAATCCGTTCAGTGGACTAAACAATATAAGGATAGGGCGAAGTCGAGCGATTCATGAGTTGTACCATGTTCGCAACATTGCGATCATAGACTCGAGTAAACACGTTGACCTGTTCACTGCGCCGAAGCCGAAGATGCGAACGGCCGGGCATATCTCGCTACGGCTCGAACATGTTACTGTCCCTTGACTCACATCGGTAACCCGACGTGAAGCTGAATACTCTCCTCAACCACAGGGCCCTGGAGATTGTGATTGCCAAAGGTTGACCTCAGCGAGAGTGGAGCAGAGACTCCTGTATCTTGGCTGTGACGCCCCTTGTCCGGATATTGAATCTTCGGCAAGTACAAAGTCGTTGCTCACTTGTGTTGGTGTGCACGTCGCTGTGATATAGCTACGGACTTGGTCTTCTTACAGATGCGCTGACGTTGCATTGTCGTTCGTTCTTCGAGAGGGATGCTTACTAGAGCTCGGCCCGGTCTTCCTGACTTCGCTTTTAGACTGGTTTCGCGCGTTTATCCGCTCAAGCGACCGAACATCTAGATGGACCCCTTCGACCTACTCTAGGTTGGTCATAATCCATGGCAAACTATCCCGTTGAGCTCGCCAACTTTTCTGTCATCAAATTTTACGCTCGATCGACGGTATTTCTGCCTTGCATCCATTGGAAGTCGTGCGAGATGAAACTTCTTCATTGGTGTCGCGTGGTTATCGTCCCTCGGAACAATGCAAATCACCGCCCGGGGCGAAGTGAAGACCGCATGCCGGAGCCTCGTGTTTACCACTCAGGTCACAGCTGTTCATGTTGGTGGATCCTGTACGCTCCCTGCCCCTCCAGCACCCCAGTCTGGATTCATGATGGAGGTTCGGCCACGCCAACGCGGGTCGCAAGATGCTTCCTCCAACGCGCACAGTTAGTGCTTACCCGGCGCCAGTGCTTATATACGGTGCATGAGGGACCGAGCATAGATCCCTCCCTCTCCCACTCAGGTTAGCTTCGTACGTCCGTTGGTCTTTGTCGCATAATTTCCCCACTCTAACCTTCGCCTGCAGCCGCCGGTTCGGACAAGCGTCATGGCCTCCATCATAGACTTTGAGCCACCCACAAATGATATCCGTCTCTCCCCTCCTTTCACCCGAAATCCCTCGTACCGCAACCCCCACCCTCGTAGTCCGTCACAGCAGCAGCGGGCGCCGCATCAGCAACACTACCGTCAGCCATCTGCCAGCAGCAACGTTACCTGGATCCCTCCCTCGCGCTACATGCGCCAGCCTGCACAACCTCCACCTGCCTCGCCCATTCCCGTGCCACCGCCGGCGCATACCGCTCGCGGCTACGCAGAGAGCAGCTACGGATACGGGCCGGACGCGGACTATCGGTCGCCGCTGAGACGCCAGCAGAGCCCTAATCCGTACGGATACCGAGGCCAAGAAGCTGAGCGACTAGAAGTGGCGAGGGAAATAATAGAAACAACAGATACAGTGGACGACGGCGACGACGTCGAACTGCAGACCAAGCTGCCTCACGCGCAAGGACAAGGGCGCTTCATCGGAGGATTTCTAGCCAGTATACGTCGTCCCTTCGGTCGATGGATGGGTGGGCCACGTCCGCGCCCCCACATTGGAACGGGGCTACCCACCCCGCCTACTTCGCCCGGTCGCGATATGTCTCCGCAGCCGCAACCCATAGAGAGCATGATGGCGCAAGCTCGCGCGCAGCAACAGCAACAGCCCTCGCCCATGAACTCGCCCTCCCGTGACGTGGAGCCGCTGCAAATCCCGCGCAGGGGCATGGTCCCTGTTCGCCAGATGACAGCCGATACCATGGATACGGCACTGACGTTGCCGAGATACTCGGTGCACCCGCCGACGCCGACAACCGCTCAGCGAGAACTCGAAGAAGCTCGGGAGCGCCATCGCGCACAGCAGGAAGCGCGTGCCCGAGAGCAACTCCACGAACAGCAGCAAGCGCCTCAGGTTGAGGGCGCTCCGCAAGCCGCAGACGGCGAACACGAGCGCTACGTTACCTATGTTGCAGTAGAATCGGACGCGGATGGTCGATCGGCGTTGCTCGCACCTCCGATGTCCCAACGTTCGCCATCGCACAACTCAAGAGGCCCGTCGGATCATCCTGCTATAGCCGAACAGGATGAAGACGAGCACGAGACGGAACGTGCTCCATCCGCTGCAGGTAGTCGTCATTTAGCAGAAGGGCCGGACGGTGATCGGTCTATCCCAGCTGCCACGTCGCCTCCGCAAGAGAGTAGGCCGCAGGAGGATGAGCTGCCGCGTAGCCGCGATGTCCTCACCAGGTCTCCAACAGCGTTGTCAGCAATGTCCCCTGCCCCGGACGCTGCGCGTAGTCCAGTGGGCTCACCTCGTTTGGCGGGGCAAGTCGCATCACCCGTGTTCGTCGAACCCCAACCGGCCTCCGACTACGACAAGATGTCGTCCGCGTTCCATACTGCCCCATCCGAGTTTTCGACATTCGCTTCCTACTGGGATCGGGTCCAGCAATTTTTGCACGAGCTCGCCGATCTCCCGTGGATGTCTACACGCGTTACAACAGATTTCATACCCAGCGACAACCCACGCAGCCGGTACGAAAAGTACCGGCTGCGGCATCATCCGCAGAATATGGTCGAAGCAGGAGTGCCACCCGACTCTTGGTATGCGCCAGCTAAAGGCCATCGGGACCTCGACCTCCTGGAGGGTGGTCCAGCGCCTAGATACGAAGATGGATACCCATATGGAGCAGGCTCGAGCATCAGCCCCGCCATGGCTATGGCTACCAGATATCGATCGGCGCCGCTGTATCCAAACATGTATCCTGGACAGCACCCATCTTCGCAGGTTGTTGGACTCTCCGGGGAATACGCATCGCCCGAGCAACACCTTCATCGGATGGCATCCGGATATGGCTCGGCGCGGTCACCCCCTCGCACACGGTTCTCCCTGATGCGCGACGAGAGCATATACTCCAATGGCGGGCGAAGCCAGGACCATGTGTGGGGCAGCCCGCGGTCCGACAGGTCGGTTCCGACGATCACAAGGGCACGTTCCCCTGCTTATCCAGTCGGAGGTGGGGGACACCAGAACCAGGGGCGACAACCACCTACATCTCCATCAGGGTCTGCGCTTAGGGACCGGTTCAGTTTCCACCGTCGGTCAGAAGCAAGCGGCGGTAGAAACTCGGTCTCGTGGTATAATCTTGGCAGCGGCCGTCCCAGGAGTGGAGCTTCATCCGCCGGGCAGGAGTTGGAGGGACCGTTGAACATGATGTCCATAGTCTCGGGCAACGGCGTGCAAGCCACGCAATGAACGACAGACACTCGGCATTCCCAAAGGACGTGGGGGTATACGGGACGCCGCTTATTAAGTTATGTTCCGTACTTGACATCGTACGAAGAGCCTGAGTTTATAGTCGGTTTTTCTGAAAAGACGTGTATTTCACATTATTTTGCGGCGTTATTCCAGTCATCTGCGAAGGTGACATCGGAATGGCAGTCCAAGGAGCCCTTCGCCATCTTGACCGAGCCCCTTTAGAGATAACGTGACTTAGGCAGCTACGCGACGCGCTTATATATACCGCGTCGCCCCTAATAACCTTGAATATACTAACCACGGAGCCTTCCTTCTTCTTGGGCCCGTACTATGCCTCAAACCACCCGGAAAAAGGGCAACGCGACGAAGAAACAGGAGTCTGAAGCCTCCGCCACGGACTATGAATTCGAAGAGGAAGCGGAGCTAGACAGTGACCACTTGGACTTTGACGACCGTGACGCGTCGATCAAGCCCAAAAAGCGCAAGCGTACCGCTCAAGCGAAGGGCAAGACGGGGACAGTCTACTCTGCCCGCACAAAGCGCGCCAGCAAGAGTGCATCACCCGGCAAACGGAGGAAGACCAAAGGAAGCCGTGGCGATGACTCGGAGGAGAGCGACTCTGATGATACTCAGGAGGTTGTAGGACTTGTTGTTCAAGCGCCTAAGACTGGCAGGGGCTCGTGTTCAGTTGCATCTCTTCGTCGAACATTCGCTAAGTAGTTTATATTTGATGTACAGTTCCACCCGGCCAAATTTCCCAAAACACGCTCTCCTTCCTCAGTCAGCTTGCAAAGCCCGAGTGCAATGATCGTGAATGGTGAGCATACTACATCGCTTGGGCCTATTCGCTTTGAGCTCACCAACGTACCTATTGTAGGTTCAAGCTTCACGGTATGTTCCGCGGCGCTTACCCGCTACTGCGCGCCACAACGTGCCTATCCCTTAGAACCCGTATACCGGCTCGCTGAAGCAGAATGGAAGGCATTTGTTGAGGAGTTTACGAACGTCTTGATTGAGGTGGACCCTCACATTCCCGTCCTTCCGCCCAAAGACGTCATTCATAGAATATATCGCGATGTGAGGGTGCTATCTTCATGCAAGATACAACGACTGACATGGATCATGATGTTCAGGTCCGCTTCAGCAATGATAAAACGCCGTACAAGAAAGGATTTTCAGCTTCCTTCTCCCGCAGCGGTCGGAAAGGGATCTTTGCTGGTTGTTAGTTGCACATCTTTGGAGACGTTTACGTTTGTTCTGACCGCGCGTCGTTTTCACTTACAGACTTCGTGTGAGTGAAGCTGTACGCGAGCTGCCAAAATATCCGTTGACGTCACTGGCGACTGATGTTCAGTGGAGGTAAGGATGCCATGAACCCTTATCAGCAATAAATTGTAATGTAATTGACGTCGCCTGCAGTTCAACCCGGTGGCGAGACTCTAATTGCAGCCGGGACGTGGTGTCCTGGCAAGAACGAACTTGCCACTATTCGGTACGTGTAATCCAGTCACGCTACTGTGAATTTCAACAACGTTGACGCTCACATGCAGGAGCCACATACAGCGGTCTCCGAAGCGCCTACGTCGGGTGATATCCGACCCAGAGTCCGTTTCGTTCATCGTGAAACATCGTTGCACTGATCGTATGTCCGTAGATTCGTGCAGTACTTCGGGGAACCCAAGCCACACCCTCAGGGAGAAAGGCGCAACATTTTCGGCATGGACGACGAACTCAAAGTGGCACCGAAAGGTATCGCCAAGGATCATCCGTGTGTCCTACAGCTTGAATGGCCGCGCACGCTTCTCTAAACCTCGTTTTAGGGATATTGACCTGCTCAAATGCCGCTCTTTCGCGGTGATCCATAAGTGATTGTCAACTTCTTTGTACCCGTGATAGTTCTCAACGTCCGAGGATAGGTTTCTCGATAGCGAAGTGCTTGCCCCAGACTTCAAGACACGACTTGCCAAGGTAGCCAAGGTTATGCAACCATTCGTCCATCTGTGAGTTCACGGAAAGATTTGCGAGATATTCGCTCAACGTAGCTACAGACTGAACGATATGATGACACTGCCCACGGACGATGACGATACCGATGACGACAATAGCGAAGGAGACGATGCCGCCGAGGATGATGCAGGCACCGAGGACGCGTAGCGATAGCCTTCCGATATCGTGCATTGGGTTAATTATGCAGATATCTTATTTGAGAGGATCAATGCAATCCACTGTACGACTAACGCCTTCGTCCTCGTTCATGAGCGTTCTTGTACAAGCGCCTGTAGGTCAATGTACTTTCCCCCGCTGTTCAGGGCCGCTTCGATCACCGCCACATCCTTCAGCGCATTCCTCGCTTCGCCTAACCCCAGGCCATCATCCTGGCCCTCGACGGCATGCAAGAAGCTCGCAATCTCCACTTGCACGCCTCTTGTGCGTTCGTGGATCACTTCAGTCTCGACCTTGGTCTCAACGTCCCCGTTTTCCTTCTTCGTCTTGACGGTTTTGTTGATCGTGACTTGGATGGCGCTCACCGGCTTTCCCTCATCGTCCTTGAGGTACGGCCCCCATGACAGGGTTAACCACCCGTCACTGCCGATGATCGTATATCCGTTGCCCAGCCCGCAGTCAAGGTGAGGCGCAGCGAAACTGATCTCCAATAGACCATGAGGTCCGCCTTCGAAATTGAGCGTTGCTGTGATCGTATCATGCGGGGCGAGTATTTTCTTGTTTAGCGACGCGAACCCCGACAGGCCTTTCAGCGGCGTAGGGAAGAGTTCCCGGAGCACTGCTGCAAAGTGGACACCGCCATCCAGCTAGAAAGTATAATCAGCATGAGCATCCCATGACGAAGGTCGGATGTTTTTCACCAAGAAACCGCCTTGGTACTGAAATATCGACCCTGTTCAGCCCGGAAAGTTTTTGGGGGAGTGACGCAGAGAACTCACATCCGGCACCGTCCTCCACGGCGTCTGGTACCATTTGCTATTCTCGTCGACGTAGTTCACAAACCGCGCGCTGAAATAGGTGATCGATCCGATCTTCCCCGTCTTGATCGCTTCCGCTGCGACGCGCTGGCCAGGCTCGGCCTCATAGTTTTCCGCCACACGCCATACGAGGCCTTTCGCCTTGTATTTCGTCTCGTACTCAGCGATCAGCTTGAGGCCAGATGCGACATCGGGGGCGACCGGTTTCTCGCTGAGGACGTGCTTGCCCGCTGCTAGAGCCTTCAAGATGATCGATGGTTGGGTGGTGATGGGCAGGACGACGATAACGGCGGAGATGTCAGAGCGCGCCAGGAGTGCATCGAGGTTGTGATCGCTCGACGAGTCGTAGTACACGTCCGGTGTAGCGGTGAGGCCAAGGGTCTTCTGCGCGGCTACGGCGAGATCCGACGCGCTCCTCTCGGAGCGGGAATAGGTCGCCTTGAGCGTTATAGAGCCACCGAGGGACGCGAGAGCGGGGAGGTGTGCTGTGAGGGGAGGAGTGTCAGGCGTGTGGTGTCCCGATCTCAGGGCAGAGCTGTAATGGGGAGAACATGGACATACCCTCTTTTGCGAAGATGCCTGCGCCGAGTATGGCGATCCCCGTGGGGACGGTGTTACCAGTGCCGGACATGACAATGCGACGGGGATCGCTCGACAAGGGGTTAGTTATGGGCCTATCTCGTCGACCACAGATTCGTGTTGCGCGCGGGGAAATCTCGGCGCATCGGGAGGACGTGTAGTCGAGTTATAAGTATCGAGCCTTTGCGATATCTGAGATCATCTGGATTCCATCTCTCGTCAGCATGCCGCCACCGTTGCACGAGCTTATGCGAGCTGGCTTACACTTACAGGGTGTGACCTATTGACTTCTACTAGTGATGAATTCTATGTACGACAAGCCAACGGGACCCCGCTCAACGAACCATTGCTTCCTTAGCATCGCCGATAAAGTTTGTGAACCTCGCGACTCTTTAGACAAGTCGAGGGGAATGAGCACACGGCGTGTCTCTACTTAGACACACGGCGTACTGCGAGGGCTCGAGAAAGTAATTTCGAGACCAATAATAGTCCCATTGACTCGTGTTTTCCAATTTGATGACACCTCAAGTGTGCAAAGAATGGCCAGAAAGGCAGGTGTAGTGTTCAAAAGCAAGAAAGGTGGGAGCGAGTTGCAAGTTGATCTCGCGATTGATATGACCCAGCTGCATCGTCGGCCCGCATCGCTAATTGTGGAAACACCAGCAACGAAAAGATCCAAGCATCGTCTACGGTCGTAGCGGGTCGTTACATTTCCTTCGAGTAAAGCTACAGGTAAGGCGTACAAAAGACAACAGTGCAAAGCGTCATTTGGGATCTAGCAGTAATCAAATGCAAAGGAGGTTTCGGCCTTCATGCCTTCCACCATTTTGAACCGATGATCACGCTCGAAACCAAGACCACGACCCCGAGCGATATCAAGGATTGACTCGGGGAAAACTGGGGAAAGAGGTTCCGCAGCTTGCTTGCAGCAGAGGGCACAGTCGCCCAAGGAGACCTCTTCGAACCTTCGAAATTCCTGGTAGAATTCGCTTTCGTTGTTGCCTTCTTAGGTACCGAAGGTGTTGACGTATGCTCCTTAAACCACTGCCATGGTGTTACTGGATTGCCAGCAGAGGGTGAGGATTAACCTTACTTTCGCTAAGAATTTGCCAGAGTCTTTGGGGTATCGCTTCTGCGTCTCGTAATCGACATAGGTAACGCCAAACCGAGTCTCGTAACCATCGGCCCATTCAAAGTTGTCCAAGAGACCTGAGCGAGTGAGACGGGGTAGAAAAGCAGTGACTGATAGGTAACTCACTCCAGCCGAAGTAGCCCTTGACGTCGACGCCGTCCTTGACGATAGCGGCGAGCATAGCCTCCATGTTTCCTTGGAAGTACTCAACGCGATCATGATCGGCGAGAGCTTGTTCCCTCGACATGTAGGACTCGTCCTTGACGGCGAAACCATTCTCGGTGACACTGGGAAAGGGATGTAAGCGGCATATATGCGGTAACAAGGTCCAGCACTGACTATATCGGTTTCTTGTATTTCTGATCGAGTGCGATCGTGAGATACTGCAAGAAACAGCAAACAAAATCTACAGGACAGACCTTATACAGGTAGTTCATAAGCTACGGAGCGGTGTTAGCGCTTCACAGTTGTAAGCAATCGCGAGAATGGTGCTTACAGCACGGAATCCCTCGGGATCTGCATTGTACAAGGCCTGTCAGAATGAACCGCGAGCGGTACAGTAAGATGACTCACATGTCTGGAGCCACGAGCAGTGAGCTACATCACATCAATCGGGAAGAGGCACTTCAGTTTCACGTCATGGAAGTTTCTAGTCAACCGGATTAACTCACCCTGCGTTCCCAGCTGCGAACCATCGGGCCGGGTAAAGGTGTAGCGTGTCAAGCCTTGGAACTCATCGTCACCGCCCGCGACTAGCGAAAGGACATAAGCACGCATATCGGAACTTGACAACAATCTATCCACGTACTGATTAGGTTGGTGGTGTAGGTGTTCATGCCGTAGAATTCAGACGACCCCTTCACGAGAGCGATCTCCTCCGCGGTAAATTCGGGAAGACGGCTGCCAAGCATCCTGCGCATGTGCTCCGGGTAATGGCCGAGGTAGATCGGATCCTAAAAACGCACAACCAGCGAGAGATATCTGTCATCAGGAAAACACGTCCTTCGGTAGTAAGACTATTAGATCTCACCGCGAACCATCCTGAGAACCGCCCAATGGCACACGTGAGTAAAAGTTAGAAGACGCGAAGCAAGTTAGATTCAGCGAATTTGACTGGTGGAAACGAGGAGAGGCCACGCTCTCAGGGATGTGGAGAGTGTATGGGGACCAGTACGGCTGAGATCAGTAACCCTGAAGTCGAGCTCACCAATGGCAACGTCCAAGGCGTGTTGAGCGGCCTCGATATCTATGTGTGAGAGATGGTGTGAGTATCGTGCCGAGTATACCGCAGAGAAGAGATGATCCGATGCGAATGTGGCGCGGCGAAGATCAACCACGGCGCAAACAGCCGGTTGGCTCAGGTACCATACCCAGCGTGCACCGCTGCCCGGGAGGTCCGCGGTAACGCCACACATTCGACAAAGCTCCGGACCAGAGGAGGGATGAGACACTCACTGGCCGGATCGTCGTCATAGGGCATGGACCAATCGCCATTCAATGTGATGCCAATCTGACCACCTTGCGTGACCTTGAATGACTCCCTGTATACCTTGCACGCGTGCGCGTGAGCGAGGATAACGTTGTGACCGACGCTAATAAGGTAAGGTCAGCATCGCGTTCAGGATAGCTAATCAGAGAGCGCCCCGCCACGTAAAAAGGGAGACATGGCAAGGGAAATGTAGCAAAACAATGAAAAGAGCATGCAAAAACAAAAGGGACGAGACTGGTCATAGCAACGCTGTTAGGTCGGTCGTGAAGAACCGATGAGAAGCACAGGAACACCCAGTCACGCGGAACGGCAGGGCCGACCAACTGAAGGGTGCTGCCAGCCACGCGGTATGTACGTTAAGTCGATCGCTAGTCGCGTTTGGGGCTTTCTCGGACACATCAGTGTATACAAACAGCACTCACATCCATGGTTCTGTCGTCGAGTCTCCTTCAGGAGAGCGTTTACGGTCAGATGACCGACCGGGGGCAAAGTACCCGCGCCCGTAGCCAAGGATGGCAATGCACCATGGCTCGTTCATGGTCAGCCTGTAAGACGGCGGTCAGTCATTTCACAGGGAAACATGATGTGTCCCGACGCATGCCCCGAGGCACCACTCGGCCTGAACCGAAATGGGCGCCAGGCTGAGAAAACGGAGACATGTGATGGGCGCGTGTGCGAGTTCGCCCGAGAATGTCCCTCGAGATGACTTACCAGTGCTTTACGCGATCTCCGAACGCTTGGAAGCAGATCTAAAAGAAAGAAGGACGACGGATTGAGTTCCCGCTGACTATTCTCCAAACTCGCCAGTGAAGCGCAAACCAGAGATCCAAAGAGGACCCGACCACTGAATCGGTCGCAGCCTCAGTTTGACAGCCTGAAGCACATCAAACTTCGGGAGAAGGGGACAAAAAAGAGAGGCTAATTGGGAGAAACGCTTACCCTGGCATAGTTCGCATAATCTTGGACGATTTCTTCCTTATTGAGCCATCCCCCGTATCGGTCGTGGAGGGCTTGGGGCAGGTCCCAGTGGTACAGTGTCTAACCGCGCAGGAAATCACGTAAGCTGCCTGCGTGCGGGGATCGCTCCACTGCGCCACTTGCACAGCGAAAGCAGCGGGCCCACGTACCACGAAAGGAACGATGCCTTCAGCCAGCAAGGCATCGATTAAGTCGGAGTACCATTTAATGCCCTTCTCGTTGACGGGATCGTTCCGACCTCCGAGGGGGATGATACGACTCCAGGCGATGGAGAAGCGGTAAGACTGAACGCCGTAGGACTTTAGAAGCGCGATGTCCTCCTTGTAGCGGCGGTACGAGTCGGTGGCCACGTCTCCGTTTCCGCCATCGAGCGTTTTGCCGGGAATGCGAGAGAAATCGTCCCAGATGGACGGGCCGCGGCCGTCTGCAGATGTCGATCCTTCGATTTGAAACGATGCTGCAGCGACCGGACAGAAGACGCGAATCGAAACTATGAGCTGGGGTTCCGAAACTTCAGACATATGGCGACATACCAGTGGCGAAGCCCCACATAAAGTCACCAGGCAGCTTGGTGTTCGACATGGCGGTATAGTATATTGCTGTTGCGGGAGCCGGGCTGAGATCGGACCATGGTGGAGGACCCGGGCTCTTAAAGGACGAGAGGGCGAGCGGTGCGTGCGCTTACGCCGAGAATAGTCCGCGCGGTCGCAGGTTGTGGCATGTCTTCCGGGTGATGGCGCAAGGGCCGGGAAAATGGGGTATGCCCGGTTACGGCTGCAAGTCCTATGCGGTGTCGCGAAGCCTTCAGCTTTCTGCAGACCACCCGAACCATCAACGCGTCGCTTCGAGTGCTCCGCCCCATAATTCTCTCCGATGTTTGTCCCACTGCACTAGCACCGTCGCGCACCTCTACGCGTCTTATCTGCCCGTAGATATGGCAAGACCCCGTTGATCGGCACTACGGGCGATATCTGTCCGCTGACTACGATGGCCGCTCGGATCTCACCGACCTCGCAGCCCGGTACTGTTGGCGACCCAAGGCCTCCTGGATGGCGAGCCAACACCCAAATAGGGTTAGTTGAGAGGCTCACCCACAAGTGAACATCCTTGACCCGAGATTTCACCCGTCCTACTATACACAAAGCCTGCACTAAGCATTTCGCCTTCCGTGTGCGCTATCTGGATCTTCGAATTGATGGTCGCAATTTCGAACATATCTCGGGATCGTGGGGCGCAATCTCATCGCAAGGCACGCCCGCCGCCCGCTCGTGCGGGCCCGACGGGCAATTCCCCCGAGCCCCGAGGTTCTTCCGCGCTTCGGGGCAAACCTTCTCAACCTTTCCTGGGACCCTAACCCCGACCATCACGAGCTTGACGAGCAATATTGCATTGCACATCCCTCGTCAAACGACGCAAAGGGCATCCGCATAACGATCCCGTCGGCTTTGCTTTCGTCATTTTGCTTCAATGACTGGAGCTTGCCAAATGCAGGTGACATGCATGGCACATGAAACCCGACTAGAAGTCGCGTTTCCCCGGTATGAGGACTGCATCGCTGAATGGACGGACTTATCCCTCTCGCTGCTACACCGGATCTCACCCGGCTTGCGACTCACGCCAGCACATTTTCGACCACTGCTGTCGTTTTCGTCAGTCAATCGAAGGGCGTATTAGACAACGCGCATCCAGACCTGCACGTTCACGGCCCTATTTTGCATTCTTTAGTCTCTCCACTCGCGGATATCTTGCGCCCTTCTGTTCGCAGCTCGCGGAGTCGAGCAATGAAACGCAACAGATTTCCAAATTCTCCGCGCGCGTTGCATCAGCGCCACCTGGAACTTCCTCGCGTCAACAGTGCGGTCTTCTTCATTCACGTATTCAAATTCGCCCGCGCCTCGTTCCCCGCGTGAGACGGAGCGTATTCAGGCTTGCTTGGCTTCAGGTTCGTGAGGCCGGACGCGAAGCACGGCGTCTTCCTCTCCTCGACTACGGTTATGCCATATTTTCGCCGAATAGCAGTCCTTCTGCTGCTTCGTCCGCTCGGTCTTCCGGACTTATGCCCTCTGCCCTAGCCCGCCCGGTAGAGCGCTAAGCTGTCCTTCAATCTCTTCGTCTCGGGCCGGAATTTATGGCATTTATTGATCGCTTGGCCTGACCGGACGACACAGCAAGGCCGTGATGATGTGTCTCGCATTCACCCTCATATATATCTTTATATCTAGCCTGTCACAACGCAACCTTCAGGCCATTCGGGCGCGCGCGAAAGTCATGATTCATAATTGATGATCTCGGCGCTATCGTAGCGATTCTCCATCGACTGGTCGATCTTCCCGGCCTTTGTGTTGTCCTGACAGCATTGAGTATTTCTTCAAGTTGCGGCATAACAAATGACGGTCGCCTCCATGGTCAACTCCTGCGACATATCACCGGCCATTGAAAAGCGATGACTGTACTGGTACATATATTACCATAGCCTAAGGGTTGCATTCAGGCTTTGTGATGATATTTGGCTGGTTCATATACACCACGACGTATTTTGTTCATCCCTTACCGCGCTCGGAATCACAGATGGGTCGGTTTCCGCCGACGTTTAATAAAACATGCACTTCACTTCCGAGGAGGTCGGTGGAAGGGCGGAAGCGATTAGCATACGCGGCATGACATGTCTCCAAGAGCATTCACGCTTTATGACCCCATTGAATTCCTGCGACTTCCTCTGCTCGATCTTCACCGAAGTTGGCCCGCTGCGGCAGTCAACATGAAGCCCATGCGCACGTCAGCGGCCGGGACCAGCTCTGGAATCGCTATTTTATGCTCGCCGTATCAGGCTCTGCACGAATCTCTATTTCTCCCGTCACGATCATGAATGTATGTATATACACGCTTGCCTTGGTAATCTAACGTAAAATAATCAATAAAATAGCGTTCAAACTTCAGCAAGACCTGTTTGGGGTACGGATCACGGGCCGGACGACCAGCCTCAAGCAGTAGCTCCATGCTCCTCAAGCGTCTTGCTCCACTCGATAACCTTCGGGTGTGCCATGACTTTCTTTGGATCAAAGCCGATTACCTGCAGCCCGTCGAGGGAGGCAGCGCGGGACAGCGCGACGTAGCTCTGGCCCCGTTCGAAGACTTTCCGGAGATCGATTTTGACCCGCTGGATCGTCTGACCTTGAGACTTGTGGATAGACATAGCCCAGGCGAGAGCGAGGGGAATCTGACATCATGGAGAAGGCCGGTCAACGTCCGTTCGAAGATCTAGACCGCATCACAGACCTGCATCCTCCGCGCAAGCACGGTGCCTTCGCTGTCCTCGACCCTGAACTCCTCTCGGACGAGCAAGACAGTCTCACTACCTTGCGGGGTAGAAAAGAACACCAGTGGGTAGTGCTCCGGATCCTTCTCCTTATTCTGTGGCTTCAACCTAGGTCTCGGCCCTGCAGAACTTGCTGGCTTTCCTTCCAGCTTGTTCTCCTTGTTCTCACCTTCGTCATCGTCCGACGTCCGGAGGACGGGCGTCTCCCCATTTTCCTGCATCCGCACGTTCCGCACTGCTGGACTGCCCTTATCCGGGACCTCATCCCCCATCACTTCCCCGATCTTCCAAAAACCTAAAACACGTCCCACGCATCCGTTGACCATCCGCCCTCCTTCCTCGCGGTCAAGATTCTTGACCAGCATTACCTGAGCGCCCGCCTTCAATACTACGGTGGCCCCGACAGGGAGGGTCTCCAGCAGCTTGGCTCGCCGCTCGCCCTCAGCCTTCCCCGAATCCCGTGCAGCGAACATGTGGGCAGGAGTTTTAAGACCGGCTAGCCGTGTCGAGTTCGCTCTCGAGACCTCCTGCCTAAGCGGAAAGAGCTCGGTCGGCTCCGGTTCTGCCGTCAACTGCGATGGAGGAGGCTCCGATGAAGGAGGCGTAGGCAGCTGCAACGGACGTGAAAGCGAGCGGAACGTTGATGTGGCTGCCTGCGATATTTCTCCGCGCCGCAGTTCATTGAGCAAATTCACAAATGCTGTTGTGAGGTAGACATGAGTATAGAGCATCGGGATACTTCCCCGTACATCACTCACTCGTGTCTTTTTGTCTGAATACCTGCGTAAGATTAATGGTATGTTCTATCGTATTCTTCCAGGCCTCCGCCTCGAACGCGAAGCAAGCACTCGCGGCGTTGCTTCCGACGGACGTGTTCGTCCCTGAACTGTTAGGTAGGGGCTTGAAAACAGGCGGAAGCTGGAAGAAATCTCCGGTGACGACCAGTTGAATGCCTCCGAACGGCTTAGTAGTCTTCCTACGCAGGCGTTCGGCGAGGTTCGAAATTGTTTGAAAGAGTTGAGCATCGACCATCGATACTTGAAGAAGCCTCAGAAATGCGCCGTGTTATAACAGACGGCAACCAGGCTACCTTCGTCGATAACAAGAACCTTTGTCCTTTTCCACCGTTGCAGGGCGGGCTTGCATTTATTGATGTAACTGACAAGGTTGTCAACGTTGTGGATGTTGGGTGCAATCGCTCCCCATGAATGCAAAGTCATCCCTGTCAATGGATGCATCAACTCCATGAAATCGTAAAGGTAGACGTGGATCGCACCGCCGATGTTCGACGCGGCCATGCCGGTACTCGCAGTGACAGAGACGAACTCGGGATGTTTCGGATACTTCTTGCGAAGAGACGCAATAATGGTACGAAGTAGCAATGATTTCCCTGTACCTAGTAGCATGGCGCGTGGTGAACGATATGGTATGGGTTTGGGAACAAATCAATGGATCTTGCGGCTTACCTGCAGATCCGGTGAAGAATATGCTCTTGCCTTCATCAACCGCCATTCTGAGCACGCGGTTTTGTTCGTGACTGAGGTTCAGCAGTGAAGAGGTGCCCCCTGTGTCCTCTTCAGGTGCCCTTACGGATATCCGAGGGGAGAAGAATGTGTCAATCGTCTTGATTAGTTTCGCCGGTGGTGCATCCAAAGAGTGGCGCGGTTTCTTGGGCGCTTGCGAGGCGATAGCGTTACTTGAAGATCCAGCCGATTTTCGTTTCCTCGCGTTGGTGGAGACATCGTGCAGAGGCATCGCGATCAGGCTCAATATGTACAAAGACACGCGCCTTCAGGTGGAAGCGAGTCAAGACGCGTCGTGAGCATGTGGCCAGAGCCACAGGTCACCTGAACCAGGTCCTGGAGGTTGACTGCCCTCTGCCGCGACCGCGAACGGCTAGATACCTCGACGTTAACGGCATCCAACATGTCCAAGCAGCAACCCTCGAACTTTCCACCAGGCGCACCTCCCAAGTACGTACAAGGCCCCACAGGATGGAAAGCTGCTAATCGATCATGCTTTGCATTCCAGGCATCTCATTGATTTCAGCAAGGCCCTCGCGGGAGAGGTTCGCATTCTCCTCGAGGAAGTGGGCAAGCTGCGAGATGAACGGCGCGCACTTCAATTGTGAGTCGCTGACGGAGTTGTTGGGTGTTCAGATCGGCGCTGATAGTTTGTCCAGTGAGATAGCTGAGCTCATGGCCCTGAAGTCTAAGCACGGCGCCGGCGGTGAATACTCGCCGGGCTGGATGCCAAAGGCAAGCCCCCTTTTCCATTCTCGTTGACCGAACACTCATGCCAGTCAACAGCCGGATGAGCAGCCAGCAGCATTGCCACCTCCCGAAGAAGCGCCTCCCGAGGGAGATGGAGTACCCCCAGCACCTGCGAGACCTGCTTGGCGTATCGTCCACAAACGCAAGGAGCGCCAACCTAAGCGCATCACCCAAGGGGCCGACACTCCCGCGTCGCCTCGCTCTGCACCGGCCCCCGTACCTGTCACTCCCGCTCCCGCACCTGCTCCCAATTTGCCTGCATGGGCGCAATGGCGACGTACGCCGACTTCTTGGCTTGGTTAATGTTCACAATATTAATCTCCTTCTTGTAGCCAATCCCAATCTGTCGATGCCAATGCCCCAGCGAGAGATGGCCGTAGCGGCACCGCCTCCTCGTCCTGGCCTCTTTGGTATGTACCTACCATTTTGGAGCACGCTATTGCCTCACTGAGTCCTATTGTGCACTCCTTCAGGACCCCCTTCTCCTCCGCCTCAGGCTTAATCTGATCACGGCTCTTGATATCTTTCCAGGTTTTACTCCTCTTGCCCCGGTTTCCACCGTCTTTTTGCATATGTTTGGCCCACTTGATCTTTGCCCGCGTTATCATCTCCTAACCTTGTCTCTACTATGGCCGGATAAATGTACGTCACTACTGCTCTGCTTTACTAGTTTTCAACAGTGATTATTCTGCATAATGCTGGCGATACCAAGATGTGTCACATGAGGTCTGAGCCAGTTAAGCATTCGTTTCCTTTCTTGCATCACTGATCGAGCATGTGTTGCCTCATTAACACCAATTGTACTCTACTGAGTGTAAGCCGGCCCGCAGGTACAATGAATAGCAATGTCGTAGCATAATGGTGGGTCCGTCGATCCGAAAAGTCGCACCTACACTTCCCGGATGCCGATATGTACGAATAACGTCGAGAACAGATATTGAGATAATTGCGCGTCATGCAAAGGCAAATGCCGATAGCCTACAAAAGGAGTCAATCCTCATCATGGTCCGATGTACACAAACACGTACCTTGGTTCAGGCAGCCAAGACTAGCGCAGTACAATGCGAGCGACTCGGTGTTCTCCCTGTCGTCGTCATCCTTCACTGCGAACTTGACAAACACAAGTTCCTTCATGTTCCCCACACAATCGAATGGAAGGGAAAAACTCTCCTCCCACACAGGGTTAAAACCGTTGTTCTTGACGCGCCCCGTCTTGTAGCTCACAGTACGCGCGGTCGTCGCCGTGGCGGCAGCTGCCGCACTCATGGGCGTGTTCGGTGGAGAGTACTTGGTGTCGGTGGTGGGCACGAATGGGGAGTGTGTCCAGTCAGGCACATGGATGGACACCTCGACGAGTGGATCGACCATCGATTTCGACACGATCTCGCGACCGTTTGCATCCTTCGGACGAGGCAGTTGCTGCGCGGAGATGATCTAGTGCTAATTATTAGTTAAAGACCACAACAAATGCGATGGGGGTACGGACTGAAATGTCCAAGTAGTGCTGGGTCCGTCTAGACAGGAGATCCTTGCTGGGTTCCCTCAATGCACGAGGTTTTAACACATATCCACACCGCCCGTTGCGCTGAAACATGGAATGGTTGATCATATACCCCAGATCTGCGTGGTCATTGAGTATTATCGGCATACAGATTGCCTGTATAAACGTACCGAATGTCTGCCAGTTGATCGCCACTAGCTGACAGCCTGCGCTCCAGTAACGATGGGGCTCGTAGTTCGTGGAGTTCAACCTTGTTCCTTTGGGGTATATCCTCACTATATGCGTCCGGTTGTGTTTGATCAGGTCCATCATCCCCTGCTTCATGACCTTGTTCGCTGTGCTCTCGCTCAATGAGAACACATGCTCAGGCGCGTATTGCTCCTTCTTGTTGATCCCGCGGCATTTTACGCCGACGGTGTACACAAGCAGCTCGACCAGTGCCATTGACATCTTAATCTTTGGAGTGCTCCCCGATGAAGATGAGGCGCCTGCGGCAGGAGGGGTCGGCGGAAGCCCGATGGATTGCAAGGCGGGCGAACGGGACGGGGAACGCGCCGTAATAGAGGGGCTCTTGCGGTGACGAACCCGAGACATGATGTTGCGCGCCTTGCTCATCTCGCCTCGAATGTCGGACTTGAGCTCGTGAACCGCCCCTACAATGTCCATTTATGCTTCAGGTACGAGAAGGACCAGGAGAATGTGCTGTACCTTTGATCTCAGCGCGTAGTGGCTCGGAGTCCGAGGCAGAGGAGTTCTCCGTCGAGCTGGACTCCGTATTGACGACGACCTCCTTCTCTGTCAATCCCTCTCTCGAGCTCACGTACAGATTCTTCGCCTTCAATAAAACCCGCCCCTTGAGATCTTCCGGACTAGGAAGGACCGTAATGACAGGTCGATTATCTGGTGGGGCGCTGATCAGAGCATCGCCAAATTCTTCCTGCATGATTTTGACAAGCATCTCTTGTTGTGCCACGCCGCAGTGGATTTCTGCGGATATGATAATTGGATAAGGCGAGGCGACAAAGGCGTATTTGGAGATGGCACGACAAATATCTCGCACGGCCACTTTCGAAGTAAGTGTTTTACCGTGAAAGACGCAGGGTTCTATTTCTCCGTCGTAGATGTCAACTGTGTTGAAGCATTAGCATCCACTGGAGAGTGATGTGAGTAGTACCTACGTTCAACGCTCCGACAACCGTGAAGCAAGGCGCGGATGTACCCTTCGATGGTGCTGTCTCCAACCAATTGGTGCCCCACAAGATACGTATTGTGAGACGAGGAGATATAGTATTCCGGAAGAGGTCGAGTCATGTCGTGAGTGATGGAAGTGGTAGACTCAGCATCCGGGAAGGGTGAATTATCAGAGGACAGAAGGAAGGCGGTGAATGCGGATAGAGAGATCGTATAGAATGAGAGTTCGTCGGGAGACGTGGATGATGAGGTGGGTACGGCGGCACGCTGGTGAGTATCGGTTGCGGAAGACCCTCCTGGACGCGAACAGGCGTCTGTTGAAGGGCACGATGACGAAGCATCGGCGAGAATGGGCGCAGGCGACGCGGTCACCGCCGCATCTGTGGCCGAGGAATTATCCTTGCCTACCGATACACTCGACCTGTGCGTTTGCAGAGCTGGTGCCGACTCCGCTTCCTCTGGCACGTGCGGTTCGGCTTGCGGAGGCAGAGGAGGAACGTTCGATGGAGAGTCAGAAGGTTGAGATAATGAGGGAACGATTGCTTCAGGAGGCATGGCAAGTGGCTGGGGCGCAGACGCAGCCGCAAACGGGTCATCTACGTGAGGTAGGCCGATGGTCGAAAAAGTTGGTGAGGCGGGAGGGGAGGCGGGCACGGCGGCATTTGGATCCGTGGCGTACTTCAAGAAAATCTTCTCGAGCTCTGGCCTTCCCAAGGTCGACTGACAACGGGCACGTATGAGCTACACGTTGCTTAGCTTAACAAATGTAAATACCTTCTGCACGTCCTTCATGAATCTTTCGAAAGCCTCGTAGCCAAAAATACCCTTATTGTCCAGCTTCCATCTCTTATAGATTCGATCAAGCTCCGGCCTGGCCTTCAACATCTTCACGAATCGTTGGAAATCAGCAAAATCAAGGTAGCCGCGGTTCTGAGTGTCTGCTTGCTATAACAATACATATATATTAGTCCAGCCGCCTAGAGCGACGTGGATCGCGACACACCTTGAACAATCTCCTAAGATCATCTCTTCCTGAGTTGATGTTGAGTCTCCTGCAAAGCTTCTCCACCTCGTCGAATTCAAGCTTTTGGTCGGCCTGCAAGTCCGCGCTCTTCCAATATTGCCGCTCCCAGACCGCCTCTCTAACCTCATCGTTGCCCAACCCACTCATAAGCTCCTTCCGGATGCCGTGCAGCTTCTCCAAGGTAACGTTCCACAGGTGAAGGACATCTCGCGTAGCTGAGACGACGTGCAATGTCTTGTACTTGCCATCGAGTATGTAAACAATGGTGAGCCAGCGGTCTTCGTACTGGATCGAAAGCTGAAACTGCTCGCGGTAGTAGCACGCATCTGCCCCTGTGCGAATCTCCTTGATCGATTCGATGGGGACTGAGATGCCATTCAGGATCTTGTACGCGCACGCGACGGATGGTGCTACTCACTGTATCGCAGCTTGCTCGTTTCATATGACAACTGGCCCTGTTCGGGATCCAACTTCAAGATAACGCGCTTCTGTTTCTTCGCGGAGACCTTGACCATCGGTGTTCCCTGCCTGAGCATGTCTGGGATCAGAATGTCCGACATGGCGTACGGAGGTGTCTGTCCCGGTGGGTGCGAGATGAACGCCGCGGACGGGTCCTGTGCAGTATGTGGGCTTTGGGGGATGGTGTGCAGCGAAGTGGGGCCGCCCGTGGCATCACTGAGATGGTATCGATGCCTGGTGGGCCTGGAGTCGGGTACAGTGGGAAGACCAGCCACGCCGTTGTCGCGAGGCCGTGGCTCGCTCTTGACGCGTATAACGGGAGGCGCCTTGGGGAGCTGAACCGACAGCGACCTTTTGTTCCGCCCAGGCACCTTGGGCACCCTGGCGGACAGCGAGCGCGTAAGCGACCCGGACGAGTCCTTGAGCTTGCGCAGCGACGCGCCGAGCCCGCCGCGCCGTTTCGCACCTTCGCTGGCATTCTCCTGGTCGTCCTTGTTTCGCGTCCGGTTCGCGTCGGTGCTGCTCCGCGAGCGAGTCAGGCTGAAGCGACCGAAGCTGCTTGAGCGGGTCTTTGGAGTCGGCGAGGACATGGCGCCATCATCGATAGTGTCGTCCTCGAAGACTGAGTCAGGGTCAAAGCCGGGCGCAGGCTCGCCCTTGGGGGTCACCACCCCGAGGGCGCGCCTCAATCCAGGCTCGGGCGCCGTCGACATCGTTCGCGTCGTACGCAGCTGGAGCGAACGGTGGTGTATATAACATGCATCTTATTGGGCGCTTAGATATCTGGGCTACTCCGGATCCAAAGGGCATCACACTGCACAGTTCACGCGTGGTGTATTGCAATTGATGGGAGCCGGCAACGGCCCGTGGCAACGGCAGCGGGACTATACCCCAAGTATAAGCCAAGCCGAACGGAGCGGGACCTGCGCCCTGCATGCACAAAAGGCATGTATCGGACGTTGCGTTCATGCGCGTTGGCTTCTGCACGCTCACATCATCTGAGAATCGCATCCGTATCAATCCGCGAATACCAGATCACTGTAGAGTACCGGCTGCTTCTACCCAGCAACCGTACCGCCGGACACGCGATCTTCGCCTGCAGGCTGTACCTTCGACTGAACAGAAAATACGAACATATTCAACGGGAAGAGCACTAGAAACAAGAACCATGCTTACCAAGAAGCCACGCATACACGCCAGCCGCTTGGTTTAGGCGTCTTTCCACCCGCCATCCTCTGGACCAAAGGGTCACGTTCGTACGACAAGGAATTGCTCCGGAATGTCCGGACTCTCATACGCACGCAGTTCTCGTACGATCTGCACTTCTCCACTTGGCAGCACCACTGGCACCTTCGCGACCTGGACGCCAACGTATGTCAGCACCTACTGTAGACACCCATGATGTATGTAATATGAAGTAAATCTCAAGGCGTGTTGGTCCGCAACAGGTATCCCCCCGGCATAGCGCATCTGACGCACCTGATAAACACGCGTGTTGCAGCCGAACTGGACAATACGCTCCCCCGCCGCGCGTACCACACCGAGGACCACATGCGGCGGCACATACGCGGAGCTTGCCGAAGCAATAGGTTCCTCCTCATCGTCTTCCGGCTCATCGTCGCCTCCGGGAATAATGGCTAGCGCCATGTCCGGTGCGATGTTAACATGCACTTTCTCGATGGTACGAGAGACTTGAAGCACTGGTCCTAAGTCGTACTGCATTGATGGTCATGGTGAGCCGCCGTGGTTAAGGTATGAAGACCGAGCAGCTTACAAATGTTCCCTTGTGAACATGCACGAACAGGTCCTCCAATCTCTCGCAGAGCTCGCAGATATATTTGATAGCCCGTAGGCGGATGACCATCCGATGCACGCTGAATCGCTTCAGCCTCGTACAATGCGCGTCTACGATTGAGCGCACGAACGAATCGGGCAGGACCACTCGCCCGCCACTAGAGTAAATGTGGAAATGATGCAGGGGAGAGGAATTCAGCAGGGATAGGACGCTCTGAAACCAAATTTGAGGCGAGCAGGCTGCCCCCGAATTTCTATCATCCACATCAGGGGAGCGAGTATCACCGGAATCGTCGCTACTGGTAAGCCACATGGCTTTGGATATCGCGCTCGGGACGGAAAGCGTTACGCTAGTAAGATGAATCATCGCGCGTGTTCGGTGGCATTCGTGAGCAAAAGTTGTCATATCCTGCGGAATCGTCAATTGCCAACATACGACCATGCAGTGGGGACAATCGCGTACAAATACAGACGAGACGCCCTCAAGTCCCAAGCTCTTAATGCCTCTCTGGCTCGCAGATACCACGGCAGCCACGCCAGAGTGCGTGACTTTCGGACATCCCACGAGCTGGAACTCTTCAAGCCCCGGAACGTAGACCGCTAGTGTCGTGAGTAGCTCGTCTGTAATGAGATTCGAAGCCTGACGATATCGACCAGTAGATGTTACACACTGACACCCAAGAGAGTACCAAGCTCACCTTGCATATCAACGTCAGCCCTCTGAGCCCTCCTCTGAGCTCCTGCACCCATGGCTGTAGCATGTTCACCACGTCCGAGCTTGGCATGATAATCGATATGTGCTTGATCCTCTTCAGCAATCTCAATACAGATGGGTCATAATTCCCATTACTATGGCCGTTAATGGCCAAGAACTCAAGCGCGGGTAAGCCGGAGAGCACTCTCAGGACATCGGATGTCATTGAACCGTCGCGGGTCCACGTGCAAGACTTGAGGTTGGTACAGTTCGCTATGCCTACGAGGCATGTTTCCATGACAGATGCGTAAGACTCGCGTGTAAGGGCCCTCGGAAAGTCGCGTATTTCTATCTCATGAAACAGGTCAATTACGCACGGCACTCTCAGGCAAAACTATATGAGCAAACCTAAGTATTTCACATATTGCGCCAGACGGATGCACTCTGCCAGCGTGCGGAAGAGCTTCGGGATCTACTTTCGTTCGGAGGGTCAACGATGTTGAGCAACTCGCAAGATAGGTCGATACATACATTGGCCTTGCCCTCTTTATGCCATGAGTAAATGTATATGCGCTGATAGAGGCGGGGAGTTGCGAATGCGCAAAAGGTTTTGTTCACCAAGGACACCCGAGCTAGATGCGAAGGTTTCGAGAGCGCAGCACAGATATCGACTAAAAGTTCGACGGGCAGGTCGTGAAATTGCATTTTCTGTCGCCAATTTCTGATCTTGTGTGAATGAATAGCGGCTGCCAGCATATGCTTTCCTAGCTAGCTTTGGGCAGAATTGAACCGATCAGAAGTAAGCGGTGTACTCTATTATTGCAGGGAACATCGTCACGTCGAGGATCGGGAGAAAGGTCATAGGCTGCACAGCTTCACTAGTACCGGCACGCAGTCAGCGTGTTTACTTGAGTGATTTTATGGGTTATTGCATGTTGCCTGTGAATCTCTAGATTGTATTGTAACGAAAAATAATGATCCAAAACTACTGTACAGTATCGTCGTATTTGACAAGGTGCTGATGCAGCATCTCGTCGAAAGCCTGATGCGCCTTGCTGACCGTCCAGAGGCGTCGTCCAGTGTCAGGATCGTTCCCATCATGACCTACAGTTAAGAGGATTTCGCCCTTCCAAGGGCCCTCGAGCGCGTATACCTTTTCACCCTCCTGATCTGGGTGAATCGCAACCAGATATTCGATGGGGATTTGGAATTCGTCAGTGCCATCTTGAGGCTTCAGCACGGCTATAGAACTCTGTCCGTAATCACTCCATGAGGTCATCACGCCGCGGACCCCTTCTTTCTCGGCATCTCGCCATCGCGGTAGCCCAATGCCATTCGTTCCGGAGATCTTGACCATGAGTCCTTTCTTTGGAACATTATATTCGACGATCCAACGTGGGGGCAAGGCTGCGTCCAAGCATCAGCATAAAACGTCAAACCAGGAGCCAATACAATTTCTCACTGAATTTGGCCGGTATGTTGTCTCGATTCGCTTCAGAAGTATTGGCAGGTGTCGCCGCAGCGGCGCCATAAGCAGCAGGGGTTTTAGCGAAGGCGAACGGCGTCGGTGCAGCCGGTGTCGGCCCTGGTGTCTCAGCAGCCGAATAACCAGGCGTAGGAGCTGTCGCCGCTCCTGAGCCCTGCGACAGATGATTCAGCAATTCTGAAGCTTGACCTGCGGGTAATTCGGCTTACCCAATTATCGGTGTTGCTTGCACTGGCGCTTCCCCAGCTACTCGAAGGCTCGCCCCAGCCACCTGACGGTCTCGCTGGAGAGGCACTCCCCCACGAGCTGGTATTGGAGTTAGTAGGTCGGGCTGGTGTGGACCCGCCGAACCCTGTTGGGTGGGCAGGGGAGGCTCCCCCACCCCAAGAACGCCCCGGCGTCGCACCACCCCAGGCAGCATTGCCCCCGCCCCCAGCATATGGGTTTGGTGTACGCGCACCAGCGTCCCAGGCTGGTGTTTTACCGCCGTTTGCGTACGGATTCGGTGTACGCGACGACGTGTTCCATGCAGGTGTAGCACCGGTCGTGTACGGATTAGGCGTTCGTGAAGCCCCCCATCCAGGCGTAGCACCGCTCACACCCCATCCTGGCGTGGCACCGCCGCTAGCACCACCGCCCCAGGCCGGAGTGCGTCCGCCTTGGGGTGGTGCCATTGACCCTCGTCCACGACCAGAGAAACTGGAGTAGGCACCTTCCAGATTCTCCAGTTTTTTTGTCATAAGGCTAATACTACCGTTAGCAAAGTGGCGTCGTGGAGTAAGTAGATGAACGGACTTGAACCGTTTCAGTTTCTCCTTTTCTATCGAGATGACCTTATTGTTGGCGGTCAATTCAACGCGAGCTATCGGACCGTTGGTGTCCTTGATAATTCCATGAAGGCCTTTGTTGGGCCCTTTGATGACCGCAACGGATACTCCAATTAAGCGATCGCGAGGTCCGCGCCCAATATTTCCGGAACCAACCATGCCCCCTAATGAAGCACCACCACTCATGGCCGGATTCATCTTGGAAAGGTCCCCGACACCGGGTTTCATAGCATTTCCTTTGGGCGCCAAAGAAGCCAGTGACCGTGCTCGGGTGACGAATACGCCACCGTTCTCGACGATTTCTCGGTTGTGCAAGAACGCAAAATGCGACTGGTGGATGTGCAAAACTTGTCCTTTGCGACCCTACGATCAAACTGTCCCAGTCTCGCTCATGGAATCAGTAAGACGGACATACCTCTCCATCAACCTCCTTGACATTGTCACCGACACGTAGTTCGTGGCCTTCGGAATCGGTGGCGATGGCCCGAAGAGAATCCCTTCGCATGGATATCTGATGCGGTTGCACAAGTCGTACTTGGCCATGTTGATCCAGCACACGGAAGGAATCGTGCTCGGTCTTGAAGATGACCCCCACAGTTTGCAAGCTTAGTGACCATGAGTACATAGCTGAAACAACGACGAGATGCTCTTACTCAAGCTGTACAAGGTCATGGAGCTCATAGTTACCGACGATATTGGTGCTGGAACCAACTTCTGCCGCTTCACGAAGATCCTTAGCGAAAACAGACACCTGGACAGCCATCAGTAAGCGAACACGAGAGATAATGTATATCTGAACCTCCTGCATCGACATGTCGGACAGAAACGTAACGACGTTGTCCATCACAGAGACGACAAGGCCCGTTTCATCGGCATTCTTCCCGTTCATAACCTTGACATGGTCCCCAGGCTTGAATCGCTTCCGGACACTTCGTGCAGGCAAATCGATTTTTTGACCCTCGAGGTCGACACCTTGGGCGGTAATGGTGACAAGATCCCCTTGGACCCCCTCGACCACACCTTGCACACCTGCCTGCTCGCCCTCAAAGACTTCGATGTGGTCTCCGGGCTGAAGAACTGCGATGGCGGCTTTCCTCGACGCCTCCGCGATGATAGATAAGTCGATTTTGTTCCCGCCCTCGTCCATGCCGCCGCCTTCCTGATCTCGGCTAAACAGAGAGATCTCGTCCAAGGTTGGAACAACGTCATCGAGTTGCAGTGCCGAAAGACGGAAGTCCTTTTCGATAAACCCGTCCTTGTACGTGTCGCTCTGGAAAACGTATACTTGATTGCGCTTCGAAACCGCTTTACGCCCATACACTTTGACGACTTCCTCGTAGTTGAAGAAGCGCTGCGGAGGTCGAACGCCCGTCGCTGTAGTGGCGGTCTTCTTTCGCTTCTTCCCGTCCGCAGTCATGTCGTCTTTGGGGTTTAGGTCGATACGAGGCACGAATTTTAGCCCGACCTCTTCCCCGTTCTCCGTAATATCCATTACTTGAGCGAGATCGCCTTGATACTTCCCTCGACGTATGCGGACCCAGCTACCCGGGGTAACCGTCACCTCTTGCTTCTTCAACTGAAGTAGCTTGTCCATTTCTTCGATGGGAACCAAAGCCGGAGGTCGGGTAAAGAATACACCAACTAACCCGTTGCAAGCATCCATGACCTGCTTGGCGCTACGAGCTTCGACGTAGATCATGCCAGGGAGGGAGTCACGCTCGAATGCAGAGAGGATTTGGAGTGGACGACCAGAGTACTCTACGTCGATAGCTTTCCGCATTAGGCTCATGACTATGTCACGTTCCTTGCCCGGCTGACTATCTTATTAGCACAAGGGCCTGCAGTCTTGAAGGTAAAGGCATGTGGCTACTCACCCTGACCCGTACTTGCCACAGATTGGCGTCATGAACATCGGGAATCAACATGTGTTGCGGCAAATCGTCCATATTTCCGGTATAGCGCTGGGCCGCGGTTCGTTTGTACCGTTGACTGACGTCTTCTGCTATACGAGCAAGGTCCTGATCGTCTAATTCACGTTCGCGGCGCTCCAAACGAGCATGTGTGGCTGCCCGACGAGCTACATCGTCCTCATCACCCTCCAGACCAGGTTCAGCCAAGAAGTCATCTAGATATTTGATGTGTTCAGTTGGCTTGCCAATGGCAAGGGAATGGCTATACTGACTGTTCGCGAATTCTTCGTCGTCGTCTTCCTCCTCATCGTCCTCGTCGACTTCAGCCTCAACATCAACGAAGCGCTGCCATGCCGGTGCTTTGTGCCGGCGCTGCACGTAACGCGATGAATAAACGGTGCTCGATGCAACAAAGGCATGGGCGCGTACCTTCACGCGTTTCTTGCCTCTCTCAACGCCCTCGTCTTCCTCCTCGTCCTCCTCCTCGTCCTCCTCGTCATCTTGTTCTTCGTCTTCATCTTCCTCGTCTCGAGCTCGCGATGAACGTTTGTCCCCCGTGCGCCCTGCCTGCCCACCTTCCTCAGCATCCACATCGTCCTCATCCTCGAGCCCGGCATTCCCGTGCTCAGGGGCATCACTTTGGAGATACGAGTCTTCAACGTCAGACATAATGGGAAGCTAGCGTCTTTGAGTGGTGTAGCACAGGTCCGCCTTAGTGCGCCCAGCAGACGCTGGGGTTCTAACGAAGTGACGAGCGAGGGGTCGCGTAAGTCGGTGGCTGAACCCCTTGGGGGGTCAGGTAACCTGGGCGTCACCGCTAACTCCCGACCTCTTCGCCTTACCATGTCGTCCGCAAAACCAACTTCGAGCGAGAATGCCGTTAGCCAGAAAGTGCGTTGTTGTGAATGTGATTGGCTATCTATACACTGATAACGATCGACATAGTATGACCGGTGCTGTACGTGTGTTCCACGTTATTAGTCCAGTGCATGAGTACGGACGCGATTTCTGACCCTCGTTCGTACATGCGAATTAGTGGCGGACCTGGTTGTGAAAGCGTACGTGCTGCGCTCCTGCCGCAAGTGCTATGGGCTGACTTTGTCTCCAGTGGTCTAGGATTCAGTGTAGGCGTAGTTGCATCGGTCGTATTCTTTCGTAGTACGTCCCGATTGTTCAGAACGCGCATTTGTTGCTCACTTGCGCATTCCACCGACGCATAAATTCACTCCTCACCGACTATCTCGACTCCTCATCTCCAGGGCGCACCTTGCCGATAGGCATTGGTCTTGGCTGGGGGCTCGGTGCGGCATATGCAGACTGTGATCGGCTTTTCACCCCTCGCGAACCCGGCGCAAGACTTGCCGTGCTTCCGCCCGCTCCGGCGAGTTCGACTGTAGCGACACCATCGGTGGACCCTCACGGACAGCATACTGTATGAATTCGTGGATGAACATTTATAGATAGAATACGGTTCAACGTTGATCTACTTGTCGTAAAGCGCTTTTCCAGACTGTTTACGGAATGCATTCTCGGTCTTCCAGGCCCTTCTGCGCGACCAAATAGCCTTCCACTGTATATAAGGCGGAAGCTTCATGCTTGCTTGCATGACTGGGCGCTCTCAGTTGATCACCCCATCTGTAGCTTTGCCTATATCCGCGAGCCGGTAGTATAACATGATTTCCTGGCACTCGTGGCCATGGTTGTCCAAAAGTCGAAGCTCTACGCAGGACGCGACGCATGCCCCGAGTTTGCACCAACGTCCTGGACGACAGCATCGGAGAACGTCCGTCGTGGTTTACCAAGGACGTGTCGCTCATATAACGTCCCTACAAATGAAACAGAGATCGATTAACCCTGCAACTACTTGTCTATTAGTTGATCATGGACGCACAAGCTGTCGCGCCTATGATAGGCAACGTCACAATGATTATTTGCATCCTTCTGCCATTGGGCGAAAGCGTCTTTCGTGTGAGGTCATTGGGCGGGTGTGATGGATGTGCCATTGTGTCGAATTCCTTAGTTCGAGGAGCCCGCTCTGGTTAGAGCACGAGGAGCCCGGTGGCTGCGCGTCGCCACCGGACCTGCGTTATGGGCGGCTAAGTATTGATCGACATTGATCCTGACCAACCGGCGCTTGACATGGACATAACTTTATCAATAATACCTCCATCTCAGTTGGCAGAGATCGCGCGATGCGACCACCAGTCCTTGCACAATTCCGGCCTCTCAAGATCTCACGAGTCATGTGAAGGATATCCTTTCGGTGCGAGACAATTGCGTGGGATTACAGCTCCGACTCGCTGAAAGCTACTATGCTGCTTGTCTCGACATGTAACTTGAAGGCATCATCAAAGGCCGGCGATTGAGCGGTCATGAATGCACACATCCAGATCTTCGAGAGGAAGGACATCCCAAGTTTGCTTGCCGTGCGCATGGGGACGAACGAGGGTTACATGCATGTATGAAGATCCGAGGGTTCGGGCTCCGTCCATGTGTCCCATTGCAACCAATCACCGAAGTCTGCAATCCACTGACTCTGCGACGGTTTCTTGGGGTTAGCAGTTCGGAAAATGCATCCGCGATTTAGCCACTCCAGTAACCGCCACCAAGGGTCCCCATAAGATTGAATGTGAGGACGAACACCAGGAACATACGGGCCTCTTCCTTTGCCGCTGTTGGAAGCCTCCATCCGAGTCAAGACAGAACGGTGCACTAGCACGCCCCGCTCTATGATATGGCGAGGCAGCAATCTGCCTTGCCCCCTGTTCCATCTTTGGCAAGGACGAGAATCAAACTTGAGCACAAGCAGTGCAAAAAAGACAGCTCACATCCAGACGTAGTCATCCTTGCCATCCGCGACGTTCAGATCTAATTTCACCTTCTGCGGCACCCATTCCATGACTGTTCTTCCTCAATCAGATCCCAAGCTCAATAAGAGAGGGTCTCAGGACGTACGGCGCCAAAGAAGCATAGCATTCATTTGATCATACATTGGCGACAAGGCATCATGCAGCTCTTCAACGGCTTCACCTTCGAATAACCGCTGCTTGGTACCATGGATGCACGGCTCTCTAGCCAGAAGAACGCTAGCGCCTTCGTTAATTCTGGGTGCGGGCCGGCAGAAGATCCACGCATAGAGGCTGAAGACCAAGAACGAGACGCATGACATAACATATGAGATGGTGTCCCATACTGTCAGCGCGCTGCAAGGGGTTGTCATCGCACACGGTCTCGTCGGTAATGAATCTTGCGAGCCAGGACTTATGCGCTCTGGCTCAGACATGTCCCCTGCTCTCAGGCGATCTATATCCAGACCAAGAACTTCACGTAAGCTTGCATCGAACAAGATTCCTGTGTCGGTGCCTGTAAATCAACATTGTCAGCATTGAATGAGGCCGGATTTTCGTGTGTACGTACGGAAACACTCCCGGATCATCCACCGCAGCGGGATACGTGCTAAACTGTGCCTCTGAGAAATATGAAATGAGATAAGATGCGACCAGGACACGCAGACTTGACTCACGGTGTGATTCTTTACCGATCCTCCGCCGACGTCACAGTGCGTTCCCGCGAAAAACACTGAAGTGACAAGGTCATTAAATCAACGAGGGTACGACAAGAGATGGCGCACCTTCTTTGCAGTCCGTCAATTCCTGAGCTTCAGGGACGCTCTGCGGGGTCGTCGGTTGGACCAGGCTCTCTATCGAACACTCCAGGAATGCCATCAAACGATTCCAGGGCGAAGTACTGCTCGTGTCATAGAAACTTGGGATGAATCGCACTCGACGTTCGTCAAGAGACACGGCATGTCTGAATATCCGAATAGCATCGTTGGAGCTGCAAAGATCTTGAGAATGATCAGATGGTGCAGTAGTGCAAACGAACCTGGATAATGGTAGATAGCGAGGTATCACACCGACAGAGGCTACGGTATCCCTTCATGAGCGTAGGCAGCTGGAGATACGGGGCACTAAGACACCGGGCTTACCATACTCCCACGAAATCGACATTGACGTGGATGGAGAATGTCTTCTTGAATATGGCGCTCATTCGCCATCCATATTCGTCGTCGCGTTTGTACATTTTGTATGCGAAAGGGAGTTGTTGATAGTTGCATGAGGACAGAAGGCCAACCTTGTGCAACATGCCTGCCAAAGCCCGCGCGGTGTATGCACCTCGACTAAAACCAAATATGCATATCTTGTCGCCGGCGTTATCTATGTCGCCAAGATTAGATTGAACTGGATAAGTTGATAATTACGACTTACAGTTCTGCATCAGGAACGCGTAGCCATCTGTGACAGCAGTGATTTCAGTGTGGATGGAAGGATATCAGACAACGGGATATGAACCTCTCACGTGCCTCCCAAGACTCCAGGCAACCATTCTGTCTAGAGTATTGGATATCTGGGATATGAGGGGTAGGGCCAGCAGAGGATTGTCGCTGTATGTCCCTATGCCCGCCTGAAGCATTGCAGGTGAGTTCGCACATGAAATCTTGCATGCTTGCGAATCACCTGATAGTAAACCATTTGCTGAATATATACGTGAGGCATTAACACGTACGAACAACAGGATACACGAACCTCACGATCATCGTCCTTCTTCAACATGGAAACCAACTGTACAATATTGGAGTTGTCATCGTCGAATGCATCTCCTGTGCCATCAAAACAGAGGATTAGACATCGTCTCTTCCGATATGCATAGGTTTGATTCCGAAAGGCGGGGATCCAGTCCCGTTTGGGTGGTTCCCAGTGCGTTACTGCACGCACGCGTGGCACTGGCAAAGGCGTGCCAGCACGTTTGCGGAAGTAGTCCGAACTTTCAGACTCTGATTCGGATACGAAGTTGTCATCAGGATTGTCGGTCCTCGAGACACGACTAAATGCCATCGGACGAAGAAAGGGGGATCTAAGGCTGCCATCAAAGCGTGCTCCAGTGCTCTTGAACATATAGGTAAGCTTGCGGCGTCAATCATCACCGCAGCTGGCGGGCGGTCTCGCGCTCTGACTGCCTGAGTATAGCTTCTGCTGAAATCCGTGCGATCCATGCGCACAAGCGCTGGAGTCAGATTTGAGCAAGCTATAGTTGGTGACGGATCTTCTGAGAAATGTGAATCCGGAACTCCGGCATGGCACGGCCTTGTAGAGTACTTACATTACTCATACAGCCTCCTGGAGTCGATTATAGGGCCTTCCTCTATCAGCGTGCATGCGAATGATATTGAATACCATAGCGGGTATGCTCTTGCATCAGTGCACCTGAAATAGGTATGATTACAAGTTACTCACATGCGAACCCATGAATACCACAGTTCTCTCAGTTCATCGCCTCTTTCTATACTTGGTGTTCACGAACCATCGTGCATATTTCTGACTAACTATCCATACACTTGTACAACTTGATACATCAGTTGAACACACCGGTGAACAAGCGCACATTTTGCATATGAAGCTGCGGAGGATGTATATCCAACAGCTCCTCTTTCTCTCTGTATACTAGTACTGTCGGGTCTTAGCTATCGCACGGAACATCATGAAACCAGTTCCCGATGCGACTAACATTCGTTCTCCTGATCTACTGCGAAGTGCTTTCTGTCTTGATGGGCACCGCCGCTGCACCCCATCATGAGTTCGGCCGCGAACAGCCATGAGTCTCATAGATCTCCATCAGTGTCGGCCCCTGGTTGTCATCATTCTTGACCGCAGCTACGAAGGATTGCAGCCGCTTTGCCACAGCCGGGGGAATCATCCATGATACATAAGCGAACCCATGATAACTGTACTCATATGCGGACTCAAATCCATACATTATGATGTGCAGTGTTGGTCATTGTCGGCGTTCACAAAGGCCAGTGTGCACAAGCATTCGTATGCTGGATATGAATTAACCTTGGAACGCGACACCAGCTTTGGAAGTCTCCGCCAGACCGCCGCCGGCGTACCCAGTGCCTGAATGATACATCAGCGCTGTTCCGTAAGATGTAGAATATGCATCACGAGCTCACCCTCTCGTCTTAACTCAACGATATCTGAACCCATATCATGTCCCTTTTTCTTCCCGACGGCCTTCTCCTGTTCCTTGGGTACGGCACCGCTGGCTTTGATGGGTATATCGCATACAGTACACTGTGCGTTGGGTTTGACAAGCGTATCAGTGCACGTTCTGCATACAACGTGCCCGCAAGGTTTCATGACTGCATACCGAACAACATGAGTCATTATGACCCAGCCTATGCGCGACGGGAGCATTGCACGAAGTTGCGTACCGTAGAGGATGATGTTGTTAGACAGCGTCTTCTTGCAAGATAGACAAAAAGGCATCTCGTCATCCTGCTTCGAGGCCGCAGCCTTCGTAAGCTCCGCCGTTTCCCCGTCCTCCAAGGGAGTCGTTTTCCCGACACCGGACGACGGGTATGAGAACTTGACCGGGAAAAGATTCTTCAGGCTAAATGACTAAACTCAGAGGTGTGAACCGGATAACAAGGGCTGCATACGCTATGGAGTGCGGAGGGTTGCCCCCACGGCACGTGGTTTGAACCTTAAGATCTTGGAAAGAAGAGGGGGGGCCCGCAGACGTGTACGTGGGTGTCAGCGACGGCAGCCAAAAGTCAGGGAGTTTCGCGCGAAGTGATTCTGGGGCACGACAGCATGAAAGTCTCCGGTCAACACAGATTTGGCAAGGACATACCAGCCTGTTCCTTCTCTAATTGCTTAAGAGCGGCTTCCTCTGCTTCTCGCGCCAGCGACTCGACCTTGGTCGCATCAAATTCGAAAGGGAGTTTGCGTTTCGTTCCTCCTGCACACCATAAGCGGGCAGCAACTGCTACGTGAGTATTGACAGACTTTCACCTTCATCCTTCCCTTGAGTGTGTACTTCGTTGCGAGCTCCGAGCCCTAATTGCCCGCGTTCGAAGTCTTGCAACACACGTTCACGAGCTGCCTCTCTGGCGCGCAGTTTTTGCTCTTCGGCCTCTTTCCTCAATGCATCCAATTTGTCTTTCTGCCTCTTGATGTCCTTCTTTTGCGAGACTGCAGATGCACCGTATACGTGAGCAGGGTCTACATAAGTACGGAGCGCTGGAAACGTACGCACGAAGGTCGGTGTAAACGCATTCTTTGCAGAAGAGATGGCCCTCCTGGCATGCTACAGGCTCGCGGGCTCGTTGAAGACACAAGGCGCAGCAGTCGAAACGTCGCATAGATTCATTTCCTAGCCTTTGCTACGGCCAGTCGTCATCGAAAGTTCACGCCTCAAGACAGAACGGCTGACCCGTTTAGTGCCATAGTCAAGCTTTTTGTATTCGGCGTATGAGAATATGGATGATGCCGTATTGTTCTTGCTGTGTTTTGTCATTTTGCACTGTGTCTTATGCTGTTGTTGGTTCTTGTGAAGCTTGAGGAGAGAGGGTTCAATGCAGTGGCTTTGTGTGTGATGCCACGTGCGTCATTTGCTGGTCTGAGTCTCGCGCGACAATCCATGTAAGTGATCGAGCAACGAGTTCTTGTCCTCATTCATGCATTGCAGGACCGTTACACCCAGACGATATATATAATCATATGTGGGTGAACTCAAGCTGTTTACTAGACAAGGCGTTGCAAACCATGGACAGCAAAGGTGACTATAGGCTAGCCCACCAAGAGCCACAATTAGTAACGATATCGTTGGCAAACGCTTTGTACGGCCTCGCAAGGCCACACCGACGAGTATGGTTATAAAGAGCCCTCGTCTGAGAGACCAACTCCGCCACCCCTCGTAACCGATGTCGCCTGGAACTCGTCACCTATGTCCAACAGCGGACTTCATCCCTCCAACCTACGAGCCGCTGCCATATCTCCTATGTCATAGGCCCTTCGAGCATCTCCCAGCAGCATGCAAGGATTTCTTAACAAAGAACGGTATTCCCCTGCCTTCTCGGGACCGGTCTCATGACAGAGCTTCAAGGCTTTCGGCGAGGCTCATAGCATGTCGGCAAGCACTCCAGGACCAGCTACTCACCGACCTGGCGGGGAATGACATGTTACTTCTGAAACTGCGGTACAAGGCTGTCCTGGAAGGTTGCTCTTGTGGTCCCCCAACACCGCATTCCTCAAGCAGCATGACGACGAAAGAGCGCCTGCGTTATCTGGCCGACGTCTTGTTGCCCGCGCGGCTGAACATCCTAGGCGACTTCCTGGCCCGTTTTGACGCTCTGATCTGGGCACAACTGGAATCTTGGGAGTACAAACACTTGAGGTGGTCCGTGAAGGAGCAGCAGCGCTATCGTGATCAGATGGTTTCTGGCATCATCCACTTGACAGAGTTGAAGACTACAGAGCTGGATCTTCATGTTAGGTCCAACCATCCGCCTCTTCAACACACTATTCGCCACGTTGAGCAAGATGGCGACACTTCCGAAGGCAATGCTGCAGTTGATGCCACATTAGAAGATTCTCAGGGAGTGCGCCCACCTAGCGTGCATGGCTCACCCGAAGAGGATGCGATTTGCGCACCATCCGATGCTGCGATCACGGAAGAAGGAATCAAATCTGCCCTTCATGCTTCCACTCCATCCTTGGACGAGGCACAGCTTGATGGCGGCTTTTCCCCCTTCGAGGAAAGCGACCAGTCACAAACAACCGACTGCGAGCCAAGTCCACAACTGTCCGAAGCAACCATCGTAACGTTTGAGCTGGAAAGCTTCGAGAAGGAGTGTGTCGACGTCGAAAGAGCAGTGACTAGGGGTGTTTTCTTGGAAGAGCCGGAGGGACGAGTGCAAGCAAATGTCATCCGTCTGCCCACTACAATGCCATGGGACTTCAACGCGGCAGGAAAAGCATTGACCCGAGCTCCTGCCAAACCGAAACACGACATGCGGCGTATCGCGTCGACTTCCAAGCTCCAGTCGATGCTGCGGAGTATAGACAAAATCCTCGGTGACTTTCATAAACCCGGTATCGTCAATGAGGACCCAATCTTTCAGGAAAGCCGCCTTCGACCGGTACCGAGCAAGGAGCGAGACGTGCCAGAGTTAGCGAAATCGAACATGGATGAGGAATGTGGTTTAGCCGCGACCGGCGGTACGATGCAGGACAAGGAGCGAAGGTCGGATGCTGCATGCGCTCCCGAAACGGGCGTATCGACACCTAACTATCGAACGCTTCGCATAGCGACGGAGTTGACCGATGTTGCAAAGCAGAGAAAAACCTTCACGCGCAGAAACAAACAACGACGGCCGGTGAGCAAGAAGAAAGCCGAGATGCACGAGGTCGGTGCTGCGTGGAGGAGATAACGGCGAAAAAGACGGCGCCTAGGGGGGGCGCTACCGCTCGATAGGCCTAAGACTATTCGCCCGAGGGATCAGAGAAAGGACTGTAAACCATAAGTAGATCAGATTTACGATACCCTCGCGTAATAAGTAATTGCAGTCCCGCAACGTACATGATGTCTGAAGCTCTGGCGAAGAATTGCCCGGTCGTCGGACAATCCACCCTACTTATAAGACATTATGGTCGTCAACACGCCCGGGGAACTGTAGCGCAAGGACCTCGCTAGTGCCGATGAATGTGAACTACATATGGTTCAGTCCAGACGATCGCAGAGGAGCAACGCTGGAGTGGACAGACATGATGAGGTGATACTTAGATCAGAGATGCAAACGAACTCAGACGTCCTGGGACCGCATGGGATGTCGGACTTATGAGCATTGGAAAGGCAAGCGGGGATGGGTTCGCAGGACTCCACGTCGATTTCTCCGTGTACGGCTGTTCGAAAGAGCTCGACAGGGATGGCGGATGTACGTATACTGAGGTCCCCCGGAATCTTGTGCGCAACCCGATTCCGACATCTCGTCAGCGACATCTCGTCACGCGATGGCAGCGTAGTTGTCTCGAACCCGATATGAGTGAAAGCGTGAAACTCGTCCGTGATGGCTACAAACACACACGTACACATGCAACGCATGATCTAGGCATACCGATACCGACCAAGCGCGCCAAACCGTCAAGGTCAGTATAACGTACGGGTCGGATAGAAGCAGCAGCGCCAGAAAACGGCGAGCGATGTAGTCCGCAAAACCAATCCCCCCTGCAACCCTACGAATATACAATCACTCCTCGCCGTCCCTCCGCGCCACAAGAAGTCATAAATAGCGTAAATAGCGTGATATAGTCCGTTGATGCTAATTTTTCTTCGAATTGGCCGGCGTGTTATACGGGAGAAGGTGTCCGGAGGCTCGACGGTGCACCGATTGTATAAGAACGCTGACCTCGCGGTCTACGGACAGACTGAGGTAAAGGAAGTCAATTACCCCGATAGCGAGGTGCCCAGGGGGAACAAACTCACGTATCTGCTCATGATGAGCTTCGCCATGATCATCGGCTGGCCGTGGCCGGCATACCCGCCCATCTGGTTCACGGTGAACGCAGGTGAGGCAAGCGCCGGTGGGGTCGGGGATATTTGCTGCAAGGACGGGGTCGGCAAAGTGAGCGAGGACGTCGAAGCCGTCCGTCGGTGCCGTGTCGGCCGCGAGGGTGCGCTTTGGGCAGGCGAGCCCGGTGGGGACGGCGACGACGGCCGGGCGTAAGCTTGCGAACGGACCGGGTGCCAGACGCCGCCTTGGCGTGGCGGTGGGGCCATGGGTGCGGAGGGCATACGCCGACCAGAAGGCGGCGGGCCAACCTTGATTAGCGGCGGCTGTGCGGACCGTTGCGGGAGGCGGTATTGTGCGCCGTCGATGGTCCATGTAGGCGAATACGACCCAGAGTTCGGTGACCCCGGAGATGGGGGAGCGGGCGACGGGAAGTCCTCGTCGTCCCCGAGTAAGGCAAGCAACTTCGAAGAGAGGTCGAACGAGAACGTCGGGAGAGAGGGGAAGTGCGGCCGCTGCGAGTATGCGTCAGGGAACGTCGCTGCCTACGACAGAAGAGTACGTACCAGAGCGGGCAGTCGCACCGAGGGGGGAGATGGCCATTGTATGGAGAGCGTTATCCGGCGTTTTTCGCTGAGGACTTCGGTGTTCGCATCTCCTTTGGGCGACATGTCGCTGACGACTTGATCCGCGCGCACGCGAGCAACGACCGCATGTCCCGTCTTCTCCCCGGCGAGCCTGAAGCGGGCGAGGAGTATGCGAGTGATGCATGCGTAGCACAAGACGGCCGCACAGATGAGGAGGGTAAGCGACGACCAGTAGAGTCCGAGGTCCGTCGACGTGAGCTGGAGCGACGGCATGGACGGTATGTGGATGTGGACCGAGGGGAGGGAAAACTCGATGGGCCGGGGCAGGCGCTGCATGAGTGTCGAGGTGTACATCTCGTCCGATGATGACCTTCGTCGAGCAGGGCGCACTGCGGGGGCGACGACCGATGACCGTAGAGAGCTGCCTGGGGCGAGACCGGGGCCTCTGTTCCTTCAAGCCGTCCGCGATGGGAGCGAGAGCACAGGGGGCTCAGCGGGGAGTTGGCAGGACGGCGAGGGATGAGATGAAGGCGGTCAGTCGTGAGGGGCTCTGGGGAGGAGCGGCGAGATGGGCCAAATAGCGTGCCACGTCTGGGGCCCGGACTAACCTCGTTTCACCCAAGCGGCGCCGCCCAAGCACCGCGTTCTCTCACGCCCCGAATCTTTCCCGCTTCCGCGTTTCGCCCGGAAGGCTGATCATCTGCTCCGTCGTCATGAAGACATCTACGATCTCCCTGCACCCATGCTTGCACATCCCGTTGATGACCCTGTCGCAATGGAATCCACATTGCAGTTGCATTGCACGGCGCGTGCTGAGGTGCGCTACGAGGGTCGCTGTGGCGGTGTTCACCCAATATACCTCCGACTTCCCGCCATTGCGACATACACCACTCCACGACGTCATGTCCGACATAAGTCAGTAGTACGATAGAGCGATCACGGAGCTCAGGTCCGAGCAGACAAGACCGTCACATACGACATAAGACCTGTGCAGTCAAACGGAGGCGTTTCCCCGTCACGATGGTCATGGAGCCGCCAATACATGTGTCGTTCTGGAATACATCGATCGCCATGTGTACATTGAAAGCGACAGCTTTCGTGTGCTCCCTTCGAAACGGCTGGCGAGACTAATTGGTTGGCTGGCCCGGGACATTTTCTGGCAATTGCGGAAATTTCGCGCGTCCATCATCCAACTTCATCACGTCGAAGCCGTCGCCTTCTACGACCTCTCCCGCGAAGATATGCATACCCATTCGGACGGCGCGGACCGCATCTTGCCTGGATCCATGATCAGACACCTCTCTCGAAATAGAATGGACAGCGGGATGAAGAGTACCTGTCAAGGCATCCAAGGCCGATCACGATGATACCCGGCAGCTGGCTATCGCTGATGTACAGCAGTGACGACCCGCATGTCGGACAAAATCCTCTTCGGCCGTGGTCGCTTGAGGTGTAGAAGGTCGGCTTGACGCTGTTCGAGGGGTCGTAATGGAAGGCGAATTCAGGAGCCGAGAAAAAAGACTAGGTGCGTAGAGCATGAGATCGTTAGGTTCAAGGTACCGATGACGGATGTATCAAAGGGGTCGTTTCCGCAATTGTAAAATAAGGACTATGTATGGCACCTGAAACAGCGCTCCCGATGATCTACGGCTATGGACACACAGGGTAGACGTTAGATCGGTACGCGTCACGAGTGGGGGACGAACCACCCACCACAAGTTGCAATGACAATGGAACCCCGCATACTTCCTTGTCCCATTTTCCTCTGCGACGAAGGGGAAATGGGGTGCTGTTGACTGCTCCGGGGGCGGGAAGTCTGTTTGCAGGCATCGCCGCGGCGGAGCCGCACGGATAACAATCAGGACAGAGTCGATACCGCAAGATAAGGGCTGACCAACGGTGTACTTGATAGAGCCGCAAAGACAGGAGCCCTTCAAAACCTCAATCATGCCGTAAGGTGAGGGCGGACGATGTAGGCGCGAATGCGGAGACTCCGACTATATAACATCCCATGACTATGGTCATCGTGGTGCTTGCAGCAATAGCTGCCTATCACGAATCGAGCGCTGGGATAGCAGAACCTATGCTGGAGAAAGAGCGAAGATTTCGAAGTCTTGGATGTAGACCGCAGCTGATCTCGCCGCATTCAGTCTATGCATGGTATCAGGAACGTTGATCTTGTTCGTATGTCCCGGAAGATTTTGAGCGTGTTCTTTGGGTCGGATGGAGATAAGTTACAGACGAATAGCGCGGCTTGACGCGGTGAGAGTGGATGCAAGCGGCTTGAAGTCACCGCGCGGCACGGGACTGGCACGGGACACGCGTCTCCTTCAGCCCGTGTTCATGACGGACGCTCTGCACGGATCCTGCTTGTGCGGCGCAATCAAATTCATCATTGGTTCGCCGTGCTGCGTATCTGAGAATGTCACTGCGTCAAAATCACCTGTGGACGCAGATATCCCTCTCCAACATGAAGACGGCATGGAAGGAGCTGTGAAGTACAGGAGGACTCACTGTCATTGCACAAGCTGGTGATTGCTATGCTGATGACACGGGTTACCACCGCTCGCATTCACACCGATCTATACTAGTCGCAGATCTTATGGGGCCCTTTTCCAAGTACGTTGAACAGTTATTTTCGGGTAGTCTTGAACACATTCAAGACGAATTGCAGAGCTTCATAGAAATTCCGAATTCGTTGTTCCACATCGACCGCAGTAATACCACTACACCATCACGTTATCAATCAAGCCAGCGGTGCCATCGGGAGTTCTGTTCGAAATGCGGATCCGCCATGTTCTTTGTGGACGCTGAGACACCAAACATCGATATTGCAGTGGCCGTATTGGACCGGTGAGTGTTGACCTTGCACTCGTTTGAAAGCTGGAACACTCGACTCTTCTCTCCATGCAGACAGGATGTTGCTCGGGGTGTCAAGTTTGTCAAGCATATCTGGCTCGAAGATGCTGTGAAAGATGATGGACTTGATGTCACAAAGCTGGAGGACGGCCTGGAGAGATACAAGAGATTTTGGCAACAAGGCAAATGGGAAGGTTATCACTATCACTGATACACCAAAGGACGTCTTGGACTTGGAACTCAGCCCTCAAGCTGTATTCCTGTTCTTTTCTTGTCGCTAAGCGGCTGTCCGCACGAATGAATGTCCGTGTTCGATCGCGAACAAGAACAAGCATGATCGACAACTGCGCGAGTAGCATATTTTCCGTGATGTCTCAATGGCATGCATACTCGAGGATGTTATATTATCATGTTCACTCAAGCAACGCCCGATCATGAAACCTTTTGCATGCCCGTAATTATGGTGTGCACCGATGACTACAGGATCTTCAACGTAGTCAGTACCCATGCCATATACCATCGAGCTCTTCCGTTTCCTCTTCCTTGTACCTCGGCAATTCGTCAGAAAGTTTCGTGATGTCGATTCCGTCCCCTTTCACAGAATCGTCAAGCCATGTGTGTCGATATGGCTGGATTGCCCGTGCAGCGTCCTCCCTGAGGATAGCTTTTCCGGTACTTTTCGCGCGTCGTTCGGGACAATCACACACCTATTCAACGTAGCAATCGCTATCTCGCGTACTTCAGGCCTGTCTTTGGAACAGTAGAAAAGGGAGGTGCCGCATTTGGGACAGAACTCTCTGGAAGCTTTGGTGCTCGAATCATAGGCTGCTGGTATCGCCGTGTTCGACGTGTCGAACTGGAAGTGGCTGGCAGGTACAAAGAAGAAGCTCTGTGCGCTCCGTGAGCATCCAAGCGACGGTATGCAAAGTTGAGGATCGGCCTTACTTGATAAAGACTGCCGGAAGCGCGCCGACTGGTTTGGCAGGCATGAGCACGACCTCCAATATGTGTTTTCGTGCGAAGCATTACCGTACCAAGTATTGCAATGACAGTGCGTCCCCGCCCACTTTCTCTCTCCTTCTGGCCCGGTACGAACCAAATTCGCAAACTCCGGCTTAAGACGTTCCGGTGGCGGGGGTGGAAAATCTGTCTTCGATTCATCATACACCGCATGGATCATATGCGGGACGGACTGTGGACGAACCGATGGTGAATCTTATTGCTCCGCAGAGGCAGGATCCCTTGATCTGTTCCATCGTACGCACTGTTTGAGTCGGTGCCGCGATGTCGATACGATCAAGACCGAATCACGAGCAAAGGTCGTCTTAGAATCCGACAATCTCACACATATAGTGTCGCGTCATGAAGGGCCATATGCTTCCGACTTGTGAATAGAAGATCGGTCTGCGTGGCACGGCGCGTATGACTATTGGCAGGACTACTGCGTGAGTTACTGACAGAACGATTGCCTGATTTCATAATGGCATCTCAATATTAATACCCACCTCGACCATCAGACGTGCTTGAGCGCTAGGGGTTCATTCGACCGCGCACATGCATTCAGCCATTGGCCCGGTGCTCCAGAGATGGAATGGAAAGCCATGTTTACCATGCTCGCCCGCATGGCACCTATCGCCCTCACGTGAAGCGTTTTGCCTTTACTGAGCGATACTGGCCAGCACATCGGGTGGTTGTGCCGCAAACGTCCGGTTCGAAGTATGTGGAAGTGCCCGGCCAAGCAGTGCACGTACCTGCTGATCTAGACGCCCGATTGTCCGAGCTCTCCTGGTGCGCTCCTGGGTCCCGACCAACCGCGCCGGACACGTGGGCTGCAGTCCACGGCATGGCTATCTGCGCTTCTGAGGGGGCATTCGGTAACCCCTAGCTTACTCCGATCGGCAGACGCGATAAAGCTCTCGAGGTCGTAGCTGGCGCGTATGATAGCTCTCTACCCCCTCCCGCTCCTCTTTGCGCCTGAACAACCACCTTCACTGCCCCCGGAGCGATAAAACATGCGTACGTGTCGCATAGTAGCCATACGGACACTCATCGTCAACATAACTTCGACAGGTCTCATCATCCGCGACGATCCGGTGCAAGTAGGCGACTACATCGCCAATTATATCTGCAAGCGTATCAACGAATTCGCACCGACGGCCGAAAAGCCTTTCGTCATTGGTCTTCCGACCGGAAGCTCGCCCATTCCGACTTACAAGTCGCTAATCCGACTTGTAAAAGAAAACAAACTCTCGTAAGGGCTCGTCATATATTCATTACGTAGTAGTCCCCTGATGCCTGTCTCGTAGCTTTAAGCACGTTGTCTCCTTCAACATGGACGAGTATGTCGGACTGCCTCAAGAGCACTCCGAGTCCTACCATACTTTCATGTTCCGCGAGTTCTTCTCGCACAGTGCGTTCGTCGCTTTGTCCCCGCATTCCGATATTGATATCCGTTGGCCAGTCGACATCCCGCCTTCGCAGGTCAACATCCTGAACGGGAATGCTGAAGACCTGATCGCGGAATGCAATTCATACGAGGAAAGGATCAAGAAATACGGGGGTATTGAGCTTTTCCTTGGTGGTATCGGGGAGGATGGTCACATTGCTTTCAACGAGCCCGGTCAGTGGACTACCTGATACTCCTTCCTTCATTACTGACTACTCGACCCCTCGCACAGGATCTTCACTCAAATCCCGCACTCGTATCAAGACTTTGGCGTACGACACCATCCTCGCTAACGCGCGCTTCTTCAATAACGACATTTCTGCGGTACCGCGGATGGCGCTTACGGGTGAGTTGTACCAGCATAGCTAGGAAAAAACGTATTGATGATCTGCAATAGTCGGAGTTCAAACCGTGTTAGATGCGCGGGAAGTCGTCGTTGTGGTCACTGGCCAGAGGAAAGCTCTGGCATTGAGCAAGGCCATCGGTAAGCTCTTCCGTAATTCTGGCTGCCCATAGACGCCTACATCGTCCTCCGCAGAGGAGGGCGTGAACCACCTGTGGACGCTGAGTGCATTACAAATGCACCCTTGGGCGTTGATTGTCGCGGACGAAGAGGCCACGGCTGAGCTCCATGTGAAGACAGTCAAGTATTTCAAGGTACGGCTGTGGTTACGATCGCTGCTCAGCCTACTAACTCTGTTTTCCCAGTCCATTGAAATGGTCCAAGACGAGGTAGAACGCACGCAGGCAGCCTTGAAGGCCAAGGGTCTCAGTACCGGTGAACATGATCAGCATGGTATTCAAGAGTGATCTGCTATCAAAAAGCGTTGAGCATAAAACATATGTATTTCTTGTCTATTCACGGTTTCAAGTAGCGATGCCAATAGCATCATGTTACCGTAACTTCGCGCGGGCTCGATCCAATGAAAGGCATTTTGTAACGAATGTACAGGATTGTGAGGACTGCAACGGGTCGGACACGGTAGGGAATAAATATACAAGTCCCCGATCCTGGACCCTGGACCTCTCCCTTTCGACGGCGTCCGTCGACTCGGCTGAGCGTGCACCGACCCTGTCCTCCGACACCCTCGAACTCTGCTGCATCTTACAACTTCCACGAAACGCGGTCGTTGAATATCAATGCGCGATCAACGTCCGACGCGGGCGCGGCTTCAATGGCCGGGTGCTCGCACTAGTGGGTCGTAGAGACTGTGCCATGACTCTCAGCCGCTCTGGACGCTGTCGCGAAGTGGATCGCTGGTGCTCGGTCTCGTGCACTCAGAACCGAACGAGCGCCAATGTATAGACGTCGTCACGGGTCGGGCACTAAGTCCCTGGATGTTAGCCCAGCATAGAGAGGGATACATGACCTGAACGAGACGATCTCAGTCGTCCTCTTACCAAGAACCGCTCCAAGGAGGAGTAGAGGTTCTTGGTATTGGCTCGAAGCTGGGATCGCGTAGCCGACACTGTACTTGCCTACGACATATTAGCTGCTCGGGCGTATGCAGGCCAACAACCGCGAAGTCGGACTGACTGGGTAGGCTGGTTGATAGATCTGCTCCGGGCTGGAGGAAGGGTGTGTATGAGAGTGAGTGTAGTCGAGAATTTAGATTGCACTTTTGATCTCATAGCCATGTCCCTGCAGATTCGGGGATGCTGGCACGAGGCATGCTGTGGCTTAGTAACCATCCTCCGGCCAAGACGGAGTGTTCTTTGGGTTTCTTGCATAAGTGGCGCTTGCCGCGCATCTAAGCGTTCCACAATTGTCAGCCTTCATTTCTTGCATGCACTCGAACGCAAGTGACGACTGTCTGCTCTATCCTTTGCAAACTTGAATTTGCATCATGCAGGCCACGGCACTATCGACCTTTTGGTGCTCTCACGTTCGGCCGCGCTGCTTATTCTGGATCACTTTACAGCCCGCAACTTCTTCGCGCAGTATCCAGGCTGTGGAATGAATGAGTACAGCGCGATTGTGCCGCCATAAAGGCGCGGCTAAGAGTGTCAATACACTGTTCGATGACTTCCCAGTCCTCATGCCTATCGTCGCCTTCGGATTTGGCACGTTCGGTGACATCCTTGCCCTTATCTCTCTCGTTGCAAAAGTTGTCAAGGCACTGACGACGTCTACCGGGACTTCGGCCGCGTACCAGGCCTTGGTCCTCGAACTGTCCTGCCTTCATGACGCTCTCCTACACATCGAACACGCTGCTTCTGCCGATGCGCAGGGCTTTGCACAGAGCTCTTCAGCATCTCCTGTTCTTCATAATTTGAACCTGAATGAGTTTGCTCTGCTGTGCTCTCGGACCATGAAGAAAATCGAGGAACGCATCTCAGGATATCAGAAACGTCTCGGAAGAAGTGGCCACAATAATCGGTGGATATCGTCATGGCAGAAGATTGGATGGAGCTTGTTCAAGGAGCCTGAGATTCATCGTTTCCGCAAAGAGATCAGGGAATATATGATCACAGTTCAGACTATGTTGTCATCGTATGCATCGCAAGTACCACATCTTCTTTCTCGATCTGTTGTCAGAAACTTCTGACAAGAAAATTGACATAGCAAAATATTGGGCAGATTGTGCCAAGTCATATCATCGAACTTAGAAACCTCCACCAATGAAGATCGTCAAGAAATGCAGGTCAATCATAGACGAGTTACTCAACTACACGAAGAGCAGAGAACCTCCGAACGACGAGCCATCGCAGTGGACCATTGCTCCGAGCAACCCAGTACAGGAGATGTGGGTGGGAACTTGACTTCTCCGAGGAGCTCTCTCATCCCTATCGCAGCACGTCGCTTCACATTGTACAAGGGAAGCTGAGGTAATACCTTCCTATTACCGCCATCGCGCTAGCTATGAAGTTGACATGCTTGCAGACTGTATCCCTAGCCCAACCCGTAGGAAGTCGCGCAGAACCTATTCGCACTGGGTCCGATGATTGGCCAGAACGACCGCCCGGGCTAGACCATCGCGAGGCGCAACAGGGACTGGGAGAAACTGCGATGACATGCATGTTGGAGTCTGATTGTCGCCCGGATGCCTTACAGAGAAAGGTGACCGTCGTCCCATTCCCGCTGTGGCATCGAGTACTCATTGCATACGCCGTGTGCAGCAATCAACATCGAATTTGTACAACGGCAAGGCGAGCCAGATACGAGTGGGTCATGTCATCAAGGTATTATTCAATCATATTTCCACATAGCGTTCTCCGACTGAGGTACCGCACTACAAGGAGACGATTTCTTCGTATCAGGAGCCGCGAGCTGTTTCGGGCATAGAGAGTGTTCTGTATGGCGGTGGCACCTTTGTCTTCACCTCGTTACCCGGATGGTCCTCGCCTGATCCTACGATGACCCCACTCAAGAGCGATCGACGCGTACTACTGGACTCAGGATCGCGGGCTAAACGGAAGACTACTGTCGGGTAATTGCCATCTATTTATAACTGTTGGCCAAAGGAGTCGCTCAACCCCACAAGTGTGCGTAGCCCCTCTCAACCTGATGTCTCGAATTTGCGGGCGAGCGGAACTTCGAAGGCCTGCCGATCCTCTCGTTCAACTATTGCACGATATCTAGACAATCTCATACTAGATTGATTTGAAGAGGGTATCAATGCCCATGCTGGACTTCGTGCTCCTCGATGCGAGTGCGTGCATCGTCGTGACCGGGCTCCCGCACAAATTCAAGGAGTATGTACGCCTTGAGAGGGAGAGCATCGCATCCGGAAAACTGTGGATGGCGCCGGAGGCGTTCCACGAGGCGGGAAAAGACGCTGCTGCACTAGCCTAATCAATCAATTAGCGCGATTGAGCAAGGGTCATATAGTGGGGTTTATTGCTTTTGACTATTTTACAGTGAGGAGGGGTTTGTGCTTAGAATAACAGGAAATAATGTACCATCTATCTCGTTCGTGAGATGCGCTCACAAACATCCTTCCAAGAACTCCATCGCCTTTGCATAAGCCTCTGGGACGCCCGGTGCCTCCAGCTTGAGGTCAGACGCCAACTGTAACCCATGCTCCGCTCCTTCAACCACCACCAGTTCACTCTTCACGCCGCTCTCCCTCAGCTCTCCCAACGTGACCTCGCTCTCGTGCAGGAGCACGAGCGTGTCCTTGTCCCCGTGTATGAGGAACGTCGGTGGGAGCTCCTTCACCCTCAACTCCGGGAACACCTCGCGCTCCTCCTCAGGTAGCGCGGCTGCACGCTCCCTCGCTGTCGAATACTTCTTCAGCTCTGCTGCGAGCCCTTGTTTCCCCGTAAAGTAGTCGAGATAGAGCCCCTCTTGGATGATCCGGGTGGCAAGCGCGCCACGCCCATCCTCGCAGTACGGCCCCTTCGGCCCGAGCCTGACTGGCGATCCCGCAGAGGGCGGGACCGGCACGCCCTCTGGCAACCCCAGGGCGGCGTTGACGGTGGAGAACGGGAGCCGGCCGCCCCAGAAGGGTATACCATCCGGGTGTGGGAGGACCCAGTGGTCGGTCAGGAATGCACCGCCCATACCGAAGAGCGAGAGGACGGCTTTGGGCTTGGGAGATGCGTGGAGGGCGTAGAGGCGCGCCAGGTAGCCGCCTGCGGACCCGCCGGAGACGAATAACCGGGATGGGTCGGGCGAGGCGCCGGAGGGGAGGTGGAGGGACCACTGGCCGGAGGATATGTACGCCGCGAGGGCGCGAACGTCCGCTAGGATATCGTGGGCGGTAAAGGGCACGAGCAGTCGGTGATCCGCGGAGAGAAAGCACCAGCCGCGCTCCAGGGATGCGTCTGGAACGGTTGCAGACGGTGGTTTTAGCATTGCGTTTGAGCGGAGAGGGTGGAGATTCATATATTCACCCTTGAGCCATGACGGAAACCACAGGTCCCTACGATCCCCCGATGCCAAGCCGCCGCCGTGAAAGAAGAGGACAGCGGGTGCTGATCCTGAGACTCCTTCGGGGACGTAGACGTCAAGCTTGATGTCGAGGCCATCTGCCCGAGAGTAGGTCACGGTGATCGGTACACTGCTCATCCTCGATGAAGGTGTCCGTTGCACCACGACGCTGCAGCGCCATACTTATACTTATGCATCGGTTTCTTCATCAAATCACGATGGGATCCTGCGGTTGCTCATGCCCTTCAGACGGAGATGTCGCCTGATTTAGCGCATCGAGTGACCACAACGCCTGCTGAAGGGCTGCGCGAACGACGGCGGAATCATCTAGGACATCATGTGGGTCATGATTGTGAGTCAGGCGGCAAGGGTCGGCAGGGATCGTCGACGAGTCTAACATGAGCCTGCGCACCCTCCAGGCAGGTAGCTAGCAACGTGCTCGGGCTGAAGCTCGTTTCTCCAGGAGCGGTCGACCGTCCACGACAATGCCAGCCGCTGGCTCGCCGTCACTCACGCCGCGTTATGCGACGCGTCCGTGCACGTGATTAATGATTGCTGTTGCTGTTGGCGTTTGGCGTTGCCTTCAGTCGTACAAATGATCAAGATCGCGAATTTACGACGAAAAGTCCTGTGTGCGCCAAGCCGCGCGTATTGGCGTGCAGTGCGGTTGTTCAGGAATAGGGACCGCGCCGGGAAATATACCTACCTGGATCTATTCATACTTTCGCTTTGACTTCGTCTGACCTCCGCTTCTCAGCTTTTACCTCCTCGTCGCTGACCAGCCGTCCTTGAATCTCCTTAACCACCTCCTCCGCAACTTCATCCACGCGATGCCTATCGACGCCGATGAGGGAGACATATACGCCTGGAGCAGTCGACATGAGCACGGCATCCGGTCCTTCCACCAAGATTTACCTTGTTTCAGTAATGGATACGATCCAACGCGGATATCCTCAGATTTCACGCGCTTCTGGAGGTTGGTCAGGTATGGTGCTATGGAGGATTCAGGCATCCTATCGAGTCGTGCATGAGCACGAGGGCAGGCACGAAGCGCAAGGAGCTCACTCGGTGAATATCTGCACTCGTGACGGGCGTGCCTCCGGGGGCGGAAGAGGAAGAAACGGTTTCAACCCGTCCAGGAGGCGAGTAAAGAGAGACGGAATGCCAGGGAATATGCAGAGTTTCCCTTCCAGCCGAACTACAGGCTATAGGACATGGAAGTCAGAATCTCAGTGCTTGCCTCGCAAAGACGGGTAGAAAATCCACGATATCCATCGTTTCGGGAACAAAAGAGCAAGTACGAACCACCCACATATCACCCGCAACATATAGTGGTTCACCACGGCTCGGGAATAATGCCATGCGTTTCCGCGCTTCCTGTTGCTCTGCATTCTGGTTTGCCATCGAAGGCCTGCTTTTAATCATTTCTTCCTGAGTCGGAATCATCAGTGAGGATGTTCACAGAGTATACAAGAGGCGAACCATTCTTCGGAGCGTCTCTTCGTGATAGACAAGTTCCTGGTCGAAGGATTTGGCAAGGGAAGCGTAGGTGATATCTTCAAATACGACGTGAGGTGCATTCTGGTGCATTCTTTTAATGGTCCGGCGTACGAACCATCATGGGTAGGTCCGATGCCGCCCGAAGTGATCACAAAGTCGTACTTCTTCACTAACCGTCGACTGGCTTCGATACTTGCACTGCGTCAATGCAAGGTACACAAAGACTATCGATAGTAGGCGCACATGTCGTCTTCATCATCAGGAATGACTTCGATGCGTCTCAGGTCTATTCCGTGCTCAAAGCAGAACTTGGCGAAGTAGTTTGAATTTGTATCCAGAGTCTTGCCATTCAGTATCTCATCCCTATTCATGAATGTTGAACGTCGCAAGAGACTACAGACAACGGAGCACTCACCCAATCATCAGAGCGGCGGCGGTTCGTATGTACCTGCCTTCTCCCAACGGATTCGGAGGGATAGGTGTAGTAGGCCAGTCGAACTGGGATAACTGCTCCCGGTTACCGAAGGTAGCGTTTGCCATGTTCGCTCGACTGGCAAATGTGCAGAAGGTTTGAGCCTTGACCTTGAGAGTAAGATAGCGAGAATGTCCTGATATTCCGCGCACAGAACAATTGCACCACACAGTCGCCGCACCACGAAGGAGTCGCAAAGCAGGCGATAACGAGCTCCTTATGCTCGAGCTCATGACGATGGGTCGATTATCATGTCCTTTCCCAGCCTACGCATCGAGTGACGCGACATGAGAGTGAGAAACGCGTGTCATTGTGTCAGCGGTTCGCGGTGACTTCCGCGACGAGGATATAACGAGGTTGTCAAGCCTTTTGTAAAGTGGTTTATGCAACGGGCACTACGAAGACATGCCAAGCCTATGACTACACGTTCCACTCGTCCACTCGCATGCGCGATCCTCGCTGTCATAAGTACTGCAACACCGACCTGAGCCTCCCTCCATCGAAGCTTAACTCACAGACACTGGGACTGAGGCGCAATCGAATCACACTGAGCACATCAAGAAAAAGCACGGTGACACTCACATAGTAGGTGTTCAGGGTCGTGCAAGTCGAGCCTGCGGCGCAAACCGTCCTGCACGCAATAGCCCCTGATGAGAAATAACTTCGAACATAAGCACGATGGATACACACGACCCCGTCCAGCCTTGGCCACCGCATTGTCCATATTTCGCGATTGCAGAGCCACTAGCCACCGGAGCGGTGCTTGTGCTGCTCGGAGAAGCGACAGTTATCACTGTGCTTGAAGCCAACGACGTAGTAGACGCAACAGTCGAAGACGCAGAAGCCGAAGAGCTTGCGAGAGGCGGCTGCGGAGTTCCGGCGTATGTGGCACGACCCCAGTCGCCAGTACCGCCTCTGTGATGGGACATCAGTAAACCGATGAAATTTACGGTCAACGTTCTTACGGTAGGACGACTACATTGCAGTTGTCAGCATCGAGGCACGAGCGGGGAATAGAAAGGACTTGCCTGGACCGCCCGGCGCGATGTAATACAGCTGTGACGGGTTGGCTTCAATCTGCCACAGCTGAACGAGCACACCGCTGGTATCGTTTGGATTGTACGAGCCCGGGAGAGGAACACCTTGCGGCAGAGTGACGCTGCCACCATTCGTCACCGTCACCTGGACGCATTGCGGGTAGAATTGTGCGCCCATGTAGGTGCCAGCGACATGCAGCCCAAGGATCTTACAAGCGTATACCAAATGAGCTGAGAGGTTCAACATTTACGCCAGAAAACACAGACCTCATGTCGTAGAAGGTATTCCCCATCAGCCAGACCAGCAGGAATGGTCACTTGGTAGTACGACGGGGTAAGGTGAAGGATGTGTTCCTGTGCGAGTTAGCACCAGAGTGGATGATAGCCTCAAACATGCTTACACCCCAAGGCCCAGGTGTTGTCCGATCGGGATAATCTGGGAAATATCAGTTACCCGACACGTTGTGATCAGCACCACGGGAGCGCTTACAGACATCCTGATCAATTTCTGCATATCTCGTCAGGGAATGATTCCTTGTCCAAATGGATCTAGGTCACTTACTAACCCAGACATTGCCTGTGTCACCCTTGAAGTTTGCGCATCCGCCAGTGCACGCAGCAATATAGGTCATCACCTAATGCATAATATTGAGACGTAGCGCGTGCCGTCCCGTGCTCTGACATACAGGTCTATACAGTACATGAGTATATGCTATCACACCGATACAACGTGTCTTACCCAGGATGATCCGACGTCCAGCTTCCCCAATCAAAGATAACAGTTTCGCCAGCTTTGACGGGGGCAAGCACTGTGGTCGGGATGTTCCCACCTGGCTGAAACAAGGTTTTTCAACATTGGGTTCGATAATCCAAGCTATCTCGGCTAACCCCACAGGTAACATCCGCTGTGGTGAAATCCGGAACGGGGCCATATGTATTGACGTGTCGGATGGGGGAGGACGCGTTAGCAGTGGTGTATGCATCCGCCGCCGACCATGTGCCTGAGGATGCAATGAAGTTACGCAGTTGTCCATGGCCCCAGACGGCCGGCGCTACCAGGATGAGGGGGAGCAAAGAGTAGATCATCTGAGCAAGTGCTGGAAGCTGAGCCCTCGGAGGTTGTGGGGACGAGCTGCGTTGTATAAGTTGTACTCGATGTTCCGAGGCTTTCCGTGATAAACCCGAACTAAGTCATGCGACGAGAGCGCTGAACTTCTGTGCTGCAGTTCCTTGAGTGCAGACGCAACCATTCCACGGCAATGCATCGGATATCCTTCGGATGCGGAAAGGAAACGCATTGCATCACGCGCTAAAGACACGTCAGCCTTCTACTTTCAGCGGGTTGGGATCACAAGTGCACCTGATGTTCAGTGTGAAAACTTCGTTCGGTGCTAGGCTACAGGCCCGGGCCACTATCACGAATGTCCGAGACGACGGTCACGTACGAGCGCAGCCCAACTTTGTCGTCGCGCCACCATTGGATGACGGTCCGACCTGACCATTCGTCGAAGTCTAAGTCCCAGAATTTCATGTCACTGCTCTTCGGAATCCATCTCTTGGAAGTACCGCGAGGCACGCAGCGAATGCGTGACAAGGCAACGGGGTCGAGCCTAGTAGGATTGGCGTCGTAAATGAGCACAAAGTTGCCACTGTCTTCGCTGTCGTCTTCAGCCCAACATGTATTGAGTCCTTGAACGGACACGGATGACAAAGATCGGGATGGCCGAAGCCATCGGATCACCGTACACATGTCTGGTTGATCAGGAGCCTCGACGGAGTATATGGCCTCGTTTGTGACAAACGTGAATAGGATGAAATCCTCGGAGCGGATCACCGGCCCCGGAGAGTAACCGGACTCAAGCTCTTCAATGATATACACGCCATAGGGGTGGGCCTCGACAGGGCCATCGATAGCTGACACACTTTCGTCTGGGATCCGAAAGAATGCAACGTGATTCCCGGAGAATAAACAGAACGTGCAGTCGCTGATAACCACGATCATGTTGATGTCGCTGTTGCGGTACTAGATTATTGTGTCAGTTAGCACGGTATGTCACAAGGGTGACTTACGTTGGGGTCCAAGCGGGCGAACCGGCGTCCTACGCCCCCATGATGCGCAATTTCGGACGGGATGTGAAGGCAGACAAGCAGCTCGTAATCGGGTTCCTCTTTGGTGAATAAAAGCAAGTCATCTCGAGCGGCGACCAGCTCGACAAAATCTTCTGTCGGATTGATGATGAGGGGTAGCAACTTCGGGTGCATAGAACCCGCGACCTGGAATAACCAGAGTTGTCGAGATATTCCGATGGGACTGCAAACTGAGGTAAGTTGAATCCGATCGGAGTAGTGGTCGGCTTACGAAGGCTCATCGACGACACACAGAACCATAAGACCGTATCGGATGGATTCGCAGAGCATCATAGTTGCATGGGTAATGTCGTTGGGTTGGTCCGTCGGGTCCCATTTATCGATGAGTCGGCCGTCATCACAGGATATCACTTGAACATGGCCAGAAGATAGAACCATGACAATGTAAGGACCACAACTAAGCAACTTCGCCGCCCTCACATTGGGAGGGAGCTCGAAAGTCGTGGTTGAGAAAGAAGTTCCGCGAGATAACGATTCGTGAGCCTTCGTGAAACGGCGCGCAATGCTCCTGAGTTGACCAACAGTCCTGTCATGCATGTATCTTAACACCGTCGGGTTTGGAGAGAGCTTTAACAGGTCTCGAATGACCTCATTCCAGACAGTCCGTTCATTGGTGAAGGTACGGAACGCAATACAGGTCTGCAATCGGGTCCTCAGCTTAGACGTACGGTGCTGCGAAGGTACAACGACGGCATACCTGAGACAGAGACTCGATGTCTTCAATCGATAAGTATCCTGCAACCAGTTGCCATATTTCGTATGGAAGTCTGTCCATTCAACGCCAACTGTATGACTGAACGGGTCCAAGAAAACGGCTTCTGCACGCTGTAGAGGGTGGTATGCCACGTGTGCAGGGAATTCAGCCGCAGCCCGCATGCTGAATGTTGCCTATTTTTCGTGCACACGAGTCCACGTGAAGAATGAAAACATCTCCTTAAGTACAGCTGAACGAATAAGTGTGGAGCATTATCAGGTAGGTAGGTAGGTAGTATTAACCGGCGCGGTCCCAATACCGGAACAGCCGGACCCCAGCGCCTCGCACTAGTGACGAGCCACCCTGGTCTACGTGCGCTCTATGAGCCAACACACCGCTTCGACCAGTATCAGCACTAGCGTCAAGCGACAACGATACAGAAGCCAGCAATGGAAACTATAGCTTGCTCTTGATCTTACCGCTGAGGACCTGCCTACCGATCGCCCGGGCTCTATCTCCGAGCTTACGTAGACGATCTGCATCCAGGAATGCCAGCGCATCGGTGATGTCTTTGTCCGCACCGAGGTGGTCAACCGCTTCCTGTATGTTGACTTTGAGGTCCGAGACCGTCTCCGCGATGACTAGCGCAGTAGCACGGGTGAGGACATAATCCATGTTGTGCGCGCAGTCGTTGATCTTACCCTGAAGTTTGACATGAGCGCGAAATTAGAGGTACAGCCGAAGAAATCACGAACCGACAAAGTCGAGAGCATGTCGAGCTGTTGCTGCATGGGCGTGACTTGCGCGGATAAGGCAGAGGACTCCTGCTGTGCAGATGCGAGCTGTTGCTGGAGCGCCTCGAGGCTCCTCTTCTCCGATTCGAGCTGTGTTTGGAAGGTGTTGAGCGCCCCCACGTCCCCATCAAGCTTGGTCTTCTTCTCGTCCCTCAATTTTTTCGTGCGCTCTGTGTCGGTGGCCAATCGCATAGGAACAGGATCCGGGAAGTGTTTTGACCGTTGCCCTTTGGCAATCCTGCCCATACAAGTATTGTCCGCTTCTTCCTGCCTGCGCTCGCGCGCTTTGGCTTGTTCGTATTCATTCCGCGCTTTGTCGTACTCCGATTGTGATTGATTCACAGCGGATTGACTGCTGTTCACGATGCCCTCCCATTCGCGTACCTTCCCCTGAAGGTAGCCTAACCTCGTCTCGGAGGCAGCACGTTGGATTTCGAGGTCGTGCATCTTGTCCTCGGCTTTCTTCTTGTCCGAGATGATGGTCTGGAGTCGATTCTCAACGCTGGTTGACCAACGAGTTGCCGTGTCATTTGAAAAGAAGAAATTCTGGACATCGTGCAATGAGAGATACGAAGCCGGATGAGCGTACAACGCCGTACCTTTGCGCATTCTCTGATGCGGGCTCCTAATGTAGCAACGTCGTTCTCCGTATACACAAGGTCCACAACTTCAAGCCCGGTATCGTTCTCCGGATGCTCGAGTACCTGCACAATCGTGACCTGTAACATTCTCAGAAGTGGGAAGCTTAAGAGGGAGCATGTGCCTACCAGGGCATGGAGAGCGTTTTTGACGTGATTCATTATATTCGTTCGCTCAGGAGAGGTCGAGAAAGATTGACTGGGGTCAGGATCCGGAAATGAGGTAACCGCCGCCATGGACCACACTGTCGCGGCACCGCCGGAGGATTGTAGGGAGACGGTCTAGAAAGGTATATCAGGAGAGTCATGGTGTGCACGATGAAGGCTTACGGATGTGGATTGATTGATATCAAGAGATTCGCCGGTAGTGGACTTCAACCTAAAGTACAGGGTCATCAACATCACCGCTACGTAAAGAGGCCGAAGTGCTAACTCGTATCCGTCGCCACTCTGAACAAGGTCCCATTCTTGTGGTGATTTGCTGGACGCAAGCACGACCCCCGGTCGGTCTTGACTTCCGCAAAGATATGTTCCGGTACCATAGTTCATGATGCAATGACCCTTGATTCCACGGAAAAATATCCACTAGTACATTAAGGCGATTAGCAACTGCTATTATGGCGAAGCGAATGACGCACCGTTTGCTGGGTTTGGTTATTGATACGAGCAAGCGCAACGGGAATATTGTCGCCCATGTTCGCGCCTGGCACCTCCAGAGCAAGGTTGCTGCCCTTGTTGAACAAGGTGCAAACCTGGGTAGCATTGTTTGAGAAGTCGAGATCCGTGGAGTTGACCCTAAAATAATTCAGAGATGTTTGTGTGCAGGCAGCGACGGCACTCACAGATGCAAGGCCATGGTGAGTGAAGAGGTTGTAGAAAGCTGCGTCTGCCTGACGAAGGTGTGTTATTATGTATGGTCCCGTAGCGCGCAGTCCCCAAGCCAGAACCGATGGTATGACAGCTGTCGATCGCGCCAGGCACTGTACTTCGAAGTGCATATCCGCCCTGGAGCAGGTTGAGCGCTAGGCGAGCATCGAGATTGCGGACTGCGTCGGTTGGGACTACTAATCAGACAGCGGAGGAATTTCGCTTCCGCGCGCCAGTGGGGTCGGATCGGTCACAGCGTTGGAGACCTTGAAGGCCACATTGGAGTGTATCTGTAGGTGGTCAAAGTTCTCCGCAGTGGTCACAAATGTCCGCGGGGAGGTCAAAGTTTGACCCCACTTCGCCGTGGTGCAGATACACTCTATTGGTGATGGTGCCTATTCACAGTCCAGGGATAATGTCTAGACACAGGGCGACGAGGACGACCGGGCTTTGGCCAGTACCGGGTTGTGCCTCAGGCACAGTTGAGGACCTGAGGTGCCGGAGAGAGAGCATCCTAAATTAAAGTTCGGGAACTGTCAAGGCAATTGCCGGAGGCGGTCGATCCTGATCACGTGGTGGGTTTTCACCCCACCGCTCCATGTTATTGGGCTGGCGACGGCTTAATTCACCATAGCGTTTCAAAGTCTGGAGGTATGTGTTCATAAATTCTGATCTGGGTCTAGATTGGCGACTGAAATTAGAGGTGACACTGGCATGAAGTTTACGTTAAGCTCATGATCGAGGCACTCCTCGCTGCATGCTTCGTGATTTCGTCACGAGCTGTGGAAACCAACTGCTCTTTGGAGACAACAATCACTCCCGGGAGTGTGAAGCCCTGGGGTACGGAGGCAATCTCCTTAACCTGCTCGTCCATGGACGCCAGCAGACGGTCCCGTTCCTGTTCGAAGATGAGAAGCAACATGAGTATACGAGAATGAAATGCCATGGACGGATGTCAATAGCCCACCTGCGCTAAGATCTCGCTCATCTTCTCCAGGCTTTCTTCCCCCCATTTAACGAGCTTAGTCTTGGCTTCCTGAATGGCCGCCTGGTCAGTGCTTGCGTTCATACCCATCAGGTTTTGCATGCCAAGGACCATGGTTAACCCAGGTTGCACCGAGGCATCGAACATGGTCGTATATAGCTATCAACACTATGTTCAGAACCCTCCCTCTACTAAGAAGCAATGAGCTGGAAGCACATACCCCTGCGAGGTCATAAACCATGCAAGCGACCTGGGCAGCATACCTGACCTGAGAGACTATGACCTGAACCAAAATCAGTCATCGCTTAGCTGCGTGTGAACCTTCGCTCACGTTCTTAGACCATGTATTGAGATAGGAAGTATTTGTGCTCGTCGTTGACCTGAATGCTTCGAATGGCCCATTCATCGTAACCTTGACGAGGTTGTCCACGGATTGAAAGATGGTATGGATGCTGGTGAACGCGATTTGTAGCTCACCCATGACGGTGATGGGCATGACCATGCTTTTGAGCATCTCCTCTGCCTATCCGTACGTGTAGCAATGATAAACAGAATAACAACGCGCACATACCGTGCGAGATCGGACGTCCAAACCGGCGAGATGAGACAGAAGGTTACCGAGCCTCTCCTTTGCCTCAAACATGGTCTGCGTCGCATCAACGTAGATCGCTCTATCCGCTTCAAGCTGCGCGTTCGCGACCCTGAGCTTGAACAAAGCCTGCTGCAGTCCCAGGGTGCCAGCAAGTTTGAACGACTTTTTGCCCGGCTTCTTCGGAGTCGTGTCTTCAGGGGGGTTTGGCGGAAGGCGAGAACGAGCGTCGAGGGCGGCGGCACTTGCCAGCGCGGTGGACCGTTCATTAAGGTCAAGGATGTCTTCGAACACCGCCTTCACCGCTGCCGGCGGCTTGGTCACCTTTAGGCTCGACAAAGTTTGGCAAACCTATACAAACATGACTCCGCTGCCGATCAAGCATGAATGTGTAATCGACAGTCATACCTTGATTGCACCTTGGAGAATGCTTCTAATCTCATCGAGGCGTTTTGTCTCCTTCTTCTCGGCGTCGTCCTCAGATAGAGGCGTCGACGGATGTAGGGCAGCTGTGGCGCTAGTGGTCATGGTCGTGTCCGACATCGTCCCGCCGCCGGTGGTCGTGGTCGTGGTCGGCACCATCCCTGCAATGGGATCGGCAGTTTTGCCAGCCCCGAATCCAGTATTGGGTCCCTCTTCAGTAGGTTTGAGTTTAATCAATCACTGCTTGGGAGGGGAGCTCACCGGCGCTGTTGTCTGCACCGTCTGGGCTAAGAAGGTCGAGATCCACGGTGATGGTCGACTGTACTGTCGGCAGCGAGTCGTTGACCATGTCCCAGTCCACGCCGCCGTCTGCGCCAGAAGTCGCGATCTTGACGAGAGCGGTGCAGTGTAGCTTCACGACCAGCGTCAAACCGCCAGAAGTCGGTATCTTCTGATGAGCGTCCCGTTTACGAATTTCCGGTAGCTCAATGTCATCCGTTTCCTGGAAGGTCTTCTTCGCCATGTCCCACGTGTCAACCAGGCCCATTGGGTTTCTGCCGTATATTGTCATCAACAGGGCGCCGTTCAAGGTCAAGGCATCCTGAATTTCCTCAGCAAGGCGCCGAATACAGGACTGAGACCCGACTCACCACCCAAGCGTGGAGCATATTGTTGCCTCTGGTAGATTACCCTCGAGTGTTAGTAGGATGACCATCGGACAAGAGCATGGACTCACATGACTTCCGCGGCTGGAAATAATGAGGAGATTGAGAAAACCATCCATAGTCCGGCTACAACAACGCACCGGTAGGGACTTCTTTTTCATACCTGTCAAATCTTTCGCGACTCTAAGACATCATACTCAGCACAAGTTCCGTCGTTAGCAGGTCACCTCTATGCTCACCTTCTTGTACGCATCCTGGGTTTTCTTGAAGTGAGCAGCGGTTCTCTCTGCGTTCTCTTCTGCTCCGGCTTTGCGAGCGTTCAAAACCGCTGTCTTAAGGGCCAGCGCCTTGGCCCGGTCCGTGGCGCGGCCCTGAGCGGCAACGAGGGTCTCGCGCAGTTCCATAGCCAGATGGAGCAAGCCATCAAAGCTGGTCTCGATGGTGTGAGAGGCGTGGACGGCAGTCCCGACTTGTTTCGAGATGTTGTCGAGCAGTTTGGAGAGTGCGTCGGTGACTTTCTTGTCCGAGTCGCCAGCATCGATCTTTCTGAGAAGACCAAGGATGGCACTCGATACGTCTGTACACATGCGCACGTCAGGCAATCTCCTTCTAGATAATCGTCGCGAGCATACTGAGGAGGCTCCTGCAGCTGACACGGATAGTCTGAAGTATAGAAACGAATTATGAGTGCCAGGTCAAGGGGACGGCATATATAATCCTCACTTCCATGCCTTTATAGCTCTCCCTCAGCGCGTACTGGCAGACAGAGATGACTTGTATCACAGTCGCTCGGAAACTGTTGCCATCCTTGATGTATTCGAAGCTTGAATTATCAGGTTTTGCTAACTGAAAGCGAAATAGGTCGCATATTCGATGAAAATACCACAGAGACGACTAACCTTGAAATCCGAAGCGGTAGCAGCCAAGAGCAAATCACCGAGCACAACAATCGCAGAGGAGGCCGGGAGAAGGATATCCGCTCTTGACGACTTTCAACTCATCTATATACATATCTTTGCGCTGTCGCACTTACTTGTCGGTTTGTTGCCAGGTTTCCAACGAGAGGTCCTTGAATTTGATGGTTGGGTCCAAAGCTCCTGCAGTAGCCATCGCACGGAACGGTATGTGAAAGTGTTACGGGAAGAGAGACAGTACGCTCGAGGAAGCACAGAGATGACTTGAAGTGCTCGTCCGTGGGCACTGACTGATCACCCTCCAAGCTTCAAGTGGACGAAATGACATAGTGCAAACATGGACAAAGCGAGACCACGGAACTTTCTTCCTCCGGTCTGACATGGCAGCCGTTGGAGCGAGCTAGAACTCGCGCGCCTGACACTGGCGAAGGATCGAGAGGAGCCGCGCGGACGCCCATGAAATCCAGGGACAAGGCGCAACGGCGAGGCACCGCTTCGTCAAGCGTGGGAACTGCTCTGGTACCGCATATGGCAGGGCTCGTAGTTCGATCCTCTCCCTCCGCTCGCCCTTGTTGACTCGAGGGACAGGCACCGCCGTTCCGAAGAACAAGGATGCGAGACGTCGGGCACACGTTGCGCCGACAGGCTTCTGGGTTCAACATATCGGCTCCACCTTGCTTCCGCTGTCAATTAGGTGGCGTATACCGCACCAGCACCGTATCTTTGGGGTTCATGGGGGCCATGGCCTGCTCTATAAATCGGTGGCAGGCTGGCCCGCATAGCTGCAACTCGCTCTTACGCGTTCAATAACCCCACCATGCCCTCTGATCTCGAGAAGCTTTCTGCTTACAACGATACGCTTGCCGAAAGGCAGACCGCTAAAGACGACGTGCAAGACTACGCTCGCGCCCTCTGGGTAAGCATCCATGTGCCTACCTGCGATCCGCAGCCCACTCACTCCTCCTATAGTACCAAATACAATGGTAATGGCTTCGTGTCGTTGCGAAAGGCGATCCAGGACTTACCATAGAATCGCAGGGAGAACCTGCTTGTGCCAGCGCCGTCGGCCATTTCTATCTTCGGCCGTCTGACCATGGTTGCGATTGCCGCCAAATTCAACGTGAGCCGGTTTAGTCGCCGACACTGCAATACCTCACCCCCATTCCGATCAGCTTGTTACGCCGACCAACACCGGAAAATTCAAGTACATCAAGGACACCGACTTCCGGGCTACCATTGTCCAACTTGTGAATGCCGGCGTGCTCGCATTTTCCAAGAGTTATACGAACATGGACGTGAGTCCGCTCCCATTAACGTCCTCTATCCATCGCTAACCACGAGATGAGTCAGGCTTTGGGCAAGCACTGTGTCAACCTCCGAAGTACGTGCGTGTTCGCTTCAAATTCGTCATCTTACTTACTGGTCGCCAGTTTCCGTTGGCGATGTCATGGCGCTCGTGATGGAGCAAGACATGGAGGGCCTGTCGCCCAAGGAACGCGCCGAGACCATTATCAGGAACCTGGGCCCGATGGTCAAGCGCATCGAGGAGTCCACAACCAAATGTTCCGAGGCGGTCACCGAATCCGCCGAACGCTTCATGAACCTGCTTCTACTCTCTCAGGAAATCTACGAGGCGACGACGGCAACCCACGGCGCGGCCGAGAAGCGTCAGAAGGAAATCGAGCTCGCGGCTCAGGTGATCAATGCGAAGATCAAAGGCGCCTCAGAAGCCAGGGCACAGCAGAAGAAGTTCACTGATGACATGAAGAAGTACGCTGACAATGTAAGCCTGAGCATTCGATCTGCGAGCTCGACTAACAGTGATATAACACTTCCATAGGCTGAGAAGCGTTTCAACGATAGTGTGGACAAGATGCCTTCGCGTAAGTTTCGGTGACGAGCAATCGGTGCACTTGCTGACGTCCTTCCTCCAGCTATGGGATTGATGTGAGCTCCTCATTTTCGTCCCCCCAACGAATCCTCTCACTCAACTGCCGGTGATGCAGCGGTATGCAGATGGCGCAAAAGCTCACGGTACGTCAGCTCTTCCATCGTCTTCTGCCTTTTCTCTCATCACCATGCTTCAGGACCTTGCCGTCATGGGCGGCCACATGATGATACAGAAGCAGCTCACTATGGGCCAGATGGCCGCGGGCACGGCGAACGACATCGTCAGCAGCGCCGCCAAAAACAAGATCTCGGAGAAGCCTGGCGAAAAGCCGTCGGGCGAGCAGCCTGCCGCGCCCTCGAAGCCGGCCCTCACCGTCGAGGACCTGGACGATCCCGTATTCGAGAACGCGGACCGGCTCCGCGACGCGCTGATCGCGCTCAAGCACGTTCTCATGAGTGGCCAGGGCGGTGGCGTAAATTGGGACGACGTCGCGGCCGCGGCCGGGAAGAAGACGAGCTTGGCATACGCCACCTCGGAACTTGACGAGCTCTCGTCTGCCGCGTATGGCAAGTTTAAGCTAGCTAAGGAGGCGAAGGATATCTCTACTGCGGCCCTCGAGGTAATATCGCTTCTATGCTCTGCGGATCGATCTCCCGGACCCTTACCTCGCTCTTATCCTCGTAGGTTGCGAAGGAGCTTAAGAAGCTTAACGACGATCGTAACAATTCCCGCGTGGATGAGATCGTAACGGAGGTCAAGACGCTCGCGGCTCGTTCGGACAAGCTGGCTACCAGCGTTTCGACGAAAGCCGGCCAGCCGCCGATGCAGCAGGTGAGCACTACTCGCAAACTAACGTAGTCCACCCTTCAACCTTCATACTGAACTGCGTTCGTCCAGCCATGCCAAATTACACCTCCTCAACTCCCTCCCGTCGGCAAGGGCGATGATTCGATCATCAACCTCGCTGTGAGCAATGCGCAGTTCCAGGTGACCGCCACCCAGGCCCAGGCTACGGCGTCGAGGGAGGCGTACGAGAAAGCGAACCAGAGCATGCTCGATCTGACGAAACAGCTCAACGAGTTCATGGGCGAGTTGAACAAGCTCGACATCGAAAAGATCGATGTACGGACTCTAGTTTTTTTCCGCGCTCCCTGATCTTCCCTCGCTCAACACCTCGTATATGCAGTGGGCCAAGATACAGGCGATCCTTTTCCAGACCGTCCAGTACCTCGCCGAGCTGTGCAACATCCTCCAGCGGCTCTCCGAGTTCTTCGAGACGATCAAGAATTCGGTCGTCATCACGCTCGCGACGGCCTTCAAGACGTTCACCGAGACCGTTCGGGGAGAAAGGCCCAACCCTCAGCTAGGTGGAATGCACTTCAGCACCTGGGCCCAGAAAGTCTGTCGCTGGTAGAACTCTCTGCTTCCGCTGTAATTGATAGTCTCGGCTATAGGTTCTCCTGAAGCAAGCGATCTTCGCCGCCAAGGTCGAGTACGTCATGTTCAGGATCGCCAACGTCAGTCTTGATATGTCTTGTCCGTCGCAGGTAGCTGACGGCCCGTCACGATAACAGGCGTACACGAAGATGTACCAGCAACACATCGCTGATGGTATGACCATGCTCTCCAAGATGCCACCCGTCGCGAGCGAGTCGGGCAACACCCGAGCTGCGCTCGAAGCGGACGCTGCGAAGCTGCAGGACTGGTGTGAGGAGGCTCAGGTGAATGCATTTTGCACCGTCAATTTTGATCCTGGTAGCTTACTACCCTTCTTCCTCCCTCCTTACAGCGTGGTATGCGCTCTATACTCCAAGCGGTTTGTACATCTTTCTACCACGACCAGGCGAATCGCTGACAACGCTCCGTCCGTTCCAGGAACTGGATAGCTTCAACGAAGAGATGGAGGCGCGCTCCCAAGCGTTCGAGGCCGCTTTCGGGAAAATCTTGCCCCCGCCGGCCCCGGAGACGCGCAAGGCCATTGAGGAGGCGAAAACGGAGGCCGTCGCCGAGGCCGCGGCCACCATCACAGCTGTCAAGCCCAGCTACAAGGCGGCCATGTCACTGTTCTAAGAAGTTACGCGCGTTACCATGAACCTGTAGAATATGTAATGTATGATAATTGGCCTCGATGAATGCCAAAGGAGCTTCGTTGTCTTTCATCAATCCGTCCTTTTATCGAGTTGATCTATCCGTACAATCACAGTGATATTTATTTCCATCCATCAAGCGTCAGCACCTGCCCGTGATAGCGCAAGACCCAACAATGCGCTGGGTGTCTGTGCCTGCAGACCTTCCCGCGACTTGGCCGCGTGGAAGCCCGCAGAGAGCGCGACAGATACAACAGGCGACGTTGGTGAGGACAAGCTGCGAATCTGGAGCAGCGCCGATGCTGCCTCGTCGTCCTCCTCACGCGTGGATGATCCTCGCGACATGGTCACGGCGCCGCTACCGGGAGGCGCGAGGTGCAAGTTTGGGGGAGGCAACGAGAGCACGGGCGGCGCGTAGAAGGCAACCTTGGGCGGCATCGGCGCGGAGAGCGGAGGAGTCGGCAGGTGAGAGGGCGGCAGCGAGAGCGCGCTCGGGTCGACGTGACCCGGCGGGAGCGGCATCCAGGAGGCGATCGGCGGTAGGCGCGGGGTACTCGCAACAGAGGACAGCGCGGACCCGTATCGGACGCTGTCGCAACGAGGATCGCCTTCGTCGTCTGCGAGCTCGTCGTCGGACGAGTCGAGTATGTCGATGGGTGTGTCTTCGGCCGGTTCGTCGTCGTCGTTGTCGTCGTGGTCGCGTGCTCGCTTCCTCTTTGAGCCGGCGTCGGTGCCGCGCGCTGCACCGCCACAGTCGCAGGCCGACTTCCTCCCCTCCTCGAGGCTCCTCACCCTGTCGATCAGCTCCTCCATGTAGGCCACGGTCCGGATCAGAATCTCCAGCTTGAACTCCTTCTCCTCGCCTTCTTTGCCCTTGGACTTGGTCTTCTTCAGCTGGACACCGTCGGCTGCGTCCTCGACGGACGCGTCGTCTGCACGCTTGGGGACTAGCACTCGCAAGGCGGCAAGGGCGTCGTTGATCTTGGTCCTGCGCGCCTTCTCGATGCGCGAGTGGTTTTGTTTCCGCATCGACTCGCGCGCGGAGCGGGACATGCCCGAGCCTGAGCCTGGTTTGCGACCCCGTCGCTTGGCCGACGACGGTTCGTCAGCGTGGTGGCCGGCGCCGGAAGCAGGCCCTGATGGCGAGGACGGTGGCCTCGGGAGGATTCTTTGCTGCTGTTGCTGCGGGCGTGCGGGAACCCAGTCGGAGTCGTGCGCCGAGTCGGAGGGTGCTTCGGGGGAGGAGATGTCGAGGGTCGTGCGAGCGCGTTTCGCGCGGCGGGGCGGGTTGCAGGCGGCGATGTACTGCGTTGCGGAGGCGGGCATGGTGTGTGCGTGTGTGGAGGCGATTTGGATGGGGGTGTGCGCAGACTTGAACGGTCGGACGAGGAAGCGGCCAAGTTTTAAACGGGCCGCGGGGGTGAACGTGAGCTGGGAGACCAACTTGTCGTCGCTGATAGCGGACAAGCAACGAAAGCTTGTTTCGGTCCCTGTCCGGTCGCGACTGCTCGTGTGCCATGCCGCGACGACCAACGTGCGGGCGCGGGCGCGCACACGACCGTCAGCTCGTCCTCTGATTGGCTGCCGACGCACGTGGACCGTCCCCGCCGGGCGGGAGCGCGAGGGAAAGGACGGGAATGGGCGGCGACTGACCTCCACCGTCGTGACGCGTTCTCGACTCTGGGCTGACTGGAGCTGGCCTCGAAGCTCTCACCGGTCCCATTGTCGGACGCTGGCCATGGTTTCTATCGAACGCACGACTGAATGCGCGCAGCCATCAGAATTCGCGGCACAAGACCGCGGCGGTACAGGTACGAACGTTCAAGCCGTCGGCCATCCGTTCCGACGGAGTGGGGTCGTGTGCGTCGGTCATCATGCCAAAGCATGCATGATTCTAAACACCCGCGCGGCGCCTGCCATTGACACTCCCTCTCCAAACCGACGCCGTACTCTGGTTTACATATATAGTAACGCACCAGCCATCTGGATCATGCTCCCGGAACGCTTCTGAGCTTCAACCAGTTTTCTTGCCCGTGCTCGGCATTCAACTGCGTCATGATCATTCCCTGCAGGTACCGGGAAGTCGGCTTGTATTTTGCACCCGCCGGATGGATGTCGAAGCGTCGGGTCTGTCAACACAGAAATGCCGCGGTTCCGAACTACCGTTTCAAGTTTCCACGCCTGGTGTTCATGGAGAATCTCCACCTCTTATCCGGACCCGTCCCAGTCGCGATTGTGCGTATCGTACAGCGAACAACCACCTGACACTCTCCGGTTGATGTCGCAAGTTTCTATCAGTGCTGCTGCCACACATTTGGATCCTCGCCGATTTTGTAGGCCGCAGGAGTGGGAGATGCATCGCTCGGCTCAGCCCATTCCTTCGTCGCCGGATCTTGTTCTTCCAGGAGAGTCGACGAAGTGCTCCCGTCCTCGTCGCTCTGTGGTTGCGGGTCGTCGTGGAAAATGGATGACATGGCGATCTCCGTGTCGCCGCTGATGTAGATTCTGCGCATAGTGGGACGGCAAAGCGGATGTTGAAAAGGCTCGGGTGATACGTGCGTTTAGGCGCCGGCTGGCTACGTACTCTTTGGTGACGACGCGATTACCCTGGCGAAACGTGATCTCGTACGTGGTCCTGGGCGAGACTGGCAATGTGGATTTGCGGCCCTTGCCCAAGCCCAGGCTTCCTACGGGCGCGCCATGCAGACGCTTGACCTCGACGAAGGTCCCTGCTGGAGGACCGCGTCAGTCAGAGTGCAGCACGAATGCAGATCGTGTGACGCATGCCGTCGGTGTCTTCGATGAAAGAGATGCTAACACCCATGTCGATGAACTTCTAATGCAAGGCGGATGGGGATAGGCGAGAAAGGAGGGACTGGTTGCGAGAGACAAAATGCGATGCCGACGTATACAGCATATGCGCCAGAGCGTGTAACGAAGGCTGTCAATAGTTCTACTAAGGTTTGGGAAATCACCATTCCGATCGTGGAAGACAATAAATAGTTCCGCATAGACGCCTTATATAGCACTTGCGCTGTATGCACGAGAGTATTGGTGTAGCCAGTAAGCGGTGCATTGCATGAACACCCGTCTTCGATTGATTGATGGAACATTAGGAGTACAAACAATTGCACTATGTAGCACCCCATTGAGATGATCCCGCTAACATCGACACTGACTGCTTTGTAGTTTCGTGCACGATACTCGCTTCCTCACGGTGGGATTCGTGACAATGATTCCGAGAATGGCCAGCGCTCGACGTTATCGGGTAGAGCCTGCATACGTCGTTGCCGGTGATCCTCGGGACTTCTGCACTGTTATAATCCTAGCCTTTCGTCTCAAGTACAATCCTGGGACCGCTCCACATGGCGGAATGAAGCCGAGCGATGTTGCCTCTAGCTCTTGTAGGCCGGAGGGGTCGGAGACGTGGGATCTGACTTGGCCCATCCCTCAGCCTCGGTACCTTGTGGAGCTGGGTTCGTCGACGATGTAGTGCTGCCGCCTCCTCCTTCGTTCTGTGGTCGAACGCCTGCGTGGAAGATGGACGAAGTGGCGATCTCCGTGTACATGGCACCCCCGACGAACACTCTGCACGGGATCAGCGAATATCCCGAGTACGGCGTTGGTAGATTGCAGCCCACTGTTTGGTCACGGCGCGATCACCCTGCTGGAATGTGATATCGTACGTGGTGTTAGGCCGGACCGACACCTGGTGGTGGCGGCCTTTGCCCAAGCCGACGCTCGCTACGGGCGTGCCATCCTGACGTTTGATGTCGACGTAAGTACCCGCTGCGAACCGAGTTGAACATGAACTGCTGCATATTGGAGAAGTGGGGAAGACTGACTGCCCGTATCCTCGACGAGAGAGATATTCGTGCCCATATCTATTACCGCTCGATCGCGGGTGGTTCAGATGGGGTTGATCGTTTGACTTGGAAGGGTGCCGACCCGCTGTCGACGACCATATATAACGCGGCAGCTGCGAAAGCTGTGGTGTTTAGCTTTGGGAGCGCACCGCCGGACCGCAGAAGCTGTGAAGGAGCTTCTTTATGTAAACGGCCGGTGCTACATAAGTAAGGAGGCCCCAGGGTTGTCAGCGCGCCGAGCTCAGACGACGCGTCCACCAACGACCCAGCCTCGGGCCTCGCAGTCTTACACATCATCCGCGCAGACAAGTATTCGCGTCACATCGCCGCGAATAACCGTTAGACGACGTTCCTTGTCCACTGATCCGAGAATCGTCGATGGCTGCGTTGACTCTTGGGCGATATCAGAGCAATCGGCAGCTTGCTCGGCGATCCGGTGTATGTCCGAGCAGCTTTTGGACGACCATGCGCGCGTATCTCTCGAATACCATGGGTACTTAGCTGCGTGCGGTGCAGGGGTTGTGTCGGCGTGGCGTTTGCCGGACGGAGGCTGGCTGACCAATTTCGTGGATGCAGTGGCGCTGCTAGGCTGCGTCCGATCCCTCGCTCGCCATTGCTGCTCATCATGTCCGACGCCGTCTTATCGTTTGGTTGTCCGGCTTGTCTCCTGCCACCATGGCCATCCAGTCCAATGCCCCCATAGCGACCGCGAACGCGCTGCACGCCAAACTTAACGGCCTCGCCGCTGTGCTGCACCCGCGTCTCACCAACTGGTCTCAGACAACGATCTCGACGCCGCCCGCGGTTCTGCTCCCGCGAAGCACCGATGAGATCAAGCAGATCTTGACGCGCGCAACCGAGGAAGGTGTCCGCGTGCGCATCATCGGATCGCGCTTTTGCATGAACGGTCTCTGGACGATTGATCCCGGAAGCTACGCGCTCTCACTCGAAAATATGAAGGAATTCGAGTTCGCGGTACGTCGCGATTCGTGACTCGCTCCGACGGCACTGAGGCTCATTAACGACCCCAGGTAGACGCCCGAGATCGGACCGCCACGATTCCGGGCCAGATTACCGTCGGCGAGACTAACACTCGGCTTGCTGAGTACGGCCTGACACTGCCTACCATGGGCTCCGTCTCCGGGCCCACCATAGCAGGCTGTATCTCGACCTGCACGCACGGCACCGGTGTCTCGCACAGTACCGTGTCATCCTACGTGCAGTCTCTCACGATCGTGCTCCCCCCGACTTCGGCGAGTCCCACCGCTCGCGTTTTGACTGTCGGGCGCGACTCTCAAGAGTTCGAGCTCGACCTGTTCAAGGCCACATTGTGCGGTCTTGGATGCACGGGCGTCATCGTCGCGGTGACCATCAAATGTGCCCCGCTGGAGCAGATGACCGAATGCACGACTCCGCTGCCGAACTTTAGTGACACGTTCATCGACGAGCTCGAGGAACGTGCTCGTGCCGCGGACCGCGTGCGACTTTGGTGGACGCCGGCAACCGGACGCGTAGTGCAATCAAGCGCGTCGAGTGCATCGAACCCGTCCTTTGGTACGCTGCAGGCGACGCCCGGGTCGACGCCGTCCTGGTGGCGCACCCGATTCGTCGGCAAGCACGTCCACCAGTGCCTACTATTCCTTTGCTCGCTTCACCCGCTCCTGTGGCGCCTGCACCCTTACGCTCTTTCCTTCCTCTTCAACTTCTCCCATCACGGCGTGCAGGGCAAGCGCACGGGATTACCGGGCAAGGTGCAGGAGATGGACTGCCTGTATGCGCAGCGCACGACGGAGTACAGCATACTCGGGTTCGATAGCGCACGAGCGGTGCTGCGCGACCTCAAGGCCTGGTTCGAGCGCCCGGACCGGCCGCACGAAATGAACGGCATGGTTGAGATCCGTTTCGCCGCGGCGGACGACATCCCGCTCTCGCCCGTGTACGCGCACGCCGCCAACACCGTGTTCGTGGACATCGGCCTCGTGCAGTACGTGCCGTTCGTGAACTCGGGCACCACCAAGCGCCTGCCGTACGAGCCCATGGAGCGCGAGTTCGAGCGAATCTGCAGGAAGCACGGAGGGAGGGTGCACTGGGCAAAAGAGACGGTCCCTTTCTCCGAGACACTGGAGAAGCGCAATGGACTGAAGGCGGTGGAGGAGATGTGGGGGCCTGACAACCAGGTCGACGTCTGGGTCAATGTTGTACGACAGGTGGACCCGAAGGGCATCTTTTGGAATCAATGGCTCGAGGATCGACTCAGCGGCGTGCATCTTTGAAGGATTTACGGACGGAATGGAAGGATGGACGGAATCTATTAGGTCCAGGATGTTGGCTAAGTTATTCATACTAATGATGTGGAGATGTGGGATACATTGCTACAAGGGGTTGCATCCGGGGCACACTATTCGCAGATCCTTAGTGAGAACTAGTGTTGTCGGTCCATGTGCAAACGATCAGACTCCCGTTCGGTGAATAGTGACATGCGTGACGTCCGACTCGGACAATCGTGCCTCTTCGACATACGACTGCATCAGTGCGACCACGCGCCTCAGGTTCTGCGAGTACCTTCCCGACACAGGGATGACATCCAGATGCTTATACGTAGGTCGCGGGTCTTGACCTTGTTCCGTGAAGGGGGTGGTCGGCAATGGTATACGCATCTCAGCTTTTACGAACTCCTCGAGTCTCCTGAGCTTATCCCGAGCAGCAAGCATCTGTGCCTGATCAGTACCGTCGCCGCCCAAGAGATCCGCCTTGTTCGCAACAACCATTCGAGCTTTCTTGCTAAGCCCTTCCTGGTACTTCTCCAGCTCGTCCCGCAGAATGGCTAGTTCGTCCCAGGGAGCGGGCCCTGACAGATCGACGACGTACGCGAGAGCAAGGGATCGTTCGATGGACCGAAGGAACGAATGCCCGAGGCCGACGTTCTCAGATGCTCGTGAGACGAGTCCAGGGTTGTCGGCAACGGTGAAGCGGAATACCTCCGCCAAGTCGTCCAGCCGTCCGTCTCGAGCTTGGTTCCGCGTCAGGGCATCCGCAAATGCACCACCTTCGAGCAGGGCGCGTTTGCGATCCTCTTCAATGCGGGTTTCGTCGTGCACGATGTCCACCGTGCCTTCGCCCACGAATCCGCCGTTCGCAAGGACACGTACTACGGCGATGACAGGGTTAAGGGTCGTGAACGCGTATCCAGCGACGGCGCTGCGCGCCCGTCCACCTGTCAGAGCTTTAAGTAGCGTGCTCTTCCCTGCATTTGGCATCCCAACGAGCCCGATGTCCGCAAGGACTTTGAGTTCGAGCTCAAGCGTGACGCGTTCGCCAGGGTAGCCGCGCGTGGCAAACTTGGGCGAGCGTGTTGTTGATGTAATGAAGCTCGGATTGCCCAAGCCGCCTTGTCCTCCAGCAGCGATCAAGTAGCCCAGCGGCCTGTGCGTGCCCATCCCAAGAGGAGCATTGGGATCCGGCGTCGTCTCTTCCACCGAGGCGAGGTCCAACTCCAAGGGCCGCGTAGACCGTCTGCGATGCTGCATTCGTATCTCGCGTTCTTCGCGTAGAATCATGTCTTCCACATCTTTGAAGTCTGGTCTTACGACGTTCTCGTCGAGGAAGTTGGGAAAGTGCAGGAAGCGACGTTCCCGAATTTTTTCCTTGCGCTCTTCTGGAGTCAGCTGAGCCAATTCTTGATCCGACTTTTCCCAGTCGTCAGGAACAAAACGCGGATCGTCCGGAGGAAGTTTGCGGACGACGGTCCCCACAGGTACCTTGATGACGGTGGGCTCTCCGTTACGGCCGTGCAACCAGCTACCGGAACCATTTCCCCCGGGGTTTCCGCGCACGCGCTTGGGCACCTCGGAAAGCGTCGTAAGATGCTGCGTAGGCATGATGTAGACGTCTCCTCCACGACCACCGTTCCCACCAGCCGGGGGCCCGTACTGTTGAAACTTTTCGCGGTGAAATGCAACGCAACCGTCCCCTCCCTTGCCTGCGAGGAGCAAAATAACTATTGACTGTCATTGACAGCATATGTACCACACACCTGCGCGGACGTTGATGATGACATGGTCAAGGAAAGTCTCTCCCTTTCGACATGGAAATGAGATCCGCGCACAGTGAACGAATATACAGAGGCACTCACATGCTGCCTCCTTTTCCATTCCGTCTTGCGTTTCTTCCTCAGTGCCTCCGAAGCAGCATCTTCTATTCGCGAAGAGCTCGACTGCGATGGGCCATGTCCATTTGCCGAGCTGCGCGTCCCAAAGGTCGCAGGGGTGGAGATGGACCGGAATACAAGTGTTAATCTTATGTGCGTCCTTGTCGCTGCATGGCTTAGCTTCAGAAGCATAGGCGAATCCCAGAAAGTTGTACTTGCACAGTGCACAACCGAAGGTTCTAAAGTGACTTCGCATTGACATCCGGCTCCTTCTGGTGGCGTGAGAAAGCGGTAGTGAGCGTCCAGACTTTTTTGAGATCTCTTTTGCAGCCGCTATCATGGTGGGTTCCTCATCACCAGCGAGGTATGTGCTCGGCGTCAGGTGGGCAAGCGCTCTGAACCAAACCTTGCGCAGAGACAAGGTCCGCATCCGAGGACTGAAGTTCCAAGCGTCGTTGCAGAGTGCTGCGCCTTGGCCGACTTCTGCGTCAAGTCCTGATCTGAAGAATGCCCCTCCCGTCTCTCAACCAGTGCACGCGAGCGTTACGCTCGGTCTTGACGTGTCGTCTGTCGCATCATCTGATGACCTGGGACAAGGATCGTCAGTCAACTACGCGGCTCTCACGGATTCCATCCTTAGCTCGTGCTCTTCCGGGACTCGGACGTTCTCGTCTCTGGAGGAGCTGGCGAATGCTATCTACGAGACTTCCAGGCGTCAAGCACCGCATATTCTCGATGCGAGCATTGTGATTGATTTGCCCAAGGCACTCCTCAACGCCGATTCTGTTAGTCTGGAATGGCGCTCGGACGCTACCCCGTCAAACACGGCCTCAACACCGCGGACGTACAGGATAAACTATCTTCATTGCTATACGCTCATAGGCCTCAATTCATGTGAACGAGATGATCGACAACTAGTCGGCGTCAGCATCGACATTCATCGTCACGCGGAGCAGCCAGTGTTTGACTACCGAAGCCTGTCCCTCCACGTGCAAAAAGTGCGCAACTCTTGCCTTCAGAAACACAATTCAGCGTGAACAATCTATAGTTCATAGAAGATGCGACATTCAAGACCCTCGAAGCTTTTGCCTCCGCGGTTGCCCGCATTACGCTGTTTTTCCTTTCAGAGTTCGATCGCTCTCGCAGCCTCTCACGGGAAGGTTATCTCACGCCGGAATCCACGAGCGTGACAGTCCGCGCCGCGAAACGAAGCGCTCTGATCTTCGCGGATGCCGCCGAGGTGGAGTTGACACGGACGCTAGACGATTTCCAAGACACGCATACAAGCTCTGGCGATCTTCCATCTTCATCAAAGCCTTCAGCAACTCCTTTCTTCCGTCTCTTAGATACAGTCGCCCCAGAGATTTATGGCCGCACCGGAACTGGTAACCCGAACAACCCAAATCAACATCGAGTCGGAATAGCCTTGGGTTCCAATCTAGGGGATCGGTTTGCCAACATAGAGCGAGCATTACGACTCTTGGAAGCGCCCGAGATGCTGAAGGACTTAGAAGACGGCTCTGAGCAAGTACAACCTCGCGTATCCGTGGTCGACACTAGTTTCATGTACGAAACCACCCCGATGTATATCACGGATCAGCCCAACTTCATCAATTGTGCTTGTATGGTGAGTATTCCTTCCTTCGGAAAAACTCATTATTACTACGTACTCACAACCGACCAGATTCAAACCAATATGGAGCCTTTAGCTCTTCTCGCATTGTGCAAGAAGATCGAGGACGCGGTGGGCCGCGTCCCATCGATGCGCAATGGTCCCCGCGCCGTTGACTTAGACATTCTCTTGTATGACGACGCCGTACTGGACACTCGCCCAGATCATGAACGAACCAACCTAGACAATCTGGCAGGTCAGTTAGTCATTCCGCATCCTCGGATGGGGGAACGTGAATTCGTCCTACGTCCGCTTGCGGAGTAAGCGTCTTTGAACCTCAGAAGTGATCGGCTCTAACTCTCCTGCAGCATGATACCAGACTGCACGCACCCTCGGACAAATCAGACTATCCGGACCATGCTTGATCAGGTGATGGCATCGACCCCTCCCGAAACGCCAACGATGTATAAGGTGACCCCCTTTCCTCGATATCCCGCCGTGTCTCTCCGTGCTTCGTCATCCGTATCGGAACCTTCGTCGGTGGATACAGTTCTAGCAACGGTCCCTTCAACCGCAACATATTGGACCTTCCCCTTGAAGGCCTCCTTCGATATTGCCGGACCGTCAACTCCGATTTCCACGAAACACAAGACGTATCTGATGTCGACATTGAACGCCACGCCCGACTCCTTCTCGGACGGTTCTGACCATAACACCGCTGTCTCCGCATTGGGGTATGCTCGTGACTCCGTGATCGGCGGAGCAGATATCATCGATGTTGGAGGCTATTCGACGAAACCAGGCGCGGCATACGTAAGTAACGAGAAGGAGATTGGTCGAGTGGTTCCGGTCATACAAGCCATTCGTTCCGCAGAGACGCAGTCCGCGGACGAGCCGAGTGTTTCGACAAAGGATGTCCTCATCAGCGTGGACACTTTCAGGTGGGACGTCGCGCAGGCTGCCGTTCGGGCCGGTGCGAATTGCATCAACGATGTATACGCGTTTACAGGACCAGCGTGGCCTCTCGACGAAGCTTCCGCCAAACATTTCGTCCAGATGCGCAAAGTCTCGAGAGACCTTGCGGCACCTGTCATCCTGATGCACTCGCGAGGCGATGCTGGGTCAAACAAGGACTACTCCGCCTATAGAGGAACGCCTCAGGTGCCTCCGGTCATGGCGGGCGTGCGCACGGAATTGGGAGAACGGGTCGAGGCCGCCGTCAAAGGCCGCGGTGGACTGCGCCGGTGGCTGGTCCTCGTCGACCCCGGCATCGGCTTCAGCAAGAGCGTCGACGATAACCTCGCGGTCCTGCGTCAAGCCTCCGCACTGACGGCCCGGGTACCCGGGAATCCGCTCGCAGGGTACCCGCAGCTCATCGGGACCTCGCGCAAGTCATTCCTTGGGGCGATCCTGGCTCAGCCAGATGCGCAGTCGGCCTACGCGGGGAGGCAGACGGCGGCCAAGGAACGTGGGTGGGCGACCGCTGCGGCGGTGGCGTGCGCCGTACAGCAGGGCGTGGCCGTTGTGAGGGTGCACGACGTACTGGAACTCGGCGACGTCGTACGCGTGAGCGACGCGCTGTGGCGTTGATTCCTTCATGCGTGGTGGCGACCCATTTGTTGGCGAGAGCGCGCAGCGCCTGTTAATCAACAGTCAAGCGGCGGTCATTGCGGGTTGATTGAGCCTTTCATCCTCCTGCCCGTGCGAAGCTTGCGACCGATATATAAAGACTGTGTGCCATATAGTTGTTCCATATAGCAAATGTTGCATGCTACGATCGGGGCCACTGTTATTGCGAAGGTGAGAGAGCGCCCGCACCCATGTTATCTACGCAGGATAATGCAATAAATCGCGCTGGGCCGCGATTGCTATAATAACAAGGATCGCCCGAGGAGATACCATCTAATCTATATAGAACGGTGGTACTGGGCGCATGATGGATCACATCTGGACAGAAGGTGCGTTATGCATTCTGTAGCTCTGTAGATCATGGTTGGTGAGAGCTCGAATAGACTAATACAGAAACTTTGCGGGTTCTCCCAACTCGGGTGGACCGCACGAGAGCACCTTGCTTTCTCGAACGAGCCAACCTCCTCTAATGCCCTGTCATACTTGCATTTTATTTTGCAGGGAGGCTGAAGTTGTTGGTCGTTGTTGCCGAAGGCCGAAGTTGCCCCGTTGCCATGATCAGTCCGGTTCGCGACGCCGATCAAGAACCCATGAGGAAGTGGCTGTGCGATCCATGATCTGCCGGTGGCGATGCGCAGCTCTGTCGATCATCGTGGGGACCGCAGCCTCTTTGAGGGCGCCTATTGGCTTTCAACCTGTTGCACAGAAACGGTCTGACAGCTAAATTCATTACGATAGACCGTTTTGCGCCAGCTCTGCTTTCGGGTTTTCTTTGCTACCGCCAGGGGCTTCCCCCAATATGTATAAGACCATGCCATGCTGGATTTGAGTGAATGCGGTGTATCGTACCCACGAATGCCCCAAATGCCGGCCAGCCGAGCGGAGCCTCCAGCCCGAAAAGGCTCTTCCCCTGAAGCGGAAGACGTTGCAACCGTGAGCAAAGCTGGTCTATCATATTGAATTTAGCTGGAATGGTCTGCGAAACTTCTGTTTCTACTGATATAGAATTCATCAGGTTGCGTACTGCTCGGGATCGGCTTGAGAAAGACGAACATATCTGAGGCTTTCCCGCAAGACGAGGTCATCACGTACCGATTCAATCAAACAGCTCGCAACAGCAGGATCAATCAGGGTGAAAGACCTATACGCATGCTTAGACCCTGATGTCATGCGTTGATGTCAACGCGAACAGGAAGTCAAATTGAACGAGGGCATTTTTCACGGTGTCGTCTCAGTTCGTTTCCTTACGCGGAGGCAATGTGGATTCATGATGCTGGGAGGAAAGAACAGGGAAAGAAGGGTAGGGCTGCATGCGAGTAGTTGCTGATTATGATATATCTTTGGAATTCGCGTGTGTCGCAGATGAGGAAGAGACGCGAACACACGGACGAATTCGTGCGTGGCCACGACTGGTGTGGATAGCGAGCTGCGTCGTAATTCAGGGGACCGAGGCTGCGTGCCGTCGGGACTGGTCGAGCACGACATCAAACAAAGCAGTCCATGCGGCTACATACCGTAATACCGGCTTATAGGGAAGGTGCCCCATGGAGGTGGACTACGGTCGAGACGGATCAGGGGTTCACTTGCAGCGGTGGGAGCTGGTCGGCCTTCGCACGCTCAGTTGGATCTGTCCATCACCACGCCTCGAGACGCCCGCGACAACCAGTGCAGCTCGCGAATACGTCGAAAACGGCTGACCAGGGTCGTCCAACGGCAGCAATAATAATGCGGAGGATATTGGAATGTTTACCGTTTACGCGTTGCGCGACAGCTTAGAGCATGCAGTGGATGATGCGGACGTTTCAGATCTGGGGCGGAGGAGGCGGATCAAGCTCGCGTTGGGTTGCCACTGCAATGGCGCAGAGGCGCTGCCCGATCTAATGATACATATGCATGGCGCTGCCATGATCCAGAAGCCCTGACGCCTCTGTCGGGTCCACCTCCCCATCTCGCACGGCTCCACCACCAGCCTTTCCTTTTCGCTTTCTTTTCCTTCGCTTTCCTCCTTCGCCTCTTCTACTCGTTCGATACCGCCTCGCGCGGGGAGACTTTGGCGACAATGTCCTCGTCATACTTCTCCTCGTTCATCTCCAAGCGCAAAGGTCTCAAGAACATCACCCTCCCCGGCGTGCGACGCATCCCGAACCCGCCCTCCCCTGCCTCCTTCGTCTCCCCCGCCATCCTCGACATCAACGACGCTTATGACGGCTACGATCCATCTCCGCCCACCGCGGGCGAGGTCCGGCTCGCGTATGAGCACTACGTCGAGTACAATCAGCCCCCCTCGGACTCCTCCCGGCTCCAGGTCGACTTTAACCACGCGCCCTCGGCCCGCTCCTTCTCTGAGCTGCACGAACGCGAGCCGTCCGCGCAAGACAGCTCGCTCCGCAAGTTTTCGGATGACACCGTGAAGAACACTCAGGACCCCGCGACTTGGGAGAGTGGGAGCGATCCGAGGAGCGCAGGGCCGAGCGGAAGCGGCAGTGGGAGCGCGAGCGGGTGGGGCACGGCCACAGCGAGTGCTTCTACGAGCGATATGTCTGCGCGATCCCCGGAAGCATTCGGAAGTCCGTCTGTGGAGGATGTGATCGTCGTTAGCCCCGAGTCCACCGAGGTAACTACACGCGTCAAAACTGCGAGAGAGAGATTAGCGCTGATGTCAAGCAGGATTTTGTTGAATTTGTGTCTGAAGAAGGGCACGACCCATCGGTCCGTCATTTTCTATGTTGCATATGAATACCACCCGTAACACCGTGTAACAGCATCTGCGCGGCGGGTCCAGGAAACACGCGCCTCTGCCGCTTCGGATCCCCGCTTCCGGAGCCCAACTGCCGCGACGCGCGAGCGCGTCCAACCTGCCCTCCGCCGCACCGATCAGCGCGCGGTCTCGCCCGGCTTCGATGGACTCAGCGGAAGCGCTATCTGCCATCTCTGGCACGACGCTCGCGCGCGCGATGGCCTCCACCTTCGTTTTCCCGGATGACACGAATATAAACCGGCGCTCGCGGCACCGCAGCGGTCTTGTGCGCCAGGACTCGGCCACTCTTCCGCGCGGTGATCAGCCGTTATTGAACTCGCCCTACTGGCGGCTTAGCAAGGCGAGCATGGGCAGCGATTTCAGCCCTCTCCCGTCAGGCGGACTCGACGTACCCCCCGTTCCGCCGCTGCCGAGCATGCCCGCTACGCCCGAGCTCGGCCTGATGATTGGCGTGGGTTCGGGCGCGCGGATACGGCGCGGGTCCGACGCGCGGGAGCAGCCGCTCAAGAGCGCCGAGGTCAAGCGGCGGTCGAGCCTGTCAAGCCTATCGCGCAGCAACGGCAACGGCAACGCCGAGAAGCCCGAAACTGGCTACTCGTACCCCCGTCCAGTATCCCGCATCAGCGAGGTCGACTCACCCGCGCCGTCAGGGCCGTCCGCGCCCAACACGCCCATGAAAAGCTTGCCGAACAGCGCAACGCTGGACCAAGTGCCAAGCTCGGCGTCATACTATGGTAGCAGCGAGCAAGGATCCCCGTTGCCATCGCAGGGGTCCTTGAAGAGGAAGTCGCGCTCTGGACCGGCCACGCCAGAACGACAGGTGACTCGACGGTCTACGGGGGAACCCTCATCTTCTGGCTCGAATGACTATCTCAACCACATTCTCGATGAATACGCCACTCCTTCGCCGAGGTCTTCTCGTGTCAGAGTGACGCGCTCCCCGCGGTCGAGCGTGAACGGTGGGAAGGGCACTTTGTCAACCCACAGCAGATCATCGACCCGCAACTCTCGTGAGCATGCCGTCGTCTCAGCACATGGGTTAGCTGACCTCGTTCGTACAGGAACGAGCACTGATATGCCCTCTACTAAGAGAGGTGGCAAACGCGTATCAAACAGGATATTGCTCCCTTTGGGAGAGAACAGTACCGCTCTACAGAGGCGCATGAACGAAAGCTCGCGCTCATCCAGCCTCCAACCTGCGCGCATTCGGAGCCAATTGCCGTCCGTTCCCAGTTCGGCATACAGCAGGTCCAGCACGGTTTCCTCGGCTCGCGCGAGCCAGTCCCAGCACGTCGCCATCGACGATTCACGGGCCTCCCCGGATCTACTGGACACTATGCTCTTACCCATCGGTCCATCGGCCAAAGCGGTGTTCAACCGCCAGCGATCGGGTAGCACGCCGAATCCTATCACTGTCGTGCGCGACTCCAAGGACTTCAACTTGTACAATATCACCCTTTCCGACGGCACTGAGACCGACGGCACATCGCCGTCCGCCGGGAGCGGGAGCGGTAGCGCTCCAGCGCGTGACCAGCGCTTTCCGGAGACGCCCAGCGCCTTCAGTCCGCTGTGGTCGCCCGGCACCGAAGGCGCTCAAGGCCCGGTCATCACGTTCGGTGGCGAAGGATCCCTGCCGATCGCATTCGAGATGACCATGGACGAAAGCCGGCCACTGGCGCGGTCGATGACGGTGGCACAGGATCGGGGGAGCTCGTTCCGACGACCACGTTTAGCGAGGTCGGCGACGGCGTCGAAGGCGTCGGGGATGACAAGGCAGATGATTCCTGCTTCTGTAGAAGAGCTCGAGGACGAAGATGAAGACGAAAAACAAGCGGAGTCTTTACCGCCTCCACCTCTGCCCCCTTCGCTCAGCCTGCCGGGAACTCCGCTGCGGAGCTCTCCCGTCACTGTGGAGCGCTCACCCGCGCAGGCAAACGCTGGCCAGACATTGCAGCTGGTGGGTTCCACAGCCTCTTTGCTACTGGCGCAACACAGTCGAGCGTCTTCCGTCGATGCGCCGAGCTCTCGCTCCTCCTCTCCTCGTCCATTACCTCGTAAACCTCTACCGGGAGTGGGTCTGGGCGCAGAAAGCAGCAGAGCTTCCCAATCTCGCTCACGGTCGCCTGCTCCATCCGAGCTACACCTCTCCAGTCGTGACCCATCTCCCGAGCGAGTCAGGGGTCGTTCTCCCTTACCCATGCCCCCGAAAGCGCTGCCTATCACACCGGATCCTGCTGCGAGGCCCAATGACGTCGCTGGCCCGAGCAATGCGAGCACATTCCGCGATCCGCTTGCAGATGCATTACAGTCGACAATAAATGTAAATACCACAGAGGACGCAGAACTTCCGGGCCCAGGATCGTCCCAGGCGGATCTCGTTGCTCCTACCACGGTGCCTGCCAGACCAACACCCCCTCGTACAGTACCAGACACCTCCCGGTTGTCAGCGTTCCCTTCCATCCGATCATTATCGCCAGAGTCCACGACGTTCGTTCCTCCGCCGCCCTACGAAGCGGCAGTCCAGAGCGAAGCTCCCGCCGTACCTGTGCAACCCGTGGCGCCTGCTCCCCCCGCTGCTTCCGTGCAACCCGACGGGCGAACCCCGCCGGCCTTTGGGCGGTCCATAACCGAACCAGCGGTGCCTACCTCGGCCAGCTCCCCTCGGTCGCCTATGATCTCGTCAATTGCTAGCTCGCCTTCGAAGCCTGGTTCCCCTGACAGTCGCCGGACTCGTGCGAGAGCGCCACTCGGGCCCAGGAGACCGAGCGCTATGGCAAATATCACTAACAGAGAACGCAATGGCTCCGTTTCGTCCGTGACTAGCACCCCGGGAAGCAGAAACATGACCGGGAGCAGCCTGAGCGGCCAGCGCAATGCGTCTGCGTCTGTACACGTCCCCACGCCCAAATTTGAGCCCTCAGTGGTGGAGTGGAAGGGCTTGACTCTCGAAGCAGCGAAGTGGACATTCACCTCGTCTCAATTGCAAGCGATCGTGTCAAGGGCTATCAAGCAGTCTGCGGAGGCTTCTTCGATCCGTCTGCTTCCGCTGGACACGTTGGACGTGGAGATCCCAGATGAACTGCGTCGCCTCAAGCTACTGAGTAAGGATCTCAAGACCAAGTACAAAATATCCGTGCGAAAGCGTGCGACCTTGTTCGACTCCCTTACGTCTGGGTCAAGCGACCTAGCGCTAGTCCAACGAACCGCGCAAGAGCTCGCCGAGGTTTCCGCCACCCTCGATCAGCTTAGCGAAGAGCTCTATATCGTCACGGACCAGATCACGCAGCTGAACAGGTTACGAGATGTTCATTCCTACAGCGCGCTTGCGATGGCCTTGCGCAAGCTCAACACCAGCTTCCTGAGCCAAGTTGCGGAGACGCAGGCCCTGCGACAGCAGGTTGCCCAGCTGGAAACGGAGCGCGACGAAGCGTGGAGGCAGGCAGAGGACGTGGCGCAAGAGTTCGACACGCTCAATGAGAAGTTGATGGAGGAGAGCGTCATCCCTGCTTCGGTGAAGGTTTCCGGAGGCAGGTCCAGCCGCGTCACGATGGTTCGAAAGAACAGCGTGAGGGCGGCCAGGGCGGGCTTGCGCACATCGGGCTCGGTGCGCCGTAGCATGAGGTCGTCCATGGGAAGTGCGTACGCGCCCAGTTCTGCTGGACCGTCGACCTCGAGATCGACCATGTACTCGGATATCATCCCCCCGGTACCTCCAGTGCCGCGTCCCTCCGTGAGGACCAGCGATGTTCCTACCCGGGGATCTTACGGTGAGTTCTTGGATGAAATAATGCCTTTCGAATAATCGCTGATTGTCGGATTTGATACGCAGCCTCTGGTGATGCCACTCCGGCCTCGGACGTCGAAGCGAATGCGATGATCGAGGCACAGAAAGAGCTATACGCCATGCTCGGTTTAGCGACTCAAGACAATCGTCAGCGTGGCCGTCCCCGCTCTCAGTCCGTGCGGCAATCAGGTTCTGGGTCGTTCACCTCCCGGCCGAAATCTGTTGAAGGGAGTGATAGACCAGCATCGTTGCCTCCGACTCCCGGGTTTGCCAAAGCAATTGACCCTGAGGTACGTGCCTCTTCTCTAAGTTGTTCAGCGTCACTCAAGCTAACGGGTTTCCTGATAGGGTCGGGCTATGTTGGCAACCATGGGCATGATACCATGAAATTCGCATCCACATTCATTTGTACATCATACCTGTTTCGTTCTGTGCACATTATCACACTCGTTCTTTGCATGCATAGCATATCAGCACTTGCCCGTACCTTTGCACACTAATTTATTAGATGCACTACAAATATATTTTGCATTCAATCCGTGCTTCGTTCGTTTACATGATTGCGGGAGATAGCAAAGCGACAACATGAGCAGAATAAAGATGACAAATAATGTCTACACCCTCTCTCTCTCTCTCTCATATGTTTTAATGACGGGCGCGTTTTCGCTTTATTACAACTTCATTGAGCTGAGTCGCCTGGGAGGCGGGTGATGAGGGCAAAGACAGAGCTTCAGGTTCCGCACTTTCGCGAGCCTCCTCTTCCGGCGAACGACCGCGCTTGCGCGCTCGCGTTGAGGATTGCAGATGTCCATTGCTGAGCGATCCTGACACCGGAGGTGTGTTAACTCTCTTCGCCGGTGTCCTGGGCTTGCGAGTTGATGGACGCTTCCGAGTGGGCGTCTGTTCCTCCTCCGGCGTCTCGCCGACCTCTTCCTCCTCCACTGCGTCCGCGTTCGAGGTGGTGCTAGCGTTTGCCAATCGCGCAGCTCGCCTGGGACGAGGCTTGGGGCGGGACTTTTCCCGCACGGCCAGCACTTCCTCAGGCTCTGCTGCATTTCCCAAGCCTTCCTCATCTGTGATAACCTCCTCCGCAGATTTGGCATTCTTTCGTCGACCCTTCCGCGCATTACCGAGGGCACCTGAACCGTTGATAATGAGATATTGTGCGCATGGTCCAATAGCCAAAGACCACAAACCCTTCTCCTTGGACATTGCCGTGCTGAGTCTCTTCTCGTACGCGCGAGCCGCTTCCCAGGCCTTCGCCGTGGGTGATATCTCTAGTTTCGCCTGAGCAATGATTTGGTCTAAATGTGCTTTGCTACTCGAGCGGTCAGGAACGTAGACAAGTAGAAATATGTAGAGAAATTTACATATTCAGTGCATCTTGGCTGTCGACGCCTATAACCAACGATGCAAGTGGCCTGAAGAGAGAAATAGTGGTCTCAAGCAAGCGCTTGTTCTTGCTTGACTCGTACGCGCCGAGCCTTTTGCCGAGCCAGGAGAGCAGGGTGGTATGGATTTCGACGATGAACGAAGCATCGAGCTTGCGCAAGACAGAGAGTTGTGCTCCACGAACCAGGAAACACGTCGCCAGGACTTTGGCGAGGGCGACACAGTGATCAACGGTCTTCTCAAGGCCGTCAAGCACGAGCTTGAATGACTGCGTCGGATTGAATTCATGTCCAAATCGAAAGCAACGTAACATGGACACTGACCTCTTCCATCGCTCGGGTGACGACCTCTACCACGACCGCTCCGTTTTCCCTATACATGCCCTCTTCCTTGAGCACGTCAATAATCGTTTTTGAGCATTGATCGAAGACGGGTCCGAGTCTGCCATAATGGGCCAAGATGAGGGCACCATGGCGAACGTGCATGACACGCAGAGTGATCGATCGCAAAACAATAGAGATGACTTCAAGGAAGACGTATTCTTCCTCAAGACGATCCCGGTCTGACCTTTCGGCGTCTATGTGATTGGCGTTAATCATCAGCTCTTCAGACAGAAACAATGCTTTACCTCGGGTAGATGCAATGGTCTTCCGCCTTTTGCTTTTGGACGCTTTCCTAGGCGTTTCCTCCTCGTCGTCGGACTTATCCGACTCCTCCTCATCGGAATCCCCATCCCCTTCGATATCCTCTGCGTAACGCTCGATCTCCGCTTGGATATATCCGGCGCACCGATATTGTACTTCATCCTCCATAGGCAGCGCCATCGAACCGAGCGCGAGCCGTAACCCGGTTGCATCTGGTCCGGCAGGATGGAAGAGGTTGTGAATGTTCAGCAACCAGGTGAAGGCCTGCACCTCACTTGAGTGCTCAAGCAATCGAAGCCGAGGAAGAGGCACACGCACAGTTCGTTTTACCAATTCTGCCGTGTTGGACTGGGTGCCGACGGCGTACTCAAGCAGTTTCTCTACCAGCATATTGCGCTGCGTTTCAAGGGCCTCCTTGAACGTAACATCCTCAGGCGTTGGCTCGTCTGCGGTTGTTAACCTTCTCGATTTCCACATCACGTGGAACGAGAGCACTTCGAGAGCGCTGCTTACCATCTGCATTATTATCAATACGCGTTCTTGCTGATTGGAAATGCGCGAAGCTCACCGCCTCCTCTTCCTTATACCCAAGACGGCCTCGTTCCGCCAACGCGCAAACTATGTCCCACGGTTTGCTCTGCTTCCCTCCTTCGTCCTCTTCCATCCAGCCCACTATATCCCTGACCCCCGCGAGGATAGATATCCGTGCACACATTGCGCCGAGACTCAGCACCTCATCTCCTTCAAGGCTCGCTACCTCCAGATCCTCCTTCCCCGCCACCGCATTCCTCAATGCGCTCGCCAGGTCGTCCTCCAATTCCAGTACTTTGGTCGAGTTGGCGTTGGCGAGGGACGTAGCGTTGGTGAGATGGCGAATGGTACCCGCTGCGTGCTTCAAGACAGTAGGCGAAGACTGCGAGGTGAACTGCTTCGTCACGTCGTCCCATAGGCTAGAGTACGCCGTCATCATCCTCATTTCGAGGTACATGTCGAGGTCCATGAGCTGCGGAATGAGTAGCACCTGCGCGATTCGCTTTTCGTCTGTCTGGTTCTTGACGAAAAGGAGCGGGAGGCCCTTGATGAGCGCACGAGTAATGTTCGCTGAGACAGTGTCTTCCTCGCCCTTCGGATATATATGTGAGCGGCGTCCCGAAACTGTGAAAAGCAGATATTAGCGATACCTTTTTCGTTGTGCTGGAACTCTCCGCCTTGGCTTTTCTCAATGCAGCAACTAGCGCCTCAAGAACCACGCTCTCTTCCACTTCCTCCAGTCGCCACGCCTCGTCGACCACTTTCTCGGGCCCCTTCTCCTGGCTCCCCTTGCCCGTCCCTTTCTTGGATCTCGCCTTCCCACGGGGTGCTGCTTCCCCGTTACCAACAGCCGAATGGTCAAGCAACAGTATGTCGAGCAGGGCTTCCCAGTCGCTCACGACCTCGATTTCATCGTACAACGCTTCGACCGCGAGAGCTGTACGGCCGCGTTGTTCTGATGAAAGCAACCTGGCGATCGCCTTCTTCTTTGTCCACCCCGTTCCTTGAACCGCCGATTGTCCCTGGCTACTCTCGTCTGCGTCTACGTCCTGATCCAGGGCGCTGCTGGTGTCCTCCTCCGTCTCCTTTCCCTCCCGGTCCAAGGCCCTCCCCCACTCAACCAGTAGCTCGGCCAGGGCCTTCACCCCCGCCATCTTTTTCTCCGCTTCGTCGGCTTTGCGCCCCACCAGCCGCTCCTCGACCTTCTCCGACCATACGCCCTGCACGAACCCGCTCACCACCCTCCTAACTCGCGGCTCCCGATCATACACCAACACGCAAAGCCTCTCCCTCTTCTCCTCGTCGAGTAGCCCATGTCCATCGATGGCCTCCAAGATCTCCACCGCGGCCACCCTTACGCCGGTCTCCGTGTCCCGCCGCGCCATCTCGAGGAGGCGAGGCGAGAATCGTTCCGTGAAGTGGTGCATAGAGCTGATGTACTCCTCCTGCTTGTAAGCCTCGGAAAGGGCATGTAAGGCGGACAATCGGACCGGCGTTGAGGAGTCGGAGAGGACCCAACCGATGTAGCGGAGGTAAGAGGAGTCAAGGAAGTGGGAGGGATGTAGCGAGAACCAGCGTCCCAAAGAACGGACGCATTCGGATCGAATGAGCGGGTCAAGGTCACGGTAACGGTGGACGAAAACGCTGTGGGTCCAATTGTGGATCAATTATGTGCATATATGCACGCGGTTTGTCGGAGCGTACGTACCCATCGATGATCTCCTTGAGGTACTCCGCGAGCGCATCCCTGCGCTGGCGGATTTCGTCGGCTCTGGCCTCGAGATCCTTGTTCGTCTCTTTGCTTTTTTCTTTGCCTTTGCGCTTGCGCTCGCCTTCACGTTGCCGAGCGACGATCTCGGCCTCCTTCTCCACCCTCGCTGCTACTTCACACAGGGCGCTCTCCATCTCTAGCGCCACCACCGTCGCAGTGTGTCGCACGGACCTAACGGGCGACGAAGACATGGCCACAACCCAGGTCTGGAGCGTGGACATGATATCGGTGGTGTAGAGCGAGTCGAGGTCGTGTGCGGACACGATGAGGCGGGACAAAAACTCGGAGAGCGAGCGTCTGAAGCGCTTGAAGATAGCAAGCTTGGAAGTGAGCGGGTAGGGTATGGTGTCGTCCTGCTTGATAGCCTCTGTCATATTATCGAGAGCGTCAACGACGCCGTCGTAGTCGACGGCCATGTGCTCGTCCACAACGTCGTTGCAGCCGCAGGCGCGAAGGATGCAGCTGATGAGTTCTGCTTGGGCGGGCCCGGGGGTCTGGGCAAGCGATTCAAGGAAGTCTTCCACCTTGGACTGGAGCGCAGATGATGGGTTCATGATCGCGTCTAAACGAAACGTCTGATATCAGCCGCCATGCCAGTCGGCGTCAATTAAAGCTTCGCGCACTGAATAGATGATTATCCGGATTGATTTTGGACTCTTTTGCGACCGCTTCCGGGTCGAACGCGTCGTCAGCCCTTGTTTGCGCCTTGCGTCCCCTTCGTGCGCCTTTAGGTACCGCAGTCTTTGTAGTTCCCGGAGCCCTGGTCGTACGCGATTTCTTTGGGGTCGGGGCTGCTGCCTCCCCCTCTGCCGCAACACGCTTCTTCTTAGCTTTGGGCGTTGCCTTGGGCTGCTTCTTCGGCGCGTCGTATTCGGCCTCCTCCTCGGCGGCAGCATCTCCTCCGTCTGACTCTTCGCCATCCTCATCGGTGTCGACGTCGGCGTCGTCGCGTTTCCGCTTGCCTGCACTCTCGAGTGAGCTGGTTGCTTCAGGGGTTACGACCTTAGCACACGACGCGATCCCTATTCAAATAGGGCGGGAAACTTACGGGCATTGAATGGCTGAGCCTGCTTGCGTTCGCGCTGGGAGCGGCGCGGTGCCGAGGGGGTATCTGTGTCGGACATGTCGTGCTGGGGCGTTGGTCGACCCGCGTTGAACGCGTTCTCGGAAGGCGCAATCAGCAAAAGCCACGCGTTTCCGGCGTCACGCGTCACGACTCGCCATTCTCCGAAACGCGCATCACGTGGAATCAAGCTTGCTTTGTCAGTGACTAGTGTCAGGCTTGCACACTAGTCTCTGGCCATTGAGCAACGAAAGTACTCATCTCTTTCAGGAATCCGGATAGCTCGTGAGCGCCGCTGCATGGCTTTGCAACGTACTCCAGCGAGATGGATGCGGTATATTAGACATCATGATACAGTACTGCAGTCGACTAGCACGTCATACACGCTCTTTCGGCATCCTGTCATCCATGCATCAAGCCTACTTCATCCCCAAACAGCCTGCGCATCCACTTCCCTTGGTCCATTACTGTGCCCTCCGCCGTTTGCAGCTAGTGAGAGTGATTCAAATAAACCGATTAGCCCAGGTCGAGCATTTTAACCCAAGTTGCCGGACGCACCGTTCTCCGCGTCCGGCGGCAGATGAATCGGGCCGTGACTCGGCTCTTCATCCTCCTGGCGCCGGTCCTTGTGACGCAGGAAAAGATACAACGTTGCGCAGGCAAGCGCAACGGGATGCACGACGGTAAACACCGTTTCCGTGGTCTAGCCATGCCACGTTCGTGAGTCAACGCGTCATAGCATAACGATACTCGACCGACCTGTATTGGCATGGGCTTGGGAGTTTGGCTCCAAAGGCTGGCAGCCAGCCATGTTGCTCCGGCGCACCATACGACGTCGCGACGGAATATGACGATGAGAAGGCTGAGAATATTGAAGCCTGACGTGATCGGCTGTCAGCTGTGCATCCGCGGTGCATGGTCGCTGCTCCGCTACCTATGACGACACCAAAGCCGGCCCATTGGTGCCTCGCATAATGTTGAGGTGTGCCAGGGTTCCATGAGTAACCAATGGTGATGCTAGTTGGGAAAATCGACGATAATCAGAGCGGTTCACAAATAACGAGTTAAGATCACTACTCACAAAAGGGATTGCCACAGCAGCAGACCAAAAGGTAGTATAAGGAAGAGGCGCAACGGAGCATGAATCAAAGCGGTATCAATAGGTCGCTTGTTGGTGGGCGGATACAACCAGAGGAGTTTCTGAGCACAATCAGTCTACTCCAGCTCATGTGATGAAACTATATATGATACTCACGAGGTTGGAGAGCAGCAGAATCAGTGTGGTGATTCCCACAAGTACGGTAGCAACGAGGAATTGCTGCAATAGCTGTAGAAGGTGGTTCAGGTCTCAGGCATGTTATCGGGCAGGGTAACCACGTACGAAAGCAGCAGCCCAGCCCGCCATTGTCCAGTTCGCCCACACCAACGACTGGCCAACGCCTTTGATCAAGGTTTGCTGGAGATACGCGTGAGACTCGTTTCAAAGATGATATGTCCATCTCTGAGTCGACTTCCTACCTTCGTTTCCGGTTTCCTGGCGATCACAAGCAGTAGACAGAACCCGACCTGTAGTAGATAGACCGCGACCACGTAGACTGCGATCATCCATGGCTTCGGGGTCAGAGAGGTAGGATACTCTCTTGATATTTCGTCTATACAAAGCGAACGTTGTGCTGTCAGAAAATGGTTGGGCAAGTTGCTACGACGTAGAGCGCATACCAAGACTGGGCGAAACCACAATCGTACAGACCATCACGGTTGCTATGTTAATCAGTAAGGATAGCGGCGTCAACACCTGCAGTCTGCCGGGGCCGCATAAAGGGTTCAGGTGACATCAAAGCAAGAAAAGGATCGGTGAGCTTACCGTATCAACGACAGATAATCCCTGACGGCGGGGTGCGACGTGTCAATCGGCAATCCCTCCATGATTCAAGATGGAATGAGCACTGGCTGCCGTTCGCGGGTAGAGGCAAAACAGTAAATCAATGGTGAGGTGATATACTCGGTCTGGTGCCGTCATGGCGGTTTAAGGCATAGAACGGGTGACGTCATCCTCGCTCTGATGACCGCGTTATAATTCAAGCTTCAAAGGTAAGTACTAGAAATCCATTGTTCAACGTCCAACATTCAATGTTGTACGATCAACGGGATGCAATGCTAACTGCTCAGTACTGCCAGCTTGTAATACAAAGGGAACTTTCTTTTCGAGGGCGGCGCTTTGGTAAGAAACGTGCTTGATCGAACCTCAAGGGGCATCAGGATATACATGTCCGCTATCGCAGAAGCAAAACCCATGTGTCATCCGGCCTGCTAGCCGTCGTTGTCGACCAAGATGCCCGCTCATTACGGTTCCCAGTCCCCCAACAAACGCATATCCTCTTCATAAAGTTCGTATTCGTCGCTCCAACCATCGTAGTCATCGTCTATGTAATCCCTATCATAGTCCATTTCGCCGAAGTATAAATCGTCTGCGTCTTCTTCATCGTCCTCGTAGGCGTAATCCGAATCCGAATCCAGACTGGGATCGTAGCCTGGTTCATCCCGTTCCCATATCAACGATGGCACCATGATTCGGTTGGGCAGGAATATGTCACGCGATGGTTCCGAGATGTCGAGCCCGAGTCCGGAGAGATCAGACAAGGGGGAGTTCCAGAGATCCCGCGATAAAACTGAGAAGCTGCGTAGTGGATGGCCAGCTTCTACACAAGCGCGAATTGCAGCATTGTGCGAGCCGTAGGAATCTGTGCACGACAACCGCTCGAGGTTGGGCCAGGGTAGCGGGCTTGTCCCCCGATTGGTGCATGCTTCTTCGAGTTGACTGGCGAGGGAATACCAAGGCACGTGGGCAAGGAGGAGGTGATTTATGGAGGGGAATACGCGCCAAAGGAGACCGTCTATTTCCTCTTCGATCCGTTGCAAAAGTAGGGTTTGTAAGTCGGGATATGGAAGGGTACCGGATGCGATGATGCTCTTGAGGTAGAATTTCAACGTACTGTCGCCGACCAATCCATAGAGGTAAAGAGACTGCAACTTGGGTGCAGTCAGAGATACCATGAGCTCGTGGAAATCCAAACTCGGCTCCATTTCCTCGAGTAGATATATGTTCTTTCCGAGAGCGATGGTGATGTGTCGAAGAGAGGGCAATGACACGGTGCGCATGGGCTCAGTCCCCGCATCGAAGTTGATCAAGCTCCCGACAAGGTGCAACCTTTCCAGTCGTGGTACAGCTTTCAAGAGCTCCTGAAATGCGGCTGCAGTCACTTTGATGTCGGTCGCTCCATCCCTGTATAATTGCAGTTCTCGCAGATTTGCCAGCGGCGGGGGTGACTGATGCAGGCCCAAACCGGAGAGTCGAATTGTACACAGTGTGGGAGCACCTCCCTCGAATAGAGGCGTACGAGGTATCTCGCCTGTAAGGTCCGGTTCATAGGAGATGCGTAGGTAATCCAATTGCGGAACGGCCAGGGGTTGCAAGCGGCGTAGGACCTCGACCGCACCTGTCCTGGTAGTGAGTTCCATGATAACGCTTTTCCAGCGTGTCGCATGTGGAATGATGAGGTCCATGATGTAGGATAGGCAAGCATCGACCACGATGGGATTGTTAAGCCCGACGTCCAGTGCCGCGCAGATGTGGATATCCAGCGGGCAGTCACCAGAACGCTTGATATATTCCTCTTGCCTCTGGATCGCTGGGTGCTTATCTCCAGAGCGACAAGTCTGGAATACTAGGCGATTCCAGAGTAGTGGGCTGCTTAAAACGATGTTTCGCCATCGTCTACACACGCGAGACAGGAGTTCAGGGAAGACAGCTGGAGACGTTGTGCTTGATCTCCCATACTCTTTTCCGAGTTGGAAGATCATGGACATAATCTCGTCAGGAAGCATGTCAATAGCTGGCGGGTCTGACGAAGTGTAAGCAAAGGTAACTGGACAGGATTCGACAATGCGCATGCTCACATTCGTTAGTGACAGCCTCCTTCCCGTTTTGCCCGCGTTGACTAGCGACATAGTCCGAAGAATTCGTATCGCATTCCGCCATCATATTGGGAACAGTATTGTTGCGGACTACAGTCCACAGCGGAAGGTGGTCTAAGGTGCGCAGAATCCAGATAGCTGAGTGATGCGCCAGCCGGAGGCGCTCAAGTCTCGGAATCCCGTTTGCCGGCGCGGATATGTATGAAGACCGAAATGTTCGGATATCTACATACTTAACTTCCGGTAATGCATTGTGACATCACGGGTTACGGACAGGCAGGCTCATAAGTTACTATGCAATTCAGGCATTATATGATATATCACGTTGAATTAGTGGAACGGCAGGAAGGCGCCTCTCGCAGTACGTTGAGCCCAGGGTCACTGTCACAAATCTTCCCCGCAAGCTATGTGCGTCCCAAGCCTGTCCATTTCTGCCAAAACGATCGTCCATCTTGAGCAGATGTAGGTGACGGCGAATCCATTTGGCTTGATTGTTTGTCTTCAACCGGATTAGAAGGTAATGGCGTAACGGAATTCGTCCTTTTGAACGTGGGGGACAAGGCTTCTGTCTCCAGGCGGTGTGCCTCCTCCGCTGCCGCCAAACGCGCGTTGAACTCGGCGCGTTGGGCTGCCGCTTGTTCAAGCAGTCGTTCCTGTGCTAATCGTGCTTTCTCCTCCTGATTGTACACAGCTCAAACTTCTGTACTTGAAGAACGTCAAACATCGTACCTTTTGCCCTTTGGATTGCCCATAGTAGTACGTGCCGCCCACAATCGCCACAACGGTGGCGCCTTGCGCGACCAGACGTGCACGGAGCCAGTAATTCATGGACAGTGAACGACCTTGCCGCATACGAATGGCCGCTACAATGAGCGTGTATGACGTGACCAAACATCCTATCGGGCAATTAGCTCCTTAACGCAGCGACGTTATGCTGCACGAAGTGTATCGTACCAAGTGGTACCAGAGGGTTCTCCTTGAACTTTCTCCTGGCCTTGTCCGCCAAGGATTCGCCATAGTAGTTGGGAGTCAATTCCGTCTCCGAAGGAATTGGCGCGGGAACGAATGCGGAACTCATGGTATATGGATTCAAGCGGTGGAGGCTGAGATCGTCCGATGGCACAGAGGATGGATGAATACACTGCGCCTTGCCGTCCTTCCGTGATAATTCGTACCCGAGTGTTCCTTCGATGACGACGCCGATACTGAAATCTAACGTCACGTGCCTTTGAGACCAGGTTATACTTAACCCCTCGGTGACGGTTGGCCTTTCGGTTTGAAGTGCGTTGAACCTCAAGACTGATTCCGAACTGTTTAATCCGGACGGCGTTCCCTCGTATTTATTTTGGCAACGCGCTCCGCCATGGCCCATCATAAGACTTTGGTTTCCGACTGTAATCATCATTATACATCACGGTGGCGAGAGAATGAGACTACAATGATCTACTATGGGCACATTCATGCCATGCTCCTCAAAAATGTCTTGTAGCGTCACGCCTGCAACTTTGTCGAGCTGTTGTCCGGCTGGAGGGCATGTCTTGAGCGGCGGATTACGACCGCCACCTTCGCAGCTAAATGCTAAACAAGGAAACTAAACTTCAGACGAGGGCAGGGAAAGAACGAGTTGGTACATACGAGAAAGCAACCCTTGGCTGACACGGTTCCAGAGGTCAGGATCAGACGTACTTGTGTACAGGTCAGCCCTATGTATATGGTTTTGGAACCAAGCTGATACACACAGGTTTTCCATGTATGGATCCGCCCAGATCGCATAATCCTCGTTGGTGCGTTTCGTGATGTCTGATTCAAGAAGCTATGGTAACATTATCATTCGTGAGAGGGCGGATACGTTGGAGGGCTTGCATACCCCTTGCGCTATGGACGCCGGATCAGAGGCGCAGAGAAAATCCCAGAGCTTGTCCGGCCACAGCGCATGTCCGCTAACAAACATTCGCAATCTGGCATTGGAAACCGGGGCTCGGACCCATATTTCTTCACCTTCCTCAAAATCCTGATGTGTGTAAGTGGCGATTTCTCATCCCAACAGGATCGCTCACCTTGCCGCGAATCAATGCCACGATGGTCACACCTAGAGACCACATGTCCACCAAAGAGTTGTATTCCGATTGACCTGGTGACGCCGTATCGAATACTGCAGCTAATTCTGGTGCTGTGTATGCTTCGCTCAACACCATTTCTGAGGTGGTTCGCATGGTCTGTTTTCCAGGCTCCATGCGGCGGGCAGCACCAAAATCGGTGATGACCACGGTGCCCTGCGCGCTGACTGATCAAGGAGGTCAGTATAAACGAGTAGCAGCGCGCGGTCTTGTCCGCACCGCAGATATTCTCAGGCTTGATATCGTGATGGATGACTCTCTCGTATTCGTGCAGATGCTGGAGGCCAAGCAGCTAGGGTCTCCCATATATTGGCGCCCAGTGACAAGCGTTGTAGCTAACACTCACCAGTTCGGCAATGATCAGTTGCATTTGTATGTCATTTATGTAGTTGTAATACCGTCGGAGATCACCACCGGGGTATAGCGGCTTCAGCGTAAACGATCAGAGTTCACATACAGTGCAGATCGAAGACGCTGGAGTCCTTACCATTAGTATGTGCACTCTGTGATCGGGACTGAGCCAAACGTTGTGATATTCATCCTCAAGCTCGGCGAGATTGAGCAGAAAAGGGGAAATTTTCCCGCCTTCCGCCTTCCTTTTGGCGCGTTGCTTGAGTATGGCGACTTCCTCGACTACGGTCATCGCGAGCGTTCGCGACATCCGCCACCGCGAGTTGAGAACTTTCACGGCGTGCACAGCGGATGGTTGCCCGGGGGTTCTCACTTGATAGACAGTGCCCCATACGCCTGCGTTGACTTGCTGAACGTAGCTCCATTCGTCGCGATATATATGAAGCTGGATGGACGCAATAGAAAATCGTCTAAACCTCCGATGCACCTTGGGCACAAGCGCCCCATCGACACGGTTTTCGTCATCGGCCACAAGGGTCACATCCCCAGGTAGATCTTCGTCAACCACGACTGATTGACCTCCGGCTACAACATCTTCCTCCGCGTAGGTAGCGCCGGACAGATGCACTTCGCCATCGCGTCGCCTCCCGATCGAACGCATATCGACACCGATAGGTCTCAAAAATCGGGATGGCACCAGCCCCTCTGCCGGGTCCGCCCAATGCCATCTGATTGGACGGACGAGCCACATCTCGTCAGAAGGTTCGCTGACAAGCGTCACAAGGTCACCCCGAGAAAGCCCCAGAACTCCGCGCCCCGGGTCACCAGCAAAGGACGAACAGGCTCTGTATAAGCGCAACCCATCGCCGTGGGCAGTGTTAGGCGTCGGATCTGCACTCGGCACGCTGCTATCCCTCACGTCAGTACTGCCGCCTCATTGAACGGCATTATCTTACCAGTCTTCCCCGTATTCAGCCGGTATGTCTATCGGTTCCAGAGGCGTGGGTTCCAGAGCAGGAAGGCGGAAGGGTAAGTCATGATCCTCCTGGCGGACGCGGTGCAAGGCAGGGAAGAAACGCTTGACGCGCCGTCGCAAACCAAAAGATAGCCGCATTATGTGGATACTAGGGTATATTTTGGAGGATTTGAATGGCCGTGAAAGGAGGGAAGAAAGTCGTCAGGATCGTGAGCGTCGTGAGGAGGCGCCAGTACGCCCGCAGACAAAACCAGCAAACTAGTTGAGTCCGGGCGACCGCCTTCTGGGTCGATCGTCGATGACGACGCCAGCCAAGGACTGGATAAGCGCTGGGGAATAACGCAGTCGCTGTGACAACCCGGCCATGGTTTGCCCCCATGCTCGGGAAATAGCTCGAGAAGCTGTCCTCGCATATTTCGGGAACGGCGAAATCAAGCAAGGCGAGCGAATCGGACTCGGAGAACGGCGCTCGTCATGTCACGTGCATTTCAATGGTATCATTCGTCAGCGTGCCGCCGCCGCTTCGTAAACATCCTCTCCAGTCCGACTTCGCAGTCGAGCGAGCGTACAGACCCAGACACTTGTCTTCCTGCCCTCCGTGCCTCTGTAGACTTGCATCTTAGTCCACTAGGAACTGGGAAATGGCAACTCCACCCACACCACAGGCTCTTCGTAGTCTTTACGCCTCGACCTTGCGAACTGCCCGGTCATTCAGTTCATATAATTTCCGAGAGTACTTCGTCCGGCGAACGAAAGATGAATGGAAGCCATTGAAGGTGAGCCACTGTCGATATAAACTTTCCATTTTGTTGAACTCCCCTGGTTATCTCCGTTGGTTTGTTATGTGCCCGAGGACTGCGGCTGACCGGTCTTTGCACAGACCTCAAAGTTAGATGACATGCAGCTGTCGTCATTTTATAACAACGCCGTCCAGGAGCTTGCGGTGCTCCGACGGTCAGCAATCGTTAACCAACTATATGGGGGCTGGAAGCTCGTTGTTGAGAAACAGAGCCCGAAGCGGTTGCGCGGCGTGAACTAGTCATGCGTAGTTGGACAGTTGCGGAGGGTCGGAGCCCCGAGGTTTACGCAGTGTCAGTGGGTGGACGTCCGGGCTGCGTCAGGCACTCCAGCAGTCGGCTACGCCGCCGTTATCGAGAGCTGCAGCCATGTATCGGTACATGCTCTTCTAGTGAATTCACCTTCATCTCCCGTTTCATCTGTGTATTGCTAAAATAGCGTAAGTATACCTGCACCCTCGTATGCAATAGTGCAACACTGTCCGGTGTTCACTGCGATCTCTTACAACTATCCGTATTGAATACTCGGCTTGGAACAAGTTGTAACCTAGGACGGAGAGCCGTCGGAGGTGGATCTGTTGGTGCTCCGCCTGACTCCGCCCAACGTCTCTCCTGCACATCGCGATTCCGAATGCGACGTCATGTCACTCGAACCAACGTCTCTCCGAGCTCAAAATAGCCATGCACACCCAACTTATAAGCAACGTCTTGCAAGCAGCCAATACAGAGACACCGACGAGTCATGGATCCAACAAACAAGCCGAAAGGACCTTCGCCACACTATTCACTGTACCAGCGGGAAATCTTCCGCCGCGGAGGAGAGCAAGGCATCCGTATGTCTTATGGTTCACGGCTGCGCTACTTCATGTTAACAGCAGGCGCTGGTAGTTCCCAGCTTTTCCGTACATGCGGAGGAATTGGTAGAATCGACGAAGAAGAAACTGAACGATCGTGGTTACTTTTACGCAAACTCGAATGCAGGTCTCGGTTGGACCGATAGAGCAAACCGGTGCGTGGGCTTATATGCCGTCCGCGTGGTTGACTATGGCTGACTCGTGTCGGCATGCGTAGGGAGGCGTTCTATCACTGGAGGATCATCCCTCGTATGCTCGTGGATACGAATACCAGAGATTTAACCAGTAAGCGCCGCGGGTAAAAGCTGCCGTGAGCTGGAACTGATGATATACTGCAGCGACGCTCTTTGGTCATCGTATCCCTGCGCCGATCTTATTCGCGCCGATTGGTATCAACAAACTCTATTCCCCAAAGGGAGAGTTAGTGCCAGCTAAGATTGCTGGCGAGCTCGGGTTACCGGTGAGCGACGGACTCTTGCCTGAATTGATCTCCCGATCTGATCACCTTCATGAGACAGTATTGCCTGTCTACAGCTGCCTCCCAGCCGATCGAGGCCGTTGCGGCTGCTAATGAGGAAGGCGCTTCTGTCAATAACGAGAGCAATACTGTGCATGCCTACACTGGCCCTAACGGTGGAAATGCGACATCGCCCCGCTTCTTCCAGCTGTACATGGGCCATGATGATGAAGTGGTAAGTCTGTTTCTTCACCTTGTGGCCAGCGCACAAAGCTCACAGCGCGATTCAGACCATCAATCTTCTAGAGAGGGCGTGGAAGAGCGGCTTTGACGTCCTCATGCTCACGGTGGACACTTGGCAGCTTGGATGGCGTCCCACAGACATCAACCTGGCTAATTATGTGTACGTACCAGGCTGCTGGCTGCGATATGTTCTGCAGGCGTGCTTACCATTGATAATAACCGATTCCAGATTCTACTATCCTCCAGGCGAGACCGGCAACGAGTTGGGAAAGTCTGATCCCGTTTTCAAGCGTAAATATGGTCGAGAGCAAGAGCAGGATACTGGCAAGTGGATCGACTCCATGGTCTGGCACGGCAAGGCACACACATGGGAAAAAATTCCTTGGTTGATCAAAGAGGTTAGTTGTAGTGGTCGCTCTCGTGTTATCGGCTGAGACAATGTTGTGTGAATAGTGGAAGCGCATCTCGGGTGGTCGCCCGCTCGTGATCAAGGGCATCCAGAGTGCAGCGGATGCGCTCAAAGCATACCAAATTGGATGCGAAGGCATCGTCGTGACGAATCACGCCGGCAGACAGGTTGATGGGGCTGTGGGCAGTCTTGAGGTGCTTCCTGAAATCGTGGACGCGGTCGGTGACAGTCAGTGGCAAGCCTTCGCATTTAGTTTGATGATCACTAATCCAAGCGTCCTCAGAGATGACGATCATATTCGACTCGGGGATACGGACTGGGTCAGATGTCTTCAAAGCACTCGCACTTGGAGCACATGCCGTCGAGGTTGGACGTTTATACGTCTGGGGAATGGCGCATGAGGGTGAAGCTGGTTGTCGCCATGTCATGAAGAGCCTCCTTGCCGTAAGTAATGCTACGTTCATTCAGATGTGCCCTGCGTGACGTATCGGTTCATAGGATCTCGATATCACGATGACCGTAGCCGGATATCAATCCATAACGAAAGATGTGCAAGGCAAACGCGATGTCCTTAAGCATAATCCGCATGGAGTCCCTCCCAGCAAGACAGACCACGCGAAGCTGTGATGATCTTGAATACTGCTCTTCTCATCTCGAGAATTGGTTGGTTAGAGCCCTGTTCAATCACCTAAAGGCAAACGCCATGTAGAACGTAGGATGTGTGTACGGTACTATGGTTGTCATAATCAATTAACGTCGCTTTCATTATTGACCACTCGCGGTAATCATCGACCTCCTGCGGCGTTCCCGGATGCAGAGCGGCGCCGGATATCGATGCGCAGGTTACGCCTCTTCGGTGAATTCCCGAAGCTACCGCAATCCGCACACGCGCGACGACCTCTGACGACATCCGCATGGAGAAGATCTCTGGCTATACATGCTTATTCGACCTTGATCGGGGCACCTATCCCTATTTCCCGACGGACCCTACAGCACCTAGAGATCTACACGCTTGACCAAGTTCAAAGAACACACACCATGCCAGACTCAACGCCGAGTTTAGCTGACTGGCTCGCGCGATCGAAAGCGGACTATCTGCGAGCTGTTGACAATGGGCAGGGAGGCGAGTGGACAATTGTCATGGGCAACGAAGCTGGAGGTGAGGTATTCAACCTGCGAGGGATGGACGCGATTTTAACCCGTTCCGATAGACCTCGACTCCATCGCGAGTTCCATCGCATTCGCATGGTTTCTGAATACCGTTCGCGGAACGTCTGCGGTGCCGATGATCCAGACCTCCTGCGCGGACCTGAAGCTACGTCCGGAGAATATCTATGCGCTGTCTCTTGCAGAAATCGATCCCTCCGGACACACACTGCTCTGTATGGACGATATCCCGTCGTCGTCGCCCTTTCCGTCGAGCAATTTCGCGTTGGTGGATCACAATAGACTGCTTTCCCGGTTCAGCGAAAACAATTCATCGGCGCGGGTGGTAGCCGTGGTGGACCATCATGATGACGAAGGACTCTACAAGGACACCGCCGATCCCCGTCTGATTGCGGTTCCGACCGGTAGCTGCGCATCCCTGGTTTCGCAATTGCTCGCCCGGAGCTGCGCGGACGCCATACCCGCTGAACTCGCGACTCTCCTGCTATGTGGCATTCTTATCGATACGCAAGGTCTGAAGAAAGGAGGCAAGGCAGAGCCGACGGACCGGGATGCCGCCGGATTCCTACTTCCTCGTTCCACCCTCGGTCGATCCCTTCAAGTGACCCATACCGAACCGAACGACGTACCAGCCGTCAAAGAACTCACTGACAGCCTGCAGCAGAAGAAATCCGCTGTATCTGATCTTGGTGCGAGGGATCTCTTGCGTAGAGATTACAAGGAATACTCTTGGAAACCCTCATGGACGTCCAATTCCAGCGCTTTGCCAGTTGGCCTGGCTACCGTGCCTCTCGGCCTTGCAGAATGGGCTCACCGAGCTGACTTCTGGCCGGCCATTGAGTCTTGGATGGACGAACGCGACCTAGCGGCACTTGGTATACTTACTTCGTACCATGACACCAAGAACAAGAAACATACCGCGAATGGACACACAAAGGGAAAGGGGAAACACAAGCGCGAAGTCATGTTCGTGCTCAGAGAAGACGGTCATGGCCAGCTTCCTCGTGCAATGTGGGCGGGTTTGGAGGGCAGCGAAGCGCTGCAACTGAAGGAGCGGAAGTGGGAGAAGATCGGAACCGCACCGAATTTAGGTGCGAAGGCGTGTGCGAGGGTCTGGAAGCAGCGGAATACGGATGCCACCAGGAAACAGATCGCGCCTCTGGTGAAAACGATCATTGAGGGGACTGGCGTGTCGCGAATGTGATGTTGGATTACTTGTCGTTAACCGCAGGTTTAACAACAGTACAACGGTTCAATTTAAATCAGCTTTTGTCAGGCTGTGTGTGAAATCTCCGCCCCCGAAATCAACTCAGACGATGTATTTCTTGCAATGTACCGCTACAGCTATTATTACTCAGGCCCGTTATCGTTCTACAAAGCTTCGCCATCTCTGCACCATACCTCTAGCCGGCCATCTGGCCGTCCCTGGGCATTCTCCCGGGCGGCACCCAGAGCCAGTTCAAAGTCAGAATCATCCCGAAGAGACACCAAAGTGCCATCCTCATCTACGAACTGGATCTGAAGCTCGTCGCGTGATTTCCCAAATTTTCGGGTAACACGTTCCACGAATTCTGCGTATTGTATGTCGGCAGCCACTGACATCCCACGGAGATCTCCTTGGTAATGGATCTAGGTGTGATAGTGAGAAAATGCTGCCTCCAAGGGGACATGACCGACTGACGGACCAACCTTCACTCGTATACAAATGAGGTTCGCGTCATCATAAACTGAGGCACCGAATGCACGGTAGCTAGGGGCCCCGCGCGCGATCCGTCGCGTTGTTCTTGAAATCCCGCCAAAGCTGCTCGGTTCATAAGTCGTGGGAGGATATGAATCTGGGGGGGTGGGTGGGGACATGGTTTTCTTTGCTGTCGCGTCAATATCCTTCGCCCAGGCCCCAACGCGTTCAATATCAGTGGGTAAAGGTGGGACAGGAGGTATAGGTTGCCGATTCCCTGACGGCTCTGAACCAAGGTAATCATCGTAGATCGCAGTGACGGGGCTGAATGCTACGCCGGTAACCAGTGGTTTCGGCGGGGTGACCGGAGGGGTAAGTAGTTTCCCCGCAGCGTTTGGCCTTGTCAGGTCTTTTGTCTGAACCTTAGGTCGTTTCGGACCATCGACAGGCACACTTGTTTTTGCCGGCACAGATGGAGTGGTGAGCGTAGCTTGCGCTCTATTGCGAAGTTCAATACCGGTGAACCCGGTGAACAAATCCTGAGTCTCTTGTGCAGCAACCAGTGTCTACAACGGTACCTTTAGCTTACGTTTAAGAGAGGCACAAACAATGGAGACGCACCGCCTTTCCAATATAATTTTTCGGCGCGGTATTCTTCACTTTCTTCTCCGGCGGCCGATAGAGCACACCCATAGGCTGAAACAAATGGATGAGATGGATATTATGATGACAACAGCGGACGCACCATTGAGAATACAGTATAACCATCGCCTTGGTCTCTGACGGCATCGGTAATGACCTTGTGCGCATCAGTCATTTGCTGACGTTCTGCTTCTCTCATTCCGGCGAGTCCTTCCTGAAGAGCATCGTTTAACAGATATCAGATTCCGTCTGTCAGTAGTCCCAAACGTAGCTACGCACTTCAAGCTGACCCAAATAAATCATGGAAAGCCCTTTATTGAATAACACTTCGGCGCTATACAGGTTGAATCTCAAGCCTAGCTGTTCGTAATATCTTGGTAACGAGGTCAGTCCTCTGGCATCGGTGCACGAAACTCGGTGATAGACGTACATAGTCGTGTTTCCTCGCATATAGAGGTATGTTTGTTCGAAGTCCGAAAGAGCTAGCTCGTATCGCTCGAGCAGGAAGTTTGAGACCCCGCACTGAAAATACCTTAGCATATTTACTCGTTAGAATCAGCCAGACGATGCGAGTGAATTGAGTTGTACGCGATGGCCAGATACTGATCGGCTCCTGTAGCTTTCCGAAACTGTTCAACGGCCAATTCGTGTTCGCCGATCGCGGCATGCACTAATCCTAAGTTGGTGTAGATCTTCGAGGAGTCCGCTATCCGCTGCTCCGCAGTTCTGAATCAACGCGGCCTGGTCGTGCATGCATAAGGACTTGAGACTGCACCTCAAACAACTCAAGAGACTGGATGTAATTTCCCTCGTCATATTCCTGGAGCGCCGCTGCCCAGGTTTCGAGTTCAAATTTGAGAGACATGGATGCGGATACCACTATATGTATTTGCACGGCCGACGGTCGTCTCGGAACCAAAAACAGTCGAAGAGAGTGAAATGACCAACACTCTCAGAGCGCTTCCGATGAGGTACATCAGTCAAGATCGAGCGAAACGACATCACGGCGTACCGAGCAAGAAGGGTAGCACCGGGCTGGAGAGAAGTTGCGACAGAGGGCCTAGTAATCCATTCAACCTTCGCGAATGGGCGCATTTGAGCGCGCCCGAACCCGAACAGCGTTGACCTTGGTGACAAGAACCACGCTTTCTAATTTCAGAACGCGATCTCCCACGTTCGTTCCAGGCCCGTGCATTGCTATGCCATTGGGCAAGAGTGTATTTGCATCACGGGCAAAGTGGAGCGGGACTTTGACTATGCACTGCCAGTGCATGGCTCCCCGCGGACCATTATTGCCTACTGCGGAGAACTTTGGCACCTTGCAAATACGCTCTATTGTCAATGTCTATCTAGCTAGTGGTGCTTCTGCGCCCTCCGCGCCGTCCGTTCGATGCCTTCAGCAGGGCTATTTCAAAATTCCGCGTCGATTGCGGGTTCGAACACATCTATGCAACCGTCGGGGCAACGTGTGGGATCGCAGTCACATCGTCGTTCAGATCGCTAGATGCACCGCGATACGCTGTGAGCAATGCCAGCTTGAGCCGCCCTCATTGGCTGGTGTAAGCTGGATATATGTGGGCCTCGATGCTGCAACTTCGAGTAGACGGATACCGATATAGCGATTGAAATCGTGGTGACCGGAAAATTAAATACCCGGTCGAGCATGACAGCGGTTTGCTGGTAGCTCCGGGCAGACGGGAGGCATGATAATGGTGTACATTTGCGTGTGAGGGAGTGCGCATGATCACACTTGGAATCTCGGTTCCGGAAACATATCGCCTGAATGTCCGTGGTCTCGGGTGCTTCAGCACGTTATGGCTCGGACATGCTTCTCATGAGGACGATGTATCTATAGAATGCGGGACAACGAGCCTGCACATCACGAGTATGCCAAGTGGGTCGAAAGGGCGTCGAGAAACTACAAGCTGATGGGCACGCAGCCGATGGAGATGATACCACCCTGTTGAGGTTTGGATGAGAAATGAGATAGGATATTGTGATGATGCACTCACGAAATTGTTGTTCTCGCAGCAAACGGGGTTCGCGCTGCAGCTGCTACCCCCGAGCCCGATGACACTGATGGGAGAGCAACCGAGGCCGACCAGAACGCTGAGGTCCTCCAAGACTATGCCCAGCAGTGCAAGGAGGATGCCCTCGTTCTTAGCCTACAACGATGTGAGTGGTCGTCCAGGGCAGGATATACCGTGCTTGACTCACAGATGTAACAGTGTTGCAGCACTGAACAGGACCAGTAGTGCACGTTCCAGGGGTGCCCGACGTGGTCGACCTCTTGGCCGCTACAGGACTTAGTTAGGTGGCGAAGCAGACAAACTCACACTGGCAACGTACCCTCCACGGCCGACGGAGCGTAAACACTGCGGGGACCCAGAGGAGGGAGACCTCGCCTCATACGCTCGGCATTGGTGCCAATAGCACTGGCCGTGACGGTAGCTACAATCCCGAACAACAACGACAGGGCGAAGAAGACCTTCATCGTACTTCGTTGAACGACTGTTAAGGACTCGGGGCCGGGGAGAGCTGCGTCTGCGCGGTGATACGAGGCCTTTTCGACGTCTTTGTAGTCGAGCGCAGGGCTACCGACTCACGGCTGCCTTACGTTTTCATCGCCTTCCCTGGACGTTCCACCTGGGCATGTCCAGAAGCGAAGTTATTGCGCGGCATCTGTTCCCCAAAATGGGTATAGTTGGCTGCACGATTAATTTAAAGGTGATGGGCGATACGCCGGGCTCGGAGAAAAAATCGACCGAGAAGACGGCCATCTTGCAGCTGTCTGCCGCCTGCGTTGGTCCATCGCATTGGGGCAAATCTTTGGAGGGTCCAGGTAGCCTTATCAAGTGCGAAAGACATTGCACTGCAAGGTCGGGTCATACACCGTTCGTGCGTCAATACAATGCAAGTGAGGATTGGGTGCCAGAGAAAGCGGCGAGGGAGGTTCCCAACAGTTGGGAGCGACAGAGGATATTGGCTTCTTTTCCGGCCACGTACGACCGCTTCTTGTCCGCTTCGCACAACGTGTATCCCGTGCCGGAAACCCAGCTGCCCGGCTCGTATCGAGTCCTCCGCTCAGGTACGAGTACCCAGGAGACCAAGCCCGGAGCTGCCAAGGTGCGTCGATTAATCGGACGTTAAGAGTCAACAACCGGGGTCTGCTGGGGAACCGCACAGAATATCCCAGCGAGGGCATAGGAACGAAATGCTGTCCATTTTTCCGTTGAGACCGACACGGAACGATGCTGCAACGTAACATTAAAAGCCTTCATTCGAGAGTATCCGGCGACGGCACAGACACAAACATCAGCAGTGAATGTGGTCATCGCATCCGTGGGAACGTTCAGCCACAGCTATACAGACGACCAAACAGCACCAAGCAGAGCTGACTGGCCATCCTCGCAAACGTCGTCGAGCTCCTCCACCGCACGTCAATATGGGAAAAGGTGCGCCTACTTGTTTTCGTAAACTGCAGCCGTATTGGAGCTCATGACACCTCTGCGCCTCACTTTTCAAATCATGCTCGATCTTCTCATGAATGCTGCACGTATGCGGAATCTTGGCCTATACAACAGTTCACGGATCGCTCGCCCGCGCCGGCAAAGTCAAGTCTCAAACCCCCAAGGTTGAGCCCCAAGAGAAGAAGAAGACTCCCAAGGGCCGCGCAAAGAAGCGCATCCTTTACAACAGGCGGTGAGTATCCATTTCACTTTAAGCCGGCGACCAAGATGTATTGACTCATATGCCTCAGGTTCGTCAACGTCACGACCCTCCCTGGTGGAAAGCGGAAAATGTACGTGGAGTTGCTGTACTCTATCTCATTCCCGTTTTTGCGTGTTGTCCAGCCCCTCCGGATGATCCAAGCAAATCACGCATAGTTCACACTGAAACGATCGTGTTGACAACCATGCATCTAATGTCTTTCGCTCCTATCTGATCTTTCCTTCTTATATCTGACCCATTTGTGTTGAGCATTACTGACTCGCTGATTCTTATAGGAACGCCAACCCTGCCAAATAAACGCAATTCTTATCCCGGGACCCTCATTTCGACAGAGGTCGGAAAGGAGATCGCCTTCCCACACAGGATCAACGCATTCATCGTCGCCGCCGCTTTGACGCACTCGCACCGTTATGCCACTGTAGTCATACTTTCCACTTATGTCTGCGTACGCGCTACTATGCCCACTATTATGCATCTATTCAGGGCACACCGCGCATGGGGGTCTTGGCCGATTCGTGCAGTAATATAGACATCGGAGCACCTCGAACTGGGAAAAAAACATCCATCCATTTCTACGCTGTCGATTGAGAGTATTCGCTAAGCTACCTCTACCCATTGCTTGAGCAGAACCTTTTGCTCGTCTGTCAACTGACTTGTTGGTGTACCCTTGCCACCTGTTGAGCGTAGCTCTTCCAAAGCCAGGCCTTCAAGCATGCGCAACTTCTCTGGAGTTGGCGCTGATGTCTTCGATGTTGACGCATTTGCAAGCCTAGCGTCGCTCAGTAAGCGAGAAGAAGTCTGGAATAGAGACCAGTCAATATGCCACTAATAGGCGAAGTACAGAACGCGCACCGATTTGACTCCCATCCAAGCTCTGACAGCAACACCGCCTGGCGGATCCGTGGACGTCTTCGGATCATCATCATCAGTCGCCATGTCAATGACCAGGAGATGCATCTTCAGGGCCAAAGGGACATCTCCCGCCTTGTCTGCGGTCTCGGCTGCCTTCAGAATATAAAATTGGTTCTGTGGTGCGAGCAGGATGGCATGGGAAAGGGCTTGAAGCGCTGACGTATAGCTAGGGATCGTCAATGAGCGTACAGGGCGGCGAGGTGATATATTGAATACGAACAGTCCGACGCTGTCGTATACGTCAGCGAGCTCAAGCCAGCCCTCTAAATCGGTGTAAACGGTATCGAGGAATTGGTGCAATTCTTCCACGGTCTTGTCGACGTTGCCTTGTGAGCGATACACGGTAATGAGTCGCTTCCATATAGCCTATGGTTCAAGCGACGTTCAGTCATGATCTCAGCGCTTATCCGGTTGAATGCTACATACCACGTTCGATGAATCGGCCTCCAGAAGGCTCTCATAGTATTCACGAGCGGCCTCGGGGCCCGCAGTTGCCTCAATTTTGATGCCTTTAAGGCAGTCGACCCGTGGCGAGTCAGAAAATTGATTGTTGAGTAGACCAATGCAGGTCTGATCCGAGAGTCAGCAACGCCGCGAAAACAAATGACGCGGCGACCGAAAGGACGTACATACATCGGCAATGTCTGTCCGGCCAACGTCCAGGGCGGCTAGTGCCAGCTGCTCTAGGAAGGCCCATCCTGTTTCGATGTGGTGAGTACACTGACCAGGACTTAGCGACTTGGAAGGCCTCGTGCAACGAGTGGGCAGAATCCAGAAGGAGGATAGACTCCGCTCACGTTCGTCGCCCATCTTGTTCACGGCATTCTTCTCAAGCACGACCATGCCAGCATTGAACACGTCTTGCGAATCCCTTGTCCTTCGCGTTCGATGGTTTGCCAAGCGCTCCAACGCAACGGCCAGTGGAGGATTGGAACTGTCGACAGAAGACATATTCCCAGATTCGCTGGTCCTTGCAGACCCCGGGAGCGTTTTCGTGCAGGTGTGAAATACTGTGTATGTGCTTGCGGAGGTCGGCCTAGGAAGCGATGTTGTAACGCACGCGAGCCTGTTTCTCAAAAGCTGTGCTGAGCGGCTGAGCCATACTTGTTCTGCGTTTCGACGCTGACACTGCAGTATTTCTGTTTGTATCACTACTACTATCCGGCTTCAGACTCAGTATGAACCACTCCTTCCCTGACTACGTACCCATGCTGCGCTCGCGCGCGGCAGTGCGAAACATCCTTCAGCTAGGTCAGATGATGACATCGATGCTGTCCTTCCCATAGAGCGGCCCGCCGACTGGTTCCGCCTGCATCGGCTGCGTCACGGACGTCCTTCGTGCCGATTCATTTACTACTGCGCTGCATCCCTGAGTTGCCGTCTCACTACGCTGGATCTCGCCTACAGTCAGAAGGAAGCTGCTGCGCGCGGTTTTTAGTATGTTCTGGTCGGAAGATCTACTTTCGCTTCATCAGCTGGTCGGGCTCGAGCTTCGCGCATCTCCACCAACGTGTGCTTTATAAAGACCCTACGTTCATTACGGGGGGTGCGACTTCTGAGTCATCCCCCGTCTGTATCATGGTCCAGTTGTCTCTCAGAAACGTTGTGGTTGGACTGTGCGTATGCGTGGCCCCCGCGAGAGGTTACGTCGTGCAAAAAGGAGCAAGACAGTCAGCGAACGATTTGTCCGCGCCACTCGTCGATTTAGGCTATGCGCAATATCAAGGTAGTTTGGACCCCACCACTAATGTGACAAGCTTCTTGGGCGTGCGCTATGCGGCGCCTCCAACAGGTATGGGGTTATGTCTTAGCCATGTTCAGCTTTGCTAAGCTTGATTGTCGGTTTCCAGGTGACCTGAGATGGCGTGCTCCGCAGACGCCGAATGCAACCACTGGCATCCAACAGGCGACTACGCAGCCGAACGAATGCTTCCAAGCAGCCACAGGCAATTCAACTACGGATCCCTTCCGGTCTCTAACACCGGCAAAACGCGCCGTTGTGGCAGATGAAGACTGCTTGTTTCTGAAGTACTCACTCATACTGCATTGTTCTCATGGTTCTACAGGCAACTGAGTCGATTACCGACAGTGTGTTCTCGCCCGGGCCCTTGAATGCTTCTCAGAATTTACCAGTTTTGGTCTGGATTCATGGCGGAGGGTGAGGAGTTCTCGACTTTGCTCTGGGTAGTCCTCGTCTCATGGTCTCGTACGGCGTACAGTTACATTGCGGGAGCTGCCAGCAGTTTCTCAGGTGAAGATCTCATACGGGAATCTGGTTTCGGAATTGTTGCGGTGATCATTCAATATCGCCTGGGTGTATTTGGCAAGTGTCGCTCGCATTGAGGGAACGCTTTGCAGTCGATGCTTACCTATATCGTCCAGGTTTCTTGCCCGGCTCAGAAGTAAAGTCGAATGGTGTCTTGAACGCAGGACTGCGTGAGGATTTCGAGGGTTTGATACCATTGGATCTGACTCAGTCTGACCAGTTGACCAAAACTTCGCCTTGCAATGGGTTCAAGACCACGTGAGTCGCGTATTACTGATGTGACGAGCCAAACGGTGTTGACGCTATTCCATGCACAGATAGCTTCCTTCGGAGGAGATCCAACCAAAGTGACGATATGGGGTGAATCTGCCGGTACGTCTCACTCGGAACAATTGGACGACGATAGAAGAACCCCGCACAGGTGCTGGGTCTGTCCTCCAGCATATCGTCGCCAATGGCGGCGAGACGGACCCCCCGCTGTTCCGAGGTGTTATGACCAGTTCCACATTCTTGCCCTTCCAGTACGCATTCAACGATAGTATTCCAGAGGAAAGTGAGATCAGATTGAGTGCATGGTCTTGGTCGCTGAGTTGACCTTAGGCACTTTTCGCGGCGGTCGCCACACAGACGAAGTAAGCCTAAAGTATCAACAACGCTACCCTGATCGCGAGCCACTGATCCCTCCGAAGCTGCTTCGACGCGCCAGACACATTGGCATGCCTCCGTCAAACTGATGTTACGACGCTTCAGAACCTTAACAATGCTATCGATCTTGCGGGCTTTTTCGGCGTGTTCACCTGGGTTCCAGTCGTAGATGGCTCTCTGATTGTCGAGAGACCAATTGAGACGCTATTGAAAGGAAAGGTCAACGGGGTATGTCTGACTTACAATGTTCATATTATGGGGTGACCGATATGTTCCTTATAGGAAGCCCTTCTGGCTGTAACGAACACGCTGGAGGGCGGTCCATTCGTTCGAGCATCCGACACCACGAATCTTACTCAATACGTCACAAATCTGTTCCCGCTCTTTGGTCCCAATGATATACAATCGGTTGTGAAATTATACACCTCATCCGGCTTTGCCAACTCGGACGACGAGGCTATTGCTATCATGGGAGAGGGTAAGTGGCAATATGGATATGGCTTGTCCGGCATACTGAATGACGTATTTACTACTAGATATTTTCATATGCCCGACCTATTTCCTCCTGAACACATTCAATGGCACATCATTCAAGGTAAGGATCCGCATGGAATTCGGCGATTCGTGGACTAATATCTGATCAGGGCGAATTCGCTATTCCTCCCGCGTCTCACGGAGATGACCTTCCGTACTATTTCCCTACGTATGTCCCTTGACACTTTGGGCACGCTGCAGATGCTTACCTCCTGTGCCTGAAGGTCGAACGGGCCTCCGCCCTTCAATAACTCCGACTTCCTTACGGCGTTCTCGCAATCTTTCATGTCGCTTACTCGCTTCCTCGACACTAACGTAAAGTTTACGCCCGATATCAAACCTGATTGGCCAGTCTTCGCCAATGGGACCACGGAAATGTTATTCAACAAGACGGAGGCCGGCGAACCTCTGGTTCAGACCATCACGACATCCCCCGCGCTCCTGGGCCGATGCAGGTGAGCGTGTATGCTGGTCCTCCGCGTTTGGTCCGACTGATCGCGACTGCCCTCTCAGCTTTTGGCAGAACGTTAGCGCGGTGACGCATCAATAGTTTGATGTCGTAGGAACAATGTCTGCGCAATGACCGCAAAGCGCTACTACGCGTAGCTGTGGGTACCTTTTCGTGCCTTTATGCTAGCATCTCAACTGTGGCTACGAGGCTCATGAATCGCGCGATTGAGCCTTGACCACAACAACGAATTTTTGACGTGAACTGTCCGGGTTAAGGTGAAGGAATGCCGCGATTGTCCCGATATGATTTGGTTGGCTCCCCCGCTGGCGCTTCACAGATGTCGGCAATCCGTACTACCATTGGATAGTCAGCGGTGACGATGAACTGTACAGTCAGATACTGTTATCTTTCGTTCCCTATCCTGCGACGGGCCTATTGCGGGCAAGCCACCGTATGTGTTACTGAACGGTGTATGAAAAGATTGTCCGTGGCTTGATCTGTGGATACTGCACTAACCTGGTCGTACCTTGATTGCAAGACTGCGAACCTTTCGGCGTGCCTTGTTTTGACCTGGAAGGCAGGTATCCTGTTGAGTTCAGTAATAGCATCCCCGGCAGCACGATTGAGTGGTGCTCATACACGGCGCACTGGGCACGCGCTCAATCTCCGTCGCCACGTTCCCAGAGGGCACAAGGGAAAGGAACGAAGTTCCAGCAGAGGCGGGGCAAACAATACGGGGAACCGTTCGGTGCTTGGCCGTGTGTTCAGGCCAACAGGAGTCAGCGACGGCGGATGAGGACCCTCAGTGAGGAACGGCGGGACGCGAGAAACGCCTCGAAGACGGGTTCTTCAAGTTCCTCCAGAAATCTTTGGGAACGAGCTACTCATGTTCGTCTTCTTTAGGGAGAAATTTCTACGGAGGCTCCCTGTCTATCCCTGTACCCGGTACAAAATTGCGAAGTAGCCAACGATCCGAATCTTGTAACACGAGTTCTGATGATCTGTTTAGTCTGATGAAGGAAGGTGGTTATACGAGTACTTTAAAGGATCCCGTCTGCTCGACACCCCGCCGCTTTTCACCGTACGGGCTTTGGTTCGACGTGTAGAATAGAGCTTTCAATTTCGATATATATTGAGATTTTGATATCCTGTGGCCGAAACGCGCGCCAAATCGAGCGATTTGGATACGAAACCTCGATATATATCGGTTTTGAAAGCTGTCTAATCTGCAGAGCAGTACATGTCCATGGGGTCCTGAGGGAAACGCGACGTTATCTCGCCCCAAGTTACCCGCGCGTTATATCCGCTCACTCACACTTCCGAGAAAGTCTGCCGTCTTGCTGCTATCGGCGCTGAACGACGCTATCAGAGGTCGTTCGATCGCGGCTGTCCGATGTCCCGCTCTGCACACGCTCGTTCGCACCCGAGGAGCGGATCCGAAACGTCAACAAGTAGGGGGCAGCGCATGCATATTCTTTTGCCCTGTGACCGTTTCCGTCTGTCGCGCTGCTATATAGGGGGAGGACGGCGCCCAAAGCAGCTCCAGGTGTCGCACGTTCATATAGAGATCAGGAGAACGTAGCGCTCGGCGAGAAGCCCCTCTCAATATGGGGCACTGTTGGTTCTTGATAACTGCAAACGAACAGCGAACGGCCAGAAGATTCAATCGTCATAGTGGCCTTCAACGATTCAAATCTGAAACGCCGCAAGGCACAGCGTCCGTTGTCTCGCATAACATTCATGACGACAACGGGCGCGGAATGCAAGAAGTGGTCGAACCCCGCCACTCGGTATGTACGCTGTGCGCTGGTGTTGGGCGTGCAACGAGGATACCTCGCGAGAAGACGCGTTAGCTCCAGGAAGTATGCGAGAACATGGCAAAGTCCGTAGCATGTCCGTCGCTCATTCACAGGTGGGACGACGGAAGCCAGGAATCGATATGTACAACTCACGTTGTGAATGGAAACCCCAGAGCGGACGTGGGGTCTTGCGGACCAGATGACCGCGCCATGGCGAGACCGTGTGCTGCCTGGCCCCTTCGATATTAACCTGGAGAGGCGCCTGGGTCCTGGAAGAGAGATCCTCGTGTTTCACACCGGTATGAAACCTCTCGTGGGAGACAGAATCACCAGATGAGGACTGGTCATTGAACCGAACAGACGAGCCGGCTAAGATATCCGCGGGATTCTAAGGCCCCAGGCCCGATTGTCCTCGCAGGTCTCAGGCCTCGATGAGCGCAGAATGAAACGCCTGCGCACGGTCATGCGCAACGCTCATGATTGAGCGCGATGGCCGCCAGAAGAAGAGGGCAGCATCTTTCTGCGATGTGAACCATGGTCTTCGATTTCCGAGAGACAACCGTTCGACCGAGCGCCACGAAGCCGTCGGCGATGGCGCGGTCGAAAGAGTCAAAAGAGCGCGGATGCCGCAAATTGACCGGACGGGGCTTTCGCTGTCAAACGTGGGCGCTATGGACCACGGGTGAGACGGGACGCTGCTTCTGGGTACCCGCTCTACAAATTCCTGTCGAGTCCTGACAAGTTCCCGCGCATACGTCGAACACAAAATGTCTTGGGAACGAGGTCGAGACTACAGAATTCAATAAATCACGTCGACCCCCTCGGCGCGGATCGTGGGGGGAGTCAGAGCGCGCATCGCCCCTCGAGCCCGCTCTGATTTTCGGAGGTGCTTGAGAGAGAAAGGACGGAAAAGGAAGATGGTCAGGAAGGATCCACGGTCGACAAGGTGTGGCGCGCTGTCCAGCTGTTTGCATGGAATCGCTACGCTTCTTCCGGCAATCATACGTCGTTCGGCAATTTTCTATCATGACCATCGCTCGTAAAGGCGCATCATTTCCGGCGTTCTATAGTGCCTGTATCAATGGACGTTTCCCTCGCAGAACGAGTGGTTGAATGGCAATGTATGATGAACCGTAATATGGTCGATGAGTTAGGCAGTTTGGCGACGCTCAGTTGATGCGGTGCATTGTGACACGTGCGTTGATCGCGAGGGTCAGCGTGCATATGCATAGCGTATGCTATACGAAACCAACAGAGGAATTGGAACGGTTTCCATACGCTATGAGCTGCGGAAGTCGCTTCCGCGGATGCCTCGGTGGGCGCCCGAGGTGTATGTAGCAACAGCCACGCAAGCGAGCCTGAGCTGACGTTGTCATTCGATCGACTCCGGAAGATGACGGACGCGTACGGAATCAATGCAAGATATCATTAGTATGAGGATATTCGGTCCGGTCATCCGCAGCGTATTTACGGGGGCAGATCAGCTGGGAGATAGTGAACTGCCGGTGGCAAGGTGCATGCGATAGGGCATTGTTCGCTCGGTTTGGATAACATGGTCGAGGGACAGGGATCACTGATAGCCTCCCGCCTGCCCTTTGCGGTGAGATGGAAGATACATACGATCGCCTGCGGCGCGCACGTTCAAGGCGTAGTGGCCTGAGCGCGATCGGAGACGGAGAGGCTGAGCGCTGAATTCGGCCTTGGTCTGTCGCCGTCGCGCACATCGGTCCGCATATGGAACGATAATGTCGGACTTCGGGAAGCCCGGAAGGATGCCACGTCAGGCAACGCCTATGTGCTTTCCGAGTCCCGACCGCGCTTATCAGACGACGCGTCGGTGGCGTCAGCGCATGCGGTAAGCAGGCGAGCTTGTGCGGCGGTGACCATACTGGAGTGCGGCTTGACAGGACCGGAAGTCAAAACCCGGCCGATGACTTTGACTGGGATCACGTTGGCTTGAAGGAGTGACTGGCGACGCAGTCGATGGTCGCATGCGCCTGGGGTAGAGTAGGGGCGCAGGAATTCACAGCAGACGATGGATTGGAAGCGGGATCGTGGCTCCCATCGGGCGAAGGCTATCGCGCCTGTCGGGCTTCGTGCACCCAGCTTAGCAGCCTCTGGGGCGAAGAAGAGCGGATTCGAGCAGGGAAGGGGTGGGAGACGCGGGTCGGGTGGGAGCGCGCCGGGCAGATCACGCGGTCTTCCCAAAAGCTTATAACTGCCGGGCGATCGCGATCGGGTCCGTGATGGTGCTTTGGCGACGAAATAATCGCGCATGGGGGGCACATGCGTCCAGAGCAACTCGTGCCGCGATCAGCCTGCTGTTGCCATACGACTGCGAGAGGCGGCGCCGAGTCGCGACACACTCGCGCTGGCACAGTCGCGGACGGGCTAATTGGGGCGACGACTGGAAGTCCGAAAGATGGTGCATCAGGGAAGAAGGGCGGAAGTTTCAGACCCTGCACATGACGAGCAGTGCCTGGGCCGCGCCTGCGCAGGCCACCCGATAAGCCGCGTCCCCCCGCCCCCGCGTGCTTTCTGGCGGGAGAGGTGGGCGAGGACGACGAGGAGGGCGTGCGCGGGGACGTTGGAGGGCGTTTGATCGACGGTCTGGCTATGGATAGAGCGCGGCGGGGATGAGTGGGTCGTCCTGGCGCATGCCGCGGGCAGCGGGCGGGCGAATGGGGTGGATGCCGGGCGCGACGAGCGTGGGCGAGTGATGGCAGGCCCTGGGTTCTTCATTTCTCCTGGTTCTTCCCCATTTCTCCCCTCAAAGAACGCGTCGTCTGAGTTGCCGGACACCGTTCCTCTCCTCCTCCTCGCCGCCGCCGCCGACCTCCAGCTGTGGGTCCCCATCGCTCCCCACGGCGTCCCCCACCACTTCTTCGTCGTCGCCCAGCCCGACCCCGACCCCATGGCCGACGACTCCAGAGACGCCACCCACAGCCCTGGCCCCTCGCCGCTGCATGCCTCCGGCTCATCGTCGTACCCGTCCAGCGACCCGACCCGGCCTTCTACCGGCTCGGGCGAGAACCAGAAGGAGCGGAGCAGCAGCCATGTCTCGTGCGTCGTCCGCCGTCCTCCCTACCTGTTGACCACCGTCGATCCATAACACTCGCCTCTGCACAGCGGCCAAATCCGATCGCGCCTCACCGTCGTCTGCGCCGAGGTCCGTAGTACCACGACCACCACTCTCTACTGCGGTAACTGACGGAGATCTAGTGCAAACGGCTCAAATTGAAGTGCGACCGTCGCACGCCGTGCTCGCAGTGCCAGAAGCGCGAATGCATCCCGCGCTGCATCTACACGCAGGGCGCGATGGAGAAGGTCGACGTCCAGTCCCTCCACAACCGCGTCCTCACCATCGAGGCCAAGCTCGACATGCTCACTCCGGCCCAGCTCCAGCAGCTCGCGCCGGCTTCTCTTCCCGCCACGACCCTGGCCACCGTCGGCGGCGGCTACCCGCCCTTCCCCTCTGCCAGCTCTCACTTTTCTACCCCAGCCCCTCCCTCCTCGACCTTTGCCACCCCACCCACCGCCGTGCACCCGCCCCATCCTCACCCCGCGTCTGCCCACGCGTGCCTCTGCCCGCAGCATCCGCCGTTCGTCAACGACCGCACGATACTCGCCACCGGTCCCTCCGGATCTTCTCTTTCCATCTCGGTAGACGACATCGCTGGGATCTGGCTCCGCGACCTTGGCATCGACCCGTCTAGCGCGGAGGCGTTCGAACCCTCTCCCTCTTCTTCCTCCCACAGCCCCTTCGCGAACGCGACCACACTCCCGCCCATGGACTATTACCGCGCGCCCTCCTTTTCCTCGCCCGGGGCCGACGACGAGGGTGCACCTCGCGTCACCTCGCGGCTCGTCCGCCTCCTCCCTCGTTCGCGAGCGACGCGAGAGAGGATGCTCGACGCCGTCGAGCAGACCATGAAGACCCAACCCTCCTTCCACTGGGCCCACTTTCGCCGGCGCGTGGACGCCCTGTTCGCTGCCTTCCCAGAATCATCTCCGTCCCCCTCTGGCTCTTCATCCTCCTCACCTTCGGAGGAACCAAGAACGACGACCCTGGGTTTTTTCGCGTCGGTCGCGGCCGCGTTCGCGCTCGGCTCCCTGCTCGTCGAGCGCGGGGACGCGGCACCTGCCGGAGCTGGTTCCAACTCCACTTCGGCTCCGGCGACCGCCGCTAGCTCTGGATGGACGTTCACGTCTTCTCCGCCTTCGACGGGCTCTTCCTCCGGCTACAGCTCGTTTGGGCATTTCTCGAACGATACCGAGTTGCCCTCGTACGGACTCGCGCTTGACGCGGACGACGTCGACAGGAAGGACGTGCTCATGCGCTCCGCCGCCGAACCTGAGGAATCCTGCCCGTCTGCGTCAGACTCGGCGGGATCGCTCTACGCGCTCTCCGTGCACACGCTTTCGATAGCAGAGCTCGCGCCCGGGCACGCATACGACCTCGATACCGTGTCAGGAATGATCCTTCAGATCCTGTATCTCCTCCACCGACCCGGCGGGCCCGGTCAGGGCCTCCCGAATGCGCTCTTACCGCTCGTGGGCAAATTGGTGAGCGTCGCGAGGACGATGGGGCTCGCGAGCGATCCAGACGAATGGAAAGGCCGGTATGGCGTGTTCGAGGCGGAGATGCGACGCAGGGCGTGGTGGGACGTGTATTATTATGACGTGTCGGTTTCATCTCGCTTTCTCTGATGGACGAGGGAGTTTATATCCCCTTTCTAGGTTCGTTTCGGATGCGCTGGGGCATCCGCCGCTTATTGCGGACGACACACACACCACCAAGATGCCTGCGGATGTGGACGAGGCTGCGTTCGGTCCGCACTGCACCTCGCTTCCGATCCCGCCACCGCTCCGTGCCGAGGATGGCGACGCATCCTCCGCGTTCTTCGGGCTCAAGTGCAAGGAAGCCCAGCTGGTCAAGGCGATCAAGAAGCGCGTATATCGGGACGTGCTGGGCGACAAGGGCGAGATGACGCTCGAAGAGGCCGCCACGATCGAGGGCGAGGTTTTGCAGTGGACGAAGGATCTCCCGCCTGCGTTCCGGCTGTCGCTCTCGGCTGCGACAGATGCCACCAACCCCATCCTTCTCGCTCAGCAATGCGAACTGGCGATCGTCGCCTCCTCATTGATCCTCAAGCTGTACCTTCCCTTCCTCAAGACGCGCTCGTCGGCACGCGCTCGCCCGAGGCCAGGCCAGGCGGTGCACGCCACGTTGAACGCGGCGCACGAGATCATCGGGGCGAGCAAGGCGTTGTACGGCGTCTGGCGGCAGACGCGGCCTGCGGCGTTTGGGTTCTACGACTTTGGAAAGAGCGTGTTCGGGGCGGCAGTCGTCTGTGAGTATCTGTCGATGGTTGTGGACTGTGTTCAGCGGGGTCTGACGGTGCAAACGCAGGTGCGCACGCGCTCATACACGAGCCGAACGGGATGCTGGCGCCCGCTGCTACGGAGGACGTGCGAGTAGCGCTCGAGATCCTCAGGGATCCGCTCGTGTCACCCCCCTCTAAGGCAGGCGATGGCACCCACGCAAACGAGGCCGTGCGCGTCATCGAGCTCATGCTGAAGAAGGCGGATGACGCGAAGACGGGCATGGCCGTCGGGCTCACTTTCCATCCAGGTGCGAAGCGGAAAAGGAGTGAGGCAGAGGACGTGCTCGGCGCGGGCTTCCAACTGCCATACGTCGGGCCCGGGGCGATGGTCCGCGCCGCTGAGCCAACGCCGGTAACGACGTCCGTCACGACCGTACCACCGTCCGCGACCGTCAGCCCGTCCACATCGACAAACAGCGCGCATTCCTCCTCCACCGGCACCAGCGTCAGCGCCACCACCGTTACTATCCGCGAAGCGCCGCCAGTCCCGCAACCGACGCCCCAAGCGGCGGATCAAGCTCGGCCCCTGCTCGTGCCTGCCGCTAGCGCCGTGTCGCGCCCAAGGACGGGCAGCGACGGGAAGACGCGTCCGCCGATTGGCATACGCGCGCGGGGGAAGGAGGGCACTGTCTACAGTCGCGCCCGCGACCAGCAAGCGCAACGACAGCAGTTGCAGTCGGACCACCCCGGGGCACCGCCGCCTATCATCGTTCCGAGCCAGCGACAACTCAGTTCGGCGTCGTTGCAGTCGACGCCCGCGCCCGAGTCCGCCACGGAGCGGACGAGGTCGCAGCACGGTGCCTTCCCGCCGCCTCCGCCGCACAACTCATACGGCGGCTCGCTGGCGTCGTCCACCGCGTCGGCGCAGGCGACCCCGACGCTGAGCACGCTCGAGCTGCCGTTCGGCGAGGCGCACGTGCAGCGGCAGGCCGCTGGCGCGTACGCCCAGGAGAACGCATCGTCGCGGGCCTCGTCCGTGTTCGACCTGCAGAGCACGTCCCGGTCGATGCAGGCCGCACCCGCGTACGCTATGAGCGTCGATGCGCTTGGTCAAAGAAGCGCATCCGAGTCCAGCTCTCCCTACGACAATGGCCCGTCGGCGCCGCAACCGAGCCCACCGACCGCGTATCCGCTGCGGCAGAGCCCACCGACGTACGGCGATCGTCAGCCACAGCAGCCACAGCAACCACAGCCGGCGCCGCCTTCCGCCCCTCTTCAACAGGGATACCCGTACATGTCGAGCTACGCCCCGCAGGAGCGACAGCCGGACGCGAGCCAGTACAAGGACGGCTACCCTATGATGGGCCTCGGCATGCCGCCCGATCCTGCCGGGCCCGAGATGCAACTCACACCGAGGGGCCTCGCGGGTTCGACCTACCCTGCACAACATCAGCCACAGGAGACGGGCATGTATCCATCGCCGCCCGAGTCTGCGCAGTTTGCGCGGCCCGGGGCGTACGACGACCCGCACGCGCCGCCACCACCAGCCACGACGTGGGGCGGAGGACACGACGGTTGGCAGCAGCAGCACGCGCCGAACGAATACAAATTCACGCATGCGCATCACAACAACGGGTGGTGATTTTTTGTGATTCTCCCCTGGAAACTCACTGGAACAAAAAGAAAATGGAGTATAACTCATCCTGCATTTACCGGACGGGCGGTTTGTTCTCCTTATTATCTTACGGACCTCCTTATTATTTATTCATCCATTAGATCTGTGGTATCATATATCTCCTCATCTCCATATCTCCCCTTCCCCCTCTCCCACCATTGTGTGTGCTTCTGGTTTTCTCTCCCCCTCCTCCTCCGCGCCCGATATATGCTTCATAACTTCCTGCATGTGTTTCGATGTTTGCATACGCACGCCGCGCATATATTTGCTCTGTATTACTAATATCATCAATCAAAGGTCGTGCACTGACTGAACTCCGGTGCACTGAGGGATCCGAGGTATACTTGCTCTCCACGCAGTGCAAACTCGTTCTATCCATCTCACTCCATACACTATATTGAAGATTTCCTCCCTTTAATTTACGATCAAGCTGTTCGTGACACACGGATTATGCATCGGCAATTTGGCTAACTATAAATACAATAGCGGTCTATGGTACATTAATGCGTTGTTTGATTCTGATTAGGACAACATCGATTATTCAGGTAAGCTCATCGGGCTTCAGCTTGGAGGTGTCGGCGTCATTGGTAATGGGGATCGACTGGTTCGGAGGGGACGTGGAGACAGCTGCGGACGTCCGCGCGATGGACCCAAGGTCTATGCCTGAGTATAGGTAGTTACGACCATGAGCGACACGTCCGATTGCTGCGTTTGTGAGAGTACATACCATCGGCCTTGAGGGCATTCTTGCGGAACTTGACGGCGTTGTCCCTTTCCTCCTGAGAGAGTGAGGACACGGACGCACGCTCAGCGCGTCGTTCAACGCCTGCAAGGTGGATAAGTATCGCGATGACATCATCGGGCATGACGCGCGCTACTCACCGCTCTTCGGGTGGATCACGTCGGGGTCGAACTCGAGCTGCTCATCCTCGAACGCCTGAGCCTCGAGCTCGTACTCCTTCGCTGGGTTGCCCCAGTTGTGGCCGCCAGTCCCGTTCTTGGGGATGTGCTTGTCGATACCGTTCTTGGGCTCATGGCGATCCTTAGCAACCGCGCGGGGGAATGCAGACCTCTCGGTGCGAGTCATGTTGGTGTGAGGGGAATCGTTGGGCAGAGACGGAGAGTGGTCGTTACGGTGGATGGAAGTGCTGTTCAGTACAAGGTTTGGAATCCGCGAGAGCTGCCGTTTTTATATGCGGGACTCAGACTGGTCGCATGCCACCGGTCAGGTGAATCGCTCCAAATGGTCTCGTCATGCCGAGAATGAGCGACGGGGTTCGATTTGTTTTACCGTCCCATTTATTACGCCGTATGTGCGTGCTACCGTCGTGGCGCGACAGTCGCGAAGCCGAGTCCGGTCGCGCGACGTTGGCGAGGTCGTTCCAGAGAATTCGCCCGAGCTCGATTGCCTACCCCAGCGCTCCTCGGGGTCCGTTCGTTGCATTCCAGCTTCGACCCCGGCCACGTCCGGAGTTTGCCAGCATCGCTTTGCCGTGGGTTTACGTCACTATAGCTACTGCAGTCAATGCACTCGATCCGACAATAATAACTTGATCGTTGCAAACATGCCCTCGGATTTGTGAACTGGCAAAGAATCGCATCTAACCTGAAGCTTATCACCATGGAGGACGCCGCACGCGAAGTCTTGCGCGACTCGGAGGTGCTGAAAGTGACGCTGCAAGCCTACGCGACGCCCACTTCCGATGACGGGTCTCCCCCGACGCCTGCTGGCGACTTGAAAGACAAGGATAGGCGCGTTCTTGCCGTGATATCACACCAATACTTTGGCGAGGATGAGCAAGGCGCATTTCTCGTTCTCAAGCCTCCGACCGGATCTACGCTTGCACCCCGTGTCGTGTCAGTGGAGCACGTATTCCCCATTGTTGGCCGGTTCTCCATCACTATGGCCCAAGGGAGTCAGCAATTGGTTGGATTTGGGACCTCGGCGACTCTCAATCAGCCCAAAACTGGTCAGTGTGCACAGCGCGGGGCGAGGGATCTCGTTCATGCATTCGTGAGCGGTCATCTGATACCACGCGTTCGTAGATCTCTTCGTCACAATAACGCCGGACGGTTCATCGCCGCCTCTGACCCTGTTAACGCATGACCTAACGCAACTTCGCGCTCTCCTGGCCGAATATAAACGTCTGAAAGAAATTGCCGGTGGGTAAACGATCCGTTCTGTCAATCGGCTTCGTCCATATCCGTGACCACCCTTTACCTCAACACAACTTGCGATGTGTCTCTTATTCCCAGTGTGAATAGCACCCGCTGAATCTCCAAGTTAGATTCCGCTCCTACGTCAACCGCCGTAACGACATACTCGTGGCTCGCGCCATACACAGCGAGGCAGCACTCACGTACGTCATTACGTATATGATAGACAATGCGTTCCAAAGCTAATCATCGCTTCTTCGAACCCTCTTTAACACCTGCTTGCTTACATCCCGATCTCCTCGTCCAATCGATCCAGCGACACCACCTTTCTCGTCCAAATCACCTCCGCCGGATCTTAGGGTGGTAACGCAACCTCTACACACGCGTTTATCCAAAGTAAGCTGACACTCGGCATGCTTCTCATGACCCGAGCACCCTCTCCGTGACATTTTACGGAAGAGAAGCATCCGAGTCATGCTCTTCGTTTCCCTGGCGTCTGGATCGTGTGACTGACTACGCCCACAGGCTAGTGCAGGTGACCCCGGCGACGACGCCGGAGACATCGCCATCATCCGAGAAGATTGGTTGCGCACACGGGCGCGGGAGGCATGCGCTCAAGAACAGGATGCCGAGTCGCGTCGAACGACGTACAGACTACGCCTGGGAACGTTCAACGTGAACGGCAAGCTGCCCTCGCAGGACCTCGCTGGCTGGGTCGGCGGGCGAAGGGGCGTCGGGTCGGGTTTCCTGCCGCCTGTGCCGACCGTGTCCCCGCTTGATGTGGGGCTGGATAAGGTTCTCGGTGCTGAGACTCGTATGTTACTGGACAAAAGACACTCAAATTCGCTATACTCTAAGTACTCAATTCTCGACAGAAAGCGGTTCGGGCACAGAGGACGACAAGAAGTCGTCACTTTCGTCCGAAACGGAAACAGCGGTTGCCGCTCCTCCGAATGAAGATTTCGCAAAGGAAGAAACCGATGCCGTCGCTGTCGCGAGTCCGGTCAAGGAGGAAGAAAGTGATCCGGATTTCCTCGTCCTCGGCTTTCAGGAACTTGATCTGTCGACCGGAGCGCTGGTATATGCGACGGACACGACGAGGGAAGACTCGTGGGTCGCTGCTGTTCTCGCTGGCCTTGGCGAGAAAGCAGAGCTGTACGAAAAGGTCAAACTGAAGGTTCATATGCAAGAGATGAGTCGCTGATGCTTGTTGCAGCTAGCTTCAAAGCAGCTCGTCGGGATGCTAATCATCGTTATGGTTAAGAAACGTCTCCGTCCGTCGGTGATTGACGTCAAGACCTGTTCCGTAGGAGCCGGTATCATGGGTCTAATGGTCAGGGATTCGAGCTACGGGGATACCTAAGATATCACTTATTGACTTCATGGCAAGGGCAACAAGGGCGCCACTGCCGTACGGATCACGCTGGCTCCGCTTTTGAGCGACAGCACCTCTGTTCCGACTGTGCTGACCTTCGTGAACGCACATCTCGCTGCATTCGACGAGATGGTCGACCGCCGGAATGCTGATTTTCACGACCTGTCTCGTCGACTTGTCTTCAACGGTGCTTGGAACCCGAGCTCCTCGCAATATACAGAAGCATATAGCGTATTTGAGAGCGATTGCCTGTTCTGGATGGTGAGCAAGCACTGCATATATCGGCTACTGCTCGCCTCAACTAAGTGCTCATCCCATAGGGAGGCATGTATTGTTAAAATATGCTCAAAGTCATGGCTAACACTTGAAAAGCATAGATTTGAACTATCGGATCGATTTACCGGACCAGGACCTGCGAAACATCCTAGGTTCTGCTGCGAGAGATATTTACTTGGACTCGGTACAAAGATTTGATCAGGTTCGCAGGCTCGCAGAAGGTGTCTGCCTGCATGAATACTGAATTCCCGTGCGTAGCTGAAAATAGCCATAACGAAGAGCAAGGCATTCGTTGGCTTTTCGGAGCATCAGATTGCTCATTTACCGTGAGTGTATTCTAGATTTCATCTCTTGAGGAGAATTGCTCATTCCTTGCTACTTTCACAGCACATATCGGTTCGCACCAGGAGTTATGACAGACAAGATGGGCTATGACATGAAGTAAGCATGCGAGCCGTCCCTTCTTCGCAGACACGTAGCTGAGGTTCTTTCAAGGCGAAAACCAGCGTGGTGTGACAGGATTTTGACCATAGTCGAGCCAACCGTTAGCTTCGAGCAACTGTCGTACGCGAGTCATCCCGAGATAAGTCAAAGCGACCATAAACCGGTATCTGCGGAGTTCATCATCAAAGTCAGCCTCCGCTGCCCCAAAATTGCGCGGTACTGATAGACGGAGCTTTGCTCAGTGCGATAATCACCGAACAGATGGTTACGACCGTGTACTGGGCCGTCTATACAAAACGGTTTACGACTTCGAAGAGTTTGAGGAGCCGCCCAAGTTGAAGGTATCGGAGACTAGTGTTGACCTCGGCAAAGTGAGGTCGGTCTCATTCATTTCGTCCGATATGCAACATGTTTGTGAATGACGCTTGGGACGCGAGTAGATACAATAGACCTGCGACAAGATCAATACAAGTTCGGAATGTAGGAAAGGTACGCCTTGTGAAATTGCCACTGTCGCTACCTGAGACTATTCGGTATAGCAACCTTGCGCCTTCCGGTTCGTCGCAGCAGACCCCCATGAATCACTGCGTCAGTAACCGAGCACGTACGAAGAATGTCTTTTCATGTTTTGTTTCGAAACAGATCCGAAATGGTTGAAAATCGAACCTCTTGCAGTGACGTCGTACATTTTCAATTTTTGGCGATCAACTAATCAGATGCTCTACTAGGCTCTCCTACTTCCCGAAGAAACCTGCGAGGTTTCCATAACCTGTCGTGTTGACAGGACAACGGCAGAATCATTGACTACGGCGCCTGAACTGGCGTGCACCCTAATTTTACATACAGAGCTTGGCAAAGATCACTTCGTTCTCCTCACCGGGGAGTATGGTTCGTGGTCTCTCCGCTAAGCGAACTTCCTTTGACTCGTCGCATCCAGAGCGAACGTGTTTTGGCAACTCGTTGAAGACGCTCACCCGTCTTCCCGGTCCAATCCGTTCGCTGGAGTCGAAGGATCTGCTTCCAGAGGAAAAGGCGAACAACGCACCGCGCGAACCCATGAGATTGGCCAATTGGCTCATGGACCATGCATCGTGGATAGTGGATCATAAGGAGCATGTGGTAAGTTGCTCTTACCGCTGATATGGTACAGCGGCTGGACCCATCACATCTCGCAGCAAAAGCTGTTCCTATCGGACACGGCGGAAGACATACTCGTGTCTATTCGAGATGTAGGCATCCCTCGCCACGCCGCCTTGTATCTTCTGATCACCCTTTCAGTGCCTCGATACTGGTGACGAATTCCCTCTTATGCCTGATATCGAAACCCCCGATACCACCCATATACTCGCTTTTGGAGAGGCTTTAAAACAGATGCTGGACTCCCTCTCGGAGCCAGTAATACCGTGGCAGTTTCACGAGCGCTGCGCCCAAATCCTCGATAGAGATATGGCAATCGATGTACGTCTTTCACCTCACTGATGCCTTCTCTAGCTGACGAACCGACAGTGCTTGAGTGAACTTCCTGCCGCGTCTGTTAACGTGAGTAATAAAGGTTGGCCCGGCGCACATATTCTCACGTATTCTAGGTCTGGATATCTGTCACATCCCTGTTGCACTTCATAAGCCAGCAGGGCGATGATCCCGCTGCCAGAGCGAACGAACTTGGTGAGGGGTGTGGCTTGCTCTGAAATTGTACTAAAATCTGATTCCCTGCCGACCACAGCGGCTATCTTTAGCAACATCTTGCTTCGAGACGATTCCTCGTACCAATATACTCCAATCTCCCCATGGAAGAAACGCGATTTTCTAATGTTGTTCATTAGACCTTAGCGACAATCACATTCTGATGTTTTCAATGCGGCTTTTTGCGTCTCTATCCGTTTGCTTCACCTTCGCGAAGCGCCACGTATCTCCGAAACACAGGACAGAAGCGATAAGAATTAGACGATGATATTCTACTTCAACTAAAAACCGTTCGCAAAGCATGTCTATGCCACGAAAAGACAGTAAACGCCCGGACCCTACAGGTGTCTAGAGGCTGATGTTGATGGGCACGCAGCCGATGGATACCAATCCGTTCTGAAAGTGATCGTCAGTGTGCAAATATTGTTGTTCGAAGCGATTCGCGTACGAAGGAGTTGTTCTCACAGCACACAGGACTAGCGCTGCAGCTGTTACCGCCAAGGCCGACGGCCGAAAGCGGTGAACAGCCCAGACCGATATCCTCGACAGCGCTCAAGACTATACCAAGGAGACCAAGGATACCAGCGGCTCCAGGATCGTCGGACTTGGTGACGGAGTTGCAGCATTGGATTGAGCCCGTGTTACATTGCGAAGGTGACCCTGACGGTGATGCCCTCTTGGCCGCTGCAGTTGGTTGCATGTCAGCGAAGCTTCCGCTTACAGTGAGAAGTGTCACTCACCGGAGACGCGGGAGGCAGAGTATGGCTGGCGAGGCGCAAGAGGCGGGAGCCCGCGCTTCATCCGGTCGGCGTTGGCGCCGATCGCGGAAGCGGCGACAGTGGCCACGATAGCAAAGAGTAAAGAGAGGGCGAATCCAAGCTTCATTGTATAGATAATAATGGGCGGCCGCAAGGGTGATCGGGTCTTTGGGATACTCGACTGGGGGCGCCGGGGCGCGAAGGCGCTGCTCTTTTAAAGAGTTCTCTCCGAGTGACACGAAGGGGACGGCAGTCATCCGAATATAACGACGTCCCAGTCAGCATCAATTAGCCGACGGGGCGAATGATTCGCTCCTCCCAGGGGGGCGGTGGATGGGCGGTTTTGAGCGCCCCAAAGAGGTAACCGTGGTTCGTTCTGGGACGCACCGAAAGGTTCTCCGTGATGCGCCGTGCTCGGCTGTGAAATGTGGACTTGCGAGGCGCGACGGTCATTAATATTGGGCGTCCTGAGAAAAGGGCATGCGGAAGAAGCACCGGCCAAAGTCCACCGCGCTCGATCCATCCCACGACGGCGTTGCAAGCTAGATTTCCATCACAGATTGACTATACATACCTACTTGTCACAAGTTACGAAAGAGTACGCAGAATCGGTAAACTGCTCTCCTCGAATTCGCAAATGAGTTTACCGAGGACGACGTCGGCGCTGAAACGCGGAACACAGACTCATCAAGGAAGCCTCGGTGATGAGCGCTTCATAGAATTCGAAGCGAAGGAATCGAAATAACCGCAGTCGCTCGCAGCCGGGGCCAGATGCTGGTGGGGCACTGTGACAGGGGACCTGGCACGTACACATGCTGGGATGGACGCAAGTGCTTGGCGTAACCCCGAGACCTTCGATCTGAAGGAATGTCACCGCGGATGTACGCTGGTAGATATATATCGCAATGACGCCCCAGAGATTCTACTTGCCAGTTATCCGCGTGTAGATCATGCACAGATTCCCCTGCCCTCCATTCCTCCAGGATGGTCGCACGCAGAGCAAAGAAGCTAAATCCCTTTTGAGTTGAGAAAGAGTGTTCTCAGGGTGCACGGGATATAAACGTTGATCGATGAAAGGCCAGCAGTCAACGCATGCTCCAAGCAATGCATGCAATCGTGCATTCGGAATACATGAACATGAATGTGGATGTTCAGGAGAGTAGACCTGAATTGCGGCCGTGCAGATCACCGGATAAACGTGGAGGATAGTGGTCTTGAACCCACGCGGCGGAAGCGGGGCAGAGTTTGCCTTGGTGGTGGGCCAGATGCAACCGTCGGGCCTAAGAACGCGAGCATAACACCGCTATTGGCGTATGGTAGATAATCCGATGTATGGTCGCCTCGTGTCCACATAATGCCAAAGTACTCCTTGGTAGTCGGCATTATGCCGGGTACCAGTCAACAGCGTTGTGAGCATCTGACATGGTGCTATCTTGGTTACGCCGTGTCGTGAGACCAATTCGACCACAGCGTATCAAGCCATGCATGGAGGCTCGCTGCCGCCAATGGACGACGAGAGTTGAAACGGTATGTCATACACAGCAGTGAGCTACCGTTAACAGCCAGAGCTTTCTTAGCGGCGACCACCCTGTAATAATAATGACCCGAAGTAAGGTAGGTAGGTAGGTATATTTCCGGCGCGGTCCCAATAGCGGAACAACCGGTTGCCGCACCGCACGTCAATACGCACGGCTTGGCGCACACAGTGAATCCACGGCCCCCGTGAGCTGTTTTACAGCCGACACGCCGCTTCAGCACTGGTGCATGTAAACTAGGTACATGTATGTGCTACTATGTGCAATACATTACCCAGCGGCGTCCCACTTCAGCCGTCGCCGCGTGTCAGTACAGGGGCTTCCGATAGTGCAATAAAAACCCACCCACCCCTCAGCAAAAAACCCTTGTAGGGAAAAACAAAATGGGGGTGGGGGGAAAAGCATCACACGAAACGTCCCCGCACGACGTGCAGCGAAACGGCACACCCGGGCATGACAGCACACAACATCCGGGAACAGTCTTGGATTGGCATGGAGAGGCAATACCCCCGCGCTCGAGGACAGCCGATAACCGTGTCGCGCCCACTCCGACTCCGGGCGTATGTGTGACGGTGTACGGTATTCAAAGACACAGGACGCGTGGTTCGTAGTCGACGAGAAGGCATTAGGCTGACAGTAGCTAAATACATGAGACGCAAGACGAGTTCCACGTTACTCCTCTGCTTCAGCAATCGGATCGAGTTCATCTTCGCTGTCCAGTTCGCTGTCCAGCCCGTCACCGTCGTCAATCTCGCGAATGGTGGCACCCGTGGGCAACTCTGTGGGGACCGGGTATGCAGGGGCATGCGGCTGTGGGCCGATGTGGAGCGGAGAATGAATCGACATTACAGGAGGGCGATACGGTGCGACAGCATCGAAGATACGCAGTGCGTTGCGGAAGAACTGAGCAAGGTACGGAACACATGCTTGATCTGCCGCTGTCCACATGATGAACTCCCGAGGTTGCGAGAACTTCTGACGTAGCACGGGGCGGATACCAAACACGGTCACCAGGAAAGCGGACCGACATCCTGCCAGTTCAGGGGAAGCGTCGCACAGAAGGAGATGGACAGGGTCTTCGATTTCGTCTGTGCAGAGTCTGCACAGTCTCCAGTGTCGAGGGACCTTGGGGCGGTTACGCTCTGACCAACGCATTCGTTCTACCGAGAGGAGGTGGTCGGAAGTCATGATTTTGGTGATGCTAATGCGGTGCTCGTGCACCGGAACATCCAGATAAGCTCGTCTGCATCTAACGGGGAAAGTCACCGTGCCCTTCTTCCCAATGTACATGCGACCTCGGAGGAGCTCTAGCTTAGGTGAGGTATCGATACGGTCGGTGAGCCACGCATCGAGTTGATTCTCGACGATTTTGATTAGTGAGAGGACGTATTCGGGATCACGGAGCTGTTCCAGGGAGTGCGCGCCGTGACTTGGGCCCGGCAAACGGCTGAGGACATACCGGAGGTCGAGTACCCAACAAGGTGAACCATCATGTGCGAGGGCAAATGACTGCTGCAGGGCCAAGTACGCATAGTGGTCCGCAGGAAGAGAGCACAGGTGAACGAGATAGCGTAGAGCCAGTATGAGGCGGCGGTGGCGGAGCGGCATGAGACCTGTCTCTGTGAAAAGAACAACAGTGTGAGAGCGCGCCGTGAGACCGAGCGCCCGACGAAGGTAGCGGAACTGTACGCCTTCAAGCATGCGTAGGAGAACAGGATCGATATCGAGCGCGATCTCGCAGGCGTGGGTGAGGTGAGGATCAATCCGTGCCATGTACAGCTTGAACGCGTCGGTCGGACGGAGATCACCAATCTTGGCCCGCACAGCGAATGTGATGTTGGCGATGGTGTTGGCATCGGAACGTTTGCGAACGTAGTGCTGCTGCAGTATGTTCCGGCTAGTGGTCGCGAAGGTAGTGCCGACATGTGTGTCGACGTCGGTCCATGCGAGTTCCTGGTCACCGAGGAAGATTCGGGGAATATGCAGCGGCAGCGGGCCAAACGCCATCATATGCGACTTGATATGGTTGACAATCATGAGGTTACGTGCACACCAGGCGACAACAGTGTTGATCTTCGCTTGAACACCACTGAGAGAAGTGGAGGTGACCTTAAGGTCGTCGGCCTGTTCGAAGTGAGATACACGCTCCCCTGCGAGGACCACGTCGTCATTGTGCTCAGGGATTGCGAGATCAGCCATGTAGAGTATCCATAACATTGGAGAGGCAGAGTCACCCGCGAGAATACCGACATGAGAGCGAAAGAGTTCCGAATACTGCTTTCCCAGCCGTACGGAGTAACGCATGCTGCTGTAAAGCATCCGTAGCCAGTCAATGAGAGGACCTGAGGCGCCCATGCGATACAGCTTGGACCATAGGGTGTCATGATCTGTACGGGGGAACGCATTCGTGAGGTCCATCACGGCAACGTACAACGTTTGGCCCTTGGCTCGGCATGCTTCCACCATGCTACGGAAGATGAAGGCGTTGTTGTTAGTACGGTAGCCGGGCCGGAAACCATTCTGCGACCGCGGGATGATGTTTAACTCTGCCGCCCAGGTACGGATTCTACGTTCTATGAGGAGCGTTAGTCCCTTGAGTAGGCAGCATTCAAGGCCAATGATACGATAGCTGTCCGCATCGGCCCGCGGTTTTCCTCGTTTAAGTACTCCCACTAGGAGCGTCACCATCCACTGCTTGGGGGCGTTGTTGTGGGAAATGCACTCGTTGTACAGGTAGAGGAGCTGAGCATTTGGGATAGCCATGAGATCTCCATACGAAGCGTCGTCAACCCCAGCAGCTCCGCGTGCACCCTTGTCGTGTAGACGCTTTTTCAACCATTCGACATCTCCTGTCTCAAACAGTCTTGAGAAGTGTTGACCCAGCGTGCGGTCCTGCGTGCGCTCGGGCATGCACGCCACAAGGAGACGGTTGAGCTCGTGATGGAGATGGTCAAAGGATGGGTCGGGGATGGGGTCAGGGTTCATGCGGGCTTCAAAGACGTCGCGCAGCTGAGAAATGTGCACCGGTGGAGGGACATGTACGGGATCAGCAACAAGTTCAAACATGACCTTCCAGTAGCGGCCGGAGGACTCTTTGGCGGCTTGGATGAGACGCCTGAGGTTGTCAGCCTTCTCGCGCCGCGCTTTCAGACGGCCGCGGTGTGCAGGTCGAACGGGGGGACGCAGGGCAGACTCATCGATACTGGCATCGTGGAGAGGGACTTGCGACGGTATGCCAGGCTTCGGCTTGGGCACCGGAAGGAGCTCGGTATAGACCTTCGGCAGGTCGATGGTCCTGGAGTCATCAAGACCGAGTAGAGCCGGCGTGGGCCAATTGGGCATCGCAATGCGCTGATAATCCCCAACAGGCGGCAGCGATGTACCTGCTTTTGCCAAGGCATCCGCGGCATCGTTAGCATCATGACGGCTGTGACCTTTAACCCAGACAAAATGGGTACGCGCAAGACGTGCTCGGAGAAGTGCCACAACATCTTGGAGCATAAGGTCATTGTCCCATCCCCGCTCAGCAGCCTTGGGCGCGCCGTAGCAGCAGAGTCGAATAGCGTATTCAGAGTCGGTCACAATCCGGAGGTTGCGTAGGGGATCGGAATCGAGTAAGCACAGTAGGACGGCGTAGAGTTCGGCTCTGTTGTTCGTCTGTTTACCGGGCACGCGTGCAGACACATTCTTGGCAGCTCCCCTCGCCCAGAACACCCCTGCGCCAGCACTCGCGTACGGTGTTTTGACGCAGGATCCATCGATGTGTACCGTAATCGGCATGGTGTTGAAGTGCAGAGGGCCATACAGAGCGTGTACAGCCGCCTCAGGAGAAGGGACCGAGGACTTAGTCTCTTCGAGCACCTGATCGAGAGGGGAAGGACGCGCATCGACTTGAGGTGGAAGTGTGAGCGAGACGCCAGTGCCGCGGGACGGCGTGGGGTATAGTGTTGGGATTGATGTTGCATTCGCGATGGTAACAACGAGACGAGAATGGTCAGAATACTCCCCAGCGTGCTGCACTGCGAGGCTATGGATCAGACGCGTGCCAGATCGGGACATGAGAGCAAGGTCGACAGTCGAGTCCCCGCGTCCCTGGAAGCAAGTGAACTGCGCTTCGTCATGGATGTCAATACTGGATCCATTCAGTATCGCCATGTCGGCTTCGGACGCCTGCTGGAGGAGGCGAATCCCTCGCGAGTTCACCTTTTCGTCCCTGGACGTGCGCGGTAGCCCGGGGTGCGGTAGGTCATGGAGTATGGAGGTCTGTCGCGCCGCGACTCTCGCATTGAGGTCACCCATCAGAAGGACAGGCTTATCGCCCGTAAGAGCGAAATAGGACACTGTCTCCCACACATGCTGTTCAGGGGGTAGTGATGCGCGGGCAATAGAGGGGGACCCGTCAGGTGCCAGATACGCTCCAATGACAATGACATGCTCGAGCTCGAGAACAGCAATATCTGGTACCGAGAAGTCAGAACGGATCTTGCAGGCGACACCATCTCGAATGAGCACAAGAACGCCTCCCCTGGGGTTTTCGAAGGAATCACGGGCAGGCCGGGAGAAAGCATGGGCGTGAAAGTTGGACGGGACACGGAGCGCTTGCTCTTGCCGGGGGCGAAGCCACGTTTCTTGGAGTATGATTATGTCGCCGGACGTGAGGGGTAGAAACTCGGGCCATGACCATTTTATAGGAAGCCAGCCGTTGACATTCCAAGCCACGATGCGTAGATTGTATGGTGATCTAATTATACAGGTACAGTTTGGGAACAGACACAGACGACCGGGAACGGTGTACTCACGCCGATCCGTCAGTACGTCGTTGTAACGGGGATAGGTGTGCGGGTGACATAGGCAACGACGGGGCGATGGCTCCACTACATGCACACAATGAGAAAGGTAGCAGTGGACGTGGCACAGGGCGCTCACGGTACAGGTGCAGGGATCACATGGTTACGCGAACGTAATGGCTCGTCGTCAAGAACGTCTACCGTGGCACGACGGAAGCCTTCCGGAGGAGCACGTTCGAAAGATCCCTTGAAAGCACGGGCAGCGGCGAGGGTCTTCATCTGGACCAAGAGTTTATTGTTACGCCGAGTAGGATTACTAGCCGCCTTCTCGAACGTTCCTCTTCCGTCGCGTACGCTGGAGAAGATGAGGTCAAACAGCCAGTGTGCGCCGCCTTCGACCTCAGGGGGAAGGTTGAAGACAAGAGTGGCCGAGGGGCTGGATATAGAAGGAACACTACTCGGGGGTGGGGCGACGCGCGGGGGAGACATTTCAGACCCGCGACCAGGATTCAGTAAGGATAACGGCAGTGGGCCTCGTTCGCGGGGCATGGGCAAGGGGATGTGAGGCGCATAGGCTGTTGACCCATGAACATTCAGAGGACGGGCAGGAGAGAGCTCTCGCCGGCGTTTCTGGCGGTCACTATCGAGGGCCAGCGGAGGGGCTTGGGGATGTGAAGACGCAAGGTGTTGAGCGGGTAGATGGTGAACGGGTTGTTCGCTTGACGCGCGGGCGCGGACAGAAGCTACGGCAGCAGAGGCTTTCACAGATGCGCACTCGATCTGCACGAACTCACGGAGTCCCTTTTCGAGATCCCGGAGCTGCCGGGTGACGTCAAGGGCAGGCACGGATTGGTCGATGGAACGTTGCAGCGCTGGAATCACCTCGAGGCTCTTTTCAACTGTAGCTATGCGGGCGTCCAGTGATGAAAGCAGATCTGCCACTTCTTCGACGCGCTGGACAGCAAGCAGAGTTTGAGAGCCACTCGTAGCCAGTGTCGAAGATAAACGCTCAACGTAATCGCGATGTTCCTGGAATGCGTCGCGAACCTGTTCGGAGAAGCTAGCAAGGTCCGGGGAAGAATCGGTTGGCAAGGAGCGGGAGGAGGAAGGTATCGTAGTCTTGACGTCGTCGAGAATCTTTGCGTAGTTCACGATCTCACCGCGCAGCGCGGCGACCTCCCCCTGAGCATCAGATAGCCGAGTCGCGATCGAGAGGTCGTTGTGCAGGAGTATGGAAACAGATGCTTTAGCTGACACATCGCCTGGATGTAGGAGCCCTGCCTCATTCATAGCACTCTGAGAAGGTGCAGCTTCGGCGATCGAGGACTTGGGCTCTGTAGCCTTCGCCTTCCCTTTACGTTTCGTAGCACTTGTCGACTCCGAAACGACAGACGAGGATGCACCGCCATGAAGAGTCGAGGGGGAAGGCAGCGTGTCGTCCTGGGACGCGGAGGGTGTATCTTCCAGTGCAGCATCAATGCTTGGCTCGGGAGCAGTATGGACGGAGGCCGCGGGGAGGACAGAGGCAGAGGTAGAAGGCACCGGGAGCGCAAAGGTGTGAGCTGATGCGTGGACAGCCAGATCCTCCCTAACACCCGGCATGCTAGTAGTCTTCGCGGAGGCTGCCCGAGTGACACGTAGATTGGGGGAGGAAAGAGAGCTAAATAATTGCTTGCGACTAGCGGATTGTGGAGGGGACGAGGAGGGGGGTAGTACTTCAGGCAGTTCGGGAGTAGGAGCGGACATTACGGGTGCGCGGTGAGAGAGCCTTCGGGCGACCTCTTAAGCCAAACGATGCTATCTTTGGGAACGCGAACATGGACAGGCGTCGCCGTCGAATGTCGAACATGGCAGGCGTAACGGATAGGGGCACTCAAGGAGCCCACGTCGGTGGGGCAATTCGCATCACATATCGGAAGTGGAGTACATAAACCAGCGTGCGTCGACACGCTACAATAGGCATGATGTAGGACGAGCAACGCAAGCAAGAGCAAGGGGGAGCAAACCTCGCAAGAAACTCGCGATAGCAACATCGAAGGGGCGTCATGCGGACCAGGTCCGAGGCATCCATCCGCAGAACAGGTGTCAGAACATCACAAACGTATCATGACGTCGCCCAACGGTCTCGTTGGGAACAGTGTTGTCGGTGAGATATGCCATGACGCTCTCGTCAGGCGGGAAAGGTGGTCCGAGTGATCTGCCATGACGCTCTCGTCAGGCGGGAAAGGTGGAGTCGCCCAACGGTCTCGTTGGGGTAGGGCATCCTGACGAGTGACGCTCTCGTCAGGCGGGAAAGGTAGTCCGAGTGATCTGCCATGACGCTCTCGTCAGGCGGGAAATGCGGAGTCGCCCAACGGTCTCGTTGGGAGGGGATGGGACATGGGATGGTTGGGAAGCGTGATGCACCGGGTCTATGCAGGCTCGCTTGGAGAGGAGAGGTTGATGCGTCGTCATGTCAAACGGAGTGGAAGCAAACAGGAGGCCCTGATGAAGTAAGAACCAGTACTGAAGAAGCTGAACAGAGAGCGCTGAGTGATTAGTCAGCACCAGTCACTTCCCTCCGGCGACTATCTTGCATGGTCGGTACCCTACCTACCCCTGAATATAAATTCGTCGTATTCTGACGGCTCTCGTTCTATCGTGACTATGAATATACGAATACCTCCGATATCTTACTTCACGCCTATGGCAACGTCATGATCATAGGCGTCTCTGCATTTCTGTTCGGAATGCAACAACTTGCTGTACCCGAAGGCGGACCCGCAACGGCGCGTGATGGTCTCGGCGTGCCGCGTTTGCGCATATGAGGAGATTGGAGATAATCAGTGTGTATATAGGAACGACTTGCTTACCGTCACCAAGTGAGTGGCCGCTTTCAATGACACGCTTGCATAGTTTGACGAGTGGACAACAGAGAAAAGATTGGTGTCACGACTGATTTAGGCACGGACCCGACCTTGGTCAGCTCCACGCATGTACGTGCTGAGGAAAGAAACTGAGAAATCGTACATAGGCTCACGCTCAGATTGAATGCCCGGATTGCCACCACGAGGAGTGCGTCACTGTTGTCTCGAACACTAGACAGCGAGTCGAAACTGACGGTGGTCGTTGTCCTTGTAGCGCGGTGTACTTCCAGGACCAGTCGAAGCGCAAGGAGACTCGCATGATTCTCTTCTATGTCTGTACAAATTGCGGAAAGAACTTTATGGACCCTTCGGTACCCGTCGGTAGCAGAGCGGAAGACCTGACATTGAACGAATAAAGCGGTGGCATTCGTTCGACGAGGCTTCCCTACGTAAGCGTTCCTCGTATCCTTTCTCCACAAATTGATGTTCAACGTTTGGGCTAGACTACAACAGTGACGATGTTGCCGAATGCGACGACCTCTATCGAGCTCCTCGTTTCGCATCATTCTCATGGGACACGCGGCCTGGACGCGAACATGGAATACTTGCGACGCGTCACCCCGCCGCAATGATGGTTTGCGAGCACGACGCGAACCGGACGAGAACAGGATATTATATACGAAGCTCATGCAGATGAGTATATATACTACAGGCATACAATACGATGGTCAAGGGTGAAGTGGCATAGTAAGGGTGAGTTGAATGTAAATGTGAACGTGGGTGAGGATATAAGCATAGGCAATTGCTGCGATGAAAGCGTGAGGATAGCAGGGATGATCAGATAGCGAAGACCCAGAACCGAGAGAAGCGGGCATAGACGAGTCGGAGTACGATCTTTGTGGAGAACGAAGGTCGGTGGGTCTAGACCGGCATCCGCCCCGTGAAGCTTGGCCACCCAGACACTTCGTTCTCTTAGCAACATCATTGGCTGCATCCAGCAAATGTCAATTATGAGCGCACAAGGGCCAGGCTCGACTCACCATCTCGTATAAGTCCGCCATATAAAGCCCGTCACAGGCTGCGTGCGTTCGCTAACGCCCGCTCGACGTCCTCTTCCTCAAAAATCCCCTGCGCCACCCCAGTCTTCAAGACCGCCTCTGCCCATGCCTGGTCGTTGAGCGAGATCCCGCCCGGATGACGAACCGCGGTCTTCGTAGATATCTCTTCGAGCATCCTCCTTTCATCGAAGCTCAACACTCCGACCTGAATCTCCCGCACGTCGTCCTCGTACGCCTGCCGGTGCACCGGCGTTGCGAGCATCGAATGCGTCTTCGGGCCCCAGTTGGTGTAGTGGTCCATCCCGATCTCCTTCACGCAGTGCATCTGCCGTATCGCGCGCTGGCCGACGAACGAGGGCTGGAACCAGTCCTTGGCCTCGACGTAGAATACGATGTCCCAATGGCGTCGCGAGGCGTCCCGCATACGCATGACGTTGTGCACGCGCAGGAAGATGGGCCGGACTTCGTCGGGATCGACGGTGAGATGGTCGATCCCCGGCGGGTTATGCACGCTGCTGTCGCGGCCCATGGCGAGCTCGAAGTCCATCGCGGCTGGCGGGTGCATCTTGGCGCGTCCTGGCTGGCTGGCTACGGTAGGGCTAGCGGAGGAGCCTTGAAAGAAAAATAACCGTTGTCGGCCAACCGGACGGATGCCTTTGTTGATATGTCGCGACGGCCCATGGCCGCATAAAATATCCGGGGTCCGCCGGCACGCCTACATAATTTTGTCGATCCGTGTATTCTGCTTCCGTCCTCGCGCCTCTCGCCCCCTCTTCTGCTCGCCGTTTTGCATCGTGCCCCACGTTCCATCGCCTCCGCCGACGTTCAGAAGTTCCGCTTCACCGCCCATGACGGCATCCGGCCTACTACGCGTCTGCCTGCTGTTGCTTGCCGTCACCACCCCGTGTCCGAGGAGGTTGGACCGGCCAATCTCTCCCCGCCTCTCCAACATCACCGAATATCGCCTGTTTGCGCACATCGATCACAGAGATATTCGGTCGTATCAAGGAGTGCACATGCGTCGTCTTACGAGTCCTTCGGCTTCCTCGTGGGCCGCTTCTTTGGCTTTTGCTCGGATCTCGGACGGATGTTGCTGGCGCGCAGGCCATTGTTCAATGCGTCCACCTTGATTCGCCATTCTGCAGCGTTTGGCCATCGATAAAGTCACGCAGCTTCGGATCGACCCTGAAGTTTGAAGCTTATCGCACGCCGTACAGCGCGAGTGTGCTTTGTACTGTAGTTCTGAAGGGGTACCTGAATCTGGTCGGGACCGCAGCTGCATTGGTAAATCGCTCGTCACATGGAGTATGTGCTTCGTCTCCGGTCTCCCCTTTGTGGGGAATGGAATGGCAACGCGGAACACTCCGCAGATGTAATGTGATATATACCACACGGTTGTCTCGTAACGCAAGCGATTCCCGGCGGCTCAGCGACCTTCAAGCTTCCTGGTGCCTTTTGCCATTCAAGCCATCGAGAAGATGGTGAATGTCTCACCTGTCGCAACGCGTGTTGAGTGGCACTAAATGGCACAGGTAGGCGGAGTCAGGTGTTCACTCACACAGCGGGAAATCCCTGGAATCTGGGGAAAACATATAACAAAACTATTGTATAATAACTATGGTCGTTAATGACATATTTGCAGCTAAGCTAGTTTGAAGTTATGACAGATTTATCTCAAGGATGCAGATATATGTCAAAAATATGACTACTTTCCCGGTCTCTTTGCAGTACTGGAAAAAAGGCGGGTGCCCCGCGCCTTCACCTTCGCTTGCATTGCCATTGCACGAGTAGATCGCATTCTTAAAAAAAGAGTTTGACACGCATCGCCACGAACTTAGCACCGCCACGGTTGCTGATGCTTACTAATTACCGGCATCCGAGATACCTGAGCAAGCTCAGGTAAAGTTTGACATTTTGGGTCAACTTAGCTCATGGCTTTTCTGAATTATATTGCCAATTATTTCTGATATATTTTGCCCAGATTCAGCCTGTTTCCTGCAGTGTCAGGCATAAATACTGCATGCCGCCTCATCGAGAAAGATCAGACGTTCCATCCCAAATGAAGGAAATCCACAATCTACGATATACTGAAATGGTGACGCCAAACCATAGCGCGAACGAACGATAAGACAGGAAGTGGACCCACAAACCCCCAGGGCAAGCGGCGAAAGCGAGAGAACGCGGTGCTGGAAAGGTTTTCTTTACGCTTTATAAGTTGATGGTGACTACATCGAGAGACATGTCAGATGCAATGTTGACGTAAGCACTGGAGACAAGAGGTAGCCTCACTGGGGACGCAACCAATGGAGATGAGGCCGTCGTAGCTGTTGTTCTCGCAGCACACCGGACTCGCCGAACTATGAGACCGAGGGTCAGGGCACAACAGCTCGTGCAAGAGTAGGTTTAATAGAACGAACCAGGAGTTTCCGCCGAGGCCAATGATGCTAAGAGGAGAGCAGTTCGCGCCGAGGAGGAGGTCGTCGGCGATGCCCTCAATGCCTAGCAAGCTAAGGAGACCGCCAAGGAGACCGCCGTTGGAGCCGCTGACCGTGCCGGTCTGCTGGCAGCATTGGAGCTCGCCCGTATTGCACTGGCCACTCGTAGACGAGGGCGTGGCACGCTTCGCGCCTGCTCCGGTGGTCAAACATCGTGGGCATGGCAGAGAATGACATAGCGTAAGGCGTACCTGCCGTGCGCGAAGCAACGTCGGCATATAGCCTGGCGGGGCGCAGTGGGCTCATGCCACGCGCGAGACGGGCGCCGTTGGGAGTAAGCCCGGCGGCGAAGGCGGATAGAATGAACGTGAAGAGAGTCGCGATGAAGATAAGCTTCATGGTAAATGAGGGGTTCGCAGGGTAAAAGAGTGGACTGTCGAGGGAGGGTTCGCAGGGTCGGATCTCGAGGGTCTAGAGGGAAAACGGAGACGAGTTGGATGGAAGGAGAGGAGACGTAGCGAGCTTTGTAGTCCGCAAACCATCGGACCAAGTGCCAGTTTATTGTGCCAAACGGCGGATCCGTCGCCGTCGTGTCATCGCGACCAGGGCCTCCGGTGACATCGAAGACGCAATTCAGGCGCTGCGTGTTCGATCGTGCCGAGCCGTTGACACTGCAGATGCCTTTGAGACAGGCTAATATCCTTCTGCTTTTGGCAGTTCTCTGTCCTGATCCGGCAGCGCCAGGACCTGTGGCTGTGCACCTGCTCTGAACCTGAGAGTCGAAGAGGATTCTGAACGCGTCATTCTCTAACGTGCCACAGGTAACATACTCTTTCCGATGATCGGATTAGATACATTGTTATTTTTGTGAGTCATGGCTTCGTTCACGCGAACAGTTTCTTGTACGCCTTCTTCTCCTTGTCCCTCTTCTCCTTTCGCGCCGCCCGTACCTTGGCGAGCTCTGACCCGATCGCCTTGTCGTCGGGAACGAGGGTGGCAGCTTCCGCCTGTGGACGCAACATGAATCAAAAACACGGCCAGGGACGAGCAACGCCGGTGCCTTACCAAGTCCTTCTCGGCCTCCTCCTCCTGCTTCATGATGGCCTGTGCGGAACCTCGGCGATACAACGCCTTTGCGCGGTCCGCAGGGGTGAGACTCAATGTGGGCGTCCTGGCAATGACGATAAGGGTCTGTTTCAAAGAAACATATCGGAAAAGGGACACGCACGATAGCAAGCGGTTCACGGTCGCGATCGTAGTGCGCGCGTAAGCCGGCGATTGGGCCGACAGCTTGAGTGCGGCTAACGCCGTGTTCAATAGGAGAGGTGATAAAAGTGCCGCGTATGATTGCTTCAGCCCGTCCGTCTCAAGCGACGTAAAGTGCAAATCGACGTAGCGCGTCGCCTTCTGCCACTTGTTCAGCGCAGCCTCTACCTTGCCCTCCTTGAACAGCTTGTTCCCGACTTCACGGATTTTCGTCGCGGCCTCGAGCGCGACCTCCGGTTTGCCTTGGACGTCGTGCTGCTCCTCGTCGTCGGGGAAGTCTTCGTAGGGATCCCCATCTGCCGCTACAGCATCTGGCTGGAGCGACGGGTCTGAGGGATCCAGTTGTCCACTGGAAGCGATGACGATTGGTTCGGTGGGCACATCTCCGTTACTGGTAGGATGGTTCTCTATCTCGCGTACTGGAGTACTCGTCAGAAACGGGTACGTACGTGCACGTGAAGAAGCGGTACGTACCTACGCTCTTCCCGCGTATCACCTCGCCAAACACAACGTGCTTGTTGTCCAGGTGGGGTGTAGGCGCGGTGGTAATGAAGAACTGTGACCCATTCGTGTTGGGTCCGGCATTGGCCTTTGGATGTAGTAATGATCAGCAAGGCAGCTTCTCTCTAGTGAGGCGTGGTACCTACCATGGAGAGTAGGAAGGGCTTCGAGTGTTTCACCGGGAAGGCCTCGTCTTCAAACTTCTCGCCGTAGATCGATTCGCCACCAGTGCCGTTGCCGGCGGTGAAGTCACCACCCTGGCACATAAATCTGTACAAGCGCGTAGAATCGTCAGTACACGACTCTCAATTGCGCTCAACACATCCAACGTACTTGGGGATGACCCGATGGAATCCGCTCCCCTCGTACGTCAACTTCTTGCCCGACTTGCCGATGCCCTTCTCGCCCGTGCATAATGCCCGGAAGTTCTCCGCCGTCTTCGGCACGAGGTCAGAGAAGAGGGAGAACACGATGCGCCCCGCCGGGCGCCCGCCGATGGTGATGTCGAAGTAGGTGATCGGACGGTTCGCGTTGGACTCAGCCATAGTGCGCGAGAAAGCGTGTTGGATTCTTGGAGGAAAGGACGCCTCTGGATGTGAGAGCACATATATTCTGCGCGGAATCCACTGGAACTTGCTGGAAGCCTGAAATCGCCATCGTCGAAACTCGAGAGCGCCGACGGGATCGCCTGTGGCTGTGGCATCAGGCCGACGAAAAGTCGTGATCATATCGAATGTATTGATCGAGTATCCGTTGGATCAGTTGTGAACTGACCTTGTCACACTGAGCGGTGTAACGCTCTGATACTCTCATCAGTAACTTAAGTCAATACGCTCATCAGTAAGTAGCATCGTTGTCATGATCCTCATCCAGCTGTCACAGGCGCTTGCAATGCTGTCCTCCCTGGACAAAGAACTAGTGTCCTTCATCTATAGGACACATTGTCTGTGGTCACCTTTGATCACCCTGAGCTCTACACCATGAACGCTACGCAACCGAACGGCAATCGTAGGGTGATTCGTCTTAACTTCAACCTGCCTCGACGGGCATCCCGCAACATGGCGGGCTTTGACTTTGAGCCCGGCGCTTTCGACCAAAGCCACGAGGAGGACGACTTGTCCGCGGAAACTGACTGGCGGTGGTCTCGAGAGCCATCGCCAGCGCCGGACGTTCCGACCCGTCATCCCAAGTACTACATAGACGAAGGGAACGTGGTATTCCTTGTACGTTGTATTCTCTTATACGTCCTCTGCTCGTGGTGACGTCTGAGTTCAGGTTGAGAATCGGTTGTTGAAGATACATCGCTTCTTCTTGACCCGCGAGTCTGATTTCTTCCAGACCCTATTCACCCTCCCGCCGCCTGAAGGTGTGCTCGAGGGGTCCTCAGACACCCATCCCATCCATCTCGGCGAGAATATGAACATCACACTCAAACAGATAGAGGCCTTCCTGAACTACATCTACCAAGGGTGTGTTTGAACGCAGCATAGACCGGATAGCATGACTGAACATAGTCTCTTCATAGCATGCACGATGACCGCAGGGTCTCCCTGTCAGAATGGACTGCCCTTCTCTCCATCGCGAGCCGCCTGGACTGTCGCCGAATGAAACGGCGCGCGCTACGCGAGATCGAATCCGCCGACCCGCCCATGGACCCCATCCAGCGTATTCGCCTCGCAACCGAACACGACGTCTCCGAGTGGCTCCGACCGGCGTACGAGGCCATTTGCCAGCGTGAGGATGCTATCTCACCCGACGAGGCGGAGCAAATCGGAGCGCGCACGACGGCGCTGCTGGCCATGGCGCGTGAGCTCGTGCGCGCGCGCCCCCCGATGCGGATGAGCTCGGCCGCTGGACCGAGCAGGTTTCATCATCCGACACTAGGATGGATCCCTGTCGGGGCACGCATACCTGGCGGCGCCCTGTTCGAACCCGAAGAAGTGACGCGCGTCGTCAACGAGGTCTTTGGGCGGCTATGAAGTTTGCTCCTCCGCGCTGCTACGTATATGCCTGGTGTAATCTCCGCAATCTTGACGTGCTAATATGTACAGTTTTCCGTTAATCTCCTTGCGGATCGTTGCGTTTCTCGCTTTGTTCTCGACTCGATCTTATTCTCGGCCCCTCAATCGATCATACTTCGTCTCCGGCAGAAGCTAGGATGAAGGTTGTGATGTGTATATACGGTATCTGCGACGTTAGTTTCTGCTTCGATGATTTGGTAGCATCTCCTTTGCATCAAGAATATCGCCCGCAGCCGTGGCGTTCATTCAAATGACCGCGTTCCAATACGCTCCGTGACATCTACAGCATCGTTCGTGTGCGTCCCTGCCGTAACTCAGAGAACATATGATCATAGCTCAAGGTTGACGACATACGACTCCCGAGCATCCCTTGCATCTCCGTTTGGCAAACGATTGCATTTACCTAAACGACCATCGACTCGTTGATCCCCTCCACCCTCACCACTGGCTCACCTTCCACTGCATCGACACCAATACGGACACCGTCTCCGCCCTACCTTCGTTGATTGGACGAGAACCTCCGGAGAAGCTCAACGATGCCCGCATAAAGCTCTAGATTTGATGGTCAGGGAACGATACGCCGAGAAGTACGAACTGCTTGCAGCTTATAAGCAATAGAGCAGGCGCACAAGGTCATCACTGTTCGAGATGCAGTTCCTTCCCGGGATCTCGCTGCTCGGGCTGGTCATCTCGGCCTTTGCCAAGATATATGAAGATGTCTCTGCTTTGCCCACCAGGGAGTTCGACTTCGTGGTCATCGGCGGTAAGATGTCATACGATGGCAGATTGATGCGCGGGCTTATATAATGGCCGTATCAAAGGAGGTACATCCGGTCTTGTAGTTGCGAACAGGTTTGCGGCTACGCGGATGATAGTTGACGTATGTTGGATTCACGGACACCACCAGACTGACCGAAAACTCCGCCGTGTCCGTTCTCGTGCTGGAGGCTGGTGCATCGTACGTTTTTGAGGCCCGATATCGGGCATTGTGCTGATGGTTCAAGCAGGAATCAGAACATTCTTGACTCCGAGGTCCCATTCCTTGCCTCCAATCTGTGGGGGTCGCTCTATGACTGGAACTATACAACCGTTCCGCAAGTCGGTTTGGATAACAGGACGATTGGCTACCCTCGCGGTAAACTGTTAGGCGGAAGCAGTTCAATAAGTAAGGTCACCACCTACAACGCAACTCAGAAACGGATGCGCTAACATCTTCGCTAGACTTGATGGCTTATACAAGAGGTTCCAGTGATGACTGGGACAAATATGCCGAAATGTCAGGTGATATAGGATGGTCCTGGAAAAATATCCAGCCCTATGTTCGCAAGGTACACTTGATCGCTGGTCTATGTATGCCATTGTCTTCATATCATTTTGTCAGAATGAGGGCTTAATGCCTCCAGGGCGATCCCCCTTTGATCCTCGGTACGATCCTCTGGTACATTCGAGAATAGGGCCGGTCGAAGTTAGCCTTCCGGAGTACTACTGGCCATCTGATCATCGTGTCCTTGAGGCTGCACAAGAACTCCGCCGCGAGTTCCCATACGGTTTGGATGTAAATGATGGAGACCCCTTGGGAGTCGGTATGTATGTTTCTCCGGTGGAAATTCAATCAACCCTTATTCTGAATGTTGTGTTCAGGCTGGATTCAAAGCACGATTGGAAATGGAACTCGAAGCAGCGCTGCAACCGCATATCTCGGACGAGATTTTGCAGCACGGCCCAACTTATTTGTCTTGTTACATGCACACGCAACTCGGATCACGACTCAGAACGGAGTGTACAGCGCTGCCGAGTTCGCGTCAAATTCCAGAGGCAAGCCCAATCTAATGCCGAGATGGTCGCTGCGGCCGACAGATCTCTTCCTATAGGCACCCGATACAACGTGACTGCGAGGAAGGAGATCATTCTCGCAGCAGGGACCTTTAACACGGCGCAGGTACGTTCCACAACTTGCTGATGAACTCATCATTGAAACCTCGGATGATAGTTACTTTTGCTTTCGGGCATTGGTGATTCCGACGCCCTGTCGAGTCTCGGTATTACACCCATCCTTCACCTCCCGGATGTAGGTCGCAGGATGTCAGATCATCCTCTTGTGCCAGTCACATGGATAGTAAAGGATAACATAACATTTGGGACGTTCCTCGGCAATTCTACCAACTTCAATATCGCATTGACCCAATGGAATAAATCGCGCACCGGACCTTTCAGTTTCACTCCTCCGCAGTTATTCGCCTGGCAGCGGGTACCAGACAAGGACACATTTCTCCAGTCCATCGCAGATCCAGCTGCAGGCCCTCATTCTGCGCATTATGAACTAATTTTTGCTGTAAATGGATTCATGGGATGTGCCCAAAACCTCATTGATGCCCATTTCAGAACGGTATCGTTGGATCTACCGCACCGGGCAGTTTCTTCACTGTAGACACGGGAGTTGTCTCGCCGACCTCGCGTTTGTACCTTCTCTTTCGCCCATGCCCGTTATCTGATCAACCTTTTCCCTACCGTGACAGGAGGCTCGATCACAATCAATTCTACCGATCCCTTCGACCCTCCGTTGATAAACCCGAACCTCCTTGGTACGGTTACGGACGGGCAGATCATGATCTATGCGCTTAGAGCAGCTCGGAGATTCGTCGAAACAGCTTCCGCATGGAAAGGATATATAGTGGCCGAGTCTGGAGCATTCACCAATGCTACTACCGATGCTGAACTGCTTGCATTTGCACGGCAGAACGCTAGGACAGTGAGTTGTTTGCAATGGTCATACCTCATCTGCGTTCAATGGTGTAGATTTGGCATGCGGTCGGGTCCTGTCAAATGACACCCTACGGTGTCGCAACAGGTTGCGTTGATCCAGATCTCAAAGTGAAGGGAGCAAAGGGCCTACGAATCATCGACGGCAGTGTTCTGGTCAGTAACAGAACGCTTTTGCGGATTCCTCTCCGCTAACTCATGAGCGCAACGAAGCCATTCGTACCAAGCGCGCACACCCAAGTTCCTATTTATATCATTGCAGTGAGTTATGGCGACTGTCTACCGTATGATATCTTATTATTGGATGACAGGAACGCGGCTCAGACCTCATCAAGAAAGATTGGGGTCTGTGATATCATATCTGTTATATGCACGGTCTACCAAAAATCGCCACGCGCGGCGCCCCGTGGCATCCCTTGGTGTAATACAACAGTTGCATATACGAAAGCAATACAAAGACAGGATTAAAGAGGTGTGGGACCGCATTTGATCCAAGGCACAAATATGTTCAAGCTGTCTACCACTCATACGCCCTCGACACGTCGGATCATCCTGCGATCCCTCTCACCTACGACAGAGACGACGCCCTCCTGCTCGAGCTCCTGCACCACGAACGCGAACTCGCCAGGGTCAATGCGAACGCTGCTCTGCTCCCCTAGTTGCCTGACTGCATCGGGCCATCTGACGCCGCGTGCTCCAGAGCGCTGCACGAGATTCATCACCTCCTTGCGCAACGACTCGCGTTGGCGGCGCTGGCCTTCGCTCACGCCTGTGTTGATCAGACCGAGGTCGATCTTGCCAGTGCGCGGATCGATAGCCGCCGTGCGAATCGCCTCGCGCATCAGACGGCAAGCCTCCTTCACATCGTCAAGCTCGACGACGGACGAGAAGCGCATACGAGCATGCGCCTCGGAAAGACGAATCATACTCTCCAGCTGCCGTGTGGTCGCAGTGATGCGCTTTTCGTGCGAACGTGGATCTTCTCCAGTTTTGCGAAGTTCCACATAGGCGCGGACGAGCTCATTCGATGCCTCCTCGGTCAACGCCGGATTTATACGAGAGCGAGCATAGCTGATATATGCGCCAAGTTGCTCCTGAGGCTAAGAAACAGACTGTCGGGACGACACCCGGTACAGCAGGAGATCAGACTCACAACGATATCTTGGCCGCCAGTTTCTGGTCTATCCTCAAGATAGAGACTGACAAGATGTTGGGCTAGGCGACGATCATGAGCTTCATCCACCTGGTCAAGCACCAGGTACAGCAAGTCAAATCGCGAGATCAGTGTTGGAGGCAAATCGATATTCTTCGTGATCGGTTCGTCGACGTTGTATTTCGAGCCCACAGGGTTGGCCGCTGCGAGAATGGAAGTCCTTGCGTTAAGAGTAGTAATAATACCAGCCTTGGCCACGGAGACCGTTTGTTGTTCCTATCATCATGTTCATGGAGAGAACCGAAATTCACATATTGAGCTACTCACCATGACCTCATGGAGGACACTTCGTGTAGCATCAGACATTTTGTCGAACTCGTCGATGCAGCACACGCCCCCGTCACTCAGCACGAGCGCTCCACTGTGAGGTCAAGTCAGGGCAAGTCAGGCACGAGGTCATCATACAGTCGCACCTTTCCAACACGAGTTGTTTCGAGTCCGGATCACGGGTCACGTAGGCGGTCAAACCGACAGCTGATGAGCCCTTGCCGGAGGTGTACACTCCACGGGGCGCCAACTTATGCACATACTAGAGAAGGGTTGGTATTCCACGTTGCGTTTGGAACGTGGACACGCACCGATAGGATCTGGGATTTACTTGTTCCCGGGTCTCCGACCATTAGCACGTTTATGTCTCCTCGATACCTTGGCCCACCGCCACCTCCGCCCCGCGCGATGCTCTTATTAGTGCCGCCGAAGAGCTGTAGGAGAATCCCTTTCTTGACATCGTCCATGGACCAAATGCTTGGAGCTAGACTGCGGGCAAGCACATCGTACAAGTCCGGACGGCGGGACAGTTCGATCAGCTTAGCCTCCGTCTCCTCACGACGGCTCTTCTTTCTTTGTCCATCGTCCATAGGAAGATCGCCGAAGATGTCAGCTGGTCGAGGTGCGGGCACGGCGTCCTCCTCTTCGTCTCCGCCGCCTACACCGCCTACCCCAGGGATCCTGTCGCCGCCTGCTGGCCTGGTGCTCTTATCAAACTGCAGGCGTCCGTCACCGCCGAGACGTATGTGAACGACATCCAGGAAAGTCTTGAACAGGCTCTTCAGAGTTCTCTGCCTCGGGTTCACCCTGACCGGGACGCTTCTAAAGATGCCCGTCACGACGAGCCTGTCACCCGGCTTCGTCACATCCACGAGCTCATCGTACACGCTCAACGATACAGTATGTGGCGTTTGCCCGTCGGGAACCACGTCCGGCGTCTCTTGCAAGCGTATGACCTGTCTATCCGCGAATTCACACCGATTGTGCACGAGGGACATGGTGCCGACGGAGTTACAGACGTCGCGGGGGCATCGGCCGGGCTCGTCGATCTTGCCGCGATCAATTTCGACCTGCACGGTGTGTAGACAGGTGAGGCAACGGAAGAAGGCGACTTTCATGTCCGGTATGACGGGTGTTGCGCGAATGACGAGACCCTTGATGCAGACCAGCTTGTCCGTATCTGCAGGGGCGTTAATCCGCGATATGGCCAGCAATACGGTGGAGCTTTACCGGTTGGGTTGAGGTCCCGCATATTCACCGCTTTCAGTCCGAACGGCCGAACCTTGTACACTTTACCCATGATCTCTGCGATTTCCGCCTCGCCTTCTTCTCCCAACATACCCTCTCTGCCCTCCTCCGCATCTAAATCAGCAATCTCGAGCATCATGTCCTTCAGTACCTGATCCATCGCAGGGATGACTTCTTGCGGATACTTGACTAGCTGCCCGTGGAGTTTCCTGCATGGCGGGTAGGCAAGGAGGTTTACGACATCCAGGTTGAGGTTCGTTTCCCCTGTCTGGCGCATGCGCCGGAGGAACCCCTCGTACAAAACGGCCTCGCCGTCGTTTTGAGGCGTGATCGAGTTGGAACGGATTCCGTTCTCACGGTTGTATGCAGTGCGGTACTTAGGCTTGAAACCGCGCAAGAAGTCCTTGAAGAGCTTCATGGTCTCAGTAAGGTTGACTGTGGTCCCCCAGATGGCTCTAATTTCGTCCGGTTCATCGGAGGGTGCAGCAGGCGCTGAGAGCGGAAGAGCAGAGCTTGCTGGGATATCGAGGTTGGTACCGTCCGAGTTGAGGGTATCGCGCGTGCCAGGGACGCGTCGTGACGCGTTGCCCTGACGCGTAGGTGTGATAGAGAGAGAAGAGTGTATATCGCCACGTCGATTTTTGACAGGGGACGCGGTGGCAGGAGACCTGTGACCGAAAGTTCAAATCTCAGTATTCTCGAGGTAGAAGGCAGCACCACGTACGTAGGGAAGTCTAGTGGTTCAGAATCCATGGCGGACCTAGGGTCATCAGAATCCCCCAGCCTACGACGTCCCACGGGCGTCTTTTTGGTAGGAGAGGAACTTGGAAATGCCATAGGAGACGAGCTTCCCGCTGTGACGACGTTGAGGCGTTAGACGCGTCGAAGATTCGTCGAGACTGTGGCCACTTACGAGCGAACAGCGGAGTACGCTGTTGTCGAGGGGTGCTCATCCCAAGCGCCCTTCGCGCAACTGTACCACTTGTGGGGGTCTGGGGCACGTTCCGACGCGACGGTGTGCCCGAGGTGGAGGGCGTGCCAGGGAGAAACAAGGACTGGACGGGTGGTGCGCCTGACATCGACTGCTGGCCGCCGGTCGTGGCGGCGTCGTCCATCTCAATGTCGTCCATGTCGGACGTAGGAAAATCAATCGGCGGTGGGGAAGACATGGCGGGCGGTAGAGACGCGTCGTGAGCGACGGAACAGAGGAGGGAGCGAATGAAACGCGTGTCACGTGCAAGTTCACATGCATCTCAGGGTGGCCAGCAGACGCGCTCAACTGTAGCAGAACTCAACCATATGGAGCTATACTACTAGTTGTCCAAAACTACGTTCGTAGTGTGAAACTCTGATTGTGAGTCGGTGCGATGGTTTGCTGATGCATATCCTCGGCGTACGATCCGCCGAGATCTTTCGTACAAGAATGGTCATGGGGCATGGCGCCATTGCTTCCACTGCGATCTTTGGGTGGAACTTCCGCTAAACTTCTGCTAAGCAGCTTGCTCTCACGTCCAACGGAATGGTCATAAGGGGACATGGCACTGGACGTACGGGTGCGAACTACGTTCACCGATTTGCGGGCGCCTTGCCCGCCCGCCCGCATAGGTCATGATACAGGACTTGGCCTCGAAAGAGGTGGCATACACCATTGGGTGCGCGGGCTCTTCAAAGTTCGCATTAGGACGCCTGATTGAAAGACATCATACAGACCCGTCATCGTCGGTGTGATATCCAACGCGATACTGTACGGGATTTGCGTCCTGCAATTCCATGAGTACTACGCATCCTGCATAAAAGATCGGTGGTGGATACGGTGAGCTGAGAAAACGGAATTCGCTGTTTCGTTGTCATGGAACCCACTATCTTGCTCAGCGGCCTTGTCCATTGGACCCTGATTCTTGACACATGCACAAGCGTGTATCTCTTGTGGCTCTACGCCGTTACTAACTTCGGATCTGACGCCCTGCTTCAGCGAGCACCGTGGCCATTCGCACAAACGCCTGTTGTCACAGTACCGTGCGTGCTCTTCGAAGTGTTTATGTAACATCATGTCTGATCCAGCTCGATATGCCAGAGCGTCGTTGCCTATCCAGATCTTTCTAAGCTGGCGCATCAAATTGTTCCCCAAATCTTGGTTAATTTTTAGTGTCTTGGTGTTTTTCGCCGCAACACAGTGGACTGCTGGCATAGTCTCCTCGATTTTCTCATTTCTCATCCCGGAGTGAGTACGGAACGCCAGCCCCTGCAAGCAGTCGCGCTATGCCTTCTAATCTCACGGGTACAATCACAGTACAGCAGGATGGCAAGAGCTCGTGCCTGTGGTTGATCTCTGGATGGGCAGTGCCCTCGTGTGTGATTTAAACATAACGTACGTCTACTTCTCGCCTCATTCCTCGGAGTTGAACAGAGGACCTATGATCAACATCATCACAGGATCCTCCTGCTTCGTTATCTTCGAATACGCCAAACTGGAATCGCTAGTGCGTGTCACAAACTGCTCAACCCCAGCTACTAGTTACTAATACTGGGATAGGTACCAATCACATCGTCTCAGGCCTCATGCGCTCTGCGGTTGAAACGGCCTGCCTGTTTTGTCTATGCGATCTGATTACCTTCGTACGTTTGTCTATCGCTTGCTGTTCCAGAGGGATGGCAACCTGACGTGCACTATACGATCAGACGCTCCTCAGAAGTAAACCTGCAGTGAGTGATCTATGATAGAATCCCTATTGAGTTGGTGTTAGGACCAATATCCACTTAATCTTCTCCTTGCCGATGGGCCGCATATACACGTATGTGCATGACTTTCGTCAGATTGACCGTTCAAGGCTGACTGTATCCTGATAGGAACACGCTGCTGACGGTATGTTTGCCATTCCATGACCGAACCGTGTGTCATTGAAAGAACTCGCAGACCCTCAATAACCGCGCATGGATCCGACAAGAGCTTGCACTCCACGTCTATGGCGATAGCGAAACGGTGCGTGACCTGCTTATTATACGTTCCTACCCCCGATCATGTGTCTCATAAACTATAGCGTCCACCAGTACGACAGCTGGACCAATGTCTGGCATTGCCTACAACATCCTGCGATCCTGTCGGCGCAATGTCGAAAACGAGTTCGAGGCCGACTCCGTCCGTGACGCAGACATCAAGAACGTCAAGATACCCGGGAAGATTCTTTGAGAGAAAGCGAGAGGTGGATTCTGACCTCGGCTCACTGGAGTTTGCGAATGGGCAGGACGTACAGGATGCGAATTCGGTCGAGTATCGCATGGGCTTAATCGACCTTGGCGCGAATACATCGCATGTACCGACTTTTGGTGTCTAGATACTGTGGAGACGCTCGGTGAAGCAGCCAATTCAGCACAGGTCGATCCCACGTTCATGCAGGCAATGCGTTGATACCGATGTAAGGATGAAAGAATGCGGTATATAGCAACGTGCATACAGGTTCATAAGCTAAAATCGCATCGTAAAATGAGCCTATCAGGTGGGACAAGCAAAAACTACAAGTCAAAACTCTGTGTGTATCGCGTGGTGTGTTGAATGTGAGGTTTGTCTGGTATCCAGTTATGGAAAGCAATGCAATAAAGATAGGTATCGCAAAGGTCAAGATTGAGAGGGTATATGGTGTCGCAGAAGGTAACAGGTCGCACGATCATAGGCCTAAAGTAAACAACAAGATACCGGACGATGCGACTATTGCACCGGCAAGCTGCTTGCCTACGAAATGCCGACGAGCAGCATTGCTCGTGGTGGAGGACGCACTGGAGCTCATAGTCGACGTTCCGGATGACAAAGACGAAGCCGACGGTGATGTCCGGCTTGTGGTAAAGCCCGAGATGGTGCTGGAAGGGGTGACGGAGGGTGTAAGCGAGGTTATTGAGCTAGCTGACTGGAGCGTGCCGATGACGCTGATGCTAGTTGTCGATGCGGGAGAAGTAGTACTTTGAGTGAGTGTCGATGGTATGGGTTTGCTGGAGGTGTCTGACGCGACAGGTGTATCAAACGAGCCGGACATGCCGGAGAGTCTATAAAAGGCCACTAAATTACCCAGGTAACAATGAGGGTTGTAATATACTCACGCGAAGAACGGAGAGAAGGCTTGATACGCAAAGCTTGCGTTCGATGGGTTCGGGAGGGAGAGCGAGGTGAAAGCGATGTAGCTGTAGCCGCAATGAGATCATTACAAGGACGATACTGTGTAACGACGCACTAGGTGTCCGAATCCGGACCTGCTTGAGCATCAGGCTAAAAGTTGTAATCACGACGTCAGTGAACACGTAGATATCCGAAGTTGCAGGGTATATTTGGCTACGCACCAAAAATGTAAGAGAATGTACGCTGGAGACGTCGACGGGATCGATGGTTTGCACAAGTTGCTGAACCCCCTGAATAGTCAATGGGTGCATTAATTTCATGAGGCGTAATCCACACCTCCTGTCCGTGGTACAGTCCAACAGTACACGGCCCTATGGTCGCTAGGAGCGGGACTTGCCCATCATCGAGCCAAGTGACTGTGCAGGCCTGTCCACCCGTGCACGGAGCCCTATTCCTTGGATTGGTCACCTAACAATAGGTCAAGCCCGTGTGCAGAGTATAATAAGCTGAAGAGGAATACGTACGTATAGCTCGGCGTTCACAAAAGGTATCGCACAGAAATGCAAGAGAAATGCACAGAGCACGCTCAGGCCTGGCAACAGTAGTAAATCTTTGATGTGACGCATTATTCTGCTTGGCGTTTGATAGGTTATTGGGTACAAGGCGCTCGCCAAGCAGAGAAAAGCGCACACAGTGCCGGGCGTTGAGATATCCAGAGGACCACGACAAAGGAATGAGGAATGATGAGGAATGACCGCGCCGCCAATTGCAGACTGCAGCTCCAGTCCGCATGTAATAGGTATGATGGTTGCCGATCGGCAGGAGACCGAGCGGGAAGGAGCGGTGCTCAGCGCTCAGCGCTCAGAGTCAGTGTACAGTGATCCACCGTTCCTCTGGACAGCACCACTCCCTTGGACACGGGCTAATTTCTCCACATCGCCTGACTCTTTCCTCTTGATTATTTATATATATATATATATACATCCAATGGATCCTCACCATCTCTTGTAGCCCGATGGACAATATGTAGTGTTTTACTCGAATGAAAAATCGGAAACACCATGGTGGCTGTGCTATTCAATCTTTATGTGGGCTTTGAGGTGTTTGTGAGCTACTGTACCACAAATCAGTATACATATTCAGACTCTACAGTGCTGAAAGCACTATCTGCAACTGAGCTCATGAGGGTACATGTATTAATGGGCCCAATATCGCTCCAGGTTTCTGCATGCTTCGGCGGAGCAGCAGCTAAGGCAGCCATGTGACTGTCGGTTAACCTCCGAAAGGTTTCCCGCGCTCACACCGGCAATACGGCAAAGTCACAAACGGCGTGGGAAAACCGCTGTCCAGAGGAACGGTAAAGTGGCTGTGAGGGGGTCACCCGTATTATGGCTCTCAGAATGTTTTTAGGATACCTACTACTCCAAAAATATTTGAATAGATGGGCAGGATGTACAGCTAACTAATGATGCTAATTTAAAGAAGAACGAGAGCCCATGGGAGGAGCAATGCGCAGTACAATTTTTCCTGTCCAAGGGAACGGTGGATCACTGTACCCGATTGGATCCTTCTGCGGCAGGAGCGGGAACGGACATCGGCGTGGCTGTGTCTCATACATCTTTGAACCACGCGATCTCACGTGAGCCTCCGTCTGTGCTCGAACGCGGTCCGAACACAACATCGGCAAAAAACCGCTTGACCTCACCAGCGTATAAGAGTACACCATTCGGCGCGTACTGCGTCAACTGTCTCCGGGCCACGTTCACCCTCGACATCGCGTACGGCATCCGCTTCACTGCATGCGTTGTTGCCCTCTGTATTCGTTGAAGCATCAAGAAGGTGTCGTCCTTGTTACTGCTTCGCACATCTACTCGAGTTGGTCCTCCGTGCGTTGAATCTATCAAGTGTGAGATAACATCACGGCCTCACCGCCCTTCTCGTTCAACGCAGTGCCGGAATATTGGGCTGCCTTGAGAACGTCCTCGAACTTGACCGGTACCTACGAAGTTCGTTTAATCTGCCATGGTCACGCTTGATGGCGAATATCGTATTGCTGTGCTACATCAAGCTGCGCCAACTCCAGCCATTGGAGGGGTGTTGAAGCCGGTTAAGCCGGGTCAGCCCCGATTCTGCACCATTCTTTGTTCAGCCAGCTGACATAAAACGCGGCTTGACTTCTAGGCGGCTATAAGGATAGCTCTGCTGACCTTGCGTATGCCTTGCATCTGGAATCGCAGGACGCGTGCACACCGTCAATCAAGTTGATCACCCCCTCATCTTCCCCCGATCCATCTAAGGACGCCGACTGGTCGTTCGGCGACTACAAGGAGACTATCCTTGAAGTGATCGAGAAACATGGAGCCAACGTATTATGGGCGAACACCAACGTGCATTCTGCACACGCCCTATTGGACATTGCGAAACAGCATCCGGACATCCTCATGGTTGGGCAAGATCCGCGCCATGTCGACAATTATGACGACAAAGCTTGGGTAAACCGCTGGTTACAGTCGCATGCTGGCCTAGAAGGCACGTTTCCCCAGACATGGATCGTTCCCCGCGACACTCCCGAGGTCCTTGCATCCATCCCGCTTCCTGTCATAATCAAACCTGTTCGAGGTCGAGGTTCTCAAGGCGTTGCGTATTGCCGGACTTCGAATGAATTGGAACAGAGGGCGAAGAAACTCTGGGAAACGGGAAGCCGCGTGGTAATCGAAGAGTTTTGCTCCGGCGAGGAAGTCACTATCACAGTTCTACCGCCTGGGACCTACGATCCTCCTGTTGGAGTCAAGGACAAGCATTGGGCATTGCCCGTTGTTCGGCGTTTTGATCATACGGATGGCATTATGCCTTATAGCGGCGGTGTCCCGGTCACCGCGAATTCTACCCTCGTCCCGTTGGAAGAAGCTTCTGTTGATCCTGAATACGCACGCCTGCAGAAACGCTGCGAACTTGTGGGCCAAGCTCTCGGAACGCTCGCCACCATACGAATCGATGCTAGAAGGCGAGGCCAAACGGCGTCTGGTAGGCTATCTGCTTGCACGACACCTCGGTCATAGACTGACCTTGTTGTAGGGATGGATAGAGAGTTCGCCCTCTTCGATACGAATATGAAACCGAACATCACTGGACCGGGAAGACCAGGACGAGATGATCAAGCCGCATTGACCGTCCTTGCCGCTGGAGGACTCGGGTGGTCATACCGCGACCTGGTGCGCAATATGCTGCGCCAGGCGGTAAAGCTTCGATGCCTTCTATAATCGCCTCATCAAACCATCGGCTTCAGTAGATCAGTTGAATGATATTCATGAGGGAGCGTTTAGCTTGAAGCGCGAGGGAAGTGACTGATGACGTGACATTTCGTGACAGACGCGTTCGTTGCAGTAGTAATATTACGTAGTATGTACATAATAAGTAACAGTTACCACTATCCACGCATCACGTGAAGCATCGCGCCAGCGTCATGATGATGCTTCCGGCTAGAAACGTTTAGTTTCAGTTGCACCACAAAACTCACGAACGGCGACCTGTGGTCTACGAGTGGCTTCTTTTGCTCATATCATTGCTTTAGCCATGTCTTTGTCGATGGAGGATCTCGATGACACTAATAAGGTACGCGTTTGCTGCGGTCTTGCGCCGGTAGCTGTTCGACGTCCTATCCAGGCATGTGTTTGCATACCTTATGCCGAAGAAAGAGATTCGTCAGTAACAATTCCTGAAGATGCTGAGCCAGTTTCCTTCCAAAGCCTGGCCGATCCCATAGCACGTCTCATCTCCGACGCGAAGAGACAAGCGTACTCCAACGCTTGGAAGAAGTCGTTGGACAAGATCGAGGTATATTCACAACGGCTCTTGCCACTCAGCTTCAGCTGAACTCATACCTTTTGTGTGGAAAGGGTCTAGTCCGCGATATACATGCGCATGTAGTCGAAGACATTGTGCACGAGATCGCAATGGCCTACTCGCCCAATAACCTACTTCCTGGGCTACCCTACTCGGAGCTACCTATCTTGTGTCTCGTGGCAGGTATGTCTTCACCACGGAGCGTGAGAGCGACTGCTGACTCGATTATCTGGTCCTTCCCTGATTTTCTGACAGCTCAGTCATCTTCGCTGACTGAACTGCTGGATAAGGCACAAGAGAGATTGACTTCAAGAAACAAATCAGAGTTGACCCCGGAAAATGAAGCCAGCGAGCGGGCATCCGGGTCTGCGATCACAGTCCACCTAGGACCACCCGACATGTTCAGCCTTCAATCCGCCATGAAGAACCTCGTGTACGGCTTTGTAAACCAAAATCCTCACCTGGACAACCCGTCACCAGCCACCCCAAAGAGCTGGACATACAGGCCCCCGTTTCAGCTTGGCAACTCCCGGAGCCTTGGGGCTTATGATATCAACTTACTGATTGCTTGGTATGGTGAGGTCGTACGGTCACGCATGCATCGTGAGTTCTTGTCGATCAGTGGGCACACATCTCAGCCACTTATGCGTTATTGTCCAGTCACGGACGAGGAGTCGCATAATTCCCGACTTGTTGTTTTCGTACACGAATTCGAGGCCATCGATGCGCAAGTCATGTCAGACATGTGGGAGGTTTGCTCGTGAGTCGGTCATGTTTCAGTATCTATTGCTAAGGCTCATCGCTCTTTCGGCAGAATGCATGTATCGGAGTTGCCGTTTGTTTTTGTATTATGTCTATCTGTTCCACCGCCGGACGCAGGTGTCACCAGCATAGCAATGTCCTTACAAGACACGTCGATCCTGACGACGCCATGGTACCTGTCGAGACACTATCCTCGATCTGCCCTCGCACTCCTGCGCGTGCGCACGTTCACTGTTCCAAGTGGCCAACCAATCACCGAGGACATTGTACTGAAGGTACATCGCATGAGACTAATCGATTCTCGGTGTCTGAGCGAAGACGTTTCATCTGTTCTAGACGTTCTACGATCCAGCTTTCGCTCCTACACTTACGCCCGGCTCAGGAGTGCTAGACTCCATTCTCGAGCACATCTCGCGAACCGACTCCGGTTGGGTAACGGCTTCAACAGGCTTTCAGGTTCGAGTTGATTCAGACCATTCTGCAACTGCATTGTTCTGACGGGAAAACTGGTTCAGCTTGCACACATGAAGCACTTTGAAGTCGAACCACTCAGCTTTTTTGCGCTTGGCATGTTTGAGGGGAAACCGCTACGGCAGTGTATCGAAGACATGTTGTCCACGGGCGTACACTCGCACACCTTGGAGGAGATGCTTCGCACCCTCAGGGAGCGTCTGTCAGCATCGACTAGTCGCGAGGTCATTTCAAACTCGGAGAGTCGACGGCGTGCTGAGGTTGTTGCTATGAAGGGCGTGGAAGACCTTGCAAGCCTTCTCGACGCTGTTGACGAAGCACGGCGCACCTTCCATACGCGAGCTCGATCATTCAAGATGGCATTCCAGCTCTTGCTCCGTGTCCGGGAGTGGATGCTTGCGCATGGGTATCGGAGTGCCGATCCTGCTGCCTCGCAGGCACAGGCAAACAGTGATGAACATGGGGCTCCTGTCCTCAAACTTTTGCTAAGGATTACGAAAGGAGAGGCAAGTAGAGACATCCGGTGGTTGGGTATGATGATCAAGTGCGTATGTGCACGGCTGTTCGCGGACTTGCACATACGACGAAGCTGATCTCCAATTACATTCAGAAAATTGTCCGCTGTGCAAACTCATTCATTGCTGAGCAGCCTTCGAGAACTCGAGGAGGTTGTCTCTCCCGATTCTTCCGACGTCGGATGGGCACAGACGCGCATAGCAACGTACCTGGAGAATCTATCCAAGTTACTCGCAACACAATCCGAAGGATTCAACAATGGGGGGGAGCATAATCCTTTCGTTGGAGAAGGAGAGTCGTCTCATGCTTGCCAAACATCCAGGGAGTTCGGAGAATGGTTCGTCGAGTGGGCGCAGTCAGTTCTCCTATTCTTAACGTCGGGTCACATCTGAACAACGTGCGTCAGGGAACAGCTGACTCCGCTGGATAAGTGTACGCTGTGGGAAATATGGTATACGGGCTCTGCACCCTTCCCCGTTGAAGTATGCCTACGTTGTCTTTTCGTCATCTGGTTTGGCTTACGACCACCCTCAAACAAGATGCTCAATCCAGCACCCCGGAAAGCCGTCGTCTCTGCACTATATCACCCGGTTGGGTATATCGGGATTGCCCAGCAGCCTGATGCGCCATCAGATGTTGCAAAACACAACAAAAATGTTCGAATCTGGGAGCTACCGGACACCAGTATTCTCTTCAGAGGGTACCTTGAAGCCGGCAGGATGATCAATGTGTACGATTGGTACGAATCGTTCGCCGTCGTCCTGGAGCAACAAAGAGACATGCAAATACGGTTAGTGGAGGTACAGCAGTGTACTGATCGGGGCGCTGGTAGTCGTAGGTCCATCCGCAAGGGAAAGATGAGCACAGCTGGTCGACGATCACGCGATGATGGCGGCCAAATCAGCGCTCGTCACAAGGAGGAGATGGAGGAGGAGATATGGAAGATGGAGATTCGGGCGCGTTTCATGCGCGCGTTGCATGAACTGGACCGCCTCGGCCTAATCAAGCACACTGGGCGCAAGGCTGATCATGTCATTAAAACGGTATACGACCAACTGGAGTAGTATATACATATCAGAGAACGGAGCGGCTCGACGCGACTGCGCTTTAGCAGGACTTGCTTCCGAAGTAAACGGAAGACGGGATGAAGCCTCTTCCGCTCGTGCACAACAAACTAAAATAAGGAACTGAACGATGAGCTGCTTATATAATCCAGGCACAAATTCAATCCCTTCTGGTTTTAACCTCGACCGTCGCTACCATCACCCATCCCCCGCCCGCTGCTCAGCGCAACTACGCTCATTAGCACCCACACTCGTTTCTCCAGTCAATCCATCACAATGATCTCCTCTGCCCTCCTCGTTCTCGCTTCCCTTGCTCCAGCCGCCCTGGCCAACGTTTTCGTACGCTCGCGCATCATTCGCCGTCGTAACAGTCAGGCTGACGATGGTTTGGCTCTTTCACAGATTACTGCCCCGGTTGGCACCACTAATTGGCAGGCCGGTCAACAGCAGACCATCACTTGGCAGGACGACAATTCTTCCCCGTCGCTCGCCGACTTCGGTGACGCGAAGATATCCATCTACACCGGAAACGCAAACCAGCAGGTATATTTGACTCGTGCGCCATGCCATTCGCCGAAGATGACAACGATGCTGCTGTAGACGCTACTTCAAGCGATTGCCACATCTGTGAACGTTGCCACGACTGCCTCCGTAGTCTTCACTCCCGACGCCACGATCGGACCGAATGGCGATGATTAGTGAGCATAACCCTGCTTGGCAACCAACGATGAACCACTGACTCGTGCCAGCTTTATTCGCATTGAGTCCCTTAACCTCAAGGACGCCAACAACAGCCAGTTCCCTGCCGAGGCTTTCTCTGCCAAGTTCACGTACGTCAAACGTTCTCGCTACCTGTGGCATGGGTTGACGATCATCATACCACAGTCTGTCGAGCATGACTGGCACTTTCAACGCGAGCGTCCAGGCTGAGGTTGACGGCACGTCTACCGCTCCGATCGGCGGATCTGCTACTGCTGGCGCCTCGTCGGGTGCCAGCTCGCAAACCTCCTCGCGTGTTTTTGCCACCTCTTCTGGCTCCCACTCGGGATCGGCGTCTGCCACCGGCTCTGCTGCTTCCCACAGCGCGTCGAGCACTGCGACGACGAGTGGCGCTTCCAAGCATCCCGTTGCTGGAGTGAGCTTCATTGCCGCTGTCGGGGCCTTGTTGGCGGCCACTCAGCTTCTTTAAACCTTTCTACCTCGGTTTCCTCTTGATTCTGTCTGTCCGCATCGCCTTTCGAGCTTTGTCACTTCTCTACACTTCTCGTTCGGGAATCTCCGTATGTTTCTCTCTCCTCAGCTTAGGGTTGGATGGTTATGATTCCGTATCGGCACTTCGACTCGGGTCCTTCGTCTCTGTAATATCGTTTCGCTCGACATGATGACGAATGTTCAACGTTCAAACGTTCCTGCTCGGAAACTAGCATATGGGAAGTGTTGCTGGACATATGAGCGGGTTGATCAGTATCCTAATGAGAGCCCCTCCTTGCCAAGTGCTGATTAGTCCTCTAGCTCGTAGTTGTAGCGCAGCTTCGATACCCTAGGCGGCCAGCATTCTCGAGACGCAACTTCCGTAAATGAATTCGAGAACAGATCTGAAATAAGATCAATGGTGAACTTGAACTCAAACTTACTGGGACTCCACCATCACCGCAAACGGCGTGTATTGAGAGTTGCCTTGTCCGCCGCATCTAACTTCTTATGCTCCGCTGTGTCATGTTCGATGCCGAGTTCCTCCGCCAGCGATGCGTTTTCTTGTGGTGAAAGCGAGTCTGTCGCCACCCCCCAAAGTCTAGGACAATTTAGCCACGGGTGATGTATAAGTCAAAGAGATCTGAGGTCAATTCGTACGTCTGAAATATTTGCTTTCTCCTCAACCACTCTGAACGCCATTTATCCCACTCCACGTCCACCGTAGCGATGTCGTCAGCTGATATCAAATGCATGCCGGATCGCAGGGGTGCCAGAACGTTGAGCCCACGCTGGATCTGTCCCAACGCCCGAGTATTGTTGAGCTGTGGCGTAACACGTTCGTCATCCTGGCCAACGTACCGCTTTTTCGATCTGTTCTATCTGTGTAGCCAGCTCCGTGTCCGTGGGTGCGTTTCTGAGCTTCGCTAGCTCTAGACATCGGTAGCGTCAGCAGTAGTACGATGCGCAAGGTTTGTCATTAACCAGCAGTAGTTTGACGTATTTCGGCTTGCATCAGTCTGTGGGCCACCGAAAATCAAAAATCGACTCCGGACGGAAAGCAATGAATCAGTCGAGCGCGCAACCTACTTGTTGCGTCCCTGGGTCTCTGTGATTTCGCTCTGCATGGTGGTAATTTCCTCCGCAGTAAGTGCGGGGATTTTTGCTTGATCCGCCACGAAAAATGTGGTCTTTCCTGCAATACAATGCGTATCCTGTGGTATGCTGACGCCGGTTCACGGAGACCTACCATACGTCTTCTGTATCAACTCGCCCTTTTCGGCCAAAGATGCGAGGATTTTTTGAGTAGCCGCCTTCGGAACGGCTCCTTTCAGATTAGCTGAGACATCCACAGCTCCATAGGGTCGATTCATCTGAGGCCATGGATCAGCACGTGTCCAGAGGGTACCATCGAGGATCTCCCAGATCGAGGGAATGGGTACATTATGCGCATATATGCGCCCCCTGGAGAAGGCACTTACCCGTTTGATGTAGTTTAAAATTTTATCTTCAGCTAGTAACGATAGTCAGCGTCCTATCCCAACAATTCGAGCGAGCCAAACCTTCTTGTCCCTTCAAGACGGTCGCCTTCTCTTGTTTGCTTTTGGACGACATAGTTCCGGATCCAGAGTCGATGATTTCTTGTATGCGAACGCCGGCAGATGATAACCGGTATGTCTTGTGTTCAAGAGTATATATCAACCCGGGAACACCAATCACTGGAGAAAACCCAGTCGGACCAGACACTCAGAGCTCTGAGGAAGTGCACACTACATGCTTATGTGGCGAAATTGGACGGTTGTCGTCGCGTCACGAGGTCCGAGAAGGTTCTTTCATGTATGGCCCAACATTTACCTATTACAGCAAGTCTCCGGATGCGATCTAACGCCAAAGCCAGCCTGGTTGCCCCTTCTTGTAGTACTGATGCATTACTTGACATGTCGAGACGTGCTTGGTGAGTAGGCAGTAGTACTGAATGAACAAGAATGGTCATCATGGCGACATATGGTCCTCTTTCTCCGGATAGACGCACAAGAGTGATTCGTGAGTGTCAATGTGAAGTACTTAGCAAATAGCATCGCCGTGATTCAGAAACGCCGAAGCCTCCGCGATGGTTCGATGAAACACGTGCGGAAGTCAGAATTCAGACCGAGGTTTGTTGAGATCGGGGGCAGCCCGTTTTCGATTAGCTGCACCATATAGCGCCCGCCGACACCGCACGGCCATCGAGCCGCGGTCGAAGCTATGTTTCATAGCAACGTTGATCGTGGATCCAGGTGTCGAAACCAGAATCGAAGGTGGGAGCTGAACAGTGTTCTTTTTCGTGTAGACACCCATGCTCCTGCACCGAGACGTCACTCTTGAGTCATAGAATGCAGCAGCAGGACGGGAAAACGGGTCGAAAGTGAACTTAATACAGTGAATGTGGTTTCTCGACTGTGCACATGGAATCCGACGAGAGGTGGCAGTGGCAGGGGACCTCATACGAGTAAGTTAGCACCGCGCGAGGTAAATAGGTAGGTAGGTAGAGTAGGTAGATTGCCGACGTAATCCCGGTAGCGGAGCAGCTGGTTGCTGCGCTGCACGTACGCCGCCGCGAGAAACCTCAAAAATCCGATTTCGATCGATCCCGCCGATACCCACTCGTTGCTGCTGGTAAATCCTGTGACTGCACGTCTGGCGTACGTGCTGCAAGGGCTGTTCCATCATGGGGACGTCCTCACTGGTAATATACCTGCCTACCTCCCTCCGGTTGCAATTGGCGCTTGTTCCCGAAAACGGCCGCTTTTACCCCGTTTGGCTTTCTCCCGGAGCGGCTGATTGGACAATTTCGGCGATATGACCTAATTTATTCGAGCATGTGTTGACTACGTCTTGCTACATACTTGCTTGTGGAGATTTTAGTCGCACAACGATGCTTAGACAATCATAGTTATACAATGCAGTCCATGATAACGAACAGAGAATATCCTGAGCCTTCACGTGATCGTTTCCTTGGAAAATGCTGTCGCAGAATTGCCCAAACAATAGTCCGCACGCATTACAATGATGCCAGTGCCAACGAAGAAGGATGTCTTATTCTTGGAAGGGTTCTTCGAGTGCAACCCGCTGGTGTTCTCCTAGATCAGCACGCGCACATCACAACGCATAGTGGGCGTGCATATCAGTGTATGGGGGCGCTGACTGCTTCGCTACAAGACCATTTGTTCTCCATTGCAGCTAGTATCCTGGTCACTGCAATCCCCCACTATAATATGAGATGATGCGCCGACTGTCCCCCACCAGCGTTTCAGACGTTCAACCTCTGGACTCGACCTTTCACTAATCCTCAGAAAATTACTCGACGACTAGCATGAGCTACGAGTACCGGGTTGGTGGGTTATCCTATGGTTCTACGTCTTCCGCTAGGTCAGCCAAATTTCCCTTTCTGACTATCTCACTTACCTCAAATTTAATTGAGCACTGCAGAACCGAGCGCAACTCATCCCCCATCCCCAGTCCATACTCTCTGACATCGAGCCTGAGTTCCCCTTCCGCCGATGATTATTCCCCGACATCTACTGTGTACGCCGAGAAAATCGATCATGCGGCTTGACGACTGGACTAAATTGTTGGCAGGGTTTCGGTTACGCCCCCGCGCTCGCCTTATCCCAAGACGATCATACTACCATCCAGGTTATTCAGCTTTATAACACCGTTCGGCACGTCTCTGACAATACACACGCAGAGACGTGCCGGGTCCGCAAACTACGAGCCCTGGCTTTCATCAGGATTTATTATGGCCGTAAGCATTGAAGTGAACGAGCATTTTCCCTATTGCTCATTTGTTTCAGGGAGATGCACTTGCCAATGGGCCACGGACTAGATCCGATCGATGAATCATGGCCTTTCACAACGTATGGATCGCAAGTCTAATCTGCTGTCTCGCCTGTACATTCTTGACAACTTGTTACTAGAAATGATCATCGTGAATGTGATCTCAACATCGGCACATTCACGCACAGCGCAGCCCTCGGTTTTCATCCAGATATATCTTTTGATATGCACACTACCGACGGATCCGCCTTTGCTGAAGATTTAGACGGGCAGCGGCGGTGAGTTGCTTTCAATGCAGCGCGTTTCAAGTGCTGACTGGATATAAAGCCACGGGCATTCCGGATCTTATATCATGAGGCCTGCAGCTTCGGAAGGTGCGGCTGACCTGTATCTGGCTATAGAGTAAGTTTTACCCGGCGACTCTGAAGACCGACACCTGATTATTCATAGCCACGAAAACACTCGCGATGGTTCCGTAAGCTGCTGGGCCGATCCGCCGCAGCCACCCCTCCCAAAAAGAAGACGGTATGTTTGACGTCAAAGCACAGCGCTGGGCCTGAAAAGCTCTCCTTTAGATTTGCAGTCGGCGGCTTATACGGGCTTGCCCGCCGGCGCAGTAACGAAAGGTGTGTGTAGTCAGCCTCTGGTTTGCTCTATAGACTGATACAACTTCTGCAGCAGCGCACCACCGACCGGTATTCCTCGTGGCAAATCCGACCAAAAAGCCTGGTCGCGCCAGGCCGATAAACACAAGCGGAATTGGTTCCAAAAATTGCTCCGCAAGATAGTAGGGCGTTAAAGGGTTACATCCCACGGTCATATATATTGCCTGTATTGTGCAATCTCCTCATTACGGCGCGACGAACATCGCAACAACTGGTATAGAAGTGGCGATTATAACGATTTCTGCATTGGGACGCTTTGTATCATATCTATACTGTCAATTTTCACGTTTGCTTCCGAAACAATGACCTCACGAGCTCAGAATATGTTTGCATGGACATGTGGCAGTGCTTAGATACCGTATGTTGACCACCTTAAGCCATGTCCACATCATCCTCTAAACCGCGGGCCCGCGAGAAGCGCGCACCTCGTAGCAACGAACAAGAGAAGCTCAAGACGGTAGTACGCAGGCTTCCGGCTAATTTACCGGAGGATATCTTCTGGCAAAGTGTCCATAACTGGGTTAGCGACGATACAGTCTCCTGGAAGGTGTTCTACCCTGGCAAACTGCGGAAACGGTGAGTGAGAAGCAGGCTAAGTGGGTGTGACTTATATCAGGTCATAGACTGAATAAGGAGAACGTTCCATCCCGCGCATATATTGCGTTCAAGACCGAAGAACATCTGGCGGTCTTCAGTAAGGAGTATGACGGCCATGTCTTTCGGGACAAGGCAGGTGAGCCAGATTTGTGTGCACTAGCGCTTCAGATTACTCAGTTGCGAGGAGGGAACGAATCACAAGCTGTCGTGGAATTTGCTCCATATCAGAAAGTCCCGTCCGATCGCAAGAAACAGGATGCTCGCGTCGGAACGATCGACAAAGGTTCGCCTCCGGATATAATCGTGTATGCTTTTATCGATACAAACTACTTCAGATGAGGACTACATCTCATTCTTGGCATCGCTACAAGAACCGGTCAAGTCCACAGATCTCGATACACTCGAGTTGCTCGGTACTGCCAGACTCATCATGGCCTGGGTATATCACTCTGATTTTATGGCTTATGGTAGCACCCTCGGCACAACCGCAGCCCGAACAGAAGATCACACCCTTGCTCGAGGCGCTGATCGCCCAGAAGGCGGCTGCGAAGGAGAAAGCCAATCAACCACCGCCGACAATTCTTGCCGCTAAGCGTGACTCAAAGAAAGCCGCTACAACTGGGACATCCACGTTGACTGCGAACGTGAAACCAGGCCATCTCGCTTCCCAGAAGGGAGATAAGACTTCTGGCACGGCTGGAAAGACTGCCAAGGTCGGAAACGCGCCATCGAAAGATGGGTCTGCGTCGAAGAGCGGTGTGCCCGGTTCGTCAAGCAAGGCAAGTCTTCCTGCAAGGGCGCAAGATGCCCAAACAGGTGGCAAGAAAGGGAGCAAGCGCGGCACAAAGGCCAGCGCCGAGCCGTCGCAGTCGACGAGCACTTCCACTGCGGGACCCTCCTCACCGCCGAAGCAGTCTCCAGTCAAACCTAAACGCGAGCGGCCGTCTCGTCCAACCGCTGAAACTAATCCTGCAACCAGTCCCACAGTTGTTGCAGAAGCATCCGTTGCGTCAACGAGCGCAGGTTCTTCGGTTACTCTCAACGGAGAGGCACCACCGGCACGTCGTGTACGACCCGTCATTGGTCTGGCTTCCCGCCAGTTTGAGGCAGCCCTGGGTGGAGCTGGCATACGGGCTCGTCAAGCTAGAAATCACCCGGAAACCTCTGACTCGACATCAGCTTCTGCATCAGCCAATCAGGCTCAGCCTCAGGAACTTACCGCAAGCTTTGCTCCTGCTTCCGGTCGGCGGGGTGGTCGAGGTGGACGCACGTCCCCTACCGTCAACAGGAACGCCAGTGCAGCAATCGATCCTTCCACCATAATTCTCCAACGGATCGACGATCCGGGAGCAGAATTACCGCCACCGCCGCCCGCAGGATTCGGTGGCGCTGAAGACGCAAATGCAAGCTCACGTGGAGGAAGGAGAGGGAGAGGACGGGCCCGCGGCGGGAGTACTTCTCGTGGGGGATGAAACAACAAATATTAAGTGTTCAAACGCTCGTCGGTCTCAGGGGACTGTCTTCGGGAGAACTGCATTGAAACGGAAGCTTCCACGAAACCATAGTACACGGGATCGGGAATAATTTACGACTGCTGCCACAGCCATCCTAGTGCTACAGTCAGCAACGCGGCTCCGACATGCCATCGTCCCAAGCATTCCCTTGTCCACATATCAGCAAGGAGGCTCTCGCAGATCCGTGATCCTGCACTCCGCGCCTTTCCCTTCGCATTCGGACCATCAGTAGTTGTCGTATTAGCATTTGTTGTCGAAATTGGCGCAGAGGATAGGGGTAGAATGTGGCCACTGATACCCGTTGAGTCCAAGCGCAAGATGAGGGCTCCGCTACCATCGGCTGTGGCGTTACCGAAGACGGATTGCACGGGGGCCGCAACCATGGTCAACTGCGCGCCACCGAGGTCGATTCTAATTACTACTGTCTCGTAGTTCAAGTTTGCGGCCAGTATGAGGGCTTCGTATGCAGAACTCGAATTTGTCGCTGGACGAGCCCATGCTGCAACGTCGACCTTGGATTCATTCACATACTGCGTCAGGGAAAGACGGGTAGCGGTGGGATCTAACAGCCACGGCGCGAGCGTCTTGCTGAATACGGGAGCGATCTGGGCCGCAGCTTGTGTGATGTCGTCCGTCGTGGGCGCATCCCACGGCATTATGCCTGATCGTCGTCGTCGTGAGTATAGCTTGTACATCAACCCGCGGCTCCCGGTGCTTCACGCTCACCAACTGCTCCATGATTCACAGCCATGATCGTCTGGAGTTTGAATTCTGGTCCAGTGGGCACACGCTCCCAAAATTCCGTTGTTCCATCTGAAGGCGGCCATGCATATCAGCCACCGTGCTATTGATCAGCCGTGATACCCACCGAAAGCTTGGGGTACACTCCAAATAGCCAGATTGCGGTCGCGGCCAGCGAAGCGTCGTCGTTCGGACCAAGTATCCATCTTGTTCGTGATGTCCGTTAGATCGCCGCTATATTTCATGCCATGGTCAACTCGATGGAGCTATACCGGAGGAGTATGTAATGCCTACGTGCAGTCATCGCAGCTGTTAAGGGAACTCTATGAGTCATAGAGCAAGGCAGAATCTCTCCACGTACCCGCAGCAACCATATGTCGCGTTGCAAACCGTGCCATACCGATGCGAAAACGTCGTATTAACAGCGATTCTAGATAGCATCCCGAAATGATGAACAATGGCCTGGTCCGTGGGCTTACGAGAGACACCTACGGGTACGGGTCGCTAAGCACGATGTCAGCACCGGACGTGTAGTCCGTCCAGTGGAAGTCCCAGCAATTCAGCACTATGAGCAGCAAGTTGATTGATCATGATCAATAGGCACACAGCATCACGGACCGAGAGATACAGGATGATATCCATCGTTGCTGTAGAGAAACTCGTACGCCGCGGTTGTTGCGGCCGGGTCGTCTCCTGGCCCATCCGGCCTTGACTTTGTGTTAACCAACCCGTGGAGATGACAAATAAGATGGACACTGACTCGTCGTTAGTATACCACGCCAAAAGACCTTTCCTCTTCCTGAATAATTCTACGAACGGGGACACAGCGGACAAATTTTGGTAGATGTCCCTGAAGTCTGCCATGTACGATATCTAACAAGCATCGCCAATATAAGACATCGACAGGACGAAGTAACGGATACAAGACACACCCCAGCGCTATCCGCTTTGTCCAATATCGATTGCAAGGCAGTCAAGTTGTCGTATGGCGGAATCAGATGGATCGTATTCAGCCCGATAGCTTTCATCTGATCCACGATCGAGAGGTTCGAAGCCAAGGCGTCGAAACCGGTGTAGAAGCCGAACGTCAGGATTGGATCCCAAGAGCCATTCCCGCTCGACGACTGGCGGAGCATTGCGCCCGTTCGTCGGTCAATCTTGGTGACGGAGCCATTGTACGGGTTTGGAGGTAGGCGACGAAGGGTGGTATTAGTGATGAACCTTGCGGAAGAGCTTGATGAGAGAGAGGCGCTGCAGGTGAGGTTGTACGGGGTAGTCGCAGGTGGAAGAGAGGCGAGCGAAAACGAAGCTTCGGCGCCGATGCTTCCAACAGGCATCTGAAGTTGGACAAGCGGGGAAGAGGGTGACGATGCGAGGAAGACGGTGACATTCAGGGTCGGGGTCGATGATTCGGAGAAGTCACTGGGAAGGGCCTGCCCAACATCGTGCGTTACGTTGGCATCGATGATTATCGAGCCCGTGGTATCGCTATGGAAAACCATATTCTATCACTCAATGATGGATGAGTGAAGCTAGAGAAAACGCACGAGCTCAGGTACGGCTGCACCATAGGGGTGCATCTAATGTCCAAAAGTGGTGCGCTAGATGCTGCCGGGGATGTTGACCGACCGTCCAAAACAAATTGCGAGTCAGCAGGCGATCCCTGTTGATACTGCAACGGAAGTTAGCTCTCAGCCGGATTTGCGAGGTCATAACGCACATGTTTCCCGCACCATCTCAACCATTGATCATCTCTCTTGACCCCTCGGAACTTACGTTGGCTTCCAGCACGTACTCCATATACATCCTGCTCAAAGAGCAGTAGCAACATGAAAAATATCGCAGACAATGACCACGGTGCTTCATTTTGTCCCCTCGTCATCGTCAGGCGGTGTGAGGGCTCTCAGAGCAGGTGGTCGTGGAGGGAGGGTATGAAGGCTGGTTACTGCAAGGCGCTGTCTGCATCTCAACGCTTCTTCTTGAAACTGGGCGGGGCGTGCGACTTGGTGGAGAACGGAGGAAGATTCGACGAGCGGGGTGGCGTTGATGATGGAGACCATGCCGATCACGTCTGGTGCGGCTCTTTGTGCTCTTCGACCTCGGACTTATCTCCTAGCCATTCCCATTCCCTACAGATTCGCAGCACGAGCACACCGGAACGTGTGTCCCAAGTTGCAAAATACTCGCACATTGCTCAAGGTCCGGCGCGCAAAAGAGGCTTGCAGAGCTTCCTCTACAGCCTCGCGTTCGGCAATCGGTGCTACCCGTTCGTCCATTTTCGGCATGAACTTCATCAGAGTAAAACACCAATAACGCAAACTGGGCCGCCAAGAGGGATCCTCATGCAGATTGTTGTACAGCACTATTCGTCCACTACCCCGCCCGAACCTTCTGCCAGGACCCTCATCCAGGAAGGACGTCGCCTTGTTCACGCTGCTACATCATCCAAGGGCTGGTGTAATGTCGCCATCAATGGCCTGGGCGCGAGAAAGCAAGTGGACAAGGCCTCTGTCACGACCAGCTTTGCATATGCACCAGCGCCTCCGGTTCTCGCTTCGCAATACCGGGCAGAAATCGTTCTCAGGGAATGGGACACTTCCGCGGCCCCGTGCGCAGATGAAGATTATCGTATTTGTGACCTCGACCAGTTTGAGAGCACGAACTTCGAGCACTTGCTGCGGGCCTATCCGGAATCGTCTCTTCCCTCGTCGATTGGCCTTCATCATAGCCACCCGGGCCAGACACTCGACAATGCTTGGGACTTTCTCTACGGTCCACCCGTGGTAAAGAAACCCCCAGTCCATAGAGAATCGCTTGAGAACTTGATCACCGATGTAGATGTGAGTGTACCCCTTCTTCCGTTGCGGAAGGTTAATGTCGAAGTAGTTACATTGGCTGCCGCATCCGCAAGTTACACATTTTCCTCCTCCTCCCACGTCAGTCAAGCCTTACTCAAAGGTGCCTCCATTGCCTGTGCCACCCTTCACCACGGCACAAGTCGAGGAGTACTTGAACGACAGATGGGCTCGAGGAACCTGGATCGTGCCCGTCCAGGGCGCCTTGCCGATCAATGCTTGCACCTCAGCCACGGTATCGCCTCTCGAAAGCATGGCGACACCATGCATCAGAGAATCACAATCAGGCGGCAACCGTGAGGTGGTTTGGACGCAACATTGTCTGCTACAGTTCTGGGATTTCCTCGTCGCCGTTCAAGGATCAGGCAAGCTCGGTCCTATAAACTTAGCTCTAGAACTTTCACCATCGGAAGAACCTCCCTTCACACAACAAGCAGAATCCGCCATGCATGACCCCCTGGCGTCTTATCTCTCCATGATGGATCACATCAGGATCATGGTAGACATGCAATATGCTATGCATGTGAGGAGTGTGTTGGATGCCTGGAGTTATGATACCGGCGATGGAGGCACGGTCATGGATACTCTATCCCCTATTGCGAACAAGGTTCGAATACTGAAAGGCGCAACCTTGCTCCTCCTGGACAACCTAGGCCGTGGCTTGTTCGCTGTTTAAATTTGCGCCGCTCGTCCCACCTAACACTGAAGATCCACGACATGGTTGGCGAAGCGGATCCAAAGAACATTCAAGAAGAACATAAACCATCCCACGCAAGATCGGTCTAGTCTATCTCATATCGGGGACCGCGAAATCACCATGCGCATCTTGCTGAGGCTTCTTTTCAACGCGTTCCCCGCCCAGCTCCACCTCCCGGATCCTTTGTCAGGCTGATTGGCCTTCTTGCGGTGCCCCGACTGCCGCTCCTTCTCGTACAGTGCGGCCAGAAAGGCCAAAGTCAACTCGTCATCGAACGTCGTCGTCGACTGGTATTTCCGATTCTGGGCGCGTGAGGGCACAGTATGTGCGTGGGTGTTGCAAGCCGGTCCGATCGTGACGTCGACTAGCTGAGGGCGCGGGGCAACCACATGATTCCTTCGGCATGTGCGCTGCACGGACGCGGGATTGCTCGTGCGCTGAAGGGTTTCGATCTCGCCGCTGTGCCGTTCTTCACGTAGCGTTGGCCAACCCGCTCGTCCGCCACGTTGCCCGCGATCCGCCACGCTTCCGAACAACGAATCCGGGGGCAATTGGAAGGGACACGGCGGCCTTTTGTAGCATCGAGGATTGCCGGGCCGCGGCGCTGGTGCACAAGCTAGTACGATGGCGGGAAGACCGTCTTTGCTCGGTTCAATAACAATCGAAGTGTCGGCTTCTTCCTTGGACGTATTTGCCCGAGCAGAACTCACAGAACCCACAACTCTTCGCAGCCTGCGAACAGGCAGCTCCGGCGCCTGCTCAGTTGATGCCTGGTTGCTGTCCGAAACTTGCGTTGACTTCGGGATGACTCCAGATTGGAATAGAGGGAGCTTTGCCGACTCAACCGACTCGATTGTTGTTGCGGAGAGGCTGGGCATATTCGCCAGGGTTAGATACGCTGTTCCGTTCAGATTATCAACGATGCTGATAAATTGCTGGGACAGCGGGTTTTCTAGGCGAGTACCCACCCGGTTCTGGGATTATCTCGCAAGCTGCCAGTGACTGATTGGGCGTCATATCGACCATGTGCCCAGGCTCGCGCGAAACGGCTTCGTCGTCGTGCCATATGTGGTCATCTTTAGATGTCGGGCTAATCAGGACCGTCAGAGAACAAGAAGCCCGGAATTCCGCAATTGCGGGTGATAACGTATCTAGATGACTTGGCCTGAAGCTCCAAAAATGACGCAACATTAGCAAACACAGCGTACCAGTACTGATGAGTAGGCTGTTATGAGTATCCATGGCGGTGTGCATAGATTGTGCCCTCCGTGATCTGAGGCTCTTGCCGCGGCGGCGAACTCAGAACGTGTTGAGCGTCTGCGAGAACAACTGACTGATCGGACGGCCTTGCAGAAAGAGTCGAATCGCCTCCAAAGAATCCAACCACCAGGGTGGCATATCACCAAAGTTGACATGTGCGTCATGGATGATTATACTTACCCCTGAAGCCAGTTGGAAATTCGAGAGTTGAACCGATCCTCAACAGTTGCCGCGGCCTGATGCAATCATGTATTATACTACACGGGATCAAGAATACACTACAACTGTCCGCAATCTATACCGATTCTCTCTTAAGGCATTCTTGACATCGTGCAAAGACGAGCGATAGATATGGTGGTCATTGAGATCTCCCTACCAGGTTAATGGATATCGAGGCGGACTACAAGGCGGTTCCACGTTCGAAGCTTGCGCGAATCTCCGCAGTGTACTTGTCATAGTAACGAGCAATCTGTAAGTGAAGGGAATGTGAGCGGTCGAATCGCGAGGCGGTCCACGACTGTTCCCCCACCTTCTTATTGAAGACACGGTTGCGTTCGTTGATGTATGTGATATCGCCTTCCTCTTCGTTCGCCCTCTTCCTCGAAAACTTGTTCCTCTTGTCGATACTACAATGATGTGTGGGTGAATTAACAGACCAACCGAACGTCAGACTGGTTAACGAACTCTTTGTTCAGCTTGCTGACGACGCGATCAATCGCCTCCTCGCTCGGCTTATTATCCGCATAAATCAAGGTGTTTGCGTCTCTGTATAGGCTCTCCGCCGCGAGCTGTTGTGCATGAGAAGAAGGAACCACCTAAGCATGTGGTTAGCACCAAGCAGATGCTCGGTGAAAGCATTAATACACACCTGCATTTTGCTTGATTCGCCTTCTGCTGCTTTGACGAGCGTCCCAGGAGCTAGACCTAACGCGATCTCTTTTTGACGGTTGTAAGCAGCGAGATCTGGTTTGATGAGGTCAAGATCCTTCTTATATCGCCGCCGCGCCGAGTCCGCATGGTCTGTAGGACGTTGTATTAGGTCGATAGAGGTGGAAAGTCAGGGAAGGTAGCCCACCATGGAACTCGAAGTCAGCTCTCCGTGCTTTGCGTGCTTGTTTCTTCTCCCAGGCATCATTCTCTTCAATTGTGTACTCCCAGTTCTTGATGCGTTCAATGTCCTCGCCACGGTCCTGCGATAGGGTCAGCACATAAACGAGAAAAGGGGAGGGGAAGAGTATGAGTCTCCACTGACCTCAGCATCTGCCTTCTCTCGCAACGTCTCGGCCAGTTTACGTTGTCGTTCCAATCGTGCGGCTTCTCGTGCGCTCTGCTTAAGCTTCGTTGCTTCATCGACTACAGATGCCCGGTTCGCTTGAGATGATTTAAGCTACAACCAACCAATGTCATGAGGGGATGCGGTTATACGCAGGCCAGTAGGGAGCAGCGAAACAAATCAGCGGTAGTGACAAGGTTAAAACCCAACGAACTCGTACCATGCGCCTTCTCAGTTCATCAAGCTTGGCCTTACGCTCTTCCATGGTCAATTGCTTGCCACCAGATTCTGACTGCTCCTGTGGTTCTGGGGAGCCCTCCTCCGAACTTTGTCTCTCAGAAGGAGAAGCTGCTTCTCCAACCATCCGTTCTGCATGCGTAGATGTGGTTGGTATTGTTTCGGACATAGCGGACAGAGGTGTAGCCAAGGGCAGAGTCTGTGACGTCGACGTTGGACTAGAATTCCAAGGACTGAACTTCAAGTTGGTGGCGAGCAAGGACTATGCACAGCCACGGGCCCGAAACAGATTTTGCGAGTTTGCAAAAGTAGCTCAACCTTACACGCCAACGGTGGAATTGTTCTGAATCAGGCACAAAGCTGCAAGAATAGGCAAGCAGAGATGCATGTATGTTGTCCTACGCAGAAATACCAGTCGAAGAGCACTCAAATGGTGATCGTAGAGTTCATTGGTAACACCAACCCGGTCAAGGAGTGCGCAATTTGCATCACAGCCTACATACATTAGGGGGCCTCAAAGTTGGTGATTATGGGCTGATTATGCGTCCGATTATGCGTCGATTATGTGTCGATTCTGGTGTCGCTACACCACCATAATCCGACTCTCAACTTTGAACCCCCCGCTACATCCCCGGATTCTGTCTGGATTATGAACATGAATCTCCTCCTGCCGACTCGCCGGCATGTCCTTCTGAGCTTGAATACCGAGTTCGGCCGCACGGCCGAGCCTGCGTTTGTGCCCAAGTCGAAGAATGAGCACCTCACCTATGTCCCGAGGATATTCAGACACCTCTGAGTATACTGACGACATTCCTGTCGGGTGAAGGAAAAATTGTATATTGTCTGACTGAAACAATGACAGCAGTACTGAGTTACTATATGACCAGGTGCCTTTAGTGGCGACGAGGCGCGACCTCATGGAATACATGGACAAATGTAGTGTTACATATCAGTACTAAGAACACCATCCCCCAACGTCCTCTATGTGCCGTCACTAAGCCGCTCACATTGGGATTCTGCTGGACGGCTGCGATATTGCGCCCAGATTCCCTGAAGTGCGATGACGAGCCATCAGCCCGCAACCCACAAGGTCAAGCTCGGCCAAAGGCATATTGATGCGGAAGGCACGTCCGGGAACGACGCAGGACGGTGATGCTATCTTGCCTGTGACAAATGAGCGTAAAGATACTACCGTGGGAAGAGAGGAACATCCGAGCTACACACATGCCGTGCTGATTTACTTGCAACCACCTCCAGCACCATGTGCATTCCAAATCGTATTGTTGAACGACGTAGGTGGTGTTGTACGCACAGGAAAACGTGCCGTCCCGCCGGACCCGCATTGAGTGATTCCCTGCCATCCATGGAGTTCCTTATACGCCGATGAGAGCCATAAAGAGGACGAAGAACGTCAATACGACGTGGGTGGTCAGGGCCAGAACTATACGTTAATAAAAACCAGAGAGAGGACGGAAGAACGACGATGCGGCGGGGGTGGCCAGGACGAAGAGGCGAGTGGACATCCCAGACCCGGTGGGAAGGATTCCAAACTCCGATGTAGCGGGGTAGGTAGGTAGGTAGGTAGGTATATTGCCGACGAGGTCCCGGTAGCGGAACAGCCGGTTGCTGCGCTGCACGTACGCCACTCGTGCAGTCAACAGCGTGCCAAGCAGCTCGACGGTTTTCGTGAGCTGATGAAGCCGACCGCACTGTCTCACCACCGGCACGAAAAAGTCCTAGGTACATGTGTACATACAGTGCTATGTAATGTATGCTAGGCAAGCCGTCTTCAGCTTACTGGCGGAAGTCCGGCTCCTCAGTCAGTGCGTTAAAAACCCCGACCACCCCGCAAAACCACTTGGGAAAAAAGCGGGGTGGGGGAAAAGCATCCTCGAAGGAAACACAGACCTACAGCGACAGTCAAGCGCAATGGGCAAGGTAAGGCGTTTCTAATGCACTGTCTAAATCGTTGATACGCTGGGCAAGCCAGATGTCGACGGCAGCGGTCACGATTTTGATGAGCTCCTCACCTGCAGGGGGTCCATGAGGCATGCAACGGGT